CCTGTTTCTAATCACAGAACCTTCCCAGGGCTGTGATAAGTTGATACCCTAATGACAACAGCCCCCCAGGCTTGTAATAGGTCCCGTTTGTAATGACAGAACATCCCCAGGGTTGTAATAACTCACGTCAGGTACTATCCAGCTATTAATAGCCTCATATCGTGGCTGGCCTGGCCAGCTATTAATATCTGGTATACAGGTACCCTACCCTGCCCTGCAGCCCCCAATTGGGTGAATAGCAGCTGCCTACAAGATAGCTATCAATAGCAGTGGATAGCAGCAGGTCCCTGCAGCTGAAATAGGGTGCAGTAGCTGGTTCCCGCACGTAAACGGTAGGGGTTGCACAGCTGGGCAGGGTGAGAAAACAACCAGGCACTGTATATGGATCAAAAGAGGCATCATATAGCTTTCAAACACATCCAAGAGCATGCCATTTGGAGCAGTATTGGCGGAGATACAGGTGTACCCCCGTTTTTGCCGATGGGCACATCCACTAGAATTGGGAATTGTGGATGGATCCCCTCCGTTCTTTTGCATGGTGTGTGGTTCTCTCTCCAATAAATGGGATTGAAGTCCGACGCGAAACGATGCACACAATCTGGATTAGATTGCCGATTACGCTTCAGCCACAGCACTTTTGATGGCTTGATATCTCTGCACCACATCCCCCGATAAGCATTTGGTTTTTTGCAGTCTCTTACATCAATGTATGAAGACACACTCTGGGTGTCATTTGGACGTGAAACACTCTGAACATGTCCCTGCGCATCTGTGCACGTTCAACACCCTTCATTCATAGCTCCACAACCGTTGCTCCGATCGCCACGCTGCTTGCTGCAACCATTCGGCATTGTAAAGCTGAACCGAAATCATGTTTCGAATCTTTATCGCACATCTGATAGCTTTGGTAAACCCATATCTCACCTTCAGTTTACCCCCTGATCGAGGCAACTTGTCAGTGTGATAGCAGCACATGTATCTGATCTGAACTCAGATAGAACACAGCTTCAAGACGCAAAAAGAATCTTGTTGATCGGCCAAGAATTGGCTGAGATGTCACAGCGGGTCTGGAATGCAGTACTGAGCTGCAAAGTGTGGCATGAAACCTCTGCACATAACACCCACATATGCAGCATGAAGTGATGTACTTACCCCCAATTGGCAGTGATGCTCAATTGAGTTCAATAGCATACTCAAACATGTTCCATGAGTCATTCCACCATTTTAATGGCTGTGTGGGCCCAATTGCAGGTTGTGTGAAGTGAGAGGTGCAGCTGTGAAGCAAAAGTGCACCCTGTTTCTACTACACATGCTATATCTTGCTGAGTTAATGACCGAATTTCATGATTCTTGCTGTGTTAGATACACAACGTAGAGTGCGATCCAGATCTGTATAAGCGATGTTACAGATGATATGTCATAACCAGGAAAAGGAATTGATGGGAAGAAAGATAAGGATAGATATGTCTGAAGTGTATGCTGATAACAGTTTCGAGAGTAGTGTCCGTTTAGGCAGTGATAATGAACATACTGCAGCAAGCAGCGTGGCGATCGGAGCAACGGTTGTGGAGCTATGAATGAAGGGTGTTGAACGTGCACAGATGCGCAGGGACATGTTCAGAGTGTTTCACGTCCAAATGACACCCAGAGTGTGTCTTCATACATTGATGTAAGAGACTGCAAAAAACCAAATGCTTATCGGGGGATGTGGTGCAGAGATATCAAGCCATCAAAAGTGCTGTGGCTGAAGCGTAATCGGCAATCTAATCCAGATTGTGTGCATCGTTTCGCGGTCGGACTTCAATCCCATTATTGGAGAGAGAACCACACACCATGCAAAAGAACGGAGGGGATCCATCCACAATTCCCAATTCTAGTGGATGTGCCCATCGGCAAAAACGGGGGTACACCTGTATCTCCGCCAATACTGCTCCAATGGCATGCTCTTGGATGTGTTTGAAAGCTATATGATGCCTCTTTTGATCCATATACAGTGCCTGGTTGTTTTCTCACCCTGCCCAGCTGTGCAACCCCTACCGTTTACGTGCGGGAACCAGCTACTGCACCCTATTTCAGCTGCAGGGACCTGCTGCTATCCACTGCTATTGATAGCTATCTTGTAGGCAGCTGCTATTCACCCAATTGGGGGCTGCAGGGCAGGGTAGGGTACCTGTATACCAGGTATTAATAGCTGGCCAGGCCAGCCACGATATGAGGCTATTAATAGCTGGATAGTACCTGACGTGAGTTATTACAACCCTGGGGATGTTCTGTCATTACAAACGAGACCTATTACAAGCCTGGGGGGCTGTTGTCATTAGGGTATCAACTTATCACAGCCCTGGGAAGGTTCTGTGATTAGAAACAGGGCCTATTACAAGCCTGGGAACACTTTTTCATTAGAATATCGACTTATTACAACCCTGGGGCCTTCTGTCATTAGGAACGGGGCTTATCACAACCCTGGGGAGGTGCTGTCATTAGAAACGGGGCTAATTACAACCCTGGGGATGCTCTGTCATTAGAATACCAACTTATTACGGCCCTGGGAGGCTTCTTTCATTAGAGACGAGGCTTATTACAGCCCTGGGGACACTTTGTTATTAAGATTCCAACTTATTACAGCTCTGGAGACCTTCTGTCATTAGAAACGAGGATTATTACAGTCCTGGGAGGGTGCTGTCATTAGAATATCAACTTATTACAGCCCTGGGGGCCTTCTGTTATTAGTGGCGAGGCTTATTACAAGGCTGCAGAAGTTCTGTCATTAGACTTATGGCTTATTACAATGCCCTGGTGGGGATATAGTACAATGACCACCTGGTGGGGGTTAACAAAACCCATTCTGCAGGCTCCTGGGCAATTGTATTACAATTGGGGTAACCACAGGTGCTAGCGAAGTGGTCCGCCCCAGGAGCAGACGCACTAGAAACTGACCTACTGAAAATCGTGTCCCGAGAGCAACTAGAAAACGTTTACATGATAGCATTGGCGAAGTTAGAAAACGCGACCCGAAAGAATTACGGCGCCGGCCTCCTACGTTTCCATCAATACTGCGACAAGCAAAACATACCCGAATCCGCGCGCTTCCCCGCACCGGACATCCTCTTGGCGTCCTTCGTCGCGAACCATGCGGGATCTGTCGCGCGCACCACAATCGACAACTGGATCGCAGGACTGGGGTTCTGGCACACACTTCATGGCACACCCTGGCGCCTCACCGACATGCGCCTGCTCAAATCTGTGTGCGACGGAGCGTCCAAACGCGCACCCGCACCCAACGCCCCGCGCGCACCGGTCACGGTGGCTCACATGGCAGCACTCTTGCGGCAACTCAACCTCGCGAACACCTTCGACTGCGCTGTAATGGCTGTGGCATGCTGCGCCTTCTGGGGATGTCATCGGTAAGACTCACGCACGCGCGCGCGTCCCCGAGCTCACTTCGTGCAGGCGGGGGGAGCTCATCATCCCATCAGCCGGCGCCGCCAAGGCGGATCGGCACGTGTCACGGGGTGTCACGGTCGAGCGCGGAATCACCGCCGCAGGCACGTTCGCGTGGTTCGCCATTCCGTGGACGAAGACGACCAAGAAGCAGGGCGCAAAGGTGGTCCTCCGCGACATCGAAGTTGAACCTAGGCCGTCGTGGGCGCTCCTCCACCATCTACACATGAACGAGGCAATTCCAGGGCACGCACCGCTCTTCAGCTTCGAAACGGGTGGCGGGGGATGGGCGCCCATGACGCGCGACCTGTTCCTGAACAGATGCGCAGCGGCCTGGCAGGCGGAAGGCCTCGCGTCCCTCACGGGGCACTGCTTCCGCATCGGCGGGACAACCGAATGGCTGATGCGCGGAACAAACCCGGACATCGTCGCGGCTTTGGGAGGCTGGCAGTCCCGCGCCTTCCTGAAGTACTGGCGCAACATAGAATGCATACTCCCCCTACATATGTCCCAAAAGACTGAAACCGCACGCGTTCTTGTAGCAAACGAGTCCATAACCGCCTGGAAGAAGCGCACGAAACTGTAATGACCATTCATTTGCACTCGCTGCTTGGGCGAGCCGCGCTTCGGGATCGCGACTGTTGGTGCTCGTCTGGGCGAGTCGCTCTCCCTCGCGGGAAGGGCGGGAGCGTATCCGCATCGCGGATCAACGGGAGTCGAGCGGGGTGGGATAGGACCGGGAGGGGACGCGACCTCCGATCGCGTCGTGCCTAGCTTCGGCACGCTACCCTCCGGGCGAGCGCTCCGCTTTTCCCATCCCACGATCTAGCATGTGACATGTGGGAATCTCTCTATTCCCACGAGGCTCATGCGACCTATCTACTCCCTAAGGCCTAGTCCTCTAGGCAAGACACGCGATTAGGAAGCGAGAGCCATTGCCGAACCAAATCGAGTAGGGTGCTGAGACGTGACACACAAGCGCTGGATCACTGTCACGCCTTCAGAGCTCAATTCTGTACTGTCTACGCTCACGAAGGCCCATCCTCTCGGAGAATTTGGATAACACTTTCAAAGTGTGTAAGAATTACATTCCCCAAATTCCAAGGGGAACGCTGGGATAGGTGTTTCAGTCAAGACCCGTCAAGGGTGTAACTTCTCCCGGTGAGATGAGTGTATCCTCGAGATCGGACGCAGCTTGGTCTTGGGGGACGCAAAACTTCGAACATAGGTGTGTGATAATCTATCCTATCTGAATCTAAAATTTCATGATTATCGGTGGAGGTACCGGAGCGCAATTCGCGTTTGTCCGAACACTGGGGTCGTGATAGTATGGGGCAATCAAAAGACACACGACTCAAATTCCCCCTCGTTGTTTGCCCTCTCTGTCTGTCCCCTCCAGTGCCCTGCCCTCTACGTCTCTCTCTGTTCTCTCTCTGCTTTCTGTCGTCTCCGCCGTCTCCGAAAGAGTGACCCTTATACCTATACCGTACGTATCGCTATTATCATCGCCCAGGACTGTCCACTCACGCCTCGCTGCCTTCGTCTCTTTAGCGCTCGTCATGTTCAATGTCAACTTCGCCATCGTCGCCAACAACAAACCTGCTCAATTGCCTAACGCAGACGCCATCATCCGGGCGTGCACCACGCACTTGAACAAAAACAACTCGAGCAATCCCACTGCTAACCAACGGGGCATGTCCCTAGTCAACGAGTCCGGCATCCCTTATGCGTGGGTAAAGTTCGGACCGTCCATCACCATGGCCGAGGCGCGCACGCAAGACTACGTCGCTCACAGCGTCAACGGTACCGCCGCCGCCGCCACCGCCTGCGTCCGCGTTCCCAACGTTTACCTCGCTTTTGTCGACAATGACAACTGGGGCTATATTATCATGGAATTCGTTGCTGGGGCTGTGTGCAGCAACACCGACGCCCCCGCGGTCGCCAAGGCCGTCGAGCATCTCATCACCATCCACCCCCCTAACGCACAGCTTGGCCACTTCGGCGGTAGCCCTATCTTCCACCCCTTATTCAACGACCGCAAATCCTCGGTAGAGTACCCTTCCGTCACGCTGCTCGAAGACCACATCAACGGCGTGAGTGTTTCCCCCTTCATCCCGCGCATCATCCCGCTTCCCTCTCCCCGTCCCGTCGTCCCCTTCGCTCATAAGTTTTATGTCTCCGCTCACGGTCCTGCATTATTTACTCTCTTCTGACATAGATCCTGAGGTCCTTCGGTTATAATGTATATGTTGACTTCAGTCAGGAAGCCGAGGCGCATGACCTCTGCCTCTGCCCGTCCGACATGAACCGGCAGAATTTCATCAAGGAGCCTAATGACACTATCGTCGTCCTCGACTTCGGCGAGGCCTGCTTCCTGCCTGCCTCCTTCTTCGACCTCGCGCTGCGTGGCGAGGACTCCTACACCAGGCGCCTCCGCCCTCTGATCTCACGTCAGCCATCAGCGCAGCTGGACGGCCTGTTGCTAGCGAAGGGTGCCCTGGTCGTCACCGGAAACAACAATCTCGGTGAGCATACTTTCCCTCTCCTTCTCCATCTTCGTCCTTGCCGGAAGTCTGACGGTTGGTGTACGTCACGCAGGTTTGCCGGCCAAACTCAACTAGATAGGACGCGCAAATTGCGCCCTCTGCTCCACTACCAACTCGGGGTGTTCCCGTTGCGGTCTACTCCATCAGGAAAAAACCTGGATTGCTAAGTGAGATGTAATTTAGTGGTCAGCGACAATAATGTGCACTTAGAGCAGTTACCACCAATACTTGCAACTATTCGCCGGCTATCTCCTGCTAATGTAAACGTTGGTGAGTGGACGAAGTCTTGATGCAGATGGGAGAGTGATGAGACAGCAGAGAAGATTGGGATTCACGTATCCAGGTGTACACAACTTCAACAGAGTATTGACCGCGCACGGTGGTGCGCATGGCTCAGACTAAATGTGATAGGTACGGCGCTCCAAGTAAATCATATCACTACTACAAGGTGCCCTGGAAGGCGCGGTACACCAACTGTGCATATTGACGGTCCTGCACGAGGGTGCTAGGGGTGGAATACCGCCCGCAATGCCATACTCTCCGAGGATGGCCGGAGAGGGCGGTGCACGGAAACGAATCGCACAAGAGCGAGAGTTCTACCTCGACACAAGCCCGTGGGAAAGCAATATGATAGAAGAGATGTAACGACCTGCGATACATCACACCCTGCCCAACATATCCTACCCAAGACGTTCAACATCTCCTTCCAGTAGGTTAAGGATTGGCGTGCATCGAGTCCGAACATGACCCTGCAGCCATTGCCGTTGACAAGCTGCTCCCGACTCTCAGCCCTTCTTACATCATGACCCTTGACGAAGGGGTGCGCAGACAACAACCGGTGCGGTGGAATGCCTTTTGATACATGATGAGAGATAGTCCGAAAACAGAGTCCGTGTTCTCTGGTACGTACGAGCCGAGAATTGAAAGCGAGCGGGGCGGGGACTAGTATCGAGTACCGTACGGTGCGCCGTATGAAGCATAAGCATAGCCAGGCTGGGGCTGCTGCTGCTGCTGGTAGTCGTAGTAACCGTTGTACGTGGGTTGGGGCTGCACGCTAAAGTCCTCTGAGCCGAGCTTCTGTACTCTGGGAGTCTTTCGTCTAAACGACCCTTCCGCTATAACAGAGTACGCGTAATTAACGTCCATATACTTATGTATCGTACAGCACGCGGGCGGAACGAAGCAGACTATCCGAGGACAGCTGAGAGGGCATGCGCGGCTCATCTAGAACTCACCAGGGTGGGCCTGACTCCGCGCGGGGTACCCGACACCGGCGCCGTACGCATTAGGTTGATCGTAGTATCCGTCGTGGACATTAGGAGTGGGCGTAGGGTCCGCGGTATGCACATTCGGGGGTATGCGGAGTAGTTGTTTGCAGCAAAGGTTTCGGGCTGGGCGGCCATGGCAGAGCCTACACTAGCACTGCTGTCTTGGCGTGCATGGCCGCTATTTTGAACAAGCCTTTCGGTTGAGCTGCGTGAACCCCACGCACCACCGCGATCCTCCAGAGGGATGTTGTTCATCGACTTCTCGGACATGAGGGACTCGTACTTGGTGTGGTCCCGGCTCTGTCCTTTGCGGAAGGCGCTGAGGACGGAGTACAGGTAGAGCTGGAGGGAGAGCGTGAGCGGGTGGACTCGTGACGTCAATAAGAGCCGCCTTACCTGCATGATGCCGAGCAGGACCCAGAGTGCGCCCATGATTCCGATGTCAGCCCACGGGAAGATGTTGCAGAGTGTCTGGCCCTCGGAGTTGTTCGCGGAAACGGTGCCGGCGAAGAAGTCGGCGATGCACTTGTCCTGGGCCTGAGTGTGACGAGTGGCGGAGATGGCGATCCAGGCTGCAGCGACGCCAAAGGCGGCTACTGTTACGAGCGAGTGGAGGGTGACATAGCGACGGAAGAGGATGGCTTTTTCCTGCACACCGAGGGTCGGCCCAAAGTTTACGGAATCCGCGGGGACTGCGCACCTGTCTTACGGCTATGAACCCAAGCAGCTGCAGGCCAGCTGCCACCCAACAGATTACGGCGAAGATCCACTTGGCAAACGAAGGTGTTGAGGCACCAACGACTACGAATCAAAGTCGTGAGCGAAGGGTCGAAAGAAGAGAACGGGAGAAGGGACGGACTGGGTGGAGTACCGATGGATAGCGTCCCCGCAACTATCCCGAGCACGAGCTGCTCAAGCAGGGTAGCGTAGATCCCCGAGTAGATGATGGGGATCGCGCAGCAGCAGTATTCCCTCGCGGGCATGAAGAAAAGCAAAAAGGGGAAAGAAAGAGGAAGGTCGTGAACGTCGTGTCGCGGGCAGGACAGACGGAGGGACGGGCAGGATGGGGGAAAGAAGACAAGAATATAAACTGCGGGCGTATGGCCGTGGGGGATGCCGCATGCGCAGCGGAGCAGTGCGGGCGCCTGACCCCCCTGGAGCGGAGGGCGGTGGCCGGCGTCCCCACATCCGAACCCTCCCGGAGAGGCAGGTGCCTCCCACGCCATCAGAGCCGTCATACCCGTGGTTGGTGCGCTGCCCCTCCCCCTCGCCAGTGACTCTGTCTACGACGACGATACCCCGCTTCTCATCTTACTCTATGGCTCGCTTCGGTCTCCTTGTCTTCCTTGCCGCTGCTGCTGCTGGTGCCGCTGCCGCCACTGTCGACCAGCAGGTCTTCCCAGGCAACACTGACAATAAATGGGACTGGAACGACTGCGGTATGTTGTTCTCAGTGCGGTCTCGAACACCCGCTTATGCGGTCTCAAGGCACCGACTCGCACCTCGTGCACATCCAGAGCATCTCCATCTCGCCTGACCCTCCCCAGCGTGGCAAGGACTTGACGATCACTGTTGAGGGTATTGCAGACGAGGACATTACTGTGAGTCTTACGTCCTCTTTGTCGTCGTCGATCACTCAGTAGGCTACCGTCGATCAGGAGGGCGCGTACGCAGAGGTCACTGTCAAGGCGGGTGTAATCAAGCTCCTCCAGAAGGAGTTTGACATTTGCGAGGAGGCGTAAGCACTACCTTATTGTATCCATGATATGGTGCGCTGAGGCCATGTATCATTTCAGGGAGAAGGCGAACACCACCGTCCAATGCCCTGTGGAGAAGGGGACGCACAAGGTCGTCCAGACCGTCACTCTTCCCAAGGAGATTCCTCCTGGTGCGCAACCTCCAAATTGGCGACTATGAGTGAGACCACTGACATGTTCCCTCCAGCCAAATTCAATGTGGCCATACGCGGATTCACGGAGGATGACGAAGACCTGGCATGCATGGACCTCATGATGGACTTCAGGCTCCGTTTCATGCCGTGAGGTTAGTCGGGACCATTGCTTATCGCCTCGTTGAACTCTGCTTTCTGCACTGCATCTCTGTACATCTCTGTATTCATACTCTCCTCCGCTGCCAATGCGGTAAATCATGCGATGGCTGTCCGTATTCAGCCCGACGACTGCTTGTGACATCGTGGCCAGAACCAGCGCTGGGAGTCATCACATGTCCGGGACCGTGTCAAGGCGGCAATTAATCCTGCGGCTGCAACAGCCATGCTCCCCCTACGTCCAGTACTTGTCGCACTGCCCAGCATGGCGCGCCTCCGCTTTCTGCTCGTTCTGGACTTTGAGGCAACTTGTGACGACACAACTACCGTAATCCCTCGTGGACAATCAGAAATCATCGAACTCCCGACTCTTCTCTACGATCTCGAGCAAGACAAAGTCACGGCTACCTTTCACGAATATGTTCGGCCAGTCCACCATCCGACTCTGACCCCGTTCTGTACAAATCTCACTGGGATCGAACAGGTGAGTCGAGCTGCGCCGTGGACCTTGTCTGTCTTTGGAGCTGATGGCCATTTGGTCGCAAGACAACCGTTGACTCGAGCGAGACCTTCCCCCCCGTTTGGAAGCGATTCCTCGAGTTCTTACGGGAACACGGTGTCCTGGAGCACCCTGAGGCCGCCACGTTCCTGACGTGCGGCGACTGGGATCTCAAGACGATGCTCCCTCAACAACTTCGTTCCAGCGACCTGCCCATGGATTGGCCCGAGCCGGGCAAAGTCGGAGCTGCCGTCGTTACGGGCGCAGCAAGCGGCCTCCCGCCACCGTTTGACAGGTGGATCAACATCAAGAAGGAGTACCGAGAGCTCTATGGCCTACGTTCTGCACAGGGGATGGATAAGATGCTGCGGCATGCGGGGATGAAGCTCGAGGGACGGCACCACTCGGGGATCGACGACTGCAAGAACATCCTCCGCCTCGTCCAGCGCATGCGGGCGGATGGATGGAAGCCGCAGCCAGCCCTCCCGCGTTGATCGATGGATTGACAGTGTCGCCCGCGCGCGACAAAAGGACGGACATAGCGACGGCGGCTCCGGAGTCACCGCCGACTTCTTCATTTGTACTTGCCCTTCTTAGCCACCCTCTGCCGCCTGCGCCTCTGCCGCTCCCCGTGCGCCCGCCCGCCGTGCTTGCCTCGCGCCCTCCGCTGGCACGTATCAAGAACCCACGACGCACCCGCAGATTGCAGATGGGCCCGATGCATCGAACGCGATGCACGCCCCGCACCTGTGACACTCCCCGGCGCCAGTGCAAGACAATAAGGTCGCCACCCGCGCTCGCACGCCCGGTCTCTATCGCACGTCCCCGACGCCCACTGCCCCTCTCCATTACATCCCGCGCGAGCCCCGTCCCGCCTGCGCTATACCCGCGCCCGATCTGGCGGGCGACTGACTGCATACCGGTCGCGACTCAGTCCCCAAAGGAGGATACAATAGGCGAGGCGAGGGCCTGGCGCGCGCGCGGTGCCATACCGAGAGCCCGCGACGTCGCGCCCTTTCTGCGGCTACCCTTCTTGTCCGCAACGTCCCGGCAGCGTGTCTCTCCCTGGGCGTCCGCGCCCGCCGATTGTGTTTCCCGCTCGCCTTCGCGGCTTCCCCGACAATGGCGACGAGCGTCCGCGCGCTGTTCTCCCGGGGTCGCGCCCGGCGCGGGCCAGTATATAGCTCCCCCGCTGCGCCGCGCGAAGGGGCGTTGTTTCCCTCCCCGATCCTCCTTCTCCTTCCCTGTCCCCCCACGACGTCCCCGGCGTTCTCGCCCCCCACAACAAATATTCTCCTCCGCACCCCGAGCACCCCACCGCGGAGAAAACGGCACACGATGCCGACCAGCACTGCGACGCACGACGTCGAGCTCGAAATCGTCAACGACACGAACGCACCTGTCACGGTCCGCATCGCGCGCAACGCGGGCAGCGTGCGCGTGCCCGCGGGCGACGACATCCGCCTCGTGCTCGCGACCGGCACGCTCTACAAATACGTCCTCGAGCGGGACGTCGACCCCCGCGCGGGCGTGCGTGCGGTCGAGATGTCGTGAGCAGACCTCCCTCCAGAGCCCGCCCGCTGATCTCGAGCACGCTCTGCGGATCGGCAGCGTGAACATCTGGCGCGACGCGCGGTGCAAGGTCTCCCAGGTCTTCGCCGCGCCCTACTCGCCCTACCGCTGCGGCTGCAACTGGCAGATCCCGCTCGGAGACGGCATCAAGGTGGCCTTGCAATTGGTGTGCGACGCCTCTCCGGCAAGCCGCCACAGCCACCACTCGCGAATAGCGACCGTCAGTCTCAGATGGCTCGCTCCCCGCGCCGGTTCAAACACTGACGAATGGCATTCTTGTAGGACCCGTGTGAAGATACCGGCTGGGCGACAGGGGCGGGAACCCGATGACTCTTTGACGCGAGACGAGACGAGACGAGAGCCGACGTGCAGAGCCTGTTCCTTCCCCGCGTGTTCCACTGCACCTGCACGGCTGCATCCCTGTACCATAGCCATAGCCACCGTCACCTTCTCTGTACTTTTAGCCGATCCCGCTATCCAGATCGCGCGTTCTGGATCTTGGCCGCCCGCCTACCAGCACGATCCGCCGCACCAAAAAGCAATCACAGATCACGGTCAGCACTGCGCCGCGGAGTCGGCAGAACGCCCGCGAACGGACTTACGTGAACACCTCCCAGACCGCGGTCTGGTTGGGATAATAGGCGAAGCCTGAACGGGCGGACAATGAGCTCGATCTGCGATGGTGGGAGGGGGGAAATCTGACGATGGAATCTCGTGCGGCTTACCGTCGTTCGGGGACGCCTGTAAACAGGATTAGGCCTCGTGAGACGGGTTCAAAAAGGGGATAGGACGCACGCCGTCGATGAGCGCGTCGGCGTACTTGATGACGCGGTTGCCGCCGTCCTCGGTGAGGCCCAGTTGGCCGAACTGCCACGGCATAATCCTGTATCGGAGAGGACAATAAGCCCTGTGTGACTCGACTTCGGTGATGTGCCGAACTGCGCTCACCCGCTGTAAAACAGGACAAGGGTTAGTTATTGCGGCAAATTAGGATTGATGAATGTAATCACCCATGGTGCGTATCTAGAGCACGCTGGACCCACTTGGGGTAGACCACCGTTTTGTTCTCTATTGTTTGGTGAGCAGCGCACATCTCGAATGGTGTCAGAGTGAACGTACGCAGGCCCGTCACGCCGAACTCCTCCAAGACCACGGGCTTGTTTGCCTTGTTCGCAGCTGTCCATCACAAGGCTGTCAGCGAAGACCAATACAGTTGAACAGGAACGCACAGTGGACGTGCTGCTGAATCCAGTCGAGTCCCCAATCTTCCGCAGTCCAGTTCGATCCCGGAAAATCCTGCCTCGTGTTAATGTGTGCAAGCGCTTTTCACTGATAGCTCTCACAAGCTCCGGATACCTGCACACAACCTCAGCGTCAGCTAAAGGAGGGGACTCCCAACTAGGAGCTCACCAAGTCTGGGGATAAATGTGATAAGTCCCGAAGTCGATGTTAGGCAACAGTAGATCGTGATCAAAGTCCTCGCCAGCTGTATGAGTGAGTAGTGAGACATTGTCTGCAAAAAGATAACATACCTTGGCCGTTGTAATTGTAATCGCTGACCAGGGTATGGTCCGACCAGCTTAGAGACAAGTCAGCGGGCATTTGAAACAACATTTGGCTTCAGCGCGTACTATGTCTCCGGATCCTTCCAGAAGAAGTGCCCTTCACCTCCCGTCGTGATCAGATGATTCGCATCCCTGAAACCATCATGAGATGCAGCTCCAGACACAACACAAACGGGGCTCACAAGCTGCGGATGAAGTTGGACTGCTGCTCATACCAAGTCCGGAGAGTATTGGAGCCTGGGACGCAAGATGGTCCAGCCCGGAGAGTGTCGCTCAAGCACCTGGCCTCGTTCATCAGCTCCCATGCAAAAATCGCCGGCGAGTTCTTGTAACGCTCCACGATGGTCTTAACGTAGGATTCTATAGCAGACGGATGAGACTTTTCCTGAGGAAGTGAGTCCTGACTTACGGTACGACGCGATGATTTGCTCGTTTGTGAAGAATACGTCGTGCGTCTGGCCAGCGCCGAGCATCCATTGAATGTAAAGATCCGAACCCTACGACGACAATAGTGTTAGTCTCGCAGAAGCTTACACAACACTCATACCTACGCCGTAACCAACCCTGAAATAAGAGCTTCGGTAATGCATGAATGAAGATACGAAACACAGCACGAACCAGTTGTTGGCGAAAGTCAAGATCACTTTGATGCCATGTTTCTCCGCCGTGGAAATGACTTTATCAAGACGCTCGAGCCCTTGAGAGTTTGCATTCAGGCTCCATTCTGAGTTGTTCCACGTCTAAGGTGGACCGTCAATAGAAGATACGGAAGGAGATTGAGGATTCGCACTTGATAGTAGGTGAGATTGGACTGCAGAGCACCTGGCAGTTCCGTTCCGTTTATGGCATTGAAGCCCTGTACGGGGGTGAATGCCAGAGTCCTGTCACTTCGTCATACACGTACCCACGTCCGAAGAACTTTGATGCCGGCATTTTGCATCGACTTCAAAGTGCTCTCAACATCATCCGGGGACGTGAGGAGAGGCAGCCACTAAATATCTATCAGCAAATGCACCATGATATAGGTGCTTCCAGTGACATACATATGAGTTGGCTCCCACAAATGCCTATCATGCGCAAGAGTCAGCGTCGAGTGCGGCAATGAGCTCCAGACTTACGAAAGGTTTTCCGTCGAGCTCGAAATGCGTTCCGCGGGTAGTGACAAACCCGCGCGGTACATGGCTGTTCCTTTGTGGAACTGCCGCCGCAGCGTCCGCGCCAGATGACAGCACGGCGAAGCCGCAGAGGAGCAGGGCGTTTTGGACGAGGGATAGCAGACGCATCCTGTATGACCGGCCAGGTGAGTCGAAGAAGAGGGGTCTTCGGAGAGTCGGTGTCTTATATGTCGCATGGCTTCCGGCAACGTTTCCGTACTACGGCCCGCCTTCTGCTCGTTCTAGTACCCGGAGGAATATCGGCCACCGGTCAGGTGCGCGGCGCATTACGACGAGCCTTGCGCGCGTGACACAACGAGGTCCGGTGTCGCATCAATTTTGCTGTTTTTTCAGGATTGCGCATCACCTCCATTGATCGTTTTATGAGGGCAGCATGAAACACACCTAGTACGACCAGCCACAGGAACCCGAAAAGATCTCCAGAGTGAACTGACTCGCAGGGCTGAGGCTTGAGGCCACCCTATTCCTGCTTATGTCGCGGAAATATTCTTGAAGCAGGATAGGAAACCTCCCAGATTGCATGGGGGGTGGAAGAGATTGCCTTGCAGTGCACGTCGACAATGAGATGACGGTTCGGAAACAAGAGCGCTTGCGAAATGCCTAATCCGGATGACTCCATTTTCACACATCTGGATATAGGCGCCTTGCCCTTGCCCCGCCCGCCGCCACGACTCGTCGAAGAAAGGCGTCGAGATGCCGAAGAGCTCGAAGAAAAGAAAGGAAAAGGCCGCAGACTTTGCCGTATATACATTCACATCCAGCGACAGTGCCCCCGAGCTGACAGATTATCACAGAAAGCGAAGCTCAAACTAGGCAAGGGCAAACAAACTCCCAACAATGCGTTGGATACCTCTTTCAAAGCGAGATGTGCGCACATTCACGGCTCCGGTGGCTGGAAAAGGCTAACCATAAGCCATAGCCATTGCGCTTCCTACGCAGAGCATTGCTCTAGACAAGGATGGAGACGTTCCTATGACCAAAAGGAAACTCACATTCGACACGCTAGCCATGCAGCTGAAGCACTACAACGCTACCACTCGAAAAGGCTCGTACGTGTAGCCTCTCAGCCCTCAGAAGCGCCTGAATTTCTCTTAGATGCTGTTCTTGGGCTACGCGAACTGCTAGAGGGCCATCCTGAGCTGATAGCGACCCACTTGACCATACTCATCAACAGCTGCGTCAAACTCGTCGGTGATGAGGTAAATATTCGTGCATCTGGCTTGAAACTCCGTCTGAATCTTTGCTAGGACTCTAGTGTCAGGAAAACGCTTTTGTCGTTCTTCTCTTGGCTTTTCAGTCAATTACCTCAGGTATGGCACTTCTTCATCCCCTTGATAACAAGCCTCACCTCAATGGGTGCAGGACGATTTGATTCCGCACTCCGCAGTTCTCCTTCTTTTCACTACTTCCGCGCAAACACACATTTTCCCGGAGATACGCATCGACGCCATCCGTTTCCTTGACGTCTGCCTCGAGCATATACCAGAAGTTGTCACCGAGGGCTGGATGCGAATGGGCAGCTCAAGTCATGGTCGACGAGTGTTAGAAGGATATCTAGGTATCCTCAACGCTGGTACGATTTTTGGGGAGGGCGGAGGTGAGTCCGATCAATATCACTGATTCACCTACCTCTCAAAGACAGCAGACACAGGCCCCATCCAAGCGACTTCCACCGCGAGTGTGGTTCTCTCATCAGCCGTGAGTACCTTACGATTTATGTCAGACCTTTCGCTCACTTCGTACTCGTTTTCAGTCAAAATTGGTTGTTTTGAGATCGCTTGCATCCTTCTTGTCACACGCACTCCGTTCATTCTGGATCTCAAGGGATTTCGCAGAGTCCTCGTCGGCCACCGTCACTCCGACTTGGTATCTTGCTTCAGCGTTCTCGTCAAGACGAGCCTTCGAGGCTTTTGATGCGCTTCTGCGTCCACACGAAACTACAACCTCGTCTAGACAATGGACTGAAGAAGCCCAGGAAGAGAGCGCAGACGACTTCGTTGGTAACTTCAACGACGCACTTGCTACAGGTCCGCTGGCCTGGTCACTGAATGATTTGGAGGATGTCGACGTCACCATGTCTACGCTCGCTGGAGATGACTCGGCGCAGGTCACAGATGAAGACGCCGAGGTTGTATGCGTCGCGGTACGTCATCTTCCTGTGCTTGTCTGCGCCTTCATCTCACAATGTGTCGCAGAGACTCGCACGCACGCTGCAATCGACGTTGGTCTCCACCTTCTTGGATTGCGCTCCCGCGGTGTTCTCTCCGAGCTCGAGCCCTTCAGAAGTAGAAGTGCAGATGGTGTTGGTCATTTGTCGAATATTGCGAAGCCTGTATGGCAGGATATTGGAGGACTCTGCACAAGTGAGCGGTTCTCCTGCGGAAGTGCACGTATTATTCTCACAATGTCCTATCAGTCCGGAACCCGCCACGAAAGAGCCGAGAACGACCTCCAAACATTACTGTACCACTTCGGCCCCTACTTTCCATTCACCGTCACCAACCACCCGAGTATCCGGAGAGACGTCAAAATCGAGCAAGCCTTCCAGGACCTCAATCTCATCTACTGCGAGCTCTCTTCCTTCCTCGTCTTGGCGTCTCAACGCGAAACCACCGCCACAACTTTCCCAAGCCACCGTGGAAAACGCGTGGCTGGCGCCCCCGCCGCTGCGGCCCAGGGACGGCAGATAGAAAGAGTCAGCGCTCACGTCATGCAGCTGCTCCGAGGACAAGCTGTCGACGGAAACGGCAGCACGAATGGTGCCCTGCCGCGTCCGATCTCTGCACAGGCATACGTCGCCCTGTTGCCCACTGTGTGGTCTCTCGTCAACTCGCGGATCGCAGAGGGCACAGCGTCCTCGTCCGTGTTCTCGGCGATCGTCGATCACGCTATCAGAACGTCTTCCACCTCCGCCGTCAAGAGGCATACAATCGACTTTGTGGGACGACTTGTTTTGGTACGTCATTATGGCTTGAATACACCGTTGAGTGAGATGTTCAGGCATGCTCGCTTATAGCTTGATGGCGAGCCCGAGTATGTGGGATCTCTCAGATTAGGCCGGAATTTAGTGCAGGACGCCAAGCTAGAGGAGTGGATCACGCAGCTTCCGAGAACGCTGTGGGAGCTCGGCGGCAACAACCCCACGACTACCGAGGTGATTGCTCGGTTCCTCTTGCGTCTCTCTCAGCGGGGTTCACCGCTCCTCCGACCAACCGTGAGTCATGCGAGCTTCTACCCAAGCGATTGTCTTGATTCAGCTTCCCACAGGTGAGCACCGCGATGCGGTCGCGCCTGACGCCGTACTTCTCTGTCATGCATCCGACAAAGGGGAAAATGTCCGGCCCGTTCGCCAAGCTACCTGCGACTTCTGCTGCACGACGTCTTATTCTCGACCTCGTAACTACTATCGTTGGCCCACCAAGTCCCGCAGATACCGATGACCTCCGGTCCACCGCGGCTGACGCGGTGCAAGGCACAGCGGACTGGGACTACTGGACAGGTATATCTCGGCGGATGGGCCGAGCTCATTAGCCAATGGCCATCTTTGCTCTCAATCTACATGTATCAGATGGGTTATTGAGATATTGTACATACATTTTCGACGTGGATCCACCGCACCAAAAAGCAATCACAGATCATGGCCAGCACTGCGCCGCAGAGTCGGCAAAACGCCCGCGAACGGACTCACAAACCGCGGTCTGGCTGGGATAATAGGCGAAGCCTGAACGGGCGGACAATGAGCTGGATCTGCGATGGTAGGAGGGGGGAGATCTGGCAATGGAATCTTGTGCGGCTTACCGTCGTTCGGGGACGCCTGTGTCGGGACCATAAACAAGATTAGGCTTCGTGAGACCTCAGACGGGTTCAAAAAGGGAAGAGGACGCACACCGTCAGATGCGATTGCCGCCGTTTTCAGTGAGGCCCAGCTGGCCAAACTGCCATGCCAGTATAATCATGCATCGACTCCAGCGGTGGACCAAACTGCGCTCATCCACTACAAGCTCCTACCACGAGTGACGGCGTTTCAGTGCTTTGGCCTCGTGTGGCTGTAGCAGCGGACCGCTGGCAACATCGTTCCTGTGGTGGTGGTTGTCTTGTCTGGAACAGGAGAGGGTAGACATATACCGAGGGGGCGGGTTTCTCGTGATCCATCTTTTGTAGATCATGAACGCCGCCTCCATGTTATGGACCACTGTGGAATCGATACCGGAGAACATGGTTTTGTCGAACCGTCCGTCGGGGAAGAGTCTGAGCAGCTCCTCGCCAGCACAGACAATGCCACAGTGGTAAAGGGGGTGGAAAGGGATGGGGGCACAGAGCAGCCGGATGTCTTTGCTCGAACGGAGATCTTCGGGCTGGGACAACCGGGGGAGTATGACGAGATTGTAGTCGAAATTCATGTCGTCGTCGTAGAACTGCAACGGGATGAGCACGTGAAAGGGGTTGACCAGATGGAAACCCACCGCATTGATGTCGTTGCCCTCGCGGATTTGTCTGTGCATATCAAAATGCAGAGCAGCAAGGACGCTGATATTCATCGGGACAGGAATCCAGATCTCCTTCACGGAATCGACTGAAGCGCAAGCCCCATGAGGACTTAGGATTGTGCCGCCGCCGCTAGACTACTCACTGGATTTACTGTTCTTGTAATCGGTGTTCAAGGTGCAGCAAGGAAGCAGCTTGTTGAGCTACGCCTGATATGAGCCGAAACTTCAGAAAGATTTATTCATTGTACACACCTCCACTACAGAGTCGTCTTGCACGTTCTCAGGGTCGAACTTTATCATAGGTGGGGGAGGCGGGGTCTCGTTGGAGGTGGGCCACCATAGCATATCAACTATGATGCGGAGGGGTATCCAAAGCATTGAAGTATTGAGAAAACCCATCGTTGGTGAGCTGCAGAGAACGCGGGCGGCACGACGAAGGCAAGCGAGTATAGCAAGAGCAGCCTAGACTCAGGGGAAGTCGGAGGACGAGAGTGGAGGCAGCCATTCCGTACGCAAGTGCAAATACGTGGGAGACGCGCAGGCTCCCGGGCCCGCTTGGCCTCCAGTCCTCAAGGCCTCAACTTGGCCTCACTGCTCAGGACATCCCCGTTATAGCTTGATGGCGAGCCAGAATACGCGGGATCGCCCAGATTGAGCCTGAATTTGGAACAGGACGCCAAGTTGGAGGAGTGGATCACGCGGCTGCTTCCGAAAACGCTGTGGGAAACAAGTTGAAAACAACCCCGCGACTGCCGAGGTGATCGCTCGGTTCCTCTTCTCCATGAGCGATTGTCTTGATTGAAGATTCGGCTTTCTACAGGTGAGCACCGCGGTGCGGTCGCGCCTGACGCCATACTTCTCCATCGTGCATCCGACAAAGGGGAAAATGTCTGACCTCGCATCCACGGTAGCTGACGCGATGCAGGGCACGGCGGAATGGGACTACTCGACCGGTATAAGTATCCCGGCGGATGGGCCGAACCCATTGGCTAATGAGCACCTTGGCTCTCAGTCTACATGCATCAGATGGGTTGTTGAGATATTGTACATACATTGCCAGAAACCTGTGTGGATGCTATGTCCGTGGGGTTTCAATTCTTCCTGTGTCGTCCAGATCCGAGTCCTCTAGATCCGAGTCGTCCACGAGCCGGTCCTCGAACATCGCCAGGACCATGTCGCGGTTCAACTGCTCCCCAAGATTCTCTTCCCTCATCGCGTTCACATCCCGCTCCCAGTCTTCGATGATACCCTCGGGATCCTCATCTGATACGCCGTAGTCCGTCTCCGGTTCCGACTCTGGCTCGAACTCTTGCGGCTCGTAGTTCTCGAACTCGGACTCGTCCTCCTCTTCTTCGTCCTCTCCCCCGTCCTCCTCCCCCTCCCCCTCTTCCTTATCCTTATCCTCGTCTTCCTCCGGCTCGGCCTTGAACCCTTCGGACTCCTCGTCGCTCCCAGTCTCCCGCTCCCCTCTCACGAACCACGGCATATCCCCCCTCTCCCGCCCGCTATCCGGCACGACCAGCCTCTCCGTCTGCACGAACACCGCGTCCGCAAACCTGACCAGCCTCGCCTCCGCCCCGAGCTCCTCCAGCACCTCCGGCGCGCACACCCGCGGCACGTCCGCCCGGAGCACCCTCCGCAGGTGCCGCACGCGCGCCCCCGCCGGCGCGTCGCAGGACACGCGCGCGAGGCGCTCCTGCGCGCGCACGTCCTCCTCCGTGCACGCGCACCCGTGGCACCACACGTCGAGCGTGCGCAGCGTCGCGGGGCACTTGAGCGCCTCCGTCGGCACGCCCGCGCCGTCGGTCAGCAGCGGCACCGGCGAGCGCGCGGGCGCGAGGACGAGGTGCGCGAGCCGCGGGGCGTGCGCGGCGAGCGTCTCGAGCCCCGCCGCGGCCGTCGGCGTCCAGGAGTGGTCGAACTGCCCCACGCGCTTGGCGGGGACGAGGTGGAGGTAGCGGAGGCGCGCGCCGTGCGCGGCGAGGAGCGCGCCCGGCACCGTCGCGGTGTGCAGCGTCGTGAGGTGCGTCAGGCGGGGGAGGGCCCAGCGCGCGGCGACGTAGGCGACGAAGCCGGGTGAGTCGACGGGGAGCGTGAGGTCCTCGAGGTGCGCGAGCGTCAGCGGGGGCAGCGCGAGGAGGTCGTCTGGGTCCTTGGCGGGCTGGACTTGGTCGAGCTTGAGGACGCGGAGGGCGTAGGCGGCGGTGAGGAGCGCGTGGAGCTCGAGCGTCTGGTCGGGCTCAGGGTGAAGGCGAAGTCGAGCTCTCGCAGGGTCGCCGCGGCGCGTTCGTGGAGCGCGTCGTGCACGTCGGCCGCGGCAGGGTTGAGGAACCAGTCGGGTTGAAGCCCTCCCAGCTGAGGTTGCCGGTGCTGGCGTCGACCGCGATAGGGAAGTTGGGGTGCGGGCGGAATGTGAGCGATCGCAAGGCAAAGCACCGGCGTAGAATGGCCACGAGGTCCGTACGGACGACGGTAGCGCACCGCGGCCAGACGACGCAGTAATCGAGGGTAAGGCGTTGCACTAGCCGTGCGATGTTTTCGCTCGCGAGCGTGCGAGCGAGAGCAGCTATTTGGCCCATGCGCACGAGCGCGATGTCCTCGTATAGAGCGGCCGTCGCGGGTCCAGACCAGAGTGTGCAGACGAGTACGAGTGCTTCCGAAAGCGCATTTCGGTGCTCCAAGGACTGAATGGGCGAAGCTGAGAGGAAGGATCGAGTTGGTAGGGTGGAGCGTGGGCCCAGCGGAAGATACGGAGAAGGATCTCAGGCGGGAAGGCTTCGATATGCGGACGAGAAACCAAGCCAGTATGGAGAAGCTACAGGTCGAAAGCCGGTGGTAAGTGGGTGAGCCAAGTGAAAGCAGGGTTAGAGGCGCACACCACCGTCCCGCATGAGTGCCTTGACAGCTCCTCGTAGAGTGACTAGCTCGACCTGTGCTCGTTTATGGATCTGTAGCGCATGCACACGATAAGCCATCATTGCATTCGAACGCGCACTTGGAGGTATTCGTACAGGTAGGAGATTGCTGACTTGGTCCTCCAGATCCTGCACTGATCGCCGCAGGTGCGCGTTCTCTTCGCGGAGAGTGCCCAGTTCTCGGGCGATGTCCGACAGAGGGCGTTCGACGAGCTGGGTGAGCAAGGCGGAAGCAGATTCCGCGACCTCGCTAGCCATAGCCTGGTGGTATAGTAGTGGCGAGACAACGGCACACGATGGTGGCCGAGCAGTGCAAAAAGCACTCGATACGCGTTGCAGGCACGTGCCCGCAGCCGTCTTGTCGGCCAGTTTTGAAGGCGCCTACGACTCGCCTTATTTAAGCCGCGGCCCACACCGACCGTCAAAATACGTCGCGGTATCGCCACCATATCCGCACACTGAACGCACACAGTCGCCCTCAGGGAGCGGTAGCGGTCCCCGAAAATATTCTAGCACGGGCGTTTTCCGTACCACCGCGAAACAGGAAAGGGTGCGGGAGTGCACTTGTCCGCACTGGTCAGACACGGCGCTCACAAGCCGCCGAGGCCCCGAGTGCCCGCCCCACGGAGACTTTGTCGTGCACGGCGAACGCCGCTGGAGCACGCTTTCCAGGCGTTTGGGTGCCTGTCAGAAGCTGTCAGAGCGCGGTCAGTTTCGCGTCGTCCGTGCCAAGGCCGCACCCAGAGCACTTGTGCGGCCTGGGCGGATGTGCGGAGGCGTCAAGGAAGACAGACTGCGAGCGCCGAGAAAGCACGTCCACCGGGTGCAGGCGCATTTTCGCAGCGTGGCAGAGCGGAGATGGCCCGAATACATGCGTTTGACGACGAGCAGATCCCGGTCGGTCGTGCCCGTTCCGCACCGAATACCACTTATTTCGGGCTGCGCGGGATACCCAGACCGCGCGGCGGGGGTTTGATGCGACAAGAGATGGCATCACACTAGACCGGTGCAAAGTCGCGGACAGCGCCTTCAACGCATTTCATTCCACATCAAACTACGTGCGTCCAGTTATTGCATGCAATACAACACGTTATGTACGAGACAGCGAGCGCCCCTACCGTCGTTCCGCCCTCCGCACGCAGGGGCGATCGAGCGACGGGAACGCCCCAGGCGTAAGAGGGTGGCGGGAAACAAGACAATAACAAGCGTAATAAAGAGAGGTTAAAGGATCGGCACCCAGGAAGGGAACACTGGAGAGCGAGGTGCGTCTGGTATCGTGCACCACGGCACGGGGGCCCATGTGCGTTTACGCCCAGACCAGGTCATGCCAGACAGGCGGCCGAGGCTCTGGGAGGCGAGCTGGCTGAACGCGTCGGGCGAGAAGTCGAGGTCGAACATGGCGCAGCCCGCGCAGCGGTCCGTCGCCTTGACGGTGATCTGGTGTCCGTTGTCTGAAATGCCGGGCATCAGCCGTGTTGTGATCCCTGCGGCGATTCCGACTTACAGTTCACGTTGATCGATTTGCCGCACATGGGGTTGTTGTTCGGGTTGCCGCCGGCGTAGCCGCTGGAACGACTGTCAGACAAAAGCTTGGGCTAAATGAAAACTTCAACTTACGGGTAGTTGTCAAAGAGCTCGTGCGAGACCGCGACAATGAAGTCGGAATCGGTGTTGGTGATACCGCACGCACCGAGACCGGTCGCGTAGTACGTGGCTGCGGTCGCGATGAGCTGCGGAATTCACTATAGCAGGTACTTATGAAAACGAACCTTGGCCGGTGTGCGTGCCGGTAAGGATGCCGAGGGGGTCGTTGGCAGAGCTCGTGGAGGAGGTAGTCGCGGGGGCCTCCGAAGTCGACGTCTTCGTGGTCGCCTTCTGGGTCGTGGTCGTGGGCTCCGCGACGGGGGTGAGGTGGCGGTGGACTCGACGTTCTGGGGAACGACAAGGGAGCTAGAAGTGTGCGTGGAAGAAGAAGAGGAATCGTGTGTTGAAGACGTGGAGGGAGTGGAAGATGAGGTGGATACGGACGAGGTGGTGGCGGCGGAGCTGCTCGACGAACGGGTCTTGCAGCGGTCGCTGGCGCGCTTGCGGACCTTGGGGGGAGCGACAAGTACGGGCTCCGGGGCAGCCTCAGGCATCGCGGCACGGCGGGCGATGTCGTGGTGCTTCACGCCGCGAGCCATGTGGGGGCTGGCGAGGGCGGAGAGGGCGACGGAGAGAACGACGAGGGTCCTGGTGAACATCATGGCGTCTGTCGAGGTATGGGCTCTGTCGAAGGAGTGTGGAGAGCGACGGTGATGGGCTGCTCAAAGGAGGGAGAGCGGCTTAAGAGTAAAGACGGATGGACGACGGACGGGAAGTGGCCGCGAGGAGGAGACGTCGAGGCGCGGGGGAGGGAGGCGAGGACGGGGACGTAAGGCGAGGCGAGGCAGCAACGCCCGAAATAAAGGATTGCAGACCTGCCCAGCGAGCGCCCGCGCACCGTCGGCGACCATCCCCGTCCGCCGTCCGCCTCCGCAGCCCCGGCTCGATCGGCGCAGCATCCCAAATCCATCCCCGTCCCGCCCTGTCCCGCCCCGCCCCTCGCCCGCCGATCGCCTCTCCCGGCCCCGGACAGGGCGCGACGGCCAGGGCGCGATGTGAAGGGCCCGCGCTGCCAGCGCCCCGCAGCACCGCCCGCCGGTTCGGGCTGCTGTCCGCCATGCACACGCGTCGTTTCACTCGTACACCGCCCTTCATACAACAGCGACCCGCGAGCGTACAATCAATGGACAGATATGCATAACCATCAGTTCCCAGCGCTGCCCTTCGCCGCGTACATCTTCACCACACCCGTGCTCGCCGTCTCCTCCAGACTCCGGCCGTACGCGTCGATCCGCCCGAGCAGCATAAGACTTTCCAGCCGGCTTGGCTCCGGCGGGATCTTGAACAGCCTGCTCACGTCCTCCTCAGGCAGCGGCGCCAGGCCCGCGGCCACCCGCGACGCGTTCTCCTCCTTGCGCTTCGCCACATACGCGTCTGCCTTCGACTTCTCGCGCGCAATTTGCCGCTGCAGGTACGCCAGGTTCCCCTCCTCCGTCTTGTAGTGGTCCAGCGCCTCCACGATCAGCTCCAGGTTCCGCGGCATGTTCGCTGTCCCGAGGTCCAGTCTCGAGTACGACGGCGGGATCGCTGCCGAACTGCGGCCAGCGCCGGGTTCGTCACCGCTTGCGACGGCGTGCTGTCCAACAGTTCGCCCAGGAACGCGCTCACAAGCGCATTCGACCGAATCTTGAGTGGGATCTCCTCGAGGATCTTCGAGAACGTGAGTCGGTGGTCGATGAGGCTGCGTGCGTCCAGGTCAGCCCAACCAGTACGGGCGTGCAAAGCCAGTAGTCAGATCACCTCGTGCTGCTAAAGTTGCTCTTTTTGTAGGCGCTGAGGAAGGCCTTTGTGAGGCGGAACGCCCTGAACGCAGCATTTCCGCGTGCGGTTTGCGAGATGTCTACCCGGACCCGTGTCTCAGCGGGCGCACAACAGCACGTTCCGGGGGCATGATGTACGCACCGTGCACAATTACGACGCCACCATGCCGAAGCTTGTCTTGGTGTATGGCTTGGGTGTCAACCAACGTCTGGTTGAAAAACGATCCGAGGGTCATGCCCTGGTAAAACCCGATCACGCTGTCGTCCGCCTGGACCTCTTTCAGCGAGCGCAGCATCGACGCCTGATACCGTGCTATAAACAATCAAACCCCGGCCCGATCAATTATGAGGCTCCGCAGTCGCTATTATGAGCGGAACGACGCACCAACGCCCTTGGAGGACTTGTCGTCTTCATCGTTGGTGTAGTGAGGGAGCGCAAATGAGTTGGAAATCTCAATGGTGCCGTCGAGGTCCAGACCGAGCACCAGCCCATGCGCTGAAGATCCTGGTGCCTCTCGTGCGTGCTTCACGATCTTCGACACCACCTATGGCAATAGAAACCGGACTCGTTAGCAAACGGCCTAGTCACGCGTGCGGATGGGCAGAAGCGCTGCACAGTCCACGACTCCGATCCGTCTCCGTCTCCGTTTACCACAGGGGCTTCTCGCGTCTATCCGCGAAGGCTCCCCAAAAGTTTTGAGCTGAAACGCGCGGTAAGGCACACGTTTCCCATCGGAGGATGAAGAGAAACGTGCGCCCGGAACCGGAGCGTTACTAACGCGTACAGCGCGCCGAGGCAACGAGGCCAAAGCTCGGGGGTTAGATCGCACATACAAACGCGCGCATAGAGGGACATTGCAACGTGCTGCAGACGGCATGCAGAGGACAGACGGAAAGCTCACCATAGCGTCGAGCTGCACACTCGTGACTGGGATTTCCCCCTCGATGTCGACCACCTTCGCCATCGACGCAGGGATGGCTTCATAAGAGGGTGCACTGGGTGTGGGGGCAGACTGAGGTGCGGGTAGGGAGGCGGCGAGGGCCGCGGCCATGGATGTTGCGGCCATTTTCTTTGTCGATTACACGAGAATGACAGTCTTCCAGGCGCAAGATAAGATCTAAGAGGGAGAAGACAGCGAGAGCAAGCGGCAGCGAGAGTGGTGTACTGAAAGCTGATCGGCAAATTTGGACAAGCATCGCAGCTCTGGCCAAAACCGGAGCGAGTCACGTGTCTTTGCCTGAACTGTAGTAGCCTGACTCCTGGAGGTGATTCCACTGGTGTCGGGGCTCGGCACACGCACAGCCATCTCGTTTTACACTGAAAACTGCCAACTGAGTCATCTGTGCCCCAAAGAGGTACAGAGACGTCCCCACCATGAGGGAGAAAGAGGGAAAGTCGAACGAGGGACTGATGCACGGTGCCGCTGACTGGGCGAAATCATCTTATCAGATAAGCGGGCCATCCACGGATAGACGCCGCCCCAAACCGCAGTCCTCCATAACTTGGCCGCTTGCACTCGCTGACCACCCGCTCCCTCCCCCGAACCTGCATGCATCCATGATGTCTCGCGAGTCGCGCATAATTATCCTCCTCGTAATTGATGTTGTCTTCTTCTTCGTCGAGCTCATTGTTGGTTCGTCCTCGCCTCTTCACGCCCTTTCCCGCGCATTCCCCTCACCCGTATGGTTTCCAGGATATGCGGTCGGCTCACTCGCCCTTGTGGCGGACAGCTTTCACATGCTCAAGTGAGTGATTTATTTACTCCTCAAGGCCTGGAGGTGCTGACATTGGTCACAGCGACGTGCTGAGCTTGATTGTGGCTCTCTATGCAATTAGGGCACGCCCTTTCCTCCCCTTTTCTCGTCCACGAATTTATATCTGCCTCGTGTAGCTCACACAACAAACCCACATCGACTCTCGTTACTCGTACGGATGGCATCGGGCTGAAATTTTGGCGGCGTTGATCAATGGCGTCTTCCTCCTTGCCCTATGCTTCTCTATCTTCTTGGAGGCCATCGAGCGGTTCTTCAGCACTCCAGGTATGTTCGTGATCCTCTTCAGCACGAGAATTTAGAGTAACATGTGTGCAAGAAATCTCGAATCCTCGCTTGGTTGTACTTGTTGGTTCCCTTGGGTTGGCATCGAACATCGTTGGGTTGTTCCTTTTCCATGGTATGTCGCCCCCTTGTCCCAAATACTCCATATGATTCATTGCAGTCCAGAACACGGTCATGACCACGGTCATAGCAAAGAAAGTCCATCCGTGTCCAAGCCATCCAGTATGCATTCTCTCGATGATGGCCAAATCACCCCTCGCGCCCCCGCCACTCCCTCGCCCATTCCTCGTCCCAAATCTCGCGACCGGTCCGCCTCGTACTCATCGCTGTATGGCCATCCCGCTGCGACGCGCGCGTCTTTCGTGCAGGCTGCGAACGACGTTGCCCGCGCACGTTCTCCTTCCCCTTCCCGTGGCGGCCGATCACGATCCCAGGCACGCCGCGCCAGCATGTCTACATCGCGCGACTCGGCCATCTGCATCTCAGGGGAAGAGACACCCGAGGCCCTCCAGGAAACGACGCCCCTGCTGAACGGAAATGGAGAAGCGGCATCAGAGGACTCGGGGTCGCATTCGCAAGGCCACGGACACGGCCACAGTCACGGTGGTCATGGGCATTCACACGGAGGATCCATGAACATGCGCGCGCTGGTTTTGCACGTCTTAGGTGATGCTCTGGGCAACGTCGGTGTCATTGCGACGGGTCTGGTCATTTGGCTCACCGCCGTGAGCTGGAAGTACTACTTCGACCCGATCATCAGTTTGGTGATTACCGTCATCATCTTCTCGTCAGCTTTGCCTCTGGGTATGCTTCCGTTCCTATGTCAGCTTCAGACCAAGACTGATTGGACGTCCGCAGTGCGCAGCACCGCGTTCATTCTTCTTCAAGGCGTACCGTCAACGATCTCTCTAGAGGACGTTCGTGACGCGATTCTGGACGTGGACGGCGTTCTGTCCGTGCACGAGCTTCACATCTGGCAGTTGTCGGAGAGCAAAATTGTTGCGTCGGTGCATGTGATGGCTTCGCGCAAGCACGACTTCATGCCTGTGGCGGCACAGATCCGGAAGGCGCTCCATGACCGTGGCATCCACTCAAGCACCATCCAGCCCGAATACCACCCGCCGCGCAATGCGCCCCCAGACGAGCACCTCCGGGTAAGTGTTTTATCGCTCGCCGCGTTCCGGGAGACCAACCCCACCTCCACTCGCAGACGTCGGCCGAGACATCGTGCCTTATTGTCTGTCCCCCGAACCAAGAATGCAGCCCGTCTGAGAACGCCTGCTGTCGTGAGTCTAGACCCTCCTCAATGCTAGACAGCCCTCTGACGCACCGACAGCCCCTCCGCCGACCGATGTCTGAACGCGCTCCAGATATCCCAGTATACATATATCTATCTGTCTTTATCGTACACTTCAGGGATACCTTATTTCATGCCTGGTTCCTGGTAACTGTGCATTACGGTACATTCGTCCACTCGCTTCCACCGCCCACGCGATGCCTCGCTGCGCCCGGTCGAACTCGCGACATCTCAGATCTCAGGTCTCAGACCTCAGCAGCGAAGGTGGGGAAGTTGGCGACGAAGGGCTGCATCGCCGTCAGCCGCTCGAGCACCGTCCGCGCCGTCGCCGACGCCGCACCCCGCCGACGCAGGTCGCCTGGGAGCCGGCGCGCCATCGACGCGACCGACTGCCCGAGCACGCTCCGCTCCTCCCCGCACGCGGCGCCCATCGCCCACTCGAGGTGCAGCGCGACCGTCAGCGATGTCGAGATCACCCCCACGAGCAGGTCGACCGTCACGCGTGCGTGCCCTGCTGTTCCGGCGGCAGTGCGTCCGCCGCCGCGACGACCGCGGGAAGCACGAGATGCAGGAACAGCGGGAGCAGCGGTGGGGCACGAGGCGGCGCGGTGCGGTGAGCACGAACGTCGCGAGCCGCCGGGGGGCCTCGGTTTCCCCAACGTGCGTCGCGGCGGTGACGAGCTGCTCCCAGAGGTCGGTCAGAAACTTGGTCGGGGGCCGGAGCAGTAGACAGCGGTCGACGTCGAGCGCGGGGGCGCGGCCTGCGCGTTCGGCGGTGAGCGCGCCGGTGATCAGCTGGATCGACTGGCTGCTCCAGGTCATGTTGACGTGCGGCGGGGTAGGCATCCCTGGATCCGGAAGGTGACGGTCGTCAGTGAACGTGCTCAGGAAAGGCGGCAATGACGTCGCAGACCTTCTGCGGGAGCGGGGGCACCGAGGGCTCGGCGCGCCGCTTCTACGATGGGCTTGACGTCGAAGTTGCCCATGAACTTCTGGATGCTCGCAGGAAGAGGGTCGGGGAACATGCGCAGGATGAAGGGTGCTGTGAGCGAGAGTACGGGGGGAGGGCAGGAGGAGGACGTGACGATCGTCTTGAGCACGTCTAGGAACATCGGGGCATTGTAGCTGCGACGAACGGGTCAGACCGCCGCGGGGTTCGGAGGATGTACGCGGCTTACGATCGTCGCTGAATCTCTACAAGCATACATCGAACAACCCCGGCCAACGTCCAGTTGAGGACGGGTCCCAAAAAGTACGAGACGCCGTTGTTCAATGCCTCTTTGTCCATCTTCTTATCTTTGTCCCCAGTGTGATATATTGCTAGAGTGAAAATCATGGGAGATATTTTCAGTATTGTTTTGGCTTCGTCGCTCTGAAATCCTTTAGCAGACCAATTTCCAATAGTCGAGTAATAGTACTGACCTGAGAATAGAATCTTCAATCCCGTCACTGCTGGGGTCGAAGAGAGCTTTTGTCCACGCGGACGCCGCAGCAACGTCCTCTGACTTCATTCCTTCCTGGCGTTGCAGGGTCGTCGCACGCATGAAGTCGACACCTACACGCTTATCGCCCACGCTGAAAGGATGCCACCCAAGCTGGGAACATGATCATCACTGGGGGGTCATCCAATGATGAAGAAACCAACGTCAAAGCGAGATAGGGTGGTTTCGATGAACATCACACATCCCCCACGTAGGTCACCGCAGATTGAGGATCGCCTGTGTTTCTCTCGTCAGCATCTCTACCCGTGAACAAAGGGAAGCCAACATACCGACCGTTTCGCAGTCATAATCGTCGACGAACAATAATGCATGCGCCACCAAGTCTATGATTTTAGCGTGTAGAGACAGCATATCCAGCGCCATGTCGTTTTTGTGTAGCATTCTGCAGACTAGGCCCAATGATTCGGCGTCCATGCTCTTGGTCGATGATGTGAACCGCTAAAGGATGATTTAACCCCCAGACAGTGCCGGCGAGAAATTGAACGCATACCTTCACCACCACTTCGGCGAAGGCAGAATGGCTACATGGATCTTTCCAGGCCCGGTACAACATGACCTCAATGTCCTCCGGGCTTGACTCGCTTGACAGTTTGCCTTCGAAGTATCCCTAAGGGCATGTCACAACCCACTAGCGTGTCGCCAATGGAGCGTAGAACTCACAATCAGGTCCACGCCTGCTTCCTGGGCATCGGTTGCCACCCGAGGATGGAAGTCATTGGTGGAGTTAGGACCGAACGAAGAGAGATTGCCCTGTTCCATTATGCCGACTGAAAGCAACTGGTAGAGGAATTCAGATATGAACGTATGCGACCTAACAGATCGCGCCATTCAGTGTTCCGCTTGAGCCATGCCAGAGGTCACGTACACCATAGAACGGTCGCTCGCGGTGTCGGATCCTCCGGTCTGGCCGTTGTTGTCTAACTTCTCCAGAAGGTCAGTTCGGCTCGTAATGTGAGGTAGAGCGTTTTGCAATGCCAGGTGCTGAAAACATAGATGAGCGAGTGCGCAGGGGATGGCAGACGACACAAGATCTACCCAGTCTGCTTCTGAGATGTTGTCAGGTCGGCCTATCTTGCGAAACAAAACAAGCAGGTGAGGTAAACGGCCAACGATGAACGCTCGCCAGATCGCCGACGCTTTGGAGGGTCCGCTTGGACCATATGACTGGGTGAGACATGTCAAGCATGTTATGATAAGCTGCGCGTAAAAGGCCGCAGGTGTCCAGGACGAGGAGCGCAGCAGTGCCACCAACATGGCTACCGCTCGTGGGGTGTCGCCCGAGCCGTAGTCACTGGCCCTGTTGAATATCTGAGTACAGGGTCAACACGGTATCGAGGCCTGACTTGCGCATTGGATTGCATACCAAGTGGTTCAACAGCAGACCAAACGTCACGATGTCCGTCTCTGACCCAGACGTCAACACAGATTCCGCCCTCCCGAGCCCGAACTGAGGCATTTGATTGGACTGCACGGCTTGCACGTCGTCCCCGAGGAGGTTCGAGAGCCTGTACCGGAACCCATCCAGCGCTTGCCGTAGCTCGAACGGGATGCGCATGTTCGTCAGGAGCCCGGTCATCTCGTTCAAGTACAGAGCCGCTTGTGCTGTCGACACCAGCGCCTCTTCCGTCACACACCCTAACAGCAGCAGCAGGAGCTCCGCTGCAGATGCATGCAGCTGGTGCACTGGCGATACGGGTATGATGTAGGAGGTGCGTAGGAGGGACATCGCATAGTGGATGCTTGTCAGCAGTCGCGCAGGGGTCTCGCCGAAAGGCACGGACGAGCCCCAGGCGGTGGGCGAGCCGGAGGCGTAGTGGTGGTCCAGGACTACGCGACAAAGCATGTCCAGGGTCGCGGCACTGTGAAAATTGGGAGACTGTGCGGCGGGCAGGAACACAGCGAGAAACGTCGGCAAGGAAAGTAGGCCGTCCTCAATGGCATGCTTGAGATATGACTGGAGGGTTGGTTCCCCCGGGTAGTCGAGGAAGAGGGTCAAGACGGAGTCTGTGAAAGGATGAGAGGCGGCAGAGATTGACACATAAAAATTACTCACTCGAAATATCGGTCTCGATGCTATGGGCAGTGTTATGAGGCAAGTTCTTCGAGATGAACAACTTGCTGAGCGAGAGCCACTGTTGTAACCGAGGGCTTCAGCACGACGTTGGAAAGGAGGCCCGTCAAAACACACTTTCTGAGCTGGGAGGCCGCTTTGGAACGCGTTCCTGGTCAATTCGCTCAGCGACATCCACAGCAGAGCGGCGGGCTTGTGGCGGTTCGTGTCAAACACTGAGCACGGGCGTCTCCTTCCCAGCACGGCAAGTACTACACACTCAGGAACCCAACCCTGGGCTGAATCAATGCATTGTGGGCAAATATGTATAAAATGCAGATATATGATATGTAGTATGTATCCGGGTCCGCCGATTATGTCCAATGCTCCCAGAGTGCGAAAGGTATTGGTATTGGTATGAGGCTGATTACACCTTGGATATGAGGCGACGCGTCTCTTGAGGTGTGAAACGTAGAATTGTCGAGAGAATCCGGATGAGGTGCGGCTAAGAGTTTGGTTTATCAGTGATGGTGCAACGAGGAACGAATCCGAACTCACCCGCATCTCCTTGTGCTCTAGGAACTGCATGATGACATTCCTGAGATACTCGAAGTTGACTTCTTCCTCTGATTTGACCATGGACGGTGAGGTTGGTCTAGACGAGGTCTCCCTTTGAGGGAGCTCCGACACAGAGGACGTTGGCGATCGCACGTCGGATGTACTGTCGTTGCGAGAGGCCCAGTACCCAACACCAGGTCCACGTTGTTTCTCAAGTAAAGTCACGGATGACTGCACTTTACGCAATTCCTCGCGGAGGGTCTGTCGAACCAGTAAGATTGGAGAATCGGGGGGGGCACTGTCCGTTTACCTTGTTTTGAGCTTTGAGCTGAGCTTCGCGGCCCTTGCTCTCTTCGACAAGCGTCTGCAGATCCGCGGCCCTCGCACCGAGTACTGCGACTTGCGTCTTCGCCACGCTCTGTCAGACAACCAATTTTAGACTCAACCACACTTTCAAGGTCAAAAGTGGATTGACCTCGACCTCCTCCGCCTTCTCTGACTGCGCGTGCAAGTCGACAATTTGCTTCTGGTGCTCTCTGAGTTCGCTCTGCAGCTGCTCGATCTCCTTCCTCAACGACTGCGCGCTCTCCATTTCCTCCTCTTTGCTCCTCTGCGACGACTGGATGGCGGTCTTGAGGGCTTCTATCTCCCGAGCGTGCTCTGCCAGCTTCTTGCTCCAGTGAGCCTCACCTTCGTCCCGCTCACGTTCAGCCTCGGTGAGCCGGCGACGTAGATCCCCAAGCTTGGCTTCGGCTTTGGACTCGACCGTCATGAGCAGGCGAGTGACCTCCTCCGCTGACGGACCGGACGATTGAAGACTGAGGTCTTGGTTGCGACGCGCGTCCGAGAACTCGTCCTGGAGAAGAGCGATGCGGTCTTGGGCTTCTCGGAGTTGATACTGTAGTTCCGTGTTCTGTCCTTGAAGGGACTCCAGAGATGAACGCAACGACTCCAGCTCAGCCTGGCGGAGTTGCAGCTGGTCGAAGAGCTCGTCCTTCTCCCGTGACATGGTCCGTACGCTGCCTTCGAGGTCGGAAATGCGTGTCTTCTTGTTCTCAATCTCCTTGACATGGGTCGTCTGGGCAAAAGTTAGTGAGAGCATATGAGAAAGGCTATGCTCATCGTACCTTGGAAGTAATGGCTTCAAGTTCGTATTGGCCCTTCATGGCGGTCATTTCCTTCTCGAGCCTCTCCTTCAAGGCGATGACCTCCCTGTCGAACTGAGCTCGAAGACCTTGAACGGCGGACTCCCGCTCCGCATTCACTCTCTCGATCTCTGCCTGGAACTTCGCCCTCTCCGTCTTCTCTTTCTCCCGTTCTCCTTTCTCCGCATCTTTCAACGCGCCAAATTCCTTCATTGCATCGTCCCGCTCCTTCTCAGCCTTCACGAGCTTCTGGCGTACCGTCTTTAAGAGCGCGATGGCTTTTGACCGCTTCTCCTCTTCGTCCTTAGCCGTGGTCATGGCCTTGGTGAGTTCACCCTGAAGGCGGTCGGTGTCAGCCTTAAGCTTCGAGATTTCTTGCTCAGCCTGGCTCGAGGAACCCTCAGACGCCTTCAACAGCTTCTCCGCTTCGTCGAGTTGCACCTTGAGCTTGTCGATCTGGTCTGACTGCGACTTCGACTCAAGACGATGAATGTCTCGTAGCTCTTCTATACGTTCGTCGTTGCCTGCACATAGCGTCAGGGAGTCTGCATGAAGTGCGAATGAATGGCAGTATACGTGTGAGCTTGCCCGTGAGCCGTCGAATCTCGTCCTGCGCCATCTCCGTCTTGAAGTTCAGGTTTTGCAAGAACTCACGCAGAGCCTCAACTTCAGACACACTTTCGACCGAAGTCAGCTCTCGGAGAACGAGATCCGCGGCGCGCTTTTCCGCTTGCAAGCGTTTGAACGATGTCGAGACATCTACCCGATGGTTTAGCCGTAGCAGATATCGGAAGAGTAAGACACACACCTGTGAACCGTTGTTCTACCAGTTTCAAGCGCTTTTGCAGGGCATCCACGTCCACTCCATCCCGTACCTTGCCATTGGGCACTGCGTGTTCTTCCGAAGTGTGCTTACGTTGATCGTCATCGCCCACTATTATGGCTTCGGCAGACGCGTCTCCATCGGGAAGGGTCTCTGGGGAACTGGAGTGGGTGGTGTCCAAAGTGCTATCAGACCGAGGCTCAGTTGGAGGTGCAGTGGGCTCTGAGGGAGCGTGTCGGTGTCCGTAGAAGATGTTTGAGCAGCTGGGGTATCTGTTGCAGAAGATTCCAAACTAGAACTTCTTTCTGACGAGGGTGCAGGAATGGCAGCGGGGTGTTCCACCGCGAGACTGATAGCATCTTGCAGGAGTGGTGCCGTGGAACTTTCGCTGGCTTCGCGCAGCGCATTGGGTTCCGCGGAAGGTGAGGGTTGTGCAGTGGTCTCTGGTTCCTGAACGTCACCTGTAGCGGTATGCTCTGGGGCAGCCTGTTCATTGAGAGAAGAGTCCTTGGTTTCGCGGACTGCCGGATCCAAACCCAGCAGTCCCGCAACAGCATCCAGGGAGAGGGGCTCTTCGGACGTTGGTGATGTCAAGGGAGAGTCGGGCAACGGGGTGGAGGACGGCGAAAGGGGGTTGGGGGACCTTTCACCTCGGGAATGTCGTTCACCGAACTTGTAGGAGAAGGCGTGGCCAATGGATGGTCCGCGGTGAGGACGGGAGAGGGGGTCGCTCTTGCGGAATGTGTGGGGGTGGATGCGCCAGACGTATCACCGATAGCAAACTTGGCACGAAGGCGGTCTTCAAGGGTAGAACGCCCTGAAATGCGAGGCTTTGTGCCGGGGTGGGGACTGAGGTGGGTGTAGCCTCTGCAGGCGGAGAAAAGTCTGTCTTCTGTCCCGAGTTTGCTGGACTGGCAGGGCGCTGTGCTGCGAGAGATTTTCGGAGGGTGCTCAGTGCGGACTCGGCGAGCTGTGACGAAGAGGAGAGGGACGCGTGGACACCATCCGAGGATGAACGAGCGTGTGCTTCATCTGCTGGAGTGTCCTGAGAAGACCTCGGACTTTGAGTCTGAGCGAGATTCTCCACAGTGTGGCGCCATTGACTGAACATGGCGCAGAGTGTTGAGAGGGCGGTGGAGGAGTGTGAAGGGTGTTGAAAGCGTCCTGCACGCGTCTAATAGCGCAGTAGTACAGCACAACCGTGCCAGGAACCTGAGGCCTGAGGCCTGAGCTGTACCACACCGGTCCGGTCGCTCGCCGATGGTGTTGACACACAAAGTACGGGTAACATGCAATCAATCCACGTAGCACGGCAATCCACAGGGAAAACTAGTATATGGGTGTAGCGTAGCTACCATACATGTCAAGGGGAATCGGATGCTGCTACTTCCTTCCCTTTGCCATTCGTGGACGGGTGTGAAGGCGGTATCGTAGGTGGAGGAGAAGGGGTTGACATGCTCGTGAGCTGAGGGCCGCCGCCAGCAAGTTGCCAGGCGGGCAGCGAAGGCTTCCCTGGGAGGATGGGAGTAGACGGTCCAGACATGACAGGTCCTCTGCTGAGAAGCAATGCTTTAAGAGATTTGAGCTCTTGTTGCAGCTCCGCAAGGCCTTGCGCGTGGCTCTCCTTAGTTTTGTCAATCATCTGCGCGAATTTGTCAGATAATTCGAGTGACTCAATCGGAGCACTTACTTTTGGTAACATATCCCTAACGTTGTTCACTTCGTCACGAATCTCCCGCATCTCGTCTCTTGTCCTGGCCTCTCCTTCTCGCATGTGTTTAACAACGGCTTCAACCTCCCCCGTGACTTTGACAACCTTCTCGTTCTGCTGGTCTACGGCTGTCCGCACGGCCGCAGTTTCTGATTGAATCTCCTTCAACAGCGCCTCAGCTGCATCAAACTGAGCGGTCATTGCATCTCGGTCTTGCTCGTATGCGGTCGCTGAAGGTGGGCGAAGATGAGGCATGACATATTTCTGAATCCAGGAGTCAGACAGAGAGTGATCATTAACGGACAGAAGCCGCCCACTCGAAACAACGAAGCCGCCCCATAGGCCACCGTTCCTGATACCACGGCGGTGATCTACGCCTATGGTCAGTCGATAACAATTTATACCAAGAGTTACACGAACAAAGTAGTCTCTCCAGTCCCATTGGGGCGGCGGAGGTTGAACGGGCGTATACGGCATTGGACCGTAGGCTGGACCGTAGGTAGCCTGGTAGCCTTGCATGGACGTACGCGACGCGCTTTGATTCACGGCGGCTTGACGCATTGCTTCCTCAATCTCAGGACCATTGAGACCCTTCGCCTCCAGGAACTGTATACGTTGTGCCAGAGGTGAAGCTTGCATCTGACAAGGAGATGAGTGCGTGAATAGCGCGTATCGACGGTACAGACATTACCTTCGGGTCTGACAGGAACGCGACCGCGTTCCGCACGAGCTCGACCCTGTCCGGAGTTGCCATGGTGGTGGCCAGCAGTAGGAGGCGAAGAGACGGAGTGCAGAGAGGATGGCAGGACCTGATCTCGCGTGCGCCGGCTGAGCGGGGGAGGTCGACGCCGGTGGCACGCGCGCGTCTCGTCTCGAATATGGGGCCGGCCGGGAGGCCGGAGTTGCCGAAGCCAGTAAGTGGCGACCGGAGGAAGCCGTGCCGTGGACCCAAAGCCGAATTCTGGTGGTGACCTTGCACGTCACGTCGCGTGTGTCCTCTTGCCTCTCCCTCCCGCCGCCATGTTCAAGGGTCCCCTTCCCGCTACCCGGCTCATTGCTCGCCGCCTCTATGGTAAGTTGTTTTCTCCATGTTCGTGGAGCATGTTCGACGTGATCTGACGCACCGCCAGCGACGCAATCCTTTTCTACTTGTGCACGGAGTTCGGTCAGGTACCCATCCTCCATCGCCCGCACTCCTCTTTGCAGGTCTGTTGGTCGTAGCCTGAGTACATCCATCCCTCAAGTGAATACTGGCTTTCATCTCACGCCTGCCTAGTTGTCACTCGTGGGTATGCCGAGCCTGCCTCGAACAAGTTCTCGCGTGCGAAGCCTCATATGAACATTGGCACCATTGGTACGTGGCATGTCCTCCATTCATTCTCTTTGTGTCCGGTATCTTTTTCTGACATCATCGTGTTCATATAGGTCATGTTGATCACGGCAAGACGACCCTCACGGCCGCTATCACGAAGGTCCTCGCGGAGACGGGTGCCGCCCAGTTCACCGACTACTCGCAGATTGACAAAGCACCAGAGGAGAAGGCCCGTGGGATCACTATCAACTCTTCGCATGTTGAGTATGAGAGTGCCTCTCGGCACTATGGTCACATCGACTGTCCTGGTCACGCCGATTGTATGTTCCTCGCCCAATTGCCTTATTGCGTTGTTCTTATCAGAGACTTTAGACATCAAGAACATGATCACCGGTGCGGCTCAGATGGACGGTGCCATTATCGTCGTCTCTGCCACAGACGGTCAGATGCCCCAGACCCGAGAGCATCTTCTCCTTGCTCGCCAAGTCGGCATTAAAAAGCTAGTTGTCTTCGTCAACAAGGTCGACATGATTGCGGACACAGAAATGCTTGAGCTCGTCGATATGGAGATGCGTGACCTTCTTGCGACGTACAACTTCGACGGTGAGAACACCCCTATTATCATGGGCTCCGCTCTTGCTGCTCTTGAGGGCCGGGACGACGCAATCGGTGCGGAGAAGATCCGTGAGCTCATCCAGGCGTGCGACGAATGGCTCGAAATCCCTGCCCGTAAGTTCCAAATCGTTGCTTGTACACGCCTCGATGCTCATCTTAGAACAGGTGACCTCGACAAGCCGTTCCTCCTGCCCATCGAGGATGTTTTCTCCATCTCCGGTCGTGGAACTGTTGCAACGGGTCGTGTGAGTGCTTTTCCCGTTGGCCTTCTGCGAGACGCTCATCCGTTTCTCAGGTGGAGCGCGGCATCTGCAACAAGGGTGAAGAAGTTGAGATTCTCGGTTTGGGGTCAAAATTCAAGTCCGTTCTCACCGGCATCGGTAAGCTCGCGCTTGCATCGGCCAAAGCTGTCTTCTCAGACGATAATACTTGGCAGAGGCGTTCCACCGAGAGCTCGACCGTGGAGAGGCTGGTGACAACATGGGCGTGCTCCTCCGAGGCATCAAGCGTGAGCAGCTCACACGTGGCCAGGTCGTCATCCAGCCCGGTTCCATGAAGTCTGTAAAGAAGTTCCAGGCTCAGATCTACGTGCGTATATTGCATGCAACTTAATGTGCGTTTCCTAATCGCTGTTACAGATCCTTACCAAGGACGAGGGTGGCCGTTATACGCCTTTCATGGCCAACTACGCCCCTGTTATGTATTGCGCACGGCGAACATCACTTCGTCACTCACGTGGCCAGAAGGTGTCGAAAATGCGGACGAGAAGATGGTTATGCCGGGCGACAACGTCGAGATGATCAACACTCTGCAGACCGATGTTGCTGCTGAGGTTGGGACTCGGTAAGTGTAATGCGTCGCAATTCCTCGAATATACCTGACTTCGCGCTCAGTTTCACGCTCCGTGAGGGTGGCAAGACTATTGGTACGGGTATCATCACCAAAATTCTTGAGCACGCATAAGACGGTGGCTAGTTTGCGATCTCTCGACAACTTCATATATAGATGCTTTTAATGTCTGTGCTTGTAATTCTCTCCCTCCACTCACTGCAAAAGGAGATCTCGAGCTTCGCACACTCGACACTCACTGCACACCTGTATCTTACCCGCATGTTACCTGCATGATTAGTCTAGAATTGCATATGCCTCTACCCTCTGTCTACAGGCGGGAGGAATGATGGGAATGTTCAAGCTACACGTTGCAACCTATTTGGTACGTAAGAGGTGAGGCCGGAAAGCGGCGGCGTGGCGGAGACCTGCAGCCAGTGGTCCGAGTCCGAGCCTGGCCTCAGCGCGGAGCTCCGTCTCCTTTCCATCTTGTTCTCCTCCCGCCCTATCCCTCCCGCCCTCTCCCCCCCACAAAAATACGACAAGGCCTCGTACGCACGCCATGTTCTCTGCGATCCGTCAAGCTTCTCGTTCCGGTTCCGTCGCCCTTCGCGCGGCGCGCATGCCCGCTACCGCCGCACGCGTTGTGCGCCCCGCGCCGACGCTCGTGCGCACGCTGATCAGTGAGTCGCCCTCGCCGCGTTTCCTACCCCACGCCAGCGATGCGTGCTCAAGTCTACGCCCGCAGCGAAGCGGTACACGAAGGACCACGAGATGGTCGCGTTCGATGACGCGACGAGCATCGGCACGGTGTCTATCACCGATTACGCTCAGTCCAGCCTCGGCGACGTCGTGTACGTCGAGCTCCCCGAGGCGGAGGGTGAGATCACTATGGGCGGTGCGTCACCCCCTACGGGCTTCTCGTTGCGGGGGACGTGTATCTGAATGGGTTCGTGCAGACCAAATCGGCGCGGTGGAGAGCGTGAAGGCGGCGTCAGACATCGTGAGTTGTTTATCGTACCATGCGGGCGAGTTTGTCCTCTGACGAAAACGGTTGTCGCAGTACGCTCCGGTGTCTGGTACTGTCACCGAGGTGAATAAGCTGCTGGATGACGAACCGTCGCTGCTCAACAAGTCCCCCGAGGAGAAGGGTATGTATGTATCTCTGTCCGTAATGACAGCATGTTCACCCGGCGCCATAGGCTGGTTGTGCAAGGTTAAACTCAGCGAACCTTCCCAGGTATGTCAGGAACGACGCGTCTCGTGCCACCCATCCTAATATGTTTTCTGTAGCTCGACGAGCTCCTGACCGAGGAGCAGTACAAGGCGCACTGTGACTCAGAGGCGCATTAGTCGACCAGGGAAGGGGAATGGGCAGCTTCAACTGCTGCATGATGGCGTTCGGTCGGGGACATGGCATCTATAGACCATCTTAGCACGCGTGCTTCAACGCCCATAATGACGAATAATAGACGATCGTTGGGTTTTCTCGGAAGGCAGTGGGAGGAAGGATGCATTGAATGGGGTAGGAACATGAACATCTAGTCGGTCTTCTCGCCCCGCGCCTCCATGCGGGCCTTGGCCTCCTTCAACGCCCAGGTGTTGATGCTACGTGTTCCCGTGAACTCAGGGCCGCAAAGACGCGAAGGACGGTGCTCACCTGGTGTCCGGCTTGTAATACAAGAGCACGCAAGCCAGCCCCATGCTGCCGTACATCCCAATGTACCAGGCGGCTTCCCAAGACTCCCATTTGCGCTTCTCTCCCGGCGCAAGAGGCTGTTTGATGATGAAGAAGAATAGACGTGCGATCAGAAACGAGGGGAGGGCGTAGGTGAGGCGGCCGCACCTTCTCGCCGAAGAGGTAGCCAGTGGGCTCGTTGAATTTGGGGCCGTGCCCGTGAGATGCCCACCTCCTGGAGACGGTGGTGGTGCGCGTGGCACACACCTGCCGCTGGAGCGGCCGTAGTGATGATAGCGAGGGCATTGGGGTGGAAGGTAAAGGTAAGGTACGAGCGTTGACGTCGACTTGCGGAGGAGTCGGAACTCTACGAGCCTCAGGGTTAGGGCTTATTGCTTTAGTGACTTGCTTATCCAAACTCATAGCCGCGATTAAAATCAAGTGATGAACGTTCTAAGCTTGCACTATAGTCTATCGCAACACAAGATATAATAGTCGCAGACGTCTTTCGTCTTGCCAGCCCTCTTTGGCCCCGTGAACGCCTGAACCTCCTCCCCATCCGTCTCGTAATCAGGAGATGTAGGGTCCAGTTGGAAGCTGTAACGAGTTGATAGTCAGTTTGGAGACGAGTACTTGTGAAGGTGCTGAACACCTACTTGACAGCCTCGTAGAAGTCTATGGCGGGTGTGTTGTCTACACTCAAACCTCCATGAGTCCAGTATTACTGCAAGTATGCGCGGGTGTTACCTTTCAATACCGTCAGCAGGATTTGCTGCATGCGATAATGTTTCGTGATGACCTTCACCTTTTCCACGAGCCACTGTCCCAACCCGCACCGCCGGTAGTTCGGAGATACCTGAAGCTCATAACTGTTCAGATTTGCGTCAATTTAAGGCGCCGCTGTCCCGAAGATAACATCCACACCAGTATAACTGAGGCACGTCCTCGTCGAAGTCGAACCGGAACGTGGTGAACGCAACCAACGTTCCCTGCTCTCCACTGCACAACAAGATGTATCTGGCATCAGCATGGAAAAGCTCCTCCTTCTTCTCGTCCGGATCCCATCCGAATGACGACGGCTCTGTCCTGGTAGCGATTCATGGTCCGTCGCGTCGAACCGCTGGTGAGATGCTCACAGCGTGCGCATGTTGGTTTCCCACAAGTTCCAGATTTCTTCACGACGCTCCGTGGGGATATCGGACGCGTGAAAAACGGCAGCAGCGTAGCTGAACCCGGTGTTAAGAAGCTCGTCAGGGACGGTAGCATCGAGATGACGAACTTGGAGCCTTTGACAGACACGCTACCGTCGATGCTCGCGGCAGTGGCAATCTCGTTCGCCGATGCCTGGTATTCACAAGTGAGATTATGAGGTAGGACATGGGAGGGCACTACCTTGTTGGCTACCTTGACCCGATGGGATTTTGGCTTTGCTCTGGCCATTATGAGCTTCGAGACACAATGGTCCGTAAAGATGGTCCAGCTGGCCAATAAAAAGGCCTTGGATGGTGGAGAGACGTGATGAATATGTAACCTACTATCGAGACGGCAGCGCAGATCAAGCGAGGTTGTGTCAGGGAGCGTGTTCAACGTCAAGTGCGAAGGAGCGCCGGCATAGCAAATAATAAGGGTCGCGTTTACTCATCAACAAGTCATTCTTATGTGGAGAGCGGAGCGCCCAAAGGAGACCGCTCGGCGGCTAGCAGATCTGCAACTTTTCTTCCGCCTACCACTCCAGATTCTGCATAGATTCTAGGTGTAGGCCGCACAGGCTCAAACGTGCCATACATTCCATCCATCCCAGTAACCCTTGAATAGGCTTCGAGCGGCTTTCGCTGTCCTATCATCGACACAATGAAGCTCGATGCAACCGACCTCCGCTATGTCACATCGGACGAGTTCCGGGTGCTCACTGCGGTCAGTGATCGTTCTTAGAACATGGCACTGGCGGCACTGAGCTGTTACCGAACACTTGCAGGTGGAAATGGGCTCCAAAAACCACGAGATTGTTCCCACAGTCCTCATCGTGAAGATTTCTGGGCTTCGCAACGGGGGCGTCAACAAGCTCCTTGGATCTCTCGCGAAGCGGAATCTGGTCTCCAGAGTGCAGAATGCACGATGTGAGTGAAAAATTCCTTTTGGATGTTCCATGAAACTGACGAGGCTCCCGCGTATCCAGATGACGGGTATCGTTTGACCTACGGAGGGTACGATTACCTCGCCATGCGCGCCATGTCCAAACGAGACTCCGTTTACTCCGTGGGGAACCAGATCGGCGTAGGGAAGGAGTCCGGTCAGTCTCCCCGCCTCCTTCCATGCCGCGCCGAGGACGCTGACGGGCCACCTCGGCAGACATCTACATCGTCGCGGACAAGGACAGCAACGAGCTCGTGCTCAAGCTCCACCGGTAAGCGCACCTCCCAGACGGACGGTCGAAGGGTGGAGCTGACCCGCGAGCGTGCGCGCGCGCGTCCCCTTCCCAGCCTCGGCCGCATCTCGTTCCGCGCCATCAAGGCGAAGCGTGACTACATGGGCAAGCGCAAATCCGCGTCGTGGATGTACATGTCCCGGCTCGCCGCTGAGAAGGAGTACGCGTTCATGAAGGTGCGCGCGCGCGCCCCCCTCCCCCCGCTTCCATTCTGGTAAGATGAGGATTAACCACTGCCGCGCAGGTGCTGCACGAGCACGACTTCCCCGTCCCGCGCCCCGTCGACCACGCGCGGCATTGTATCCTGATGGAGTTCATCGACGCCTACCCGCTGTGAGAAAACTTCCCTGTGACGCACTCGTCCGCGCCCGGGGTGTCTCTAGGAGACTGACCCGGCCTGCAGTCGCCAAGTGGCCGAGCTCCCGTCGCCCGGGGCGCTCTACTCGTCGCTCATGGACCTCATCGTCCGCTTCGCGCGCTCGGGGCTCATCCACGGGGACTTCAACGAGTTCAACATCCTCATCCGGCGCAACACCGGCGAGCCGGTCGTCATCGACTTCCCGCAGATGGTCAGCACCTCGCACCAGAACGCAGAGTGGTACGTCTCCCGCGATCCACCCCATGGCGCCACGCTGACGCCCGGGACACTTCCCTCCCTCCCTCCCGCGCGCGCGCGCGGGGTCCGGATCTGTCTATCTCTCGCTCGCACTCCCTATCGGCGTACTTGGTTCCCTCCACGCGGTCGCCAGGTACTTCAACCGCGACGTGGAATGCATCCGGCGCTTCTTCCGGCGGCGTTTCCGGTACGAAAGCAGCATCTACCCCCGATTCCGCACCATCAAGGCGGAGAAGGAGGGCGGTGCGGGAGGCGAGGGCGGTGCGTGGCACCTCGACCTCGTGGTCAGCGCGAGCGGCTGGAACCAGACCGAGCAGACGGTGCTTGAACAGGTGCTCCCCCTACGTTTCGTGGCGCTGGCGTCGTGGCGCTGACCGCGGGGACAGTACATGGACAACGTCGCGCAGGAACGCGGAGACGCCGGGTCCGACGGCGAAGACGAGGAGGAGGAGGAGGAGGAAGAAGAGGAAGAGGAAGAGGAATCCGAAAAGAGCGGCGAAGAGTCTCAAGCGGTCGAGGATAACGACGGTGACGGGCAGGCAAAGGCGGGGGACACGGACGGGGACGGGGAGGAAGAGGGCGTTCCCGAAACCGAGGATGCGTCCGCAGTCGGAGGGACGGTGAGGAGGGAAGGCGAGAGCGCGACAGACGCCGTTCATGAAACTCGCAAAGGCGAAGGCGGGTCCCACACGGCGCACGACGACATCGACAGCCTTGCGACGGGCGAAGACAGGCCTTCGCGGACGGATCCACGGGGCACGCAAGGTTCGTCAGGGTCAGAAGACGAGCTGGCGGACGATACGGCCGAGCTGTCGCTGCGAGAAGGGGGTTCGCAGAGGCACGGACGGGGGTCGACGGACGTGGGAGAGAAGGTGCAGTCCGAGGTCGCGAAGCAACGCGCGCGGGAGCAGCGCAAGCATCACTCCAAGAAGGGCGCGCGGACTGGGGGCAGGCCGCAGGGGAGCAAGCGCAAGCAGGACACGAGGATCAAGGTCGACGGCGGTGGCTTTTGGGACTAGCGATGATATGTCAAACGCCGTATGTGGTCTCTGGTGGTGGAGATAGCAGTTAGCACGGGTCTCGCGCCGGAAGGCCCCGGGCGGATCGGTGGATGGAAGCGTGCTGGAATGCAGGTCGGGGACGATCGGCAGGTCCCGAGCAAGTCGTTGACGTCTGCGCGTGTGTGCATTCAATCCGCCGCTCCTCCACATGAGCCGGACAAGAAGCCAGGGCCGCCGCCGGTCAATTGCCCCAGTCACAACACAAACCCCTCGACAGAACCCATCGCCTCTGCTCGCTACCTTGCCACATCTCAGATCCACAGCCCAGGCCTCCGTGACGCAACAGTCTGCCCTCATAGTGGCGCACGGCCCCGCGTGTCCACACGGGGCACTGCGGCCACGCAGCGTAGCTATGGGCGCGCGTGCCTTGAAGATGAGTGTGTGCCGGCATGAGCGAACGGTGGAGGCAGGAAGGACGATTCGCTTACCAGCCACCAAAAAGCGCAATTTTACGGCGTCGCACATGGCCAACGCCATTCAAGGGCCGGCTATCCCGGGCACGATCGTGTTCCTCCCCGGACCGGTGCTTCGACTGCCTTTCGCGCCTGGTCGTGTCCGAACAAGGTGACGTTCGCGTCCCCGTTTCAGGTGGTTCGCCGCACCACATCGTCCGGGGCGAGGCCCTTCGGCGCCACACAGACAAGCGTGCCGCTGAAGAATCGGCGCCCGGTATCCAACGAGTCCTGGAAGTGGGCTCGCTGTACACCGACGCTGCTTCCGTGGCTGAGGAGAAGTTGAACGCGGTTGGCCACTCGGGCGGAGTCGGGCGGCGAACGCGGCGGGTTGGACGTACCGGACCACAAATGCCGCGCCTCTTTCACAGATCGTGCGAGATCACACCCCCAAACCCCGCGGCTTCTACAGGCTCGGAAAGGGCAGATGCGCAGACCAAGACCCCCGTGGGCGAGATCAGGCCAATCGCCCAATCGCCTGCAATCGCCCCGCCGCAGACCGCGCACGGGAGCCGACGCCCCGTGCGCGGCGCGAGCAATCTCGCTGGCCGAAACAATCTGCTGGCCGATCGTGCGGTGTCCGTGCGCGCGGACCGAGATCGATGAGGAAGCTGTTGGTCCATGATGGCTCCGGCCCGGCCGAGCCAGCTCCTAACCACACCTGCCCGTGCCCCGCCCGGCACAGAGCCGAACAAGCCGCCTGCCCCGGGCGCGGGCTCTGTCCTGCGCGCCCTGCCGTCTTCCACCGCCCTCCGGCCACAGCCATGGGCGAGCATCGGTCGGCGCAGCGTGCCCTAGGGCTCTCGTGTGGGGAGCCCAATTCAGTCTGGAGCGATGGCGCGAGCCGCGGCCACGTCAGCGGAGACATCCATCGATCCACTCATGCCTGCCCTATGTGTTTAGTACTTACACCCATGCACCCACAATATTGCGCCGACACTGCAACCGAGCCTGTCGCATCCTGTGTTCCACTCCGCGGTCCATCCCAACCGGAGCCCCATCTCGACCCATCTCCGCGCTGCGGCCCCGCCCTGCCACTTACACGACGTGCTGTTTGATGCGAGCCATTTTCGGTTGGTATAACTGTCCTTGGCCACTCCACAGCCGCCTTTGCAACAGACGAGTGTCTGGCTCATGGGGCAGAGTTCGTACACGGCACAGAAACACTGCCAACCTGCCATATTGTCATCTGGGGCAAGAAGCGTGGCTGAAACCATGGGAAAGTGGTCAGCACGAGAATGCGGAAATCACGGTAAGCGCCACCGGAAGACCGCCGCCGACGACACCCTCTCCATCGTATCACACGGCGTTGGCGAACCGTGGAGATAGGTATGGAGACAGGAACCTGTCTTTTACAACCAAACCAAGGGCGGTAAGACTCGCTGCACACCACTGAGATAAGGGACTGGAGCCATAGCTTAGCGGGATATAAGACAGGATCCTCTGCAGCTCTTGGCCCTCTTGAGGAACGAGCGATGGGCCGGGACCTGCCGGGATGAGGTAACAATCGGTCAAAAAGAGTGAACCTAGTGCACAGGACAGAGGGGGAAGGTGAGGGTTATGATACATATGCTGTTCACCAAGTCAGCGACGCAGCAAGTACAAGAAGCACGAACACGACGCACCGACAAACCATTCTAAGCGTTCGGGTCATCCGTAACCTCGAACTTATGCTTCACTCGGGTCGCCGTCTCCGTCATGCCCTTCCCGCTCCCCGTAACGCCCACTGCGTCGCCGTCACTAGGCCATCAGCCACGCCGACGAACCACAAAACAAACGACGTACCCCTCCCCAGCGGGTTTTCGGGTGTTTTGAAGATGCTCGTGCCCGCGACGCCCGCGATGTGGATCCCCTTCTTCTCGCTCTTCTTCGCGAACTTCTGCCAGCTCGCCTGCTTGTTCTGCTGATCCTTCGCCTTCGCCGCGCGCACCTCCACCTTCTTCTCGTTCTTCTTCTTCTTCCGCTCCCGCTCCTCCTCCTCCTCCTTGCTCAGCTTCCGCTTCACCCCCGCACCGCCCGCCCCGGCCCCCGCGCCTCCGCCACCGCCGCCCTGTCCCGCGGGGAGCGGCTTCACCTGCGGCGCGCTGACGAGCTCCGTGTTGTTGTAGCCCTTGAAGACGACCGAGTACGCGCGCCGCTCCGCGGACCCGCCCACGCTCGTGATCCGCGCCGGGTACCACTGCCCGTCCCCGGAGTACTTCGCGAGCACCTCGTCGCCCGCGGCCCAGGCGGGCGCCGGCGCCGACGAGGAGGCGGACGCGGACGACGCCGGGAACGAGGACGACGCGGACGCCCCCGCCGGTGTCGAGGCCGCCTTCTTGGTGGCCGCGTCCGCTTTTGACGCGGACGAGGCGGCGATGGAGGCCTGGGTGAGCTCGATGAGCTCCTTGAGCTGGTCACGGAGAGACTGGAGCTCCGTGTCTTCGGGGTCGGCGCTGAGCGCGAGCTCGACTTGCGAGAGCTGGACTTGGTACGTTTCGAGGTCTTCGACGCCCATGATCAGAGGACGTTGGCAGGAGTAGATGAAGCAAGCGGGGAGCGATAGAGGGAGGGTAGTAGGGTCGAGTGAGCTGTAGTGCAGGCGAAAGGTTCCGAGGCCGGCACGAGCGCCGACCTCCATTATGGACGCGTGGGAACCGCCGCTGTCGCCTCTTCCGCACTTAGCGCCAGCGCTCCTTGCATTGTCCCACAAAGCTTGGTCAACAACATCTCATCCAAACGGGTCTCAAGGGAGGCATCTATGATACTATAGGTATGTTTGAAACCATCTCCCAGTGACGACCTCAGAACCACGACCCAGTCTGCCCAGACGAAAAGGCCAACGGAAGAATGCAGCGATTAAGATACAATGGGGACTAGGCGAACGGGACGCTAGCGCTACAACGCATGAGCTACAAAGATGAACACACCCTGAAGCTACTGCTTGTAGGGTATACCCAATTTGTTGCGCAGTTGATCGTTCTGAAGCTCGTAAGTCAGGCTTCTTTACGGAGGACATGGACACAGAGTTGCTCACCGCTCGGTCTAGTTCGAGGAGCATCATCTTAATATCCTGCCAGTCGTGGTGCAAGCCCGAAACCATACTCTGGTGCCGATGAGCAATGAGCATGCGTTACACAGCAGCCAGTCCGACCGGTGAGCCTTACCTTGGCCGTCTTGGCGTTGAGTCCGTGGTAGGGGCGCAGCTCCGCGCCCGAGGCCGCCTGGAAGCTGTCGCCGCACTGGTTCAGCTGCTCGTGCAGGCGGTCGATGTGCGCCTCCAAGCTGGCAGCGTAGATCGTCCGCCGGTGCGGCGCGCCCATGCTCGATCTGTTCGGGCGAGAGAAAAGAGGGCGTTGGGACCGCCGTCAGCCTGGGCCCTGGGTCGCGCGCGGCCGAGCCCGGCGGAAGACTCACATCTCCTGCGGGGAGAAGAGGGACTTTTCGAGCGCGTGGTTCCACATCTTGCGGCGCTTGCCCGTGCCCTGCTTTTTGAGATGGAGGCGCGCGTACGGCCCGTGGGCGAGGGCGCCCCGCACGACGGCAGTGTCGTCGACCGGGGAAGGCGGGTACGAGGACTGGGCGTACGACGGCCCGCCGGATGACTGGAGGGAAGAGGCAGGGGAGGACGCGGCCGTGGACGTGGACGTCGATGTCGACGTGGGCGTGGTCGGGTACGGCGGGCCTGCGTATCCACCGGTGTAGACCTCGAGACGGGGCCGTGAGGGGGTGGTGGGGAGCACGACGGGTTCGTTGGGTGGAATAGCGCCGTCGAGCGCGGACTGGGTGTGGAGATGGAAGTTGATCACGGGCTGCATGGTGCTGCTGGTGCTGGTGCTGGTGCTGGTGTTGGTGTTGGTGCTGGTGTCGGTGGTGAATCGAGCCGGATGTCGGAGAGGGAGGAGGGTTATGTACGCAGATCGGTGCAGGCCTCGAAAGTCGTTGTTCGGGGACGCAAGCGAGCGGAGACAGGCGCACATGACTTGGCGTCGGTTCTCGTGGGGTGAGATGGCAAGGGTCGGGATCTGGGCGGGCGCGTCATCGAGCTTAGGGAGTCCACCGCGGCCATGCGATTGGGACCCTGAGAACGCGAATGGTCATATCACCAGGGCTGCCGGATGGGGCAGTCCGTTTACCTCGGTGGGCGGGTGATTGGTGTGCCGTACTTGGCCGCTGCCTGTGGACATTTTGACATTTGCCTTTGGCACCGCGCTTACTCGTTCAGGCTGCGGGTGCTCGGCTGCGCCCGTGCTCGCTTTCGAGCGGTCCTTCCGCACGGCCAGCCCGCTCTGGAGGGACGCCCTGCCCAGGTTGGTGCACGGTGTGAGTGCGAGCACGATGCGATCACCTCCCGTGCACCAAGTGAAGAGAGAGCGATAGACCGGCGCTGGGAGCACCGTCCAGATCAGCGCACGACGTCGACCTGGCACAGGAGCCAATGGGGGCTTGTGCGGCGAGGGGGGAAACATGCTTGATGTATGCTTTGATCTCCGCGGCGGCCCATGTGCTGTCTATATTAACGTTCCACGGCCGCAGCTTCCCGGGCTCATGCGATCGTATTTATCCCAGACGACCTCGTGCGGGACGGACGCAGGCGGACTGTGTCGCACGCTCGCTGCCCCAGAAGGTCTAGAACAGAAGGGGCGCCGGGCTACGTTTAGCACAAGGTTTGCTCGTCCCAGTGAGCTTCCTATGCCTGCTCGTCATCTCCCTTGATTAATGCCCGGCTCAATGCAGACTGTGCACTCCCCAGGCCGTCCAGCAGGTGCGAGGTTTCACTCCCCAATGCGCGCGACGGATCCTGTCTGTACGCCTGCGCGCGCCACGACCCCGGCTTTGCAGCACTGCGATTCGCGTCGCCAGCGCGCGGGCGACGGGGCACCGCCGTCACCCGGCGGCAGGGCCCGAACATGACGACAGAGTGGGCGACCTGCCCAGGCTGCGCGATGTCGGTGCCCAGGTTCGCTCAGGAGCCGAGATCGAGCGCAGACGGGGCCGCTGGACGGCGGAGGCCATGGAAGCGATCCGGGCGCCCTCGCCCCGTCCCCGCGCTGCCCATAAAGGCAACATTCGACGACCAAGTGGACACCTTCCCCGAAAAGGGCCCACGACAGAGCGAGGGTACACGCGCAACCTAAACGCCACGCAATCTGTAGATCCGGTGTGCGATCTTGAGGTGCGCCCGCCGCCCGCCGCGCCGTTTGTGGCCTGCCGCCTGCGCCCCGCCTGCGCCCACAAATACGCTCGCCGCGCAAACCCGACCCCTCCCTCTCCCACCCCGCCGCCAGCCATGGATGCCCACCCCGCTGCCGACTGCTACTACTACCTCTACGCCCCTCCGGCAAGTGCGCACCGTCCACAGCATACACCGAGCTTACACATGCATCATTTCTTCCAGACGGACGGCATTGCTCCCGCCGCCGCTACCAACTCCGCTGGCTGCATCCCCGTTCCCGACCTCCAGACGGACGTCCCGGTGTACTGGTCTCCGGCGCAAGAGGTCGTCTATCCTACAGACCAGCCTTGGCCTCAGACTCACTACCAGTATGCCCCGATGTACCCACCAGCCCCAGGCCACCTCCCGCAACAGGAGGATGCGCCGCAGTACCAGCCGTACTACTACACTGGCATCCCGTACTCTACCTCCGCAGAGGTACCACCCGACTACGTCGATACATCCCGCAGCCCCCGGACAGCTCCCCGGAGTCTTCTGCTTCCGCAACCCTGTCCCCGCCAACTCCAGAACCCAGCGTTCCGGCTGCGGAGAAGCCGGTGATCGCTCAAGAAAACCCTCTCGACGTCTACCTGTCGGCGCCTCAGACGACCTTCCAGACGCCTCCAGAGCTCCTCGCCGACCTCACTGCTCGCGACCAGAGCGCTCGCTTGTCGGACTCTGAAGCGCCCGTGGGACGAGCAGGGCAAGCGAAGGGAGCGTCTTCAAAGACGCTCGGGAAGCGCAAGAGAGAAGGCTGCGAGAAGGAGGAGAAGGCCGAGAACCTCAACCAGCGCAAGGCTTACTTCCGCGACATCTCCACCAAGGTCGGCTTCACTATCACGGATCCGTAGGTGCCTTCCATGCGTGTGGTTATCTATCGACGCTCACCTCCATGGGCCGTAGGGATACGATCACCTCTCACGACAAGAAGCGCTGCTACCTGGAGTGCATGGAGGAATACATACAGTTCCTCACCACCGGATCGTCCTCGCTGGCAAAACGCCGGTCGCTCTCCGTCGTGTCGACAAATACCAAGGTCTCCACAATAGCTCCCTCAGGGTGCGTCGCTCTCTCGCTCTTGCACTCCACGGCTAACGAATGGTCGTTCAGTCGATGCTCGTCCAAATGCAAAGCAAGCTCAAGGATGCTAACGGCGGCGCCTCAAAGCCGAGACCACTGTGAGTTTGATGTTTCTCACGAATTTGCGTTAGACTTACCGTCGATCTAGTTCGTGAATCTCCGCGATATGGTGCTGAACAGCGAGGCAGCAGAGCAGGAGCATCAGTTCCAGAAGAACACTCTCGCCATGGGCCCTGTTTACTCTAGACTCTAGTCCAGATACTGGGATCCTCTCTCGACCTTGGGCTCGCTAGACCGTTTCTGCTCTCTGGGTTGTCGAATATAGATTAAGGGCCAGCTATCTGTAACTACTTGTACCTCGTTACTGTACCATTTACCTGCATCACGCTTGCCGCTGTTGTATCATTGGCTCTGAGCCGCCGTAATTTCCAACTGTGTTTTTAGCTTCATTGTGCTGTCCCGACGTCGTGCCTGTCGCGCCGGCATGTCCACCGCGACGACGATCGCAACCTAGACGTAGCCCTCGCACGGCGTCTGGGACCGCGTGCGCCCCTCCCCATAGGCTGCTGTTTCCCTGTCCGCGAAGTTCGGGGGGACGCGAGTGCCGGGGGTGCGGGCGCCGCGCGAGGCCCGCCGCCTCGGGACGCGTGCTGCGCGGGGAGTGACGGCCAGCGCGATCTCCCGCGCGGTGGCCAAGAGGCCGTGCACGTTTGCGGACGTGCGCGACGCGTCCGTTTCGGCTCGTCGTCGTGCGGGGCGCGGACCGTGTGCGAGCGAGCTCTCTTCCGAGCCCGGGTGTCCATTCGCGCCGGACGTGCTGCAGAACGACGGGCGCATGTGGGGGCTTTCCTGCGACGTTGGTCCGGGTAGAACGGGCGGGACAACGTGGCGGGTACTTGTGCGAGGGCAGAGCAGAGCAGAGAAAGCGTTCGCCGCACGCTCCACGCTCGCTGCCGAACGCGGAGGCACCGCGCGGGCTCGGCTGACGAGCCCCCTGGCCCTCAGCCAGCGAGGAGCCGCGGCGACGCACACGCCATGCTGGAACACCGTCGGCGTAGGTGGTCACCAGCGCGGTGCGCCCGATTTAATGGGCTCGGCGAGTCCGGGGACCACTAGTCCGAGAGCAGTCCGCCAGTAGCTGACGCCTTGCCCTCAGCTGCCTCAGGTCCTATGGGGACGCGTGCTGGACGTCGGACCTTGCTGGACCGTCATTTAGCATTCGCATGGTGCGCTAGCGCGCCCGATCGGCAGAGTATCAGGCTGCCTTGCGGGGCCAACGCGGCCCCGCCTTCGCCAAGTCGGCGTCTGGAGGCGCATCACTGGTCCGGGGTGAAGAGGGGGCGGAACAGCCGCGGGAGGGTGGAGGGCACGGGGCCCGGGCGAGAGTTGCGAGGGAGGGAGGAACGCAGCTGGAGGGAGCTCGGATTCCCGTTCGAGCGGCGGGGGCCAGTGGCGGCGGGTTACGTGTAGACGAGCCGGACGACCGACTGGCCCGTGCCTCTCGGCCGCAGGCTGGAGACGGGCAAGAGGGCTCCGGGGCGGGGCGACCAAGGGCGTCGATCGGCGCAGGCGGTGGTCCGGGTGGGGGCAGGAGCGCGGGCGACTGGAGCCGGCAGCTTATTCGAAGCCCAACGGGCGTAGACGCGCGAAAAGGGAGGGTAAGAAGTGACGAAGGGGTCGATTCCTGGTCCGCTCGGGGAGCTCTCCAGCGCGCGGAGACGTCCGCTCGTATTCGTGGCAGGATCCCGCACGCTCGGCCAGTGTCAACGTCGTGGGGGGTGTGTACCGACGGGCCTCGGAGTCGTTGACGGATAAGCTGGAAGCGAGCCGCGTTCCGCGACGAGAGGGAGCACCCCAGATCCTCGAACAAACGGTCGGATCTAGGACAGAGTGCGGCCAGGGCGAGCTGGGACCAGTCGGAGTGAGAAGATCTGCGGCATTATCGTGCCATAGATGACGGAGGCGGCGATGACGAGAATTGCGCGACGCGTATCCAGTCCCTTCATAACCCTCCATCGGCCGATGCCGCCCCAGTCGCAGCTGGAAAGGTCGCAGAAACTACCGGCAGGGCTTGGAAATTCGCTGTGTTTCCTTGGTACTTTGAACGAGCCTTGAAGAGGATTGCTTGGCCTGCGTCACGTGGAGAATCGCAATGGATGAGAACCGCTCGCATCTGGACAGATGGTCACTAGCACTCCTGGCAGCCCCAGCTGACAGGGCAATAGATAGCGGTCAGACATGTGCTTTCCTGGAGCACGAGCCCGCTCGCACCGACGACCCAATGAGCAGGCGAAAGTCACGAAGAAGACGCTCACCGTCTGTGGCCCATGCTGTTGCCCACGCTGCGTGATTGGAAGAGCACGGACGGTACCGGTTGATAGGCGGCAACGCACGCTTCTACTGGCGTGGCAGCAAACACAGTGAACCACGAGCGCATGGGAAGGATACGCTGTCGCGAAGGCGCGGCTCATGCACAATTGAGCGGGAGGCGGAGCCAAGGAGAGGCAACCGTCGGCGGCCGGCAGCGGGGCCGGGCTCGGGGTTTGCCGAGAGGCATACGAGAGGAAATTGTTGGGCAGAAAGCTCTCACCAAGCAGCCACTCACTACTCCCGCACGATCTCCTTCCGGTCCTAATCCCTGCTCTCCGTCGACGTTAACGACCTATACCTCCTTCTTTTCTCCTCACGACGCATCCGCGCGCACTGCAGTCCAAGGCCTCCAGTAATCATCCCTCGGGTCAATCGATCTCCCTCGTCCGGCCCGCCGAAAACTCGTAGCAACCCGCGCACACGGTCACATTAATGTCTTCCACTTTGCCCGCCCCGCCCTTCAGGCCACGAAAGCTGCGCTTTCGGCCGCTCTTGCTGACAGTGCCAAGGACACTGAGAAGATGAATGGGGACGACAGCGAGCCTGGAGAGATCCAGGAGGTGGACATGCAGGCACAGGCGGAGACGATCCGCACTGTTTTCAGCGATCCCACAAACTTCAACGTGAAGGTAGCACACTCTATGAACACATGATGCCGTGCATCGACCAATCGTCCGTAGCATCCCCTCTACTCCCCATGGACGCTATGGTTCGATTCGCCCGCAACAAAGGGCCGTAACCTCCCTCAAACTCCCATGACATCGTTTCCCCAGACGCCCATCCCTGCGACCCCCGGTGCGGCCGCTGCCCAGGGCTGGATGGAGGACATCAAGCGGGTCATCACGTTCGACAGCGTCGAGGAGTTCTGGGGGTACGTGCATGAGTCAACTCTTGCCTTTGAAAGGGTCGATTGATTCGCTGGTTGTCAGATTGTACCATAACATTGTGCAACCATCGTTGTTGCCGCAAAAGGCCAACTACTATTTATTCAAGGTTGGTACTACTTTTAGTCACGCTTAGAGCTCGATTTGACGTTCGGCGTATAGGAAGGTATCATCCCTGCTTGGGAGGACGACGCCAACAAGCTCGGAGGCAAGTGGAGCATTCAGCTACCACGAGACAAGAACCGGGCCGCCGTCGACAAGATGTGGCTCTACACTGTAAGTCATCTTCCAGACTGTGTCGTCGAGGGGCCTAATATCGTCCTACTACAGATGCTCGCTGCCATTGGTGAAACTTTCGACCCACTCTTGGCAAGCGAGGAAGGCGAGTCGCCCACGTCGCTGATCACCGGCGTGATCCTCTCGACGCGACCGCAGTTCTTCCGTATTTCAATCTGGACACGGTCTGCGCCCTCGGGAGCGGACGACGACAAGCTCCGGGAGCGCATCGAGGCCATCGGGAAGCACTTCAAAGTGAGCGTGCTCGGTTACCAGGACTCACAGCGTCTCGCCGGGGCCTTGGCCACCGAGGTCGAGTTCCTGTCGCACAAGGACTCGGAGAAGAAAGGCAAGCAGGCCAAGAAGATCATCGTCTAGCAAAAGGTAACGTCGTATTGATCGGCCGGGCTCGCGAGGGTGTGCGCGGACGCTGTCGGACTGGAAATGTAGTTCCCCTACTGTGCTTTTGTTTGTAATCGTCACCTCTTTCATACTATACCGTACCTCTGGACGAAAGGAAGAACCCCTTCGCCGCGCAGAGCTGTGCTGCCATTGCTGTGTGCGCTGCGCAAAGATGGTCGGCGTTTGGGAGCGTGCGTGCTGCGGCTGCGGCATGGTGCCGGATGCTATGACGTAGTGCACGTAGTAACAGTGCCACAAGGCCTTATACTCCTCACCGACCAGCCCCTATCGCAACATTCCTCCTTCTCCCCTCATTCTGCGATGCACGGCCTTTTCAACTCTCTCGCCGACAAGGCGCAGTCCGCGCTGAACTCAACTCCCCTGGGGCGACAAGGCACCTCCGAAGGTGGCGCCGCTGGCCAGTCGGGTTCATCCTCGAACCCGCTCAAATCGCACGCGTTTGAGAACATCTCCCACTCTCTGCGTAGTATTCAACAACAATACTCGTATGTACTCCTTTGGATCTGCACGCGTGTATGCTCATCCGATGTCCACACACCCAGGAGCTCCGTGACCCCCGTGCAGAAGATCGTAACCGCGAGGAAGGGCGTCGCCCTCGATCTCGATAGCTTCAGTCGCGATAATCATGCATCGAGCAAGGAGACTTACATGTGGGGTCAGCGCGAGCATGAGGATATCAAAGATGGTGCGTCCTTTCATCGAAGCACCAGCATCTTGGTGCTTAATGTCCCGCGTGCAGTGACCGACCGTCTGGCTTGGATGACCTACATCGAGGGGTCCCTCGCGTCCACGCTCGCAAAGGAGATCGACGCATCGCGCGGGCCATGGAAGGCTCTGCGTGATGCCGAGAATGCCTCATCGGCCGCAGGAACATCCGCGCTGGGTTCGAGAACCAGATCGCGCGCATCGAGCACGACCAGCGCCCGGGGATGGAGCAGAAGCTGGCCGAATTAAAGAGGCAGCTCCGCAAGCGCAGAGGACGATGAGCCGTTGGAGAAGGAGGTCGAGTTGCTGAAGCGGAAGGCAATTAAGGAGAGCGAGCGGATGAAGTGGCTCGCAATTCGAGAGGCGAGTCTCGTCCGCATCCACTCGCGTCGCGCACCGCTCACCTGGCGTTACAGTTCTCCGAGAAGCTCACTCTGATCTCGCAAGCTGCCCTCGCTGCGCTCCCCGCGCTGCCTGACGTCCCTTCATCCAAGCTGCAGCCGTACACCGGTGCCACCCTCACCGCTTCCATTCGGACCACGCTTCAGCAGTCGCTCGACCACTGGCAACCGGGTGACACCACCCTCCTCCTTCGCGAACCGACGGCGGCCGACCTGAGCAGGTCCGACACTCGAAGCTTCGGCGAGACACACGCTCGCGAGCTCGCTCGTATCAACACCGCCGATCCTCACGCCAAGTCTTCCATTCCCGTGACCCCGCCCGCGACGCTCGACCACCTGCCCCAGGCCCCTCGCACAACTCCAACGGCCCGCCGCCCTCGGCTTCCCTGCACGCGTCGCCATCGGTCGGGGCTGCCGTCGCCGCGCAGTCTTCGCCCCCGGCCGGCTTGACCTCGCCTCCCTTGAACCCTGCGGTCTTGAACCAGTCCCCATCGCCGCTCCCGCCTCAAGTCATTTCGCCCCCTGCCGTCGCCGCGCCAAACCCCGCCGAGCCCACGGCGACTGTGCCGATCATCACCCCGACGGTGGCTGAGACGGGGGTGCCCAAGTCGGCAGGACCGGATGGTCCAGGGCCGGCGAGCGGGTCGTTGAAGGACCTCAAGAAGCCGTCGCTCGGCGCGACTGCGGCCGCGGTCGCGGGCCCGAGCAGCAGCATCACCACCACCACCACCAGCGCGCCTAAGTTCGAGAGCGCGGAGGAGGAGAAAGCGCGTCTCGCGCGCGAGGACCGGGATCGCGTGTTGGCGACGGGCGGAAGCGTGCCCGGGATGGAGAGGAAGCATGAGAGCGCGGAGGAGGAGAAGAAGCGACTGGAGCGCGAGGAGAGGGAGCGGGTCCTCGCTGCGGGCGGGTCATCGAACGTCTACCCGGACGAGAAGAAGGATCCGGAGGGGGACGGTGACTTGCCGCCGTACCAGGAGTTCTCTGGTGTGTGATAGGTTGTCCGAACTACGTACGTTGGTGGAATTTGGAAATACTGTAGAACACGGACTTCGGACTTCGTATCTTGTATGATGCCTCTTCGCTCACGGCGTGCTGTTATGTATCGGTATACGAATGTATTCACAGAATCTTTTGCTGCGATATCCAAACATCTCTTTAGCCTGCAAAAGAAGTTCGGATGGTCCAACACCCGCGAATCATATTCAAAGACTCAAAAAGCAATAAATATTGAGACCCGTAGGTCTACCACTCCGGGAAAGCGTGTCATCCTTGTGCAGGGGCCATGCTAATCTTCTCTGTATCGTTCCAATTTTTTCGTATGTCACCCCGAAGGGGACATTATTGAGGGAGAGGAGTGCCTTGTGGAGACTGGAGTTTTGCATTTTGTTCAGCTCGCGGGTGAGACGCCAAACCCAGGACACATCCGCGCCTATCTAGTATTTGCCGATTACACCCCTCGGATCAGCCTCTTATCACTGTCTCCATGGCGAGTGTAGCGTCGACTAGGCCACATTTCTCTCCAACCCCATGTGTAGGAGACGAAAAATCAGGTTGATGTCCAAAGTTGCTGATGGTCAGCCGCTACATGGACATCCGTCATTCAATGCCCCGCTGACTTCCCGCAAGCTGTGGTACGTTCCAGACACTTGAACATGGTGAATATTTCCTTATGTCTGCTCAGTTCCAGGATGCCGTCTCTCAGATTGTACACCACCCGGAGTACAACTCGACGCTGATACTGAGATCGGAAACCGTCTCTGACTCCAGTACCGATTTCCCGGTAACGGTGCCGTCCTTCGACGACTTACGTCCGGTACGCAACATACACAGGAGACTTCTCCCGCGAAGACCTGGACGCGACGCCGGCTAGAGCAACACTGCACCCTGTATGCGCCCGCCCAAAGCGATGACGACACCCCTGCACTCCTGGTTCTGACCCCGATAGTAGAAGACGGCTCGCCTCTCCCGTACTACCACCCCGCGGTCCATCATCTTGCCTTTCGCTACGTAACTGGCGAAATCGCTACGTTGCGGATGGACATCGTCCCGTTGGACGCAACACCCATCGACCTCAACTCGAGGATATATCGCACCTGTCTGGCGCTTCTGGACACGCTGCATCGGTACGGTTGGGGCGCAATGACGAACTACAAGAAGCGGGTGCGGCATGACTACATCATCGCTCGCGAAGAATATCAAGACCTCTACCTTGTCATGCGCGAGCGACACAAACACCTGGTCCAGGAGTGGCAGGAAGTGACAGACCCGTTGAAGCATGTCTTTGAGGTGAGTCTCTGCGCGCTCTGTTATATCAGTGAGCTCATGTTGACGGCAGGATATCGGGATAGCAACTTTCCTGATGCTACTCTGGAAACACTCCTACGTCAAGAGCGGACCTGCTACGAACGATACAGAAGATCTCAATGAGGCCCCTTGGCGAAATTGGGCTCGACCTCCAGCAGGTTTTCTCGACCTGGGGTTTGAAACAACCTCGTTGTTCCAAAAGGAAACTAATGACACAAATTTTGAGCAGGTGCGGCAATGGTCTGCTCACGCACATCCTCACGGCGGAAGGGTACAGCGGATATGGGATTGACGTTCGCGCTCGGACCTCTTGGTCACACTACCCAGAGTCCACTCAAGCGCAGTTGCGTGTGGAAGCCCTTGATCCAACCTCACCGGTCCTCTCACCGGATGATACTTCGTATCTTTGTCCTGGGACGTTCATCATCGCGAACCACGCCGACGAGCTCACTCCGTGGACACCCGTGCTCGCGACACTCCACTCCGCATCCGGATATCTGTCCATCCCTTGTTGTGCATGGTCTTTTGACGAAAGATTTGAACGATCCAAGGCTCAAGGCTACCCCGTCCCTGACGACGCATTCATCGACTCCCTCAGCCTAGGCGGCGACGGAAGCCACTCCAGCTCGTACTCCACATATCGCATCTGGCTGGCATCACTCAGCTTGCAATGTGGTTGGAATGTCGAGTGCGAAAACCTCAGGATCCCAAGCACACGTAATTGGGCTATCGTCGGTACGTCTGCGCTTTCAATGGCGCACATACGGCATATCTGAAGTGTGCGTAATAGGGAGGGAGCGTGTCACAACTGACGCGCAGGAGCTGGAGGACATCCGGAGTAGGGTGGAGGAGATCGTTACGCGCGTTCGAGAACGAGGGCTGTTTAAGACGCGTACGCCTGAAGGAAAGGCAAAGGATCACTGATAAGTAGAGAGGGTGCCATGTAGGTTTAGTGCAATCGGTAGTATGCATTTCTGATGTATTCCGAAAGATCGCTGGAGGCGCTACGGGCCGGCGGGGCCCATGAGGCAGACGAGCGCCATATGTGATGTCGAACTTGCCCACCGCCTGCTGCCTCAGCATGGTTGAGGGAGGTTACATGTGATCCTGCACACTTGCCAAGGTTCTACCTTGCACATCTATACTCTTCTGTCCTTCTCGCGCGCTGCGGATGACCTATCATGGTACAACACCTCCCCGATGAACTTTGGCTAGACATCTTTGAGTCCGCCGTCGACGATGCGGAATTCTTTGAGCCCACTCTCCCCGATGCCTTCTCCGCCTCAACCTGGTTCAAGACGCTCTATGAAATTGGTCCTTACGGAGTGCGCAGGAGGGCGTCAACAATGCTCAACGGAGGAGTTATGCCACTAAGAAGGTGCGTGGTGACCTGCCTCATGTTCTGCCCGATTCCAACCGCGGATCCCATAGGCCATCATGGCAACCTGTAGGACTTGGAGGCGGCTCGGATACGAGTTTTTCTACCGCTTTCTGTTCTTCAGCAATCCGCTCAACATGCAGCGGCTCTGTCGTCTGTTGGACACCGACAGCGACCTTGGCCACCGAACCCGGCGACTGCATGTAATTCGCTATTTCGACCGATCCGCGCCGACCGCAGAAGTCACCCAGAACTCGCTCGTGTCGATCATCAGTCGCTGCGAGAACCTCGAGACGTTTATCGTCAACTGGCCACTTGCCATCGCCCTTCCTGCCGTCGCGAACGCGCTATGCACGTACACCTCTCAGACGCTGCGCGTACTCCAACTCACCATCCCTACGGCGGCCCTCGCCAAGTTCATCCTCTTGCTCGATGGACTTCCCAAGCTCGAGTCTGTTCACGTAGAGTTCGACGGTCCGGCTCCGGAGCAGGTGCGACTCGGCTCCGCCGGCGACCTGGAGCTCTCCCTCCCATGCCTCCAACACCTGTCCGCCCGCGGCTCGTTTCAAGATTTCATAGAGCAAGCTACCGACTGGAACTTCCCCGTCCTCCGCAGTCTTAGCCTAGATTTCACCACATACCGCGAAGACTTCCCCGACGTCCTTGACTTCCTCGCCGAGCACGGCTCCGAGCTCACCACGCTCGACCTCAACTGCATTCCCCCGGTCGACGTCGCCGCCGTCCTCGACCTCTGCCCGCTCCTCACCACCTTCACCTTCAACCCGGACTGGCGCCTGCCCGGCTGGGACGACCCCACCGCACGCGGCACGCACCTCGTGCGCTCTCCGCACCAGCATATCACCACCGTCGGCCTCCACCACCTGATGTACGCCTTCGGGGTCGGCTACGCCACGAACTACAACGAGATAAACCCGTTCATCGTCCAGAGCATCCAGCGCCAGAACGACGCCAACTTCGCCGCGCTCACCCGCGCGAGCTTTCCGCGCCTCGCGCGTGTCCGCGTCCTGAACCCGACGCTCCTCGCCGACCTGGAGAAGAACAACGGGCCGAGCAAGGCCGGGCTCGCGCGCTGGGACCGCTGGACGCGCCAGTGCACGGCCGAGGGCGTCCGGCTCGAGGACTGCACGGGCGCGACGCTCGGGACGCTCCCCGAGTACGAGGACGAGGACGGGGACGAGTACACGGACGACGGGGCGAGCACCGTGGGCGGGAATACGGCGCAGCCGATCCGTGTCCTGCGGGAGTTGGTGGCGGAGTGTCAGCGCGCGAACGCGCAGAGGGAGCTCGACGTCCCGACCCCGCTCATGCGCATGATATACACTAGCACCTACGGAAGCTCGTAGCGAAGGTGTGTGCTGTCAGTCGTCGAACCTCTTCTCCTGCTCAGCGTACCCCAGAACCAATCGCGGCACCCCCGTTCAAAAGCTATCCCCCGTCAAGGCTTCCTCGGAGGATTATAACGACCCGACATGATTCTTATGTCCTCACATAGCATGTCTGTTTTGCCATCTCTGTTTTCCAGCGTTTTTGTGCTTTCTTGTCTTGCGTCTCCTCATCGTCTATCAGGACAGTACATGTATTATACACCGGCAGTTTTGTGTAGTCCGCTAGCGACCCAGTACTTTTTTCTCTTCCTGCATGGAATGTGACCCTCGGACTATTGCGCCGTCTGGATTACTGTGCTTCTTAACGTATCGCTCGTGACATTGGTTGTGTACGCACGGCTATTGCTACATGAACGGATATCTATGCATCGATACATGAACTAGAAATCGTATGGATCAGGCCCCTCAGATGTGAACGCTACCTTCTTCTTCACTTTCACCTTCTTCGTACCATTCACGACCACCTCAGCACCGGACACGGGCACAGGAGCCGGTGGTGCTGTCTGCACCTGTTCCATCTGAACCTGAAGCGCAGCGGTAGACGAACCGGGGGTCGCACCATCTTTATGGGCATGCGCGTGATCGTGTACGGTGCCGGCTTCGAGTGCGATGGCGTTCGAGGCCGGCGTTGTCCGTCGTTCGCCCACCCCGCCCTCTACGTCGAGGTGCAGGGTCTCGAAAATGAGCCGCTTGCGCATGCACTTGAAGGCGAGGTTGTTCTCTCCTGAAGACGTGAGCCCGCGGAGGGTCGAGAACTTGTCGCTTGGGGGGACAAGAGTGTGGGGTGCCGGTAGGGAGTGGATGTGGACGAGACCGTGGTGCGCGGAGAACATGGCTGATAGTGATGGGTCGGCTGGTGCGTTCGACAAACAGCCATTATCAGTTCGTATGCGCGGACGGTTCATAGAGACGCACCTGTGAAGGCGGCAAGAGTCACTGAGCCATCTGTCAACCATCCGAGTTTTTGCGTCCAGCCAGGCCCACCGAATGCTTCACTGCATAAATGGGGCGGAGGCAAATGGAGGCGCACACCCGGGGGTGACGACGAAGTAGTGCGCGCAGGGAGTGCAGGAAGTAACAGATATCCTGCGCAGCGAGCTTGAGCGCCGCGATCGCATGACTGCAATGGGTGACTCACCGGAGGTGCAAGGTCGCCCCACTCAAATGTGCCCAGAGACGGTATGCATACCCTCGTAGCCATACAATCACCCGCATTCAATTTAGAGAGGACGTCGGAAAGACCGGCGAGTATGGCGCGGCTCTTGGGGGTAAATTCCGGGGACGCTACTTCGTCGGACCAAACATCCACGATCTGACCTGCACTGCGAGCCGCCTCGATGACCGCGTCCGGCAGACGGCATGTCAAGTCAAAAGTGTGGTAGTAGTCATCCGCAGACCTGCAAGGGCGAGATCCTATCATCGATGGGATCACTGTGCTCAACGGAGAGGAATGCCGACGTACTGGCTGGACGAAGGGACGGTCGTGCTGAACTGTTTCATCTGCTCGTACCTCCACGCGATCTTGATTTTCGTGTCGTGCTCTGACGCGCGCTCATCCTCTTCGTCTTCTGCGCCGGTCGGCGGTGGGGGCGACGCCGGCGACGTGAGGGAGGCGGCGCCCTTGCCGGGCAACCACATACATTCCGCGAGGAATGCGTCCGGACGTGGGTCCACTACGCATACGCGCTGACCGGATGCCAGACCCTGCGCGGTGAAGTACTTGATTACGAGTTCCCCGTAGGCAGAGTGGACGTCGGGGGCAAGAACCAAGAGGGAACAAGAGAGAGGTAGACCGCCGCCGAGGATATCGTCGAGAGAAGGGATGCCGGTCGAGGTGAGGGTCGTTGCAGGAGAGCCTGGGCAAGGGCGCGTTCCCTTGGGTAGAGGGGGCTGTTTGGCCGTCGTCCGCCGCTTGAACGCAGACATCGTTGAGAGCAGCGAGCGAAAGCAGGTCTGGCTGAGGTGAAGCTGCGGACCGGCCTCTCGGCCCGCTGTTGTGCCCGGCGTTAGCGCAACGCGTCGACGCGTTGCTGTCGGCCGGGCCCTTGTGCTTGACCATGCCCCCTATATCCTCCGGAATCCTGTCCCGCTAATACGTATCGCGATCAGAACATGGGCTGCCGGAGCGTGGATGCGAGTGCGCACAGAACCGCTTTCAGTGCTCAAACAGGTCTCCTTTACTGCTCTCAAGGTGCGCACTTCCTCCCACCTCCTGTGTCTCTATTCATCGAAATGGTCCCATCTGTAGGGGTTGAACTTGGTCTGCGCTGGCCATCTCTTTACCCACCATGTCGCAACTATCTCACTGGTGCGTTTGTTTTCTCTTTGTCTTCAGCACCATAGCAGTATTCCTTCTTAGGTAATGGGACCCTCGATGCTCCCGACAATGGAAGTCTCTGGCGAAGCTTGTATCGAGCTAAAGTGGATCAACCCGGAGAACCTCAGGAGAGGTGACCTCGTCACTTACATGGCCCCATATGACACCACCCGACCTGTCTGCAAGCGTGTTATCGGTCTCCCCGGGGACGTGGTATGTGCGGATCCGACAGGACAGCATGCACCTTCAACAGAACATGTGGTCGTACCTAAAAATCATATTTGGACTACTGGCGACAATCTACCTTGGTCCACAGACTCCCGGACGTACGGCCCTGTTCCGATGGGTCTCATCAGAGGACGTCTCTATGCGAAGGTAAGTGCCTTACATCTTGCGGTGGAAAACGTTCAGACTTCCTTCAGTGCTGGCCGGTCTGGAGAGTGTTTCCTAATACATTCGAATATATCGACTAATGCCCTCGTCCTGTGTGCGACGTACTACGTAGCTTGTGGCATTACGGGGCGCCTCAACCTATCTATCACAGTGCGAGACGAGGAGTACCCGTTGCTGCTGCTATCACTCGGTCAGGTATCAGGACATTCGATCTTGTCTAAAGAAAAAAGTACAGTTCGTCTCATAGGGTCGGTAGCTACAGGCACCACCCGAGGGCGGTCGTGCAGTGTGATAGTAGCACAGACGAATCATCTATCATGGTTGTTGAACGAAGTTCATTGAATACCCGCCTTGACCGTTGGGCACGAACTGGAAGTTGTCAGTGGACAGACCGAAATTACCTGTGCAATCTCTTGTCAAACGAAGCGATGTATCCGGCGAAATGCCAGCCCACCTAGAATGCTATTGCCGATCCCTTTCAACTTGCCCAACATCTCTGCCGTTTCGCGCTTCTGGGCAGCTTCTACGCGTGGTGTGAGACTGATCATTGTCCGGCGAATAGCGACCGCGTCCGATGACGATGAAGGCAATAGCTCCAGCAGTTGCTTGTAATCTGCAAGCCCTGTGTATGTGTCCGCGCAAATTCGAATAAAGAGCACCGACCTTCTTGAGCGGAAGATAGCGAAGACCACGTATCGATCTGCTCATTCGCCGTAGCCCTGCGTTGCAGCGCCTTGACATAATTGGGATCATCTTTGAGAGCTGTGATCGGGTTGAAATTATCTTCGTGCTACTATGAGAGGTCCGCGGCTCGCCTTCGGTACACGCAACTACAACCTCCTTTGGGTCGTCCTGTCATGCACAAAGTCAGATCTCCACCCAGCGAACGGCGCAGGGAAAGGCTACTCACGAGCTTGACGAAGCACGCAGCGATATTTGCGTTGAGCACAGCTCTCGCCTTTGCGGATTCTACCTCGATTTCCGCTGGAGGCGCAGATGTTGGACAATTCGGTTGGTCACCCAGTGGCACGGCACCATCTGATGGTCCAGGCAGATCGTCATCATCCACACCCCGGCTGTCGCTAGCTTCAGGAGGAATCGCTTCAGGTCTTCGAGGTAGATATCCAAGGGCAGATCTGTAGGCGGCGAGGGCTTCGTCCCAGCGCTTCCCGCGGAAATGCTCGTTGCCTTCCAGCTTGAGCCCTTCAGCACTCTGCAAGCTCCCCTAACGCCGCGGGGGCACAGGAAAATCAGACTGGCAGGGTCGACAAAGCAGGTCGACTTGAGTCTGACTCACACGGGAGCTGGGCGGGTCGGGTGCGCGCGGTCCGCCGTCATCCTCTGTCAGTGGCAGGTCGGAGTTGGAAGCCATCGAGCGATACCGCCTCTTGCGGACTAGGGTCGCGAGGGTGCGGAAGAGACACGGTGGGCGCCAAGTGGGCGCCGTCCAAGAGCGTCGTTGGAGGCTGCGTGGCGCTCACTGCAAGCTGCGCGACTTGCCCTTGGCCCTTGACGTCGTTCTGACAGCTGCAAAGAACATCATGGTATATATGGATGCGATAATGGGATCCATCATTCTGCATCCTCACTTTCTTCGCCACTCCCAGCTTCACCATGCCAGGAATCAAAGACGCGAAGTGTATCCTCGTCATCGGAGCAACCGCAGGCCTCGGTCGTGCCCTCGCTCTCGCACTTCATGACCTGGAGTCGAAGCCTACCGTAATCGCTGTTGGCCGCCGCCACGAACGTCTCGATGAACTCGCACAGACAAGAGACAGGATCAAGACTTTTCGGGCCGATATGAACGTTGACGAACAGGGTATCCGGGCGTTTGTGCAAAGCGTTCTCTCTTCCTATCCCGACGTACGTATCGCGCATGGCGTCATATGATTGATTGACTAATTGAAAACAGGTTGATGCTATCCTCTTCGTGTCTGGGGTCCAGCACCTCCTTGACTTCAAGAAGCCGGAAAATATTGATCTGAAAGGTTAGAAATGTCCGCTAACGCTCGTGTTGTCAATACTGACTCTAGGAGACGCAAAGCGTTCGACGACGAGCTGAACATTAACTACTTGGCACTTACGAAAACTTTCATGCTTTTTTTGCCTCACTTGCTCAAGCTGAGCGTGCGTAGTACAACCTTCCGCAGTCGATTCAGCTGATATGATGTCCCCAACGAGCAGGAGGAAGGACGGTGTTCATTCCTAGTCCCAGTCACCTCCTCGCTTGCAATTGTTCCTGGAGCTCCCGTGCCCGGCTACTCAGCGACCAAGGCCGCTGTCAGGAGTTTCACGCAGTCTCTGCGCGTGCAGCTCGATGACACCAAGATTAAAGTAATGGAGATTGTCCCACCGTGATTTTCATTCTTAGCCTTGACCGCCACTCCACGGCTAACCCAATCCCCCCTGCGTGTCAGATTAGTAGAATCGGAGCTTCACGACCGTACGCACACAACCCGCTGCCGATCGCATAGAGCTGATATCTGCATTGACCGCAGACCAAGGCACGACGCCTGCGCTGTCGAAGTTCTCGATGCCTCTTGCCGAGTTCACAGAAAAGACGATGGAAGCCTCGTTCGCGGCGACGACGACATTGCAGTGGGTAATGCCGAGCTGGTCCGCCAGAAATTCGAGGTCGGAAAATACGAGGCAGCGGCAAAGCTGTACCATAGTAGCCTTGGTAGTGCGGCAAAGGACTAGACCACGATGTCTTGTACGGGGGAAAGCGCTGATAGGGGGAGGAATGTACTTATGAACCATTGCTTGCACGAACGGGATACACCTGACCGTGGTCCTGATGCCAGAGACCAGTGGCAGAGGGTCCTGCGCTCTACAATAGCATGCAATGCTGCAGGCAAATGGGAAGCATGCGAGAAATTACAAGCTGCTATTCCAGCACCCGTGAGTAACTATATGCGAAGCGTAGCTAGTAAGTCTATGGTTGCCGTCGACAAAACCGCATTTTAGTCCCGGACCAGCAGCACCCTCAGACGTCCAGCCGTCTCAGTCTAACGTAACAAATCAGAGCATGAACGTGAGAGGGTTCTCGAGGTAACCCTTGAACGCCGCCAGCCAGCGCGCGCCAACCGCGCCGTCGACCGTGCGGTGGTCTGCGCTGAGCGTGACCTTCATGATCTGGGCCGTCTTGAATCCGCGCTCCTCCTCAGGCGCGGGCACGAGAGTTGGCTGCGTGGCACCAACCGCGAGGATACATGACTGAGGAGGGTTGATGATTGCGGTGAAGTGCGAGATGCCGAACATTCCGAGGTTGGAGACCGTGAAAGTGCCGCCCTGTGGTTACACATGAGGAACGACATCTTTGATTGCTGTACACATGCGTCATCACTGACCTGGTATTCTTGAGGCTGGAGTTTGCCATCGCGAGCCTTCTTAGCAAGTGCCTTACCCTCCGAGGATATTGACGCAAGACCCTTAGAGCCAACATCCTTGATGATGGGCGTGATGAGACCGGTTGGTGTAGCAACGGCGACCGAGATGTCGGCCTTCGAGTATCTGTAGAACAGGTGAGGTTGAGTGGGACCGCACGAGACTGAGCACGTACTGCCGGATGACCTCGCCCATCCACGCTGAGTTGGCTTCCGGGACGTCTCCAAGAGCACATGCAACTGCCTTGAGCACAAAGTCGTTGACTGACAGCTTCGCCGCCTTGTCCTTCTCACCAAGAGTCTTGTTGAAGACCTGGCGGAGCTTGAACACCTTGTCCATGTTTATGTCGACGGTAAGGTAATAGTGAGGGAGCTCCTGCTTCGATTGTGTGAGACGTGCCCCGATGGTGCGACGCATGTTGGTGATGGGCGTGTCGACGTAGTCCGAGAGGGCAGCTGCTGGCTGAGCAGCAGCAGAGGAAGCGGCAGGAACGCCCTGGAACTTCTCGACGTCTTCCCTGAGGATCCTGCCCTCAGGGCCAGTGCCCTTCACCTTGGCCAGAGGGATGCCGCGCTCGAGGCAATCTTCTTCGCAATGGGCGAGGCGAAGATGCGGTCACCCTTCGGAAGCTCTGCTTTGGTCTCCTGCTTGGGAGTTTCGGCAGACCTCGACGAGGTGGGCTTCGGGGCGGGCTCCGAAGCCTTCTCCTTAGGCTCAGAAGATTGCTCGGAAGCAGCATCGGACGCCATTTGCACGGCGGCAGAGAGGTCATCGCCCTCCTCGCCTATGATAGCAATGGTGGCCCCAACAGAGATGTTCTTAGCGCCATCGCTGGCCTACACTCACCAGTCAGGCTACGTGGCGAACGCTGTGAAGAGCAGGAACGTACAAGAATCTTGGCAAGAACACCGTCGTCCTGGGCCTCAACGTCGATGGTAGCCTTGTCGGTTTCCTTAATAGCGCAAGGTCATGAAGCGTGCATAGAGGGATGGTATAGGTGACAGCACATACAATCTCCAGGAGAACGTCACCCGCCGCGAACGTCTCGCCCTCCTTCTTCTTCCATGATGCGATACCGCCTTCCGTCATGGTAGGGCTCATGGCAGGCATGGCGAACTTGGAGAGAGCATGACGAGAGGCTGAGACGTGGAAGCCTGTCGCGCGCGTGCGTGGTCAGTACGGGGCGCACGCGCATCAAAGAGCTGGGGCTCACGCCTGGCGAGGATACCACGAGCGAGTGAAGAGGCCATTAGGACGGAGAGGGCGACAGCGAGGTGCTGGAGGGAATGGGCCAAGGTGGCAGAAAAGTGGGACGCGAGCGGTCTATTGGGGCGCGTAAACAGACACAAATTAGGCCGGCGCGTCAGACTCGGGCAGGCTCGGAGGCCACGCGCGGAAGATTCGTACCACACCCGTCCACCCAATCGCACCTCTCCTCCATCTCTGCGCCGTGCATTCACTCATGTCGTCCGACATCGTTCTTCCTGGACAGCCCGTGCCCGTGCCCCGTGGGCCCATCCCCCGCCCCGGCACTGGCATCTACACGCGCGACGGCGTAATCAGAGCCAGCCTTGTCGGCGTCCCCCAACACTCAGGCTCTGTTGGTCTTTTTGCTCCCTCTAGTCAACGCTCACTCTGAAACCTCTGGCCTCCTGTCCATTCGCCTCTCTGCGCGTCCCTTTCCCCTCAGACGCTGGAAATTAAGAAGATTCGCCCCCGACCACCAGCACCAAATTCTGTGGTGCTTGGAGCCATCACTCGACTGTCTCCTCTACAAGCTGTGGTGTCTATCACAGTGGTCGATGGCGTACCCCTCCCTGCCGGCGAGGACTTCACAGGCGTCATCAGGGTCCAAGATGTTCGAGCTACTGAGAAGGACAAGGTCAAGATAGCGGATTGCTTTCGTGGAGGCGACGTTGTGAGAGGCTTGGTGGTGCGTACACCCTTTCCACTCCTGTGCTCAGTACCTTTCTTTACACCTCTTGCATCGCAGCTATCTTTGGGCGATGCGCGAAGTTACTATGTAACCACTGCGCGAAATGACCTGGGGGTAATATTCGCAACAAGTGAAGCTGGTGAGGATGTGGTGTTCCATTTTACTTCCTTAACTGAAGCAGCATGATCGCAGGTGCCACCATGGAACCAGTGTCTTGGCAAGAAATGCGATGCCCAAAGACTGGCAAAATCGAAAAGCGCAAATGCGCCAAACCTGAGGGCATGTAATCGACCTAGGCTCGAGCGTCGTACAACCTGTGTATCTGTAGTAGCTTGTATGTTTCGTGTAGTATAATTCTATGCTGACTTCTCAATCCATAATGTGGCCACGGATTGGCCAGGCTGCTGCGTGATTGTGTTGTGAAGGCCCGAGCAACGCTGTGGTGGCCGTCATAGCAGCCCGACGACTGACAGGCGCACTCCCGCCTGTTCCCTTCTGCTTCTGCGCTTCCGCTGGCCTCGGTTGTGCATCCCTCCGAGCTTGTCTCGTCTGCGAGTCTATCGCAGCTTTCTGCGGCTGGCAATATTTCTGCGGCGTGAACGCGACGCGTCACGGCACGTGGTTGTGGCTCGAAACACGTGGTGCGCTGGAATAGGGTTCCGCGGTTGCTCTCGTTCACTATTCAGGCTGACGGGGGTTGTTCGCTAGTCGCACTCGTATCGCTTCCTGGCTGCTCTCTTCTGCTCTCGCTCTGGTTGAAGCTCTTCGTCCCTTGGTTCTCGGCTGTACATACTCGTCTACGGCATGACTGCCGTTCTGCAAGCCACCGACATCCTCCGCAAGGACAGAGGCATGGCATCTATGGACGACAGTGCTATCAAGTACTGACTCCACTCTCCCGCCCTGTCTCCCCACTGATCCCACCCCGTCCAGCGCGTTCTCCTCCTCGGGTACGGACTGGAAGACGAAGTACATGGAGGTCGCAGATATGCTGGCAGAAACGCGGGCCGAACTGGATGACTTCCACCATTCCAGCAAGGAGCTCGAGGAGGAGCTCGAACGAGAGCTTGAGAGGACGGAGAAGGCTCACCAGGATTTAAAGGTCAAAGTAGCCAGGGCGGAGACCGAGAGAGATGACTGGAAGGTGCGTTCCCTAGTCCCTGCCATCTGGTGTGCTTTCTGAGCTCGTGTTCGACTCAACAACAGTCTAAATTCATGTCCTTTCAAACCACTCACAACACAACGACGACCTCTCTCCAAAGGGAGCTGGATACCCTGCGGCAAGAGCACCAGAGAATCAAGATCCAGTTGCGCGAGTTGGAGATGGGTAACGACGACCTCGAACGAAACGAGCGAGCAATTTCGTCTAGTTTGGCAGACGTTGAGCAGAAGTATGCGCGGGCGCTGGAGGAGAAGATTCTACTTGAGCACGAGCTGCTTGACAAGGCAAACGTAGAGGAGGAGTCTCAGCGAATGAAGGACGAGTTGAGGGGTGAGTAACAACTGCTCGTACAAGGTCCCTTCCTTATCATGACTCGCATAGATGCCAATGAGGAGATTGCAATTTTGAAAGACCAGCTGGCCTCCGCGCAGCAGCGTGTCAGCAACTCTTCTGTGCCTTCTTTGACCGCCCCATCTTCGACGTCCATCCAATCCTCTCAACCCGACGCCACGCCATCCTTGTCAGACGAAGATCTCCTTCATGTTCCCACTCCTCCCGACTTGTGTCTCGCCGATCTCACCCCTCCACCGGACGTTCAGATGAAGGAATTTCCCTCAACACCCCTTACTATCGTTTCACCACGCCCTCGCAAGCAGGGCACTGCCATCTCCCCGCCCTCCATGTTCCATCGGACCGGCCTTCCTCCTTCACGCACAGGTGTCTCCACGCCATCCAATGGAAATACTTCGCTCATCCGTTCGGCCACCGTTCCTGGTATCACCAACAGTCCCCTCCCGCAGGGCGAATAGTCCTTCACGTATCGGGGCACCACGAACACCTGTCCCGCGCCCGCCTGTTAGTCGAAACGCCTCCACCCTTACCAATAGTACAACGAGCACAGTCAATGGCGTCCCCGCTACTGCCTCGAGGAGCAAGGGCGTACAGATGGTCTCCGAGATGCGGGCCCGTGTCAGGATTCTGGAGCAGAAGATCCACACACGAGTACCCAGACTACGCATGGGAAGCGTCACTAGCCGTACCACTACCAATCCAATGCCGCCCCCGCCGGTTCCGGCAAAGGCGTCAGCTTCCCCAGCACCGTCTACAGCGTCGTCCAAATCTGCATCACTCGACGAACGATTTGGCACGTTGCCAAAATCCAGGAAACCAAGTGTTGATCTGGATGCTGATACCAGGCGCACACCAGGCGGGGACTCTTCAGGATGGGTCTTGGTTATGGAAGATACACCGTCACCCGTCAAGGACAAGGACAAGGAACGACGACGCACTTCAAGCCCACCTTCCTCTGCGCCCACCTCTTTCCGACCCATGTCCTCCGTATCCATCGAGTCTCCTACCTCGAACGGAAGCAACAGCCGAGCGGGGAGTGCGTTGTCTCAAAGTGTTGCTCCAACAGGTATTCGACGCCCTCAGTCCCGACTGTCAACGTCAACCGAAGGCCGGAGCAGCACCAGTACGACCGCGACGACCAGCACGACCAGCTCCGTTCACACTCCATCATCCCGTCCCACCACTCCCACTTTCCTCCCTGTACCCTCGGCAAGTTTGTATGGCGGCTCCGGCATAAAGCGCTCTACCGGTCCGGGCTCTGGAGCTTACGGACAAAGCAACGGGAAGCGTTCATCGCTGGGCGCCAGTACTGCCCGTTCCCCTTCAGAATCCCCCACATTCCTCTCACACTCCAACGTCACACTGCGGCCACCGAAAGGCTCTGTTCTTCCCGCTCCCAACCTTGGGCAGAGTCGAATTGGCAAGCCTTCGAGTGGACGGCGGAGTGCAGGCGGCAGTGATCCGATGGATGCGTTCTTCGCTGACCCCAACATCACCGCACGGAGAGCACGGGCAGGAAGCACCACGCTGATGTACAGTCGGAACGGGGGCTGAAGAGGTTCTGTGTCCCTTGTCCTCCGTGTTTCTCTTGCTCTTCCAGACTTTTGTATCCTGCTCCCTTTCCGCGGTGTTTATTCTCTGGCTTGCACACCCTTGTTATTTAGCTGAACCTATTATCTGCACCGAACCATTCCCCCTCGCAATACATAGTAATTACCCTCCTTGCCCTCCCTAGATAGGAACTGACGATACGACAGACAGGCCTGGATCCGGGTGGCCGGGTTCGTCGTCTGTAGCACCATGTCGCGTACACATGACAATTATGAGATATTACCCTAATTCCGTTAGAACGCCGTGCATTCTAACTTGCGACCAATGTATATTGTTGATCTCACCGAGACACAAACTGCAGCAGAACGACGTCATCGTGCCGTGTCCTCTGAGGTTCGGGAATTGCCGAGCCGCCACGAGAGGCAGCGGGCGCCACCCTACTCATGTTCCGCTCACTCTACCTTGACTCCACCAGTCGTCTTCCATTGTCGCCGTTTGCTTGCCTTCTTCGCTCACATCACTTGTCCTCTACCCACATAATCTCGCCGGCGCCATCCATTCACTTTTCCCTCTCATGGCTTCGAGGCGTCAGATACCCCCCGGCCCGCGCGTTCACTCGACCGGCAGGTCGTTCTCGAAGAAGACGAGTACACCGAGGCACTCTCCCAAATCATCGCACGCGACTTCTTCCCCTCGCTCGTACACCTCGACGCGACAAACAACTACCTCGACGCGCTCCGATCCGATGATCCCCAGCTCATCCAGGCTCTGTGCGCCGCCTCGAGGACCTCCAAACCCCCGTCACCGCCCGCCGGGGGCGGCCGTGGCAGACCCCCTCCCAGACCCGTATGCCCCCGGGCCATCCGAGACCCCGCTGCGCACGCCGCGGAGCGAGCGCGGCGAGCCCGCCGCGAAACGCGCGCGGTTCGACACGGACATGAGCCTCGACGCGTTCCAGGCAAGTACACGTCCGAGGACAACTCGAGCTTCACGCAGATCCTCGCGGACGAGAACCGGCAGCGGCAGGAGCGGTACGGGTGGGCGTGGGCGGCCCAGCGGCGGGTGGAGGAGCAGCGGGACCGGATGCTCGAGGGGGGGCGCGGCTGCTGCTCGAGGCGCCGTCGGGGTGGGCGTGAAGGAGAAGTTCCAGATCGAGGCGCCGCAGCCGGCAGGGCTCATCGAGGCGGGGCGGCGAGCTTGCGGTTGTGTACGAGGACGACGAAGAGGAGGTGGAGGACTCATTGATGGGGCGCATGCTACTAGTCCCGCGGTTGCGCCAAAGCCGAGCTCTGCTCTCGTACTGTCAAAAGGGAAGGAAGAGAGTCAAGATGCCGACGTCCTGGCACCCAAGAAGGACACGCGATCGGCTGGGGTCGACGGATGGGAGTTCAAGGTGAGCCTGAGCGGAGTGCATGTCCTGTGGATCGTCGCTGACATGGATACAGGCCCGAAACGCCCTCATGTTCCTCCTGATGCAGATGTGGCGCCGTACAACAAGGCCAGTGCAAGTGCGACGGAACCGAAAGGTGCTCCGAAGGCGATCAAGCACGGAAACACACGTCTGCCACAACAAGATGACAATTTAGACCATTCCTTATCCGCCCCTCCGAGTCCTACGCGGAGCCGGATAGATGCTGCGATTGCTGGCACTCCATGTGAGCACAGCTCTTTACGTTCTGTACTAGAGATCTCAACGTCGGCTCTCAGATCGCCCCGGTCACCATCCAACAGCTCACACCCATTGGTGCCTTCTGTCCCATCGCCAACACCATCCGAACTTGGCCCCGCGGCGGTAAAGCAGCTCATGACGTGGGGTACGTTGAACGCTACGCCTCGGGTGTTGTCACAATCGGACGATCCAGTCGATTTTCCGACTCCTGCAACACCATTTCGAATCGCGGAGCCGAGCTCTCGAGAGCGACTCTCGCACAAGATGTCCACCGACGCTGCGAAAAGCCTGCGAGCCAAGGCGGGCTTGCTCAGCGGCATGCCGCTGCTGTCTCGATCCTCTGCTGGGAGCAGAGCGCGAAGAACGTCAATGCCCCCGCCATCGTTTACCCCACGCAAGTCGGATGCTCCAGGATCGCTCACGCCAGCGGCGAAGCGCCTTCTTGACAGAACTACGATGGGTACAGCCGCCTCCAGGCGCGCAGACGCGATGGGACGACTGGCAGGCTGGGAAGGGGACCGGAAAGAGAGGGATCTACAGAGGGTCCGGTGGACACCGACGCCGAGTCCGGTTACAAGGCGAGCATGACATTGTACAACTCGACTCCACCCTCCACACCATAATTGCGACAAGGTCCGATATAATGCACAGCAAGAGTTGCTGATGACGATGTTTAGCATAAAGTAGGGGTAGTACGGTCAGCTTGATGACACTTTTCGACGCTTCGTCTGCCGCTCGTCCTCGTGTGGTTCCGACGAATCGTCCGGCTTTATTTTTGGTTTCTGTTCTGCTGCGGCCGACGGCTGTGTGCCAGGAGCGGCTGGCGTCTTCGTCTTCTTCTTGACCAAGACGCCCTTCAGGGACTTCTTGAGGTCTTTCTTCACCGGTGCAGCTGTAGGTTTGGCCTTCGCCGGCGCAGCAGGCGCAGCTACACTGGCTGCGCCGACTGGAGGTGGCTTGTTTGCTGCCGAATCTCTCGCCGCGACAGCCCTGCGCCAAGGGTGGGCGACGGGAAATATGGGAGTCGTACCACGCATAACGTACGGAATGAGCTAAATCACTCACTCGCGGAAGTTCTTGATCTCTTCGCCGTCCATTTCCTTGCGTAGCCGCTCTTCTTCACGCTGCTTCTCGAGCACAGAATCGAGGAAGAGCACTTCATCCTCCTCAAGCGCACGGAACTGGATGCCTGCGCGGTGTGAGCATACGCAGCACGTGGGCACGCACCGCAAGGCGGGTACGCACCTAGTTTGTTCCGTTCCTCCCATTCTTCTTGCTTGGCTGCCTAGAGTGCATAAGCTCGACATCGCGGCTAGCGTGCGCGAATGCTTACTCTGTTCGCCGCGAGTTTCTGCGTGTCAAGGTCCGAGAATTCTTAGAATGGAGATCATGCGGCCGCGCACGTTGGGCTGGCGAACGCACCTCCGCTAGACTTCTACCGTCGAACGCGTCCTCCGCGGGCTGTGGAGGGGCTCCTGGCCCAGCCTAGAGCATGCTCAGAATGGGTCACGGGAGCGAGAGAGCGATAGAGAGCAACGTGCCTCGCATAGGCGGCCCGCCACTGCTCGTCGCGACGCGACTTTGCGGCCTCGAGCTCGCCTTGGGAGACGAAGCGCGAACCCACACCGACGGTAGAGATGGAGGGAATGGCGTCGTCCATGGGGACGGTGACGCGGGACAGGGCGGTCGGGAGGGAGAGCCAGAGAGGAGAGTGGAGAGGACAGACGAGCGGGACTGATCGACTGGGCCACGGCGGTCGGCTCGATCTGACGTGAGGGCGCGGAGACGCCCGTCCCATGCTTCTCTTCCTCCCTTCCCTCGCCGCTGCTGCCCCGCGCACTGGCTGGTCCTCCCTCTTTTTCCGCTCCCTCCCCCCTCCCCCTCCCCCCCTCCCTCTCCGCGCCCGTGTGGCTTTCATGAACCCCGACTCTCTCCCACAGCCGCGCTCGGCCTCGTCGATATCCACCTTCTCAAAGACCCACAGCGTCCACAGTTCACGTGCAGCGGCCTTTAACGTCAAGACCTACGTCAACACCGCACCGCGTACGCCGCTGTCCCCGTCGCCTTGCAGAGGGAATGCATGGACTCACTCTCCCTCCTCCCCATAGCATGGGCAAAAGACGAGCCTCCGTCGCCGAAGGAGGAGTTCAGCGAGAAGTTCGGCCGACCATCGACCGACCCGCGCAGCCCGTCCGATGTCGCGTCTCTGCAGTCTTCTGCTCCCCCAGATGACCCCGGTCCCTCGCGCTGGTGGACGTTCGCGCGGCACCGGCAGGCGGACTCGGGTACGATTCCACTCTCGCCCAGCAACTCCTCCCCCCGCCCCCCGCGCCGGCCCCGGGACGCCGGCCGGTCCATGTCCATCCCGTGGCTGACCAGCTCGATGCTCCGCAAGTCGCAGGAACAGGCGGACGAAGAGGCGGCTGACGGGCGGCCCAGTCTCTCCTCCGGTCCCATAGACGTCGAAGCCCCGACCGAGTCTGCACACTCGTCGGAGTTTGGCAGCGCCCCCCGCCTTGCAAACCGCAGCCGATTACGCATCGACATGCCGCCGCCGCACGCCGACTTCACCCTCGCACAGAACGCCACGCCGGGGTGGGAAACACCCTGGGCGTCCGCGCACCCAAACGGCTCGGGAGCGCGGATGGGAAGCAGCCGGGACGCTCACACTGAGCACGAGGGCGAGAAGCTCTCCCCGTGGCAGAAGCGGCGGAAACGGATCCGAGCGTATGTTCTGTACAACGTCTACGTGCCGCTGGTGAGTCGCTTTCCGGGCCCCGCCCCACGCCCATCTGAATTGTGATACAGCTATTTCGACTGTGCAACATCGCCCTCACGTCAGCCGCGCTGGGCATCGCGATCACCATCCGCAATGTAGAAAAGCGCAACGGTGTAGTTGGTGCCCTCGGACCGTCTCCGTATGTTTTCCGCATAATCACAAGCCGATATCTGCTGATCTGATTTTTCAGTACGCTGGTGATCATTTTTGGGAGCCTCACCCTCCTGCACGTCATGATAGCCATCTACGTATGTGGTATTCCGCTGATTGCGGACTTTTTCGCTGATGTGGTCTCGCAGTTTGAATACTTCGGGCGCCCGTTAGGGTTGTGGCATACCTCCTGGAAGCTAGCGTATACGCTCTTCGAGGTGGTTTTCATCTGCACCTGGTCCGGGGCCTTCGCACTCTCTTTCGACAACTTCTTCACTTCCTTGATACCCTGTGCTCCTGCATCAAGCATATCATGGTACAGCCAACTCCCGCGTCCCGCCCTTCCCAATGGTATCAACGGATTCGAGGGCGGCGTCGGCGACACACTCTGTGACGATCAGTTGGCGCTCATCTGCCTCGTTGGTGTTGGTCTACTCATGTATTGCATTAACCTGTTCATATCCCTCCTACGTATTTTCGAGAAGGTGAAGTATCACCCCACTTCAGTAACCGGTGTATAATAGTCGATCTTCTCCCCTTATACCTGCTACCGTGGAAGACCGGATTTCGGACGGCCACTATCCCGACCACTTGGCGTGCCCACTTCCATTTCGTACGTGGCTTGATTCATGTAAATGCATTTGCCAGGTCCCATGATATCTCAGCAGGCGTCCCTGCCCTCTCCCTCATTCGCCCCGGGCCTCGGTTTACGCTAGTCAAGTTACTTTATTGCTCCCCACCGTCCATGCCTCTACGCCTAGCTGCGTGTGTACGAATATCGCCGTCTTACGCCCCAGATACGACGCCCGCCCATTGATCTCGTGCAATCCATTGCATAACGTGTCGGGGTGCGCGCGAGTAGTCATGTGGAGATGTACGTAGAATGACAGTGAAACCGCAGTGATAGCTCCGCCTGCAATCTTTGTTGCGTGCGAGCATGTGATGGGGGGTCGGGTGCGGGCTGGGGACAAGCCTCGAGATATCCCCACGTCTTTGATTGAAGGCTGCGAGTAATACGGACCCAGAGAGACGATCAACGCGCACCTTCTGGCCGCGGTGATCAAGCACGAGCGAAGGGCAGGGTTGTCAAGAACGCATGGCGGCATAATACTAAGTTCCCGCTACTAAACACACTGAGAGTGTCGCGAAAGCGCCCCCGGGGCAGTGTCGGGCGTCGCGCCGGGAGCATCGCCCTATGCGCGCGCAGCCGTGTGCAGCTGCTGGAGATGGCCGAGGCGTGCTCGCGACGTTCTTACTACTGCTTCCAAGTCGCGATACCCGGCGCACCCGAGGCACTGCGGAGCCCGAGCGATGCTGTTCTATATGGTTTGTTTCTGCGACAGTCTGGAGACCAGACGGGGGAGCGATATTGATATTGATTGTCGGCCGCCTGCGCGCGTGATCCGCGAGGGAGCGGAATGCAGCGGTCGCCCAATCGCGATGCGCTCGATTCCGCGCAGGTCCAAACTTCGCGAACGCGGGCACACCCGGGCGAACCGCAGAAGCCGTGCGTGGGCGGATACTTGGATGATTAGACATACGGAGGATGCCGCCTCGAGCCACATGAACACCGGTACGAGAAAGTCGGAGTGGGCGGGAGACGGGCCCCGTCCGCATGCGTCCGGGTTCTCCTGATACGCCCGTACTCGTCCGGGGCGTCCTGATCAACCATAGGCGTAAACATCTAGGGCGGACCCAAGTACGGCACACAGATGGACGGTGGATCTCTGTGCGGTGCGCCGTTTCAGGACCGCAATACGGCCAGCGGCAGCTGGTCGTTCGCTCGCGATGTCCTGTTTCGCGCTAGCCGGTCCTCTTCCAAATTCTCGCCCCCTACGTATGCGTGTGAGTGCGCGCGGGCGCGCGCGCACTGCGCCCGACTGGTGATCCGCCTCCGTCGTCGGTTTCGAACCCGAGCAACTGTCGTGGCGCATGTCAGGAGCACTGGCGGCGGCGGACGCACCTGATGGGGATGGCGACACCCCCCGACTGGTGTGTATGATGGGTGATTAGAGTGGCTTTGGCGCGGCGCGGGAGGGATTACAATTTCCAGATGGGACGGGCGCCACAGCCGCTGCCGCCGCCTCCAGGTCGGGCGGAAGATGATCGAGGTCGACCGTCGGAGGCCTGGGGTTTGCTGTGCGTCTGCGCGCGCCTGTGCATGCGCGGCGCAGGCGGTCGATTGAATGTTGAAGCAATGGCGCACCGACTTGCCGATCCCGCGACCATCGTCTTTCTCAGTCACCACTTCGGGAGCGCGGCCGGAGAGATCGAGGCCGGGGCGGGAGACGGCGCGGCGCGGCGCGGCGCGATGACAAAGAGGCGGGCGATAGCGATCCAACCGACCACCTCAGCGCGCGGCAGCCGCCGGCTGGGGCCGCGGGGGGGCTGCGATCTGGGAAAGTGAATCTGTCGATCCGATGTCGGGCGGGGGCACCACTCAAGCGCCCAAGCGCCTGTCCCCCTCCTCCTTGGCACCCCCGCACCCCCACACTCGACGGCGACGGTGGCGACGGTGGCGGCAGGAGGCGGGACAGCCGCGTCCGAGGCCCGCCCCCCGCGTCATCGAGTCCGTCGGGGCCGCGCCGCGCACACGCGACAGCCGGACCGCTGCGACGAAATTTGGCAGGCTGCGTCCTCGCGAGCTGCGACGGCCGATGGAAAACGGAAGCGGGCCCGGGTCCGTGCCGCGGACGTGCTGCTCGCAAGGCCCTTCATTTTTTGTGCTCGGCACGCGCGCGTGCAGTCTGGCCAGCCAGCCAGGCTCGCCGCCGCAGGATGAGTGCTGAGGCGGCCGCTTATGGTACGTGCGATCGCCAGCTCGGGGCCCGACCTCGCTCCCCCCGCGCGCGCCTCTCGTCCGAAATCGACCGGAGGTGCAAACCGACTGTGTTTGCGTGAGGGCTGCGCGTCCGTCGGCGGCTCATGCATCATGACGGCGGTACATTGCGAGCAATGCGCCAAGTGCGTGTGCGGCCGACGCTCGTCCCGTAGCGCTGCTACACACAACCCGCCGTCTGCGCCGTGCCCGTGCACGCACGTAGGAGATGAGCGCTTGAGCGGCCAATGCACGGATCCATGGCCCCTTTCTTGCTCCGCCAATCCGCGCTGCCGCTTCCGCGCCTGCCACAACATCTCTCCTCTGCAGCGGTCGGCGGCACGGCCCCGCCGGCGGGTGTGTTGTGTTGCGGTGCCCATACGGCCCTCCGCAGCGAGGGCTTCTGGTGGAAGAAGCCCCCTCATGCCGCATGGCCTCGAGCAGCGTCCCGACCGGGGGACGCCGCCGCGAAACGTGCGGAAGCCGGGTCGCTCTCTTCCCATGGGGCCACCGCTGCACGCCCGCCGCCGGGGCCCGGTCCCAGCGTGGACGGGCTGCGGGAGGCCATCTGTTGTCCGAACGGCACGTCCGTGCTCGCCGCGTCTGCCAGTGGACGCGCCGCACATCCTCCCCTAATTTGTGGCGCCAGAGCGGGAGGTCCGATTGTCCAGGCCGCGGGTGGCGGCGGCGGTGGGGGGAGGAGGAGAGTCGCCCAGTGCCTCGTAGTCACCGATCGTGAGCGCCGCTGCGCGCACCCGCGCCTACCCGCGCGCTTCCTGTCTGCGAATCGAGCGTCTGCGCCGTCAGAGCGTATGGCATTGAAGACGGCGTCGGGCACCCACAAGCGCCACGAGGAACTGAGGCCGCCGGAGCGCTACCGCGCGAGACACGGAAGGGAGGTGAGTGACGTCGACGACAGTGCGCACGTACGGTGCCAGCACGAGGCTTCCCTCCAGGCGTCGACGGCCGCGCGCAACCGCTGGCGGGGGACATGCATTGTCCGCGTGCGTTCCCAGAACGGGCAGCGACGAGCTCTCCGAGAACACCGTACGTGCGCTTCGGAAGGCGGTCGGACGTCGTCTGCCACACGTGCGCGTGGGGGATGCCGCTGTGGGCGGACCACATCCCCCTGTCCGGGGACGCGGGCTGGGTGTGGCCGTCGTCTGGGCTGGGACATCGCTTTGCGGACACATACACGGCCCGCTAGCTGGGGATCAGGAGGATCGGAGGCAGTCGATGAGCGCCCTAGGACCGCCGTGGCAGCGGAACTGGGGGAGGAAGGTAGGTTTGTTGAAGCCCATCGGGTTGGGAGGAGGACAGCACTCGCGGGTAGATATCACGGCCGACCGATCTGTCAAAGGAGTGATGAGCTCGAACCCGAGCCGGGGAGACAGTGAGAGGCCGTGATGATGGATGGCGAGCGCAGAGGGGGGAGAAACAGCCTGCGCTGACGACGAACCGGTGCGTGGGGGGCAGGCGCCGGTGGGAGCGGAGACGGAGACTGGCGTGGTCCGTCGACCAAGGAGATTTGCAGCTCGGATGCTCGCATCTCGGAACGGACTAGCGCACCAGCCCTCCTCCGTCGGTTCGCGGACTCAGCGAGCCCTCGTGGCGCTGCTTGCACATCGGACGCACTCGGCAGCCTGGGCGCGTGTGGCGAGCGGTGGGCTCTCGGGGCCGGGCTGAGCGAGCACGCGGACGAGAGAGAGGGTGCGAGGAGTGCCATTGTCGGGATGGGGGCTCGAGCCTGGAGAAGGCGGGGCTCGTAGCCGCGCGCGGACAGAGACGCGCGCTTTGGATCCGTGATCCCGGTGTTCGAGAAATCGTCCCCGCCACGCGCTCTCCGACCTCTTCGGTCAACGCTCCCTTAAAGCTGCCCTCTCCGGCCCATCTTCCCCACCGCCAGCCACCCTCCACTCACACCTCTCTTCTCTCTATCCTGATCTCGCCCGCCGACTTCATCACCTCGCCATGTCCTCCGACGCGTGCTGGAATGTGCTCCCCACCGAGATGAAGCTCGCCGTCGTCGGCCTCCTTGATGCCAGCGACGCCTGGCAGCTCGCAAACACCAGCATGGAGTCTTACGCCCTCGCACTTCCCGTTCTCTTCCGGGTGAGTTCCCTTTCAAAGGCATGCGCCTCTAGACCCCTCTCCTCATCTCGCGCCAGACCGTCCACATCCAAAGCGCCGAAGCGTTGCACGTCTACGCTGATGCCGTCCCAAAAGCCCACAACCGGCACATTCGCCAACTGACCATCTCCACCAAACGCGCTACCCAGCGCCGATCCGCTCAGCCCCTCCGTGTGACCGACGCACTGGTCGAAATCCTCCCCCACTGCTCACAGGTGGAGCAGCTGACGCTCAAGCTCGCCGCTTCCTTGACCAAGGCTGTGATCCCCTGCTTCGAAGCACTCGCTGCGCTCGAGTCCTTGTGCATTGGCCATTGCGGCGATGCTGCCCGCTTCCCTCTGTATGTGCACCGTCCCCGCCCGAACCTAAACGGCGATCACTCACTTTTCCGCCTCCAGGAGCGAGCGCCTCGTTGTTTCCATCGCGGCCTCCGTCCCCAACCTTCGCCACCTCTCGCTCGACCACATCACTCGCTCGGCCATCCACGCGCCCGACCTCGTCGGTGCCCGCCCCTTCGTCCCGGTCGTGAAAGGAGACGAGGACGTGCCGGACCACCCCCTGCTCGGCCACGAGCTCCGCCTGCCCGCCCTGCTCCGCGTCCCCACCCTCAAGAAGCTCCGCATCAAGGACACCCACCTCGGCGACCCCCAGTGGGAGACGATGCCGGTCCGGTGCGCGCTCGAGGTGCTCGACCTCGGGAGCTGCTACCACGAGTCGACAGACTACAACCGCACGTGCACGGAGCGCATCATGGGCAACATCGGCCACACCGTCGACGAGTGCGCGCTCAACACCGCGCTCACCCCCGAGACGTTCGCGCACGCGAAGAGCGCGGAGCGCCCCCGCCCGCTCACGCGCCTCCGCCGCGTGCACCTCACCCCGCTCTTCCCGGTCGAGAACGTCGTGGACACGCTCGCCGCGCTCGCGGAGTCCCCCGTGGAGCGGCTGTCGGTCGAGTGCCACGCGGACGACGTGGTGGACATGTGCGACGCGCTCACGGACTTCCTCCACCTCCGCGTCGCGCAGGGCGACAAGGGCTTCTACCGCCACCTGCTCGAGATCTCGTTCTCCACCGTCTCCGACCTCGCCGACGCGTTCGACATCGGCCTGGGCGCGCGCGCGGCGGCGTTCCGCCGCGCTCCCGAAGACCTCCCTGCAGACGCCGCGGAGGCGGTCCGGCGCCTGATGGCGTACTGCCAGGAGCTCCGCCTCGGCGCCGCGAAGGAGGACAAGAAGCCGGTCACCGTCATGGGCCGCGGTCGGAGCGCGAGCGCGCCCGCCGTCCTCTTTGCGTAGGCGCGCTCGTCGACAGATCGTCAGAGCTGTCTGGTCGGTGCCGCCTGCCGGGGCGCGGGCTCCGACTCGGAGCCCGGAGTCGCGGCAGCGCCGTCCTCGCTCGCGGCATGTTGCCGTGCCCAAGCTTCTTTCCCCCTTCGCCCTGTGCCCGCAGGGGTTTGGCCCTCGGGTGCGCTCGGGGCCGTATCCTTATTGTCGTATACCCCTTCTTATTTGGGTTTCTACTTCTGGTCTCCGCCTGCGGATGCCGTGCGATCTTTGCTGTGTTACTGCTATCTTTATGCCGATACCTGTTTATGGACCCCGCTTCAACTTGTATGTAGATTACCGCACTGGATACCTCGGGATAATACGCGCCTGGCCAGCCCTCGCGCTTCTTGCCTCGCTCTCATCTTGACTCGTGTGCTGGGGCCGATGTGGGATGCGGTACCCCCTCCCGCAAGATGCCTTTCTGGAACGCGTTTCATTCGTTTTTCATCCTGAGCGCAGTCCCGACGCGGAAGTCCGCGTGGGCGACCGGCGCTGTGCTGTAGGCACATATCGTCAAGCTGACTCTGGGAAACCTGGCGTCCCGCATGGGCTCCTGTTAGAACAGGTTGGTGGGTGCGCACACCTTTCCACATCCCACTTTTCCCAGCCAAGGTGGGTGTCGATTGGGACACTATCGCGACGCCGGCGTTGAGAAATGCGCGCGCGAGATCAAACTATGTACGAATGTCGCGACCGGTGGATCATCGGATTTCGTTTGCATCCTTGACGGGCGAACTGGGCTTGAGCCTTGGACCCTGGTGTTGAGGCACTTCACCGAGGCACAGGGGGCGGGCGACGTAGCCGACGCCAGCTCCATGCTCCTCGCACACGCTTTAGCGGACGGGTATCAAATCGTCGGCTCTGGTGTTTGTCCAAGATCGGGCTTGTTTCTGTACGGAGCCGTGTGTTTCTTCTTCTAAACAAAAGGTGGAGCATGCGTATACCAACGTGTAACCTTTTATCGTTATCGGTCGAAGAAAAGGACTGCCAGACGGCGTTTCTCATCACTGGGGTCATGATACATAGCAATATGCGCCGCTTACGCATGCTTGACAGTACTTGGCCGTTTTTATTTCCACGCATCAGGGCGGTGACTAATTCCAGTGTATGTATGATTGGCTTGGTCCTGCACGGATGACGAAAACAACGACGGTCCAACGACGTCGCAAGACAGTTGTGCGGCGCGTCTGGGTAAGCATCATGCGCCGGCCACCTGACAGATACCGTGCTGGTTCGTTAAAGTTGGATGAGATGGGGCTCGCAAACAGAGGAATATCGGCATCTCGATGCAGAAGCAGCTGCGCGCAAGCCGCGCAGCACCGGCGGACGCACTGCGGGAGAATTAGATAAGCGGGCGTTGTGGCGCTTCCCACGCCTGCGCTGGCGCGTGGACACGTCCAGAAGCCGTCGGCTCGGATTCGGTGCGTTCTTGTCTTTGTGGTGTGTCCCCCTCTATTTCAATTTGAAGTTGATCTAACCTCGCCCCGGACAGCCAAGGGCGGCGGACGGGATGATGGTCCCAGCAGGAGCCCTCGAATGGGGGAGCCCGACCGCGGCGGCGGAAGGGGGAGCAAGCTTGCTTCGTTGCCAGGCGCGGAGGGAAGGCTCCTGGGAAGATGAGCAGCTGATGCAGATGCACGCTGCCGTGCTCGCCCACTGCCTGGTCATCGCGGGCGGTGGCCAGCAAAAATAACCAGCACTCCTCCTGCAAAGCGCCCGCCTTGTCCGCTCTCTGGGCAATATGCTTGTCCCTCTCTCTGCCCGCAAATTCTCCTTGGCTCCCCGAGAGGCTCTAGTTTCACGCCCTGTTACACTAGGCACCCCCTCCTCGCTTGAAACCCGGCTGGCAACGGAGGCGACGCCGCGCATCGGCGCACCTTCATCCGAGCATTACGGCTGCAATTCCCGAGCATCAGCGCTCAGCTCCCAGCGCCCCACCCCGCCCGCAACCGACGTCGCACGCTCCGCCGCCCTCCCCCGCTTGGACGCCCGCGCACACTCTTGCCTTACTTCCACTACTTGCTTCTCACTGTCCCTCCCTTCGCTGTCCTTTCTCTTGCTTTCCCTGCTTCCTGTAAAGCTCCTGGTCCGGTATGGATCCCCGGTATCCTTACGAGAGCATCACGCCCTCGACCTCCACACGCCTCCTCCCCGGCACGCAGGGATCCCTCCGCGCTTCCCCGAGCCGACAGTCCTTGGTGCGCATACACCTCCCGCGCTCCACCTCGCCCTTGACCGCCTATCCCTCTCTCTCCCCAGCGCTCAGAGTCTCGGTATGGAGAATCCGGACTTGACTCGATGAACACATCGCTTGCCGAGAAAGTGCGTTGTGGCCGTGCCGTCTCAGATCTGTATGTTTCCGGTCCTCATCCTCTCCCACTCTAGTACTCCCTCTCGCCGGACCCGTCCAGTTGGGGTGCGGATGTCTCCTTCAACCACCCAGAAGATGACGACAGCCTCCACAACCCGAACCCGAAGCGGGACCACAGGGCCGACAAGGGCGGCTCCGTCTTCACCGCGAGAGGTCTCATGAACCTCGGCTGCATCCTCTTCCTGGCCACCGCGATCCTCATGCTCTTGTGAGTCCTTTCCATCACTACCGCGCTACGATCTGTGCCCGCTCACCGCCCGAGACAGCGCTGGATACCCAGTACTATCCTACTTCCTGCGCACGCCACTGAGTACGCAGGGCGGCTTCAACCTCGGCGGGACCAACGCATCCGGACAGGTCCCGGACTTGTCGGGCAACTGGGGCCTCATCGACATCGAGACCCCGCAGGAGTGGCACTCGTACAAAGACTTCCGGACGAACAAGGACTGGCAGCTCGTCTTCTCCGACGAGTTCAACACCGATGGACGCTCGTTCTACCCCGGCGACGACCCATACTGGGAGGCGGTCGACCTGCACTACTGGGCGACGAACAACCTCGAGTGGTACGACCCCAAGGCGATCACGACCAAGAACGGCTCCCTCGAGATCACGCTCAGCGCGGAGCCGAACCACGGGTTGGACTACACGGGCGGGATGATGTCCACGTGGAACAAGTTCTGCTTCACCGGCGGCCTCGTCCTCGCCAGCGTCGTCCTCCCCGGCTCGAACAACATCCTCGGACTCTGGCCGGCCATCTGGCAGATGGGCAACCTCGGACGCGCCGGGTACGGTGCGACTCTGGAGGGCATGGTGCGTGTGCCGGGTTCCAGCTCCCCCCGAAGGCACACCGTTGACGCACTCTCCAGTGGCCGTACTCCTACGACTCGTGCGACGTCGGGACGGTGAAGAACCAGACGCTGAGCGGCCTCCCCATCGCCGCGACGAACACCGGTGTGGACGACAAGACGGACTTCGCGCTCTCCTACCTCCCCGGGCAGCGTCTCTCGCGCTGCACCTGCCAGGGAGAGTCGCACCCCGGGCCTATCCACAGCGACGGCACGTACGTCGGTCGGTCGGCGCCCGAGATTGATATGTTCGAAGCCCAGGTGCGTCAAGCTGCACTGATATCGCCGAACACTTGGGGCTCACTGGCAATGCAGATCTCAAACTTCCCTACCGGCGACGATCCCCTGACGGGGCAAGTGTCTCAGTCCGGACAGTGGGCGGTGAGTTCGCCGTGCTCGGAGAGCCTGTGAGCAATGGACGGGTGCTCATGTGGAACATTCACCAGCCGTTCAACGAGCACTACGAGTGGTTCAACACGACCGACAACTTGGTTATCGCGAATGCTAGTGCCAGTCTGGCAAACACCTACACTGGTGGCGTGTTCCAACAAGCCAGCTCCGTCGTCACTATCACCAGTCAGTGATCGACAAATGGTGTGCTTGATGATGTGCTGATACACAGTTACAGACCAGGAAGCTTACGAGTTGACCGGCAATAATATTCCACCTATGGCATTCAGTACCAGCCTGGGTTCGATGGCGCTGTGAGTGCCCGGCTGCCAGGTGCTACCGCGTAACTGCTTGCTGAGTGCGCTGGGTCGTCCAGTACATCACCTGGATTACCGACAGCAAAGAAGCCTGGACGCTAAACCAGGCCGGCTTTGCGGCTGACACCAGAGTAGAGATTGGCCCTCGTCCTGTTCCCCAGGAGCCCATGGTGGGTTCTTCGTATGATATTCCCTGACGGCTTGCTGAATCTCTCGGGATGCAGTATCTGATCATGAACTTGGGCATGTCGTTCAACTTCGGCACCGTTGATCTGCAGCATATTACTTTCCCCACAAAGATGAAGGTCGACTGGATTCGTGTATACCAAGACCCGAGCAATGTCAACATTGGGTGCGACCCTCCGGATTTCCCGACGAGTGACTATATCAATACGTGAGCCTTTCTGTGCTTCATCGTAGGTGCTGCGACTGACTGAGATTGGTTGCATAGGTACATGGAAGCGTACACAAACCCGAACCTGACAACCTGGGTGGATGACTTCAACCAGACGTTCCCTAAGAACAGCTTCCTCGGCGAGTGCTGAGCCGGACTTAGCTCTAGCCGTGATCTCCTGTCTGTTTCCTGTGCTCTACTCTGCTGCCATATGTTTCCCTCGTCACGCACGCTTGAAGATGCTTTCGCGGCCGAGGCATCGGCCGTCGATCACCGCGAAGACTCGATACCCGCAGCGCCGTTCGTCCGCCGCACCACCTACGCGCGCGGGTCGTCGGCGATAGGTTTGCAGCCGACCGCTGCATGGGAGGCGACGACGCGACGTTGCATCACACCCAGCGTTTGCGCTCCCCTACTCTTCGCCGCTCACGAACCCACCCCGTTACCCTGCACCCACACCCGCAGTCCTTACTCCATCCTGGTCTCGGTCTCCACCGCATCTCATGTATCCACACCTGGACGTACTTTGCATTAATCGTATTTCTCACCTATTTGGATCCGCTGTCACCTCGTAACTCCGTGATTTCGTCATCGACGCGCATCTGTGTTGTCGACGCCGAGTGGTGATGAAAAGGTCGCCGTGGTGGATGTGCGGTGCCCAGCCGCTGCGGCGGTATCTTTCTGCCTGTGGCGGCCCTCCCGGTGTCGGACTGACTCTAGCTAATAGTAGTGCTGCCACTCTACCTTTAACATAAGGTCGGGCCCGGCACGTACTAGGACCGCGCACCGCCGGGGTGTGCGAGGGTGACACCAAGGGGCTCCCACACCCGACCCCTCGCGAGTCAGCGCGAGGCCGGTCCCAAACGTCAAGGTTAGTGTCAAAGTCGGCGACGGGGCGACCCACGCCTGTCGGACGGAGCGTCAACCGGCCCTACCACGGGCTCCTCGGACGTGGCTCCCCCAAGGCTCCCCCCTCCAAGCTCACGGGAGACGGGATCAGTGGCCCCCACTACGAGCAGCCGCGTCCCAGCAGCCTGCTAAGCTCGCGTTCGACCCTTGCGCAATCACCGCGCGGGCACTTGGCGGAGCGGGCAAGCGAAGCATGTTTCCGGATCGGGCAACTCGTCCTCCCATGGACGTCGTCGTCACCGAGAACGACTCTTCCGTCCGTCCGTCCGTCGCTCGCCCGCGCGGGCCTCGCTCCACCCCGCGGTGCACAGCGGGGGCGGCGGAGAGACACGGCGGCCGTCGCCGCGCCGGCTCCGTGCACACTCGCGTCTCACGAGCTGGCCCCCGGCCCCGCGCGCACGCGCGTGCAGTGGTGGTGGTGGTCGTCGTCGTCGCGCATGGACGTCGCTGTGCGCGTCCTGGAACTTCGCAGCCGAGCTCGGACGCCGTCTCGCACCTCGAGAAGATCTCGTGCTTTGGCTGCTTAGAGCTGCAAAATTTCGATGCGTGGGCGAGATCGGACGAGGAAGACAGACGGAGGCGGGGCGAGAGGGTGATGTAAGAAGGGCAAACGAGACCCGGACGACCGTGACCTAGCCACACGCACAGGGCGCTGACATACGAGTGAGCAGGCCTGCTATCCATCAACAAGAGGCCCGCATCACCGCTCTCGAGCCCCACCGAGCGCGCCCAACGGAGAAGATCCATCGTCGGGCTCAGTCTTAAGCGAACTCGCGCGCGTCGGTGCTTCGCTGCTCGGGGCGCCGCCCTGGGTCCTTCGACCGGACACCACACCTGTCGCAGCGGCCCGGGCGCATCATCCGAGCACCTCGAAGCACTCGGGCTGCGGCGATTGTGGGTGTCCCTGGTTCCCCTGCTCTCGCGAGACACGTCTTTGCGCGCGCGAGGCTCGGGGTCGGAGACGCACCCATCGCGGGATCAGTCGATGCCGACCAGGCACGGGCGTACGCGGGGTTCAACGTTCAATTACGCTCATTGAAGCTGTCCGGGAATGTGCGACGAGCGAGCGGATCAGGGCCCCGGCCCGCCACCAGGCACCTCCGAGGGCGACGTGGCTCGTTTATTGCGCCTCGCGGGGCGAAGGAATGGTACGCACGCACCGCCAGCCGCGCTACTGTAGTGCGGCGCCTGGCGCAGGCGAGGATGAAGACGTCGAGGAACAAGGGGCGGACGCAGCCTGTGTTCGGACGCGAAGAGGCATGCGCAGAGCCCGCGGCCGCAGGGAGACTGGCTAGGCATGCTGGGGCATCGTCGTGAGTGGACGTGACCCCTCCCATGCCACCGCCGTCGGCCAAGCGCATGGATCCCCCCTCAGCCAAGCTCATCGTCGTGAATGGGCTCCAAGAACATGAGGGCGCAATGACATAGCCCCGGGACCAGCTGTGACGACGTGATAAATTGTGGTGCAAGCTCACGTACGGCGTCTCACGGCCCGGCAGAGAACTGCGCTCGCTCGATGAATGAATTTGAACGAGGCGCGGCTTGGATCGACAGATGGAGTGCCCAGGCGATTGCAGAGCGTGCCTCGAAGCGTCGATCAGCTCTCTCGGACATGTGGGCTCCACCCCGTCTGTGAGCGTGAAGGATGGCATCCGTACGGTGCGAGGTGAGAAGACAGCGGTTCTACTGATGTCTCCGGCCAGCGGCTCGCGGGCTCCTGGTTGGTACGCGAAACAACTCCAGGGAGAGACTCAGCGAAGGACTTTGGTCTAAACGTGGAGGCCTTTGTATTCCAGCTTCCATGAAACCGGGATCCAGGCATGTGGAGATAGAAGAGACCGGGCGGGATAGAAGGTAGGCTTCTCCGTGGCGCGAAACTGGGATCTGTGCAATTTGAGAGGCCATGATGAAAGTGGAGGTGTGCTGGATGAGACCTACAGCTAAAGCGGACATATGGCCTTCAGTTAATCGCGGAAGAAAATTCACGGTCGGCAGGAATGGTTTCCGACTGACGGGGCGGCAATTGAGGCGTGACCCGTGTGCCCAAGGGTGTGAGTGCTAAATTTCCGGAGGTAGAGTCCTGCGGAGGATGAGCTGCAACGCGAAACACGACGGGTCCGACGTGAGGCGGGGGAAGAAAACTGAGCGAGTGTGTCGCCGACGACGAAAGCTGCGCAGACAGTGGGTGGTTGCAGGCGGATATGATGATGTCGGTGCGCAGGAGCGGTGCGCCCCGACGACCGAGCTCGGGACGGGAGTGCGGGCGGCGGGGCGGGAGTCGGGCGGGAGGAAGGGAAGGGACGGAGGTCAGGGCGAGCCGGGGCGGCAATCTGGATCTGGCCTGCCAGCGCCCACGTCCACCAAACGGTCGTCTGCGGTCGCTCCTGCTCCTGCTCGCGCTGTGGTCCGCGACGATGCGGCTGACTCGCGCATGACGTGCCCAGCAGCGTGTGCGACTCGGCCGGCGCGCGCGTCGCGACACGGACGGTGCACGTCACGTACGCGTTCGGGCTCATGCACGTAGTACTACGCTTGCGCTGCCGCAGTGCCTGCCCACGGCTGTGCGCCGCCCCCGCCGCGGGTGGACATCCCAGATCCCATCGTGCCCTGCGCGTCCGCCGCCTGTTCCTGGTGAGCTGCTCCATCGTTTTCCGCGGTACGTTTTCGGCTCGGAACGCTAATGCCCTGCATCCTTCCCCAGCAACCTCTGGACGCCGACGCTCGCCATCCACCGGTCTCTTCCTGCGAGAATGCATCTTGCCTTTTTCTGTCCCGGCGTCCGCCCTTGCCCCTCGGCATGGGCACTAGTTCAGACCGCGGTATAGCCACGCTCAGAGACCTGTCACCCACCTCGACGTCGCCGGTTGGCACCCTGTCCAATTTACCAGCAGAATTGCCGGGCTTCGAAGTTTTGATGCTTTCGTCTGTGGACCCGGCCCCGTCCACCACCGCTCCGTGTAAGTACCGCCCCACGTCCTCCAAGTATAAAGCCTACTCACCATCCAATCCATCCACTCATCATCCGCCCTCCCCCACACCGACAATTCGCCATGGTCTACAGAACACACCTCACCGTCCTCGAGCAGAGCGCTGCTCTCTACTCCTCCGCCCCCGCCTTCAGGATACCGCGCCTCTCCCCCACCGGCGCCGTTGATGAGTGGGACTCCATCTCCTACTCCCAGTTCCTCCTCGACGTCCAGCGGTTCGCAAGGCATTGGGCCAGCGTGCTCTCCTCGCACAACCTTCCTCGGCGCTCTATAGTCGGCTTGTGGTGAGTCAGACCCGGGCCGCTACGGTTCGATCAGTGGTTAAACAAGCTTTCCGCAGGCTCGGCGGGACCACTTACCTCGACGTACTCCACGTATACGGGATTGCGAGGGCCGGCTACATCCCCCAGCTGTTCTCCCTCCGACTACCCAGCCCCGACGTCGTATACGAGCTTCTCCACCGCGCAGGTGCACAAGCTCTGATCTTCGACCCCGCCTTTGAATCCATCGTCGTCGACTGCGCCATCCCGGCGGAGCTCGCGCTCGATGCCCGCTCAATAGACGTCTCGGACAAGCCTCTTCCACCGATCTGGACCCCGTCCAACGGCGACGACGTTGTCATGATCTATCACACCTCCGGATCGACATCGGGAAGTCCCAAGCTTGTTCCGTGCACTGCCGACTGGGTGAACGCCACCGTAGACAAGGCGGCTCGTGTCACCAGCCCTCGCAGGTCTGGGAGGCGAGACGTCACAGTCTGGATGTGAGCAAAACTTCTGGCTATTCCACCCATGCAAGTACTCACTCACCTTGTCTACCAGCGGCAGCATGTCCCACATCGGACAGACCTTCATGCTCATGGGCTTCCTGCAGCACGGAGCATGCACCGTACAGCCCAGTCAACTCCCCTTCCCTTCATCCGAGCTGCTCGACATGGTCCACCGCTGCGGCCTCAACCGGCTCAATCAATTTGCATCCTTCTTGGGAGCCCACCTCCGTGCCGCTCGGACCGACGGCAAGCTCCTCGCCGCGCTGCAAAGCCTCGACGAGCTCCTCTACACCGGCCTCGCCCTCGGCGTCGACGAGGAGACCTGGGCGCGCGAGAAGGGCATCCTCATCAAGAACTGCTTCGGGAGCACCGAGGTCGGCGCGATGCTGCTCTCCGTCGGCGGCCGCGGCCTCGACGCGAACCAGCTCCAGGCGATCGAGGGCACCGACTACACCTTCGTCCCCGCCTCGCCGTCCCCCGCCGCGTCTCCCACATCGCCCACCACCCCCTCCCCAGTCGACGAGACGAAGTACACGGACGCGAACTCGCGCCTGCTCGAGCTCGTCATCCTCCCGTCCTCCGGGGACTGCCCGCACCCGTCCCTGCGCGCGCCCGACGGGCTCTACCGCACCGGCGACCTCTTCCTCGAGGTCGCGCCCGGGCGGTACGTCTCCCGCGGGCGCGACGACGACTGGATCAAGTCCGCGAACGCGCTCCGCTGCGACACGCGCGCGGTCGAGGACAACGTCCGGGCGACGTGCGCGGACCTCGTCGGGGCGTGCATCGTCGTCGGCAACGGCCGGCCGTCGCCCGCGCTCTTCGTCGAGCCCAAGGTCTCCGCGGCGGAGGCGCGGGAAGGCCAGGAGCCCGGTGCGGCAGAGGCCGCGGACGCGGAGTCCGAGGTCGAGAGGCTGAAGGCGGCCGTCCTCCGGCGCACGCGCCACTTCCACTCGCGCCGGTACATGCACGAGCGCATCGTGGACCCCGCGCTCGTGTTCGTCGTGTCCCCCGGGACGCTTCCCCGGACGGCCACGAAGGGGAACATTCGTCGGCGCGCCGTCGAGGAGCAGTTCAGGGCGCAGCTCGACCAGGCCTACGGCGCTGGGTGCTGAGGCACTGTCCGCAGTCTCTCTGCGCCCCGTCTTCGTCCCCGCGTCCTTCTCCTTCCCGGCTTTCCTGCACGACTTTCGACCGGAGCCTTCGTGGCGTCGCCCTCCCGCCTTCTCGCCCTTTCCCCCCTCTACCTCCGGTCTGCTGCCTGGTCTGGGGCAGATGAGGGAGGAGCAACACGGGTAGCGTGGGTCAAGAAGGAGCGCGCGTTGAATCGCGAAGGGCGGATGCGGGGCGCGGAACGTCGGCGCGGAACGCGTCGGCTGCGGTTGTCGTTGAGGCCAGGGCGGCGGCACTGTCCCCGTCGGGCGTGCGCGGATAGAGTCGGGCCAGGAGGGGCGGGGCAGGCCACGCGGCCACGCGACGCGACAGGGCGAGGAAGCACGGTGGATGTATGCGAAGCTGCTGCCATGTGCTCGCGTGAGGGGCAGGCGAGAAACCAGGGGCTCGGGGAGGCTGGGGTTTGGAAGAAGGTTCGGGCCACATCCGTGCTATCTATTTGCACCGTTCGGGGGAGAGGCCTGTACGAGTGTTGGACTCGAAGACTTTTGCGGTGTATGTTGTACTCTTACTATACTCAGTCACCGTAGCGCACGGGGTCTGTACGTTAGATATGTTAGCCTAGGACCCACATAATGGAATCTCGGCTGCTACGCTTCCACGCCGATTTGAGATTGCGCACCGAAACTCCCATATATTTTTACGTTTGCCCTGCCGCGCACGCGTGCGGTAGAGGTGTCGAATCCCTTGAGGGCAACATCATAGCACCGTGGACAGAACTCTGAGGGTGAGAGCCTTTACTCAGCGCCACCGCGTGTGGCACGCATCGCGGCGCAAATTCCCCAGCGTTGACAGTCTGGGTCCGTTGTATGGGTACCATTCGCGGCGTCCTACCACGCCAAGAACCGGTCAGGTACCCTGACACACCCTGCGCACTGCGCAGACCGGCGTCAGCCACGGCTCCGTTCGGAAGCTGCGGTGCTCATTGACCTTCCGACTGACGAGCTCATGCTGTGCACTTCAGTCGGCAGGGCGTGACCGGAAGGGAAGAAGTCGATCTCGCGGAGGCGAACGGAGTCGGAGCGTGCCCACCTTGTTGCGGAAACCATCGGGCCCTGTACCACGACATCGGCGCGCGGGCGGACTCGGCGCACGGGCTGGTATTCATGGTCAAAGGGCTTGGCGGCAGGCGTACGGCATGCATCCTTGTCATGGCTGTTTGCTCGATGCACGAATGTCAAAAAGAAGGGGCGTCACGGGACCTTGGCATGAGAGGAATCGAGGGAGCGCAGCTTAGGGATTTGGGTGATGCGCGTAGGGAGACAGCGTGTCGTACGGCGAAACGAAAGAACGTGGGGACGGCGGAGATGGTCTTCTTGGCATGCCGACTCGAATGGGGCTGTACGGCGGATAACATTCCTGAATCTGCGAGTATCACCCGCCGGCACCTAGGGAGTTCCACGGGAGTGACATCGTGGGTCTCGCTTTGCAGAAATCGGGCGCGGGCTAGCGTGACATGAAACTGTTGGATGTGTATGGGATGTACGAAAGGTGGTGGCGAAGGACATACACTCGATCGGGTAGTTCCAAAAACCCCGCCGGCGTGACACAGCCGCACGAGCCATCCATCGGGGTCCTCTGACAATTGGATGGTACCGTGGCAGGTACTTGAGCTAGGCGAACAAGAGTGAATAGAGACAAAGATAACAATAACGAATACTGCGTACCAGACGGCGCACCTGCCCCCCAGTCCACGTCCAGGGAAAGGGGCAGCCCGGGATATTCTATCAGTCCCATGTGGATTTTAATTTGACTTGAAGTTTTTCTGTGCGAAACCTGTGAGTGTTCGTATCAATAAAACCCCACGCACGGTGTCATTCTGCACCACATAAAGCGAACCTACCGCGTCATCCATCATCCTGGCTCTCCAAAACCTCATGGTCGCTCCGTAATTCCGACCGGGGTTGGTCATCGTTCAAAAGAATTTCATGAAGGCCGACACGGAATACGAACGTCCCGATATCGGTGCTGCCGGGCGTTCTGACAAAACCTTTAATTTCCGCTCTCTCGACTAGCTTCGCCCGCATGTGGTCCTGTGCAGAAGCGTCCGCTAGTGAATAGGACGCCGGAAAGGGATCAACGGGAGATCGCTGGAGAGTGATGTGATGATGTATCGGCAAGCCCTGGTCCGAGTGCTGGAACGCGGTACCGAGGACTTGGTTGTTTCCGCTGTACGGCCGCCGCTGAGTGCTAATGTTGGAAAGTACTTCCGCTGCGCCATGAGGAGAATCAAAGGGTGCGGGGAAGGGGTGTAGATGCTGCCGGTAGAACGGTGATACAAGTCCGTCGGCGGTAGTCGGCTTTGAGACGGAGTTGAGGCCCCAGTTAGAGAGTAAGATGACTGGACGGTGGGCACGCCTGAATTGATGCAACGCGTTAACGATGTGGTGGGTAGGGTTGGACGGTAGAGCAGCTTCCGATGAGCGATCGGAAGAGTTTCGAAGCTGTTCAAGGGCAAATCTATCGCGCCAATAAAACGCGCTCAGAGAATCGATGGCGACCAGACCCAATTCTGTTTCACATAGCCGAGCGTCACTTGTCAAGATGTTGTGAAGGTTAAGAATGGTGATAGCCAGCTGGACAGACGAAGTCGGCCGGAGCACGAGGAGTCGTTCCAGACACTGAGTAGCCATACTTGTGACCTCGTCTTCGCTCACTGCATTGTCTATCGTCCTCAGTAAGCGTCGAATACGCGAGCTCAGGAGCTCGTGGAGCCTTGAAACGTTAAAGGTGCCGTCGGTGTCGAGGACTACGGCGGCTTTGGCCCAGCCGGAGAGGGAGGCGTGGTGATGTTGAGAAGGCAAGAGACAGGTGAGAATCATATGATACAAGAAGTGCGTCTTTCCACTTGCGGCAGGTCCCTGCACTTCGATGACATCCCCCGAGCGAGAGGCCATTCGCGGGAGAGGCGATGTGCGTTCTGCGTAGCCAAATGGGCGTCCAGAGAGGATATCTGCGTTTGTCCTACGGGCGATGCTGGAGTACGAGGGTGTAAGCAAACCCAATCGTAGGAGACGCTGAGAGCTCACTTTCTTGTCTGACAGAAGCCAGGAACTAAGACGGGGTCAGCGTGGAGGCCTCTGGTACCTGCGAGTGGCCGGGAGACGCACGGAAAGCAAGGACTCCGATTCGATGCCGGCAAGCACGTCTGCCGCGCTCGGCGTCCCCTCTGCGATCATCCCGCTGTGGGTCCAGTTCTTGGCCGCGGGTTGTGGGGTTCTGTCTGGTGGCATCCAGGAGCGAGCCTCAGGCTGCAGTGGCGCGGCCCGGCAGGCGATCCTCGGACACGTGGAGAAGGCGCCCAGGATGTGATTGTTTCCGTCTGAGTCGAGGGTGGCAAGCGTTGACGACCATCCTCACCATCCCCCGCACCGCCAGCTCACCCATTCCGACCCATCCTCCTCTTTTCGACGGCAGGCCTGTCGAGCACGACCCCAATCTCGCGAAATACCCACTTCTAACTTATACCACCATGGCGACTGCTGCACCTCCCAGGGCCCCGCCTACCTCGCGACGATCCATTTCCAGCACGGGCTCTACTTCCACTTCCTCCTCAATTGTCAAGGGCGCGACTGCCAGGTCCGCCGTAAACCCTCGCGCATCCCCCTCTCTGAGCTCACCCGCACGGAGGACTTCTGTCAAAGCCGTGGCACCCTCCGCACCCGTCAATGGCACTGAGACACGCGAGTCTTTGTCTGCTTCTCTCAAGGAGGAGACGGACAAGAAGGAGAAGGTATGTTTCAGTGGTCACCATCCCCAAGCGTTTTCCAACCCGTCTTCAAGCTTCTTGTGCAAATCCAAGACAAGGAGCAGACGATCACAGAGCTCTCGACCGAGAACAGCAACCTCACCTCTGCTCTTAATGCCGCCGAATCACGTCTCCAGGAGTTTTACGCCGACCAGAGTCGCATGGAGGAAGAGATGGCTGCCCGCATAGAGGTCATCGAGAAGCTCCGCACACAAGTCCGGGATCTGGAGAAGGAGAAACGTGACGTTCAGAAGAGATATAACGAGCAGGTCAGAACACCTCGTGTGACTCTTGTCACTTTGGCCTGATCTATCCCTGCAGACGACTACGTTCGATGCCGAGCGGCAGGCTTTCTACGACAACGAGCAGCACCTCAAGTCCCGCATACAATCCCTCACCCAAGCCCGCAAGCAGCTGCAGCCTGTCCTTACGTCTCCGTCCGTAATTTCCATTGCCGAGTCCGAAATGGACGTAGAAGATACTCCGACCGAGGAGCCCGAGCCCATGCAAGACATCAACGACCCCGAACAGGAACCCGCCGAGATGACTGCGCTTCGCCTCGAGTTGTCCACCCTCTCAACCTCCCATCACTCTTTGCAGTCAACGCTCGTCCTTCTTCAGACGCAGCTGAACGACTTGAAGCGCGTCAATAACGAGCTGCAGGAGGAGAATGAGTCGTACAACATCCTCCTCCGGGAGAGGACACTCAACGGCCAGTTCGACGTTCTTCGTATGGGCGGTACGAGCGTCACGGAGGCGAGTGACAGCAGCGAAGCCGGAGATGATGACGACCGGGATGCGGAGAGCCTTCTCAGCAGGAACACGAGCAAGAGCGTTCTCGACCCCGTCGACGAACGCGACGAGCGTTTGGAAGAGCAGACGGCGGAGCTCGACCCCGAGTTCCAGCAAGACGACGCAGAGGCAGAGTCCAAGGACCCCGACTCCCCCGCACGTGGCCCTCGCCGTGGCGGCCGCAGGCGAACAACGTCGACTACCTCTCTCTCATCGTCCGCACCTCGCGGCGAGTCATTGGCCAACCTCCCGATCACTGGACCTGGTCTCGACTTGGCTGCAGAACTCGGCCGTGCTGAGAACAAGGACATCCTCGAAGGACGCGCACCGCTGGAAAACGACCGGTCTGTCCTCAACCCCAAGGGCAAGCGCGGCCGCAAGGGCACCGATCGTAAGGCCTCCTCTATGTCGGAGGGCGCTATCAACCCCAATGCGGTTCCCGACGATCTCGAGACACTCAAGTCCGAGGTCAAGAACCTCAAGGACGCCAACAAGGCACTGTCCCTGTACGCCTCCAAAATCATCGACCGCATCATCTCGCAAGAAGGTTTCGAACATGTGCTCGCCGTCGATTATGACAAATCCGCGTCATCGCCTCCCCCGCAGTCTGCCAAATTCACGACGTTCAGCAACATACCCAACTCCCCCGCTCTCTCGCAACCGCCTAAGAGGGCGCGGCCGCAGTCGGCGTTCTTCTCCCCTGCCTCTAACGCGTCTTCAAGCGGAACGCCACCACAAGAGCGCCTGACCACATTCGATGATATACGCGCCGCGGCGGCCGCCTCGAAGGGCCCGACCACCACCGAAAGCGGACCACCTGCGGCTGCACCCTACTCCCGCGCGTCGCGTCGGTCGCTCTCGTTCGACTGGAGCAAGTTCTCGATGTTCGGCGGCGCAGAGAAGAAGCCCGACCCCCACCTCCGTCCGCTCACCTTGAAGGCGGGCGCGAGCTCTGTCGTCGCGAGGAAGCTCGACACCCAGGAGGATGAGGAGGACCGGCGCGAGCGCGAGCGGCTCCACGCGACGATGAAGCTCATGGGCATCGACAAGCCATTGAGCCACGCCGTGGGCACCGGCAAGCCCTCACTCCCCGCGACGCCCGTCACCGCAAGCACCGTCACGCCCTCCACGGCGGTGCCGATGTCGCCCGCGACGTCGTCCCGCTTCTCGTTCTTCCGCCGCGCGAACTCCGACGCGGGCTCGATCCACTCCTCGCCCGCGCTTGGTGGGGGTTCGGGGACCTCGACCCCGAATCTGAATCTCACCCAGGAGGCGCTGGAGCAGGCCGAGGTGCAGGGCGCGATCGCGGCCCTCGACGCCCACGAACGGCAGCTCAGCCAGGACATTGCGAAGGGGTCCCCCGGTGGCTTCACCGAGATCATGCCCCGTCGCAGCGGTGACCGGCGGAGCAGCCGTCGTAGCGGCAGCGGAAGCACAGTGTTCAGCGCGGGGCTGAAAGGAGAGGACGACGATTGAGGAAAGTAATGTGTCTCGCGGAAGGCAATGTTGTTGGTTTAGGATCATGTTGTTATGCTGTGACATCGGTGACCGTTGTTGTAGAGGTGAGTTGGAGGACGTGGAGGATGGATGTGAAGCGATAGAATGTTTGGTTAGCCTTGTTTTTGTCTCCCTATCATGACCCATGACTCTCGCACGCATACTCTCATATATTTACGGCTGTTCACGATATCTCCATTAACCATGTCATCAGGTCTATATGTCGACGCGCATACCCCAAAGATTATAGCCCGTGATGTAGTTATCTAATCTACTTTTAAGCGACCTTCGACCGTGCACAATAGCGGCTAGATGCACAGGTGTTCGGCGGGACCGATGAGTGCGGTGCATACGGCGTTGCTCGATCGGAGCATCGGGGCATACAATGGGTCGCGGCGCCGGTAAGGACAAGGCGAAGACACCTATTGGGGCACGCTATAGCCGCATGGACCGGTGAGCGGCGGCAATCTGCGTCTGTCACTGACAAGTGCATACATTCAATGGTCGGGGATAGAGAAGGGCCCGAAGTAATGTGTTTCCAGTCTCTGTCCAAGGGGTCATGCGGTAGGTGGCTCGTGCTTGAGGAGTGTATTTTCGGCATGCGTGCGGATGGTCCTGAACGGATTAGCGGCGAATTCGGGTGTGGCGAGGATCATAGGGATGCGCATGCGCTCGACCTGCCTGCGGACAAGAGATTGCTCCGTGAGCTTCGCTCTTAGGTCCTTCGCCCCAGCGGTCCACCCGCTTGGGCGGGCACACGGGCATGAGAGAGATACGTACAGGGCCCGCTTCCGCTGATTCTTGGAAAGAGGAGCCTTCTTGCCCTCACCTATCTGTCCAGGGTTTGGCCTAGCCTTCTTCGGCCTTTGTGTGCCTTCGTGGTCGTGAGATGCGGTCCGCAAATTCTCTGCAGCCGGTGCCGCGACAGCTTCCGCGAAGTCATCTTCGACGGCTGCCAAGGCCGCCTTGATATCGCTCAGACCCCCAGCGACCTGCTCGCGCGCCTTCCTCCTGAGTCGGCGTTCGTGGGACTTGGAGTATGGGGACCGACTCTGTTCTAATCCTGTACGGACACCACCGCCGGGTGAGACCCTTATGAAATGCGCTGCGGGGGCGCAGGCCGGCAGGTGTGGGCACACTCACGTTGCATGAAGATCTCGTGTTTCAGAGCTTGTTTTTCTCTCTTTTTGAGTGACGTACGCGACCCCTCTTCGCCCGCAGCGTCTGCGAGGTTGGCTAAGATCTCCGGAGCCTACGGATGCGGTGGAGGGCTAAGCCATATGCGCCGTAGCTACGCACGAACGATGCATGCGGCGTGACGTACGGTAAGGTCGCTCCGCACTCCGATCTCGACATGTTCGACGGCGTTATCTTGTACCGCGAACTGTCGCTGAGTGAGAAGCCTGACCGACTGCTGGTGGGCGCCGCTCCGCATGCGCTCCGCCTTGGGCTGATTACACGTTTCGTGATTTAGCAATGCAGGGACCGCGCGAAAGCCGGGCGGCACTTGCCATGACAGTTGGACGAACGGTGGTTGGCGAGGGCAGGAGATGGTGGGGAGAAAGCAAGCTTCAAAGCTTCACGCCGGGGCCGCGGCTCGAAGTTGATCGGCTCATTGATCGGCGGCCCGCTCAAGACCGTGTCCTTCAACGTCCAGAATGGTTGTAGTGCGGATACAAATCGACAGTCGACTGAATTGCACATGTCATGCATTCAACACCCCGGCTTTCTCTGCGCTTCCTCTTCTCTTCCTCGTCCTCGAATTATTTTCGATAGACCCACGAGCCAAGCAAGCCTGGCTTCTCACCCCCTGCCCTTCACCGTCACCCAGTCTCCTCGATGCACTCAACCGCGAATGCTTCTCTCGGGGGTCGATGGCAGACGAGAGCAGCAAGCTATGAACCACAGGTATTGGAGCTGGATCATTAGATAAGAGATGAAGATTGTAGATGTCGAGTCCAGGACGCGATGTTCCAGGGGCCAGGGCGCAGTAAAGTTGTGGCAGGGATGGATAATGGATTAATGATTACGAGGATCCAAGGAAGATCGGAAAGCTCAGTGGAAATACCTGACCACCCATGCACATCAAGCAGCACCGAGAGCACCGGCACCGGCGCAGAAGCTGGTGGCTTGTTGATGTCGGGGTCCCGACTCTTAATGAGCGACGCGGGGCACATTTCCAACCTGGGGACAGAAGATGGGCTTCTGCATCGCCAACGGAGTAAGTATCGTCCCTTGGCCGGACATCGTTCGGCGGATGCGAAGCATCCTCGTCCATTGAGTGCATCAAACACCGTATGAGAAGAAATGACTCACCACCCACGGCGTCGAGTGCAAATCCTCAGCGCGCAGCGGCGGCTGACTGCGAACCGCAACTCCTGGCCAATTGCCCGTGGAACGCTGGAGACGATTCACGCGAAGAGTGGTTCAGATATTGGCGCCGCCCACGATGTACGCCCAACCCTTCGACGAGAGCACGCACGTCGTCACCGCGGATGGCGTCGGAGTGATCAACCCTGTTAGTTTCCAAGGGCCGGTCGGCATTGACACGCCACGAAGATGCCCGGTATATCCTCCGAATCGGTGTCCTATTTGGAATTGCACCATAGCGAAGCGATGGGCCTGTGGGTAGCGGCAGGATTTGACAGTGCCCGTGAGTCTTCGTCTCGCTCCTCACACCTTCCCTCCAGCAACTTTGCGCTTCGTAGTAGGGACTTGGCCAACTTGAACGGGGGACGAGTTAGGCAGCGGGTGTACATGACTCAAGTACTCACGGCGGTTAACACAAGTACAGGGTGTGTGTTTCAGTTACTTGCTTGATTTCGAATCGCAAAGTGTGTCGATCTTTGAGCCGGGCTGTCCTCGCGGATTGGCACGCCGTTGGCACGTCTTCCGCGGCCGGATGAATCATGAAACGACGAAAACATGACGAAGGCTCCTCGGGCCGGTGCCTGAACAAGCGCGAGAAATGACGCGCCCGGTTGCGTGACCGAGCGCGTCGCTCGCGGCGCCGCGCTCGCTAGCCGTCCTCCCTCCCACATCCTCCGTGGAGCTCCTGGCCCTGCCCGTTGTCACTCTCCGAGGAAATGCAATAGGCTTGTATTTCGGATGGACGCCCCAGATCCCCCGCCTCCGCGCTCTGTCTCGCGGGCCAGGTCTCGCTCTCGCGCACAATCCATGATCGCAAGCCGACGTGATTATCACATTGGACTCCTGCTCCTCTTGGCTGTCGTGGTCCTCTGGACATCGTCAAACTTTGTCACACAGGTACGCTTCACTCTTTGTGACACGCATTCTCCCTCATTTGGGACGCGTAGGACCTGTACGAAGACGGGTATGAGAAGCCCTTCCTGTGAGATCAGACCACCTCCCTCCGTTCTTTGTGCTCAACCCTGCCGTCATAGCGTCACATATCTCAACACGAGCTCCTTCGCGTTATATCTTCTTCCATTTCTTGTCCGTAAGTTCAAGAACGGACATCATGAGAACGGCCGGGCTGGTGGGTAGGTTACCTCAGCCACCTCGTTTGCCGCTCCACAGGCCTCTCATGAAGCCCGCAGCGCGCACGGCCCAGACCAATATCAGCCTTTGATGACAGACGCAGATGCTGTGGATGCTCTGGCCATCACGGTGAGCTCCGAAAGTAATGTCGGCTCACCGGCAGTGACCAATGTCTGCCAGGATACAGAGTTTGTTGGCGTGGAGGACCGCAGCGGGGTTGGCGAGGACGCGCCGCTCACAACCCAAGGCACTGCCCGTCTCGCGGTTCTCTTCTGCTTATTGTGGTTTATCGCCAACTGGACACTCAACGCATCCCTCGGCTACACGAGCGTCGCCAGCGCCACCATCCTGTCGAGTACGAGCGGTTCGTACCATATCTGCACCAGTCGACCCCCCGAGACTCCTTGATACGACCGCATCCAATCCAGGCTTCTTTACCCTCGCCATCGGCCGCATATTCCGTGTGGAAGTTCTGTCGTTGATCAAGATTGCCGCTGTTATCGCAAGGTCCGTTGCACTGTGGACCTTGCCCTTCTCTCCGTGTGCTCATCCCTAACTCTTTCCACAAAGCTTTTCCGGGGTGGTGCTCGTATCGCTCTCGGATTCATCACAGCCCGGGGAACCTGATGCCAACCCTTTGTCCGCCCGAGCATCGATTCTGCCCACATTGCCGATACTGGGCGACGCTCTCGCGCTTCTATCGGCGCTCTTCTACGCCCTGTACGTGACCCTGCTCAAGGTCCGCATCCGCTCGGAGTCTCGCATCGACATGCAGCTGTTTTTCGGCTTCGTGGGGCTGTACAACATCCTCGCCTGTTGGCCAATCGGTCTCATTTTACACTGGGCCGGCGTCGAGACGCTCGAGCTGCCCTCCACGGGGAAAGCAGTCGCCGCGCTCCTCATCAACGTACGTACTCCGTCCCACCCGGAGATTGGGCTCCGTGCCTCGCCCTCGCCGCTCACGCGCGGGATGATTACAGATGGTCATAACGCTTTCGAGCGATTACATCTACGTGATCGCCATGCTCAAGACCACGCCCCTCGTCGTCACCGTGGGCCTGAGCCTCACGATGCCCCTCGCTGTCGTGGGAGACTTTTTCCTCGGACGGCCCGCGAAGCTGCAGGTCATTGCGGGCGCGTTCATTGTGATCTTGAGCTTCCTCGCGCTAGGCGTCGAAGACTCGCGCCGAGCCGAGGGTGCCCTCATGGTCGAGGATCGATTGGGCCAGGGGAGGGACGGGGTGGGAGAAGTGCGACTCGAGGGCGAGTGTGCTTCCCTTAGGGCGGAAGCGGATCCATGTGGTGATGACATGTAAACCGGGCCTTCTCCTTATCCGGCTGATAGATAGACGGGTGGCCCAATGTGGTTTGTCCTTCGCCCGGCGATTGGGTATCGGGCATAGAGAGCCGGACGGGGATGAACATCGTGATTATTATGTGTGCGAATATGCGCTCAGCGCGGAGGTGTGTGTAGGGTACAGTAGACCGCGTATCTCCGGACGAGAGACGCCACGGGAATCGGGGAGACATACGCCGACCTGTCACATGGAAGTAGCTACGGGGCGGGGGGAACGATAGCGGTACAGAAAAGGACGGGACCATGTTCGGGGAGAGAGCGTTATTTGCTACACGTCTGCTGAGCGGCGGCGGATCAAGAAAGGACGCGAGAATGCAGTGAGAGGAGCTAATAGAGAGTGAGTGGGAAGCTGGGCTGCGAGAGCAATACATAGCAATAGAGTTATAGTGCGGATCCGTGGGCGCGAGTGCCGTTGATGTTACAGACAAAGATAGACCATTACCTGTGCATGCGCACGCCGTCCCTCACCGCGCGGCGACCGCGCCGCCGTAGAGCTGGTCTAGCTGGGCCTTGAACTGGTCCTCGACCGCACGCCGGCGGATGTTGCCCTTGGTCGCGGTCCGCGGGAGCGTGCCGGGGTCGACGACGAAGACGAACTGGGGCGAGACGATGCGCTCGTGCATGTACCGGCGCGTGTGGAAGGGCCGTATCCGGCGCACGACGTCGCGCCGGAGCCGCTCGCGGTCCGCCGCGGGCGACTTGGGCTCGACGAAGAGCGCGGGGGACGGGCGCCCGGAGCCGACGACGATGGCGGCGGCGACGAGGTCGGCGCAGGAGGCGAGCACGTTGTCCTCGATCGCCTTGGTGTCGCACCGGAGCGAGTTCTCGGACTTGATCCAGTCGTCGTTGCGGCCGCGGTAGACGTACCGACCCGGGCCGGTGCAGAGGAAGAGGTCGCCGGTGTGGTAGTCGCCGTCCGCGTGCCGGAGGGACGGGTCCGGGCAGTCGGGCGAGTCTGCGAGGACGATGAGCTCGAGCAGCTGCGCGTTGGCGTTGGCGTACGCTGCTTCGTCCACGGTGGGGTCGGCCTCCTCCGGATCGTCGATGGGCACGAATGCGAAGTGCGAGCCACGGACGGGAGTGAGGGAGTGCATGGCGTCGATAGAGCCCGTCTCCAGGTCCTCGTCGGGCGTGACAAGCATCGAGCCGACCTCGGTGTTGCCGTAGCAGTTGAGGAGCTTAATGCCGTTGGTGTATACCCACTCCTCATCCTCGGGCGACATCATGAGCCCAGAAATCAGAATCTGGTCCAAGCTCTGCAGGTAGGCAAGGAGCTTCGGGTTATGCCGCGAGTTTCGCAGGTGCTGGGCCAGGAAGGTAGGGAAGATGTTGATCCGGGACAGACCACACCGTTGGATCATGTCGACCAGCTCGTCAGAAGAGAATCCCTGTTGGGTGAATTGGACTGTGCACGAAGCGTGCTGGATCATCCCGGCGAGCATGAAAGACTGTCCGAAGTGGCACATGCTGCCCCTGTGGATGCCGGTACTTAGCATCATCCACAGGTTGCCGGCACTGACGGCAGAGTTACTCACATCCAAACAGTGACGTCCTGCCGACCGTCGCGAGACGACCTTGGGCGCATGTGACGGTTGATCTTAGAGAGCATACAGTCCCACCAGCGATAGCTGACGGGAACCAGCTTGGGGCGGCCCGATGTTGAGCCCGAGGTATGGAAGATCATGAGGGTGTCGTTCGCGTTCGTACTTGCCACATTAGGAGGCAGGGCCACTTCCAACGCGTCCGGAAGCGTCCGGGCGTCGACTGCGGAGTAGGTTGGCAATGGATGGTCGTTGAGAACCGGCGAAGCGTAGGATGCATCGTAGATCAGTGCGCGGCCATTGGACTTCTCGAGCAACTCGAAGATGATGTCAGGGTTGGGAAGCCGCAGCGAGAAGTACTGGGGGATGTAACCTGCACGCGCGATCGCGTAGATGTGGACTGCGTCCAGGTAGGTTACTCCGCCGAGCCTAATGGCGACTGGGGTCAGCATGTGAACAGGGACGGTAGGGAGGGGATCTAGCGCACCAGAGGCCGACGACGGAGCGCCTGGCAACGCCGTCTGCGGAGAGCGATCGTGTCCAACAGCGGGCGAAGGTCTCCACATCTTGCCAGAACTGCTGGTAGGTGACAGTGTCCCATTCAAGCACCTTGTCGCTATTAGGGCCGAGGCGCGGGAGACGGAAGGCGGGGGCGAGCGGCGAGCGTGTGGCTGTTTGCTCGAGGACGGTGAGGTGGGTGTGGAAGAGAGTCATAGGGAGTCGAAGGGTCGATGTCTGAACCTCGGAAGGTGAGTTGGCTGGGATCTGAGTGGGAGACTTATATAGCGAAGACAGCATGCATAGCAGTATGACCGAGCGATGTTGATGTGACCCGATGTTGGGGTGTCAATCTCAAACGCTGAGCGCATCGCCAACTTTGCGCTCATTGTGAGCGCAAATTGAGCAGAGAGAATAGGTTCCGACATACGGAGCCGCTGAGGCGTCCTGCGGCGATGGGGATGGAGAGGCGGGTGCCTGAACACGTCCTCGAGTTGTGGCCAACAGGCACGCGGGCGAATGAGGCTCGGTGTGCGGAGGAGAATGGAGCGTCATGGAGACTTGCCGAGTCAGAGGGACTGCCTTGCGGTCGAGGACGACGTGTACGGCGCCCCGACGCGGGCAGCGCCCCGCGCGCGGCCGAGTCATGATCTCCTCGTCTGCCCGCGGGCCTCAGCCTGCCTTTGCTGGAGCGTGCACCGGCCTACTGATCCAATCGCGCCCGCCGACCAGCCAGCGGGCTCTGACAGATGCCCGGCGCGTACGCGCGTGCTACCATCAACCTTGTCCAATACCCGCTGCCCAGCGCACTGCTCCGCCCTCGCCAACACAAGAACCGGAGGCCGGTAAGCCCGCCGTGTGCGACCGGCGCGACGCCAAGTCTTGCGGCGGGCCTGGAGTCCGAGGATGGGATGAAAAAAGTCTTCAGGCCTGCGGGGTCGTGGTCAAATGCTCGTCCCGCAAACGCACCGCCCGAGACACAGCACTCTTCGCGCTGGGGGCGTTTACGGCGAGCTGCACCGGGCTTGAACCCGGGTTCCTAGGCCCCGTACGGGCGCATGCGATCTGTCCGGGAACGAGTCAGGGATTGCACAGTCCGTCGTACTCGCATCCGTCCCCGTCGCCATCTTCTCCCGCTACACCCCGGCCTCGAGCCCTGCTTCGATGCCACACCGACGCGCACAAGGGCACCGCACTCGGTCCGCGGACGCCGCATTCACGGGCAACAATGAGAATGCCAGTTCACCGTGTACGTTCTCCTGAATGTGCCCCATTCCACGCTGTTGACACGGCGTGCTTGAGACTTGTGCGAGATGCTGAGGAGACATAGCCCGCAGGCTGCCTTGTGGTGGCGCGTGGCCCATGTGGCTCACCACGGGTGTGTGGCGTCATCGCGGGTAGACATAAACCTGCGTTTGTCCATCTACGCGCGTGCCTCAACTCTCTCAGAGATATGATGGCAACTGACTTCGGAGATCCAGACCAAACACAGCCGGACGTTGTACTCATTCTGGACAGATCACACCAGCATTGTGGTTTGGTTTGTAGAGGCCGTTTTGCTGTTTCGGAGGCTCGTGGAGTTTGGATGGACGAGGAGGGGCCGAGCTACAGGGGTTCACTCATCGGATGCGCATAGACTGCGTTGGAGGCCGGGAAGGCGTCGACCGGTAATTAAAACAAGTGCCGGAGAGTACGCATGGGGCAGCCACAGCAGGAGGAGAAGAGGGAGGAGGAATGAAGGGGCGAGCGTGCAGCAAAGAGCAGAGGGGATGCCATCGGACGGTAAATGAAGAGGGGACCGGGCTGTATCCTGCACAGACACCGACGAGGCAAGTAGCCGGAGCGAGAGGTTCGGGGCGAGCGCGAGCGAAGACGAGAGACGGAGAGCGGAAGGAGGGGCTCCCAACCAGGGGCTCCCGAGGCGAGCCCCAGGCGGGCCCGGCAGCAGCGGGCCGGGACAAGACGGATAGGCGCCCTTCCGGAAAGGGCCGGCGAGCCAGACGCGACAAGGCGAGTCGAGGTCGCCGCCGTGCTCGCTGTCGGCCTCTCCTCCTCTGCCCCCCGCGCGCCCTTTGCATGTCCGCCGACTCTCTTCCACCCCCATCGTAGCATCCCCCTCGTGCCCAGGTCCGTCCCCCCCTTCCCCCGCCGCCTCTGCGCGCGCTGACATGCGTCCAGCTGTCGACGGCGACCGGGCGATCTCGCCGTCCCGCCATCCTGGCTGTCCATGCACCGGAGTGCTGGCCGGGACTTCAGGCACCTCTCACAAGCTGCTTACGCCCTTCTCGAGCGCACGCGTATCCCTCCTCGTCACATATGCATTGTCGCCAAGCCTCTACATTCCACTCGCGGGAGGCTTCATCCGCCAGCTGTAGCAGCCAAACTCAGCTACTCCCGTGTATCGACCCCCACCCCAGAGGAGATCGAAAGCAGCGCGTTTCGGGAGGATGTCACGTCTGCCCCCACGCAAGAGGACACTCATCTCAATCTTCGACCTCGAGCAGAGCAGGAAGGGTTCCAAGACACGCCCTCACACCAACTCCTGCCTCCATCGGAAATTCTGGACTGCCTAAGCGAACTTCATGGGGGCAAGCCTGCCAAGCTCACCTTGGAGAACTTGCGCGAGGTCAAGGCTGCTTACCCTCTCCTAACGTTTCTTCGCCATCATCGGGATGCGTCCACGCTGGTTCTTCACCTCCTAGACGTCGACGACACCACTCGGGCGTTCCAGATGCTGAAACTTGCCACGGAAGTCGGATGCGTTTTCCCAGACCAGTTCTACAGTACGTATGCGGGACGCTTGGCAAGATCGAAGAAATGGCGCAAGGTGTTGGATTTTGCAGACTGGGCAAAGCGCCGGCTCCGGTACACCACAACTTCACTGTTGAACTGGCGTCTGCAGGCCCAGTTGGAACTTCAGCATTACCCTCCCTTCGAAAACGTCGTCGCACTCTTCCAAAAAGAGCGTGTCATGCTTTCCCGCTTCACATATCACCTCCTTATCACCATGAACATGCGCAATCACGATCTTTCAGCTGCTTTACGCGTCCTAGAAGCGATGGCTCAAGCGGGAATGAAGGTCACCTCTCAAACTTGGATGGTCGTCCTACTCGGATATCGCACCCTTGGACTCAACCCCGTTCTCAAGACACAGGCTTTTGCCGCTCTAGAGGAACACAGTGCCGACGAAGTCACCTCCCGTTTCATCCTGGTCGAACTCGCCGGATTGATGCTCGACGCGGGAGATCTGGACGGCACCGTCCAGCTCTTGTCTTTAACGCCACTAATATCCGACGTCCTTTCCTTCGCCCCTGGGGCAGATTCCATCGCTCAAGAAGGCGCACAGTTTCGCCTTCCAGATGCTGTGACACCCACGTACGGCCCGCGGGGGCGAGGCATCAAGATTTACAACAGACTACTTGGTCACTTCGCCCGTCACGGTGATCTAGAGCGCGCTATCCCTGTCCTCCAGAGCATGCGCCTAGCAGGTGTTGTTCCCGACGTCGATACGGCAAACGCTCTCGTCCGCCTATACTTCGCCGCAGGACACTTCAACGATGCACTACACATAGTTGCGAGCGCCCTTGCCGGTGTACCTTCCTCTCTCGCTCTCCTCTCATCCCTTGGATATTTACCTGCGGCCCCACCTCAATACCCGACGTTTGCCGCACCCACACCCACAGTCGACCTGTTCAACAACCTGTTGCGTGGGATTCTTCCATCTCACGGACTCCGAGGGCTGAGCCAAGTTCTCTCAATCATGAAACTCGTCCAAATTGACACCAATTCCACTACCGTGACGCTTGTCCTACAACACGTACAGCGACACGGACTTGCAGGATACCGCCCCTTGGTCAAGATGGTTCGCAAGCTGATGTCCCAGGGCGCCACCCCTACATTGCAGCAATTCCACGTCCTGCTCGCAGCGTTGATGCGCGAAGAATACGCCTATACTCCTCCCGGAGGTCTTCCCACGCTCCCTGTTTCAAAGTCGTATCCCACAAACTTCCATGGGGGTGATGGGCCGGAGTCTTGCAGTGATGAGCCTGAGGAGCTTGGCCTGCAAACGACCATCAGCACACTCAGTCGTCCTAGACGCGGCCATCTCCTCCGGCCTATCTTGCAGTCCCTTGGGGCGCGTCGTGTGCGCTGCGACCGGGCGAGCTACGCCATGCGGATCAAGCACGACGCTCTCGTCCTAGGCGACATGGATCTCGCCACTAAGACATTGCGCACGATGGTCGACGCTGGAATGCAACCCAACCTCTTCCATTACGGCGCTCTGATCGAGGGCTACGTCGCAGCAGGTGACCTGGACGCCGCGACCGACACCCTGGCCGCCGCTGAAGCCGCTGGCGTCCGCCCCGACGTGCGTACGCACACGATCCTCATCGCCGGCCACGCCCGCCTCGCGCACCCCGCCGCCGCCGCGCGCGCGTTCCGCACGATGCTCGCGCGCGGCATCCGCCCCGACGTCCCGGCCGTCGACGCGCTCGTGGGCGCGTTCGTCCGCGCGCGCGCGCGGGCCGCCGCGCGAGACGTCCTCCTCCGCCTGTGGCCCGGGGTCGCCGGGGCGGACACGGTGCCCGCGGACGCCAGGCAGCTGCCGCTGCGGCAGCTGTGCGCGACGTTCCGGGCTCTCCACCCGGGTGCGAAGGGTGGCAAGGCGCGGCGGCCGGTGCGGTCGGTGTCGCCCGCGACGCGCGCGGCGCTGTCTCGCGTCACGGACGAGCTGCTGCGATCGTGGGGCGAGGCGGCGGAGGGGGGCAGCGGTGCACGCGGGACGCGCGCGGGCAGCGCAGCGGGGCGTGGGGCGGGGTCGGGAGGCGAACCGGGTGGGCGGAGTGGGAGCGCGCGGGCGTTGGGATGCGGCGGCGGGCGCGATCGCAGTGGCAGGGCAGGCGGAGCAGGGTCGGCGGGAGGGCCTGGCCTGCTGCTCCCAGGAACGGGCGCGGGCGCGGGCGTGGACGCAGGGTCTGAGTCTGAGACGGGCGCGGGAGAGGCGGAGGGGGATGACGCGCGGGTGTCGATACGTAACGGTAGCGCTGAATGCGATGGCGCCCCAGCCGGGTGTTAATCTTCTGTGTCACTCGCGGCGGGACAGGTACAGCATCTCGAGCGTGGTTGGGACCCCGGTCGCTGCCTCTCCCTCCGCAGGTTTGGGGCACACTCCGCGCGGCGGGAGGCGCTGAGCACGCTCCGACGTCCGCGGTGCGGACGCTGGCTTCGATCCGCTATGTCATCGCACGGCAGCGGTGGAAAGTTTGGTGGTCACACCGGCAGGTGGTCCATGTGGACGACGACCATCGTGGCCATGGCGTTCGTAGCGGCGCGCGCCCGGTTCTAGATACAAAGCTTAGAGTAGTCTATACAGAGCGACAGGGATAGCATAAGCCAGCATAAGCTTAACAGTAAGTTAATCATACATCCAACCCCCAGGGTCGCTCCACCTCGCCCCCAGATACGTCTAAGTATAATCATAATGGTGTGCCATAGGAAGCATCGAGAAGGCGGAGGGCGTCCCGGACGCCGTCCGCCATGACCTCTCGCACACGCTGCCGCCCGCACTTGACGAGGACGTCGCGGGGAACCAGTCGAGGCGGGGAAGCGGAGCCTGAGTGGCCCCGCGAACGTTGCCGCTCGTGGTAGTGCGCGTGGGGGTCGGTCAGGAGGATCGGCTGGCTGTCCAGCTGATGCTGGTGCTGCAGCTGCAGCTGCAGTTGCTGCTGCTGCTGCGCGGCGTACGGGGAACCGAGCCCACGCTCCGGAGTGATGGCTCCTGGGGCAGGGCTGATCTCGACGCGCGGACCGGTGCACTTGGAGCGACGGGCGACGACGTCGGCGAGCAGGGCGAGGTCCGTGAACGCCGCGTTCGGGTGGGACTTGATCTGGCGCCAGGCGGCGTCGCAGGAGACCGTCTCCGGTGTCGACAGCGGCTCGGACATGAGCAATGAGGAGGTGAGTTGCGCGGCCGGGCCCACCGCCGCGTGGAAGGCGAGGTCGCCGCCGGTGTGGGCGCAGCCGGCGGGGTTCCCACAGCACGCGCCTCCTGTCGCTTTCGAACAGCTGCCTCCGCCCATTTCGGACGCGCACGGGCAGTCCTTGCACGGCGAGGACTCGGCGACGGACTTGCTGATCGCGTCGCAGAACGCCTTCCCAAACGCGTCGTCCGCGCAGGCCGGGCAGTTGGAGGGATCTCCGGTGCAGCCTGGGATCTCCGGCTCTGGAGGTGCGGCGGTAGGGAGGGTGATGGGGAAGATGGGCTGGAAAGATGGGTTGGGGGCCCGGCGCCGGAGGGGAATAGGGGGCTGATAGGCTGGGAGATTGTCGAGGATGGAGGGTTGTGGCGCGGCGGCAATAGGCGAGGCGGTTAACGAGGTGGAGTTGGGATGGTCGGAGAGCTCGAGCTTCATGGCGGACTGGTTGGACATGCGCTCGGCGACCTGCTGGAGGGCGAGCTCGCGGCAGACGCAAGGCGTGTTCTCGTTGCAGAAGCCGCAGTCGAAGGAGTCGAGCGGACCGCCGGGCTCGAAGAGGCTGGTCTTGCCAGAGGTGGCCATCTCGAAGATGTTGCTGAGACCGAACGCCTGGGGGAATAGCGGGGCATCGCGCGCGGACGGCATCGGTGAGAAGCTGGAGTGGGCTTCTGAATCGGCCGAGGAGAGTGCGGAGGGAGAGGAGGCGTAGGACGCGGGCGGATATGGGCTGTGGACGAGGGTGGTGAGGGGATCAATCGAAGCCCGGGCGCGCTTCTTCGCGGGAGAAGGCACCGAGTCGTACATGGGTTGGGGGGAACAGTCGTCGCGTGGCCGTTTGGCGGGACCGCGGTCGGCGTCGTACCTGGCGAGCTTCTCCTTGAGAAGGGCGTTCTCCTTGCGCAGCTTCTCGTTTTCCTCCTTGAGCCGTTTCGCGATGTTCTGGAGCGCGACGTTGCGCTCAATGTCGCCCTGCTCGTACTGCTGCACGCGGGCCTGGAGCTCGGCGAGCTGGGACTGCTTGCGCTCGCGGAACGCGCGCTGGGCGGCGCTGGGCGGGGTGGTTCAGACGCAGGAAGGAACGGACGGACGAGGATGCTTACCGGTTCTGGTTGCGTCGGCCCTTGGCGTCTGTCTGTGGAATGCGCGCGGTGAGAATCGCGCGTGCACGGACGACTGGCGACAGGCGTACCTCGTCCGAGGGTTCCACGGGCGGCGCGACGTCTTTCTTCGGTTTGCGACCGGGCCTAGGCTTCGGAGGGATGAGCCACTCCTTCGAGGCTGGGGGGACGGGTGAGCGGGCGCGGTGAGAGGGGCGGTGGAGACGGACCGGTGGCATAGAGGGTGGTGGAGGAGGAGGGCACGGATGCGTCTGCGACGGTGGAGGAGCTCATGGTGGGCGTCGGGGCACGCGGCGGGGGCGGGAGCGGGAGGCGGGATGTCGGGGCGGTGGGAGGCGGAGGGCTTTAAGGGCGTGAGTGGGGGAGATCTCTGGCGGCGGGTTAACTGATTAGATAGGGCGGGGGGCATCTCCCCTTTTATTCGGGCAGAGATGTGAACGGCGCCTCGGCAATCTCGATTCACAGGCGCCTTGACAATCTCCCAGCAGTCGCCACCCTCGTGGCTGGGGACCCGCAAAGCCGGACCTGGGCACGGCGGCAGCAGCCCCGTCTTGCTCGCACCGTCGCATTGACAGCCGTTCCTGTCGTCCTCGGGCGAGCGCACGGACGGAGGCTGCTCCCGCGACGGAGCCTTCGCCGCCGCCGGCTCCCACTCCTAGCCCCCGCCGCCCCGGCCATGCGTCGTGCGGGCACCCCACTGACGGTATGGGTCGTCTGAGCATCAAGACCCAGAGACGCGGGTGGGCGAGATCGCGCGCCCGATGGGACCGCGGCCATTCGGAATTGGACGAACAGATGGCGCCCAGGCTCGCTCTGGCGCGTTGCTCCGAGCCTTCGTCGTGGAAACTCTTCCAGCTGCGTCTCCAGACAGCAATTCCGAATCGCTCTGTGATCTCCTCCTGATCCCACAGATACCCATGTCACCCTCTCTCGACCCATCGTCACACCCGTCCCCGTCCCGTCACGCCCGGAATCGGCCCTTGCCCCCGACCGCCATCGGCGTTCGCCCCGCCCGCCCACAATGGAAGGCGTCGACACCCGCCCGCGCGCGTCTCCCCGCCTCCAGTTTCTCTGTCATCCCAGGTCATCCGCCGCCAGCCCGCGTGCAGCGACACCGCCGGCCACTTTGTTCGCGGCCCCGGTGTCTAAGCCGCGCGCCACTTACGGCCGACGATCACACATACGACATCTTGGCTGCCACCGCCTCGCCTCTCCCTCGTCCGCGACCCCCCTGGCCATATTCAATGCGGCGCGCTCGCTACCGGCTATCTCTTTCTCTCGCGAACTATCCCCGCGCGAGAGCCCGGTCGACCCCGGGAGCATCAGCACCCCTCGATTGTCCTCACAGCCGACGTCTGCGTCCGCCCCCCGTCCGGGCACGCGCCCGCGCATGTCCCTCTCGATCTGTCCACCCACGCTCCAGCCGGACGTGCGCGCCCTGCCCCAGCTCTGTGCTTAACCGTGTGCGACACGCCGGGCAGTTCGTGACGTCAAGCAGGTGTGCTCCCCCCCGTACCGCTGTCGTCTCCCTGTCACTCACCGTCACCGGTCCTGAGCAGGATCGCGTAAGCCGTCCGCACTGTCAGGCTTTGCTGTTTCTGCGTCGGCGGTCCGCGCCTCCTCCGCCGCACTTGCTCCTCCTCCCGCTCACCTTCTCTCGAGCCGCCTCCCTGGGCCCCCGTCCTCTTCAGCAACAATCGGCGTGGCGTGATCCGGCGTGCATAGCATGGCGTATCTCCCCGCACCCCTCCACGCGCGCCGCGCACACGTCGTCCAGACGGTCGCCCGAGCCCGGCGAAAGCGCTGCCTGCACCGGGAACCCGCGGCGCATTCGATCGATGTCGTCCCCCGCGGACGTCCTCCAGCGCGAATGTTTATCCTTTGTCGCGGCCCCAAGCCGGCGTGTGCACCGCGCCCTCCATGTGCTGCACCAACACGACGGCGTATGGCCGTCGGTATGATGCGGTGCCGTCTGCCTGATGGGCTGTGATGCTCCTCCTTCCGTCTGGCGTCGCTTTCCGCCCGCCCGCCTTTCCTCTTTCTCCTCGCCCGCACTCGTCCTTCTTTGATCCTGATCGGCCCTTTTTCGCAGGTCGCGCACCGCAGGAGGAAGCCGGGAGAAGACTCGCGACCCGTCCCCTGCCCTTCTCTGTTCCGAGTCGCAGCTCGGGAGGAGGCGGAGTAGGATGCCAAGACCGTATTCTCCGCACCTGCTTCTCTTCTTATGTCTCTTTTCGCGCGTGCCTCTTGACAGATATGCGCCGCCTGCCCGCCAGGAACTCGGTGGATTAGAGCGCGCGCGCCGGGGTCCACCTTGGCGGCCGGAGCGCATGAGTCGAGCAATCACTCGAGAAGCTTTGCATCGCGGCCGCGCCGTCTGCTATCACCCTCCCACGCCCTCCCCCAAAGGCGATCTGCCACAAACGCCCGACGATCCCTCCCCGCCTTCACATGGCCAGGGCCGTACGGTATACTTATCGCTGCCCAAGAACTCCGAGTGGTTCGGGTCGCCGTCCGAGGCAACATCCCAATGCTCCTCGCGCAGGACGGACCGTGTGCCGAGGCCCGGAGATGATAAGTAGGAGGCGACGGTGGGGTCAGATTCGCGTCAGACAGCTAATCAGCAGCAATTCCAGATGTCCCTGACGTTCAGACTGACACAGGACGGTGGAGCGTTCCGACAATTCTGATACCTCGCAGGGGGAGACGCCGAACCGGACCAGCAGCGGACGTCAGCGCACTGCGTGTGCAGGTGGCAGCGGCATAAGTACGCCGATCGGGAGCCGGCAATGCGCATTCGTACGGTGGTAGAACGCGGTGGCGGATGGCCGTCGTGCTCATGCGGGCGCCGAGCGTCGTCGAAATATATGTCTGCTGAACGCATGACTCGCCTGAACTACGGGGCGCGGCAATGTGCCGCTCAGACGGTGGTGGTGGAGAGCACATTAATTGGAGTGGCCTGGCTCGATCGACGACCAGGCACTGGGCGAGGATATGGAATTGGGACGAGACCCCACTCTACCGAAAAAGAGCCGACTCAGATCTCAGACGTCGACGTCGGGCGCAGGGAGCATGGGCGGCTGATTTTGAAGGATCGGCGGACGGTGAGGGCCGGCGGCGAGACATGGTCGTGATGCCCTCGCTGTCAGTCCGACAAAGGACAGAGCGAAAGCGGACAAGCGTCGGCCCACCCCAGACGCCATCCACGGCAGACACGGCAGGAGGTCCAACTTAGGCGGGCTGAGCACAGTGGACGCGTACCGCCACCTGCCTAATCGAGCAAGCGCGCCTCCTCCCTTCTATTTTTGGCCCGCGCGTTCCTCCTCCTCCACTCCCACCATCCGCCCGCCTCACGTGTCCCGCCCCCGCCCATGCTGCGAGCTTCAAGGCTCGCACGTGGACCCGCGCATAGGCCCCGCTCAGACTAGCTCGCGGCAGCGCAGATGTCCCGCTCGTCGTGCTGGCTTTCTTGCGCGACGACGACGCCTCCATCTCTGCAACTTTATCAGTCCCCGACACACGTGCGATGTCTTCTGTGCTGCCGCCCTCGCCGTCGCCCGCACGGCTGTCTGGCGGAGGCCGCCGGGCCTGGCTGTATTCCTATCGCGGGTGCAGGCTTTGATGTCGGGCGGGCCATATAGCGGCGACGCCCTCCACGCTGTCCCTCGCGCCCCCCTTGCTCTCCACGCCCTTCACGATGTCTGCTAGCCCCACCGAGAAAGCGCGCGAGGCGGACGTCGACGCCGTTTCCTACGACGGCGCTCAAGCCGCACCGGCCGTCCACCCTCCGCCTGCCAAGACCCAGTCCTCGCGCCGGGCTGCGATGAGCGCGTACATGACGATCGCCGCCGCCGCGTTTGGGCTCATCTCAGACGGATGTGCGTACCCACACCCTCCGCGCTCAGTCTCCGAGCCGACGAACAGGACTTTCCCGGGCTCCGACAGACCAAAACAATCTCCTGACAATGGGCAACGTATGTCACTCTCTCCCATCCGGCGCGAGTTTCACCCGCTGAGATCTTGGCGCCCGTCACGCTCTCACCCGGCCGTGACGCGCGCAGGTGGTGTTCAAGAAACTGTATCCCACCTACTACACGTCCGACGTCTCCACCCGTGTGTCCAACGCACTGCTCGTCGGTGCGCGCAGCCCCGATTCCATCGCTTCTTTCGCACCCCTCACCGACCCTTCCCAGGCGCGGTCCTCGGCCAGATCTCGGTCGGCCTACTCTGCGACAGAATCGGCCGCAAGGCCGCTCTAGTCGCGACCACGCTCCTCATTGTCGTCGGCGCGACGATAGCCACCGCCTCGGGTGGTGCGCATGGCAGCGTGAGCGGCATGTTCTGGTGCATGACCATCGCCAGAGGCATTACGGGAGTGGTCAGTGCCCATGACGTCGCCTGTCGTTCCGAACGCATGCGCTGACCGCCAATCTTCTTGCACTGCGGGGCCTCCAGGGCGTCGGCGGAGAGTACCCGGCTTCTTCGACGAGCGCGAGCGAGGCCGCGAACGAGAAGATGCTCAAACAACGTGGACCGGGTTCGTGACGCTCTCGTAAACGGCTAGTGCGAGACTACTGACCCCTCGCCCCGGCCAACACAGTGTTCATCATGGTCACGAACTTCGTTCTCAGCGTACGTGTCCACCCTCCTCGGAGCTGGTCCCGACCCCACGCTCACCTCGGACCGAACTCTAGTTCGGCGGCCCCTTGGCAGTCTCTGTGTTCTTGATCGTGCTCTCGGCTGCGGGAGAAAACCATCTGAACACAGTCTGGCGTGTCTGCTTCGGAATCGGCATCCTCTTGCCGCTCACCGTGTTCTATTTCCGGATGCGCATGCTCACGACGAAGCTGTAAGTCTGGTCTCCTTGGCGCAAGGCCTCCGCTCAGGACGTCGGTACTGACTGCGCGCGCGCGTGGGACAGGTTCCGGAAGGGTGCGATCAAACGTACGTCAGATGTCCCGGGTGCAGTGTGCCCCGGTGGCGAGAGATGTTCACGCACTCTACAGGACGTGTGCCCTACTTGCTCGTGGCCAAGAGATACTGGCGGACGCTCATCGGCACCTGTGGCGCATGGTGAGTCTCAGGGTGAAGCTCGCAGCGTAGGGTGGTCGCTAAGCGAAATGTTAGGTTCCTCTACGACTTCGTAAGTGTGACCGCAGGCGCGAAACCCCGCGTGGCTATTCACCGACCGCGCCGCACGCCGCACAGGTCACGTTCCCCAACGGAGTGTTTTCGGGGACCATTATATCGAGCGTGATCAAGAACGGCGATATCAAGCAGACCGCCGAGTGGCAGCTGCTCCTCGGTGCCATCGCCCTGCCAGGTGATGCATGCCTTGCTCCTGCGCGCGCAGGGTTGCTCAAACGACGTGAAATCCAGGCGTGTTCGTTGGGGCATTGTTGTGCAACAGGCTCGGTCGGCGGAACACGGTGCGTGGCGCAAGGTTCCGGCATTCTAGCCGCGAGGCTCACAATTCGGAATGACCGTTTCTAGATGATTCTGGGGTTCAGTGGCTACCTCGTTTTCGGTAGGTCGGAACGGATTTCGCGGGTCGCTTGTGTGCCTTCGAACGGCGAAATTAAATGCATTCGGCAGGGCTGACGATCGGGCTCGCTTATGAGAAGATCACGCACATCATCCCCCTCTTCATCATATTGTGAGTCGTTCGTTGGAAGCCGGAGGCACCCCCGGCGTGCTGACACCGGGAATCTTAGTTATGGGTTGATGCAATCCTTCGGCAACTTGGTAACTCTCCACACCCTGTGCTTCTCCAGGCGGACCTGGCACATGGACTGAATTCGGAATGAACAGGGTCCTGGCGATATGCTCGGTCTCGTCAGCGCAGAGTGAGTACGGCACCGACGAGCGAACCCGCAGACTGTGTCTAAACTTGTACCTTCTAGATCGTTCGCGACTCCTGTTCGGTGAGTTCTCGCCCCGAGCACTCCGGCGACCTAACGCAAGCTAAGACCCCGTTGACAGCGGGACGTGCTACGGGCTGTCTGCTGCGATCGGCAAGACGGGTGCGGCCATCGGCACCCAGGCTTTCACGCCGATTCAGAACAACCTCGGCAAGAAGTGAGCGGGTCATGTCGGGTCCGCTCGATTTCCGACTAACCCCCGCTTCCAGGTGGACGTTCATCATCGCAGCCATCTGCGGGGTGACCGGCATTTTGGTTACGTACTTTTTCGTGCCGGACATGACTGGGATCGACCTCGCGGACGAGGACGAGAACTTCCTCAAATACCTCGCCGAAAATGGCTGGGAGGGTGACGTCGGTGACGACGACGATTTGGTGGAGGAAGATTCGTCGAGCGAGATTGTTGAGAAGAAGGTTGAGGTCTAGATTCCTAAAATGCCGGGTTTCTAAGATTAGGAAGTCGGGGACCAGGGTAGAATGACGTTGTATTACGACTCCAGCTACGATGATCGCGGGAGCCAGCACCGGTCTTCTCTCCGAGCCGGATCAGTGTGCGCACGGCAGGGCAGGTTCGCATCTGCTGAGCATTCGGAATAGCCGAGTAGGAACGAAGCACGGGCCCAGAGTCTTTGCGGTGCACGTAAGAAGCTGGTATCCAAGTTGTGTAGACGCCCTTCCACGCGTTCCTCCGCCACCACCGCAGGCGCCTGCGCTCACCTCTCGACCGCGACGCCTGCTGCCCATGTCGGTGGCCCTCCTGCGCCAGGCCAGACTCGCACGCGCACTCACACTTCCCTCACGAAACGCCGCCCGATGTCGACGCTCAACGGCATCCACAGCGCAGCCACGTCATAGCCCTCTCCTGCCCTTCCCCGCGCCCTCCTCCCCTCGCCCCCGAGGCTGGCCCGAGCCAGCCGCTCCGTCCACATGACGCCACCGCTACGCCCAAGGAGCGACGACTGCGATCCGCGCTCGCCGAGGACGAGGAGCCTACGAGGACGACGGGCCGGCGGGGGGCGAGAGCCCGGTGTTCTCCCGGATCCAGTCCTACCTCGCCGAGCTCCAGGAGTCCCCGCCCGGCCAGCCGACGCTCGCCGACGTCGACGCCCTCCGCCCGCAGGAGCGTCCGCCGCCGGACTCCCCGGCGTACGCCCGCGCGTACGCGGCGCAGCTCGCGGCGTCCAGCGCGCGTTCACCAAGGACCAGCTCCGCCTGTTCCTCGAGCAGGCCCTCGGCGCGACGCCGCACAGCGCCGCGCGGAAGCGCAAGGTCGACTACGCCGAGTCCGTGCTCGGGGCGCTGTGGGGGTGGCCGTCGCTCGGCCAGGTCGAGCGGAGTAGGCGGGACCGGACGGAGGTGGTGAACGAGAGTGAGTCCCGCCGTGCGTTCTCGGGGGTGCTCGTGGGCGGGCGCGCTGACGGGTGCGGGCAGCGTTCTTGCTGGAGGGTCCGGAGCTGTTCTTGGTCTGGGAAGAGGTGAGCCGGCTCCTTGCTGCCGTCGCGCGTCCCCTCCTCACATCCGCACCGCAAGATGGGCGGACCTCCTGCGCTTGTCCCGGAATACGAGGTCCATGTGTCCCTGCAGGCCAAGCCGCTGGGTCTAAGGTAGAAGGCACCGCACGGCCGTCACGAAGCTGTCCGAAGAGCTTCGGCGCGGAGATCGGTGCGTCCCATGGTGTGTATCGTTCGCGAGCGTGTCTAAGGCGTCCATGTAGGCCTTCGCCCGGGAAGTGATCGAGGTCCCGAAGCCCCTATCTCCGCCATCCCTTGAGCGAATATCTCGCCTGTGCTGGGCTTACGTCGAACCTGTTCCGTCCTCTGCTGGCCAGGTAGGAAGTTTTGTACCGTTGCCAGTGCGCCCCCTTACATGTCTCGTCTTTAGATGCAGTGTGCGCCAGGGATCATCGTGGGCTTGAAGCTGCAAGCGCCTCATCCAACGGACCTCCTCGAGGTTCGTTCAAGATAGACATCCAACGCTGATATGTGCTTACAGCCCTCATAGACCGAGGAAGAGACGCAGACTCCGGTGCTGCTGCATGCTTCGAGAGAGCCCAGTTCACCTGATGCAGTGCTCCGTCTGAAGGAATACGCGCTGTTCCCCCATCTCACTTCGCATCCTCTACCCATCGCTGTCAACGCCGGTGGCACTTTCCGTGTGCGTCGCGTTGGGGAATGGCTTAGCCCATACATGCGTGACGGCTCCGACTCCGAGCCGCTGGCCGACGAAGGCCGTGATTTACTTCTGATCTCGGGGTGCGTTCATTCATTTGGAGTTCGGCTATTTTTGCTTATATTGAGCGGTCGTCTTTTATTAGAAAGTACACCCGTCTAGACAGGCTCCTGAATGCATTCTCCGACACCATTACGCAGTCGAAGGTTACCGCGAAGGCACTGTAAGCGAGCCATGTATGGCGCCTATCTGGAATCTGACCTTGGCCACAGGAGCGGACACATACTCCTCACCGCGCAAATCAGGAACGCAAGGACACACTGGTACCGCCACTGACAGACCAACATCCCATCGGAAGATTGCCCAGTGGATCTCGAGTAATCCTGTGAAGATGACATTTGTCAGGAGTGAGGTCCCACGATCAATGGCGTGCTCGTCGGTCTAAATGACGCTCTTGACTTTAGCGTTCCTCTCCCGCTCCTGAGCACGTCACCCCAACAGCAAAAGGCGACCCACCGTCTAGTCTATCACTCATTATCGACCTCCCACGACCTCCAGCCTCGGGACGGCAATCCAACCAGTTTTCCGGCATCCCCCGGCGGAAGCTATCTCCCTGGAGGTCGATCTCACGGCTATCCAGGAAACGAGGAGGCAAGTGTCGTTTCGCCACCACTCGTCACCATCGGTCTTACCTGCTGCCTGTGGATGCAGATCCTTGCGACGACGAGCATTTGACACCCCAACGTCACGGCGGGTACCCCACCAGTTGCCGATGCTCGCTGGAGTCCAGGCTGCGGTGAACGTGATGATCCCGGATAGGTACTTCTGGCAAGACAATATTGCCGCCCCCTACTGCTGCACGAGATCTGACCTTCCCTGTCAGGCCGATGGATTTGCAAATCGTTTTGTCTGCGACGGACGTGGTGCCTCTGCGGCACTTGCCAGATCTTGCGCGCTACGCAAAGGATCTCCAGTCGTAGTGCGTATCTCCAGGTACCCTTGCATTGCATCTGTGCTAAGTGAGACAACCAGCCTGCAAGCCGTGGAAGGCCACAACGACCAGCCTGTGCCTCCACTGTTCGTCATGCATGAAGGCGAGCGGTATCTGCTCCACTCAAATGAGACCCTTCAGCAAAGCCTGGAACAAGTCGCTGGCGAACACAGCGGCGCCTTGTACGGGAGCGTGCTCGACCTCGAGACGAACCAAAATCCATGCATTGCGAGGTTAGTCCTTGATCAATTTGTTACCCGCGCGACGGCCCTAAAGTGCTTCGCCGCAGATCGCCTGCAGTGACGTCAGCCAGCGAGAGGCTTGGCAAGGTTTCCTTGCCGATTGCGACAGAGTCACGTCCCTCGCCGATCACTCGCCGTCTGATATCTTCAACCTAGATGGAAACGCTATTTTCTAGAGTACACAGTAGCTAATAGGGTAGTAGTCAACCTAATTCCAACCCGAGTTCCACGGACGGAGGATGGTATCAGGTACGCTCCCGCGTTTCGGTGGCCTTCCTGCCTACTGAAATGGAGTTAGCCGTCAAATGCCTTGGGGGACTCACCTTCTTTATCTGCGAGTCCTGGGCGCCCTTCGGGACGACGGCCTTGATCATAGATACCCCGTTAAGATTGCCTCTGGGCACGTGAGAGGGGCAAGGATGCTTTTATGGGGGCCCTGTGCGCACATCTGGGCGGGACCTACATGTGGGCGGGAGCACATGACCGGTGTACAGCATTGAGCCGCTCGATCGCGGCGGCAAACCCAGTGCAGACCTTCCATTCCGGGCAACAGTGCTACCGGACAAGGTGGCTGAAGGCATCGCAGCGTAGCGCAACGGAGTCTGAAGGACATCGCAACCGGACGTCGGGAGGACCCTCTAGATAGTTCGCTGTTGTCAAGAAGCGCCCGCAGACTGAGCAAAGCCGCTCGACGATGGTCTCAAAGGACCCAGAGCATACCTTCACTGCGGCCCACTCGTACACCACCTCCTGCACCCTTTGCTGCAACATCTCCGCGCAGTCCGGGCAGGTGACGGCCAGTGCCATTGGTTCCAGCAGGGACTGTAAAGCGTTTGTCGACACGCCTGGCCGTATGACCAGGCACCCCCATGAACGTGTTCTCCCCGAAACGATGTGTCACTGCAGTGATGACTCACTGGGCAAGGCTTCCCACGCCAGCCGGGCTACGGGTATTGCCCAGGCGCGGGTCAGCTGTTGTCTCTGCTCCATAGTGCACCCCTTGTTCGGGGCGTGTTCGCGCGGCGGGCGAAAGAGGATGTCGCGCAGCGCAGCGAGGCGCGACCGGTGCAGGAGGAAGAGCCGCTTGAGGTACACGGGGCCCATCTTGCACGCGGCGTCGTCGGACACCTGCGAGAGGTCGAAGGCGAGCAGGTGGCCGGAGGCGGCGACGGCGAGCTCATCGAGCGCGTAGTGTGCGGCGACGGCGTACGCCTCGAGCGGGCGGAAGGGGGCGTAGGAGAGCACGAGCTGGTAGAGCGGGAGGGGGGGTACGGCGTGCATCTGGATGACGACGTCGAATTGGAGGTGGAGGGCCTCGAGCGCGGCTTCGGTCGTCTCGAGGGTCGGGGCGTACTGCAGGCATGGGAGACCGTAGATGACGTGGAGCATGATGTTGACGACCTCGGAGGGATGGGGAATTCGAGCGAACGGGCGGGGCCCGAGGACGACTGCGGGCACGTCGGTTGGGAGGAGCATACCCATCCTGTTCATGGAGACGGCGAGGATGTGGTGGGTGTGGACGTAGAAATGAACGCCGTCTGTGGCGAGGAAGATGAAGTTGGGGGCCAGTTCGTCAAGCAGCAGCATGGGATGAAACACGGTTGACACGGTGAGAGCACTGGGGTGGTCCAGCGGTGTGTGCACCTGGTGGAGATTGTTCTGAAGTGAGCGGGTATCAATCTGCGACGGGGCCAAACACGCACAGAGTTTGTGGAGAACGTCCCTGCAGTTCCAGGTGGAACTGCACCATAATGCGTGCCCTGGACGTCGGTGGGGGTGAAAGGATAACCTGGGCTGGAGCTTTGAGATGTATACGGGGGGTTGAAATCAAAGTATTCCATCGAGTCGCAAGGTGATGAGGGGATGTGGATAAGGGCAGGGATAAGACATGGATAAGGCAGCTTTATGCGGCTTCGATAGGCACCTCATGACGGGAGGGAGACGAGGCCTGGGTGGAAAGTGTCAGGAAAGAAGTCGGTGGATATGGCCTTAGTATGTCTCACCTCCCGGTACTCAGGGATGTCCAACGTCGATGGCGGCCCTGTGGCCTGGGGGTGCAGCAGGCCTCGAGTGCCCAGCAGCCTTTTCTATGGTCCGGAGGGGGAGAGCCCTTGGGCAATCTAGGGGACGGATCCTGGGCCGCAGCGTGCGACGGAGACCAAGGTGGTGTAGGCCGTCTGCAAACCTAAAGGGATGACTGGCGTTCGCTCCAACAGCAAATTTGCCGAAGACGAGGGTGGGACAAACATGTTCCGCGACAGGGGGATCGACCGAACCCGTCTCGAACCGCCGCGGAGCAGCTGGGTCCACGGCGTTTCCTCTTCCGTCCTCCCCCGCCGCGAACAATCCCGGCCTAGGCCGACACTCGTCACTGCTCACAGACGCCAGCTCGGACTCCATCAACGGGCTCCCGCTTCATAATCATGTTGGGCTCCTGAGCACATCGTTCGCCCAATGAGATCCTCCCGTCCCCGGACGCGCTTTCACAGACCGCTGCATCATCGCGCACGCCGTGTAAACGCACGCCAACTAGCCTTGCGTCCGGTCGGCTGCTCAACAACTCAGAGGATCGCCGAAGCTCTTGTGTCGTTCATTGCATTGCGTAGCCTCGAGTGGAGTTACGAGCAGAATGATAAATTTTCCGTAAATAAGACTGAGCGAAATCGATCGTAATCCTCGAAGTACTCGTTGAAACGGTGGGCACCACAGGGCTAACTCACCAGACGCCTCTGCTGAAGACTCGTCATGCAGGTCGGACCATCCCTGCGCAGGCCCGAAGGGCCGCATGTGGCCAAGTCAGCCATTGGCCGGATACCCCATGTGTTCCAAGTATTGTCGTCGCACTAGAAACTTCTCCGGCCACGTGAGAGGGGCAAACATACTTCTCTTGTAGCCCTGGTGAAAACCTAAACGTGGCGCGGGACCTACAGTGGGGCGGTGGTATAGAGCACATGACCGGTGTATGGCAGTGACCCACTCGATCGTGGTGGATGTATACGGCATCGACCACTCCCTCAAATGCGCAAACTCGCAGACCTTCCATTCTGGGTACTAACAGCGCTAGTGGACAAGTACCGATGGCTCGAGACGACTTACAGCATAGCATCGCAGGGGGGCGACCCCCGTCATGGTGTACATGGTGGAGTAGGTGGGGTGGGACGTTGGGAGGCCATTCTAGATGGTTCCCTGTGATCAGTGAGCAAAACATGACGCGGATCTCGAAGGACCCAGATCATACCTTCACGGCGGACCACTCGTTCACGACCCCCTGCACTCTTCCCTGCAACATCACCGCACATTGCGCACAGGTGATGGCTGCCCCAATCGGCTCCAGCAGCGAGCGCAGCGTATCCGTCGACGTGCCTGTCCGGGTCCCCGTGAACGCGTCGTCCTCCAAAACATGTGTGAAGATGACTCACTGGGCGAAGCTTGCCACACCAGTTGCTCTACGGTCATTATCCAGTCACCCGTCAGCTGCTGCCTCTGCTCCCCGCTGCACCCGACAGCAGGCTCGTGTTCGCGAGGAGGACGGAAGAGGATGTCGTGGAGAGCGGCGAGGCGCGATTGGTGGAGGATGAACAGCCGTTTGAGATAGATCGGACCCATCTTCCGAGCGGCATCGTCGGACACCTCCGACAGGTCGTAGGCGAGCAGGTGGTTTGAGGTTGCAATGGCGAGCTCCTCGAGCGCGTAGTGCGCTGCAACGGTGTACGCCTCGAGTGGGCAGAACGGGGCGTAGGAGAGGATGAGCTGGTAGAGAGGGAGATGGGGCGCGGCGTGCACCTGAATGGAAACGCCGTATTGGAGGTGGAGAGCCTCGAGCGCGGTCTCGGTCGTCTCGAGGTTTGGGGCGTATTGCAGGCATTGTATGCCGTAGATGATGTGGAGCATGATGTTGACAACCTCGGAGGGATGGGGAAGTTGAGCGGACGGGCGGGGCCCGGGACGATTGCAGGCACGTTGCTTGGGAGGAGCATACCCATCCTGTCCATGGAGACGGCGATGATGTGGTGGGTGTGGACGTAGAAGTGAACGCCGTCTGTGGTGAGGAGGATGAAGTTGGGGGCTAGTCCGTCGAACAATAGCATGGGATGAAACACTGTTGACACGGTGGGGGCGTTGGGGTGGTCCAGCGGCGTGTGCACCTATTCGATATTGCTCAAGTGAGCGGGCATCGATCGACGACGGGGCCATACACGCACAGAGGTTATAGAAACAGCCCCTGCAGCCCCAGGTGGGAGTGCACCACCTTGCGTGCCCTGGTCTTGGACGTCGGTGGGGGCGAGAGTAGAACCTGAATTGGAGCTTTGAGAGGTAGACGGGAGGTCGAGGTCGAAGTATTCCATCGTTGAAGAGACTAAAGGCGGCGGGGCTGAAGACGAGGCGAAGGGAGCGGGCGTGAACGTGTAGGATGAGAATGTGAGTAGATATGGGAGATGGATAAGGGTATCTTTGTACGATCCGAAGAGACATCCCGGGGTTAAAGGGCAAGGTCTACAAAAAAACCGGCGGGAATGCTTTTCGATATAGACGCTGCCCTCTCTCACTTCCAAGGCCTCGGAGATGCCCGACGTCACGAACGGCTTTGTCGCCGCTAGCAAATAGTGCAGACGGCCATGTGACGGGTAGCAAAACTCTCTACGCCCTGGAGCGGAGGTCGAAGGGCACATTGTGCGTCCCGTGCGGCGAATGGCCCGGACTGACGGAGAAGTGCGGCGGGCGCAGGCTGCCTACGACTATTAGCTTTGTGCTCTGTACGGTGACTGTTTACCCCCCAACCGCCAAATTTCCTGAAACAAGGGTTTGTACGGCTACGAGGCAGACATGCCCCCGCCACGGTGATGCGGCGGAGAGTAAGGGTGGCATTGTAGAGAAGGTATCAGGGCGGTTAATTCCGGGGTTCGAGGATTAAATGCATAATTATGCATACTTGTTCGCGTACTGTGTACCGGATCGAGTTGGGAGAGGTCAGCCTAGCCTTGAAGCCGGAGCGAGGCGTGCCCATAGAAGGAAGCGCCTTACAGCCAATCAAACACGACCATTCGGGTCAATTGTTCCCATGCAATCCTCGCGAGCAGCGCGGGCCGCAAACGGGATGCGACTGGGGGAGCAGCGGACGGAAGCTACGGCTTCTGATCCTGGCCGATTGGTTGCTGAGCCGACTGTCTGTGTTCACTCTGACGGTCAGCGGAGGAGAGCAGAGTGCAAGAAACGAGACATTCACGAGCGATGGAGCACGCCCGGACCAGACCTTGTCGTCCTGGGCGGGCGGGCGGTGACGGAGGATGGTGGCGGCGGACGGTAGACGACTTTCCTCTTCGGACGATGTTGAACGGCGGATGCACCGCGGGAGCGCCCGGCGGGCAACCGCCCGACTAGGACGTCTTCGTTCCTCTTCCGGCGCCCATTCGGCCTCTCCCGTCGTGATCCCGGCCTCGGCCGCGCGCCCTGCGGTCGGGTCCCATTGGGGCCCATCCGGCGTCTCTCGTGGGTGACCCTGATCGAAGGCGGACCCTGGGCTCATGTCCACTGCCAGCGATACATATGTGCTCGGTCATCGCAGCCTTGGCCGAACTTTGAACCCGCTCCAGAGTCCAGCCTGTTGTCGAGGACCGAGGCCATCCCAGGTGAACTACTGCACGCTCGCGGCCCACGCACGGCCCAAGGCACGACTCCAGCCTCGAGCCATGCGGTCTTTGTCAGGTGCAAGCAGCAACGCAGGCACGGTTCTACTTGCGCTCCTCAGCGCTGTTCGATGCATCCACCCACGTTGTGTGTAAGTTCGCCAGCCTACCAGCCGCGGAAGAACACAACGATCGGCCTGTTCGTCGAAATCAAGGCGAATGGTATCTGCTCTCTTCGAATGAGACCCTCAAGCACAGCCAGGCACTCTCTCGCACCGACGCCGGCGGCCGAGTGCGCTGGTGCCTTCAACCTTGTACGCAGCGCGCTCGACTTCGAGACGGACCAAAATAGTGTTGCGAAGGCTCCGCTTCGGCTCGGTTCCGCTTCCCACGGCTCATCAACCAGGAAAGCCGTGGGAAACGTGCCCGGCTCAAGATCGACGACGCAGACTTTGCGTCTGTGGCAGAATAGAGCTGGCAGGCTTGATAAAACGCTTTAAGAGTAAGAAAAAACATCATACAATGTCTTTTGTCAGTGATTTATGGTTCAAAACACCGTGCATATTAGTATACAGGTATTGGGAGCATTGGGATACTGCCTCGGACGGGCGCATGGGGCGCACGCAGTTTTTGCATTCCCACTGGCTACACAGGTGAAATAAACGATATATATATGTATGTTTTAAGCCTAAAATCTCTTCTCACAGGATCTTTGGGTGATTCCAATGAAGGGAGCACCGTATTTTGTGCTCCTATACAATTCCATAGCGGCTAAGAATCGATTATGGGCGTCTATGTTATGGCCTATCACGACTTGATGGGAGCCAGAATTTGGCTTGGTAGCGGCTCCGAGCCGGTTCGAGCCGAGCCCTCCGCAACAGCTTGCCTCGCCCTACATCGGCTGAAGTAGCGTCAGCTAGCGAGAGGCTTGGCTGGATTTTCTTGCCGATTGCGACAGACTCACGCCTCAAGGATCGTTCGTCATCTGGTGCCTTCGACCTAGATGGAAACGCCATCTTCAAGAGCACATACTAGCTAATAGGGTAGTAGTCAACCTAATCTCAAACCGATTCTACAGATGCATGATGAGAGGGCAGGCATAACTAGCGAAATCAGGTACGCTTCCGCTTTTTGGTGGCCTTTTCTCTGCGCTTCTGCGCGCGAACCTGCCAAAGTGCGTTTAGACGCATTCCGCGCGCAAATGCCCTGAGGTACTCACCTCCTTCTTCATCCGCGAGTCGACCATAACGTAACGGCCTTGACACCCTTCGGTCGGCCCTTAAGACCCCTGTGGGCGCCCTTCGCGACGACGACCTTGACCTCTTTGCGCTTCTTAGCCTGCATGCCCTTCTGCATCACCTTCTCGATCTGCTTCGCCTTTTCGCGCTCCGTCATGTCCGACGTCTCGTTCACGCCTTCGGCCTTCTTCATCGCCTTCTCCAGTTGCTGCGCCGCTTTGAACTTCTTACGGGCCTTGGCCTCTGCGACCTTTTTGATCGGGCGCGCGTCGAGCGCCCGCATCTTGGCGCGCAGTGCGGCGACGGCCTCTTTGGTGATTGGGAGGTTGGACTTGTAGTGCTTCTGCTCGTCATCGAGGAACCAAGACGGTAAGCCGTCCTTCGCGTTGAGAGAGTATCGTTGAAGCCTCATTCACGAGTTCGGTCCGCGTCTCTGTCTGTTAACGAGCTGCTGCGCGAGCGTGACAGCCTCCGCCGTGAGCAGTCCGTGCTCTGTGTGATCCGGTCAGAAGGAGCATCGTCAATGAGGGCAGGAATGACACTCGCTCTGTATCCGCGCCTGCTTGATCTCGTCCGCTTCTCGTCGTCAGCGTCCCACATGCCCACGCGCCGTCAGGGTCCTGCCGAACCTCTTCGAAGTCGGCATATCGTCCTCGTCGGATCTACCTGCGATGCGACGAATGTAAGAGACTGTCTCCGGTGCGTCTACCGACCGCGTTCTCACCTCCTCTTCTGACACGGACTCATCCATATCGGCGTCCTCCTCCTCATCGTCGTCATCATCAGTATCTTCGAAGTCCTCGTCCCCATCGTCATCTTCGATTTCGGCGTCGGCCCGGCGAAAATGTCTTGATCAAACCACATTTGGGCCGACCGACTGAGGGCCGCCTTTGGATCGCCGTCGAACGTCGCGGTCGTTCTCGGCTTCTTGCTCCTAGATGAGCTCTCCGTAGCTGGTGGGTCCCCACACCGACGTTTTTGACCAGCGACGCGAACATTCGCCGCGTCCGCAGCTCCTCCCCGTCCGAGTCCGATTCGTCGCTTGACGATCCGTCTTCACCGATGCGTGCCTTCACACGGTTGACCTGATCCCAACCGCCCACCTCGTCGTCACTGTCGTCTTCGCTGCCGTCGCCGCCTTCTTCACGCCGGTCCACTCCTCCTCGCGGAGCTTGTTATTTCTGCGGGCCTCCTTGACCTTGTACTTGGCATCACGAGACTTGAGCTGCTCCTGGTACGTATCGTACATATCGTCGAGCTCGCCCTCGAGGTTGCGAGCTTCCGCTCGCGCTCCTCGTCGGAGTCCAGACCTCCTCGTCTTCCCCGCCTGGGCATCGACGACATCCTCTTCGGAGTCGGAGTCGTAGCCGGCGCCGCTGCGCTTCCCCTTAAGTGCCTTGGCGTCGTCGAGCTCGAACATGTCATCGTGGCCACCGAGAGCAGTGTCAAACTGCTCCATACCGATGTCCATGGGCGCGGTCATCCGCAGCTGCATGCGCTGAATCGTGCGGGTCTTGATCTCGTTGGCGCGCCTCCGCTCACGCTTGGCTCGGGCAGCGGCCTCGGTGTTGAGCCGTTCCAGCTGAAAACGGGTACCACAATGAATACGGGGTAAGAAGGTGCGACGAGAAACTATACCTCGGTCTGGATCTGCTCCTCCTCATCGACGTCCTCAATCACCTCCACCGTCTCCGTGAGCTCTTCCGTAGGTTTTGTTTTCACCTCGAGACCGAGCTGTCAAGGCATGAATGGACTGTACTGCAATACGCATGCTTCGATAATACGCACCTCTTCGCGCAGAGCGGTCCTCCACTTCAACAGCGCCTTGAAGTCGCCCTTGCCCAGAACCCTCAGATCCTCACAATTCGCCTGAACGTCTGAGGTCGTGATGTCCAGTCTCAGCCACTCCTTCTCCTCCGCCGTCTTGAACGTGACCTTGTTGTACGTCCCCAAGAACGCGACAGCATCTGCGCACCTGATGAAATCGGCCGCACCAGACTCCTTGTATAGGGTGTAGTCGCCATCTGCGTAACCATCGCGGTGCCTCCGCTTTTTCTCCGGCTGGAAAACGGTCGCCTGCGCGTTCTTGGACAGCTGCGCCTCCCTTTCTTCCGCGGGCACAGAGGCAGTGAGATCTTTGAAGACGTGCCGGGGATCGAAGAACTTGGGGTCGATCAGCTTGGGCGCGAGGAAGTCTCGGCACACGACGAAAATCTCCGCCGAGACGTTACGGGAAGAAGGGGGCTTCGTCGCCTCGACCTTTCCGAAAAGCTGGTTGAAGACCCAGATGAGGTTGTTGTAATCTGCGGAACGGAAAACCTTGGTGACAAAGGTGCCGCCTTTAATGAGAAACTCGGCAGCGAGTTTGAGGGACATAAGCACGAGCTCGGATTGGGAGTACGCGTCCTGGACCCATGCGGTTCCGACGTTGGGTGCACCGTCGTGGAGGACGACATCAGCCTTCCAATCCTTGAGCTCGTTGCGGATGAGATTCCGGCAGTGTGTGGTGGTAATATCCGCGGCGAAGGTCACGACGCGAGGGATGGGTTTGATGGGAACCAAGTCAACGCCTAGTTTGCGGACTCTCAGGGGGTGTGCGCTGAGCAAGAAGAACTACTACGCACCGACAATCACACTGTTCACCGGCATGTACTTACTTGCGACCTGGAGCCAACCTCCGGGAGCAGCACAAAGATCTATACAACATCTTGCAGATTCAAGAAAGGAGTACTTCTTGTTCAGTTGTATGAGCTTGAATGCTGAACGCGCCCTGTAACCCTGCTCTCTACGTAAGACCTTGAGCAAACGTCCAGGCGGAAATGAAAGAATAAGATACGCACTTCGCGAGCTTGTAGTATTTGTCGAGACGGCCCTTGCCGGTCTTCTTTTGTGCCTTTCCCATGGAGCCCTAGTTTCCGATGACGATGCAAAGATGGAAAACAGGCGAAGAAAACGAGGGACAAGTGATTCAGTCCTAACTAAGAGGAATCACTCGAAGCCCGGCATCGGCGCTAATGCATTCGACCAGCGCCTCGAAAAATCGTTGATGGTGACCACGTGACATCTAGCTGGCTTCCGAATACAAGCGCCGAAATACACTCGAATTCAGGCTTGAGCCCTCAGTGGGCCTTGGTGCAAGGCGGCCGGTAAGTTCTGAGCAGCAGCCTAGAAGAGATATAGTACCCAGATGCTGAGATGCTCACTAGTCCAGGCTCTGAATCCGGCCTCGAAGGGCGTTAAGTTGCCATTGCCGGTGCGCACCAAATTGAACGTGGCGATGAAGAAGTATGCGCTTCACTATGATTCGTTCACCTCCATAATTGAAAAAGTAACAAAAACTCGTGCTTCCTGACAGCCTTTTGTAGTGCGGCTTCAAGATGTGTCAGTGCGTGCCATCTTTCCTGAATGTCACCATGTAGCTAGCCTGAATTTACAGTCTATAAGCAAACATGCTCAGTGTCTATTCACTTCGCGTTGGCGTGCAACATCAGACACAGGCCGTTCATGAAAGAGCGAGAAACGGGGGGAGCGTGGGTTTCCAGACTAAGTACGTGAATACTTATCTCGGATCGACGGTGAATAAGGTGAATCCATGGCGCGTACACGACTTGTCTCCCTGTTTCCAGCCTTCACTCATCGTTACACAGTTACATTGCAATAGGCCTCGTATGCACTTTGCGGCATGTTTGCGGTGACCCTCTGAACGACCTGCCGGGACGTCACAGTCACTTCAGGCCCGCCAGCCTTCAGCCCCTGCCCATATATCTCCTCGCGCGCAGCTTGCCTCCTCACGTCGGCTTGCTTCTTAATTTGACGACTTTGCTCCGACATCGACTCATACCCTGACATCGATACCGACCCCGACATCGTCATGGAACTCGACGTACTAGGTACTCTACCTCGATATGCACGCGCTTCAAAGCCCTCGGCCGCGCAAGGCTGATGATGACATACCAAGACTACAACAGCAAAAGCGTCCTCGGACCGACCTCATTCTCCTGTTGTGTTATATCCCGTTACCGGCCGTCACTTTATGTCGCAGAGACCGTTGAGAAGTAGACGCGGCGGCTGGCAACTATGAGATGTCCTCGGCTGGGACGGAAACGGCACACGACCACGAGCGCTGGGTTCAAGCTGAGCTGACCTTCTGGGCCATTTACAGATCCGTGACGCTCGTTAATTCTTTGCGTTGCAGGTGATTCCATAGGTTTGTAGAGTCGATCGAAGGCCTTCCTGTTATCTGTCCACGATGATGCCGTGAGGTCTTCGACATATCGAGGTCGAGGTCGCGTGCCGAACCGGCTCCGCAAGGAGAACTGAAGTAGCCCGACTGCTGCACTTGGCACTCAGCGCCTGGGCGTTCCTCCTGCATGTCACCGGGTTGTGCCTCAACTGACTCGGCTTCGAGTTTGTTATCAACACCGGGAGCTCCAGTCCGGTTGGCGGTCGGTCTCCCAGTGGAGCCATGCGCCAAGTTGCGCAGCCCTGCAGGGTGTCGCTCCCGATCTGTGGATTGTGCTCCGATTCGGAGGAAGTCTGAGGGAGATGCGCGGTGGAGTGAGCGAGGGGCCGGAGTTCGCATGGAACCGGGAGATTGGCTAGGTCGCCACGCCACAGTGGGGTGGGAAACATGGATTCGTTCGACGATATGAGCGAGCAGGACATGAAGGCGTGCTAATCGCGCGGAGTATCGAGGAGCAAGTTGATGTGTATGCGCATCCGTAAGGCTAATTTCACGACGAGGTCAGCGACCTTGCAATCGATGCATACGACGGTTTTCTTTGCCTTGCGCTTGGCTCGACAACATTGAGAGTAGGTGAGGGAATGGGATATAAACGTTAAACCCCCATACCTCCAAGTATAGTAGCAGTAGATAACCTCTCAGATTGCCTTCGCTACGCGAGAGGGGCAAGGATGCTCCTATTGGATCCAGTTTGGCGTCCACAAGATATTCGCGGGACCTACAGTGGAGCAAAGGATATGATTGTCTGACCACAGCACTGAGCCACTCGACCGTGGTGTATGCATCCCGTCGATCGAACCCTGAGTGAGGCAAAGCTTCCATTCTGGAAAATGCTACGAGTGAACAAGTATCGACGGACCGAGCCATGATATATAGCGCAGCCGCGTTAGAGGGACAGTGCATAACGCTCCAATTTCGCGCTCGGATGGCGGGGGAAGTGGGGCGGGGAAGGATGGGGGAGTGAAGCCGCAGCTGGATATTCATCGGACCCTCTAGATGGTTCGCTGTTTTTAGGGCGTGTCGGTCGACCGTGAGTATCACATACCGCGGATTTCGAAAGACCGAGAGCATACCTTCACCGCGGACCACTCGTACACCACCTCCCGTACCCTCCCCTGCAGCGCCACGGCGCAGTGAGGACAGCTAAAGGCTAATCCGATTGGCTCCAGCAGCGACTGCAATGCGTTCGTCGACACACCTGACCGCAGGGCCAGGCACTCATGAGCGTGTCCTGCACCAAGACAGGCATGAACGACGACCCACTTGGCAGAACCTCCCATACCAGCTGGGCGACGGCCAGTGCCCAGGCTCGCGTCAGCTGTTGCCTCTGCTCCGTGCTGCATCCGACAGCCGGACCGTGTTCGCGAGGAGGACGGAACAGGATGTTGCGGAGAGCAGCGAGGCGTGATTGGTGGAGTCCCAGCAGTCGCTTGAGGTAGATCGGGCCCATCTTCTGGGCGGTATCGTCGGGCATCCGCGACAGGTCGTAGGCGAGCAGGTGGCTGGAGGTTGCAACGGCGAGCTCCTCGAGCGCGTAGTGCGCTGCAACGGCGTACGCTTCAAGTGGGCGGAACGGGGCGTAGGAGAGGATGAGCTGGTAGAGAGGGAGGTGGGGCGCGGCGTGCACCTGAATGGAAACGCCGTATTGGAAGTGAAGAGCCTTGAGCGCGGCCTCGGTCGTCTCGAGAGTTGGGGCGTATTGCAGGCATTGTAGACCGTAGATGATGTGGAGCATGACGTTGACGACCTCGGAGGGATGGGGAAGTTGAGCGGACGGGCGGGGCCCGAGGGTGGATGCGGGCACGTCGTTTGGGAGGAGCATACCCATCCTGTTCATGGAGACAGCGAGGATGTGGTGGGTGTGGACGTAGAAGCGAACGTTGTCCGAGGCGATGAAGACGAAGTTGGGGGCTTGGCCGTTGATCGATAGCACGGGATGAAAGGCGGTTGAGATGGGGAGGATGTTGGGATGGTCCAACGGGGTGTGCACCTGGGCAACATCCTCCTGGGGTGAGCGGGATACCGAGTATCAAATATGCTGGGAATGCGTACAGGGGTGGTAGAAACATTCTGGGCGGCTTCAGGTACAGTGGGTATATCGTCTTGGTTGCCTGGGTCTTGGACGTCGGTGGGGGCAGGGAGGTTGAGGTCGAAGTAATCCATCGAGCAAGCGGAAGGGTGATGGTAGAAAGCTGAGGCTGAGGCAGTGGACGTGGACGTGGACGAGTAGAGATGGAAGCCAGATAAGCGTATATTTGCACAATTCCGGATAGTCGTCCAATGGCGAGAGGCGAGGCCTACGTTGACAGTGTCAGAAAAAACGCGGTGAACATGCCCTTTAGTATGAATGCTGTTGTTTCTCGCCTCATTGACTTCGGGATGTCCAAAATCAGGCCACGACCCCGCAGCCAATCACTGTAGACGAGCATGTGGCCGGAGTGGGTGATAGCTCTTTCTATGCTCCGGAGCGGAGGGAGCACATTGCACAATCCGTGCGGCGAATAGCCCGCAGCCGGCGCACAATCTTTTATCAAAATGAAGATCAGGCTCAGTACGGTTACTGTCGACTGCAAATTTGCGGAAGACAAGGGCTGGTGTAGGCTGCGGCGAAAACATGCTCCGGCACGGTGATGCGGCGTAGAGTAAGAGCGAGACTGCTCGGCAGGATTGGGGTGGGAAACCCCGATTTCGAAGATGCCCCGAACGACTCTGCAGGCTGGCTCATGCACAGTGTATTGGTGCACTCAAACGCCTTGCTGGGGCAAGGTTAGCCCTGCCATGAAGCCTGAGCCGTGCGCAGCACGTAAGAAAGAAGCGCGTTACTGACAAGGAAACGCGCTCGGACAGACCGGCTAATCCCATCCAATCTCCAGGAACAACAGGTCCCGGAACACTGCTGAAAGCAGCCCCCAGAAGCGTAAGGAGCTCGGCACGCCCGGGGCTTCGCGCATGAGAAGTTTTCAGCTGCAAACGCTGGGCTGACTATCCGTACTCAGTTTCACATCAGCGGAGGAGACCGGACGAGTCAAAGGAACGGTATGCGCACAAGTTGTGCAGCGCACCCGGACAAAAAACTCGGCCGGGCGAGCGGCGACGGAGGGCGGTGGGAGGAGAGGCAGTGGAGGCCAACATTTCCTGTTTGGATGAGTTGAAGGCGCGGGTGATCCCGGCCGAGGCCGAAGAGTCCTCCGCAGGCGCCCGGTCCGATCGCACACTTGCTGCCTCCGCCCGAGGTTAATTCGCACCTTGAACTTGCTCCACTCACAGTCCACTCACAGCCATGTCGCAGCCTTCCCCGAACTCCCCGCTGCTCCCCCATGCCGCGGGGCTTCTCGCTCGGTCTAGCCTCTTGTGGAGGACCGGGGCTATCCTAGGTGACTGACAAGCGTCCTGTCCTCGACCTTGCCTACTCGTGCTCGCAACTTACATCCGGACCAGCTGCGCCGGAATTATTGCAGGCGCATTCGGAACTCACGGACTTCAGAAGAGGCCTGGCATGACCGCCCAAAGCTGCATGCATGGGAGACGGCCTCCAGTTACGCGGTTTGTTCCGTCAACTCCAGAGGCGCAAGAAGACGCTGATCGATTTTTGTTCTAGATCTACAATGGCTTGGCACTCCTTGCTGTGTCGATGCATCCTAGGTTTGCTATCCACAGGTTCGCAGGTCCTGCTATTGCTCTGGGAAGCGCCGTGTTCTCCGGCAGCATCGTTGCTCTAGTGCTGGGCGGGGACAGGTACGCTCGCGCCTGAATATTGCAAGCGTGCCGTGTAACGTGCCTTCAGGTTCAAATGGATGGGTCCTGTCACTCCCATGGGGGGCTCCGTCATGATTGCCGGGTGAGGACTATGGCCGAGAACGCCTTGCTGCTGACCCGCTGATGGCATGGCCAATTGCACAGGTACATTGCTCTTGTGCTTTGAGGGCATCTACGGCTGCTGCGCCCACTGGCTTGTAGGTTTGTAGGCGTAGAATGTGACGATCCGGCCGAGCGGTTGACGACTGGTTGTTAGAGGGATGTTTTGTAGTGCATTTGCTGGCATAAGCAATTATCAGTGGCCAACTGCCGACGCGGATCGAAGAATGGGTGTATGAGCGTGAGAAGGAACGCTAGATGACTCGGTCACGTGGGGGGCGCGCCAGGCGTGTTGACGCCGGAAAAGGGAGGCCGTGATGGGCGTGTTCGGCTAAGGTTGCTACTCAGCCGCCCTCGCCCGCCCCGCCTCTTTCCTCCCGCCACCACCGCTGTCCCCGCCCTCGCCCGCCCCGCTCTTCTCCTCCGCCCACCATACACGTCTATTCATCCGGGGGCCTTCTTACTCCGCGCTCATCGTGCCCGCTTGATTCAGCAAATCCAGCCGTCTCTTGAATTTGATCGCTCGCCAGCAATATCCCGCGCACCCTTGATTCCTTCCCTCCCCTTGGATGGCGATGAGCGACCAACATCCCTCCTCCCTCCTCCCACCCCCAACCCAGCTCCCGATGGAGACAGCTTTCGCCTCTATGGGCTTCAATCACCCTGACCGAATCACCTTTCTTGCTACTCAGCCCGTTCTCGACGCGGTCCCTTCCTCACGTCGTTCTCTCAACGCGGCACGTAACGCCTCGCAGAATGCTGGAAACCAGAACATCGATCCCGTTCTTGGTGATCCAGACGCAATCTTCATCCGTCCTCCCTTCACCGACTTCCCTGGCGCCGCGTCAGTCAAGGACGGCCTGACCTACAACATTTTAGCCGAGAACCCGGACTGGTTCCTCCTAGTCGATGATTTCCTTGGCCCCGATGCCCACAGGTATCCCACTCAACTCGAACCTCCTCGGGGTTGGTGTCCCAAGAAGGCTGAGCAGGTCACTTGGCCGGAAGGTGAAGAGCCTCAGCTCCGGTGCACCTTGTGCCGGCGAAAGTACTCAGGAATCAATGCGAAGTCAATGTGGAGGCGGCACGTCTACGAGAAGCATAAGATCGCCATGTCAAACCGTCGTGAAACTGGCAGTGGAGGCCGTGGACGGGCCACGAACAGTGAGCAATCTGCATTCGTACTGCGGTCCCTTTATGCTCAATGACATCTCGTAGAGGAGAACAAGGCATCGTCGTCGAAGATCACCCAGGCTGCTGCAGATCCAAAATCTACTGGTCGTACGACCTCGCCCGACCTTCAAGCACCCTCTCTGTCCGAGGACCTTGAACCGTCAAGCTCGTCGCAGCCTTCCACGTCGAGGGCCAACGAGCCGGTTGATGCCGATTCAGGTGATGAGTATGAGGCCGCGCCAGTCTATGATGAAAGTCCTTCTCTCTCCGGGACTGCTCCGGTCTCTAAAAGTCCACCGAAGACCCCAGGCTCTCCGGGGAAATATCAGAAGATCTACCAGTCGTTTGGGATCAGTGTCCCTCCAGAGTCGCCGTATGACCCCACGAAGACGCCCGCTTTCAGGCATTCACCCATGCGTCATCCTGCTCGGCAGCCCTGGTTGAGCGAAAGCCCTCGAGAGACGCTTACGATGCTCGCTCGTTCCGATTCAAGTCCCAAGGTTCGCGGATTCGACGGCAGCCCTCTCGCACCCCCGCCCAGTGAAACACAGCCGAAGGGTCCCTTTAGCCCTTTGAGCGGGTCTTCCATTGCCTTCTCCCCAAGACAGCTGTTCCCAAACTCAATTCAAGACAGACTGGACCAGCCTGGATGGGATTCCGCGATCGGAACCGAGGACCTCATCATGCCTTACTCGAACCCGTTTGACACGTTGCTAGAAGACATTCGGGCTTTCGGATCCCCTTGTACTCCAGGAAGAGCTTCAGACACCGGCACATTTGGTCTGAAGGCCATCACCCCCACTACGAGGAAGTTCATGGACTGCTTCGTTCATTCTTCCCCCATCCAGCCCCCCAGCTCTGAATCTAGCTTCGAATTGAGCTCTCTGAGCTCCTCAACTGGTCCAAGCTCGAGCATTTTCGGTGACAAGGAGGATTCGTTTTCTTCGCCGTTGGCACAGCCCAAGCTTCTACCCGCTTTCGGAGCGAAGGACAAAGACGGATTGAAGGAGACGAACAGCAAGGGCAAGTCGTCTCTCTCGACGCTGGACGACGTATTCGACACTTCCTCTCCCCCTGTGGATACGAACATGGAAATCGAGGAGCGGGCTCCTCCTCCAGGCCTGGGGAGCCCCGCTAAAGTCGCGGTCCGGCTTAGTATTTTTTCGGCTCCCACAGCAACCTGCACCCCATCCCACAGCCGTGTCATCGAGCGGTCCGCCTCCAGCGGCAGCTTCGGTCGCAGGGCCAGCAGTCCCACCCGGACGGTTGAGCGTAGCCGCGGACGAAGCGCTTCGACCTCGGGAAGCGGTAGCGGCAAGACCCTGATGGATCTCGTTCTGGACAAGAAGACGTCCAAGCGCAAGCCTGTCAGCGCTCAAGCGCGTGTCGAGGGTGATATTGGTGTCACCTCTACGGGTTCGCCGTTCAAGCTGAGCAGGAAGACGTCGCGTTCGGAGTTCATGTATGGGCTTGACGGGGATTGCGAAATGCAGGATCCCCAGCCACGCAAGAGGCGCAAGACCGTGAGCGGTCACGATTAGGTTTCTCGCCCTCAGCACACCCCCGCTGGCTTGCGACGGATTCTTCTATCCTCTCCGCCTCGACCATTCGAAACGTCCAGCGTTCGCTGCCGCCATTCTCATGTTATGTTGTCGTTTTGCTGTCGTCGCGTTATCACCTCGCTATGTCGTCTCACTTTGTCCTCGTCCAGTGTTTGATTCCTACCCGTCCCCATCCCATCCCAACTCTCGTCCCGGCGGATACCGCGCATGGCGCGTACCAGAACGCTGCCACGCGCGGCGCTGGCCGCTCAGCGTAGGCGAGCGCGTCCTCTCGCCCCGTCTACAACTATGCCCCTCCTCCCCTCTTGCCTCATGTGTACTATTAGGATTATGATAGAAGCCCCCATTATTTTCACTTGATCTCTCCCCGCCGTCTTCTCGCCGTGGCTTAGGCCGACCTCTTTGTTTCCGAATGGCCTATTTATCCTTTGACTACACTGTTGTTGATTATTCAACATCACGTCTTCTTCACTTGCATTCTCCACATCCACCGCGCTCCTACTTTGACCTCCTCCACCCCCTGCGTCCTGACAATGTCTCTAGACCCCGAACCAGAATCCCCAGACCTAGTCGTATTGTGAACTATATTGTCTCCCGTCGCGCCGCCAAAGTCTGGCATATGTATCTCACCCCGGTCTCAGGCCTTGTCGCTGTCATAGTTCAGCGAGCACGCCATCTCTCCCCTCCCCACTGTTTCCATGGCTTGGTGATCTTTTCCCGTCCTTTCCCGTGCCCATACCCCGTCTTCATATGCATTCCCCTCCACCTCCGTCTCCGTAGCTCGACGTACGTACGTGTAGCGTACAGCGTAAAAGTGGCAGATGGGTCAAGTCGGTGTTGTCTTGGAAGAATCGACGCTTGGGCCCATTGACCCAGTCCTGTCGTTTGCGCTTGCGAGGAGTTGTTGATGCGCCTGTTGTGATCCGTCCATGCGCACCAGTCATTCGCGCCGACAGCGTGCGCTAGTACCAAAAACCGCCCATAACCAAGAGAATGAGCCGCGTGTCGTGCCATTTGATCAGGAAAGAGGGCAATGAATGGACCTTTGAAGGTGCAGGCCTTGCGTCGACCGTGACGCGGCAGTGCTTACCACCTCACCTGCACACAATGCACACTAAAATCAAACTTACCTGACCCAGTTTGCGAGGGACGTATAATCATAAAGTTCGTCTGTTTGCATGTGATGACAGACGTAAGTCTGGCTTCACTCCGCGATGCACAGGTTGTTTGCGGAGTATGAACATAATTTCATTCATAAGCGGGTGGTTGGCCATACAGATCGAGAGACTACCAAAGGAGAGCAATCCAAGAGTAGCAAGGTAGACACAGCGAGAACTTGAAGAGGGGCGATAGGGGGTAGCGGGGAGGGTGTGGAGCAGATGGGACCGGTATCAATATCGACAAGACGAAAAGAATGCATAACCGGGACGGTGCGAGAAGATAGAGAGCCGAGACAGATGCGGGAGGGGGGAGTTATGAACCATAAGAAGGAGCGTCATTATTCGTCATGAATGTCATGCGAGGAAAAAGAAAAAGAAAGGGCAAGGGAGCAGAGTGAAAGGGAACGTCCTTTACACATCTACACGTGGGATACGAGTCCATGGACGAGCTCCGGGCCTTGTATATACCAGTATGTAACATGCACTAGTATTGACGGGTGGCCAGTGCGCGAATCTCGTAGAGATATGACCGGTCGAGCTCCGCGAACACGTCGTTGCCGACGTTGAGCCAGTTCTTGAGCTCAGTGTGATGACGCTCTTCTGCGGCGCGGCATTTCTCCACGAAGGAATCATCGACATCGCAGACCATCGACGCTCGTGAACAACGATCGCTCTCGCTCTCCGACATGCTGCGAGTATGGCTGCGAGCAGGACTGGGAGCCTCCGGTCTCGATGCTATCGATTCCGTCGACTGATTGGATACGGTTGAGGTGATCTGGAGCTGTTGACTGGCGCGAATAGTGGCACCACGAGCCTCCCAGTCATCGTCATCTTCGTCGTCTGCAAGGTCGGCGAAAACGTCGGGCTCCTCCTCGTCGGGTGGCAATGTGGAGATCCAGCACATTCGCTGGGGGTCGAAGACCATTGTGCCAACCACTCGAGCCCCTGACGCGAAGGAGCCGACTGGGGATCCAATGGACGAGCCAGTGAGATGAGTGATGAGAGCGGGCCTGGTGGAGGTGCCGACCGCCGCATCGAAGTCGCGAAGGGCTTGATCGTTGCCCTCCCAGCGCAAATTGTGAGGATTCCACTTCATTTCACCAACAACTGTCAAACGGACGCATGAGATCAGCGAGGTCGACGCATTGCACCAGCAAACACACCTTTGGCGGGGCCTGCGCCACCGAGATTGCGAATAAGAGTAGGTTTCCTCCTGGTAGCAGGAGAGGCAAGCTTCTTCCTCTTCGCACTGGTCTCTCATCCTTTGAGTGTTTTGAGTCTGGAGAGGTCTTGGTAGGGAACTCGATGCGGTTGGACAGCTCGACACGGCTTGTGCGCTTCAGTGTCTTCGAAGGCACGGGCGCTTTGACCGATTCTGAACAAACGCTTGTGATCAGGATGCGGCCGCAGCGAAACAATAAGACAAACGCTCACCAGAACCGCTCCCTGAAAAATCACGCTTCGCTTTCCGGCGAATGGTGCCCGTGGCAGACACGTCGGATGGTTTCTGATAGGAGGCACCGGGAACGCGGTTCCCATAGCCCTTGGGCTGTACCCGGAACTTGCCCTCCTTCTCACGATCTGTGGGCAGGTCGTCGAAGGTGTCGAGCTCTGTGCCATCGCCGTATGTTCTTGGCCGTTTGGGCTTCTTGAGAAGCTTCGGCGCATTTGGGAGACTGGCGCTCTGCCCATGCCTCGAACGAATGGACGTGGCAGAGGAGGCGGCGGAAGGGGGGCGTGAGGGAGGACGGGGAGGTAGTGGGGAGGAAGACCGGGCCAGCGGAGCAGTGGCGGGCCCAGGGAAAACATTGGCGATAGGTGTGCGAGACTTCATGCGTGACGATGTTGTAGGCATCGTGAGCCTGAGCGCCGCGGGATTGGACGACGGTGTCGAGGGTCGGGTCGGCGGGACAGTGTACTCCAGGCCGTGTAGACGACCCGTAGTAGCTGTTTGCGACTTCGCCCTCGACGACGCCGTTGGGGTGTCGAATCGAGAACCGGGTGAGCCTTGCGACGAAGAGCCCGACCCCGAGCCTGACGCTTGAGGTTGGTTTGACTCTTTCATTGATGGCAAAGAAGCCTTGCGAGTGGGTCGACGGGATTGCGGAGGAGACGCGGGCTTCAGTCCGGAGGTCGATTTCTGGACCCGAAGGCTTCCTGGTTTAGCAGCCAAGAAGTTCATTGTGGATGGTGACGCGACAGCTTGGCTGTAAGTCTGTGAACGGACAGGCGGAATAACCCTGCTGGGAGGAGAGGCGGGAGGGGCAGTGATTCGACGGAGCTGTGACATGGAGGAGACGGGAGGGTTATTGGGGGACTTGGCACGATCCATCTTGAGAAGACGCGAGGAAGGTCGCAGGGAGGGAGGAGGACGAGCGGGGGCACTCTTGCTGCGCGAAGAAGTCGTGGATCGCATGACAGACTGAGCATTTAGAAGCAGTCGGCTAGGACTGAGCTCAACGTCGTTGTCTATCACAAGGCCGATCTCGAAGTCGTCTTCAGGATCGGGACTAACGACTTTGACGCGGTCGTCATTGAAAGTGGTTTGTTTCTTGATTTCGAGGATCTTGCCAAGCTTCTTCGCACCATGACCGGTCTCGAAAAGACCAGTGGGGACATCCAGGCCCTCCAGAATATCCTCATCTTCTTCATCTTCCTCCGTCTCCGTCTCCGGTAACGACGCCGATGTGTAATTGGAGGACGGGGAGTTGTCGGCGAACCCGAAGGTGGAGTATGCGTCGGAAGATTGTGATGAGGAGGTCTGGTCCTTGTCACCCCATTCAAGGGAGGACTTGGATGTTCGGTGGTTGAGGGAGAGGGGGCGAAGAGAGAGGGTTGTGAGATCCGACGGCAGAGCGAAGCCATCCTCGAAATCCTCGTCGATGGGACTTGGAGGTTTGGCGGAGGCAGTGACGGGTGCTTTTGGAAGGGCGGCAACTTTGATGGTCGACACACCTTCGTCGTCATCATCCTCGTCGGTGGATGAAGGAGGAGGGGGGCGGATAGAGAACATCTGGGAAGAATTCTTGGACGGTCCTGACCTTGCGGCAATGCCGAGGAGGACTTGCTGGGCCTTTGCCCCACCCGTCTTTCCGATATTCATCTCCATGTCCCAATCCTCCTCCTCCTTGTCTGAATCAGCGTCGGAAGCGTGGATTGGTTCTCCATCGGGAATGTCGAAGTCGGCGTCGGGCCACTCCTCCTTGGGGAGGACAATTGTGGGAGCAGGGATGGTAGACATAGCAGTGAAGGGGAATAGCCTGGTAGAGGTGCACAGAATTACGGCCTGGACGGCGGATTAGGAAGCTGTCGGTAGGATTCGAGATGGTGGCGAGAGGAAGGGAGTGAATTATTGGGCCTGCATGGGTGGCGGGACAAGTGGCGAGGTGAGTGGAGCACAAAAGACTGGCCGCTGCTGGTGGCGACGCTGGCGAGGCCGGGGGAGGGAGAAAAAAGGCGGTGGGCCTGGTGGAGGGGGCGGAGGAGTAAACGGAGGGCTACGTGGGAATCTAGCCAGCTCTTGTCTCGACCGTCCCCAGGCGAACAAACATGGCGCCCAAACACACACAAACACACGTGGCTTCAGTAAGGCCGCAGGCGCCGGAGCTCCCGCGCGCGCTCCTCGATCTCGGCCTCCCCCGCGTCCGACGCCGAGCCGTTCTCTTCCCCGCCGTCCGTCCAGTCTCCCGCGACCTCGTCCAGCCCCGCCCGCATCCGGATCCCCCGCTCCGCCATCGTATCTGCCCATTGCCGCAGCTCCCGATTGTTGAACACCACCCGTAGCGGCCCGAAGGCGAGCAGGTAAAGCGCTGGGTCCGCGGCGGAGTCAGCGACACATTCAGTGTGCATGCGAATCGACTCACCCTTCACGTGCGGACACTCATGCACCGCCCGGAACAGCAGTTTCTTCGCGTGCTCCGGCTGCTTGGCTCGGATCTCGAAAGCAATCACGAGTCTCCAGAGAACCGCGCTCCCGCGCGTCCTGCGGACGTAAACGCGTAAACGTTGGGCAGCCCCGACCATGTCCTGCGAAGACAGACGCACCTGTCATCCTCGACGGCAGCCGATAGTGCACTCCGGATACGCTCAACCTCAGCCTCCCACCGGCCCTTCTCCCAGCCAGCGATCCACACTTCCAGGAATCGCCGTGCAATACCCTTCTCCTTCCTCGTCCCGTCTGCCGCAGTCTCCCCCAGCATCGTGCGCACCCTCCCCCACACTCCTTGGCCCTTCTCCGCTTCCAGGAACATGCCTACAATGGCTGTGTTGTTTGGATACACATCCACTGCCCGCTCCACCCGATCCCGCAGCAGCGCTGGAGGCGATGGCTTCTTGAGGACGACGATGTGGTTGTAGAGCATGGACAACAATGCAATCGTGAGGTTCTCGTGCGCGGGAGTGCCTTCGTGAAACGTTTCTAGATATGCGTCGAATAGCGAGGCTGCAGCTTGTGGGGAAGACGTCAGCAATTCGAGCAGCGCAGCGAGCTGAATCCAAGCATTCCGCTCCTGCCAGACATTGCCGTCTTGTTCGTTTGCGAGAGCTTCCAGGCTACGTTTTGCGCGAAGAATTGCAGTGCCGCCCGAACCAGAGGTCTGGGACGACCTCAGAATGACTCGAATCGCGGCTTCATCCTGTTCAGCGAGCCATTCCATCTGCGCCCAATCGCGCCACATGGCACATTCTCCTGGTCGACGGTCGGATGCAGACTCGACAAGTACCGTCTGATAGACCTTGCGGGCGTCGTTGAGACGACCGCGAATGGACTCTAAGCGTGCATGGGCTGTCCAGTGGGGTAACGAACTGGGCGCTGTAGCGAGGAATGACTTCGAGGTCTTGAGGGCACTGTTGCACCACGTCAGTAACAAGCCTCTACTGAGTGGAAGTCGTTCAGTACACACCCTTTAATATTCAGTGAAGCTTCAAACGCCAAACAGAGCGCATCCCAGGCGTGATCATTGCCAGGTGATTTGCACCATTTGAAGACCTCTCTTACTGTCGCATGATCCACGTTCTTGACGTCTTGCGCGCCCCACATGGTCCATGTGTTGAAGCCAAAAGCGTCCAAGGGTCCGATGGTACCATATCCCCAGTCTTTGACCGGGCCGAATCCGTCGCCATACTCCCTTTCGCGTCCCACCAACACCCCTGCATGCGCGTCTGCCGCAATTCGCCTCGCGAGGGCTGCTTGAGGGAAGACTGCTTGGAGGTGCGAAGAGCCGGCGAGGTGTTCATAGGCCCAGCGATCGTCGGCGTTACCTTCGAAGTGTTCCGAAGTTGACGCGAGGAAACCAGGGACATGCAGACCTAGGAAGGCAAGCCATGCTCGACGAAAAACATCCTTTGCGCGTTCACCGCGTAGGGGAAAGAGGAAAGGTCGGATGTCGGAGAAGAGCACCACGGCGTATGGGTCGTCCGCGTCGTCATCCGCAGAGCGCAACGAAAACGTGAGGGCGTGATCCGCATGCATCTCCGAGTTGGCCCATCTTGAGAAAGGATCCGCGTCGTCAGCGGAGGGTTGAACCATCTGCGCCATCTGCGTCTCTTGCTCTAAGCGACCGGATGCCTCCCAAGCTGCCCAGCCACTCGCACCTACTTCACCCAGGCGAGGCACTTCTGCGTCCCAGAAATCTTCAAGGGCACTCAACTGGTTTGACGGAGTGTGGTTCCGCAATGCTGGAGGTGTACAGAAGAGCCTGCGATTCGATCCAGTTAGCTACGTTCTACACGCGATGTTGGGAGATCGCATACCATTCCGCCTGCGCCTGGAAGACAGCCGTCGCTCGTTCGACGTAGCCAGCGTCGCGGAGAGCGACTGAAACTCTCCACAATAGTCGCACTTGTCCAACCTCGTCTAATGTGGAACCCAGCGCACGTGAAATCCGAGTCGAGTCCCTTACAACGTCCTCAAGTAGGCTGTAGGAGGGGGTTCGAACTCTCCAATCTAACCATGCCAGCCATACTTCCACGTCGTTGACCTGGACGGCTTTTTCCCACTCGTCATAAAGCTTGCGGTCGTCCCAGATTTCTTCCCCTGCTCTGAGAAACTTCAAGCGGAGTACTCTTGAACGGCTATTACTGGAATGAGCTCCTAACGCGCGGGAAAGAAGGGAGACTGAAATATCGGCACGAGCTTTGGCGGCACGCCTTGACTCCTCAGGAACCGTTCCTAGTGTGTGCGACAACAACGACAACCAAGTAGGTATGTGCTCAGGGTTCGAAGTGAGACTCTCTTCCAAGGTTTTCAGCGTGGCTTGCAAAGATGTCAAGCGAGGCGTTTCCGAATCTTCATCTGAAGTTGCACTTTCTGCCGAGCTGTCTGATTCGTCGGAATCATCTTGCTTAGACGGATCCACTTCGCGGTAGTCCTGTATGTCCCTTCTTGAATCCTGCCCCCGTATGCGAAGGAAGCCGTCTATCTCCGGATACTTGTACGTAGACTCGGCAGAAGCAATGAGACGACGGGTGGGTGGAGCCATAAGCTTGCGACGCGAACTTGAGTCCGTCAAAGCAGGCATCTAAAGCAATAGTTAACTCTGCGCATCGGCCAACCTCATGAATCATTTGCTTACTTTGCGTCTCCCATATGGCGCGATCTCGAGGCCGTGACGTCCACGGTGAACGACCGAAAGGCCTGGTCTCAGCCCCAAGACGCTTCTACCGCCTTGCATTGCATTAGGTACTGTTATAAACCCAGCAAGCAAACGTACCTGCGACCAGCCGATACTTGGGCACGTCTCCAGCATGTAGCCCACCGTAGTGCGCGTTCAGCGAATCCCCTTTCCTGTCGCTGAAGTACACGAGCCTTTCTCTGCTCTCGAGAGCGTGATCAGCTCGTACTTGACGATCCTCTTCGACCTTTTGGCGTCTTTCCTCATCCCTCTGGTCATTCCGCGCCAGCGAATTCGAACGGGAACGATGCCGTGAACTTCGCTTGTCCTCCTTCTCTCGCCCTTTCACTCGTCCCTTCTCCTTGTCCTTCTCCGGACTGTGCTTTGACTTCTTGTGCTTGCGGTCAACATCTTGATCGTTGCGAAGTTTGTCTTTCTTGCGTTGTTTGCGCTCCTTAGCTTTGTCGGTCGCTGTGGTCGAGGGGCGAGAGCTGGGTCCGGGGTCAAGCTCTGGAAAGGAGGTGAACGAGGGCGGGAACGACGAGAACGACGGAGCTGACATGAAGCTAGGTAGGGGAAATGGGGTACAGGTTGGCACACATCTAACAGCAGGTCTGGGAGACGGCGAGAGTGGACATCACGTGCGGGATCTGACGGACTGCAGGGCGTGCCGGGACGAGCGCGTCGCGTAATCTCAGCCTCACCTCTTCCCTCCGCAAGTACTCTGCTGTTCTCTTCACGCCCGCGGCCCAGTAGCCTGCCGTGCTCCGTACATTCACTGTGCCGGACTTGGAATCTTGCGCGGCGTTCCCGAACCGGTCACACCGCTCCTTTACGCCTGGCTCATACCTGAAGTACTGAAGCCTCGGTGTGCTCCCCCACAATCCTCCCATCATGTTTGACGATTGTTCGTAGTCTTTGTCTGACCTGTTTGGCATGCCTTGACGACCCTTAAGATGTAGAGCATACATCCTCCTCTGTACCTGGACCGGGGCTCGCCCACGGATCCCTCCCTCCACTGCAGTACGAAGGATTTGAGCCCTCTCCCTATGACCAGGATGACGCGCGTGCCGAGATGTACCAAGTAAGAACTGTCTCTCACCTTGTCATCCAGCTTCTCAGTCTATTCTCAGGACAGAACAGACGTGGCCCCACCAGCCGCGCCCATATTCCAGCTAGGCGAAGTCCAGTGTCCTCTATCCGCATCTCTGGTTTCGCTCGTCGTCTCCTCGGACTCCTTGTACATGGGTCTAGCCAACAACCTCATCATCCAGATTGAGCTGTCGCGCGCGGAGCAGTTCATCAGGATTCAAATCCCTCGCAAACCTGCCGAATTCACCATCTACAAGCTCTTCCTTGATCCGTCTGGTAGACATCTCTTGGTCACCTCCGTTCAGGGCGAGAACTGGTACTTCTACCGTGGATGGAAGAAACCCCGCCAGCTGAAGAGCTTCAAGATGATTATTGAAACCGTCGCGTGGAACAAGGCTGCTCTGCTTTCATCTTCGCATTCAACGTCGACACGGGAGCTGCTCATTGGAGCGAGGAACGGAACCATCTACGAGGCTGTTTTGGACGCGGAGGAGGACTTCTTTAAATCACAAGAAAGGTACCTTCAGCCTGTCTTCACCCTTCCAGAGCGGCATCCCGTGACGGGTTTGAAGTTTGACCTATTCCCTCCCATGGAGCCGAAGAAGGCCTTGGTGCTCGTGACAACAGCAACACGCATATACCAGTTTGTTGGCATCCCAGACAGACGTTCCGAGGAGGGTGGTCGTGTATTCTCCGCCTTGTTTGGAAGTTACCGCGATACTGCTCCCAGTAAGTCATTGCAGTTTGGCCGCACATGTGTACCCCTGACTTTGCAAAGAGATTGTCGAGCTTCCGAGCAATGTCGAATACTCCGAATTGCACGTATACAATTCGAGCGCGGACCAAGCCTACTCATTACCCCGCACTGTGGCGTGGATGAATTGTACGTCCAATACCCCTCCCTTGTGTTGTCATCTGACAGGCTGTTAGCGGCCGGTATCTATCACGGTACTCTGAACTTCGAGTCAAATTCGGATGACCTGATTGACGGTGCTCAGCTTCTGCCATATCCCCCTCAGCCGTCGTCACCATCAATGTCTCCTTCTAGGCAGAACATTGGCGCGAGCACCATTCCAATGTCAATGTCATTGACGGGATTCCACTTCTTGCTCTTGTATCGAGATAGGGTTGTGGGCATATCAAACCTCAACGAACAATTGGCATACGAGGAGCTTTTACCGCTGGTTTGTATCACCGCCACTGTGTCTCCTCGTTGCTGACCTTTTCTTCAGAAGCCAAATGAGCAAGTGCGGGGCCTAACCGCCGACCCCGTACGAAGAACATACTGGGTCTACACTGACCAGTCAATATGGGAGATCGGTGTCACAAACGAACATCGAGATGTTTGGAAGATATATCTCGAAAAGGGGAAATATGACGCTGCCCTCCAGTATTCAAACGTAGGTCTATGTAATCCTCACGCCGGTCTGGGTTCTCAATTCTCGAACAGAATGCACTTCAAAGGGACAAGATTATGTCAGCCCAGGCGAAGGCCTTCTTCAGCGAAGCCCGCTACTTCCAAGCTGCAAGCTGTTATGCGCAGTGCTCTATCTCATTTGAAGAAGTCACATTGCAGTTTCTCGACGCGGGAGAACGTGATGCTCTTCGATCGTACCTCATCTCCCGTTTGGAGCGCACACGGAGAACTGTGAGGTTATCCAGTAAATCCGCCTTGCTTATATTATTGACGCCACCACAGGATCTCTCGCAACGAATGATGCTCGCGACATGGCTCGTCGAATTCTACTTGAGCAAATGCAACGAGCTTGACGACTTGGTTGCGTCGGAGTCTATCGCCCAGGACGTGGACAACTTGTTGGCCGAGCGAACGATTTTAGAAGACGATCTTAGGCATTTCTTTGAGACATACAAGGTACGAGCGTATTCGCTACTGCTTCCAACGTCGATACTCACTGGTCTCCTAGGTCAACCTGGATCCAAGGACAGTATACGAGCTCATTCAGGGTCACGGGCGCACAGACATGTATCTCCACTTCGCAACTGTGATTGGAGACTTCGAGCGTGTTGTCGAGCATTGGGTCATGGAAGAAGAATGGGCGAAAGCCATCGATGTCATCAACCGCCAGGTGAGACTGCTTTCGCTCAGCCGGTCCAAGCTTTCTCATCCGTTGCATAGTCCGACCTCGAGCTCTACTATCGGTTCGCCCCTGTTCTCATGCGCCATTCACCAAAGGAGGCTGTTGATGCATGGTTACGTCAACGAGCGTTGGATCCTCTGCGCCTTGTTCCAGCTTTGCTCCGCCTTCAACACGTTCCGCGCGATCCACTTTCCCCCAACCATGCCGTTCGCTATCTAAATCATGTCATCTTCGAGCAAGGCAACACATCGCCCACGATCCACAATTTGATGATCACGTTCTATGCATCAAGCCCTTCAGCCATCATGGTGACATCTACCGGCCACCCAGAAGACGATGGGCCCCTCTTACGCTTCTTGTCCTCGGCTCCGTCGGATCCGCTCACCGGCAAACCCTACTACGATCTTGACTACGCACTACGTCTATGCAAGCAGGGCGGTCGCACGCAACCATGTGTCCATATCTACTCGAAGATGGGCTTGTGGGAGAATAGCGTTGACCTTGCTCTTGAGAAGGGTGATCTCGAGCTCGCCAAGATCAACGCCGACATGCCGGAGGACGACGACCAGCTGCGCAAGAAGTTGTGGCTCAAGATCGCGAAGTACGTCGTTCAAGATAAGCAGGACATCAAGATGTCAGTCTCCTTCCCCTTGCAGTCTTGACTCTTCTACCCCAGTTGTGTCATGTCGAACATGCTCTGATTCAATTTGTAATTGCCAGGGCGATGCGCTTCCTCGAGAACACGGATCTGCTCAAGATCGAGGATATTCTCCCGTTCTTCCCAGACTTCGTCGTCATCGACGACTTCAAGGAGGAGATTTGTACTGCCCTCGAAGGCTACTCGGCGCACATCGACGAGCTTAAGTCTGAGATGGACGAGGCGACCAAGAACGCAGAGGCAATCAAGCAGGACATTGCCGCGCTCCAGAAGCGGTTCACCACCGTCGACGCGGCGGAAAAGTGCTCGCGCTGCGCGCTCCCACTTATGACCCGCCAGTTCTATGTCTTCCCATGCCACCACACCTTCCATGCCGACTGCCTCATCGGTCTGGTGCGTGCTCACGCCCGCGTGCTCGTTCCCTTGCTAACCCGATCGCGTTCGCCCCCCACCAGACGAAAGAGTTCTTGCCCGCCCACGCTCTCCGCCGCATCCTCGCGCTCCAGACGGAGCTCATGAAGACCTCGCAAGCCCCTCTGGCAGGCCTGGACCGCGGCGGGCCGCCGACGAACCGCGCGCTATCCTCGCTGACCCACAACCCGCGCCAGTCGAGCGTCCCCCGCGCGCTGCTCTCTGCCAACTTCGCCGCTGGCGTGGGCACGGGCGCCCGTGGCGTCGGTCGCAACCTTCTGTCCGCGGGTGACCGTCTGCGGGACCTGATCATCCCCGACGCGCTCGCTGGGCTCGTCACCGCCCCGGCAGGGTGGATCCCGGGCATCGGCGGCGGCGGCGCGGCGCGGCGAGACGCGGGCGAGAAGGACGCGGAGAAGGCGGAGCGGACGCGACGGGAGCTCGAGGACTTGCTCGCCGCGCACTGTCCGATGTGTGAGAGCGTCGTCGCCGGGCTGGACAAGCCTTTCGTGCAAGCGGGAGAGGTGGACTCCAGCTGGGACCTGTGATTCCTCGTGCTATCCTTGCTTGTATCTCATACCTTCGAACGGATATCTGTCTTTTAGTGGCGAACAGTTCGTTGCAGACTGGAATATGTACGGGACTAAACCTCAGGTCGTAGAGTGCTCCTATGTTTGCATTATGCTTGAAGGCCTAGACCGCCTCGAGGGAGGTGCACGTCATGATCGTATACCATGACTGGTAATATTGCTCTTGCTTCAACAGCTATACATATGACACACATAGCTCTGGAAAAAAAAAAGAGATAATTGCTACATGAAATCCCCAGTGTATCGACCGACCAAACACTTTATCGAAGTGGATAGCGCGGTTCTCCAAGAGCTCCGCGCAGTTGGCCGATGACGGCTTGGGACGACACCACGAACGTACAGATGAAAGGTCCAATGGACGACAAGAGTCCTCGAGGGCGACCACGGTCCAGAAAGGAAGACTTGGCGGAGGGAGCTCGAAAGGAGCTCGGACTAGTGATTGATTTTCTTGGTTCTTCCTGCCTTGCGGCGGAGGCGCGCGGCCTTTCGTGCGCCCATCTGAAGCCATTAATTGGCCAAGTGAGCATGCGGCGACGCGGTGGGAGGGCAAAGGTCGCGTAGAAACGGGGTTTCCCAGGAGGAGGAGGGGCCGCGCACCTTGGCTTTTTCTTCCTCCAATCTGCGACGCTCTTCCGCGGCCTTCTTACGCTCGAGGGTGATTTCCCTCCGGCTGTCAAGACGAGGGGTGAGAACGCGAGCTACGTTAGCACCGATCACGGGGACAGGGCACATTCCAGGGCGACGCGACGGGTGTCCCCAACACGATCGAGCGGAGCAGAAGAGGGATTAATTGCTCACCGTTGTATCTCGGCTTGCTTTTCCTCCTTGAGCTCGGCTTGGAGTTTCTTGATGGCCTGCTCCTTCTTGGTGGCCTCCATACGGTCTTCCCACTTTCTGGTCTTGACACCCTCAGGAAGATGGGAGCGTCTGTGTGGACTGCAGTCTCAGAACACCGCCCGAGACGTCAGATGGTGCTGGTGCATACACAGTTGCCGTCTTGCGGGACTTCCATGCCTTGCCTGAAACGCGACCGCCGACGAGTGCGCTAGGGGAAGAGGAGCGAGATCTGAAGGATGCTCCTGAGCCACAGCTGCTGGCTGTGAGGGGAGGGGCTGCGAGAGGGATGGGGACGCGGGTCTAGACATGGTCAATTTTGGTGGTGTGGAGGGAGCCGGACCGGGAGCAACTCGAAGACGCGGGGAGTGCAAGGGAATTGCCGCCAGGATCGGCGATCGCGGACACGTGGCGAGATCCGCCGTTCTGCCGGGCCAGGCGGCTCCCAGCGCTGGAGGGCGGGCGCGCGGGCAGATTGTCGTTCGTGCTCCCTCCCCAGGGCCGACGACGAGGGCTCGGCGTGGAGGGCATGGAGTGTGGGCCGTGGCGAGAGGAGAACTTCAGTACTCAGGAGGTTGCGCAGAGGGCCTGGGCGACCGCGCGCGCGCACCCATTCGGTGTGTGGCAGGATCTGGCAGCACGCCGCCCCGCGCTGGGCGATAGCACGCAGTTAGCACATCCGTCGACCCGCCCGCGATGACGTCGCCTTCGCGTACGCGGGTGTCGCGCGGGGTGCTCTGGCTCAACCTCAGCAGGGAGGGCGGCGGGAGAGATAAGCCGCGCTCTGCTGTCTGATGGGCAGACCGAGGGAGACGGACGGCGGACGGCCGTGGCGGGCTTGTTGTCTGCTGTTTTGGCCTCAGCCTAATCGGCCCTCAGCCTAAGCTCGGTTGAGGTCTCTGCCCGCGCTCGAGTCTGAGGTCTTCCTCTCGTCCTCGGTCCCCGCTAGGCCGTCGGCCGCTGTCTCTCTCTTCCGCGACACGCTCCTTTCCTCCCCCGCGGTTGGCGCGACGCCCTCCTCATGAACCTCATGGCCTCCCCCGACCTCCGTGCCGACGACGACCACCTCAGGCATCTCCTCGACCAGCGTGCTGCCCGCGCTGACCTCCACGGTCGTTTCCCCTCCCTCTCCGAGTTCTCAGACTCGCCCTCTGTCTATAGCCACCCCCACTTCTCCCCACGGCCGCCAGACAGGCCTTTCCTCCACGGCCACCCCTCCACCTTCCGCTTCCCCCAAGGCTACTCGCCTTCCCTCGATGACCGCGAACCCCGCTCGCCCATCACCGACCGCGAGCGTCTGAACATTCCCAACGCGAGCAGCCTCGACCTCGAAGACGATCCCCGCTCTTCTTCAGAGTACCAGAGCTTCCGCGATGACGAGCCCGATTCCCCAGACGAGTTCGACGAGCCTCCCCAGGTCAGCATGTATGGTCCCAAAATGCGCTTCCACTCCCCCGCTCCCTGGGAAGAGGACGGGGCCGAGCAGAGGTCCTTCCCCGACGACCTCCCCAAGCGTTCCAAGAAGAAGAGCGAGCCCAGCATCGCCAAGAAGGCCTGGGGGCTCTCTCGCTCCAGCGGCGACACGCGCCCGAGCACCGACTCCGTTCGCTCCGGGAAGGGCAAGCAGTCTTTCGACGCCCAGTCCAACTTCTCTGCCAGTGGTGCTCTCGCGTGCGTACCTCTCCTGCTTGTCTGCGCTCTGTACTCACATTCTGCTCTCTAGTGCTCTCGCTCAGGCCTCCATGTCCACCACTTCTCTAGCCGTCCACCAGTCTCCCCAGTCTCTGCGGGACAAGCTGTCGCTCCCTCGACTCCGCACCCGCTCGCCCTCCAACGTCGGCCCGCTCGATGCTGTCTCTCCGTCGAACGCGTCCCCTATCACTCGGATCGGGACTCCGCCCCATGGTGGTGACGACTATGAAGATGATCGCTCGGTCCTCGGCCTCTCGTCCGCCCGCGCTGGCACCCCTCAGCAGGAATATACACACCCCTATGCGAATCCAGATCTCGTTAGGGCCCAAGACTTTAGTCACCCTCCATCTCCCAGTCAGATGTCGTTCGTCGGCGCACGGGGCCCACCCTCCACCACGATGCTTACAGAGACCACCCTAAGTAGTAGTCTTTCCCAGTTTCGCTCCACCACCACCCTCGCCATGACCCCTGGAACGTCCACGACATCCATGAACCCAAGTCTCAACGACTCCTTCTCATCCAGCCGACTGGGTTCCAAGGGCATCGGCGGCATCTCGTCACCCATCCCCGTAGATAAGGCGTCGCTTCATCCAGACGTTCTAGGCAAGCTCAACGGTTTCCAAGCGTCACCTATCTCTGCCGCCGTCAGCCCCATAGCCCCACGGCACCGCGACACCTCAATGTCAGCCGTAACCATGGGTGGTCTGTCGACATGGGCTGAAAACCCAGCTGGTGGTGCGTTGAAGTTGATTTCCCTGGAGGAGGCGCAGGCGCAGGCTCGCGTTCGCAGTGTAACTGCCCACCCGACGGTCTCCAGTCCGTACGCATTATCCAACAAGTCCCCCTTCCCGGAGGTAGATGCGGATGCGCAGCACGCTCAGGGACGAGCCAGGTCCAGTAGTGCAGGCGGGAAAGGCAGGAACACCTTCGACTCGCCGCAGCGTTTTGTTCCTCCCGTCCCGCTCCCCGGAGACTCCCCCGTAAGCGGTCCATCAAAGCAGGTCGTGAGGAAGAAGAGTGGGTTCATGCGGCTGTTCAATAATGGGAAGGACCGCACGTCGCCTAGTTCGCCACCACCACCCGTCCCATCATTCACCAACGACGCGTTCGCAGCCCAGCCGCCGTCACAGCCACCAGTAACGTACCAGCGACCTCGTCAAGGTTCGCGCACCGCGTTCCTGTGCCTGTGCTGTCTCCTAGTCTTTTGGGTGAACCGGGTGGACGCGACAGTTCATCCCCAGGCGACTCGCCGCCCTCGACTGATTCGTCGAGCCATACGTCGAGCGCAGCGTGGCGCGACCAGCAGCAGCTGAGCTACAGGCGCAAGGTCCCCGAGCTCTCAATCGTCACCGCTCCGTCCTCCGCCTCGACGTTGGCTCCCAAAGCTCCCTTCACTGCTCCCCTCTCAGCAAATTCGAGCGATGCGTCACACCACCACCTCACCCCCACGACTTCCGCTTCTCACTTAGAGCTGCGACCAGCTGGTTCGTCTCCCAGTAGTGCTCCGCCGACGAAGACGGACTTCGTGGGGCTCAGCATCCGTCCCATGTCTACTCTATTCACACGGGAGCTGAAGGAGCTAGCCGCGACCGAGCGGCCATCGCTTGAGTGGACACAGGCACACCTACGACGGCAACCACGGCCATCTCCCCCTCAGCCCCGACTTTCCGAGCGCCAGAGGCTACGGTTCTGCGACCTCAAACGACGAGAAGCAGCCCCCGCTGTCCTTCGCACACGATGGGAGCGACCAGTCGATCATCCACGCGCTGCAGGAACAGATCCTTTCGACGCGTCGCGCATGGCAGCGTCAGATATGGGAGCTCGAGGGCCAGGTGCGCGACCTCAAGGCCGAGGTAGAGGAGCTTCGTTCACAAGAGGCGAAAGGCGACTACTGCGCATCATGCGGTCGCGGGTCTCTCGCCCTGTCTTCAGCGGGGTCGGACGACGCGGGCAGCGGTCGCCGCAGGAGGATGTGAGGAGGGCAGGGGGAGGCGGCGTCGTCAATCGACCTCGCGCACGCACGGGGATCAGCTCCCGCTTCAACGCGTAGGCGTTCATGTCCCGCAACGTTTATCACGCCCTCGCCACGCCCTCTCGTTCGTCTCCCATTGTTTCATTCTCTCTTTCCTCTCGCACTATTGATATTGATGCGACTGTGTCGCCGTAAGGACTTTCCGCCTCTCCCCTCTTCTCCCACCCACCCGCCTGTCTGTTTTTATTTCTATTATCCGTGTAATCCACCGACGCCGTCTTGACCGTCCCACTCACACTCATTCTATCCTCCACCACGTTACGTCTACTTTCTCACTACCATCCACCCCGATACCAACCGATAGAGTACCGCGCTCCTCTGTAGTAACACGTGTCACCAGTATAAGCGTCCGTCGTCTCGCCGACCACCGCATCGCTCGGTCCTTGTCGCTGTGTCGCATCACTTTCGTCGTCTTCCCTCCGGTCTCTCTGTGGAAACTTCCTCTCCTTTCGGGACAACGCGCACAGGTCGCCTGCGTACGTACGACTGCATGCATGTGTCTGTCGTAGTTTGGTTGGCTCTCAGCGCGCACGGCGCACTATGTATGGAATGGGCGTTTGATGGTCGTCCTGCACGCACCACACACACTCTCTCGTCTTCCCTGCTTGATCCCATTTTCCGCCACTCATTGCAATATGCACGCACGGTACGTAGATTTCTCGCTCCCGAAAGCGTACGCAAGGATACGATGAAGTAGCATAACGCTGGGGAAAGATGACGCGAATGGAATGCAACGAAGTCGACGTGTCCAGACCCTACTCATCTTCGGCGCCGAGCAACCACCCAATACCCTTTTGCAACACGCGCGACGCCTGCTCCGACACCTGCGCCCCGTCCAGCCGCGTCCTGCTCCCGCTGCGCGAGCGCTCCGAGTCCTCCGACAGGTACGACCGCCCGCGGCCCCCGAGCGCGAACGGGATGTTCGCCGCGACGCGGCTGAACGCCTTGCCCGCGAACGCCGCGGCGTCCGGGGACGGCATGTGCGCCTGCATGCTCTGCAGGCGCGTCGCGAGCGACGCGACCGCGTGCGCGGGGGTGAGCGTAGAGCCCGCCCGCCTCCGCCCGCGCCCACGGGTGCGGGTGCGCGACCGCTCGAGCAGCGCGTCACGGCGCGCGTCGACGTCCTCGTCCTCGAGCGCGCGCCAGGCGGCGAGGACGTCCGGGAGGCGCTCGGCGGGACAGATCTCGAGCGCGCGGCCGAGGAGGGCGAGCTTCTTGTCCGCGTCTGGGACTTCGGGGTGGCGCCCGAGCTGGAAGCAGGTGAGCCAGCAGACCTCGCTCGCCTCCGCGATCGGGTCCGGGGTCGCAGAGGGAGCGGAAGCGGCGCCTGGGGCCCGGTCGCCGCGGAGGAGGACGACGGTGTTGACCATGGTGTCGGCGGTCGCGTACGCACGCGGGAAGTCGTCCGCCTGGAGCGCGGTCTCGGTTAGCATGGCGAGGGTCTTCACTTCGGCGACGATGTCGTCGCGGAAGCCGAGCTTGCGGATGAGGTCGAGGATGACCTCGGTGTGCTTGTAGGCGTCATTATTGCTTGACAGGACGCGGGAGACGAGGGAGAGGCGATCTTTGGTGAGCCGGATCTCGATGGGTGAGATTGGGATGCCGGGGCGAGACATGAGATTGTAGGAACACAGCCGGGACGTGGCTTCGATGAACTCCTTCTCCTCCTCGATCCGATCCGAAGACGCAGCCACACCGAGACTGTTTGAACCGGTCGGCATCAGCCTCTACCAGTAATGGAAGGTGGGGCGTACCAGTCATATGCCAACTTCATGTCGCCAAAATGATAGTTGCCTGACGTGGCATTATCGTAAAATTCCTGCGAGCATGTGAGGCAGATGTCTTCAATCACCCGATCATCAAGAGACAGGTCCATCTTGCGTGAACGCAGTAGCTTCTTTGCAATATCGAAACCTACAAGCAAAAATCAATTCACGCCCGAATTACATCTCACGAATCCACTTACTGCCCGTGCTCAAGAGGCCACTGAAGAATATGCGGATGATATCATCTCGCGACAGCAGACAAAAAGCGCTTCTTGATCCACTTTCGCCGTCTCCGGAAAGCTTGAGCATGTCTTCGAGCAGCCACTCCCAGTCTTCTTGGGTGTCCAGTGCGTCATTCGACGCGTTCGCTCGACGTGCCATGCGGTTCGCCCAAGAACGTTGCTCGGCGATGCTTGAATTGCTTCGCAGAAACCAACGGAGTGGAGCTGGGACGCTCCATCTTGAGAGAATCTCCCCTGACTCCAAGTGAACGTCCAGGACGTCCAGTGCTCGTGACAACGATGTGATAGGCAATGGCTTAAAGAACAGGAGTAGATCTGACGGGGTGGCTTTAGGCCTGGTCGTCGATGGAGCCACAAAGTCGCCAAGGGAAGAGATGGTGGTGTCTGTCTCGTCTTCGTCTTCTTCGTCATCCCCAGCTGAGGTCCACGCGGGCAAACACTCGAATATGCGACTCATCGTTGGCCACTGATCCAGGCTGTCACTGCCATATAGGCAGGCAAGGGCGAGTCGCGCCATGTCTTCGTCATTGTTGATGATACGTTGAGCCTGTGGGAGAGTCGGCTTGGATGCTTCGAATATTGCGGCGACCATGTCCAAAGGTGCGTTCAAGATGTATTCGTGGAGAAGACGTGTCACGAGTGTGGTATCCGGCTGACTTGTGCGTTCCGCGCGAGCCTCCAGGACAAAGAGGAATGGCATGACCAGTTTATGGATGTCCTGGACAACTCGTTGTTCGGTCGAATGAGCGAGATAAGCCCGTACCACGTCGGATGGTGTCATCGACCTCCACCTCGCTAAGCTCCAATCCTCCGCGGCGCCGTCCTTGCCTTGCGCCGCATCGTAGACAAGGCGCGCGATCAGGCTGAGGTCCTCTCCAATCTCGTCCAAGGCGAGGAGACCTTGAGAAGCTGCATGCTGGATGAGGAAGAGGGCGACGTCTATCATGCCGGTGGAATGCAAGACGTGCTCTGTTCTACGGAGGTACCATGATGAGAGTTCGGAGGATGTGACAGGATTGGGATGGGAACCAGAAGGTGCTTGTGGGGGAGGAGGAGAGGGAGAGGGACATCACATTCGATGACGGCTCGTGCGCATTCCGGCTTCTCGCAGTAATCCGCTTCGGTCCTCCACGGAGAGTATTCTGGGTGTGTTTCAAGCTCTGAGGATGGGTCGTACGATGGCAGCAGACCCTGGTAGTCCGACGCCAGGGCATACTCTGGGATACAGTCCAGTATTGTAAAGCGGTAGGGCCAAAGCATCGGTGCATGACGGCTTGTGAGGATACTGAGAGCGGCAAAGTGTTCTTGTGATGCGAAGGAGCATGCCACTTCTACCAAGTCTGAAGCGAGGAACTCGGAGAGGGGGATGGGAGCTTTGCCGGGCTTCGTCGGTTTGGGCTGAGGGGGAGCATCTTCGTCCACCCATGGATCGTCTTCCCACTCCTCGTCGATGGAATCGACTTTATCGTCTTCTTCCACGGGGGCCTCCCGAAAGATTTGAACATAAGTGTTGAGCCTGTCGAGGCGCTCCAAGAGCACGGCACGTATGCGGCAGAGCTGCGCGTCCGCAGGCTCGTCGGCGAAGTAAGAGACTAACGCGACGTGCCGTGCTTGCTCCCCTGCGCCCTCAACCAATCTTTCGTCTTCTCCCGAGTACGAACTCCCTGAGATGTCTTGAACGCGTTCAGCAGCTTCCAATGTTCGCTCTATACCGAGGTCGAGGAGAGCCTGCTGAACAGTCGAGTCGTCGAGGACCCGGTCTACGCATGCAGCGGCGACCCAGAAGTCTTCCCGGATAGGTTTAAGAAGCTTAGCCACATCGTCAACGGAAAGGTCTGCGTCTGCCAGGGAAGTCCATTGGGTAGCAGGATCTGGGGTAGAGGACGTTGTGGCGGTAGACATAGTCGAGGCAGAGACACGTGCGAGCATGGACCATTTACTATGACGTGGGCGGCAGTCGTGTCCACTGACGCGCCCGTTTCGCCCTTCGTCAACGTGTTTGCTGCCAGGCCGAAGAGTACAAGTCGAGAGTCGTGCAGTAACTCAAGGCACGCAAACGAGTATATAAAACCACGTATATGCAGCAGAAGCCTGTACATGTCGCGCATACAGCTGCATACGTCGGGCACGGTCGAGCACTTCATATCCGGCCCCAAGGCAACGAAATGCCAAGCTCAGGATCCAACCAGCCGAAACATTATCTCAGAAGAGTGTTTCCTGTAGTTGCGTAAGCCGGCTGCAAGCGCGCAGAACAACATGTCACTTTACCTCGTCACGTAGGTACTCCCCAACATCACTGAAGGAAGAGTTAAGCACGTCTAGAGCAAACAAGAGAAAGGAAACATACGCTTGATGGAAGACGATGATTGCTGTCGGGTCAAGTTTTCTTGTGTCCACAGTGGACCGAGCGGTTACTCCAAATCCCTGGGCACTCCGAGTGTGAGCGGACGCGAAAGCAACTGGCAAATACTCACCAGTGGTGTGTCGTTCATGCTGAAGACAACAACACCTTGGTGCTCAGGTGTATCCTCCGTTATGCGTCCGAGGTGCGCCTTCAGAACATGGTTCCCGTACAAAAAGGGCATTTCACCGTTCGGTTTAATCCAAACCTGTCCCCGTCGCGGAGATCAACGCCAGACCCGTATACGAAGTGAATCAAAACCACCGACTTTGTATTTGGCAAATTGCGCCAAGTAGTCCAACGCGGTAATGTGGAGCTTGAACTTGCCGCTTTTCGTGAATTTACCGAAACAAGTGCCCAAGCTTGTAAGGTTCGGTCGGGCAACAGAAATAGCGAGTCGCATGGACGATTCAGAGACATAGAATACGCGGTCCTTTTGGAGTCGGAAGCAGTGTGATTCGTCCTGACGGTCAATCAAGTGGACCAGGTTCCTGCCCTGAAGGCATGTCACGAAAGGCATGCAACGGAGGAGCACTGGACGTACAACATAGTTTGCCAACTTCGCGAACACTGTTTTGCTCTCCTCTTCAGTGAGTGGACGCATCAGGTATCGTGGTGTAGACTTGATCCGTCGTGTAAAAGAAGGATCTGAGGGTGGCTGGTCAGGGTGGCACGAAGAGGAAGGCCGCGCCAAAAAGTTGACTTTGCAGATATTTGGGCGATCACCCCGGCCGGGATGCGGGCCGTGGTATTGCTTCGTCCTGCGCTCATCTCCCTCTATCATGTCTCTCTCTCTCAGCAAACTCGAGCCTGGCCAAGGCCACATCGCGCTCCGAAATCACGGCTCCGGGAACGTTTTCACCCACTTATCCGCCACGTACCCTCTCAAGCTTCTGTCCCCAAACCTGCATTCTCCAAATGTATCCGTCGTCTATGTGCTCAGTTACGGAGGGGGTCTAGTCGGCGGAGACCATGTGCAGCTGGATATCGAGGTTCATGATGGGGCGCAGCTGGTCATTTTGTCGCAGGTATCTATCTTTCATGTATATCTACTTCCCTGCCCAGTGCATAACGAGATGCAGGGTTCTACCAAAGTGTTCAAGGCGCGACATGGCCAACGTCTCTCATCTCGAGCGAATATCTCTCCCGTTACGGTTCAACGCCTCGATTTTCAAGTAGCACCTCGCAGCGCCCTATTTCTCCTTCCCGATCCCGTTACCTGCTTTCGGTCTGCCAAATACCACCAGCTCCAGACGTTCCACTTGGCCACAGATTCTTCCGCCGTCCTGCTTGACTGGATCACATCTGGACGCAAGTCACTTGGGGAAGACTGGGCTTTCGCCAAATACTACAGTCTCAATGAAGTCTGGGTCGATGGCAAACGAATCGCCAAAGATGCACTACTTCTCGAGGATCGCGACTCAACTCACAAACCTTTCGCTCTCCGATCCTTGGCGGAATCCCTCGCTCCATACTCGTGTTACGCGACGATCATCATATACGGCGCTCTTGTTGAAGATACCATCGCGCATCTCACAGCGGCATACGAAGTAATCACCGTCTTCAAGCAGGCGAGCCCTTCCTCGTTATTATGGTCGTTGAGCCCGATATGCGAAGGCAAAGGCTGCGTCGTTCGCGTTGCTGCAACCGAGACCGAAGATGTGAAGAATTGGTTGAAGGCTGCGCTGCGGGATCTGGAGCGCGTATTGGGAGTGGACGTGTATCGCAGGATATTTGCCTAGGCCTCATGGGCAGCTCGGTACGCTGTTCTTTCGAATTCTATCCCGCGTTCTAACCCAGATTATCAATCCAGTATCGCTGGTGATCCAACGCAGATTTCCAAACATCGGAGCGTGCTGCGCAGTATTTCCACAGCGCCTTGAGACTTCCCGAACTCCAGCACGCGCCAGCGCGAGAGCCAATGAGACTCCAGCGCACCCCGTGGCGCGAAGGTATCGCGCAACCTGTCGTATGTGCCGCCTGTATCAGTTAATGGAGCGCAGAAGCTCAATCGATATCCGTAGGAAGTGCTTATCTCGGGAACGGCATGCATCCGCGCTTACTGGCTGCCTAGTTGACTCGCCCGTCCTCTCACGCGGAAGCCGTCTTCTCAGGCACGTCCGTTTTCGACGCCTATAAAGACCCATGCTCGACAGCGTTCGGCTGTCGTCGCCCCACCAATCGACCCCAGCCATGTCCGCGGAAAGTGCGTCGCGTCGTTCCGACGTCAAAGACGAAGAAAAGGCGATCGTTCAGGATACAGTGCCGGCTTATCGTCCGGAAGTCGATACGTCTGGCGTAAATGAACGTAAACTTATGAGAAAAATCGACTGGCACGTGGTCCCATGGCTCGCTCTCCTCTACTTGTTGAACTTCCTGGACCGAGGAAGCATCGGCAATGCGAAGGTACGCATAGCTCCATGTGCCTACAGCCTATAGTACTGAGCCCCGCATTGCTCAGTTGTACGATATGACGCAGGATCTGCATATTACGGACAAGCAGTACCTTATCGCTTTAACGGTGTTCTTCTTTCCATACGCTCTCTTCGAGGTCAGTGCTCGGCTTCTCAGATCAAGAAAATACTTCTCAATGACCGCACAGCCTCCAAGCAACGTCGCTCTGAAGAAGCTGCGTCCGTCGATGTGGTTGTCATTCATTATGCTAGTCTGGGGCATTGCAATGGTAGGTAGATGTGCAACCCTACCCGCAGATTGGACTGCTGAAACTGGCCCAACTAGACGCTACACGGCGTAGTCACAAACTACGCCGGTCTTGTCGGTACGTTTCGAGTTCGTCCTCTCGGTTTGCGTATACGTATTGACCGTTCCACAGGCCTGCGGTTCCTGCTGGGACTGGCTGAGGCGGGCTTGTATCCCGGTGTCATTTTTTACATGACGTGCTGGTACAAGAGAGATGAACTTGGCTCCCGCGTGGGGGTGTTCTTCTCCTCGGCGACCATCGCAGGCGCATTCAGTATGCATGATGGCAGTCGGTTTATGTATGATCTGACCATTCTCTCAGGCGGTCTCCTCGCTGCGGCAATCTCCAAGATGGACGGTATCGGGGGGAAACCCGGATGGGCGTGGATCTTTATCCTCGAAGGGCTTTTCACCATCATCTGCGCCATCGCTTCCTTCTTCATACTGTCTGACTTCCCGGACACCGCCAAGTTCCTCACCGAAGCCGAACGTAAATTGTTCAACAAAACTCTGTCGTTTCACTCGCTAATTCCCAGTGCCTGTGCGAAGGTGTTTGGGTTGTTCGTCGCCAACAGGCAGACATGAAGTTCAGCGCGGCTGGGGAACCATTCAAGATGAAATATATTTGGCAAGCTCTGGCGGACTGGAAGACGTGGTTGGCGAGTAAGCTGACTTCCCGTTCAATATTACGCATGCAACTGACACACGTCCGCAGTGGGTATTTACATGGGATTGTAAGTAGTTAGCAGCTCGACGGTCTGCCGCAAAACTTGACCATCTGTGCAGCGACGGGCCTCTCTTTGCGTTTTCTCTCTTCACCCCCACAATTATCAACCAGCTCGGCTTCAAAGCACGGCAGCAAACTTACTTTCGGTGCCAGTATATGCGTGGGGCTGTATCATGACCGTCATCGTCGGCTTCTGGGGCGACCGGGCGAAGACTAGAGCCTGGGTCAACTTGTGTGTATTGCCAACATCTCAACAGCGTCCAAAATCTGATCCAAGTGTTCGGCATTGTAGAGCTCTTTTCAGCAGCGGTCTAATCGGCTATATCATTCTCATTTGCTCGTCGAACCCGTCTCTATCGTACTTCGCCGTGTACCTCGCGATCTCGTCAGTCTGTGGCCAGTTATTTGTACTGATGCTGACCCCCGTCCCGTAGCTCAATCTATCCCACCGTTCGTGAGTGTCCCAGCGCGCTACCTCCTCTTTGGACTGACATCTCAATGCATCTCTTCACAGCGAATTCAGTGTAGGTCCCACCTCCCATTATCAATGCGCCCGTATCTCAAAACACTGACTGGGATTGATCAGCGCGTGGGTGTCGGCAAACGTCGAAGGCTCGTACAAACGCAGTGCCGTCCTCGGGATGGCCATCGGTTGGGGCAATCTGAACGGCGCCGTAACGTCCAACGTCGTATGTCGCTCCATCCCATCCTTCCATTCTTCGCGCTGAACCATTTCTCTCTCAGTACCGTGCTGTCGACAAGCCCTGGTATCGCCTAGGCCACGGCATCGTCCTCGCCTATATCGCCATCGGGTGGCTGTCCTCTCTTGCGTTGTATTTCTTGCTCAAGCGCGAGAATGCCCGGCGTGAAAGGGGAACTCCCCGTATGCGCTAGCCCCCCTTTTTTGTCGTACGCTACATAGGCTCCGCCTGACGGCGAAATGAAAAAAAAAAAAAAAAAGGGAGAACGGGACGAGGTCGTCGAAGGCGTCGAGAGCAAGACCGCTCACGAGCGGAATGGCATTTTCCCGAGCGTGCAGGCGGCGAGGATGGAAAAAGGAGACGCATGGAGCGGCTTCCGATACACATTGTGACGACGTTCATGATTTTGGCAGATACGTTCGCGGCATGTCTTAAAGAGTGCGATTATTGAGCGGAGTGTTGCAGAATGTACGATAGATACAATGCGAGTAGGATACGTCCAATGCGATGGCACTCCCGAGTATTAGTTCCAGAGCAATGCGGATACATGCAGCAATGAGTGATTGAACAGCCCAAGTCTACTGATGAGGCTCGTCTATCCGCTTTGCTGCGGGAGCAGCACCACCGAGTGGCTCGTCGCTCTCCAACGGTGGGGGTGCACTTCGCTCCTGGCTATTTTCTTCCAACCACTTGTCCATCGCATCCCTGCGGTTCGCGAACGGCCGGGGACCGAGAAGGGCAATCATGTCCTCACTGTCACGACCACATCAATAGACCGTCTGTACTATAGACGGGGTAGAACATACCGGGTGATCACTTCCTTGTCAAGCAGAAGTTTTGCGACCTTCTCGACGTCCATCTTGTGCTTCGTGAGGAGGTCTGTTGTCCGTTGGTGTGCGGTTCTGCAGTAACGATGAGTAACACGATGGGAAGCAGCGAAATGCTAGAACATACACAATCATCTTCCGAACCTGCTCATCGAGCATCTCCGCTGTTCTCTCGCTGAACGGCTTGACCATCGACTCCTGTGTCGCATTTGCGCCACCGTAGCTAACAGGGCCGACGACGGAGTTCATGCCGTAGTTCGCCACGGCCTCAAACGCGATTTGAGTGATCTTCTGGAGGTCATCCTGGGCGCCGGTGGTGATGTTCTCCGCGCCGAAGAATATCTCCTCGGACACACGACCCCCGAGGGTCATGCATATCCGGTCAAGCATCTGAGGCGTCGAAAGGAGATAACGGTCTGGCGGAAGGTACTGCATCGAAAGGGTGAGCCCCCAACCGGAGAATTGACAGACACGAGTGTACCTTCGCATACCCGAGCGCACCAACCCCACGGGGAATGATGCTGACCTTCAGGAGCGGGTCCGCGTGCTCCAAAAACCACCCGCAGATAGCGTGGCCGGCTTCGTGGTACGCGACGGTCTTCTTCTCTTCGGGGCTGAGGAGTCTGCTCTTGCGCTCGAGGCCGACGATCACGCGCTCGATTGCCGACTCGAAGTCGTCTTCGGTGACCGACTCGTTTCCGACGCGAGCAGCGTGCAAAGCTGCTTCGTTGCAAACGTTTGCGATGTCAGCACCAGAGAAACCGGGGGTGAGGACGGCGAGTTTCTCCGCAAACTTCTCCGTTGCGGGCAGGGTGTCGGAGAGGCGGAGCGGCTTGAGGTGGACCATGAAGATACCTCTGCGGCCGACAACGTCTGGGCGATCGATGGCGATGTGTCGGTCGAAGCGACCGGGACGCATGAGAGCGCTATCGAGGACGTCCGGTCGATTGGTACCAGCGAGGACAACCACATGCTCCGTCGTTCCGAAACCGTCCATCTCGACGAGGAGCTGGTTGAGCGTCTGCTCGCGCTCGTCGTTGCCCCCGAAGCCCTTGCCCTTGCTACGAGACTTGCCGATGGCGTCGATTTCATCAATGAATATGATGGAAGGAGCGTTCTTCTTGGCAGTGGCGAACAAGTCGCGCACACGAGAGGAGCCGACACCGACGAAGAGCTCGACGAATTCAGAGCCGGACACGGAGTAGAAGGGTACGCCGGCTTCACCAGCTGTCGCCTTCGCGAGGAGAGTTTTGCCGGTACCAGGAGGGCCGGAGAGGATGGCTCCACGGGGGATCTTCGCACCAAGTCGCTCGTAGCGGGCTGGCTCCTTGAGGAAAGAAACGAACTCCATAATCTCGAGCTTGGCCTCGTCCATACCGGCGATGTCAGCGAAACGGACCCTGACGTCCGTCTCGTTGTTGAATTTCCTCGCCTTGCTCTTCCCAACACCAAACAGTCCGCCGCTCCCGCCGCTCGCTCCTCCTGCGCGTCGAGAGAGATAAATCATGATACCGGCGAAAAGCAGAGTGGGGCCGAAGCTGAGGAGGTAGCTGAAGGTCGAGACTTCCTCGTGGTAGGACACAGGGATGCGTTCACTGGTTGGAATGCCCAGCTCTCGCTGAGCCTCGTCGAGTTTGCGCTCGAACGCCTCGACGGAGCCAATGGAGAAGAAGTAGTCGCCTCCGCCGGCAGGCGCGTTGGGGTACATGGAACCGGTGGCATTGGAGTGCAACTTGACGCGGACCTTGGTGCGGTTGATGACAGTGAGACTGTCGACAAGGCCCTTGTCGAGGAAAGCCGTGCGGAACTCCTGCCAGGTGATCTCGCGTGAGCCGGAGCTCGTGTTCGTCAGTGCGAGGATGACACCAATGACGGTGGAGAGCAGAATGAGCTGGTTGCTGTTGAGGGGAGGGCCTCCTGGGGGAATCTGCTGCTGCTGATTCCGTTTGGAGCCCTTCTCGCCTTGACCGTCCGGACCGTCGTCCGTCTTGGTCTCGGCTTCCTGCTTGTCGGCCTCGGTTTGCTGGTTCCGATAGCGTTGGAAGAACCCGTTAAGACTGGCTAATGGGTCGTCGTCCTTCACGGGGTCATTCTTCGTCTCGTCCTTCTTGCTCTCCACCTGACCATCCTTCTGATCCTTTCCACTCTCTGGAGACTTTGAATTTTGGGCAGGTTTCTGGTCTGGTGGGGGCTGACTGTCGGAAGGTGTCGCGTAGAAGCGGGAGGCAAAGCGAGGAAGAGCAACGGGCGCAGCCCGACGCCGTGCGAGCGCGGCCGCCTGGCGAGGTAAGGAGCGAGAGAGCATGGAAGAGGAGTGAGCGAACGGGCTGGAGAAGGAGCCCAGTCCAAGGCTCGCGCCAGACCGGGACGCGTGGGACGGTGACTAACTGGGCCCCCAGTCTAGGGTTCACATCCTGCCGCACGCGATCGTCATCCGCCGCCGCCAGACCTCAACGCGTCACGGGACAGAGCGGGCGCCTGCCTTTCTGGAAGCGGCGCGATCGAGGTCTTCGCCGCCAGTGCGCCTGAGATCGTCCTCAGCTCCCTGTCGCTCCTTACGCGTTACGGTCTCTGCCTGTCGCCCGTCGCCTGCCGGTTCCTGCTCGATGTCCACCGTGGCGGCCAGTGCCTCTTTGCATGGCGTTACTCTCCTCGTCCAGCCCTCGTCTGCTTCTCCGGTCCTTCCCGGCTCTCGCCCGTCCACCCCGTGCCGCCTACCATGATTACATTCGCATCCTCACCCCAGGTGTGTTATCTCTCCTTCCGCATCCATCGATCCGCGCCGACCCCATGCTCCAGGCGGTGGGACTGTGCGCCTTCCCCTCAACAACCCCCATTTCGTGGGCACCGCGTCTTCGAGAGGTGAACGAAGGTACGCACCCTCCGTCACCGCTCCGTTCGTCCGCCCAATTTGAATTCCGCCAGACAACAAGAGGACTTCTATGCGTACGCCGGTCTTTCGCTCGACCCTGCAGAGCTAGCGCTCAGCTTCAAGAAGATGCATGGCATCGACTGGGATCCCACCTCCCTCCCTCCGGCCCTGGCCCGGCAGGTTATGTTCGTTGGCATCTACGACGGCCATGGAGGATCCACCGTCTCCCAGTTCCTCCGTCAAGAGCTGCACGGACTCTTCGAAAATGTGAACCAGTCCAGGTTCAGGAGTACTAGCATGGGCCAAAGAGCTGGGAGGGTACTTCAGGCGTTTCACCGGCGGCGCGCTGTCGTCCTGGGTCGATCCAGCGCGCCCGAATATCAGCAGAAATTCGATCTGGAGGCACGAGCACCCTGGCATTCTTTGAGGTGCGCCCATTCTTCTCGCTGAAAACGAACGCGCGGATCTGATCCTCCTAGGTCGACAAAATGTTGTCGGAGGAGAGGGAGGCCAAAGAATGCGGTGCAACGGCGTCTATCGTCCTCCTCAAATCCCTGGACAACTCCGGCTTCTTCCAAGCCAGCCAGGTAGCACTCACCGTTGCTCACGTCGGGTACGCATATTCTTCTACCCCCATGCGTACGCTGCCTCATACCCCGCTTAGTGATACTCGGGTATTACTCACCTCCACCGAAGCCGGGCGAGTGACGCCCATGACCGAGAACCACCACGCAGACGCCCGAGTCGAGTCCATTCGCCTCCGTCGCATGATGGGCGGCCTCACCACCGACTCTTTCGGCGAGATTCGGTAAGCGAGCGTGCATTCTTGCTCCTGACTCGCCCGCTTACCGATAGCGCATCGTCAGCTGGATGGGGGTGCTCGCGAACACCCGCTGCCTCGGAGACCTGAAATTCAAACCCTACGGCGTCACCCCTGAGCCAGAAGTGCGCAGCATGGTCTTAGAGGGCCCCAAGTGGTCCCACATCACGCTCATCTCTGACGGTGTGTCGTCCGTCGTGTCCGACGAGGAGGTCTCCGACCTGGCGCGAGGCGCACTGTCCCCGAAGCACGCAGCGGAGCGTATCCTCTCATATGCAGAGGATATGGGCTCCGACGACAACATGACCGCCATCGTTGTCCCACTGGCGGGCTGGGGCAAGATCACAGGGCCAGACCGCACGAAGGAGCTTCGCGACTACCGCGTCAAGGGCATGCAAGGAAGCGAACGGCAGCGTGGGCGGTGGATGTAAACGTAGACAAGACCGGGCCCGTGGCACAGTGATATATCGGCAGGGATGTTCTCCACCCATAGAGTATGGCTACCGACGAGCTGTCGCCTCCTAATCAACCGTTAGGCACCTCGTAAGTATGTTGTATGCAGTACAGATCGTACACGTAGACTTGTTTTAATCAACATTCGACCCCCAATAAAACTCTCGCTTGCAACCCGCTCGGCCTTCTTCAAATTTGCGCCGAGGCATGACCGTCAGCACGGGGATCCGACCCGGCCGCCCACACGAGGGTGCCCGACTTGTCGTTCAGCTTCTGGATGACCTGCCCGCGCCCGAACAGCGCCCGCTGGAGACCCTTGGCGACCCTTGCGTCGTGTCCCATGCCTGTCAAGCGCGGCCGCCCGTCCGAGTCAGCCTCCGAGTCGCCCCCCATATATATCCTACGGTGAAGATGGGGAACGACCGACTCACCGCGCAGCTTTCGACGACGGCGTCGGCGATTCCCTCCTCGAAGTACACCTCGCTGTTGATGTCCCCGGATCGCCCGTGGACGTGCCCTCGGTCTCGGGGCTGCCGGCGGAGATGCAGAAGCGCGGGGCGTCGAGCGCGGCCTGGACGCCGAAGCCGCGGAGGATGTTGAGGAGCACCTGGACGTGCCCCTGCGGCTGCATGAAGCCGCCCATGACGCCGTACGAGAGGAAGAGCTCGTCCCCGCGGAGGGCCATGGCGGGGATGATGGTGTGGTACGGACGCTTACCGCCCTGCGGACGCGAGCCGGAGCGCCGGGGGTTAGCGAGGTTGAGTATCGGTCAGGAGCGGCGATGAGGAGACCGAGAAGCGAGGGCGAGTTGAGAAGACGTACCTCTAGACGTTAGGGTGGCCTGAGTCAGGTTAAGTTTGAGCCGCGGTTCTGCAGGGTGAAGCCGCACCCTTTTGGAACGGCTGCAGCAGCATCGGTCAGTCCCAACGGGTATCCGCGGCGTTCGACAGCGCGTACCGGCAGTGCCAAAGCCCGCATAGTTGCTCTGGATATAGCTGCACGCGTTACCCCACTGATCCGACACGGTGAAGTAGACCGTGTCAGAGGAGTGAACAGGGTTCCCCTGTACATCTGTCAGACTGACTCTGAGTAAGCATATCCAATGTGGTTACGTACATGGACAACTTTGGGGTTTGACTTCGTGGTGTCAATAAGTTTTGCCCGAGAAGTAAGATATTCCTGATACAAAGTTTGAGCATGCAAGCATGTGTTACTCCATAAATCCAAACCTTGCTTAGCAACTCAGAACGGGATGTTGCTAAAGTTGGGATCAGTGACAAAGTACTGGCTATCTGCAAAAGGTCGGAGATGTTCATATATACATATGGATTGGTATTTACCAGCGAAAGCCAAGCTGAAATCAACGTGATCAGCTGATCACAGATCTGAAAAATTATATATAGACCGACTGACCGCATAGCTTCGACAAGAACATGAAGGTACTCGGCCGAGTTATGTTCCATCTCCAGCAAGGATCCAATTTTTCCCGACGCCTCCAGATTGTCCAGGATGCCGAGAGCGATTAGCGCTGTAAGACCCTGGCCGTTGGGCGGGCACTGAGGAAATGTGAGCCCTGGTGTCGCGCATCTGTCAAGTATCCTTACTTCATACACAGTCACTTCCTCGTTGAAGGTGTATTTGATGGGCTCGACGAAATCGGTCTCGTGATTAGCGAGGTCTTCGAGAGTCATCACACCGCCGTTACTCGTTATAAGCTTGACGATAGCCTCGGCAATGCGACCCTTGTAAAATCCGTCTTTGCCGTGTTTAGCGACCTCGCGGAAGGTCTGTGCGAGATTCCACATCTTCATCCGTGGCCTGCGAGCGGTGCCTGCCCGTCCAACAGGATTCATCGCCGTTCGGCGAGGCGTTCTTGATCGAGTTCAATGAGCGCTGGTATGCCACGCTGGTATTTCGGAAGTCCCGAAGCTAATTTGCCGTGGTGTTAGGTACTTGCGCAGCAAAAAGCTATGGACGTTCACATACCCTCCCTCTGCAAGCCTGATGGCGGGGTCGAGGATCTCGGCCATCGAAAGCTTGCCGCTCCCAAGCTGTTCCACCGTATCGACCCAGGCGGCAGCACAGCCTACAGATTTTCAGACTATACCCTACCTACCTTAGTAGAGACATGGAAATTACCAGGGACGGTGACAGAGTTGAGGTTGGTGGCAGGGATAGAGTTGCCGTTGACACCTTGGTTGCGGAGCTGTTCGATGGTGAGGCTCGCCGGGGAGCGACCGGAGCCATTGAATGCCTTGACCGTTTTCTCCTTGGCGTCGTAAAACAAGCAAAACGCATCGCTGCGAAGCGACAGGTGAGCGTCAGTGCGTTGGTCCGAGAGCAGAAGTGGTGGGACGAACCCGCCAATGCCGCAAGAACAAGGTTCGGTGACGTTGAGTGTAGCCGAAGTGGCCACCGCGGCGTCGGCTGAGGATTGCGCGCAGATCTGAGCTCGAGAAGGCAGTGTGCCGGGGACCGGCGTTTGCGTACGTACCTGCATTACCGCCCTTCCTCAGGATCTCGAGGCCGGCCTCTACGGCGAGCGGCTGAGATGCGGCGACCACCCCTTGGTGCCAAAGACGACTGATCTGCGGCTCGCAAAGCGCGAGAAGACCACGTCCGGCTGATCGACTTTCGGCCAATCGATTTTCATCGCTGTGTACGCGGAGTCTGTTGGGAAAGTGGTGGAACGCTGGCTTGTCCGGCGGGGTCCTCCGGTTGATGAGGGGACGATGGAGAAGAGCAGAGGGATGGATACATGTCTGTGAGATATATTCGCGTCGTGAGAACAGGGGCGCAGAGGTGGGATGGGGCGCCGTGCAGGGAGTCCGCGACTCCGACGGCGTGGCAAAGATGTACAAGAGCGATAAAGCACCAGCTATCCGGCTCATCGTTTGCCGGGACCGGCCCGAGAGGGCGCCACAGAATCGAGGCCAGCGAGCGCTGGGCGTGCAGCCCGTTCGTGCGAGGTGCTCACATGGCCAGGGTAGGTGGTTCCGGTCAACATCTGCGGCCGCATCTCTTGTGCCCGATGGAGATGTGGGGGCGAAGGATGGGCAGGAGTTCCCATCGAGCCCGCGTGAACGCCGTTCGCGTAACCGAAGTGGGGCCCACACTGCCCAGCGATCCGCGGCTGGCGGAGAAAAGACGTGGCGATGTCGTGAAGACAACTCGCGGGCTCGGTGCGGTGCAGCGCGACGAGATCCACAAACAGGAGCACACGCCAGCGGCCGCGAGGATGAAATTGCGCGAGAAGCTGGCGGTATCAGCACCGATTGAGCGTCAATTGGGTCAGGACGTCCTCTGCTTCGGCGGGGTTTGTCAGCATCTCCTCCTCACACATACACATACAAGATCCCCGCCACCGTCCTCCGTCTGGCTGATCGTCCACCCGGTCCATCATGCCTAAGGCTGCTATCACGTCCCCTGTGCGCTCAGCTTCTGCCCCTTTCCAGAACCCGCAGGTCTTGCGCCGAAACCAAGTACATCTCCCTGCTCTCCCCCACCACTTCCATTTCGTGGTTGCTCATGCTGCCTCCCCTCAGGCATGCCACCAATGCCGCCGCAGAAAACTCGTCAGTCTTCTTTGCATCTTTTCTTGCTTCTTCCATGTCTGACCAACCCCTCCGCCTCACAGAAATGGTGCGAGCCCCGATGCCCGATGCCCGAGTCGTGCTCACTCACGGGCGCCTGCCCGCTCAAGTGATGCCAAACGGCCCGCTTGTTCGACCTGCCGTCGCTCCCACTCATACGCCGTCGCACACGCTTCCCCGGGCACAGATCTACTTCCACGCCCTGAATGCACCTTCGATGAGCGTGCGTGGAGCCATTTTGCCTGGCTGTGGTTAATCTAACTTCATCTAGTTCCCGAGCTCTCCCCCCAGAAAATCAAGAGCCTAAGAACAAGTTCGAGCGGCTCGAGACTAGGATCAGTAAGCCGGAGCGTCTCACTGCCTTCATAATTCTCACCCTCCGATAGCTGAACTGGAGGCTCTGCTCCGCGAGAAGGATCAAGAACTCTCGAACACCCAGTCCCGTCCAAGCTCCGCAGAGGGCTTTTCTCACTCAGCCCTTTTCTCAGGGTTCAACGACAACTTCAGCTTTCACGATGGCTCTCAGATCTCTCTGGACCCCTTCCCCTCTTCCACCCTCGACGACCTCGCAGGCATTGCCTCCTTGATGAACAGCTCTTCGATCCAACCGTCGTCCACTCACCCGCTAGGTTTCGGCAATATGCCGACCACAAGCACTTATCCCAAGAGCTGGGGTATAGATCATATCGACCCTTCTTGGCCACGGAACCTTCCCAACTTAGACATGCTCCGCCCTCTGTAAGTCATTAAATCTCTAGCCCTTAGGTATGTACGCTTAGCCCAGCAGCGTGGAAGCATTCTTCTCCTTTGCTCCCTTGTCCAGCAAGCTGTTTCATAGGCCGTCTTTCATGGCTACTCTCGCGCTTCCTCCGACTCATCCCAAGTTTCCCCTACCCGCCATACTTCATGCGATGTGCGCTCTTGGTAGCATGTACGCTCCTGATGGCTCAGCGTCGTTTGGATGTGAGTAACGATGCCCTATGTCGCAGAACCACCACTGAACAAATACCACAGTGCCTGGATCAGCGTTCGTTGACGATTTTGGAAATGCCTTTGCCGAGCTGCAGATTTCCGCTGCGAAAGAAGTCCTTGAGTCGGCAATGAGAGGCAGCCCTGATATTTTTGGCGCACTGCAAGGTAACAGTACGCACTGCTGATACAGCTTGCCGGTCACTCACAATCTGGCTCACATACAGCCCAGATTGTGATAGCTATGTGGTTTTGGCATAACGCGAGGTCTGTGGCTCTGTCATTGCGCACTTCTTCGGATACTCACCACGCCGCCAGGTGGTCCGAAGTATGTTACCACGCACACTTCTCACTATCACTGGCTCATCGGTGGTAGGCTTGTGTTGCTTTTGGGGCGTCACTGCGTTTCTCAGTACCTTGTGGGCTGAACGCTTGCCCTCCATTCGATCCATTGGCGAGTTCGAACATGGCTCGCGCTTCCATCATACCTCCTGCGACTACCCCGTACGAAGATGAGATGCGCCGGAACGCCTTTTGGGTTGGTGAGCGCTGTTGTTTTGCTACAATAATTGTTTATCCCGCTCATCTGGCACAGCGTACATTTTGGAGCGGCATTTTGCATCCATCAACAACTTCGCAATGTTTCTGGATGACGAAGACATCGCTCAGCTCCTCCCCATCAAAGGGGAGAGTTTCGAGGCTGGGGTGTGTCTCTAGAATCTTTACACTACTGAGCGCAGTTTTACATTTCCATCACTGCAGGAGTCTGTACCCACTTCTCTGCGGCAGTGGTCACACGACCCCAAGCTCTTCTCCACCCACGTGGACGAGATGGACTCATTCGGGCTTCACGTCAAGTCGACCATTCTGATGTCGAGGGTGAAGGTTTTCAACACGCGATTCAGAATCCGACGTCATCTCGGCGACCCCAAGTACACCCCACAAATGATGGTTAAGGAGTACCCTGCCACTCCGAGGTTTATGCTTTCCGTTCCGGCGTTCACAGAACTGGACATGTCTATCACTACGTTCCTGGAAAACCTTCCCCCTCACATGAAGACTCCTGTGGTTAACGGCGTCATTGACCCTGCCCTCCTAATTGCTATCTCTAATGCCCACTTGTGAGTGCGTGTTTCCTCGACATATATTCCATCTCAACCCCTACCCAGTGCGACGATCATCCTCCACGAAGGGCATGCTATGATCGGCGTCGACGCCTGTATATCAGCGTGCAAGATTCTTGCGGCTTCTCGCGCAATCTTGGATATCATGTACAATGCGTACTCTACTGGGCATAACCTGGCTCTCCTGGGGGTCTTCCCGATGGTACATTCTTCATCTTGATGGTATTTGAGCACCTTTCTGACGAGCGCGTCAGGTGTGCTGGTTTGCTGCAGGGCGTGTCCTCACTCGCTTCCTCCGGGCGGCGCTCGACGCGAAGAGCGAAAAGTACATCCAGATGCTTCAAACGGAGATTGACTTCATCAGGTACGCGTTCGGCAGTTTTCATCCATAGGACATATGCTGAGCGGGGCGCTCCAAAGATCTGTCATTTGTGGAATCGGCGACACTGTTCCACATGCCCGTGCGTTGATTCATGATAGAGCCTCCTAACGTACGTACCGCTCACGCCGGAGACCAATGTTATTGTAGACCACTATGGCAAGATGTTGGACGACTACCTCGCGCAAGCATGCGGGAAGACGCAACCACAGCCCTCGCGGCGCGCGACACCCCCTTCTTCGATTCAGATGGACACCCAGGAGATTTCGGACGAGGACCTGAGGATGGTCAGTATGAACGCTCTGACAGCTGACCTTGGAAGCGGTCTGGTTGGAGTCTGATAGTATCTGGGAACTGATTTAGTAGCATACGAAATAGTAGCCTGACGAAATATTGTACATATACGAATGTGGACATTGCGATGCGCTTAGCTTGCTGTGGAATTCAACGTTTTTGTCGAATGCTCAGACACTCGAGGTGCACCTTCTTGCAGTAGTGTCCGAAGTTCGCGGAAACGGCGGGACCCCGGGCCGCTAGTGTCGCGCACAGCTCGTACTGTCCTTGGTACACGACCACCGCAGATACCCGCTCTCTCCCATACAGCAGCCGCGCCTCACCCTCGTTTTGGAACGACATGGGGGGAAATCAGTCGATGCCGAAGATTACCAAGCAGGACCGCGCAATCCTAGAGTCAGTATACCAGTGCTTGTCCGGAGGCGTAGAGACGTCAACGTTCACAGTCTGAAATTACAGCGTGACAAGGTCCGACAGTACCAGAAGCAGGTGCGCCACTCATGTGCACATCCACTCGCTATAGCATGGGTCAATGTCCATTAAGATCCAAGCGGTCCTCGGGCGAGAGCACCAAATAGCGAAGGCGCAGCTTGCTGCAGGGAACAAGGACCGGGCACTCATCGCGCTGAGGAAGCGGAAGTACCAGGAGGGTCTTCTCGCAAAGACGGATACGCAACTGGAGAACCTGGAGAAACTGGTGCGTCGATTTATCTCTGTGTCGGCATAGTCCCCAGCAACCGTCCGCAGGTGTCGACCATCGAGTTCTCTCTCGTGGAAGTGTCCGTCCTGCACGGCTTACAGCAAGGGAACGAAGTGCTCAAGGAGATTCACAAAGAGCTGAATGTCGAGAATGTGGAGCGGATAATGGAGGAAACGGCAGAGGCGAGAGAGTACCAGCGGGTGCGTACGTCGACGGTCCCATCGCTGTTCTGTCGTACTATCAAGGTCTGGTCACCAGGAGATCGACGAAATGCTGGGCAACTCGTTGTCTGCCGAAGACGAGGAGGAAGTACAAGCAGAGCTCCTCGCGCTCCAAAGAGAAGAGGTATGACATGCATGCAGTGCCGTTGCGGAGATTTACTTATGACCTATCAAAGCTTGGCGTTGTCGAGTTGCCTTCGGTTCCCATCCACCCAGTCGAAGACCTGGAAGAAGGCAAGAATCTCCCTACTCTTCTTCCCCACATGGCTGACTTGGACACAGAACGGGAGCCCCAGAGCCAGACAGAACGTGTCCCAGTGGCTGCTTGAACGATCTGTCTGTGACATATGGATGCATGTTTGTACATTACTCATACAAGGAATATATCCGACAGTCCGTTCTACCACCCCTCGAAGTCTCCAAAGCCAATGCGCCGCTTCTTTTTGGGCTCCTCGGGAGCTGCAGTGACGATTGAAGGCGAGGATGCGGCGGGTCGTTTCGCATTACCGTTGAGACTCAGATATTTCCCCACTCCACCGCCGACAACGCCATTTGCCACCTCCTTCCCAACCTTAACACCAAACCAGTTCACGTCGTCCTTCGCCTTTTCTTCTACTTCCTTGGCTCGTGTGACCTGAGTCTCAGCCTTTCGAGCGCGCTTCTTCTCCTCGCGTCGCTTGTACTCTTCAAAGGGATCTTGATAACTGTCCCACGTCTTAGTACATGGCATGCACATAGATGGAAGGAGACGCACATCATGACTTCTGTTATCTTGACCTGCTTCGCCGGAATATCCGTTCCAGGCTTCACCGGAAGTGCTCCAAGTGCGTCGAGGACATCGTCACCACCCACAAGCTTGCCGAAGACTGTGTGCTTCTTGTCGAGATGAGGAGCAGCTCGGAAGGTGACATAGAATTGAGAACCGTTCGACGCAGGACCCGAGTTCGCCATGGCTAGAATTCCGCGGCTATCATGCTTGGCGGCATTGCGAAGGTCGCACTCGTCACGGAACGGTGTACCCCAGCATGACGCGCCACCAGAACCTGTGTCTCCCGTTTGAATCTGAAAACAACATTGAAGATGGATTCGCATGTGTTGGAGAGATAGAACCCACCATGAAACCCGGAACGAGTCGGTGGAACAAACAGCCGTTGTACTTGCCCGCCCTGGCCAGCTGCAAGAAGTTGTAGCACGTCTTAGGAGCCTTCATAGCTGATGTCAGCCAGAAATGCCCAATGGAAGTGGATAGAGAAACGCACCTTCTCGCAGAACAGTTCCAAGTTAAGACCACCACCTCCCAAACTTGTAATCACTCGGACGTATGCGCGACGCTTGCCAACGTCCTTCTCTTTACCCTTGCCTTTTGGAGGGTTTGTAAATTCGTCAAACATGAGTTCCTCCTGAAGGTAAACATAAGATATGGCACAAGGTGGAGGTGAGAGGTTGAAAGTCGAACCTCATCCCATAACAGCTGGGAGCTTTGTGTCTGAGGGTCCACCGCGGTCGAAGTCAAAGATGCACCTGGTAGACCGGTAGAATACGGAGAAGCATTCCCTTCGGATACAATGTGAACATTTCGAAAGGTAGTACGGAGACATGACGTGCACATACAAGGTACCACCTCCTTCGCCTTAGCTACCGCAGGCGAAAAAGGTTTCAAAGCCTGAGTTTTGCCTTTCTCAGAGGCTTCGGCGCTCGCAGCAAGGGGAACCTTTGGTAACGCATGGGGGTGCTGCAGAGTGATGACATCCTCCCTGCTCCGAATAAGAAACTGAGGCCGAGTGAAAACTGGAGTGCTCACTTCTTGAACTTCACATCCGCTATCAGATCACGTCCTCCCTTGATGCTCTCGGCCAAGTAGACATTCCCTGTGGAGGCTATGGCGACTATGTGGGAGTGCTCCGAAAAAGGCTTGAAGGAAATGGGGTCATAACAGTCTCCGGTGGGTCTTCGGGAGTAATGCAACGTGATCAGCTCCGAAGGTTGTAGAGGTTCTTGTGTCACCGGGTTGATGTTGTTATGCTGCCTGAGAATTTTCAATCAGCCACTGAGTAGCATTGAAGGCAAGCAGTACGCACTTGAGCCACGGTATGATGTTCACTAGGTCGAAAACGTTGCCAGTGCCGTCGGCGTTGCGTGAGCACACCGGATGGCTGAACGGTTGGAAAGTGAGTGCGCAGCAGTCAAATGGCGTCTGTGACCCAGGATGAGGGGCTTGTGCTTTTCTGAAGGTTGCACTGTGAGCGGCGGTAGAGCCAGGAATGGGGGATATGTAACGCACGCCCTGAACCCGGCTGAGGACGCGGTGTGCTGACCGAACATGCCCGAATGTTCAGCATGAGTGACATATAACTTGTTGGAATTTCCGTGTCCCATGTTGAACGAGCCAGTAGCAAAAAAGGCACGGAAGCGAGGATGGGGGCTGAGGCAGGTAAGTTACAGCTCGCGCAAGGCTCGTGCCACCGCGCGGTGGAACACGCATCACGTGCAGCTGTCGGTGCAATGGCCGGCACTGGATCTCAGGCTTGTGAGCTTCAGCCTTCTGTCCACTCATCATCCCTGCTCACTTTTTCACCTCCTCCCATCCGGGGAAGCACAAGAAGGACCCCGTCCAGTATGTAATTCCAGTTCTATCTCTGGATTAACTCCCTCACGAATCTCGTTCTTCAGCTCTGACGGGAGTGGGGACATGTTTCCTCGAATAACCGGCCATACTGTTCCTGCTACTGCCCTCGACTTCCTCCTCCCCAGGACCCTCATCAGTCGTCGTCTCTCATATAAGACGCATCAATTAGCGAGTAAAATCGTGAAGCCCGAAGAGAAGCGTCCAACGATTTCTTCATCCTTTGAACACAATGCTCTTGCCTCCCTCGAAGAACCTTTATGCCTGCTCCGCTCCGCAATCCGCTCAAGAGACGCGTCTGGGTCGGCGCATCTCTGGAATGACCTCAAGGCTCGGAATGGGTTCGTACTTCTTGGCCCACCTGCCTATGTAAACCTTTCCCTCGATATCGCAGAACGAGCCAAGAAGGCGGAAACGGTTCCTTTATCGGATGAAGAAACGGAGAGCCTGACTGAAATTGCTCTGTCGAGTGCCGCTCACGGCCATACACTTGGATTGAACGAGCTCATGCTTCTCGCCATCAAGTTATCGAAACCGCAGGACGCCATCGTCCTCTATGGCCAGTACATAGCCCGTCTGAGGGAACGAGGTGTCTTGGACCACTCCGATATTCAACCTGGTGTCGACGACGACGGCGACAGCGAATCGATGCCAAGATTAGCTCCCAGTCCTATCCGCAGTGACATCCTCGTCATGGCTGTTGTCGCCCACGTCCACCTCAGTACGTTCCACGCCGCCCTTGCTATGTATTTGGACGCTTCGGTGTCTATCTCCTCTGCAACTCTTTCCACACTCTCCCCCCTCTTCCCTCCACCAATCATAGAGACAGCCCACACATATCTTCGTCATTTCGACACCGCCGCCACATTATCCCGTCCAGCGGCACTGAGGAAGCGCATCGTGGACCTTACTCGGTCAAATAGGCACGCTATCCTTCAGAGACTCTACTCCACCGCCATCGAGGGTTTGCAAGGGCCCTATGCGTGGCTGGCGTTGCGACCTCAAGGCTTGTCAAAAACTCGAAGAGTCCTCCTCCCCGACTTCTTCTGGACAAGTTTCCTCACGAGTTTCTTACTGGGTCGTCGTACTGCAATGGCCGAGCGTGTCTGGGATGACATGGCTAAACTCGGAATCACACCCCCAATATCGGCATGGAATGCACTCCTCGATGGGTACTCCAAGACTTCCCGCATCGAAGATGCCATACGCACCTGGGATGTCATGACCGCTCATGGCGTGAAACCAGATGCGCTCTCGTACCGCGCTCTCATCTCGGGCCTCCACAAGGCCAAACGCCACCAAGAGGCGAGCTTTCGCCTCAACGAGTTCAAGCGCGAAAGCAGTTGTGCAGAACCCCCCTTTGATCCATCCGCCATCCTCGCCGTCTACAACACAGCCATCAACCAGCTACTCTTCGCTTCTAGGGAAGAATATGCTCTTTCAGTGCTTCGCACCCTCGAGGCGCAAGGACCTAGGCCCGACATCGTCACCTACAACACACTCCTCCGATATTACGGCCGGAAGGGCAACTTGAGGGAAATGGCGAAGATCCTTGCGAAACTTGGCACGGATTCAGTGCAAGCCGACATCTACACCTTTTCCACCGTCCTGTCCGCAATGCTGAAAGTTCGCCCCGACGCTGACAAGCTTATGATCAACTTCATGAAGAAGCAGGGCATCACTCCAGATACGACAATCCTGACGTCCATCATCAGTCATCAGCTCCGTGAACATGACCTGAAAAATGCACTGGACTTGTTGTCGAGGATGGAGAACAAGGAGTACCCTGGAGTGGAGCCCAACGATATCACTTACACTGCGGTACTCTCGGGTTTGAACAGCGAAAATTGGCTCGATAGCCGGGTAGCTGATGAAGAAAGCCGGCGAATATGGGATCGGATGCAGAAGCGGAATTTACAGCCCAATCCTGCTACGTACAACATCCTCCTCCAGGCGGCCCTAGCCAGCCCAGACCCACAGGGCCTATCCAACGCATTGACGTACTACCAGGACATGAAGTCGCGCCGGGCGTACATGGGGAACGACATGTGGTATCTTCTTCTCCGTGGGCTAGTGCGGAGGAAGGAGTTTGGATTGGCGAGGGAGGTGGTAGATGACCTAGCGAGGCACACTGGTGCAGAGTACGGGTTGCCAAGTGCGCTGCAGGAGCTAGTGAGGACAGTGCGGGCAGGGGTTTAAGGAGCGAGCATACGTACGGCACACCCTAATATGACATCCTCACGTCTTGCTCATGGGGGCACACGTCGGAATCGACGGAGAGTGTGGCTTCTAAGCACGCCGTCCGCCAAGAAAGAACGTCTTTCCGAGCCCGAGACGAAGGAATCGGGCGTAGGCTTATGATTCGGTCAGATGAGCAGCGTGCGGGAAGGCGGAGACAGCACGTACCCCAATGACTCCACCGCCGACCGAGCCATTTCCCGAACATGGGGAGGAGGACGATGCCAACGAGCTGCTGGAGCTGGGCAAGGCTCTCGCGCCATTCCTCCTCGGCGAGACGATCGTCGGAGTCGGAGTCGTAGGAGGCCTCGGAGGAGACGGAGACGGAATCGAGGGACTGGACGGAATGGGGCATGATGGGAGGAGCTGAGCACACGGCACGCTCACGGCAAGTGGCGGGCGTCGCTCGGCTGGGACTCCACCGGGCGCTGGCCGGCCATGACCTCATCTGGAAGCGCGAGTTGTCGAGCACAGAGCCACAGACACGCCCGCCAGGAGAGCCACCGTCACCGTCCTGCCCTGCGCTGCCATCGACCCGGCGCCTTCCCTCCTCCCTTCCACCACCTCCCTCTCACGCCCTCACGCCCCGCACGGTCTCTACTCCCTGACGACCTACTCGCCGTCCGCGCTGCAGATGCAGGATGCCGCCATCCTCTCCATCCCGTCTCGTGGGCCAGCCCCTTCTCTACGCCATATCAGTCTTTGCTAGCTTGGGTGTCTTCTTGGTCAGTCCTTCCGCCAACGTGCTCACTACTACATCGTTGCTCACCCCCGCTGTTCCACCAGTTCGGCTATGATCAAGGGTGCGCTTCCTGTGTGCATACATCTGTGCATAGCCTGACCCGTTGCCAGTGTCATGTCCGGAATCATCACCGGCCCTCACTTCCGGAAGTACTTCAACAACCCAGATGCCATTCAAGTCGGAACGATGGTGGCCGTCCTTGAGGTCGGCGCCTTCAGTGAGCCCACGAGTCTCCGTCTATTGAATACAACTAAGCTACGACCCCGTGCCAGTCACTTCCATCGCGGCAGGACGCGTGGGCGACATAATTGGCAGGCGAGGCACGCTCTTCATTGGTGCTGTCGTTTTCGCCGTAGGTGGCGCAATTCAGACTTTCACGCCTGGATTCTGGGTCATGGTCGTTGGCCGTGTCATCTCTGGCTTTGGAGTCGGCTTGCTATCGTGAGTGCCCCCCAGCTTATGCGCAGTATGAAGCTGATGGTCGAGCGTTAGGACCATTGTTCCCATCTACCAGAGCGAGATTTCTCCGCCTGATCACGTACGTGTGTCCCCGCTGAAACTTTCTGGCGTCTGGATTCACCTTGTGATTTAGCGTGGTGCCCTGGCATGCATGGAGTTTACTGGGAATATCTTCGGCTACGCATCTTCCGTGGTGAGTACATACACGAGTCTTGGGATGTAATTCTGAAAGATTGTCTCTAGTGGATCGACTATTTTAGCTCATTCATTGAAAGCGACCTGTCGTGGAGGATTCCGTTGTTCATCCAATGCGTGATTGGTGCCATTCTCGCAGCGGGGTCACTTGTGATGCCTGAGAGCCCCCGGTATGTTTCCCCAGTGTTATTTGAGATCTTGGTGCTGATCACTTCGCATGTCTACCAGGTGGCTCATTGACGTTGATCGAGACGAGGAAGGAATGCGCGTCATTGCGGACTTACACGGTGGCGACCCCGAGGATATTGTCGCGAAGGCCGAGTTCCAGGAGATTAAGGACAGAGTTGTTTTTGAGGTGAGGATCAGCGGGTAAGAAAGACGGCATATTGATCAGTTTACAGCGCGAATCTGGTGAAGCACGCTCCTACACTGCCATGTGGAAGAGGTACAAGCGGCGCGTGTTGCTGGCCATGTCGTCGCAAGCGTTCGCCCAGCTAGTGAGTTGTTCTTTGGCCGTCCTGAGCCTCGTTTATCATGCTTCCTAGAACGGTATTAACGGTAAGAGAGCAAGCTGCACCCTGTCTCCCGTGGAGCTAATATCCCATTTTTTCGAAAGTCATCTCGTACTATGCTCGTGAGTGCATTTTTGAATGCATTCCGTTGGTCACTGACTGACAACCTGCTCAGCGCGAGTTTTTGAAGGTACGGAACAGCTCCTTGCGATCTTAGATGCCTACAGGCTAATTGCAAACAGAGGCCGGATGGATTGGACGTGACGCTATTCTCATGACCGGTATCAACGCTATCATCTATATTCTGAGCACGCTGCCCCCCTGGTATCTCGTAGATCGCTGGGGCCGACGCTTCATCCTCATGACTGGGGCTGCTGTCGTAAGTACTCGTATCTCGTCGAAAGTACCTGATTATTGACGGTTGCAACTGCGAACAGATGGCTATATCGCTCGGACTGACGGGCTGGTGGATGTATATCGACGTCGCAGAGACTCCACTTGCGGTGGTAATTTGTGTCATTGTCTTCAACGCGGCGTTCGGGTTCAGCTGGGGTCCCATCCCGTGGCTGTACCCTCCCGAGGTACTTTGCCAACGAATCGTTATTTGGCTCTTACTCATCCAATGTTAACAGATCATGCCGCTCTCCGTCCGTGCGAAGGGTGTCTCCATCTCCACTGCAACTAACTGGGCATTCAACTTCCTCGTGGGAGAAATGACCCCCGAGCTGCAGGTCTTGATCAAATGGCGACTCTATCCTATGCACGGCTTCTTCTGCGTGTGCAGCTTTATTCTCGGTGAGCAGGGTCTGTGCTATGCAGGACCGTCATTTACTGACCAATATGCGCAGTCTACTTCCGTATGTTCTGTTGTCTGCCATGGGTAAACACTCACTGACGGACTCGTATCAGTGTACCCTGAAACAAAAGGGGTACCGCTTGAAGAGATGGATGCTGTGTTTGGCGAAGGTACGTCCTTGTATCTTGTAAACAAGGTGCAGTGCTCATCAAATCACAGAGGAGCTTGAAGAGCAACTGGAAGATGAAGAGTCAGAGCGGGCTTCTCTGGTGTCCCGTGGCTCTCGTCGCTCCAACCACTCTCGTCGCCTGCCGAGCTCCGTCTCGCAGGGTCTTGTCAGCCGCCTGATGGGACGCAACGGCCGCGAGAGCTACCAGCCAATCGGCGACAACGACGAATAGGAACTCGCGAGGATGAACAACAATGCAGTCAAGGACCACTCAGAAGTGGTGGCCCGCCGTCTGACTCCTCGCCCAAGCGAGGAGGACGAATGAGGGTCGCACATCCAGGGCCGATTGCCAAGCGGTCATTGGTAGTTGGATCGGTTCCTTATCCGCCGCCGTTCATCCTCACCGCATCGCTGACGCCCGCCGTGGCACACACTACTGTATTCCACATGATAATTGCCCTTGTGCGTTCCCACAAGGACGCATACCCTCCCAAGGCGGATGCTGCATTGTACCCAATAATGTCGCATCATGCATGCTAGCTAAAACTCTGTAACCTTTTTTGCAACCCTGACCGTCTGCTGAGAGACCCATGCGACGTGTCGAATACTAGGGTTATGTCATCAAGGGAGTGTCAACCAACCGTAATGGAATGAAGTTCCGTTATGCTAGGAATATCGAGCCTCGACGCACACCGACCAAGGTCTGGCGTCTATGCCGCACTTTCTGGATGGCGCCAAGTATGGGCGCTCTGGCCACCTCATGCTTCTCCCTCCTGCCTCTCGGTCAACGTGCACTCGAGCGGTGCACCGAGTCTACTCTGCAAGTAGGTATCCATTGCGCTCCGTGCATCACATCTCCAGCACCCGTCACGCCACCAGTTTCTCTGGCCAGCATACGTTTGAAAGCCTCCGACTTGACCCTAATGTTCTCAAGGCTTTGAGGCTTGCGTTTCCGTCCATTGAACGCCCCACACCGACGCAGCATCAATTTATCCAGGCTATAGTGGAGGGGAAAGATATCTTGCTCAAGGATGACACGGGAACTGGGAAGTGTGTATCAATTGGTTCTCTGCATTTTTATCACCTTACCAATAAACATCTGCTAGGTCCTTCGCACTCGCGTTAGCCGTGCTCAGCCAGACACTCCGTTTGCGGTTCGAGAGTGCCGTTGGGTCCCTGCTCCTTGTGCCGCACCGGGATCTCGCCCTGCAGTACCTCCATTGGATCGAGCGGATACACCACCACATGGCGAGTGCTCCGCCTCTTCCCTCACTCGTCCAAGTGCTGCTACGAGACACCTTCACGGACCCCGAAGAAGTTATCATGCACCTCCGAGATCAAACTCCGCGTATCCTGATCGCCACCCCGCAGTCACTGCACGGCATCTTGGCCCGAGATCCGAACGCACTCCCGCTGGACAGGCTTAACACCGTGGCCGTGGACGAAGCCGACGACCTCATTCCGATCGCCCCGACGTTGAAGGACGCCGGGAAGATGAAGAAAACGCAACAGAAGATCAAACGCCATCCTGGGGTCACACGGCTTCTGCTGAACGGCCTCTACCTCGAGGAAAACGCTCAGAAGGCGGGCTCGCGACAGCCTGTGGAGCGGTCTCTTTCTGACCACGATCCCAAGGCTGGACACCATCCTCAGCTTATAATGCTGAGCGCGACGCTGCGTACGTCTTTTAGGCGGTTTCTGTCTTCTGAGAGTGGGTGGCTCCGCCGCGACGGCAGGAAGGTGGTAGCAATTCAAGGCGACCCCTCATCGAAAGGCTCAAAAGAGTCGAGCACTGGCAAACCTCAGGATGAAGAGGACTCCGCAAACGCTCTTGGCGGACGCGATATCCAACACCATGTGCTGGTCGTCACTAAAGACGGCGGTGTCCGAAACGTGCGGGCGACTGACCTCGACGCCAGCGTCGAAGAGATTCAGGCGCGCAAAGCATTCACCGACAACGGCACGCAGGTTTCTCCATCGCCGGGACCGCCAAACGCCGTCGTTTCTGCCGCGACAGTGAAGGGTACGTGTTCTATTGAGAACGTCATATGTGCGAGCTATATTGAACCGTGGCTTGTGACCGACAGAGCATGCTTCTGCACTCAATCCCATCAGCATTGAAGCCATCGCAGAGACGTTCGCGCTCGAGGCGTCGTCCGTGGCTCTGTTGGTGCTGCCATCTGATGCGCCGGTCACGCGCGCGGTCGATGAGCTGCGAGATCTGGGGGTCAACGCCCACGCGTTGGACGTGGTTCAAGAGGCCAAGGGAAGATTGCATCTGATGCGCCGAGAGCTGGGGACGCGGGTGGACGACCCGACGCTGCTCGTGTCCACGCTAGCTTCGACGCGGGGAATGGACCTTCCAGAACTGTCGCACGTCTTTCTGCTGGGCATCCTTGACGCGGGCCGTGTGGACTCTTACATCCACGTCGCGGGGCGCGTCGGGCGTTTCGGACGGGGCGGGAAGGTGATCACGGTGCTGGAGGAGCGGCCAAGGGTGCGAGACAAGTCTGGGGAGCTGAAGGAGATCAATGGGCCGAAGCGGGTGCTTCACATGTTGGGCAAGTTGCAGGTCGCGCCGGCGAAACTGAGCCACTTCGAGTAGGGGTGGCAGTACCAGTAGCTCGGGAGAATATAAACCGGGATCACCCGTGCTCCACTCTCTGTGTTCGATGTTCGCGCGCGCTGCTAACGGCGGCCACGATGCAGCTCGCCGTCGCTGATACTTTGTTCTCGCGCACGGTGAGAGCGTGTCGTTAGCTGGTATGCAAGCCTGCCGGACAGAGCGGCCAGGGCCGGAGAGGGCGGTGACGTTGTGCGTCTGGGGTGCTTCGGCGAGACCGCTCCCCATCATGATCGCGGGATGGGCCCGTCGCAAGTGCTGTCAGCGCGCGCCGGCGGAATGCATGGCCGACAGTGGACGTCGTCGGGGTGCTATGGCCGCGCGGTAGGCGCGGGGTGGATTGCGCGGGGCGCGCGCAGCACGTCGGGACGACAGAGGCGCATGGCGGCCACGGCGGCGGCGGCTCAGACGACGTCGAGCCGGGTCGGTGCTGCAGGACTGTTATCGCGGTCGTATGTGCGGGGAGCACGGTGGGGCGGGGACCGCAGGCCTGCCGTGTGGGCCACCCAAACTCGGCGCGGACTCGACGGACGCTGCTGCTGGGTCGATCGGATGCCTATTGCGACCAGCCTCTCCCCTCATCACCATTTATCCCCTTCGTCCTCCTCCTCTTCCCGCCCTTCCTTCTCTCCCCTCCCGCCTCCCTGGGCTCAGCCATGGCCGCTCCCTTCCCCCGCGCCTGGTCGTTCTTCATCTGGTCATCTCTCTTCCTCGCCTTCCTCCTCCTCCCCGCCTTCGCTCAGAACGCCCCCTCCCTCTCGCTCTCGTTGACCACCAGGACCACGACTTTCACGACCACCTCTTCTGCCGCACGCACCACCGCCACGATCACCTCCACAATAGCGACCACCTTTAACGTAACCGTCACTCAGTCCTCGTCCTCGGCCTCGACTACGAGCTCGGCTGCCCCGTCTGCAACCGCATCCGCCCCGCCCGACTTCACCAAGCTCGACACCCACATCACCCCGGCCTTCGGCGTTCTTGGTGCGCTCCTCATCATTACCGGTATCCCCAGCGCCTTCCTCGGCCACAAGAACCGTTGGACGTCCTTCTTCCTCGTCGGTTTCTACACCCTCTCCCTAGTCTGTTTCGTCCTCATCCTCCGGTTCGGCGTCATCCAAGCCATCAACCCGCCCAGTGCCACCCTCCAAGGACTCTTCGTGCTTTCCTGCGCCGTAGCGGGTATCGCGGGCGGCGCAATTGCCATATTCTTTTGGAAGGCGGCAAAGTACTTCATCGGCGCATGGGGTGGGCTCGCCCTCGCCTTGTGGATCCAGTGCTTCAAAGACGGCGGCCTCATTGGTCCGATAGGCTTCCGGTGGATATTTTATATTGGTGCGTCCTCGTGCCTCCGCGGTGGGAAGAGCTGGAAAGCTAACCGAACATATATGCCCACGCCTCCCAGGTGTTGCCGTTGTTGGCTTCGTCTTGTGCACTATCCCTAAGCTGCATTACTATGTGTTGCTCACCTCGACGGCGTTCGTGGGGGCGACCTCCTTCATGTTGGGAGTAGACTGTTACACTACTGCGGGTTTGAAGGAGGTGAGCATTTTTTCGTGTTTCTGCTCAATCTTTTGCCTCTGCGTGGCGCTCAGGGGCTACGCCGGATTGCGTACGCGAAACATGCGTTCCTTTCTTCCCTAACGCCATTCGATCGTCGCCGCGTGCTCTCGGGGAAACATCTCCGGCTGACCTCTCTGACATACAGTTCTACGTTTGGAACATCGGTTTCAACACACTGTTCACCAAGTACACCTCGCACGGGATCCAGTTCCCCGTCACACAGATCATGCAGATCGAGCTGGGCCTTATGGGAGCGGTCTCGATCATGGGCATGGCCGTGCAGTTCCGGATCCTCAACATGCTCATGAAGAAGATGAAGGAGATCGAGGAAGAGAGGAAGGAACAGGACCAGGCTGCGGAGGCCCGGGCCGCCGAACGCTTCAAGGATCTCGACCTCGAGAAGAGCGAGTGGGATCGTCTGCACCCCATGATGCTCAAGCATGGTCGTGCGGATAGCAACATATCGGGCCAGCCCCTCCTAGGCTTGGACGGCATTCCTTCACAGGACCCAGACTCCCCTACCGGAACTCCTCGTCAGCGCTACCAGTCGGGCGTTTCAGAGTTCATGGCCGCCCCGACCCCCACCGAGGAGCTTCATCGTGCCGCGCACAGGCAGCTGCAAACCCCCGGTGTACTTCCCACGCTCGACCTCGGTGGTAACATTGAGAACAACGTTCCGGACAGCTTCATCGCCAAGAACTCTGAATCTTCTGGTGCGGTCCCGCGACCACCCCAGTTTGCTGCTCAGGGTTCCAAGGAACGGGAAACTCTGCTCTCCGAGATTCATACTATTCGCAGGTCTATCGAGCTCCTCAGAACTGAAACCCCCGGCCTCGTCTCGTCCAGCTCTTCGGACGGCCGTCGCCCTTCGACCTCGCGGCCTCTGAGTCAAGATTTCAGCACACTCTCGGCGACTCCTCATCTCCGTCCACCCGGGAGCGTGACCCTCGCGCTCGTATCCAGTCTATGGAACTCGGCGGTCTCGGTCGCTCTAACGTGGGTGAATCCATCGGCCGTCCTACTAGTGCACCCCTCCGCGATGATTGGGACACCTACGTGAACGAACGGAAACTCCTTCAGCCACCTTCGGGCGTCTCGGCTCCCATTGCCACGACTCCGGTTTCCGCTAATCCCCGTCCTTCGCCGTCTCCCGCTGTCATGGAAGCTCTCAAAGGCCGCCAACACCGGGAGAGTGCGATGTCATTCGGCGGCGGTCTTGCGGCTTCTAACAATTCCTCCTCAGAAGACCTGCCACTCGCCCAACGTCCCCAGCACAAGAAGACGAAGTCTCAATCCAGCATGCCCGTAACGATCCTCCCGCCTAAACGCCCCATTGCCCAGCCCTCTCCCACCAAGGCTGCCGACTCTGGATCGCCCCGTGTGAAGACATTTGAGGAGCTCGTCGAACGTCACCGTGAGAAGCTGCGCGAGTTGCAGGCTCCCATCACCCAAGCGCAGAAGGAGGAGGCGGACGTCTCAGCCGCCCGTAACCGCTGGGAGCGTGCAAAGAGCGCGGAGAAGGCTGCGGTGGAAAAGCGCCAGGCAGAGCGCGAACAGGCTGTTCGGGGCAAGATGCAACGGACTGGCAGCGGAAGCGGCGAGGACTCGGACGCCAAAGCGAAGCACCGGCGGTCGCTCAGTGCCGACATGCTCGCGACCATCCCCGGCGGCGGCGCGTCGTCGCGCCGGATGTCGACGATGAAGGTCGAAGACTGGCAACGCCAACAGCAGGACTCGACGGACGAGCCCGCGTCGCAAGCGCGACCCGGGCACTCGCGGCGAGGCTCGACGTCGGCGTCGAAGCGGCTGTCGGAGGTGCCGTTCCCTGACTCGCGCGACCGGCGGCGAATGTCGAGCGCGCCGCGCGACCCTATCAGCTGAAGAAGATCGCATACCATATGAGTCGCAGATGCCGTCGATGGTTACGATACCGGACAGCCTAGATATCTAATATGCACGACACGCTGTTGCACGCACTCTTTACATATCCCCTCACGTAGTTCCCTCCCCCCCTCCCCCCATTATCCTTTGTCGCATTTGATGCCCTTCATGTACATGCATTCCGACCCCGTTTGACCTTGTTTTCGCTGCATATTTCTTGTCGTCGCACATCGGCGCCCCACCATCTCATACATCTGGACACTCATTTCACGGACATGAATAGCGTACAACTCTCCGAATCATTACCAATTATGTCGACGACAGTGCCTGCGACTGTGGTTGTGATCAGCGTTAGTCAAGTCACCGCGCCATGTCATTGAAGGGTCCTTTATGGGTCAAGGACTGGGGCTGGTGGTGGGCGTAGAGAGGCATCTCCCGGGGATACCACTGGATTCGGCTTTTTGGCTCGGCTTCGAGTAGCGATAAGTGCTCAGAATATATAGGACAGAATGTCGTTGTACACCCGACTTCAATTTTGTGACTTCAGGCTCCGTGGTGTTTGCATTGAGCTACCTCATTGAACTGAGCTCCCCCCACTGCCGATCTTCGACACGTGGTCGGATGACGTCATAGTGTATTTGCACGTACCAGAATGTTAGTACCATGGGGAGTATTGACGCAGTGAGGGGAAAGTGTTGTATTCACTGCCCTCCGAGTATATGAACAGGGGAGCATAAAAACGGAGGATGGAAATTAGTACTCGAAGTAGCGGAGAGGAGCAGACTACTACATCATCACAGTCGATAGCTCTGGATAGCTCTGGATAACCTCTAGAGAATTGAAGAAACCGTCCTGCTCTTGATCAGTACGACTACAATCGAACCTGAATGCTTGGCGCGGAGCTCCCTACATCGTGCGGGACGCCCAAATTCGGCTCTACCAGTCGCCCGCGGAATCGCGGCCTCGTGGAGGACATGGCCGCTTGGGGAGCCTTCGGGGGTCCCGCTTAGAGGGCCAGAGCCTCTTCATGGGCCGCCTACGCCGATAGAGACAGATAAGCTTTGTGGTGCGGGGCAAGGGCGGGACAGGCGGACGGGCAAGTACGGCCCAACAGAACGGACGCGTGGTGCTCGATCGGGAGTGCGCGATCGTGAGCCAAAGTCAGAACGGGCGAATGAACAGGGTGGGAGCGTTGGGGATGTGGCGAGCAGCTGGCTGCAACAGTGCCCGACCAAGGATATAGCCCAGTCCACCTCGCCGCGTCCCGCTCTGCATTCCAGGCCCCTCTCTACTCCGTCCAGGCTGGCCGCTGTCCAAGCCCCGGAGCCTCCCGACTTCAAAAAGCACCCCTACGCTCTTATTCCTTCCAACCCCCACTGCGATACACACCCTGCGCACTGTGCCATACGGTCTTGACGACTTCTGCAGCGACTCCAGCCATGGCCGTTCTCCGCTCAAAGTCGGTCCCCACTCTCTCACACCTCCCCGCCGACCAAATCTCTACGCCCTCGTCCCGAGGCGTCGCGCACGACGCGCGCCCAAAGATTCCCCGCCTTCGTAGTGCTATGGTCGTCTCTGCCACCTACACCCCGCACATAGAGCGAGAGGACCCCTTCAGCCTCGCCGGCTTCTTCCCAAGCCCCTTTTATGCGCCCGCGCTCGAGGCCGCGCCCAGAGCACACGAATGGGACTGGTTGCGCGCGTCCACCGATGACGACGACGTGCCAATTGAATACCTCTCTGGGCGCGTTTCCCCCATCTCCAGCGATGACGACTGGTCGGTGCACACCCCAAGCCCGCACGACCTCGAGGACGCGTTCTCGCGGGTGAACGACTTCGAGGAGGAGACAATCAAACGAGAGGACAAGCTGGGAGTTTTGGAATTCAGCAGTGGTGCGTCCGGTCTTTCCCACCGTTTGATGTCCGCAGCTGCCCAACGCTGATTGTGGGTGTCATCGAACAGACACGCTCTTCCTGGCCTCGCGCCGGCCCGAACCTTATGTCGACGACCGATTGCTCTCGCCCTACACGCAGCCAGGTGACCCGTTGGATGCTGATGCAGTCTACGACGCTCTTCGGGCGCTGCGTACGGCACACAGTCTTCCGAAGGGGTCAGCTGCCGTGCATGATTCGCCGTCCCTGGATGGACTCTTTCCCCCCAGACAGACGCGGACGATAAGGTCGACGTCGACGGCGAGGGGCACTGGGGAGCGCTCGTCTCCTGGGGTGTGAGCCGGGTAGTAGATTATCTGTCTCCCGTTTGACGCGGCCCGGGCGGGGTGGAGTATACTGACGGTGATTTCCTCTTTGGTGTCCGCGCAGTGTACGGCTTGTACGGTAGAGGCCTGAGGGCCGTGTACAACTAGAGCTACGAATGGGCCGCAGGGCAGTTGTGTCCCCACGAACGAAGGCGTGAGCGGATTGCCGAGGTGCCGGGGGACCCCGGGACCGCGAATTCTCAGAGGATGCTCACGGGGTCATAAACGGCCCCTTTATAACCGACGCGCGTGGGTAAAAATCGTGTTTCTTCCCACTCCCACAGTGTGCCGTTTCCCACAGCTCGACTGAGTGCTCAAGTTGGGTCCACCATGCGCACTATAATGCCCTTCGCCTCCAACTCCCTCGCCATCCCAATGTCGTCTACACAGACAGCCGAGGCTCGCGAACATGCCCCTACGTCCCTCAACTCCCAGGAGCTGTCCCGTTCCGCGTCGCCTCAGCAGTCCAATCTCAGCCTCCTCGTATGCGCCTTCCCCCATCTCTCCCGTTCGCGTCTCACCGTGTTTCAGGTATCGAACGGGAATGCAGATCTTCGCTCGCCCCCTTCAGGCGTAGGACATCCCTCAATGTCTCCTGGAAACCCGCCCCCATCTCACCCGGAGCCCTCGCTATCCATACAATCCATCCTGTCCTCTGCGCCACCCTCTGGGGCTCCTACGAACGGTGAGTGTTCATATAGAGACGCCATCGACGCGTTTTCACGCGATAACGATCCTGTCCTCGCAGGATCGTCGTCCATGGCTCCCCCACCGCCCCCACAGGTACGTTTCCATGACCCTGATATGTATCCTCGCTCAACGCGCGTCCGTAGCGCTCCTCCACCAAGCGAAAGCTCGACGGTCCCGACATTGCCGACCCGCACAACAAAATCCGTCGCGTCGTCCGCGAGCACATCACCCAAGACCCTTCTCGTGTCATGCCCATGACTACCGTAATATGCCTGCACGCTGCGGTCGCGCAGAAGTCGTACGGGAGCGAGAAGCGTTTCCTGTGCCCGCCCCCCATCGTGCACATCGAAGGCCCCGTCTGGCAAATGAAGCATCAGCATCTCTCCATGTCGGTCGTCAACGAGGGCGGCGAGCGGACGTGCGAGCTCAAGGCCCCCATGGACCACAACCTGACCGCGAGCTTCAAGTTTCTACACGTGACCGGATCCGCGAAGAGCAAGAGCTTCCAGCTGTCCTTGGACATCGCGGAGTCCGTCACGCACACCCCAGAGGGCGGTGACGGGGGCGCGCGCGAGCGTGTGTGGGCGTCGTTCGACTCCGCGCCCGTCACCATCATCTCGAAGCCGTCGAAGAAGACGGCGAAGACGCGCAACATCTCCTCATGCATCCTCGCCGGCGGGCCGGTATCGCTCTTCAACCGCATCAACTCGCAGACGGTACGCACCAAGTACATGACCATTGAGCACAACCAGCTCTGCGCGAGCAATGTTGCTTGGTCGGCGTTCGCGGTCAACGTCGTCCGTCCTCAAGGGAGCGAGAACCCTCTAGGTGAGTGTTTCCCACGGTATGTCTCTCCGTCGCGCGTCTGATCCGGACTCAGGTGGGCCGCAACCCGTAACGTACGGTAGCGAGATTGTCCTGGCGGACACGGTCACGGGAGTGCAAACTGCGCCGCTCATCATCCGTAAGGTGGACAAAGGTCGGATCGTTCCGGACGACGGCGGGCCGGTGAGCCAGATGCAGAAGATCGCTCTGCAGCGCGTCAACAACGACGGGACGCGGCACTACCTCTCGGCTGCTGGACCCATCCCCGGCACGCCGGGAATCAGCGCCCCACCAGCGCCGGGATTGTCCAACCAGGCTGGAACGCATCCGCTGCTGTTCCAGAGTCCGCGGATACGCGAGGAGATGAAGGACGGCACACGAGTCATCACCGACGAGGTTGACGACTATTTGTGTTGGACCATCGTGGGCATCTGTACGTCGTGTCTTGTTTTTGTCTCCAATTTCTGCTGATGTCGCCGCCGTGTGAAGCGAAATTCCAATACACATTCTTTGATGCGTTTGGACTGAACAACAACGTCCCCGAGATGCCTATCACACCATTTCCAACGCTGTTCAATTCGCCTGTGTACCGGTCACAACACAACTTCCTCGAGATGATGGCGGCGAATTTCTTCTACACCGACCCGAAGACGAAGGAGCAAACACCGTTAGACGTCTACGTGGGCAACCTAGGCCCTCTACGGCTACGCATCTATAATCATTCCCCTCTCGCCATGGATGGACGTTTCGACCCGTCAATGCCGTTTGTTCCCATACCGAACCTCTCGCATGAGCCTCCCAACACGCCTATCTTCGATGAACGCATCCAACCAGGGAACCAACGGAACGATATGGTACTCAATCTGCCGGCGCGCCACTTGCACATGATGATCGTGGTCGAGTTGCCGTCCATGCGCGACATTCTCCAAGCGATTCAAGATGATGCGATCCCGGACCCGACAGGCGACCCGGGAAAGCAGAGGACACCTCGCGACAAGAACGAACTCGGCTTTGATACCTTTGGGCGCGACGTGGCAGGGCGGAGCTTGCCGTTGCTCTTTATCCGCTCCTACGACGGGGTTGGCTACCACTCTGGGCGGGTCATCGCCGCGGAAAACGTGCTGCACAACATGGAGATGTCTCCCCGACCTCCCGGCGAGGTAGGGGAAGAGTGGTTGGCTGCTGCGCGGGAAGCCGCGGACATGGCTCCCCACAATGGCTGGAGCCTCAAGGTGTTGTAGAAGCGTGCTGCGGGCGTCTGCAGGGTGAGTCACTGCAGGCTATCATACGGCGCGCTCTGCGTTGAATGTCCCCTTGCCTGCGGAACCGGGGGCAAGGCGATGGGTGTACGTGTACAGTATCCGGATGGGTCCGTGTTGTTGTTGGCTTCGCTGTTCCAAATATCGTCTCGTCTCGATTTGCTCTGATACCTGCTAGTATTTGCACATCTCGTGGTTCGCTCTCTCGCTGTTTTGCATTCCCCCATGTATGTCTGCAGATGTCGGCGTTTACATATACAATGAACTGTTTCAAGGAAAGTCCTGGGTGATGAGTGAATTGGCCGGGCTGTGCGGCGTACTTGGTTGAGGTCCGATCCCAGTCGGATTCCGTATCGTGAGCGCTGCAGCAGCGTTCCGGTGGGCACGATTGAGATGATGGGACGGGAACAAAGCCCGGTGGCGACTGCGTAACTTTGATCTGACAGACTTGACTCGATAGTTCGTGCCAAATTTGCGCTCCTGGTCGAGCAGCGGGGTAGTCATACGCCTTCGCAATGCAGATGGTTGCGCGCATGATGCTGCGATCTTGAATTTGTCGTTACTGCCCATGGGCGTGTGGCTGCGGCTGTGGGCAACAGCCACGCCTTTCGACGTGAACTCGTTCAAACAGCCACGGTGGGATGGAATGTCATAAGGCGCGAATATGTTAGCCGACGCCGCCTGCGCCGTAGCGAGAGAAGTTGAGCGAAGCGGGATGTGTCAAGACGCAACAGTGGGTCGGAGTGCGTCTGCCGGCGGGGAAGGAGAGGAGACGCCGGGAGGACGAGAGGCGCCGGAGAGCAGGGCTGGCGGGAGAGCTTGCTGGAAGCGACGACGTCGATGGGACGGTTCGCCGGCGAGTGTTTGTCGCGCAGCTTGCTCCGCTCCCAGCCGGTCAGCCCTCCATCTGCACCCGGACGGCGCCCCGCTTGTTCGCCGCCAGCCCTGCCCCGCCCGCAGCTCCTGCCATGGCCCTCCCGACTTCGCTCAAATTCTCGGATCCGGTCGCCACAGGCGGCCACTTCCTCGCCCAGGCTGGCACGCCCAGACTCCGTCCCAAGCGTGCTGCCATGCACCACTCCTCTTCCCCCTCTCCCTCCTCTTCTCCACGCATTCCGGACTACCCACCCCATCCGGCCACCCCGCCCCCCGGCTCGCACCAATACCCTCCTCTCCTCGGTGGCCCCTTCGACGACGACCTCTACCACTCTCCCCGCCGCCATACGCGCTGGCGAATGACCCTCGCACTCCCCTCCAGGATCCACCGCGCCAGCATATCCCGCTTCGGGCGCAAAGGCGGGCCCGCTGTCCTCTGCTTCTGCGGCCTCGCCTTCCTCCTCGCCACGTATGCCGTCCACCGACGCTATATGTACACCAGCGACGAATGGCTGCCACCCGGAACAGTCTTCGCCGCGGAGGAGGTGCGCAAGGTCTGGGAGTGGGAGATCCTCGCCGGCCACTATCCCAGCACCCGTCCAGGTGAGTAGCCTTCGGCCCTTTCCCGCCCCCGCCTTCCTTGTCCGCCAGTGCGATCCGTTCCGCGCCGCGCCGTGCTCCGCGAACCTCTCTTCCTCCGTTGGGCCTGCACGGGCGCGCGCACGGTGCCTGACCCGGACGAGTCGGAGCGGTCACCTGCACGTTAGGACGGTTTTGACCCGCCCTTTCCCACTCGCGCTCGCCGCGTCCAGTGCCCGCCGAAGTAGGGTTGACTGTGGCGCTCAAGAACCCCTCCCTGCCCGCGGTAATGCGCCCCCCAGTCCCGGAGGCTCCCATCCGGTACACCATTGGGACAGGCGGAGAGCGCCTGTACCCCGAAGTGCGCGCGGCGAGGCCAGCCTTCGGCCACCCGCCACGACCCATCCCTGGCAGCACTGCGGACTTCGATCTGATTCTGGACAACTGCGATGGGGACAAGGGCATCGTGAGTACCACGTCTGTGCGTCCCTTGAAGACTCCGCCGCTAATCTGCCATCTGCCAGTACATCCGGGACTGTCTAGAGTTCATGCGCTTAGGGGCCGGCCTCGATGACGCCGCGAGGCTTCGGAGGGATGGCCTGAAAGCGGCGCGCTACCTCTTCGTGGCCAGCAGCGAGCACGCGTCAACGGATGTTGCGCGGTCAAATTTAGCGCGTTCGATGGTCGCTTCGAACGGTTGGACTCGCCAGCTGGCACCCCCCGCGTCTCGCCGACAAACGACGCCGTGTAGTGAGACGATCCGCGGATATTCCACATGTTCTGGGCAGGCGAATTCACCGACAAGCCGTACATGTCCATGATGGCCTTCCTCTTCACCCAGAACCTTGGCTTGCACCTCGAGCACCCGTCCTCGGACCCGTCAGTATGCCGACCGCAGCTCTGGCTGTGGGTATTACACCCCTCGGAGAACGAAGAGGAGATGTACGCCGACCTGCGCCGGAACGTTTGGTCAGCCCCCTTCCTGCACCCACGTTCAATCACGCAATCCAATTCAAATTGTGGAACACCACGGAGCAGCTCGACCACACCCCCGAGCTCAAAAACGAATGGCGCGAGATGGGCGGCGATCTCATGCAGAGCGAAGGGAGGAAACGGCCGAAATCGGACAAGAAGGTCGGTTCCGACGTTGCGTTGGATGGCAATTCCAAGGAGGACCACACGTCGTACAACAAACTCCCGGTTATCCTCTCCGACCTTGTCCGCTTCGTACTCTGCCACCGCTACGGCGGCGCGTATCTCGACGTCGACATGCTGATGCTGCGCGACTGGGAGGAGCTCTGGTCCTGGCCGGGCTCGTGGTCGTACCGCTGGTCGCACGAGACCTCTACAACACTGCCGTGCTCCGCCTCCGCAGGGACTCCGCATTGGGCACCTTCATCCTCCGCACCGCGCTCATGCACGGCCTCGACTTCCACCCAAGATTGTTTCTGGCTACCTCCGCGAGGCGCACATGGACGAGCTCCTTTATCGGCTACCGGACGCACTGTTCGACCCGGCATGGAAGAGCGCGGACTACGTCAAGTCGTGGTGGGGATTCAAAACGTCCTACTTCGAGCGGGATCGCCCGCCGTTCCCGTTTTTTCCAGAGTACGCGTGGTGGTTCTGTGGCTGTGCTATGGACCGTGCTGATCCGCGTCTAGCTTCGACAATTTCTTCAACACCCCTCCCGAAACGAGTGCCGTGCCCAGTGTAGCTGGCTTCGACAGCTTCTTCCGTGGCGCGTACGCGTATCACTACCACAATGAATGGTGCGCCCGTCATGTGCGATGTGGTCGCATTCGCTAATAATCTGTCCTGCAGGTGGAAGCCGTTCGATCGGGCCCGCTACTGGCCGGATCTTGGCCCTCGGTTCACGCCGGATGCCGAACCTGCTACTCGCCAAGCTTACCAAGGCGAGCCGTACCCGGGATGGCAAGCGACTCACGACAAGCATGATCTGGACTGGGCGACTGTGCTCAAGCGGACATTCGAGGCGTACATCCGTGGTGATCGACCTAACATGTACGGGGAGTGGATTCATGTGTGAGGCGGGGCGCGCGCCGCATACTAAAGACTACAGCTAGACTCCACCCAAAATACCTCCTTTATTAATAGACAGACTATTAGTTATATACCACAATACTGCCATGACCACAATTACGAATGTATACCTGCTCTCTCACATCCATCTGTCCCTTGCTTTATGTATCGCTCTCACGTTGCACACATTTCGAACAGTTTCACAGAGTGTATTGGTGTTCTACATGATGCATGTCTATGTCGTCACTTGACTCGACTTCTTCAAACCACGCAGTGGGACGACCAGTCCTACTTCTTCGCGGCGATTTTGGCCTGCGCAGTGTCAACCGTGGACTTGAGGAGCGCGATGACCCGTTCAGGCTCCGGCGCGTTGAAGATCGCGGTCCCCGCAACGATCACGTTGCTCCCTGGGAACAAATCGCGGGCGGTGAGCCCTCAGTTGCGTCGGCCCGCACTCCACGACTAGCACCGACCTGCTTCCGCGCAGACGTCGATCGTCTTGGGCCCGACGCCGCCGTCGACCTCGATGTCGATGTCCGGGAAGCGCGCGCGAAGCTCGGCGACCTTGGGCACGCAGCGGTCGAGGAACTTCTGGCCGCCGCGCCCAGGGTAGACGGTCATGACGAGGAGCATGTCCACGGCCTCGGCGATCGCGTCCGTGACGGCGGACGAGGGCGTGTCGGGCGAGATCGCGACGCCAGCCTTCATCCTGCGCTCGTGGATGTGGTCGATGATCGGAAGCGGATCCGCTGGTCGTCGGCGGAGGCGGAGGCGGAGGCGAAAATAGCACCCGTTCGATCACCGGGTCGCGAGATGGGTTGCGGGATCAATGGGCGGGCGAGGGATCGGACATTGAGTGAACCGGCGGCGGGCGGCGGGGGAGGAGGAGATCGCTCACTTGTGGCCTCGAGGTGGAAGCAGTAGAGAGAACCGCCCGCATCAGCGATGTCGTCCACCCACTGTTGGCGTTCGAGCGTGACATGCGGCGCGAGTTTGGGTGGGCGCGCGGGAGCATTGCAGGGCGAGGGCAGGACGGGCGCGGAGGGCGGTACGGCATTCCGCACACGAACGCGGATCTTGAGTGCGCTGTGAGAGCGATGTGGGCATCGGCGGACGCACCTTCTCGGGCTGGGCGACCATCATGTGGCAGTCCATGAAGATGCCCGGGACGCCCTTGGACACGCAGGAGAGGACTGGGGCACCTGAATTGCGAAATCAGCGCCGCGCGAGAGCGCGATTTGACTTCACGGCAGGTTCACGTACCCATGGTAATGTTGGGCACGAAATGGCTGGCATGGGACACGATCAGCTTCAGGAGGCGACAGGCTGATGTGCGCAGACGCGCGGAGGAGGGGCTTTACCCGTCCATCACATCTGCGCGAGAAGCATGTCAGTGGTGAGGACTAGCGAGACCGCCATCGATGCGCGGCATGCAGGAAGGAGCAACAACGAGGGAGCAACGCGAGCAGACTGTGTGCGGATGTGGGGGTTACGAGGGAAAGAGAGATAGGACGGGCGCACTGACCCATGTGCAGCCATTCTGCGCCGCCGCGGATCATGCGCTTGCACTCTGCGGTGAGCTGGCCAAAGTCGGAGGCGAGGACGGAGGGCGAGATAATGGCGCGCGGCATGGTGGATAGCGTCGGAGGCGCAGTAGCAGAGGCGGGGAGAGGAGGAGAGGACGCTGAGCGCTGAGCGCTGGGCAACACAGGCTGCGCGGGCCGTGGGACCGTGGGCGCGAGAGGGCTGTCCTCTGGCTCCATGTGAGGCCGCCCGAGTCCTGAGAGCATCCCTACGACTGTTGCTGTGTGCACGCTCTCGACTGCCAGTATGGCGTATCCTGGCGCGGAGCAGAAGATACATGAGCGACATACACATGTTTTATTCTCTAACATGCTCGTGCGCGGTGCACACGGCGGCGGGAAATAGGACAGGCTGGGTATGACGACGGTGGCACGTAGGACGAGGGGTGGAGGGGTGGCGGTGCAGGCCATCGATGCCTCGCCTCGGCGCTCGCAGGGGAGTGACTGGCCAGTGCCGCCTGTGCCCGCAGTCCACAACCGAACGCCGGCGATCATCCAGTATATAACCCGCTCCCACTCCACGATGGCCCCAACCAACTGCCTTCGTTTCCAGCAGTATCTTTTCATCTTCGTCTTCATCCACCCCCTCTTCGTTTCTTCGCCCATCTTTGCTTGAAGCCATGTTTGCCAAGTCCGCCATCTTCGTCCTCTACTGCCTCGCCTTCGCTCTCCTCGTCAATGCCGCTGCCGTTGAGAACAACAAGCGTGCCGACAGTCAGTATTTGTCTCTCCGGCTCTGCCTTCGGCTGACCGTCGCCTTCGCCTAGTTGGGGGAATCATCAACTCTCTCACCAGCGACGCGGGCTCAATCATCAACGAGGGCACCTCTCTCGGTGGGTTCACTTCAGCTCTTCAGGCATACCCTACGCTCACGTTTGTCATAGCTGGCTCCATCTTCACCGACGCGACCCAGATCATCAGCGGTGTCGGTACTTTCGTCACTTGTATGTTTACTTTCCACTCGTTCGTGCACGCCCATGCTAATTTACGTTCATAGCGGTTGGCGGCCAGGCCGCGACCATCGTCACCTCGGTTGGTGGTCCTGCTATCACCGTCGTGGCCAGCGGCGAGGGTGTTGTAACTTCCTTCGCCGGCTCAGTCTACAATGTAGCAACTGGGGCCCTCAATTCCACCCACACCGGCAACGCTGCCCTTGGCCTTAGCCCTCTGGCCTCCCTACTCCTCTGCTCAGCGGTTTCATTACCGTCCTCGCGAGTATGGTGTTCGGTGCATATGTCGCGTTCTAAGTAGTACCTCATGGCTTTGTTGATGTTGATATGGACTGCTCCGATCCTAATGTTTCTTTTACGGATGAGATGTCACTATTTCTGCAGTGCTCAAGTATAATCAAACCATGTGTAGCATCCCTGGGCTTCGTATCTCTCCCCCCAATGGCAAAAGAAACGCAATGTACAATTTCCACTATCACCACATGCTTGAGGTGCGAGAGAAGCCTTCGAGTCAACAATGATGAATTGGGACAAGCCCTGTACAGCGTGTTATCTACTCCTCGTCGGCCGCGGCGGTCATGTCCTTGTTGACCTACGACAGTTTGAGCATCTCGATAGCGAAGGAATAAATACTGAAGCCACGTACGGCAGAGTTATAGAAAAGGCTGTTCATGCCCCAGGGGAAGGGCCCGCTCGCTGCGTCGTCCGATACTAAGTGCATATTCAAATGATTCGTAGGGAACACATACCACGCCGGTTCAAGTACTCGTACGCGGGAGGCTCCGGGAGCTTGCCACCGTTCTCCTCCATCAGGTGGTGCTTGTGAGCCTCATGTTCGGCCTCAACTTGGCCTACCCAGAGGGCGCAGGCAGCGACTACGGAGGTCTGGTCAAAAAGAAGAGCCTAGCCCTGGAGGCATGAACACTCACTGGCAGGGAAGCAAACGAAGTAGCTGGCACGCAGGCTTAGATGAACAACGCTCAGCTCACGACAGAGGAACAGCATCATACCTAATCTTGCGCCACATGGCTGTCGTCTCTGCGAAGAGGCAAGAACACCGCTGAGCATCGTTTGCTCAGGTTCGGGACAAAACGGACGCACCGGCAGCGTGAGCGGTCGTCGCCGCCTGCTGCTCAAGGTACGACTTGCCAGCAGCAGCAGCAAAGCCGCGGGAGGCAGGGATGGTGCGCGGGACCGCGCGCAGCGCAGCGCGACGGGCAATGAGGGACATGTTGGAGAGCAGGAGGTGGTGATGGATGGGATGCAAGCGGAAGGCCACGGCCTGTCGCGTCGTTTGGCTGTCGGACTCGGCGGGGCGAGACGGTCGGGAACCCTGCTTAGATAAGCTTCCGTTTTCGGGATCGCAGACGCCCGTAGTGCATAGGCGCTCGCGCGCGCACGCTGACGCGTCCCGAGGTAGACGGGGACGCGTCTGAGGCGGGTGTACGCACTCTCCTCTTCCGCTCCTTCTCTCCACGACCATGGGTGTCCCCTCCCAGTCATCCGCCGCGGGCGTGCTCGCACTCCTTTCGGACCCCGAACCGCTGCTCAAACAGTATGCGCTCAAGGCCCTCAACCAGCTCGTGCCTCAATTCTGGGCTGAGATCTCAGAGCACATTGCGCTTATGTATGTCGTCGTGGTCGCCCGCGCTCGACGTCGCTCACACCCGCTGTTTCTACAGCGAATCGCTCTATGAAGGCGAGGGTCTTCCTCAGGAGGCGCATGACTCTGCTGCCTTGCTCGCGAGCAAGGTTTACTATTACCTTGGGGAGTACGATGAGGCACTGTCCTTCGCTCTCGGCGCAGGAAGCGCGTTTGTGGCCGACAGCCGCAATCCAGGAGCCGGGGAGTATGTGGAGACAGTAGTCTGTGAGTAGCCAACCGATGCGCGCGCGGTGCCCAAACTAACCTCTCGCCGTTCAGCCAAGGCCATTGACCGCTACATCTCAAGCCGGAATGCTGAGCAGTCGGAAGGCAGGATCGACCCGAGGCTGCAAGGTATCATCGAAGGAATCTTTGGCAGGTGCATCGAGGATGGCGAGTACAGACAGGTGAGTGCCACTCACGGACAGTCGGCACTTTGTTTTGCTCATCGAGCACCACTCCCAGGCAATCGGCATCGCGCTGGAGTCCAGGCGACTGGACATTATCAAGTCTATCTATGAGCAAACGCGCGATACGACCCTTCTCTCCTACGCCATGGAGGCGGTTCTGGACACCGCCTTTCCGCTCGCCTACCGCGACCAAGTTCTCAAGTTCCTGTTCCCTCTCTTCCCAGCACCTACCGGCGATGCGAAGACAGCGCATGTGTATGCGCTAACGCGCATCCTCGTCACTCTCAACTCCCCTGAGATGACCATCAACTTCTTCACCTCACTCGTACCGGCGCAGAAACTTCTTGCATACCAGTTCGCGTTTGATCTCGTGGAGGGTGGTGGCCAGGACTTCTTGGAGGTTGTGAGGAAAGACCTTCCCGAAGGCGACGAAGTGCGCGGATTTTTTCTTCATTCCGTGCTCAGTCTAACTTCGCATACAGGCAACGAAGCCCATCTACGACCAGCTCCGCAAGATCCTTCTTGGTCAGGAGTCCATCAAACTATACCTTGAATTCCTTAAACGCAACAACAAGGTGGACATGCTCATCCTCAAGAACACCAAGGATGCCTTGGAGCCCCGTTCGTCGATCTACCACTCCGCCCTTACTCTCCAAAACGCGTTCATGCACGCTGGTACCACGTCGGACGTGTTTTTGCGGGAGAACCTCGAATGGCTCGCGCTCGCCAACAACTGGTCGAAGTTTTCGGCTGCCGCCGCCATTGGTGTCATCCACAAAGGCCACTTCCAGGAGAGCATGGCTATCCTCGGTCCGTACCTTCCTGCTCAGGGCGCGGAATCCAGCACCGGTAGCGCCGCCTACTCGGAGGGTGGTGCGCTGTACGCTCTCGGTCTGGTGAACGCGGGATGCGGCAGCGGGCAGGAAGTCGAGGCTTACCTCCGTACCCTCATCAAGAGCACCAACAGTGAGGTTGTCCAGCACGGCGCAGCCCTCGGTCTCGGCGTTGCTGGTATGGGTGGCAAGAGCGCGGAAGCTTACGACGACCTGAAGCAAACGCTGTTCTCCGATTCCGCCGTTGCAGGCGAGGCAGCCGGGTATGCAATGGGTCTCATCATGCTCGGCACTGCAGACGCGACGAGTGCGGACGAGATGCTCACCTATGCGAGGGAAACCCAACACGAGAAAATTATCCGCGGTCTCGCAGTAGGTCTCGCGCTCATCTTTTACGGACGTCAAGAAGAGGCGGATGAAATGGTGAAGATGCTCATGGCGGAGAAGGTGCGCTTCCTGGATAATCGGGTGGATCAAATGCTCATAGACGATGCAGGACCCAATTCTCCGCTATGGCGGTGTTTATACGCTCGCGTTGGCCTACGCTGGGACTTCCAACAACGCCGCCATTCGTCAACTTCTCCACGTCGCCGTCTCGGACACCTCGGATGATGTACGTAGGGCTGCGGTTACCAGTCTGGCGTTCCTGCTTTTCAAGAACCCGGCACAAGTTCCCCGTATCGTTCAGCTGCTCTCGGAAAGCTACAACCCCCATGTCCGTTGTGGTGCTACCCTGGCTCTTGGTATTGCATGCGCTGGTACCGGTCTTCAGGTATGTTCGTCTGGACTGTTGTTGACGGCAAGGCTGATCAGTTTGCGTAGGATGCCGTTGACATTCTCGAACCCATGACCCGTGACAGTGTCGACTTCGTCCGCCAAGGCGCTCTCATCTCGTTGGGCATGATTCTTGTCGAGCAGTCCGAGGCATCGTCGCCTTCCCTCGCATCCACCCGCGCCCTCTTCGCAAAGATCGTCTCCGACAAGCATGACGACCCAATGGCCAGGTTTGGTGCCGCTCTTGGTCAGGGTCTCATCGACGCAGGTGGCCGTAATGTCACCATCAGCCTGCAAAGCCGCGCCGGCAGTCGCAACACGGCGGCGATTGTTGGTATGGTGCTCTTCTGCCAGTTCTGGTACTGGTATCCCCTCGCCCATTGCGCTTGCCTTGCTTTCGAGCCCACGGGTATCATCGGCCTCGATGAGAACCTCAAGGTATGCACTTTCTTCTATCATGTGAGAAAGCGAAATTGAGTAATGTTTTTCAGGCACCTAAGTTCGACTTTACCTCCAATGCGAAGCCGAGCTTGTTCGCGTACCCTTCTGCGATGAAACCCCCAAAGAAGGAGGCCGTTGCCAAAGTTGCTACGGCTGTGCTTTCGACTACGGCCAAGGCAAAGGCTCGTGAAAAGAGGAAGGCCGCTGAACAGGGCGAAGTCAGCCCTACGGTGAGTGGGGCAGGATATGCGTTTGGAGTGATTACTCACTTTCCTCTTCGCCCAGGATGACAAGAAAGACGGCGATGTTGAAATGAAGGGTGCTGAATCATCCACTTCGCGACACGGCGACGTCTCTCCGATCTCACTTGCGGAAGGCACACCAAAATCTCGCAAGTCCGAGGTCCCTTCAGAGAAGCTGTCAAACTTCTCGCGAGTCACGCCCGCGCAGCTCGCCTACATCACGTTTGCATCGGGCAGCCGTTATCAACCTGTGCGCGTCGTGTCCACCCGTCCACCGCCCTCTACCAAGACGCCAAAGACGGCATCCTCCCTGGCGCTTGCGGTGGAGCGGTACGCGGGTGGTGGTGGTATCCTCATCATGGCGGACACCCGTCCGGAAGAGGACGCCGAGTACATTGAGTTCGAGACGCAGCCCGTCCCTCAGGCCGCTCCAGGTGTGGCTGCTCACAGCACGCCGCCAATGACGCCCGGCCGCCATATCGCGTTAGATGAGAACGCGCCCGAAGCCCCTCTCCCGGAGGCGTTTGAGGTACGCTCACATTCTCTTGCGAGTTTAGAAATGCGTGCTCACGAAGATCCATAGTACCCTTTCGATCATGATACGTAGAATGCAATGTTGTGTAGTTATACTTCGGACTTATTCAATTCAGCTTCTGTCTCTACGTCCCGTGTCCGTCCATGTGTTCATGTGCTGATTGAGCGAGCAATACTGTCGGTGCAAAAATGTCGTCATACTCGTGTGAGCCACTGGCGACAGCGATAAGCTCACAATCTATAGGTGCATGAGAGAATCAGTACTCAGAGTCTCTCGGACGATCCACCACCATGACCTCTGGACCAGTGCGCGTTGCTATCCTTGATGATTACCAGAATGTGGCCTTCAAGTTCGCGGATTGGTCCGGCATCAAAGACCATCTCGCCATAGACTCGTATCCGGACACTACTGCCGATGAAGATGCACTAGCAAAGAGGCTGGAGCCTTACACAATCATCTGTGCGATGCGGGAGCGCACCAAGTTCACGGCCACCCTTTTGGATCGGCTCCCCAACCTGAAGTTGATCGCCACCACAGGTCCCTACAATAGGGGCATCGACGTCGCATATGCGAAGACGAAGGGCGTGGTCGTTTCGGGGACTGGAGGCAAAGGGAACTCGACGCTGGAACACATATGGGCACTCATTCTGGCCACGGTGCGGTATATCACCGTGGAAGATGCGCGGGTGAAGGCGAGCGCAACGCCGTGGCAGGCCACCGTTCCTATGGGCCTGTCCGGGAGGGTCCTCGGTCTCGTCGGTGCGGGCAGGTTGGGTGCGGCGACGGCGAAGGTGCGCTGTTGTGCCAGAGACCCGAGTCGGTTGCTCAATTACGCGAGGGCAGATTGCGAAGGCATTCGACATGGAGGTCGTCGCATGGTCCCCGAACTTGACCCCTGGACGCGCCGCAGAGGCCGGGGTTGAGTTCGTCGCGACGAAGGAGGAGCTGTTCGCGCGGAGCGACGTCGTGTCGGTGCACATGGTGTTGTCGGACAAGACGTGCAGGATGATCACGGCGAGTGACTTTGCGGCCATGAAGCCGACCGCGTTCTTCATCAACACGTCCCGCGGCCCGCTTGTGGACGAGCCGGCGATGATCGAGGCACTGAAGGCAGGGAAGTTCGCGGGGGCAGGACTGGACGTGTTTGAGGAGGAGCCGCTACCGCTGGAACATCCCCTGCGGAAGCTGGCGAACGTGACACTGAGCCCGCACACGGGGTACGTGAGCGACTCGAACTACGAGGTCAGTAAAGTGTTGTTAGATTATCAGATGAGGCAGATTGCTGATCATGCCTGCGTGACAGGTGTTCTGGGGTGACACGGTCCAGAACATCGCCGCGTTTCTCGAGGGGCACCCAACACGCGTGGTGGGCTAGCGGGGCGTGTGGTCGGAGCGGTAAATACTGTAGCTGGCGAGCGTGCATTCTTTTGTCGTCTCTCACAAAAGACGATTCACGACCATTCGAGTCAAGGAGCGCGTGACGTGACAAATGCATGAGTGTCACAATCTGTGGCTTGATTTGGACAGGCTTTGCGCGTCCTGGACCGCATCCCGCCCATAGTCCATCTCTGCCTCTCTCACCCACCATCATGGAGTCCCGAACGGCGAACCGCAGGAACGGTGCGTACCTTCCTCCACGCGACGCGTCTCCCTTCGCTCTGTCCTCGCGATCGTGCCTGACTCTCCGCCACTGCTCCAGAGTATAAAAGCAAGGGCGGCCTGAAGCAGGACGAGCTCCGTCGCCGCCGTGAAGAGCAGCAGGTTGAGATTCGGAGACAAAAGCGTGAAGAAAACATCTCCAAGAGGCGGAACTTCCTCCCCAGTGCGGGTGGCGATTCCGACGATGAGGGTGGTGTGGGTAGCTGGGAGTCTCCGGTGCGTCTTATCACGCGTCTTTTCGCTCCAGATCATGAGCTGACCATGTCTTGTAGCTCGCGGAGGACATGATTGCGGGCGTGTTCTCCGATGATGCCGATCGCCAACTCGACGCGACCACCAAATTCCGCAAACTTCTCTCCAAAGAAAAGAACCCTCCGATCGAGCGTGTTATTGAGTGTGGCGTCGTCCCTCGCTTCGTCGAGTTCTTGCGAGGCGATAACCCCATGCTGCAGGTACGCATATTCGACATCGTGAGGCGTGTTGCACTCTCTTACACTCCTGTATAGTTCGAGGCTGCATGGGCCTTGACCAACATCGCCTCGGGTACGGCGGACCACACTCAGGTGGTCATCACCGCTCAGGCTGTTCCTGAGTTCATCAAGCTTTTGTCTTCTCCTGTCCCCGATGTACGCGAGCAGGCGGTTTGGGCTCTCGGAAACATTGCTGGCGACAGCCCGGCCTGCCGCGACTACGTCCTTCAGCAGGGTGCTCTCCGACCCCTTCTCAACCTCCTCAGCGAGAACAACAAGCTGAGCATGCTCCGCAACGCGACTTGGACTCTGAGCAACTTCTGCCGTGGGAAGTCTCCACAGCCAGACTGGGATCTTGTACGTTTCTTCGTATCCTACCTACCGCGTCCCCCGAGCATTTTCTCACGGGGTACATCCAGATCTCGCCCGCGCTCCCTGTCCTCACCAAGCTAATCTACTCTCTCGACGACGAGATCCTCATTGACGCGTGCTGGGCAATCTCATACCTTTCGGACGGTTCGAACGATAAGATTCAAGCCGTCATCGAGTCTGGTGTCTGCCGTCGTCTCGTCGACCTCCTCATGCACCCGTCTACCTCCGTCCAAACCCCGGCTCTCCGGTCTGTCGGCAACATCGTCACCGGGGACGACCTCCAGACACAGGTAGTCATCACCTCCGGTGCTCTTCCTGCCCTGCTCTCCCTTCTCTCGTCGCCGAAGGACGGCATCCGCAAGGAGGCCTGCTGGACGATCTCCAACGTCACCGCTGGCTCACCCCAGCAGATCCAGGCTGTCATCGACGCCAACATCATCCCTCCCCTTATCAATATCCTCCAGAACGCCGACTTCAAGACGAAGAAGGAGGCTTGCTGGGCTATCTCGAACGCCACCTCCGGTGGTCTCCAAGAGCCTACGCAGATTCGCTATCTCGTCTCCCAGGGATGCATCAAGCCTCTGTGTGATCTTCTCCAGATGATGGACAACAAGATCATCCAGGTTGCGCTTGACGGTCTCGACAACATTCTCAAGGTTGGCGAGATGGACAAGGCGGCGATGGGTCCTGGTGGCGAGAACCAGTACGCGAACTTTGTCGAGGAGGCGGGTGGCATGCACACCGTCCACAACCTCCAGCAGCACGACAACCTCGAGATCTACAAGAAGGCTTTCAACATCATGGAGAAATACTTCCCTGATGACGACGACGCCGAGCCAGCAGCCGAGCCAACAGGCTCCTTCCAGGTACGTTCTAGTAACTCCTCTTGCCAGCTATCGTCTAACCGCCGCGTTCAGTTCAACCCGAGGGGGGCGCACCTCCGCCTGGCGGTTTTAGCTTCGGGCAGTGAAGGGATTAGTTGCGTAGTTCCTCCAGCTCCGGTCACACTTGCCTGTTGGCTTCCGTTTTCTCTATTCCTACTCCATCCACTCCATCCGCATCGTGTAGTCTTGCAGCACAGCTCCGTACGAATATCAATTACGACCCGTCCTTCGATGCCATCGTGACTATCTGCGGCGTGAACTTCACATGCTGTTCACGGAACCCTACTTGTATGTCATGACAGGCTGCCGACGAGTTATGTATCATGCCCTAGAGCGTTATGAGCTGGTAGTAGCTATGTATAGGTAGCCGTAGTGGTCTGATAGCGCTGATCGTTGAAGCTTGCTTGGTGTATATCAATGTGAAAACCGTCGAAGTACCTCCACCCGCACGCGACTCGCGGGTACTGGCGTCTGTCGACAAATTAGGTAGGAGGGGTTGCAGTGGTTCACCACCAACCATCACCACCATGGCGTCCCAGATTTTGCCTCTTGGTATGTGTCACGATGGCGACGCTCAAGAAAGATGTATAATGACCACGATGCGCAGAGCTGATCGATAGGTGTATTGGGTCGCGTATATGGGTCATCATGAAGAACGATAGAGAATTCACTGGTACTCTCTTAGGCTTCGACGACTTCGTCAGTGAGTGGTCCTGCTGTCCACGCGAGGGCCAAGACACTCACCGTGAATTATACATACAGACATGGTTCTAGAGGACGTCACTGAGTAGTATGCGGCGTCTGCTGCTCCTTGGTGCTTCCATCACTGACTTGTTGTCCAGTGAGACAAACGCCCAAGGGCGTAAAATGACCAAACTGAACCAGACACTGCTGAACGGGAACAACATTTGCATGGTAAGAAGTACCCTCAGCTCGAACGCCATGGCTCTGAATAGTCTTCTGCAGCTCATCCCTGGAAGCTCTGGGCCCGAGGACGTATGATCGCTGTCGCGTGTTTGTTGTCAGATTCTGCTGTGTGGAGAACCTTGCATTGTCCTCTGAAAAGCCTACCCGTGTCGCTCTGATGGCTTCAATGATACAACAGTGTCATTTGTAACTTGTGGAAGTAATGATCTGACCAGTCACACACGTGTGTGCTCGGAGGAGTGACGGTCCCCGACTGATGTTAGTCGACACCTTCATTACAATCTCAGCTTCGTCTCATGCAGCTGATACATCGATACCACAGGTTCAATACGAGTTGATTAGTCGAGAGCTTCTTCCGCGAAGCTTTGGCTCGCAGCCAGTACTCGCCCAAGTCAAGGGCTTCAAAACCCCTCACCCGACCATCACCGCCCAAGAGTGCGAGAACTGGTCACCTTCGGGGACCTTGCGCTTCATGGGTTCCAGGTGGCCACCGAATTTCTCATTGCTGTTGCAGTCGTTGAGGACCGACTGGAGGCAGCCGCCGCAGTTGACCCGGACTCGAATTCGGCGCCGGGAAAGCCCCACACGTCGATCTTGTACGCCCCGACGGTGACGACGCTAGCGCAGTACAATCTCATTCTGCTGGTGGCACTGCCCGCTGGGCATCTTGATTGCCTCCTGGCAGTCGGATACGAGCAGACTCCCATTGGAGGTCTCGCAGATGGGCTTGGTGTCGTTCGGAGTATGATGGCACCCCTGCCTTCACGCCGGGGCCAGTGGTCACTGGTGAACAACGCCCCCGCTATCCTTCGTGCCGGTGTAACAACGCCCCCGCCGTGGTGGTGATGTGTCTTTCCCCTCGGCTGTATTCTGGAGAGCGGTATGCTTAGGCAACTCGCGTACGTTTGTAGACAGCCGCAGCCGTGCGGAAGAGTCTGACGTGAAATCCATAGATCCCCCGCGCCACGACGATCTTCCGATTTGCCCCTTACCTTGTTAAACGAGCCAGAGAAGGACGCTGCTGTAAGAACAACCGTAGATGATCTGAAGTCCAACGCCGAGTTTCTTACGATCGCTCGTCTATCACTGCGAACGACAACCTGGGATCAATTTGGGAGCGCCGCATTGGCGTCTACTAGAGACTCGGCAGTCGGGTGCGCCAGGCATTGGGCGTCTGCAGCCTGCTGGACACGCGTGACGCGACTCGAGTACCGGGCGTCTCCTGCTGTCCGCCGCCATCCCTCTCCAAAGCCCAGTCTCGCCCCGCTGGTCAGTCTTCTCTTCGTCCGCCATGGCTGTCAGGATACGGATGTCGATGCATGGCAAGAGGCACCAGAAGATCTTCCACCTTGTCGCCGCCAACCAGCGCGCGCGGCGAGACGGCAAGCCCATCGAGCTCCTCGGGGTCTACAACCCCCACTTGAAGCCGGGCGAGACGCAAAAGACGATAGAGTGGAGCACGCAGCGCATCCGATACTGGCTCAACGTCGGCGCGATCCCGTCAAAGTCCGCGGAACGCCTCCTTCAGCTGGTTCGTCTTCCCGCGTCCCGTCTTCATGCTGGCAGCTGACCCCGAGCCCCGACCTGCGCAGGGTGGTCTGCTCTCAAGCCCAGCCACTTCATCCGCGGCGGCGGCAGGCCCTGCTCCTTCATCATCGCCAGAAACCGGTGCCGCGCCCTCGCAACCTACTGCGTAGTTCACCGAACCACACATCTTGAAGCTTCTCCACGAAGCTCACTACACCGGACAACCTGGACGCACCTCGTTTCCTCCCAACGCTCAAATGCTTCATCCGTAACGTCATGGCACAACGACTCGTTAGGGTGGAAGGAGCCCAGGCGAGACCTCGGAGCACAGGAGGAGGCGAGAGGAATCGAGGTGTAATGGGGGTTCATGACGGTACATTCTGTGTCTCAGACAGCAAGCTTACAATATCACCGTACCCTGCTATTTCCGCCAGCTCTTTCGCAGTATACTCGTCTTCGTCCTGGGGTGAGTGGCCCGTGAGCTGAGGAATGACAATGGGTTTAGTTTCGCCCACCTTCAAATCGCGGTCGGCTCCTCGAGCTAGCATGAATTTCACGACCTCAATATGACCGCGGTCTGCAGCCAAGTGCAGCGGTGTGTATCCCTAATGGCAGACGGTTTTAGGAAGGGGAGAAGTGGTGGAAAGGAGAAGAGTGCGCACATTCTTGTCTAACGCGTTCAAGTCCGCGTCGGGTCCGCCTCGAAGTACGCCGCCAGACCGTCCACATCCCCCGCAATAGCCATCCTGCTAGGAGTGTTCTCGCCGTCCTCATCCTCGTTGACCATCGTGCTCGTCACGCGTCCCATCGCGCTGCCCTCGCCCCTGTGCTTCCAGACGTCCTCCTCCTTGTCCCAGATGTCGTCCGAGTCCACCACGTCCTCCTCCTCCTCCGTCCCGCCGCTCTCCGCCGCTTCGATCACCGTGCCTTCGCTCCATCCCAGCGAGCGGGCGATCTCCAGGTAGCGCGCCTCCGCCGCGGCACCGTCTTTGTACGTCCCCTCGGCTGACTTCCACGCGTCCCACTTCGCGCGCCCGGTGAAGTCGAAGAGCGACGGCCGTGCGGTAGTCGGCGCCGGGGACACCGTCAGATATTTGAAGATCGCGTACAGCTGGCCACGCGGTCGATCGAGCAGAAACCCACAAGGCCGTGTTAGGACAGGGTTATGCAAGAGGAGGATGGACCGAGAACCTCTAGCTTAGTCGTGTTCCCAACCGCGTTAAGTGACGGCGCAGAGGAGAGGTATGCAGCGGCGTTATGAAAGGAAGGAGTTGGACTGTAGCTCGAGGTCATTGTGAGGGGTCAAGCCGCTTGATTTGCAGAGATCGCGAGACAACGCTGGATCCGCAGTGAGAGAACCAAGTATGCAGACGTCTATCTGTTGATTAGGCGCCGAATTCAATCCCTACCATCGACAGAGACATGAGATGTCATACACAATCGCGAGCGGCGATATGTTCGTAGTGATGATAGGCCTGTAGATTCATTCATTCATCATCCACACTGTCCCCATCACTCGATCTCATCTTTGCGTCCTTGGTACTGGCACTACGGTATAGCAGAACACGGTCAACAGTATACGCCAGGAAAGGCCCGGCATGTCAATTACAACGACCATATCCGTAATCTATCGAGTAATCAAGCCAGGGCACCGTCTCGTTAGTAGAACAACATTCTCCGCTCAACTTTACGCAAGGCCGGCTGCCTGCATGGCCTGGTGATACAGTGTTAGATCGGCAAACGCTTGCTTTCCCCAGCGGACATACCTTGAGCATCATGGAACCGATCTTGGCGGGGCTGTCGGTGACCATCACACCAGCCTTCTCAAGCGCCGCAACCTTGTCCGAGGCCGCACCTGAGGCGACGAGGCGTAAGTCCGACGCATCAGCGGAAAAGCGGCGGCGGACTCTCACCCTTGCCACCAGAAATAATAGCACCGGCGTGGCCCATACGACGGCCCGGCGGCGCAGTGCGGCCAGCAATGAAGCCGACGACAGGCTTCGGGTTCGCGCGCGTCTTGTTGTACTTCTCGAGGTACTCCGCGGCGTCCTCCTCCATGCTACCACCGATTTCCCCAATGAGGACGATACCTGGCGGGCCACTCAGCTTCTACGCGCGCACAGCCATCCCATTTGCATGCACTCACCCTCGGTCCGGGGGTCATCGAGGAACAGTTTTACAACGTCGATATGCTTGGTGCCGGGGAAAGGATCGCCACCGATACCGACGACGAGCGACTGACCGAGGCCGACACCAGTCGTCTGCGCGACAGCCTCGTACGTGAGCGTGCCCGAGCGCGAGACGATGCCTGTGGAGCGGCGAGCGTCAGCACCATCATCGCAGCGTTCGGGACATTTCGGACGGGCGACGGACCAATGCGGCCGGGTGTGTGGATGGCACCGGGCTGGATACCCATCTTGCAGCCCTCGGGGTTTATGATACCGGGGCAGTTGGGGCCGACGAGACGCGATTTGGACTGGCTCTTGAGCGCGTTCCAAACCTGCTCGTGGGACAGACGGAGGGGTGGCGGAGTAGAGAAGGGAAGGGGGGACGGGAACGCACTTCAGGCCCACACCCCCAGGAACTTTCTGCGGACGGTACGCACCTTGATCTCATCCTGCTGGGGGATACCCTCCGTAATGCAGACGATGAGGCCAATCTCGTTCTCAATCGCCTCGATGATGGCATCCGCGGCAGACGGAGGGGGGACGTAGAGGACGGTCGCATCGGGTTGAACTTCCCGGACGGCCTGCGCGCCGTCAGACACAAACAAGATACTTGCAGAGCGTACTCACCTCCCTCACGGAGCCGAAGATGGGGAGGCCGAGATGGGTCTGCCCCGCCTTCTTGGGGGAGACACCACCGACCATGTTTGTGCCGTACGCGAGCGCCTCCTTGACATGGAAAGTACCCTGCACGCGAATGGTAAGCTCGGGAGGGTGCGAGAGGGCGCGCACAACGCACAGTCTTCCCGGTGAGGCCCTGGCAGAGGACTTTGGTGTCCTTGTTGATGAGTAGGTTCTGGATGGTCGCGTCGTAAGGGTTGCGGCGGGTCGCGGACTGCGAGAACGCCCGGCGCCCAGCTGACGAGCGCGTGACGGGATGTTAGCACTGGGCGGAACGGGGGCGGAACGGGGGCAGATCGCTGCGCCGGGCGCACCTGCAGACGAGAGCGACTGTCCAGCACGACGGAACATGGGGACGAGAGGTGGATGGAGGAGGAGGAGATGCTGTTGTGCTGGCCCGTCGCGCACGCCGTTTGACGCGTCCAGCCAGCGGGCCTCCCTTTAAGGCAAATCACGCACGTGCCCCGCACTGCTCCGCTCCTGTGCCGGCCAATAAACACGGACATAGAGCGGTTGCCCGCCCTGCCCATCCGCATCACCGCACACCCGTGGCAGCCCAGACTCGCACATAACAATACATCATGCAGTACTCAAGACGTTATGGGTACACTTCTTTTCTATCTGCGCATCGACACCAGTCCGTCTCTCTCCCGACTTTCCGTCGCTCATCCGTCCATGGGCCCCATCCGCCGGCGGTCCCGCGCCTTCCGCGACGCCCGGTGGAGGCTAGTGATCCCGTACTTGACCTTGTCCGTGTCTCCGGCTTGGATGGTGCTAGAAGGGCGAACGTCAGCAGGTGACCACCGGCTCAAATTGCCCCCCACCCACCTGGTCATGTCGGCCAGGAATGCCGCCTTCACCGCGTCTGGGGCCGCCGTAGAGGGGAGCAGTTGAGTAGCGAGCGGGAGCCAGACAAGCAGCTGCTGAGGCCACAGCCTTGCCAGAACCCGGAAGATGGTGATGACCATGTGGATCGATTCCTCGGGGAAGTCGCCGACGAGGCCGGACAAGAGGTAGCCTGTGACCGTTGACCCTTCTTGCTCCACGACTGGCCGGATGGCTTGAGCGTATATTGGGAATTTGGGAGGGGGTGGTTGTGTTGCTGGCGCAAGGCATTCGTGGGCAAGGACAGTGCGGATAAGGTCAATGCCGGCGTAAGCAATGTCAGTGTAAACAAGCGTCAAGCCTGCCATAGCCACCCTGAAGGCGACGGCGAAGGCTGGCGAGGGGAAGAAGACGTCAGGAGCGAACTCAACCATCTGCAGCGTCATGTGCAGATAGTCTTCCATCACTATGAGATCGTCAGCGATGCCACGAGGTGCTTTGCAGGGAAACTCACCGTCTGGTATCATCTGAGGGGTCTTCTCATGAAGTAAGGCTACCATCTTGTTCGAAGCCCTCTCGTACACGTCCTTGAAAGCGGCACGTATTGCTGGATCACCCTCTTCGCCGAAACGTCCAACGAGCTTGCCGGCCAGCCAGAGATAGCTTGAGAACCCTGTCGTCTCAAAGCAAGCGCCCATTCTACTGAGGACTGAAGGGGTGATGGGCAGCACCGAGGCACCAAAGAAGGTGAGGCCCGCTCGTAGTACACGCGTCGTACGCTCGCAGATGGGGTAATCCCCGCCGTACTTCTCGAGGAACGGTTCAAACACAGCCCAAGCTTCTTGGTGAGTGTTTTGACATGCTGTGGGCAGCTGCTCGCCGAACGATTGGACGACTCCCAACATCACCTCCAGGTTTTCCAGGTCATCTAGTCCACCCGTTAGTGATGACTACCCAGAGTTATGGCTATGTATACATACGGGCGATGGATACTAACTCCTCCTTCGTTGCAGGCGCGGTCTTGCTTGCCAGTGTGTGTACGCGTCCGAGAATGTCGAGCGAGAATGTCCGCAGAGACTGCGCCGCCTGCTCCATCGGCATCGCTGAGATGACGTATGCGATGGCCTCGTAGACCTGCACTTTGTCATCTTGGGCCAACTTGGTACCCATCGTCGCCAAGAACGAATGTAGCTGCGGCAAGAACTCGACGAGATGCTGGTGAGGGGAGCGACTTAGTGGAGTCGCAGTTGAAGGAGGAGGGGGGCGCACCCGTCTGCAGTCTTGACACAGGTACTTCAGTGCCTGCCCAGCTGCCGCGTTGACCTCTTGGTCAGTGTCTTCAAACCCGGTAGAGATGTACTGGAGCTGGTAAGGGATATAGTCGGGGTGCTTGTTGATCCATTCTGTGTAGCGAGAAATGATGAGGAGAGCGGCATAGCGAACACGAGGGTGCAACGGCAGCGACGGGATGAGGTCCATGATCTTGGGAACTGCCTTGTCGTCATTCGAGTCCACTTCCGCACCCATAGAGCGCATGGCGAACAGAGGTGCCTCGATTTCCTGCCACGAGATGTTTGGACGGGCCAGACCGCTGGTGATGAGTTCGTATGCAGCAGATAAGCACTGCTCCGTCCCCAAAACACCACAGCAATCCTTGAGAGTGTCACCCATGACATGGCGGAAGGAGCGGAAGTTCTCGGCCTCCTGGCCAGTGAGGGAAGTAATGTCGGCAGGGAAGTGAAGGTGACGGATGATGACGCTCATGAGGGCCTTGTACGCGTCCAGGAAGAGAGGCGGGACGGATGACTTTTTCCCAATGCTTTGAGCCAACCGCATCCAGAAGTTGAATGTGATCGGCACGATGTCGAGGTCCGGATAGGCAGAGCACTCCCCGATAGCCTCGACGATTGGGAAGAATGTGTCCGGGTGGTGGAGGAGGAGACCCCGGTAAGCCTCCCCTGCTTCTGCGAAGATGCGAGCGAAGCCTCTGATCTTCTCTGGGTCTTCCTTGCACTCCACGAGCTTGGGCTTGAGCGCGATGACCTGAGGGACAATGACCTCGATAACAGGCATGTTGTCGTCAACTTCTTGTGTTTCGTGGATGAGGTCGCAGATCGCGGTGACCGCAGAATCAAAGAGGTCGTCGGAAGCCAGGGCTTGGAACGTGTAAGGCAGCAGCGGTGAGTTAAGGAGTGACATAGCCACAATTTCGCCGGCCGCGAGCCAGCTACTCAGAGCGTTGAAGACTTGCATTTGCACGGCAAAAGTTACACCTGGAATGAGATACGCTGAGTCCATTGCAGATGCACAAAAGAAAAAAACAACAAATACGCACCTGGGGCCTGCAAATACATCGCCAGTAGATCGGTCACCTTGGGTGCGTTCATCGTGAGCAGCTGTGCGGCCCTCTCTTTGTAATCTTCGTCCTGAAACATCACGTCCTTCGTCTAATGTCGTTCTCATCTCCAAAGACAAGAAACGCACTGTGATAGGAATCTTGGTGTTCGTGGTGACTTCTTCCGGCAGTACTGTCAAAAACTGCAACAACGCCGGCACAGTGGCGGGATTCCTTCCAAATGATTCGATCATAGATTGGACGGGGTCTTGCCATGCGGGGAGCTGCAAAGCAAGCGCGGAGATTGCAAGGCAGAGCTGTACTAGGATGGTTCGGGGGCCGGTGTGGTACGTTTCCAATGCAGTCAGGAGCGTGTCCCGTAGGTGTAGAAGGTCTTCGCGTTGCATTTGAGATAGATCATAAGTGACCTGTGGCGAAGAAGAGCCGGGCGTTTGCTCCAGATCACGGAGAAAGTGCAAAAGTATATACCTTCGCCCTGAACGTCTGCGCTGCGAACAACTTCGCCGCCAAAGGGGCCTCCGGAGACAAGAGAAGGACGTTGCATGTCGACCAGGCTTCTGACTGGCAAATGTCGAACGTGGGTGTCAGATGCCGCAGCCGTCCTGAAGGCGAAACGAGGTATTTACGGAGTGTTGGAAGTCTTGCAGCCAGGTGTTGGCCTGCTCGAGAGCGGCTTTCTCGGGGACCCGACTGAAGACCTCGAGTGCAGAGAGAACGGCCTGCACGTTGGCCATGGCGGGGCAGAGAGGGGGTATGGTGAGGGAAAGGAACAAGATGCACTAGGCAGAGGACAAGTGCAGAGGATCAGCGCCACAATGAGATATTTGGCGATGTTGATGCCGATAAAACCGGCTCGAGCAGAAAGCTTAATCGCACATGAATCGCACATGCACTTCAAGTTGGAGATCGCGGACGCAGAATAGGGTATGTCATAAAACGCATGTGGCTCTCTACAGTCCGATATTTTGTTGATAGGGAGCGAAACGCCCGTGCTACGGACAGTGTTGAGACAAGGTGGTATCCAGGAAAGGAGCGTGGGTGAGTGTTCCGGAGACACATCGAGTGGGATTAGAGACGACGAACGCATCAAGCCTAGGGGAACCGGGGATGTACGGTAAAGCAGCGCGAAAAACAGAGGAATATACGAAGCTAAGTAGGGCAACACCATTGGAACATGGCCAACGAAACCGATACACAAGAACATATACGCCGAGAGAGCAGTTAGCCGCGAAGGAAGTTCTTCTTCCGGGTCTGGCAACGCATAGGTTAGCATCGCGTACTTGCTGTTCTTTTATGAACACACTTACGCCCTTCTCAGGTGTCAGCGGACGACCACTCTCAATCCGCCTCTTCTTGTCCTCAAGATCGAGGCGTTGCTTCTCAAGCGCCTCCTTCATCTCACGATGACGAGCGTAGAGCTCCTCCTCGGACTGCTTGAGCTTGGCCTCCTTCTCCTGTACCTTCTGCTGGAACACCATCTTCATCTCGGCCTCCATTTTCGCGAGCTTGGCCTCGTGCATGATGCGCTCCTCTTGGATACGTACAGCAGGGCTGCGGAGCATGGTCAGACTGTGCACGTGGGACCAAGTGCGGGAGCTACTCACTTAACCTCCTTGAAAACGGTGGAATCCTGCACAACACCCATGTTGATGAGCTTCTCGGTACGCCAGTTCTCGTAGAGGACGTCATTCGTGTACTCGCGAAGCTCCTCCATGTATGTTCGGACGAGCATCTGGCGGAGTTTGACAAAGTCGCAGTGATCTTCGTTATCGACCTCGACGACACCCCACGGGTAAGCGCGGCCCCGAACATCACGGCCGTCTGGCGTCTTGACGATGCGGTCAGAGCCGACAACCGCGAAAGGAATCTTGCTGGCGATCTCCTTCGCCTCCGCGACGGCCTCCTCATCCTCGTTCTCGTAGGTGGGCGCCTCAAAGATCTGGATCTTGTGGTGCTCAATGTCGGCCAACACCTGCCACGTCGTCCATCAAGGGAAGCTCAGCGGATGTGTTGTCACCACGAGACTTACCCTGGCTTTGAAATCAGCAATTTCCTCGTCTGTGAGGGTATCCGCCTTCGCAATGATCGGGATCAGGTTCACTTTGGTGTGCAGCTGGCGCATGAACTCGATGTCAATAGGCTTGAGCCTGTGGCAAAACGCATCAAGCACAGTCCTCGCGACGCGTAACTCAAGATTGTGCGTAGAACTTACGAGTGACCAGTGGGCTGAATAAAGTACAGGCAGGCGTGAACGCGGTTGTCAACAATTTTTTGCCTGTTGACGCGGTTCTCTTGCTCAAGGTACGAGTCGAAACGCGCCTCAATGTTCTCCACGATAGGCTTCCAGCTGAGAGAACAAATACTTAGAGCGCGTGTCATCAGATATGACGTGCTACGCACCACTCATCGTTGTTGACGAAGTCACCAAAACCAGGCGTATCGACAACAGTGAGGCGGAGACGGACGCCGTTCTCTTCAATGTCTAGTGACAGACATCAGCTTCGACGCGTTAGCGTGGTTATGGCATCAACTACTCACCAGCACTGATGCTCTCAATGGCGACAGTCGAGGGGCGCTCCGCGCTGGGGGGAAGAGGAACCTTCGCCGGGTAGAGCGTCGTGTTGAAGAGGGTGTTGATGAGGGTGGACTTGCCAAGACCGGACTCGCCTGAGAGGGACCAACATTAGTCGCATCGACGCGCTAGAACCGAGCGTTGCTAGTTGCTACGTACCGACGACCATGGCGGTGAACTGGAAACCCTTGCGCACGCTCTTCCTGTGGACTTGGTTGGGAAGGTTGGCGAACCCAACAAAGCCCATGAGCTTTTTGCGGATGATGGGGGAGAGGCCGGACTGGTGGTGCTCAGGCTGGGCCGCAGGCTGGAGGGAGGGGGAAGAGCTGTTCATCCGCGGGGAGAGCGACGCGTCGCCGTTGGTGGAGTCGTAGTCAGACATGACGGGCGGGGCGTGTGGCGCGGTGGGAGGGGGCGAGAGAGGGCGGTGGAAGGATGACGAGGGAGAGCCTTGGGCTACCTGGATGGCCGCAAGGAATGGAACGGGGGGAAGGCCGGATGGGGGACGGGAGCGCTGGCCGTGTTTGGTCCTGCTTGAATCCGTGGCGTCGCCCAATTCCAGCGCAGGCTTGGGCTTCACGATCTGCGCATCGCTCAGCCGCGCTCGCTCCAGGACCCGAGAGTACGCGTGCTCACCCAGTGCAGCGGCGTGCTGCCGCGGATGGTCGGGGGCACGCTCTGCATCGACATGCGGAGCGAGGAGGTTTATCGGGGCCGTGCACTCGTTCCGCCTCATATGCCTCCTCCGTCCTGCACACGCTTTCGACGTGCGGCAGCGAACCAGCCTCGGTGGGAACTCTATCTACCCCCGGCGTCCAGTAGCTCTCGGCGCTGGTGTCCCTCAAAGAGAAGACCAGAAGAGTGCAGAGGCGGTCGTCGTCCATATCTCCGCCTCGCTTTTCGGACGACTTAATGAACCAGGGCCAGCTGCATCCTATCCAGCCATTACATATACAATTCAGAGTCAGCGACTCGATGACATATTTTCAGGCACATGCTACAGAAAGCATACAACAGAAGGTAGGCAGCCAAGTGATGGGTTATAGTGGCTTTACACGGCAACCTGCACCGTCGATAGGGCGACTCTACTCAGTGCTCGAAGCTTGGTACCGAACCTTCAGCACTTCTTGTAGTGAAGTTGGCAGAGAGGGACGTGGCGACCCTTCCTCGCGAGGGAAGTGTCCAGGGAAACGGGGGTCTGGACTGCCTTCCGCGTCGAATCGGCTGGTGCAGTAATCCAAAGCTTCTTCTACGGCGAAAAGCCACTCCTACGCAACAACGGTTAGTTTCCATTCGGAACAAGAGGTAGTGACGTCTCACCGCAATCGCGGCTCTTTTCTCGGCTGTGAAGCTGTAGTTGGCATCCACCGCTCTACCGTCAATGCCACTGTTGTGTTCCCGCGAAGGTGTAGCCCTCACAGTTTCCGGACATTCCGTGAAGCAGCTCATTCCCAGTTCAAAGCGCTTCTGAAGCGAAGGCCCGTTGATTGGGGTGCCCGAAGAATCCGAGAAGCGCCTAGTTCCGCTCGAACGTGAAAGAAGAGCCAGGCATTTGCCCTGAGAAAGTGAAGAAAAGGGTGACTGCGACATGGGGTGACCAAAAGAGCTGGGGAAGGGTGGGAGTAGAAAGTGGGTTGGCTGCCATGGACAGGATGCACGCCTGCCACAAGAAAAGCAGGTCCATGCCTTAATTGTCTGCCGACGTACCGTTGGAGGACTGACCACGCAATTCTGAAGATGCAAGGAGAGGCGTAGGGAGATGCTGTAACGAAGTCAGAATATATAGACGCATGTTTGTGGAGTTGCCCGGTCCAGGGCTGGCGACGCGACCACAAGCAACCCTCAGTGACCACAATCACAATCGCGGGGCGTCCTCCCAACTTGAACGCCCACGACGAACCTGCACAAGACCAAGATTCACTTCGTGATCTTGGACGGTATAGACATGCCATTGATAGCTTCACAGTATTTAACAGTCAGGACAAACTTCTACGCTGCCTTTGAAGCGACCGCGGGATCTACCATCGATAGCTTGAACACTGAAGAGATAAGCACCCTTGATGTCAGTCTCCGTTCTTGCTCCGTTCTACTCAATGTTATGGACCACCCACCGTCGTTCCTCGCGTAATGGCCAACAACATCCATGTCAAACTTGCCCCGGTATATGTCATCCAAGTCCAGCTCCGCTGTTAGAACCCCTTCAGCGTCCCTCAACGGCCCGGCCAAAACCACACCAAGGGGATTGATGATGACACTTCCACCCGCGATCATGACGTTTTCCGGGTTACGCGCGTCAGCATTCGCCACGGCGTGGTCGGGTGGGTAGTCTTTCTCTTGAGCGAACTGGCAGGCAGAGAGCACAAAGCAGCGGCCCTCAAGCGCAATGTGCGTCATCGTGTGTTGCCACGCCGGACGAGCGTCCACCGTGGGGGCACAATAGATCTGGGTTCCCTGGGAATAGTACCACGTCCTCACTGCGGACTGATGAGCGCAGGGACGACATGCGAAGCCAAGGTATGAACCTACAAAGCGGCATATAGTTCTCCCTGCAAGGAGATGCGGTCAGTCGCTTTGCAGAGCCAGAGTGTGGTTCGGACACGCACCAACATATAGTCGCAGAGATTTTGGTTTCAACAACTGGGGCTTCCCTGCTTGAATTTGCGAAAGCCTTTGAGACGACAGGCAGGGTTGTGCCGTTGCCTTGACCCCAAATCGTGCGCTCCATAGCAGTAGGTACGAGTTTCCGGTGCTTAGCGATGTAGCCGTCCTTGGGATCGATGAAGACAGCAGTGCAGTACAGCGTTCCGTTGTCTCGTTCGATAACCCCAACGACCAAGAAAACGTCATTGTCCTTGCTAACTTGCTCGATGCGTGTGATGGTAGGCGAAGGGATCTCAATTGCCGCTTTGGCGTAGCGAACGAACTCGTCACGGCCCTCAAGTTTGCGATCTCCCACTACCAGTCCGAAGGTGGACATCTTGGGGTACCCCCCGATGCTATAAATGTGTGGATAGGTAATGGAATTGATCCGTTAGTGAGTGCGTAGAGATAACGATGAACAGGAGGCACTAACAAGGCTTCTGGGAAAACAACAAGCTGGGCACCATCTCGTTCTTTGGCCAAACAAGTGAACTTCTCCAGCTTCTCCAAAGTTTCGGGGAGAGAGTAAGCAGCTGTGGACGCTTGAACCACCGAGGCTTTGATGATGTTGGCCATAGCTGATGTAGACTGGGGCTAAAGAGATGGGGCGATCCAAGGCAGTCTATCTGAGCGGCGAGTTTGCTTACATAGCAGGCTTCTAGGTGACTCAATTCCGGCGCGAGGGTGACTAAACCCGGGCACATAAGGGAATCCTGCTTCACATGGCACATGGGGCCTGGTTTCTGGCCTTAGTACCGTAAGAACCCAGCAGCACCGCCTACAGTGAAAAGGGAAGCAGACCTGGAGGGTAACAGAAGTAGCATTATGACAGACTAAAGAGCTGGAGACTAGAGCGATGTACTAAATTACGACACAAACTATGCAGAGGGTGCAGCTTGCGCTTTTGATGTCGGGAGCCATTCCTCGGGGAAGTCCTTCAGGGTCGGTTGGTGAGTCTGCTTGCCATAAATGTGTCCCCCCTTCTTCGACTTCCGTATCCTGGACTCGACGTGCCGCGTGTCGATGGGGATGTCGGCGAAAGTCTCCTTCGTATCCTATGTAGACAGGTTTGTTGGCAGAATCGAAAGACAAACGACACGGCACTCACGTTCGCCTCGTCCACAAGACGGTCCAGAGCATCGCTCGCCCATTTCAGATTCATAGCAGGCGCCTTGAACTCTTCACATGAAATCTTGAAGAAGCCATGCTCGCTCTGACACTCCGACACGCTAAGGCCAGCGTCAGCAGGGGCGGTTGGTGTCCATCGAACACCAGCGAGCAGCTTGAACTTGTGGAGAGCATGGGCATTTTTGAGGGGGAGCTTGGCGACCGGTGCTACGATGCTACGCTTCGTGGTAGCCGGGTGTTCCTCACCACCATAAGAAACCCTGCGCACGACCAAGGGAGAAGAGTCTGTTGGGGGAACGAATGCCTTGCGGTACGCTGTGAAGTATACCGAGGTACATAAGATTGCGCAGGGGAGAATGAGACGGAAGACGAACCGACGAGCTTCGGCATCTCATGCTCAATAAGCCGCATGTAATGAAGCTTCTCCCTCTGCTGCATCATGTACAAATGCGTGGGCTCGTATGCGCCATTCTCCTCGGAGGCCTGATCCTTGAGTAACTCGGTGTCTTCCTTCTCCGTCGTCTGGAGGCCGGGGTGACTGTCGAACTTTTCGGAGAGCAACCGAGAAGAAGTATGAAGGAATCTGTGCGGTAGACGAGATGGCAATGACTGTTTACAGGGAAGGAAGGCGCGCATCCTGAAGGTTGTGGGGGAGGAAGTAGTCGCTGCCAGAGCTCTGAGCGAGTCGCGAGTCGCGGTCACGCTCGTGGCATCATCATGTGACCCAGCCTGTCCAGGCAGGCCACCCAGTGACCAGTCGCTTGAGCCTTGCACCCAGCGACTCACCTTTAGTCCCACTCGCGGCTGTCTTCGACCTAGATATGGTGGTGAGCTTGCTATGCACCTCGCTATGAGCGGCCCTGGTTTACGAGCACACAGCGATTGTGCCTCTCCATCAAAGCCGATCTTGAAAACGTCACGGATCTTCAGCCGGCATCGGATGACTTTGAGTACTTCTTCAGGGCACGTCGTCGTCTATACCTCGGCGTTCAGAGCCCTCTGGTGACCACTGAGTACAGGTAAAATGCACCAGCTGCAATGAGGAGCACCCCAAGCTCGTTACAGTCAACCGTCTTGTAGGCTATACTTCACAATTTTGGAGTCAAATCTTTCTTGATCCTCCGCTTCTTTGTAGGAAGAGCGGGAAGTGACGACTGGGAAAGGCAGCACAGCTCACTTTGTCTGGCGCTGCGGCCTCTGCAAACGAGAACACTCCGCCAGATTTGAGCCCACAGACAAACCGCAACCTTATCCCGCGGATGCGAACGGCCAATTTGCGCCTTTCCTCACCATTGACTGCCGAGGACTTGAATTTATTGGCTTTGATCCCAAGGCGAGTTCCCATACCAGAGCATGGATGTAACTAACTCCGATTAACTTTGTGCATCAGGGTGTTTGGAAATGCGTGGGGCTGGAGTCTGGTACCGCATTCAATGAAGTCGACCTTGACGAGGGCGAGTGGGTCGACTACGACGAAAAGGTGGGTTTATGTGTGTGTCTCGTGGTCACGCTAATGTAGTTCCATTAGGCCGCGCAACCTGTGGGAATCTCTAACATTGAGAGCAAGTGGGCACGAGCATAACGGCCGCCGTGTGTAAGATGAGATGCAGCAAGAGCACATTGTACAACATCAGGAACCGATGTGTCCGAGATTAGACACTACGATATCGAAGGGTATCTGTCAGCTTGAGTCCGATTTCTTGGTAGCAATTGGTGGCCCTCTCTCCATGATGTCTAGACGGTGCGTAAATATGATCGGCACCCGTGGACATGCGCCATATGTGTGAGACACGGCCTGTTGCCCTACTCATGTAGCGTCTGGTTCACATGGATTTCTTTTCCCCTGATTATCCGCAGCCTCCAGAGAATGCATACGACGGGTCTTGCCCTTAAGAATCTGCCGCTTCCAAGTCGTGTCTTCGTTGCGGAGGGGCTTCGGGAGAGCCTCCGTCACACGTTTGGCTACCTGCACTGTCTCTTTCTTGACCGTCTTTGAGACTTCTCCTTGTTTCTTTTTGAACTTGGCTATGCGCTCAATGCTGAAGTGGATATATTTAGCAGTTTTTTCCAAGGAGAATGATGCGGGACCGACCCCCATAGCGCCAGTTCAGCTTTGCTGGTCTCCACCTTGTCCATGTCCACTCCTCGCTCCTCTAGAACAGAGATGAATCGATGAAGATGCTGCGTCCGCGTCAATACGTGATTTTGATCTCGTGTTACGCGCACCAACGTTGATAGATGTTCTAGGGCAAACACACCGTCAAACTTCGAATCTGTCAGACTACTTCAAGCATACCGATAGTGCCCTGACAGTGGTGACAACGTGTGAATCATACCCTCTTTGACAGAGATGAGGCCCGCTGATGTCACCAGCCCGCCCGCTAAGAACGAGGAATGCTGGAAGGTTCCAGGTTCTGCCGCAAGAATATTCGGTGAACAACAGAACGATGCGTAGCACACGAGACGCACTTTTTATCCCGACGAATATGTTGACTTGCGAGAAACGTCAAGGTCAGTGAAGCAAACTTGCATGAAGAATGGCGACGAACAGTTATTATCCTGAAACGATCCAGTCAGTATCTCAAGATCAATCGCGCTTGCATTACGCACGGAAACGTATATCCAGGTATTTCGCCTCACTGTTTTCCTCAAGAGTCTCTCCAATAAGCCTCGAGGCGTGAAGTTCCGCAGAAATAGGCGTTTGATGGGGTTCTTTGACTGTTGTTTAATCCCCACATAGTGCATCACTGCATCCACTTCGTCCCCAGAAACCCCACTGCTTGAACTCGATCGCGAATCTGGAGGAGATGCGACAAAACTGTGCCGCGGATCAGCCGGAGAAGGACTTGGGTCGTCAAGAGGCACGATGCCTCTCCCATCGCCGGCGTCCTTCCATCGGCCAGCTGTTGTGTCGACGAGTTGACCGTTTCGGGCCCAGCGGAGTTTCCCGGTGTTGTCGATGCTGACGAGGTAGTTCAATCCTGGAGTCTATCATCAGGCTGGCACATCGCGGAGCACAACATTTTTTTACGCACGCCGGGACGGAGATAAATAGGTGATTCGCTGCCGTTCGTGTTTAAGTCTATGGGTAGTCAGGGTGTCGTTGGCTCGCGCACCTCTCTTTCCAGCTGTTCGCGTGGACATTCCTTGAGATCCAAGGTCTTCCCTTCTCCATAGTCAAGCCTGAAGCAAGTCTGCTCAGCCGCGGTCGAAGGCGAGGCGAGCAGTATGCACCATCTGAAGAAGTTTTCTCCGGTGTCCGTGGCCTTCCATCGCGCATGATAGAACTAGCCCAAAATATGGAGTTACTCAGTCTCCGCTGTAGATCGTGGAACACGTGTACCTTCACTGCAAAGATTATGAGAGACCGTGCGCCATTTCCTTGAGAGGTATTACTTACGATTTGATCCATATCTATGTTCCTGTTCCCCACCGCTGCGTCAACTTTTCGGAGGAGCAACGACACAGATGAGAGCATACTTGCCCGTCAATGAGTTCGAGCCAATGCTGCGTCTCGAGATGCTTCCGGACAGCGTCGCCATCGTAGTGCGAGTCCTGGGAGCCTGTCTGCGAGGGTGAGAGCATGTCGTTCCCGTCCTTGAGTCGGTTGACTAGGAACACGGCCCGCTTCCAGCGGGTTCGAGGGCTGTTCTTCCCCTCTGCGGCGGCATCCCGATCGATCTGACCTATTGATCAGTCCTGAAGTGTATATGAGATGGACGTATGCCGTACTTTCATGCGCGCGTGCATGACGAGGTCGGACCAGAGGAAGCTGGGCTCCAGTCGCTTTCTGCGCGCGCGCCGGCGCCATGCTCGTTGGATGCGGACGGCGGCGTTGCGCTGGGCGGCGTGTTCGATCTTGTCGTCGGTGTTGGGCTTGTTCTGGAGGGTCTGCATCGCGAGGTGGTCGTGCACGCACCGCCGCTCGACTCCTATACTTAAGTGCCAGCGACGGTGACGTCATGGAGCCCCCACAGGAACGGCAACTCTCACTGCGGTCGCGTGCAGTGGCATTCATGTCGAGAGCGCCAGTCGTGTCTTCCCAGCACTGTTCAAGGGAAAATGCGGTGTGTAAACATTCCAGCTGTCCCAATAGGATGCAAGTGCTACATGATGGATGGAAATTGCTCGACAAGGATATACGTGATGGGATGTGGATGAGGGGAATAGAGACATGTGTTGGTAGTATAAAGCATGAGGGAGAGACAATGATGAGTGCGTGGACCGAGAAGCACAGACAGAAATGCGATGGTAACGGCGATGGGCACACGAAATATGATGTGTAGAGTGCACATGAATGTCAGATAACCTCGACACGGTTCCTTCACTTGAACCCGTTGAAAGTCCAGCCCGGCTGGAGCTCCAAGTAGGAATGCTTCCGCAGTTCGGTTGCCGTTGGCCGCTCATCGGGGTCGCTGCACACGATAGTCAGTCGCAGTGTAGACTGACGTACAAAAAATACTCACGCGGCAAAGCACCTGAGCCTGAAGTCATCGGCGAGCGACGACAAGGCGATACCCGCGGGCACGGGCGGGGCCTGCTTGTCGGAGTACAGCTAAGGAGCAATATGAGTCTTCGCTCAACTGGTCGAGGTGCACACAAGCACGTACATGGATCAAGACGGCCATAGCTTCCTTACCGAGCCATGGCCGCTGGCCGGTCCACATCTCGAACACCACGCACCCAACGCTCCAGATGTCGATCTTAGAGTTGTAGCCCTTGCTCTTCGAGTTGACGACCTCTGGGGCCATCCAAAATACGGTGCCCTGCATTGAAGTATACGCGGCGGCCATTTCGATGTCATCAGTCCGCTTGGAGATACCGAAATCGGAGATCTTGCAGATGCCAGAGATTTCAACTAGGATATTGTCGGCCTTTAGATCCTGGAAGACGGTTAGTCATCTCAAGAGCAAGACAGAGACGGGAAGCTTACTCGATGAATGATTCCACGAGAGTGGAGGTATTCCAGGCCGCTTAAAATTTGACCGGTGAACGACTTGGTGACCTCTTCATCGAAGCGTCCGTGCTTGCGGAGGCAGCTAGCAATCGAGCCACCGGGAACGTACTCCAAAAAGCTGCTCTAGCACGTGAGTAATGCGTACACATGGGGAGATTGGGAGCACGCACATGCTGAGGAAAGTGGATGTCTCCTCGAAACCAAGATACGACACAATGTTGGGATGGTCAAGATCCTTGAGGGTCTCACTCTCGAGCTTCAGCGCTTCAACGACTGTGACTTGTCGCGAATCGTCCTTATCGCTGGCCGTCTGGGGCATCTCGACTTGCTTGACCGCGATCATCTCTCCGGTAGTCGCATTCAAAGCGACGTACACGCGTCCATACGTGCCCTTGCCAATGAGCTCGCCGCGCACCCATCGGAAAATTGCTATTTGTTCGATGGCAGTCAGCTACAAGTTGGCATTGGAGGATCGATAGATAACTTACGTTTCGCTCCACCCGGTGACGCTTCTGCAGAGGTAGAGGACTTGCCCTGCTCGGTGGTGACCTCCTCGAGCTTGCTGCCCCACATCTTCGTGTGCCGTTTATGTGCCATTGGCGCAACAGCAGAAGAGTCGCCGCGTGAACGCCTGACATCGAGTGCTCGCTTGTGTTCTGCAGCGACGACACGGATTGACTTCTTGTGCTTGAAGCGTTGAATGGCAGGCGCAGCAGGCGCCTCAGTGGCCGTTGGCGATGTACCACCAGACGGCGCATCGATGACGGGTTTGTCAAGATCGTGCTCCGGAAAATATTCCTCTAGGCGCTCGTACATAACTTCTGGAGGTGGACGTGGTGCCCAGGTAACATCAAGATTGTTGTCGAACTTGCTGATACGCGCCTCTTTGTCCTTAAGCCTCTTCGGCGGATTCCCTGATGTCCATCCCCGAGGAGTACGAACCGGCGGATACGAGGGTGGTGGAGGGACGTTTGGTCTGTCAGCAATGTCGAGCGGGGCGAGGGGAGGTCGACTAATTGCACGGGGAGAAGACGAAGGCTGAGAATCCGTTGGTCGTTTCCTAGGGGCTACGGCCCATATGCTGGTGCCCTGGTTGTCACTGTCTGAATCGCTTGCTCCACCCTCCTTGGGAGGAACGGGAGGAGGGGGTGGAGGTCCTTGGGGTGCGGGAGCTGGTTGACCCATATTTCGTGATCGGGTAGTGAACGTCCCAATTTCGACGGCAGTCTCGTCGATGAAACCCTCTAGCCACTTGCGATCATCTGGGCGGATAGTATGGGAACCGGTTTCTTCGTCGAAAGGAGGGCGAGGGGCAAACGGCTCCGAGAAACCATTCTGCCCAACAGTTGAAGACGATGGCGCAATAGGGCTGCGAGGAGGCGTACGGGTAGGACGGTGAGGTCGCTCGGGAGAAAAAATATCGCCTTGAGCCGGCGGAAAAGCCCGTTGGCCGTCATCGTGGTAAGATGAGGAAAGCGGGAGGCGGAGGGAGGTGCCATCGTTCGAGGTGTCTGAGTTTTGCGGGGAATGGGGATAACGAGGTTGGCTTCCGGGGATGGGAATGGGATTACCTTGTGCGGAGCGAGGACGCTGATGAGGGTCGGTTGAAGGCGATCCGAGGTACCCATTCGTAGCAGCGCCACCGACATGGGGACGAGGGTACAGTGGCGGGGAAACGGCGGAGCGGAGCGTATCTGGTGAAAGAGCTGACTCCAAGACAGGAGTATGCTCCGCGAGTGAAGGGCCTGGCAGCGAAGGACCGATACCGGTTGGTGGTCGGGGGAACGGCAGAGGAGGTTGAGGGGGGCGAGCACCAGGCTGGAGGCTAGCAGGATGTTTGTTGTACGTGTTTCGTAGGTCTGTCATGCTCTTCGTTTTCGGAGGTTGCCGTATGGGAGGAGGGGGAGACTGTAGGCTCTTGTCGGTCTTGTTACCAGTATGCTTCCAGGTAACGGCCCACGTAGGAGGTACCTGCCGAGCTTTCTGACGCGAGCTACCAGAGCGATATCCTATGGTTCCGGGAAACCTGTTGGCACGAGAATCCTGCGACACTGGTGTACGGTCACTCTTGTAGTCACTTCGAGGCACGTCCGTTGGTACAAGAGTCCATGCTTCGCTGCCGTCTTCGTTGACTCTACCATTGCTAGCCTTCCTAGGGTCCTTTCGCTTGCTGTCTTTTGGACGTTTGGAGCGGTCCTGATAACTGCCCGGTTGACCATCGGCGGTGAATGAACGCTCCCGTTCAGGTACAGGATCATGGGCAGGTGTGGGAGAAGACTGAGGTTCGGTCGGAGGGGGTGGAAGAGGATGCGCATCGTCCACAAATCTTTGCGTTTTGGGCGACGTTCCTGGCAGCGAGGTAGTGTCGAGGTTAGAATAATAGTGATCCTGTCGGTACACATAATCGGGACCAACGAGACCAGAGCGATCGGGTGATAACATGTTGGCAGGGGAGCGTGACCGATGATATCCCGTCGGTGACGAAGGTCTTTGAGGAAGAGCGCGAGAATGAAGGGACGGCTTGTCACACTTCTCCCTGTCCCGAAATCCTTCCAGATCTGTATGGTCGTCACCATCCGACACCGACGCTTCATATCCACCCCGATGATGTTCGCTAGCCGACGACTGACTCCCATGTCGTACTCTTGCTGCTGGGTTCGGGCGAAGAGGTGTGTACAATTGCTGAGGGAGTACAGGCGGGGGAATGGTGTTCACAGTGGTGGGCGGGAGATGCTCGTACAGCGGTTCATGGACAAACGCGGAGGTATGCGAGACGAGAAGTTTGAGGTTGCCTGAGTGGTCGCCTCTGTCTTTGTACAGATCGAATAGCTCATCGTCTGTCAAAGCATCGCCGATGGCAAATTGACCGATCTCTGTGCGGTAGATGGCGAACTTGGACTGATCCTCATCCGAGATTTGAAGCTACAGGTGGGGTTTAGAGCACGCGTCTCCTAACAGCCTCAAATGTGACAGACCTTGGTGAAGATCCGCTCCCGTATGAACGCGGCGGTCATGGCACCAGTGATGTCCACAACATGCAACTTCTCCGCGTCGGTCGTCACCAGCACGATCGTCTTCTCCAAAGGGCTTGACCTATAGCTAGACGGAAGATACCCGTCCAATGGGGTAGAAACGGTGGGAGACTGCGGCATTGGTCAATAAGCCGTCAGTCGGGATCACGCGGGGAAGAACACGACGCACAGTAGCAGGTCGAGAACTACTACCGCTGAGGGATCCTCTTCGCACAGGCCCATACGTGGAACGAACACGGTCCGTCGGTCTTGGCCGTGATGCAGGCGGCGTATTGTCATTTCGATCAAGAGAAGCGACCATGCCTTGCGCAAGACTCGGACGAATGGTCCCTTCTTCGTCGTTGGTGAAAGACGATGTGCCAAGACCGGGTGTGCTTGGTGGAGGAGTTGACTCGTGAGCACCGGGGGAGCTGCTACTGGATGGAGAAGAGAGTTGCGGATTGGAGGGATTTGATCGCGTGTTATAGAGATGTTCGGGGCTCAGCGGTGGTGGAATGTGAGAGGGGACGGGGAGGTCCCGTTCACGGTAATAGGGCCTGGCAGGAATACCAGGGGTGGGCAGGGGGCGAGGGAGGGGCGCCGGAGGTTCATGGGCCGGGAAATCGTCATCGCTGTTGTTCTCCGGGTTGCTGACGACCAGGATTCGACGAGTTTTTGGTTTGCGAGTGTGAACCGACCGCTGGTCGTCGGACATGTCTGGCGGAGGGGCCAGGAGGAGAAAGAGAGAGCAGTGATAGGAAGGGGCGGAGGGGCGTGCACAATCAACGGGTGGCTGTGACGCCGAAACGGAGGGGGAGGCAAGAGAGACAGGAGGAGGAAGACAGCGCGCCAGGCAGCGGCTTGCTTGGGGGCGATGGTGGCTGAGAGCGGGGAGGAGAACGGCAGCGACGAGAGCGTCGTCGAGCTAAACGACGAGAAGGAGACCAGGCGAGTGGTCAAGGCACGCTTCAGGGCTACGGCCGGATGACTAAGCAAATCGGCATACCGACCTCCGCTGCAGCCGCCATCTCAGTTCGCGTGCCCGGCGCCGCTCGCCGCCCAGCGCCCGCCGCGCGCCACCCGTCGAGCGAGCGTCGAGCACGCCGTCGGCCACGCAGCAGCCGCGCGCACGCCCTGCAGGCTGCTCCGGTGCCCGCCGCGCTTCTCGCGCTCATGTGCGCGGCCCAGGCCGCACGGCGTGGAGCCACATGCCCACCCCGTCGGCGTGCCCGGCTCCCTCGGACCTCTTCCCCAGCTCCCTTCCGTGCGCCCACCCCGCACTACCGCGGTCATCCCGGTCGACGACTCCTCCCGGCCAGTCGCACCTCCCACACGGCCATATCATGAACCTGTCAGGCCCACGCCCGCGATCATCTGATTGTCGTCCTATTGCCTCGCATTCAGTCCGCGCAGCCTCCGCTCGCCAAGTGCCATGGGCTGCAGTTTCAATCTTTGCATACGCATTAATGACAGCATCACCGACCACGGTGAAACGTCCATCGTACAGTCTCGTCTACCGATACAAATACACGAAACAGCGCAGGGGCATGCGCACCCACCAATCTGGCCATCTATCTGCTCGTGCGCTCTCCGAACGTCCCATCATTCAGATCGAGCTGTCCATCTATGAGTTTCTGGAGCAACCACCAACCAAGCGCCACGCACCTTTGGCATCTCCGCCCGCTCCTCCAACATGTCTTCGCCCCAGAACATCAGCCTCAAGAGTCCTACTAGCTTCGCCTCTTTACCTTGACCGAGGCTCTCCAGTATCGCTGCGTTGACCTCCGCCGCAGTCCTCATCCGTTGGGCCGGAGACAATAGCTCACTGACAGTGGACGGCATGAGCGGAGACGACTCAAATGCTAAAAGCGCCATCGTCCGCTCAAGCTCAGACAGAAACTCCGGGCTTTCCTCTCCGCGAGGGGCGAGCTCTTCTTGCGCAAAATGTAGCGCTTCCGCTATCTTGCCTTGGCGTATGTACTCGATGAGCTTCTGTTGCTGCAGACGAAAATACAGCGACGGGTTCGTGTCGAGTATCTGGTATTCAACCAATGTCAGCCGCTTGCTCGTCACAGGAACACGAGAGTGAAAATCATATTGAAGACTGAAGTTTTGGTGTAGAGTTTCACCATCGACCTCAGTAGGTCTCAGCGTGGTGCATGTAGTGTTCTAATCCTTTCGATGGCTAAAGCGGCAGCTGGAGAGAGCAAAACTCACCTCAGGATCCAAGTCGTTCACTCGTGTGATCGCGTCACCGACATCGCCGCGTTGCAACGCCTCCCGTATCCTCATACGATTCTCGATGGAGTTGAAGTCGGTGGGGCTCTCGAGGCTGGTCTCCTTGCTGAATTCTTCTGCCGCAGACTTGTACCCCTCTATGACGAGGTAGTCCATAACCAGACGGTTCAGGTCACTGAGAAGACTCTGTTAACAAACGGTACGAGGGAATCCACTTGCGACGGCAATTATCAGATAATACATGCAAATTTCGGTTACTCTTCAAAGATATTCAGAGAGATTCCCAATGAAAGTTGTTCATCCCAGAATGCCGTCGCCATAGCCGAAGGATAGAGACACTCACTCCTTGGACACTTGAACATCATGTAGGCGACGTTCCCATTCTTCCTGAAAGATCTTCGCCTTTTGCTGCGGTGGCTACTTGGAAATGAAGTTAGCGACGAAGAGAAAAGGGGGCAAGAAAATAACGGACCATGGGGAACACGACGAAGCCGCGGTCAACCAAATTTATGCGAAGATGTCGCTTTAGGGCAAGCCCGTCACAAGCGCTCACGGAAGGTCCTGCTCCCTGCAATATTCCAAGTATGTGCGGACTGACAGAAGTGAGGTCGACAGGTTCGGGCAAAATATGGTCTCAAATAGACGGAGGAAATGCATCGAAGACTTCTAGGCGTAGTATAAACACAGTGGGAACGTAATACAACACTCGGTCAAGCTTTGGAGACGATGCCACCCGATCGAATAAGCTCCAGAAAATCATCTTGTGCCAAAGTTGCTAGCAAGATGTGAGCGACGCAGATACGAACAAACAGAACATGACTCACTGTCTTTTCCTCTACCTATTACGTTATCCTTCTGCTTTCCTTTCTTCTTTTTATCATGGACGGCGGGAGCGGGCAGCGACGGTCTACCAGTACCTCTATGGGATTTGGAATCCGCAGCGGCGGCAGCAGACGCGGCTTGCGATTGCTGAATCGCGTTGAACAATTTTACGACTGTAATCCCCGTTAAAACCATGGTATGACCAGAGAGATGACACTGACCTCCGCGCTGGGCCACTTTTCGTAAGGCACGCTCGCTCTCCCCTCCCCAGCCCCCGATGATATCCGTGATCCTACCACGGTCCTCTTTCTCCTTTCTCTCCACCTGCAAGACCTGCTTCCCCTTGGCCTCCAACTTCTCCTCTTTCCGTTTCTTAGCAACAGAAGGCTTCAAGGAGAGCGGTGCGGCAGGCGCATTGGTAGTCAAAAGCGACTGGAGAGTAGCACCAAAGTTTGTGGCATCCGTCGCGCGCCGCTTCCTCTTGGATGTCTTCTTCGACTTGACCAGCTTGGCCTCCGCAATTTCGTCTTCTGTATCAGGCTCACTTTGCCCCGAGCCAAGTTCACCGTCGGTAGAGATACCCTCCAGGTCAGACCCGGAGTAAGACGGTTCGTCGTCAGACAGCCTTTGGCGTTTTGTGGGAGGCATGGAGGAAATACGAGGGCCGAGCGTGTGTGAGACGCAGAGGCTGGCTTCTGCAAAGGACGAACAGGTACGCGGGGCACGTGGAAGAGACACAATGGTGGTGAAGCGCCCATATCCCGTGGCCTTCGCTTCCGCCGGCGCATCTGTCCCCCTTCCTGCACGCAGGGTACCCATGGCCATCTGAACGACCGCCTGGTCTCATCTCACCCAACTGTCTTTTGTCCTCCATCTCCGGTTCAACGGTAGCTGGACCGCGCACGCCATCCATTCCGGGCAGTTGGAGTCTCTGACACCCGCGTTTCCGCTACTCCCCTCACGAGACAAGGACACACTCTTCCCGGATGGAGCCTTCTTCCTTTGGGCCCGCCGACTTCACGGTCGAACCTGATCTACAACCTCTCTACCCCACACCCGCCCAGATCTCGGATCTGCTCTCGCCAAACGTCGGTCTCGCTCCCTCGCAGAAGGGGGAACTTGTTACGCACTGCCTGCTTCGCGCATGCGTCTTCGCCGAGCTCTCGCTACTCTCCTTTCTCCTTACGGACCCTCAGTCTCAGCAGTTCGTCGACCTCTCAAGGCAGGATGAAGACGGTCTGGGCCTAATCAGCGTAGCTATCCTCGGCTTTGGTTCTGAGTCCGAACGAGATATTGAGCGCGAGGAGTGCGTCAGATTACTGGTGTCTGAGGGGTGCGATGTGAACATACCAGATGAAAGTACGTTCTAACGCGTCGCCGTGCTGCACTCTTGCTGATTTGAATCGCAGGTGGCTGGACAGCACTCCATTATGCATCCTTGTTCTCCCCTCCAAGTCTTGTCTCGTACCTGCTCACACATGGATCCTCATCTCTTGCCATTACAAGACGGCAGCTTACCGCCTTGGACATTGTCACTGCACACACCACTATGCCGGGCAGGGAAGATGTCGCGTTGCTACTTGAGGAAGCTATGCGAGAAGCGGGATGGAAGGGCGGGCGGATGGAGGAGCAACGAAGACTTCTTGATAAGCGTATGCGACGCATAAACAAGAAGAAGGGCATTCAAGGGGATATCCAGAAAGTGCTCGGCATCCACTCAAAGTGGTGGGGTTCGGAGGACATATTGCAATCCCAGGACACCGAAGATGAGAGCGAAGACGAAGCTCCGACAGACGCACAGCTTGTAGGTTGCAGTATTCATCCCACAAGGTTGCAAGTACCTAACTTCAGCCTAGACTCCTCCGTCAGATTTCTCGTCGATGCTTGTCTTCTCGCCCACGGCTTTACCAGACATATTTCAATCCTTGATCACCGACTTCGTCCCGGCACATCGCAATTCAGAGCCCGCAAATGTCCTCTACATGCTTTCACGATTTGCTTGCTTGAATTGCGATGACAACTGGATCGAAGACCTGATCATTGGGGCCACCGATGCCATCGAAGACGTATTCTTTGTAAGCCCTTCGGTTGTATGCAGCGCTACTTCGTCTCACTCGGCGTGGTAGAGCCATGCAGAAGACCCTACTTATCTGGTTTTCTGGTTGTACAACACAACAGTTTGGCTGCATCTCATGCGGTGTGACAATGCGATCAATCAAGTCTGCGAACAACTGGGATCACTGTCTCTCATTGAGGAGATTCTCAACTCGGTTTTCGGTAAATCAGAGCGGCTTGCCCTGCGGACGATGTACTGACGAGCCGAGCCTGCAGTATTCGTAATTCGATTCGCTGAGCGGAGGATAGACCAACTGCTTGACGCAGCATTGCTGGATTATTCGCCACTATCAAGTGAATTCGATGCCATCCAGTTTGAAGGAGAGTGGTCGTTCCTAAAGTCCTTTGGAGGCGGCAAGAAGAAGGCCAACGGAGCTCCTTCGAATGCGAGTACTGTACGAGGGTCGACACCTATGTCACCAACGCAGGCCAGCAGACCACCGTCCCCTTCAGCGCACCCTCCAACATCAACCTCACCTAGCGTTCGAGGGTTTGCTTCGATAAGGCAGACGTTCTCTCGCACTCGCGGTACCTCATCATCTACTCCTCTCCAAGGCCTGTTCTCCGAGGTTCAACAACCTCTATCAACTTCTCCGAAGGATATTTTAAACTTTATAACTGCGCTGCAGACAATGCTCGCTTTGTCAGGAGTTAACCCGTTATCATCGTGCAGTTCTGGTCACAGGTGATGTACTGGACGGCTTGTAAGTCAGCATCAACAATCGTCAGCAGCGCATCTAATGTTGGCACGCAGGCGAACTGTTCAATCGCGTGCTTACACGGAAGAAATATATCTGTCGGTGAGTTCGTTGCAATTCATGGTTGGTGATGTCCTGAATTTCGTACAGATCTCGAGCTGTGCAGATCAGCGCAAACCTTGGAGTCATAGAGGAGTGGCTAAACACCATGGAGTTGCCGAAGGGGTTGGCTTGCACTTCGCGCCCATTCATGATCTTCTGAATTGGCTCCAGGTACGAATTTCAGCAATGCGTGGACGTGGTGATGCTCATTAGACGCAGTGCCTGTCTTCCATCACTGAGTTCCCGAGCCTCATCGCGACTATCCAGACCATGAAACATCTGAACCCATTGCAGGTATGTGACCTTGATGGAATCGCTCATCCACGGCTCTCACGCAGTATGCTCAGATGCGCCGGGCTGTGCGAGATTACAAGTACGAGGTCAACGAAGGAAGGATGACAGAAGAGTGCAACCAGTATCTTCAGCAGCTACAGAAGGACTGGGAGCGACATCGTGTCAAGATGGGTGTTGAGCAGTTGCGCAAAGAAGTCAGCCATCTTGTTTTTCTCCGGCCTTCATTACTGACCCGGTGAATTCAAGATCGGCGAACGGGACCGGGACCGAGAGGGGAGCGTCAGCGCGTCGCCGTCTCTCCACGAAGCTACAAGCTCCGAACCGGATATGGATAGCTCATTCGAAGCATCGGCGGCGCAGCGCTCAATAGATGCGCTCTTCGACCGGTCCGTTGAGAAGCTACTGTGGGAGCCAGCGAAAGCGCCAGATCCGCTGGGCGAGCTTCTCGACTCCCGGTACATGCTTCCGTTGCTGCTTCCTTCGGATCCTCGGATGCTAGGCGCACTCCCTATGAAGCCTGCAAGCCTCGAGGACATGAATGACAAGCGCCACAACAGCCGCCTCAGCGTCGACAATGGCTCCAGTCGGAGCACGAGTCGCGCCAGCTTCGGCAACCGTGGTGCAATGCGCTGGCGGTTCAGCAAACGGCTCCGCGACATCGACCCGACAGCGCTGCAGTGGGTCGACGGCAGCCGCGCGGCGGCACGGTGGACGCGCCCAATAGAGCCGGACCCAGACGAAGAGGATGCGGAGATACCGCCCCCGTACTCGTCGGAAGACCGAAGGGCGGATGAGGAGGACGAGGAAGGCGATGGAACGCTGAGGATCGACACGGGAGCACATCTGACGGTGCTCACTCGTGCGCCTTCGGCGCGCAGTCGAGGAAGGGCGAGCATGGCGGGGCTTTCTCCAGGCGGAACACCAATAGAAAGAAGAGATTCATTGGTTATGGCGCAGTGAGCTAGAGTGTGAGATAGGGGCGTATGGACTAGATCAACGGATCCTCGATATTGCATTGCTGTCGTCTCATTTGTACACACATACATCTGCTTTCCATGTCCGCACTGACTGTGGCGCCTTATGCGACCTCGTCCGTCGAAGAGGACCATCGCATATTGTGTTCGTTGTTGGTTAGCCGCGGCAGATGTCTAGCATATAGGTGCGTTGTCCCTAGGAATGCGGAGCACGCAGACGGTGCGCAGAGAGCAATAGTCTTCGAACAAGTGCAAGTATCCCATCAAGCAGAGGCGCTTCGGCGCCAATACACTTCACGGCCACTGCTTACAGAGCCCGCCCAGTCTCACTTTGTCGCATTCCTGCGGCCTATGACAGCCTCTCCTCCCGTCCACACTACTCAAGGAGTCTGAATTTTTGGCCCGTTTGAGTGCCTACCTGCGACTTGGTGCGTCATTACACGCTTGCGGCTTGCATTCGCGTCCTCACCACTGACACCTGTACGCGTAACTTTCCGCTCGCCGCCTTCCTCTTCTAGCGTAGAGACTCGCGCTCATCGCCTTCGCAACTTTCCATTCTCTTGTATGCCCTCATAGTTCATGCTACGCGCCTCCATCCTCCCGCCCGCACAGACGTCATGCCGCCCAAGCGCTTTCAATTCGTCCTCAACCCTCTTTGGCCGCACTACTTGTCTTGGGCTTGTGTAGTCGCTGCCGTAGCTCTAGGGTTGGTGAGATATGGTCTATATGGTATGTTTCCACTGCTTTCGCGCCTTCACCATCCTCCAACGTGCTTGTGGCATGCAGACTCATCCGACCCAAGCCATTGTCATGCGCTACTGTCTGGTGGTCGATGGCTGGACCCGCATTTCAAGAATTGGCAACCTGATGGTGCGTAGTGTTCTTGATGGTCTCAAACGAGGTTAACATCAGCATTCAGGGTGCATGATGTACCAATACAAAGAGAAGGATGTGGGACAATGTATGAAGTCCAGGCGGATTGTCTTCGCCGGAGACTCCGTCACACGACAACTCTACTTCCAATTCGCAAACATCGTGGACAAAACTCTTCCCTCGTCGCCCCCGGATGATGCCCATAAACATCAAGACCATACCTATACCTCTCGCTCGGACGTGCAGCTTATATTCATCTGGGACCCGTTCCTAAATGCCACTGGCACTCAACCCTTTCTTCACCCTGTCCCCCGTTCCTCCACACCACCACCAGCTCTCCTGGTTCTAGGGTCTGGTCTTTGGTATCTCCGGTATCCTGAATCTGGCGGTCTCCCTGCATGGGAGGCCAAGATAGAGTCCACGCTGAGTGCACTCTCCGCCCCGATCGCACCCCTCGCGGACGCCGTCGTCATTCTACCCGTTGAAGACATTATTCCTCATAAGCTCTCAAAGGATCGTGCCGCCTCTATGCACGCATCCGATATTGACGCGATGAACTCGGACCTCGTTCACCGCATACAGCCACGCTCTCGCCGCGACGCGTTCGCGTTGCTCCCGCCTCTCTTCGCCAACGCGCTTCCAGGCGTCCCCGCGGCGCTCCCTCGCGTATTCAACCAGATGCTGCACCCATCGCAGACCCTCGACGGACTCCACTTCTCGGACGCCGTCGTCAAGATGCAAGCGCAGGTGCTATTCAACATGCAGTGTAATGACGTCCTGCCGAAGTCATTCCCCATGGACAAGACTTGCTGCAGATCATACCCCTGGCCGAACGCGTTGCATATGCTCGTCCTCCTGGGTGCAATCGGATGGGGGCCTGTGTTATGGTTGTCTGCTCGTCGGTTCAGTGAGTCTTATCACTAATCCTGCGGCATCCTTCCTAATATGCGCTTGGACAGATCCTCGATTTACCACACTACCGATGCTCAGGGACGAAGAGACACCTGCTTTGGTGTTTAGTCTGGCAGCTGCCTTTATCTTCATCGCGGATAGAACGGGTTTCTGGCTCAAAGAGCAGAAACAATTTGACCCTTGGACGTTTGGGTTCTTGATGCTTTCCTTTTTAGGTCTCGGTTTGGCTACTGTGACTCGTGGTGACAAGGATCTCGGATTCCTCAATAGAGAACAGACAGATGAATGGAAAGGATGGATGCAGAGTAAGTTCTGCTGATAATGCCGTGACTCTATTTCGTTGACCTCTGTTACGATAGTCGCCATCCTGATCTACCACTACACCGGTGGTTCCAAAATCTCTGGGATTTATAACCCGATCCGAGTACTCGTCGCGGCGTATCTTTTTATGACCGGCTATGGTCATACGACGTACTACGTGAAAAAGGCTGACTTCGGTTTGCTTCGTGTCGCTCAAGTGAGCAGCTTTCGGTGTGTCGCAGAGATGATCTTTTCTAATGGAAACATTGCCCAGGTTCTGGTTCGCCTCAACTTGCTCACACTTCTCTTGGCCTACACCATGGACGCCGACTATCTCTTCTACTACTTTGCGCCGCTAGTATCATTCTGGTACCTCATCATCTACGGCACCATGTTCATCGGCTCTCAGTTCAATGAACGCACACCGGTCCTTGTCATCAAGATCATTCTTTCGATGGTTGCGGTCACATGGATAATGAGCCAACAATGGATGTTAGACATCCTCTTCGAAGGTCTCGAACGATTCTGCAACATCCGGTGGTCCGCGAAGGAATGGGCCTTTCGCGTCAATCTCGACATTTGGATCGTCTACTTCGGGATGTTTGCCGCTCTTGCGGTCATCAAAGTCCGAGAGCTGCGCCTCACAGACGACCCTCGGTGGCCCCTTGCCGTTAGTGTGGCCGCCGGCATATCAGGAGTCGTCCTCCTTTGGTTTATCGGCTTTGAGCTTTCTCAGCCGGACAAATTCGCGTACAATGCATGGCATCCTTACGTGTCCTTCCTCCCCGTCGGTGCCTTCGTCGTGCTGCGTAACGCCAACGCTATTCTGCGATCAAGCTCGTCCTGGGTATTCGCCTTCATCGGAACCTGCTCCCTCGAAACGTTCATTATCCAGTACCACCTGTGGCTCGCCGGCGACACCAAGGGCGTTCTCAAAGTCATTCCTGGCCGCCACTCACGTCCTGTCAACCTGCTGCTGACCACCGTCATCTTCATCTACATTTCCCACCTCGTGGCCAAAGCCACTGGCGACATCACAAATTGGATCTGTGGCTCGACAAAGCCCCAGGCTGCAACACTGCCTACTACAGCCCAACAAGCACGACGTGTCCCACTAGGAAACGTCGAGGCCGAACGCGGAGAAGTTATCTTTATGGCCTCTCAGGATGGCGAGGAAGAAGCGCAGAAGGAGGGTGGGCAGGGACCGCCCTCAGGAGAGCAACCTCAGCGCCGGTGGCTTGATCGCCTCGCTGAGGCATCCCAGCCGCCCCCTTCCCCCGGCTTCCGCGTCTGGTACGGGGAGTCGGAGTGGCAGCCCGGGATGAAGGCGAAGTTGCTGATGGGTGTTGGCGCGATGTGGCTCGTCAATGTCATGTGGCCCCGACCGTGAAAGAAAGGACACACGCCTCCGTCTTACACTCAGTGTCTTTGTAGAATACGTGACGGCTACGCATGCTTACGCCCGATATACATATAATAGCACACCAATTTGTTCTCGAACGAAAGAATTGACTCAGAAGCGACGGTCGGCCTCTCCCCCGCCTGCCCCTCGCACTGCTGTGCTACAAGCTGCATGCAACATGTATTAGAGGTTCCTACGAGCCCACTGGCGAAAAAACGGCGAGATTCTAGGCAGTAGAACTCTCGCAATTTGAGTAACGAAGTCGTGACTTTGTTACAATTGACATTAACGGCTTCGCTTGACATGGGATTTCGGGCGCTTCTCTCGCGGACGCCATGTATCTTTATGTGGTACTATTAGGGGCTAGCACACATTTTCCCGAGGCGTCGGATGAAGGGAGAAACACACCGCGGGGGGGTGGGCTTCGAGCGTGACATCAGCCACACGGAGTCTGAACGCGTCATCACGTGATGCTGCCCGCGATGCGGTTGCGCGCGTTCAGCCACAGCGGAGTTTGATTCGGCTACGGTCGGCATCGTGACCCGAGGGGTGACCAAATCCGGCGCCAAACCGTCGTTTCTGGGGGTGCGCCAGTATTTCCCTGCGCAGTTTATCCCTAGTGAACCGTTCTTCGTGAAATTTGGTACATAGGAGGGCATGTAGATTCGGCACCCATGTGCAAAGTATGAAGGCAAACGGTGGAGAGGGGAGAGAGATATTCGTGGAAAGGCGGCACCGTCGCTTCTGGGGGGGGGCATAGTATACACATGAAACTCAACCCAACCGGATTCCCACCACGACACACAAAGGGAAAGACCTGGAAAAACAGTCAGTAAGATGTCCAGAATAAAAGATGCGGATGAAACGTCAGCATTAGCATGGTAATGATCGTCAGTCCCCATCCTTGAGATGGGTTCAGGACTTGACTCTATATTATTCATCACCCGGAAGAATGGGGACGTGCTCACCTATCGAAGCAAAGAACGATACGTAGGCTGGCGTAGAAAGAATGAGTTTCCAAGCGTGAAATGCCAAGAAGGGGCTCGGAAATTTGGGTATATGATTCAACATTCATCAGCCCGTGGGCTTCGAAGTAGCGATTCACGTCTTCTCGTCACCGCAACACAACATGAAAGAAACACATACCAAGCGGAAAGACGAAAGCGAGGAGGGAAAGGGAACGCAAGGAGGAAGAGCAGGTCACGACAAAGTGGCCAGCAAAAAGTTTGCTATAACGCCAATATCACGTGCATCAATTTAGGGCAGGCGGTTCGAAGGGGCATAGTGTTTCGGCGCACACAGGCGCTTTTGCTCTCTGCCTCTGCTCCCGCTTGGTCCTAGACCTCAACCACCTCTCCCCTTCCTCTTCTCTCACCATGGCGAACGTCGTCACTCATCCTCATCTACAAGTCCCTTTCCACATGGGGCCAGTAGGTCACTCCCCCTCGCCCCTCGGCTTTGGCTTCGGTCTCTCCACCCCTTCCATGATGCAAGGTTGGCCTGCTTCGCCGCTCTCGCACGCCCCTGCTTGGAATGCCACCCCTCAGCCACCGCAACAACACGCAAGAACTACTGGAAAGCGGAGGCATGAACCAGAGGAGGAAGACAAAGATGAGCGCATGGACAGGAGCCCGACACCGACTGAGCGACCGCAGCGTGGTGCCCCCAAGCGTGCCCGTACTACTCCCACCGCCGCAGCTGTCGAGAAGGCTCAGGGCACAACGAAGGAGAGCAAGCCTCCTTCAGCACCCGAAGAGAATGATGTCGATGTTGGGTTTTTACTCGGTGAGTGGTCAGCTACAGGCGTCGTAGGCCCAGTACTGATCGATCTTTAGCATCATTGCCCCCGCAGTCCTTGCTTCCCCTTGTCACTTCTCTGCTGTCCGCTCAGCCGGCTCTCAAAACCACCATTCTCAGTCTTATCCCCCGCCCCACCCTCGATGTCGCGCTACAAGGCCTGGCAGCTTCGGCACAGAAGCTCAAAGACGCGTATCCCTACTCGAGTTCACCATTTCCCCAGTCCGGGACGTCACCATGGGGTAACACAGGAGTGTTTGGCAGCTCTAGGGCAAGCACTTCATCGTTTGGTGTTGGTTCTGCCACGCCTTCCGGGTTCGGTTCCGCCACCTCCTCCGGGTTTGGTTCCGCCTTGCGACCAGCTAGCGGCTCATCATTTGGTTCCGCGCCTCCAAGCGGCGGAGGAATGCGCGAAGAGTACATTGTATCTCGCCTCCGACCCCACATTCAAGAGTTCATCTCGGCCTGCCTGTCGTACCTTCCCTACTTCTCCAATGTCGCCACCACCGATCCCTCTACCGCCTCGCATACTGCCCAGACACACGCAGCCGCGCTCCGTCTGCAGCATAAAGACAAGTTGCATCCCACGGAGACCTACCTCTTCCTTTCGGCCCTCACATCCCACATTTTATCGCAACCACCGCTTACGCAAGCCTCTCTTGTACCCATGCTGGCCTCGAGGCTAGCGGAGGAGTGGAAGGCATGGATTGACCACGTGGATCAGACCGTGAACCGTCAAGGCGGTATGTTTGGGCGGGAGACGGTCACCACATGGGAGCGAGGACTGGACGAGTTTGCCGGGGCACAAGGAAACGGGATGGAAGTAATGAAGGAGATTCGCGATCATTGGGTGGTGAAGGTTGGCTGGTTGGTCGGTCGACAGCCCATGGAGGAGATTTGATATCTGCCCCAGCGTATCTTCTGTGGGACTGGACTCCTCCCTCGGTCATACATTATATGTCGCCCCCTACCAGTATAATATTTGCTGCGTACCCGCTCCCTCCCTGCATCATTCCCCTACCATTATCTACCGTCCACGGTCATTGCATGCTCGCGTTGCTGTTACCATCGTTGCTTACACACCTGTACTTCCACACGGCTACCCTCGACGAAGGCACGAAATCTCATGACGCTCGTTTGTGTTTTGTGCTCAATGCAGTGCGAGAGCTGCAGTTGTGACGGTTCTGGGTCACTGGTGGCAGGGTGCGGTGGTTGCGGAAGCCACGGACCGCAAGATCGGCGATCGGGTTCGTGGGACGGTGCACGTGGCAAAGTTTGTGCTGGGCCGCCAGACGCTGGCACGCGCACGCCAGCTCCGCGTACTACGCTGCTCACACTCTCGACCGCGCCAGGCAGGCTGGGATGCTCATGCATGCTTCATCATGCCTCTCTGACCCCGCATCTCCCCCTCACTTCCATCTTCCAAGCCGCTGCCGGCAGGGCGTGGGCCAGGACGCGCCCTGCTCGTGCGCACTACCATCCGCATCTATTCGCCAACGAGGCTTCGACCTCGACTCTCGCCGCCCGGCGCGTTCATGATGCTCGAGTAAGCCGAAACGAAGCGCAGAGGGATACCAGCACGTACGTATTCTTCTCTTCAGTGTTCCCCAGATTCTCATGCAATGGTCTCGGACACGTATAGGCTGCCCTGTCCTCCATCCACGTCCGTGTCGGCGAAGCCACTCCCTTCATCTCATGTCCACGCCCCTTCCTCCGTGCTTCGCTCGGTGTCGGATCCCACAGGCTCGTTCTCGCCTGCGGTGGACGATCGCCCTACAAGTTCAAAGTCTACGCTGTCAAATCCGAAGAGCTCGCGCCTAACTGTCAATATGCAAGTCGAAGATCGCACCCCCAATGACCTGGTCCAAAGCGAGCGCGGGCCACCACTTCCACGGGCTCTCGCCGGAGACCCGCCTTGGGACGATGGACGCGCTTCCGAGTCAGAGCGGGCAGTCCCATCTGTCGCAGGTGGTCATGCGCCGAAGCAGACGTCCACCGGGACGCCGCAGTCCGTCCCAACGACACAAGAGGAGCTGCTCGAAAACCTTGTCTTCGCGCTCGCGACGAGACCCCGCCCCAGCATCGCCCAAGCGGTCGCGTACCATGCCCGCTTTCCGTCCCTGCACTCGACCGCGTCCTTCAACCTACTTATCCGGTACGCGATCCGGCAGGCGACGTTCGGGACGGTGCGGCACTTGCTGGCGCAGATGGTGCGTGACCGCATACTCGGAGACGAAGAGACGAGAGCGCTGCGGGTGCGGTGCATGGTGCGGATGGGGCTGTGGACTCGGGCGTGGCGCGAAGAGCAGGAGCAGGCGGAAGTGCAAGAGTCAGGGCTGCCCGCACGGATCTGGTACGAGTTCTGGGACTCGGTCAAACAGGGCGCGATCTCGGACGTCGAGCGCGTGCGGGGACGCGTGGCCACCGCTCGAATACGACGGCTGCAAGCTGCGCCCGCGTCGGTGGTGGAGGAGCGCTACCAGGCTCTCGTGACGCACCCTCCCGCGTTCGCAGAAGACGGCGGCGGGTCCCGCAGCACGTCGTGCAAGCGTTCGTGCGCTCGCTCGTCGCCCAGGGCCGGCGTGACGCGGCGTCCACGGTTGCGTCCGAGTACATCCGCTCGCTGCCACCCACGCTCGACGCCCGGCTCCGGGACGGCGGCCTCGCGCTCATCCACCTCCTCCTGGCCCCGGGATCGCGGCGGCCGAAGCTCTCCGCGCACTTTGCCGCGCTCAAGACGCTCTTCACCTTCCTGGACATGCACCGCGGCCTTCGGCCGACGGCGCAGACGCTCGACTTCCTCCTCCGCGGCCTGCTCCGCTCCCGCCACGGCGGCGCCCGCGCGGACAGGCTCGTGAGCACCTTCCGGAAGCGCTGGGGCGACGGGATCGCGGACGACCCTGGCGTCCGTCGGCGGTGGGCCGCGCTCTGGTTCCGTCAGGGCGACGGCGAGCGCGCGCGCGCGATCTCGCAAGCACAGAACAAGGCTGACAGGCGGCGACGGAGGCGGGCGCGGAATGAAGGCACGACGGCTGGGCACGACATTGGGAAGGCGCGGTGGATGGGGCGGCTCGAGCGGCATCGGGCTCCGCGGATAGACAGGGAGCGGTGGGCCTGGCGGCAGCTGAGGATACGGATGGCGCGGGCGAAGAAGCGCGCTCGGGAGGCTGCGGGGCACGCGCCCGGCTAGTCCTGTTCTCGACGCGCGTCGGGCGGGGCGCGAGGGTGGACGAGGCGGGGACGCGCAGGGGTGTGGATATTGCGTTCGTACGACGAGACTCTCGCTTTGATGGACGTCATGTTTGCTGGTATAATGTCTCACCTCGATCGGCCTAATCATCCGTTTGGGGCGGTCTCTTCAGTATGGGGTGCCAGGGCTGGCGGCGTGCGGACGTTTCATGGACGTCGACAAGTTGTCTGACGTTCACGACAGCCGCCTACGAGTTTGCACAGGTTGCGGTTGGAAGGACGCCGGACCGCTTTATGCCGAATGAGCATAGGATGAGTGGTGTGGGCGGCAGCCGAGGGGAGTGTCGGTGCGTGTGCGCACCAAATGGTTCGGCTTCCTGGGCTGATTTACTCGTCGCAGGACGGGGACAGCCTTCCGTGGCCGCAGAACATGCGCTGGATGACTGATAGACTGGATTGGGGCTCCGCGAAGGTCGAGGGGAGACAACCGACGGCGGTGAAGTCATAAGGTGGACAGAGACACTCTAGTGCGGCAACTGAAAATTTCGCACAGGGTCGACAGATGAGTCGAGCACACAGGGCGGTGAGTCGCGCGCGGTGGCTGGGATTCGACAGTTAAGCAATTCCAGATTGCCGTCGAGGCCGCAGATCGGATCTGGCGTGCACGCACCCACGCCACCGGGCCCCAGATCGAGCGGCCAACGTTTAATCCAGCGCTGGACGGCTGCCAGCGACGGGCCCTGCCAACGAACGGCTCCCCCGCCAGGCTGTCCCCCAAGGTGTGTCATTCACCGCGTCCAGGGCCAACTAATTGCTTGGGCAGAATGTCCGCGCGACCTGCTCCCGGCGTCCTAGCGAGGGCCGGGAACGTGCTCGGTATGTTGCGGGCCTGCTCGATTCAGTGCCCCTCGGCTCACCATCGCGCACCGTCCAATGGCCTCGTCGCGCGCGCCCAGCCCGTAGATTGCAGGTTGGCGGCGGGCACAGGCGCGCCGCTCCAGGGAAGCAGGCGCCCTTCCCTGCGCAGCGCTGACGTCCGGCCGGAGATGGTCCTCCGCCCCCAATCTCGCGCCAGATGGACGGCGTTGGCGAATCTGTGCGGGAGATCGAGCCCCTCGGATCCATCGCCGGCGTGTCCGAGCTAAGCTCAGGCGCCTTCAGAGGTGGCCAACTCCTCGACCGTCGACGAGCCTTGGCCTTGTCTGGCAGTCGTCGGATTGAAGATCGCAATGCCCAATTTAAGACCCCCGTCGGCCTCCGCTCTGGTCACCACAAACCTCCAGCGCCCTCCCACGACTCCCCAGCGCGTGCACAATGTCCCAGAAGTACCCAGTTCCGCCGCCCGACAAGTACGTCGCGCTCTCGACCGCCTGCGTCGGATGCGGCCCTGGCGGAGGGACGCCCATGATCGCGTGCGTGCCCGTTTCTGCCGCTCCCGCGCCGCTCCTCGCGCTCACCATATCTCCCCAGCCGCGTCGCGGTCGTCGACTATCGCGGCCGCGAGCTCTACTTCACCTACGTCTCTCCAACGATCGCGGTCACCGACTATCGCACCAAACACACGGGCATCAAACCCGAGGACTTGGAGCCTGGTCAGCCCCTCCGTCCGCGCCTCTAACCACTCGCCTCACATTAACTCCTCCTTCTCCTCGGCAGGAAGGGCACTTCCTTGGGCGACGGTCCAGCAGCAAATCGGCCATCTAATCAAGGACAAGATTATTGTCGGCTACACGCTCTGGCAAGACTTGTCTGGTCAGTTATTCTCGTCTCGTGCTCGCTCAAAGCCTTGGACGTGCTGCGTTCTCACCGGCATCCTGCAGTCATTGGCATCTGCCATCCTGCGGTCGCCACGCGTGACGTCGCCTTGTATCAGCCATTCCGGAACGCGCTCCAAAACATGGTCCGCAGCAATACGCAGACCATCGGGCTGCACACCCTGATGTGGCTCCTCATGCGCCGCAAGATCCAAGACACCCAAACGTGTCCGGTACGCTGCCCGCCCCCTCGCTTGCCCCGAACCTACTGACCGTGCCGCAGCTGGAGAACGCCCGGGCGGCGATGGATCTTTACCGGTCCCGGGCGGAAGAATGGGAGGGCATCATCGCGAAGGGCCAATGGCCTACCTCGCTGCCTCCCAGTACATTCTCACGATGCTATACGTGATCCCAAGCTTCGGAGATTGCCTGCCCTCTGGCACTGGCACTGAGCTTCAATGGCTCGCTAGCCCTCCGCGGCGTCCCCTGGGGGTGGTACGCGACCACGCCGTGACAAGCGGGGGCACTTGGCCCCAGAACGTTTTGCTACGGCACTCCGATCAGAGGTGCCGCGACCAGTTGGTGAACATCTTGTCATATAGCGTAGCCAACCCGCGTGGCTTTCGCCCAGTCGTACTTACTCCGCACTACTGTAATCTGTCTCTAATGTACTCCGGAGTCTACTTTTAGTACCTGCGCCGTCTAATAAACGGTTGCGGACCCTCGGGTCATCATCTTAGGATCACGGCGGACCGTCGTTGCCTCTGGGGTGTGCGTGTCGACCTCGACGGAGCAGAGACGTCGAACGGATGCAAACCTGCCACCGCGCCACCGCACGTGCCCCGGCGTCATCGCCCCGCGGACAAGCCCGCAAAGGGAAGCGGACACGGCTTGCACCATGGCCTCCACCTCGTCCGAAACCCACCTCCGGGCCCCTGCGCCCCACCTGTCCCCAACGCCCCCAACCGACCGCGCGACCCGCCTCGTGCTGCCCCCCGCCCCCGACCGCGCCGCAGACGGCGCCCGCCACGACAGCCCCGTCGCCGCCGCAGTCGCCTCTCCCCACGACGCCGTCCTCGCCGACCTGCTCGCCGGTGGCCCAGGCTCGCGAGACGTCCCCGGCCACGCTCGCCCAGAGGGTCTGCGCTCCGCCCCGAGGCTCGGCGTGCTCGCGGGCGCGCCCTCGGTGTCGCGCACCGCGAGCCCGTCCGCCGGCGCGCGCTCCGCGGCGTCCTCGCCCGGCGGCGCCGCGCACGAGCCGCTCTTCGACCCGTTCTCGGGCGCGCCCGTCGGCGTCGTCGTCCCCAAGAGGCACGACGAGCACGAGAGCGCGCCGGGGCCGAGCCCGCAGTTCGACCGGCGGCGGGACGAGCTGTGGGCGCGCCTGGCGAGCATCCGCGAGCTGCAGAGCGACGTCGCCGGCCTCCACGTCCAGATGGAGGGCATCGGCCTCGGCGACGGCGGGCGCGGCGGGAAGCGGGCGCCGGGCGCGGGCGTCGGGCGCGTGCACTCGGACACCATCCCCGTCGCCGGGGACGAGTGGGGCGTCGACGACGACGGCGACGGCGCGGAGGGCGCGGAGAAGCGCGCGCGGGGTGCCGAGTTCACGAACCTGGCGGAGACGTTCAAAGGCCGACGTGAGGCGATCGACGCCATCATGGGCAAGGTCGGCGTGTTGCTCTTACTTCGGGCCGCAGAACAGTGGAGGCTGACCTTCGTGCTGCACAGCTCGGCGAGCTCTCGGATGCGCTCACCACGTTCCACGCGTTGCCCACGCCCGTGATGGACTTCACACCAGCCGGAACGCCACCAAGGATTCGATGCTCGCGTCGCCTGACCTCGCCATTGCGACCTCGCCGGCCAGCACCGTTGCCTCGCCGTCGCCCGAGTTCACGTCTTCGATCCCCAAGTTCGTGCTCACGCACGAGGCCGACCGCGGCGTCATCCACGACAGCCCGATCTCTGCCTCCGGCGAGCTCTCAAACGGCCACCCACACGGGACGCCGTCTCTCTAGCGTCGCTACTTTGGCGCACTCGGTTCACGATGGACTGCAGGCTCTCACTCCATTATCGTGCCACGGGGTCGGCACCACTATGTACGCCAAGCCTTTGCTTCGTTCAGATAGACTTACGGTTCTCATATTGCATCTACACTTCTAGCACCACATGGACATGGACTCCTCTTCACACACATGTACTTCGCCCTATTTTCTACCGCCTCTTTTCCGCCGACCCCTCACAACCCCCTCGCGGCGTGCACCGAAAATCACCCGGCAAACCGCACGCGTGACTGCCGTAAATCGGCCTCTGACGAGTGAGTGTGCGTACGAATCATCAAGGTGAGCACCTCATGGATCCGGGGACGGAGTGATCGCATCGGCGTGCTTGAAAGTGCTTCCCGCCGGGGCCTGGGGCGGGCCGGGGCGCGCAGGCCCGGCGCGCTGAGGCCATTCAGACCGGTTTATCCGCCGTTAGCGAGGCGCACTGGTGACCTTTCGGGTGAACGTCGCGAGAGTACGCCTCTCTCTGCCCGCTAGGCACATCCCGCATGACTGCCGCGGACCGCGTTTTGCCTGCCGCGGTCTGTGCGGTATATAAAGCGCAGGTCGCTCGGGGCCGCAGCCCCTCCAAGTTCTCAAGGACCCGAGCGTTCACGATGTACACCGGCTTCCTTCTCTTCTTCTCCGCGCTCCTCACGGGCGCCCTCGCGCTGAGCTCTCCGCCGTCGGGAGCGATCACGGTCGGGAACGGCGGCAAGTACTCGAAGCTGTCTACCGCGCTCAAGGACACATCTAGCTCGGTGCGTGCCCGGTGGCGCACTCTCGCTTGCAGCAATACAGCGTGCCTCCAACGCTAACGCTGACGCCGCTTTGGCCTCCGTCCAGACGTACTTTATTTACGCCGGCACGTACACCGACACCGCGATCATCACGCGCGCGAACGTCAAGGTCTACGGACAGACGAACACCGCGGGCTCCTACACCGGGAACAGTGCGTGGTCGCCTCGTGGCCCTAGCCGACGTGCCCGAGCATCCACGCTGACGCGCCGTCGACAGCGGTCACGATCACGAACAAGATTCCCGCGTCCTCCGCGGGCTCGAACGACGCGAGCGGGACGGTGCAGGTGCACGCGACGGGCGTGTCCCTCTACAACCTCAACATCGCGAACACGTACGGCAAGGTGCGTCGCGGCCGGGTCGGGCTTCCTGCGATGCCTGCCTGCTGATTCCCGTGCGGCCTTGTGATGCAGCCCGTCGACCAGGTGCGTCGGTGGACGCTCGATGCCCCACGCGCGTTACGTACTCACCTGTCCGTCGCGCCCGCAGTCCCAGGCGATCGCGCTCAGCGTGCAGGCGGGCACCTTTGGCGCGTACGGGTTGAAGATCTCAGGCTACCAGTAAGCAGTGCGGCGTCGAGTGCCGTCGCCGAACTCTCGACTGATGGCTGCTGCCGCTGCAGGGACACGCTCCTCGCGGACAAGGGCACGTAAGTGGTTAAATGTCGCGGAGGCGGGTGTTCGGGAGCGGCGGTGACCCTAACCGTTCCGTGCCAGACAATTCTACTCGAACTGCTGGATTGAGGGCGCGGTGGACTTTGTGCGTCGCTCTCGCGCGCGTTGTGGATCCCACACGGAGGCTGAGACTTCCACCCACACAGATCTTTGGCCAGCAGGCGTCGTGAGTCGCTCGGATGGGCCGATGAGCTAATGGGACGTACTGAATGGAGCGGAATCGCTGCCTGCACAGCATCTGGATCACCAAGTCCGTCATCAACGTGAGTGCCTCCCCCGAATGAATGCGTCCGGGCCCGGGTCGTCCCGTCCGCGGTCGAGGTTCTCCACCTGGACTGCGGACGGCGCGCGGCGGGCGCTGCCGTACGCGGGCGCCCCGACGCTAACACGCACCCCAACAGACGGTCGGCACCGGGTACATCACCGCGTCCGGGCGGTCGAGCAACGACGCAAACTGGTACGTGATCGACCACACGACGGTGCAGGGCACGGGGACGCTGTACCTCGGCCGGCCGTGGCGCGATTACGCCCGGGTCGTCTTCCAGAGCTGCAGCCTCGGGAGCAACATGTGAGTCTCCGCACGGCGTCTTCCCCCCAGGCTGAGCGCGATCCGCGCGACCCTGGACGCACCGTGCGTGGGCTCTGACCCGCCTCCTTTCGCAGCCAACCCGCGGGCTGGTCCATCTGGAGCTCCTCGTACGTCGCCTCGGTTGTGGTGTTGTGCTAGCTCGCGCGCTGACCGACGGCCGCGGGGCTGTGCGCTGCAGGACGCCGAACACGGACCACGCCACGTTCGCGGAGTACGCCAACACGGGCTCCGGGGCGTCGGGCACGCGCGCGAGCTTCGCGTCCAAGCTCTCGTCGGCGGTGTCGATCACCACGGTGCTGAGCTCGACGAGCTGGATCGACCAGTCTTTCCTCTGAAGACGAGGGCGTCGCGAGTGGCCGTCGCCCTTTGGGACGGTCGATAGGATCGATGTTGGGAGACGCGCGGGGGCAGCCGAAGTAGGGTGGTCGATAGCTACGTAGCACGCTCGGTGTCGCCTTTCGCCATGTTTGCCGCGCCGTTCCGCGTCGTGCGACGGGGCATTAGATTGTGCAATGTGCATGTGGGCGCGCAGGAGCCCACTGACAGAAGAAGAGCTCGGAGAGAACCAGGCTGGGCCGACGAGCAACACGGCGACCCAGCCTCGTGCAGCCAAGGTCCACCATTCCAACGTCGAGCCGAGATCTCACTCGTCCACGCCTCCGCCATCGACATCGACATCGACAGAAGGCGGAGAACGCGAGCTCGGGCACGTCGGCCTTGTTGTCCACGTGCATGTGCGCACCGGCTCGGGCCCGCCGGCCGTCCGCGGACAAGGCCCCGCAGGGACCCACTGGAGAACGCCGTGGAGCGATGCTCGCGTCCGGAATCTGTGCCAGACGAGCCAGATCCCGCAGCGCCGCCCTGCGCGCCGGGCGATACGAGCCGAATCTCGCCGGGCCCTCGCACCGAGCGTGCGGTGTCGAATCCGAGCGCGTCCCCCGCCGCCACATACACGTACACGGCGCCGGGTGGCGGGGGGCAGCGTCCGCGCGGTCGTTGGAATCGAAGCGCGACTCGCGCTTTCCCAGTCCGCGAACCCGTCTCCGATTGCCCCGGTTCTGGCTCCGCCCACCCGCGTGGGTCGCGAGATGGCGTGCGTGGCGCCCTGTTCGATCCTGGGCCTTCAGCGCAGGCGGCGATCGGAGCCAGGCGGCGGCCGTGGCGGGAATCTGGCCGCATCTGGCGCAAGATCGCACGTCCACGCGCCGCGAAGATGTCGGCTGGTGCTCTTCCGGAAGCGATCCGGGTGCCTTTGGTGGTTCGCGCGGCGAAAGCCGCCGGTGACTAGTGACTACTGCAGCTGTTCGCAGACTGTACGGTAACGGGGACTACGAACGAGATAACTTAGTAGAGCTGTCTCAGAGCAAATAGCGAACGACAAACACCCCCAAATCCAACCCGGAGCGCCGCAATAACCTACGCCTCAGGCCTCAGGGCCCCCTTCCAGCATCCGCAGCGCTGCACGCAGCTCCTTGATCGCCTGCGTCGAGTCTTCGTAGTCCAACGCCGAGATCGCGTACCGACAGTGCTTCTGCACGCGCGACACCATCTGCGGCGTCAGGTCCGGCGGCGGCATCGTTACCGTCGCCCTTCGTGGGTCAATGGGTGAAGGTCCTGGGTGCACCGCCGCCGACACAGCAGATGGTCGTCCAGGTCGGTGGGCAGGGAGTGCAGGCGGAAGGTCCATTGGTGGCGCAGAGGGCGTGCCGAACGCAGCGCCAGGAATGGGGTCGAATGGTGGTGCAGAAGGCATGCCCATGGACGGATATTCGGGCGCGCTCGCAGCGGCTGAGGGCGCGAAGTGCACCGACTTGCCCGCCGACGCCGGCGGCGTCGTTTCCACGCCCAGCTCGTCGTCCGCACGGCCCTCCATCTCTTCGCTCACGAACGCCATGCGCCGCGATGTCGACGGGCTAACGATAGGAGACATCTCTTCCCCGTCCTCCATGGGGAATCCTGGCGTTCCCGGCGTCGCAGCCGTGCTCCACCCCCCAGGGCTTGTCGGCGGTTGCGACGATGAGAGACCGTCCGAGAGGTCTGCGCCAAGGAAGCCAGCCTGGCCCACGGGCGGCAGGTCCGTCAAATTCGCGGGCGCAGGGCCGTTGCGCGAGAGTGTTGGGGGCGACTGCCTGGAGGGCAGTGGCGATTGGGCGGCGGGCGGCGTCGTGGGCGGCACGACGGCGACGTCGGGGACGGGTGCACTGGGGAGCTCAAGCTCTGCCTCCGGCTCTGGCGCGGCGGGACCAGGGGTCGGTTTGCGGCCCTCGCGGATCGCTTTGGCGATGTCTACCGCTTTCCACTTGGCGTACGTGATCTTCTCTTGGATCGAAGGGAGGTCGATGCCGACCTTATCGCCGTCGAACGTCTTGAGCAGCTCGAGGAAGTTGGACGCGGCAACGAATTTCTTCGCGGTGTTCCTTCGAAGCAGCGCTAGTTTGGATGTGTACGAGAAACGTCAACAAGGCACGGTACTCACTTGTTTGAGGCACCCCTCCTGTCCTCAGAGTCCGCATTCGCGAATACTCGCAGGGCGAAGTTCTCGATGTATGCGGCCGCGGCAGGCTCATCATGCACGGCGTCGTTCGCTCCAATCTCGTTCTTCAGGTGTTCCAGCAAACCGAGCAATTCGAGCAGGAATGTGCGTGCGGCGGCGTCTTTGAGCTTGAGCCCGATTCCTTGTTGGGCGGCGTAGTACGCACCTGGGATGAGTCCGAGGACCTCAGCGGCTAGGACAGGCGGAGTGGCGGCGGGCGATGGACGTACACCAATACGAGATGACGGGGTCATTCGAGGAGAGCTCTTCCGCGCGCTGGATGTACGGCGCGATGGACTTGAGCTCTGGGGGGATGGGCGGCAGCGAGAGACCCATCGGCGGGACTGGAGCTGGAGTCGGGACGGAGGAGAGCTGCAGAGCCTCACTGGCAGTGATGTCACTGCGCGGCCGCGAAGGGCAGGTCGATCCCACGGGTGGTATAGATTGTGGCTGAAGGACTCATGCGACTGGCGATGACGTCCCGCTGAGTCGTGCTTGACGGAGTCACCTCGTCCGTTCGTCTGCCATATCTCTCGCGACCGCGGTGGGTGTATGCGCACACATTGGCCTCTCTTGATTTCCACTCATGTCGCACACCATCCCAGAACAGTTCAAGAAGGGTTGGAAGCCACCATTCCAGCGTCAGGACAATGCCAACGCAAACTCGACCCTGCGCCGCTGGACGATATCACCTCCGATGGGGGGCACTACAAGCCCTCTGGAAAGCTTGAAGGCCGGAAAATCATCATTACGGGAGCAGACAGCGGGATTGGAAGGAGCATAGCGCCACTCTTTGGTGCGTCCTTCCTGCGTATCTCGTCATGCGGCTCACATATGCGGGGTGATATGTAGCTCTAGAGGGCGCCGACTTGACCCTGACATATCTTCCTGAGGAGAAAGAAGACATTCAAGAGATGGTCGATCTCATCAGCAAGAAGACGCAGGGCGAACGAGTGATCCTCACTCTCGAATGTGACCTCCGCAAAGAAGACGTTTGCGCGCAGTTGATTGGCAAGCACATCTCTGTACACCACTGACTGGATGCTTTGTACGTGTCTGCCTTCTAGGAAGCTATCATGGTACTTACCACGCGTACGTCCGCGCCCGTGATAGAATTCTCAACCATGGCACCCAGAATGCGAACAAGTATTTGCCCACGTTGCCGACCGAGCAATGGCATGAAGTCTTCGATACCAACATTCATTCCTTCTTCTACTTGACCAAGGTTTGACTCTCCTGGTTGTAATTCCAACCTTTCTCTTATGTGCTGCGCATAAATCCAGGCGGCCGTGCCTCGGCTAGAACCGGGGTCTTCAATCACTTTCAATGCCTCCATCAACTTCGCTGTCGGCCATCCCGAGCTCACCGATTACACGGCTACCAAGGGGGCTATGATCGGGTTCATGCGTGCGCTCAGCAACCAAATTGTCGGCGAAAAAGGCATTCGTTGCAACGCCGTGGCTCCAGGTCCGATCTGGACGCCACTCGTGGCAGTGATACTTCGCGCGTTGTGGTGCTGCAGATGCTAATCAGGTGACCAACCATCCAGTCCAGCTACCATGAGCAAGGAGTCTCTCCACAACTTTGGTACATCTGTGCCCATAGGTCGTGCAGGGCAACCTATTGAAGTCGCCACTGCGTTTGTGTATCTTCTTCTGTAGACTCCAGTTACATCAGGTTAGTGGGCTTTGTATCTTGATAATTTATCGTGTCTCGCCCATCGCGCACAGCGGACAAGTCATCCATGTCAATGGAGGCGTGGTCATCGAATGGATCCACTACACGTGTATCATACCCTGCCCTCCTGTATACACAGAACAAATGCGACAATCCGTTCCACTGCAGCCCTACGGCGCCTCACATGCTCGAAGGCGCTCCTCCAGTGCAGTAATCCGCCCCTTCACCAAGCTCCTCCCCGCCTTTCCGTCCGTGTCACGACCATCATCAGTGACTGTTGCCGACCCCGAAAACGTCCCACTGCGCTGCTTGCTGGCAGGTGGCGCGCTGGCCGCGTGCTTCGCCCTCGGCCTGTCCACCGGGAGCTCATCAAACGACTTCGCGACGATAGGCTCGGGCACGGACATCCGCCGTGCGCTCCTCGGCGGCCGGATGAACGTCTGCTCCGCACACGCGCTCGACGGCAGACCCTCCACGACGGCCACCGCGGGCGTACGCGCCGGCCCCGCACGCACCACCTCGGACGCAACCAAAGCGGCACCCCGGGAGAGCCCCGAGGAGGAAGTCCCGGGCGGGTCCGGGTTGCGCACGTAGAGCGTCGGGTGCACGCGCAGCTGCTCGAGCGCCGAGATGGTCGCCGGTATGTCGCTCATCCGGGAGGACTGAGAGGGAGGGAGCGGGAGAGCGCGGGAGCTGCGGATAGAGCCTGAGATTGAAGCCGAAGTCGAAGTCGAGGGAGGGAGGACGCCGAAGCGGAAGGATGTGCTCGACGTGTTTCTGAGGCGCGGGGTGGGGGTGCTGTCTCGGTCCCCGTCTCCCGACATCGAATTCAAGGGCCGCCCGTCTCGACTGCCTTCTGTTGGGAGATCTCTGGTCTCGGTGGGATGCGAGAAGATACGACTGCCATGACTGAGGGACGTGCGAGTAGATCGACTGCCAGACGACGCCATGGAAGCGTCCTGAGGTCGTGGTTCAGATGACGATTCGAGAGACGGAGATGGAAGATGACATGCTGGGGGCGATGTGTCGATGCGGTCGCCCTCGAAGGGCCTATTGGCTTGTGTAACAGCATTCAAAATCTGGTCCATCTCGTCTTGCGAACCCATGTCGCCAAAAAGGTCACTATTTCCGAGCTTGTTCTGGGAAGAGCAGACAGAGTGGGCGAGGGATGATGAGGAAGCACTGGAGTAGAAGCTGGTTTCAGAGACCGAGGACGAAGAGATGGATTGGAATATGGACACGCGGCCGTCTTCTGAGTCTTCGTGCTCCCCGGAGTCCAGAGGATCACGTCTTCTTGCTGAAAAGGGAAGGTCGAGGGTGCTTGAACGGTCCCGCGCGATGGACGAGGAACGACTGGTGTAGGTCCCATCCACGAGGTCGTGTGGGATGAGCCGAGTGTACGAGCCATTCGGAGCGATGAGAGGCTCGCTGGGCATTGGATCGATGGACAAGAAGTTGGCGACGCGGACGGGGAGGGTAACATGGAGGTCGGGGCTGAGGACACCGACATCGACGGACACTCGAATCGAGTACTCGACTTCGATGAACCGAGATCGAGAAACAGATAGCGCGTCGTGCTGCAAATGTGCGTCTTTCGTAAGAACGCTCATGTAAATAGAGGCGATCGCTTACTGGTATCAGCAGGTGATGAGCAAATTGAGCCTCTTGGAGGGCCGGAATACCCCACCACCAACCTTCAGCACTAGCATGTCCCTTCGTGACCGGTTGCGCGCGCTCCAGCACCGACAACGCAACTACTTTGTGAGTAGTGGTTCGCTGCGAACAGTCAGGACCGACGGTGTTCCCGGGGCTGAGGTCGGGGCGGGGTCTAAACGTCGTAGTCGTCCGCACCAGTGTGAACGTCGCAGTCTTGATAGACTTCTTGGAATCATTGATCACCCAAACGCGTATGCTGCACTGCTGTCCTGCGACCCAAGTCATACGGTGGAGGGCCGCTGTGAGGCGGATCTCTCCGCCATTACCCAGGTTCTTCTTGGCAGCCGCTTGCACAGGTCGCGGGGCACTTGCGAGGGCAACTGAAGGTCCAGTCGCGGCCAGATCTGGCATTCACGATAGAAGTGGGAAATGGACCGTTTCCCCGTGGATGCGTCTTTCACTTTGATGGAGCTATGTGACCCTGTGAGTGAGAGCCCTTCTCGCGCGAAGTAAAACTGTAGATGGCTTACATCATGGTTATGTACCGTATCCCTAGCCCAGACTGAAGGACAGGGGCGCCTTTCGGCTTCCCGAAGAGGTCGTCTGCAGAGAGCATCATGGCGAACGGGATGACGTATACCCCTTCCATTGCACGTGAATAGCCCTCAGAGTCTGCGTCGGATGTGAAGATACGAGAGTAGGCGTCCGTTATAGAAGATAAGAGGCTGGAGCGTTGGTAGAAGGTGTAGTGGTCTCCAGAGTTCGACAAACACTCGAAGCCGAGGACCCGGACTTTGCCCTCGGCAAGGAGCACAGGCGATTCTGTCTTGTGCCGCCGGCGGACCCGGATCTTGACGCTGCCGCGCATATAGCCACCTTCAACGCAACGGTCGCTTTCCAGCGCGATGTCCACCTCCACGCGGGCTCGTGGTTTGGCTTGTTCAAGCGAGACGGTGTGTATCTTGCGGCCCTCCTTGTCTAGAGTGGGAGTATGTATAGAAGACACGATGGCGCCAGGTTTAAGTCTTGAGCTTGAGTTTCCTAGCAACGATTTGAGCTCGGAGGCATTGCGCGAAGGCGAAGCATCGAAAGTCAAGAGGGAATCGTGTCGGCTGAAGGCACTATCGGTGGGGTTTCGCTGCGGAACGACTCCTCCCGGCGCAGGAGCAATTATTGCATTCAAAACTGTATTCAATGCATCGTGAGCATGAGTTGATGCGGCACTCGGAAGGGGGATCACTTACCTGGTCGAGAATCATGACCTGACGAGATGGCCCCATTTGAGTCCGGACCCGGAACGGGAGTATACGAGGCAGTAAGCGTATCGATGAATCCTCCTGGACAGGACTGCGAGCCAGACGAGGGGTTGCCTTGGTCCATGACGGCAGAGAGAGGTCACAAACCAAGACCGTGGCTTGCGGTCAGGCATGCCTGGGGCAAACTGGGGAGGCTGACATGGTGCCGAAGGCGGGACAGGCGCTTGTGTGACAAGCACCAGTTTCATCTTGAAAGTTGCGTCTTCAAATCACCCTGAGCAGTGTCTCGTTCATGGCCTTGGACGCGTGGTTGGCGTCGAGCTCCAAGAGCAGTCACAAGACGCCCGTGCCCACACGCCTCGTCCCGTCCCCGACGGCGCTCTCCTCCTTGGACGCTGCCTCCATCTTCGAATCTCGTAGCTTTCGGCTCAGAGCCTACCAAGACCTCTTGAACACGATGCTAGTGATATATGTATTGATACAGACTTCGTATGCTCAACAAATACCCTCACAGCTTCTGTTGCTACTGTGTGGCTCGGCAATCCGCGCTGCACATGTCCGCAAACGTCGCCAGGTCGCACAGCAATCAGACGAACAGAGCCAGACATAAAGATGGCTCAGAACGCAAGCCCGTATTCAAGAGCGTCGTAGGCAACCCCTTTCACGTGTCATGGTGACGTGTTGGACCACATTTACACTCGGGCACACTGCTAACCTGACTGCGCAGGCCATCAGTACCAGTAAACGTGCAAAACTCCATCCTCGCAGCGATGATGAACATACTTGAGGGAGTATCTGTCTACTATCTCAGCAGAGAACAATCTAGAAAGAAGAAAAAGCGAAGCCTGTTGACGCAGGGCGATCGCGTCACCAAGAAAGATAACGCTGCTTCTACGGAGGTCGACTCTACTCATTCCATTGATAAACCACAACCTCCCCCCATCCTGAGCTCCATGGCCATCGGTATCAATGAAGTCACGCGACGGTTAGAGAGCATATCGCGCTCGCATCGGAGCACCCTTCGTGCCAAGGGAAAGGAGATCTTGCCGGAGCCCACAGACATTCCCTCGAGCCATTCTCAGATCGTCCTCGCTTGCCGTGCGGATATTGATCCCCCACTACTCATTGCTCACCTGCCAAATCTCGTCGCGGCCTGCAATTCCACGAGAAGACCTTCGGACCCCAACGCCGAAGGCCCGCAGGGGACATGGCTCGTTACCATGTCAAAGGGCAGTGAAGGCATTCTCGCAGAGGCTATGGGACTGAGGCGTGTCTCCGTTCTTCTCCTCGAGGTCAGTCTATCTGTACGTTCTCTTGTAGATCTGAACTAACTTTCGTGTCGTCAGAGTTCAGCCCCGCAGTTCTCAGCAGTATGGTCATTGCTCCAGAACATACCCCTACTCACCGCGCCCTGGCTTTCTGTTCCGACGCTTGCGGATCCACTTCGATTGGTGCCAACGCATATTAAACAACTACGAACGAGCGCCCCGAAGGATATGAAGGCAGCCAAAGAGCGTCGCTCCGAGGAGCGCAGAGGAGTGAAAGAGAGGGGACGACGGTCAAAAAGCACCACTGCGGACAAGGCAGGTCGGAGGGCGATAGTTCGGCATTTAGTGGAGGAAAGTGGCTAGCGCTAGGAAAAAGGTTAGGAAGATGGCTTGAAGTCTGATGAATCGCTGTTGTACCTGGTCTGAAATGTCGATGCATGACTTGACTTGTGAGCGAGGCTGCCGGCCCTGCGCAGCGCAGCTTCGGTCAGTGGTATTGAGGCAGAGGTATGGTTGTGGGCAGTGGCTCTGGATGGGAACTGCCATTGACCCGGGTCTGCGCGCGATGATCAATCAAAGGCATGAGATCTAAATTAGAACCGCGTCTTCGCGCCCAGTACCGCCACGATAGGCCTTCTGGGCAAAAGCCGTTCGCAAGCTCTAAAGCCGCCTATCCCACCAGTTTCCGTTTACTACCTACAACCTGTCTGCCAGGGTATGTCTGCTTTCGGCCCATAGATGAAGGACCTCCCTGATTGTCTAACAGAGCGTGCCATGTTTATCGCCATCATTGGTACCCGATGCTCTGGCAAGAGTACGGTACAAGACTACCTCGTCAAGTACAAGGAGTTTCGGCCAGTGAAGATCCTTCAGGGCACGTCTGAACATGTCGGCACAATTCTCTAGGCGGTGGCGCACGTGTTTTCTCACCGCTCAAATTTGTTGTAGGAGCGCAAAGAGGCGAGCTCAGCTCGGACTCAGACTCCTTCACGTTGCCGATCGGCTCTATAAAGCCCGCCGCCACGTTCGTGGACGACGATCTAGACAATCTGTCTTTCACGGACTCAGTCACCTACAACCCCAACCGCGTGTCGTTCCTGACGATGACCTCCCCGGTCTCATCCTGCCTCCCTTCTCCAGCTCCTTTCCAGTCCAGTCAAAACCAGCCCTTGCTGTTTGGCTCGGCCGCAGAACTGCTGGCCCATGTCACCAAGAACTGGCGTACGAACTTCGTGACGATTGATCTTATTACTCGACAGGTTCTCGAGGACTTCAGGACGCGGCCTTTTGTCCTCGTTGTAGGAGTGGATGCTCCGCTTCTTACTCGATTTCGCCGGTGTTCGGACTGGTAAGATTCTCGTCGCGTGTATGTCTTCCCCGACGCTCATGGCAAGCTGACAGGTCAATGGACGGCTTCTCGCTGGAAGAATTCATCAGGCAACACGACACCTTCTACTTTGGATCGGGCACCTCAGGCGAAAGCACTCCAGGTCACACACGCACCGATTTCGGAGGCCAGGACCAGCATGAATCCTTCAAGAGTATCAGCGAACTGGCGAATCTACATGTGGTCAACGCGTTCGAAAGCATCACGGCGTTCTACGAGCACCTCGAAGAGACCAATCTTGTCGACCCAGAGAGACTTCGTCCAGGCTGGGACACCTATTTCATGCAACTCGCCTCCCTCGCTTCTCAACGGTCGAACTGCATGAAAAGGCGCGTCGGTGCAATCTTAGTCCGCAATAAGCGAGTTGTTTCTACAGGGTTAGCCTTCGAGAGCCTTAACGTCGATGATGAGTGAGGCTGACGTCTTGCGGTGGCTTAGATACAACGGAACTCCTCGGGGGCTCACTAACTGCAATGAGGGAGGATGCGTGCGGTGCAACAGCGCGAGCGAATCATCAGACGAGTGCTTGTGTCTGCACGCGGAGGAAAATGCGCTGCTGGAAGCAGGAAGGGAGAGGGTCGGTGATGGTTCCGTCCTCTACTGCAATACGTGCGTTGAGCGTCTTTTAAGCTGATAGGATCGATTCTGACGAACCCTGCGTTCTTTAGCTGCCCTTGCTTGAAGTGCACCATCAAAATCATACAAACGGGCGTTAAGGAGGTTGTTTACAATCTCAGTTACAAAGTGTACGTGGGTTCCTTTTCGAATCTATCCCCTCGCTGATAATCTAAAAGCGACGATGCTTCGGCGGCACAGTTCTCCGAAGCAGGAGTTGTCCTTCGACGGCACGCAATGCGCGCCTGATCATATCATTGTTAGCATCTTTGCGTATCACGCCTTTGTAAAACACATACCCGAGCGTTCAGCAACTCACTCTCCCTCTAGTATCATCTTTACGTTGCGTTCTACGTTCCACTTCGGCTCCCGCAAGAAAGCAACCGATCCTTCTATCCACCCGACCGTCGCTGCCAGTCCCAACCACACCGCATCCTCGTTGTTCTCGCTGAGGACTTTGTACAAGCCCCTCGCGGCGGTCTGAAGTTCTTCGTGCGCATCGCTCCTCAGGAACCTCCGGAAGAGCACGATGATCTCCCAGCACGCTGCGTCCTGGGTGTCCACGCCTCGTACCGCCGCAGCCATCGTCGAGATGAGCGCACGATAGAGTCTGTGCGAGTGAGTGTACGCCGACTCGGTCCCGACCCCGGCACCACCCGCGCGCCGCGCGAGCGCGCTCGACGCATCGGCGCGGCAGAGGCGGTCCAACATCGTGCGGAAGCGCGGCCAGACGTCGTCCCAGATCCGGCGGCTCATGAAGTTCCCGACGTGCGTGGAGAGCGCTTCGATGAGTACGGCTGCGGCGCTGGTGACGAACGTCTCGGCATCGTCCAGGCGGTTGAGGATGAACGGCCAGGCCTTGTGGATGGAGGGGAGGAGGGCGGACTCCGGGAGGACGGGAACAGCGCGGGCGAGGAGCAAGAGGATACGGGCGCGAATGGTCGGTGAGCTGTGAGTGAGGAAGTACATGGAGCGGGAGACGATTTGAGTTGTCAACAATTGGCTTGGGGTCGGAGGGATCTCCGCCAATGGAGGCTGTGCGGTCGACTCGACTTCTTCACCGTGGTCTCGATGAATTTGTTTATCTTTGGATGGGGAAGGGTCTGCAATTGGTTTATCGGCGTCGAGCGAAGGAGCTGGCTCTGCATGGCGTTGGACTAGCCATTCCTCGAAATTTTGAGATAGTCAATATTCGTCGCGGGCTTCGTAGCAGTACGGAACGATGCGCGAGCCACTTGGTGTTCTTCGTCTTCCTCGATGGCCTTGACGACTTCTCCCAGGACCTCAACAAGACCGTCGACGACCAACTCATATCCATGGTATTCGTCAAGGCGATCGAAACATTCCTCCACCACGTCTCCGGCCTTTAGGACAACATCGCGACCAACCAAGCGAACTAAGACTGCCAGCACCTTAGTGGCGTCGATGTCGAGCCACCTGCGCGACAAGTGGCGCGACACGGAATCAAGAGCGTAGTCGAAATTCGATAGTAGCAGATTGGCAGGGGTGGCATAAGAGGTGACGTTGGTGACGAACGACAGAGCAGCCAGTCCAGAGGTCGAGATAAAAGAGTTGTCCGATACGATGCCATGTAGGATGGGGTATAGCGCCTGTAGCAATAGCGGCGGGAAACGACTTTCCAATATGCCAGAGGTAATGGATAAGAGTTGCAGCGATAAGCCACGGTGTATAAATGGTTGGATGGCGGTGTGAGACGAGGTTGAAGACAACTTCGGCTCGCTTGTGAGACACCCCGCACTTGGACGAGCCCGTGGACGTGCTCCACCAATACGTTGTCTTCAGGGGGCTGGTCCTTAGGTTCCGCATCGCGTACTTGGGAGTCTTCATCGATCCATTCGTCCCAGTCTTCCGCTAGTTGCTTTGCAATATCCCGTGAGATTTTTTCCAAACGACGGCTGCGAAGTATGGGCACTGATTCGTCGGCAGGGCTGCTCAACGAAACGTGTCCGACTCCTTCGAGAAGACGACAGGCACACCACATCGCCGCTGCGGACCTCTTCCCTCGTCCGGCCCTACCCACGTCCAGGAACCACTCCAGCGCAAAAAGGCACCCGTCTCCTCCTCCTTCACCAAGCGAGCGCAGCATTCGTTCGAGGGCCTCTCGTGCGGAACGGGAACCAAGGTGTCGCAATTTGAGTTCTGGAAACGGGACAACGCGCGGCGCGGAGGAGTCGTTCTCGAGTAAAAGTTGCGTGGCCGATGTCGGAGCAATGGTGATGGAAGGGATGTCGAATTCCATATTTGAAAGGAGACTCCAACCCCATTTCTCGACGCCACCGTTAGGACCGAGAAGCTGGCCTACTCCCACCGCTATGGAGTGTATTCCTGGGACCGTGGCGCTCGGAGATGCCAGCTGACATACAGATTGAAGTACTTCAGCAGCGTGCTCCACCTTAGCGTCCGCATGAGAGACAAGAAGTCGAGGGAGGGATGTGAGATAATTGTGCGAGATGTGGAGGAGGGCTTGGAGGAGCCTGTGCCGAGAAGTCGATGTAGTTGTAAGGAGGTGTCTGAGAGATGCATCAGCTTGAGCGGAGACACGCTCAAAAGTTGATATCCTGAGCGAAAGTAGAAACGATAGGAGGAGGGGCCGTGATTGGGGTAGCGTGAGTGTAGTGTTTGATAGCACGGCGACAGAGAAGACGGCAAGACCGTTGAGAGCAGAGGGATTCTGATGCTTGATGAGAGGGGCGAGACTGTTAAGCGCAATGTGTAGCTGTGAGGCGGTTCCGCGTAGCCAGGTTTCAGTGCGTGGGGTCGAATAAGGAGTGTTTGGAAGAGCGTGCTGATTCTCGCGTTGTGCGCCTAGACCTGTCAGATCTTCAAGATTGTCGTACGCTCGAATGGCCCCTTCACGGATGCATGCTGCGTCGGAGATTGCTCGTATGATGGCGTGTTGCATAACGAAGAGAGCGGCTGCGACCACATCTCCGTTGGCCCATCCTTTCCCCGATCCAGAACCCAGCGCGACCTTCGACAAGGTGCTGATTGTTCCAGGGAGGACGGAGGGTACGAAGCCGTCAGGGAGGTAATCTTCAACGACCGTGGCGAGGACCTTCAAAGATGTCCGCTGCAGTGGTGGATGGGCGGATTCGGCTGCGACCATGAGCGAATTCAACGATTGTCCTAAAACTGGCAAAAATTTGAGGGATTGCACATGTGATCGAATCGCCTCCAGCTTCTGGAGATCACCATCAGGTTGACCTCGAGCCAGACTGTTTGCATCGATGGTACGTCTTCGAAGCAGTGTCCAAAGACAGGCAGCGGCAGCTGTCTTCGTCTCGTCGTCCCTGTCCCGCCCTTTCCCCTTGCGGTCAATTCCACCAAGGATAGCGCTGCACCACATGAAGAGTTGCTCCCAGACTATCATTTCCATATTTAACCACCAAACATCGCAGATATCGGCCAAGATGGACAGAAGGATCTCCATGGTGCGATCGGGTATGGATGAGGGATCATTTCGACGTAAGATTGAGGAAATAGGGAAGAAGACATATGAGATGGTTGCGGGAGCGAACACATGGCCTTCTTGTTTGAGCAAGACAATCGTATCGCGCAAATTTGATAAAAGTTGATTGGTGGTAGGAATGGAGGCTGAGGAGAGGAGGGAGTTGGCTAACAGAGGGACACAGGTGACCTTGAGCTATGGGCGCAGGAATTGATGAGGACAGATCACCGCAAAAGGTGCACTAGACATACTCGCTGGAAAGCACTCTGGGTTTTCTCGACGTTTTCCATGGCAAGGAAGCAAGTGAGGACGGCAGGATGAGGGTAGTGATGAAAGGATGGCGGTGCACAAGAGCTCGCAAGTGCTCACGGCAGCGTCACCAGTGACAATGGTCATGTGAATGTGACCGACGCGTCAAGAATTTGTCTCCATCGGACTATGTCCTCGCTTTTCGGTCGTCCCACTTCGCTCACTCTCTCGTCCTCCTGCTCCCAGTCTCCATGCGCGCTCTCTAGTCGTGTAGCATACCCATCCTCCTAATCTGGTCTTCATTCGCCTTCGTGCGTCGGCATCACTCCGCCAACAAGCTATGCCCAGAATTCTCTTGATTGACTCGTACGACTCCTTCACCCACAAGTACGTGTATGTGCAATTATGGATTCAGAACAGTTACGAATATATCTTCAGCCTTGCAGCCTTGTGCAAACGCGCCATTCCTGGTTCATTCGTCCACATCATCAAGAACGATGAACTATCTCCCTTGACTCTTCTCCCCCTTCTAAGTCACTTCGATGCTGTCATCGTCGGCCCCGGGCCAGGCTCCCCAGACAACCTCGCAGACGTGGGGGTTCTCAAGGCACTGTGGCATCTATCCGATGAACACCTCCTACCTGTTTTCGGTGTTTGTCTTGGCCTTCAAAGTCTCGCTTTCGAATATGGCGGCGAGGTCCGCCGTCTCCGTGTCGTAAAGCATGGCCAAATTTCTACGATCCAGCACTTCAACACCTCCATCTTCCAGGACGCCGGCGAAGTCTGTGCGGTGCGCTATCATTCCCTCCACATCGTCCTTTCGGGGAGCGAAGATTTGGTTCCACTCGCTTGGGCGGACGATGGCGAAGAGAATGGCAAGGTCCTCATGGCTGTCAAGCACGTACACAAGCCTTTCTACGCTGTTCAATATCACCCGGAATCGGTCAAGCGGAAGCCGGTGGTGAACTTGTTCTCCGCAACTTCTGGGAGCTGGCAAAGGACTGGTCCTCTCGGCATGCAAGATCCGTCCGTCCCTGGGACTTTCAAGCAGAGACCTCCCTCGGACCGTCATGGCCACGCATCCTCCCTCGATCCAACTCGCCTCCGGCGACACCTGCAACAGTCGCCCAACAAACTTTGCGCGGATTGCCATTGGATCTCGTTACCATTTGCGATATGCTGGGCGTGGACGATGAGAACGCCAACTTCGTGGTGTTGGATTCAGCCGCCGCACCCGGTCGCTTCTCGATTATTGGGTGTTTGTCACCTCAGTCACCCCGTATCACCCATTCAATTAGCGCTCCCTTCGTTCAAGTTCGGCGAGGAACTGTTGTGGATCGAGAAGACCTCGAGGATCGCGATATCTGGTCATGGCTCAATCAATTCATGCAACGCAGAAAAGCCGTTGGTGGCATACCTGAAGTACCTTTTTGGGGAGGTCTCGTTGGTTATCTCAGCTACGAACTTGGGGTGTGCGGTCTCACATCTCTCAAGTCATACGAGTCATCCGTCAATCGTCATCCCGATATGAACCTAGTTTTCGTCGAACGGAGTATCGTGGTGGATACCCATTCCGGAGCGATCCATGTTCAGTCTATCGCTCCTTCTGACCGCCAATGGCTAGATAGTATGGTCGTCAGGCTCAAGCATCTTCCAGCCGCGACTTTGGTCAATCCGCAAGCTCCACCCGAAGCTCGTACTCCACGCGCCACATCATCGACGACTACTGTTCATTTCCCCGACCGCCAGTCATATATATCGAAGATCGAGGCAGCACAGGAGCAGCTCTTCGCGGGCGAGTCCTATGAACTATGTGTCACTGCCCCCACACACATTACTATTCCGAAACCGCCCTCGGCCCATGAATCCTCCTCTTCGTGGGCTCGATACAAGACGCTTCGCTCCCGCAACCCCGCACCCCATTCCGCGTACATACGTCTACACCCATCGACTCTACTTTCCTCGTCTCCCGAACGATTCCTCTCTTACGGTCGTCCTCCCTACGGCCTTTGCCAACTTAGGCCCATCAAAGGCACGGTCCGGAAGGCCCCGGGGATCACCCGCTCGGTCGCCGAAGAGATGCTTTCCGGGAGCATCAAAGAGGTCGCCGAGAATCTTATGATCGTAGATCTTATACGTCACGATCTCCATGGCGCGGTTGGCGAAGACGTGGAGGTCAAGCAGTTCTGCGTCGTGGAGGAGTACGAGACTGTCTGGCAGCTCGTGAGCGTTATTGAAGGTTGCCCTTCATCTCCCTCTCGGGATGGTTCGGAGTTGGGATTGTCAGTCCTACAGAGCTGTCTACCTCCTGGTATGGTTCCTCGCCTATGTTCTATGCGTGTTATACTCATGTTCTGGATACAGGCAGCATGACGGGTGCGCCCAAGAAACGTAGCGTGGAGATTCTCCAGCACCTGGAAGGCCGGGAACGCGGGATCTACTCCGGAGTCCTGGGTTACGCCGACGTCGGTGGTGGCGGAGACTGGGCTGTCACCATCCGGAGTTGCTTCAAGTACGACGATCTATCTCAGAGGAGCACCGACCCTACCCCTACCCCCTTATCGGATGCAACGAATAATCCAACCCCGCTCAATGGTCTCGCCCTCAAGCTGTCCGCATGCTCGTCAACAAGGACCCACGCCGATTCAACACTCGGCATTGATCCCCTCTGCCACGACGTGTCTACAGAAACATGGACCTTGGGTGCCGGAGGCGCCATCACGGCGTTGTCCGAGCCCGTCGCTGAATGGGACGAGATGCTCACGAAGGTACAGAGTGTCCTTCGAGCATTCGATGTTACAGATTGCTATTAATATAACAATGTCTTTTGTACTTGCGACACTGTAGAGAAGTGTCACTGTAATTACTGCCCTCTCATCATCGGCTTCATCATGCCGATATACCATGCTGTATCATAGAACGGGTTCAACTCCCACTGTGTACCTCTACGTACAACCTTGCTGTAGCCAATCGCATGCATTTACCGTGCCTTCTTCATCAGGTGCAAAATTTCTCTCTGATCGCACTAATACAACGGTTTTGAATATGAAAGTACATGCATACTTGCTTCGCTTTACATTGCTCGGAAATCTGTGATACACTACGTACGAAGGCGCCGCATGTTATGCCTACCACAGGGTTCCACCCTCAAGGGCAATAAACGAGGATCCAAAAAACAAAACAAAAAATTACCCGGACATACTGCATTGTGACAACATCAATATCGCGTCACTGGCCCTCAATGATGTGATTTACTTATTGTGGTCTCAGGCCATGAGAGCAATGTGGCGAAGCTCGCTAGAGGTCAACTTGTTAGAATATACAGTTGGCGCCCCTGAACGAGACATACTTTTGAACCTGTTGACCAACTTTCATGGGCTCGTACGCGGTTTCCTCATCGAGATCCACCTTCCCAAGGTTGATGGTGTCGGCCCTGAGCTGACGAGCCCGAGTCTGGAGCTCAGACATGGGAGCGAGGTCGAAGTCGGACGATAGGTGCCAGAAGAATGTCGATGAGATGCGAATGAGCGGCCGTGTGGGGAACTCGATCTTGCGTCTTTCAATGGCCTAAGAGTATCAAATCAGCAAAGGTGTGTCATCCTCGGGGGGTGGTAGAAATGAATCACCTGAAGGGTGGCATCGTTGACGACTACCTCGTGGAAGCCAGCCTTGATCAGTCCTCCGCCGAGGTGCTCAAGCTGTTTACCGGCCTGGACCAGAAGATACCTCCCAGAAAGTGGAAACTTGACCGCGATACGCTTGCCGCTGTTCCGTGCCCAGATGTTGAGGCCCGGGTAGCGAGAACGGCCGTGGATGGTGAGGAAGTTCAAGTCTGTGTGGAAACCTGCGAGAATGGTGTCCTTCGCGCCGTACTTAACAAGGTCGGACGCAGTCGGCGCAAGAAGATGGGGTCTGAGGAATCAAAGTCCTAAGCCATTGCAAAAAAGAAAAGCCGACTGGACATACCCATATTTGCCTGCATCGCTGAAAGCTGTACGAGGTAAGCCGAGACCAACCGCAGCCATCTCGGCAAGGTCGTTCACGCTGTCTGCAGGGGTGAGCACGACTCGCGCCAGGGCATTTTGAGCCTTCTACTCACGCTATCTTCATAGAGGTCCCCCATTTCTCCATGGCGAGAGTCCACCGATCGCGGATTCCGTCAGACTCAGGGATCACGTTGGGGGCGTTAAGCCCTGGATATTTGGTCTCGTAAGGCGGTACCTCGCTCATTTTCCAAAAGAAACGGCATTTGGGGTCAGGCGAATGGGCGGTGATGTCCAATGGACGTTCTGCAGGGTCAAGACGCTCAATAACCTTGAGACAAGGTTCGTCTACCGCGCACTTCGGTTTCTCGGTATTCTCAAGGGTTACACCGACCTACGAGAGGAGATCAATCATCGGGTTGTCGCACGCCAGGAGAAGGGACTTACCTGGTAGCCTAGCTCGGGACGCTCGTCCCTCTTCAGCAGGTCCTCCGGCTGCGCGAAATAGTCCTCGATCAAGTCGAGAAAAGTGGAGTTGTCCTCCTCTGACACCCGAGAATCATGCACGAGAAGGGCGCCGTAGGCGATAAGCGCATCCGCAGCCTGTGTGTTGCAGTCAGACCGAGCACTGGTGCTCTCGAGGACGGTGGCGCAGGGCACACCTTCTTGCACTCGTTGGTCGCTCCTGGCGACTCCGGCGTGGCAAGGAAGACGTCGAGGTCGACGATGGGGAGAATGACGTCGGACATGGCGGAAGAGGCGGGGCAAGACGCCTTGGCCGGCAGCCCAGCGCAGTCTGCGCGACTCATCGTCTTTCGGCCCGATCGGCAAAGTAAAGCAATCGCGACGCACGTGACCGCTCATAGATGCGAGGACATGGGCGCCTGCGCCTTGACTAACCTTCTGGTCCGCCTGGCACACGCCGCGTTCCTGCGCCCCCTCCTTCGCCACAGACTACGACCCCTGACCCTACCACACCATGATCAAGGTATTCTCACCTCTTTCTGGACATTGGCGGCGTTACTGACCGAGTCAGATATGGAGCATGAAGAAGAACGAGGACCAGGCGGCGAAGAAGAAACCCAAGACTAGTGCCGCTGAGATTCGTGTGCAGAAAGGTGCGCACACACATGCCTCATCCGCAAGCATATCGACGTATATGCGCCTTCGCGGTCTTCTAGACATCACTGAGTTAGATCTGCCCTCAACCATGGAGACCAAGTTTGAGAACCCGACTGATCTCCTGAACTTCACCCTTTACATTCGTCCCGATGATGGTGGGTTTCTTCACTCGTCAAGCGATTGTAGGCGGGTTTTCATATCCTGTGATTAGGCATGTATCAGGGTGGTACCTTCGAGTTTTCCTTCCAGATCAACGCCAACTACCCCCATGAGCCACCAAAGGTCAAGTGCGTGAAGAAGGTACGTGTCCCCCCCACTCATTGTCACTCGAAAGCGCGAACTCATGTCCGTTGTTGAAGATTTACCATCCAAACGTTGATCTTGAGGGCAACGTGTGCTTGAACATCCTCCGAGAAGACTGGAAGCCAGTGCTCAACCTGAACGCCGTGATGGTCGGTCTTCAGTACCTATTCCTTGAACCCAACGCGGATGACCCTTTGAACAAGGGTAAGGGAGCACAATTCTATACATGAGTTTGTGCTTTGTTGCTAATTCTACGCCACCGACAGAGGCCGCAGAGGAGCTCAAGCGCAACCGTGAACAGTTTCTGCACAACGTGAAGACGTCGATGCGCGGAGGTTCCGTCAAAGGCGAGCGATACGACAAGGTCACGACAGAGAAGTAACATGTCGATCGCTTCTGCGGCGTTGTGGGGAGTGAGTTGACTTGGGCGAGACATATCCTTCTGTGGCGTGTTGAGAACGTCTGATGTAGATTAGATGTGTAATATCTGCTGTCCGAATATTTTTCCTTGTGTCTGTCGATCTCAGCCATGGTTTGTGGCGCATATCTGAGGCTACCTATTCGCCGATATCTGTGTATTAATTGAAGCCACTGATGGCGTTGAAAAGAGGTCACGTGCTCGGTCCGAGGCGAGTGGCAGCCGCTCAGATCTCAGAATAGCTTCTTCTCGCCCTCGTCTCTCATCCTCTTATTTGCCGAAAATCACTACACTACCGACGCGCTGCTTATTCTGCGTCCCTGAGAACCGCCTCATCTACATCCGATTGACTGTTCTAACATGAGCTCCACCGCAAAACTCACGAAGAAGCAAAAGAAGGCGTTGGCCTTCCGCGAGCGCAAGGGCAAGGGCAAAGCCAAATCCTTCGACGACCTCGACGATGTTCCCGTTGCAGAGGATCAAGATCTTGCCGAAGCTGAAGCCGATGAACAAGAGCTGCTGTGGAGGCCCCGACAGCGAGGAAGAGCGGTGCGAAGCAAAGTGGGGGCGAGACTCAAGCAACTGCGAGCGATGCTCACAGCACCAAGAAGCGGAAACGGGAGACAGACGGACCGGACCCCCAGATGGATGTGGTACGGGAAGGGGCGGCGACAGAAGAACGCCCGAAAGCGAAAAAGGCACGGAAAGTGTAGGAGAGAGCGGAGAGGAGGCGGGAGGGGAAGCAGGGAAGAAGTCGAAGGCGAAACCGGCGCAACGATACATCTTGTTTGTCGGTATGTCTTTGGAGTGTCTATTTAACTCCCCGGTTATTCTCAATGCCGTTGCAGGAAATCTCAAGTACGCAACCACCAAGGAGGCCGTTGAAGCGCATTTTTCGAAATGTGGTGAGTCCGACTCTCGCCTTCGTGGCTCATGTACTCGCCCTCATGCTCTGTCAGATCCCCCGCCGTCGGTGCGACTCATGACTCCGAAACTCACGGAAGGCTCGAAAGTGAAGGCGAAGTCTAAGGGTTTCGCTTTCGTCGAGTTCTCCCACCGGAACGCTTTACAGCAAGGACTGAAGATGCACCAATCTGAACTTGAGGGGCGAAAAATCAATGTGGAGCTCACGGCTGGTGGTGGAGGCAAGAGCGAGCAACGAATCGAGAAGGTGAAGCAGCGCAACAAAGAGCTGCACGAGCAAAGGGTATGTTCGCTCTTCGATACGCTGTGCGAAATACTCACTAGTGAACAGAAAAATATGGTCATGAAGAGAAACAATGCAGGGAAGAGCCAACAACACGACGACCAGGACGAAGACGTTCAGATGGAACGTCCACAGCGGTACTCGACAACGTCAGGCGTGGACCAGGTCCCACTGAAGAAGCGTACATGGTCGATTCCTGAGAACGAGGACGAAGCTGCGCCAGGGAAGAAGAGGGGGAGCAAAAAGAGGAAGAAACGTCTTGCTAAACCTTTGGGTACGGGTGTCAACGCCATTCCAGTTGGGTAGATGTCCCCTGCAATCAAGCGCTTCTATTCCAAAGACATGCATAGAACATGATGGAGGGGTTAAAACGCTCTATCCTAGAAGTCCGTGGCCTAAGTATCTGATGGTACGCACAGCGCGGTCCGGTCGAAATCATGAGACCAAGATGAAGACCAGGAACTACGTGCAAGGAGTCAGTAACGATCACAAGAATGTAACGCGAGACTCTTACAAAGACAATGAGGACACCGAACACCTTCAGCATGAGCCATCGGTTACTAGAAATGCTCGCGTAGTACTTGAGGAGCTCGCGCTGGGCACCGCTGACATTGGACGCAATATCAACGGTGTCTGCGTCAATCCGCTGAACGGTTTCTCGCTGTTCGGCGACCATTTGGGCCAACTGTGTGAAGATCTGGCCGAGCTCCGCAATAGTCGACTCAATGGATTCGATCGCATTAGACCGCGTCTGAATGTAGCTGTCCTGTGCGCGAGTGTCAGCCTCATTCCCTGGCGGTCTGACACCACATACCTGTTGCTCCACAAGTTGCATCTGCATGAACGCGTCGCCGTTCTGGGCGCCGGTCCCCTCCTCTGCCGCATCGAGATCAAGAGCAAGGATGTCCCCGTTCTGCGGAGTAGCGCGACCCTTGCCCTTGGCGTCGAAACGTGGCGCAGCAAAGCTGCTCCCGTCGCCCATAGGGTCTTGGCGTTGGGAGTTGCCGTATAGAAGCGAGCCTGGAAAGACTCGTGATAAGTAGCGAACATGGCATGGAGCTAGCGCACTGACTAGTTGGGGCTTGGTTGGCTGCGGCAGACGTGGAATGCATGAACTGTTCTGTTCTGTCCTTGGACTCTTTCATATTCTACAGGAAATGGCTTAAGTCGACGGGTGATTGATACGCGGCATCGCAACGTACCTGCGTTCGAATCTCAAGGACGTCCTTGAAAGTCATGCTGGTGTCCGCAAGCTTGCTTTGCAGCAACATGACGACATTGTGGTTGTGCTCCTCAAGTTGTTTGCCCTCCGGAGACTTGGAGCCCTGAGCTTTGCGCTCCTTCACGTAGGCCTGTAGTTGAGCAATTTGCTTGTTGATACCGGCAATGTCTTGTTTGATGATGTAAGTGAGTTCCTGCGGAGGACGAGGTTTATGGGCACACAAGACGGGGACGAGGGACTGGAATAACGTACGCTGATCTCCACTGGTCTGTCATCAAACAAAGTTTTACGCTTCGCCACTGTGCAGACAATGAGAGAAAGTGTGACAGCCTAAGAGTAGTACTCACGCTGGGCCAGTTTCCCCAGTTTCAACGTCGTGCTGTTGATGTCTTTCCCAATGGCTGAAGCCATCCTCGTGAACTCCGACTTTCTGCTTCCCGCCTTGCTCTGCTGCAGCAACCGCTGCTTCTGCTCCGCTCCTCTCGAGGGAAAGGAGGAGCGGGACCGGATGGACTCAACGCAGGTCCGGAACTCGTTGGTGCGGTCTTGGACCGGCATGGGGACTCAGAAAATAAGGATACGAGGTATAGAGGGTACGAGACAGCAAAAAGCGACAAGGAAAAGAGGTAGCGCAGATTAGAAGGACGACAACTTGGCGTGTAGAGGAGGCTAGGGATACCCAGTGCTGTGTCTGGCGAGCGAACCGAGCCACGACTTCCCACGTGTGCCTCCAGGTCCGTCCGCGCCGACGCCCCGGCCCCGTCCCGCCAGAGTCCGCCTCCCTCTCGTGAACTTAGCCAGACTTAGCCTCAGGCTTCCTCGAGACATCCTGCATTCGTCCACCGCACATACCTACTGCGCTCTGCGTTCTGTGCGGGCGCGAGCACCGTGGGACTCACGCTCGCCAACGTATTGGCTAACCGAGGGCACGTCGAAGGGGAGATCTAATTTCTTCCCTTCTGGGCCTCTGCCACCCAACTTCCTAAACGCCTCACTCGCGTACTTCCGTATGCTCTTCGCTATCCGTCTATCTCTCCCCACCAGGTCGTTTGTCCGCTCCGTCTCCCTTCTAAAAGTCTGCACACGCACAAAGACTCGTCTTGTTCATTCGAACGGCTTCACAATGCCCCCCGTTCAGGCCTGCGACAGATCAAAAGTGCTCGTCTTCGGAGCAGGGAACTTTGGTAGCTGTCTTGCAGACCATCTAGGCGATTCCTTGCACAATGTCTTCATGTGGTCACGCTCCGCGGATGTCGTCTCCCACTTCAACCAATACCATCGCAACTCTGAGGTCCTCCAAGACCACGTCTTTGCGGAGTCTATCACTGCTGTTGGACCGGAGTTTCCGTCGGCGGAGCTGATCCAAGACATGGATGTTCTTCTGTTCGCTATTCCGACAGAAGGTGTGAGGTGAGGGTTCTTCAATGTCGTCATGGGTTCTTGTCTTGACGACCTCCGCCGTGAAGAGCAACTCTTACTGCCCTGAAGCCCACGCTTGAAGGCAGGAAACTGCCTCTTTTGATATTTGTCAACAAGGGCATTGAGATCAAAACCAGAGCTCTGACTCTTGAAATCATCGCGGATACTTGCGGCCCCGAAATCGCCAAGGTCGCTACTTTCATTGTAAGTTCACGTCTCTTCCTGCGATCTCTCGGCGTTCATGGAGTCTCCAGTCCGGCCCATCCTTCGCGAAAGAAAGTGAGTGAACCCACGTTCAAGTCACCTCTCTCTCATGGTCTGGAAGTTGTCAAGAGGCAACCAACCTCTGTCTCCGTCGTCTCCCTATCCACTGAGCACGCACAGCTTGCCTCGCAATTGTTCCACCAGCCGTGGTTTCGCTGGTGAGTCGATCTGAGACTAAGTATATGCATTTGTTTACGTGCACACAGCTACACCGGTGACGACCCAATTGGAGTAGAGCTCGCCGGCGCCCTGAAGAATGTCTACGCCATTGCGGCGGGCATAGCAGCCGGGCTGGGGTACGAGAACAACGCACGAGCAAGTGAGCAGTGGATACTAGGCTCTTATTTGGGTTGCCGACCGATGACGTCATTCCAGTGCTCATCACCCGAGGCCTTGCTGAGATGACAAGGATTGGGACCGCATACGGGGCTTCGCCTCTGACGTTCCTGACCCTGGCGGGCGTCGGAGATCTGTTCCTCACATGCAGTTCCCCAACTAGTCGGAACTACACCGTGGGCTATAGGCTAGGACAAGGAGAGAAGCTGGATCACATCATCCAGACCTTGGGCAGTGTCGCGGAAGGCGTGACGACAGCGAAGGGATTGAAGGCGATTGTGGATGAGCTGGGAATCAAGGCCCAGCTGGCAACCGGGGTATGTGCGCCAGCGCTCTCACGTGGGAGATCCTGCACTGACGCCGTAGCAGATCTACGATGTCCTGTACGGAGGTGCGAAACCTATATGAGCCTGGACCGCGGCATCAGCTGACGCGATCCACAGGCCGGGATGTTGCGGAACGGGCGAACGAGCTGCTGGCGCTCCCGCCGAACCGCGAGCTGGACCTGCCGGAGGAAAGCGGGAAGCCGGCGAAAAGATTGCTGAAGAAGCTCGGACTCGAGGAGTAGGCCGTCGACGAGGGTGTTTTTGAGACCTAGACAGACTGTTTAATGCCGATGCGGGACGTAATACGAAGTGCGTGCCCCGCCCTTCTTGCCAAAAGTTAACGCCGATGAGGACCGAGAGCATGCGTGGCGGCGGGCCGCGGCACGCTGGGCCGTAGGGCCGGGACAGGGGCCAGAATCAGATGAGCAGGAGAGCGCAGCTGCCATATCCGGACTGATAATCAGAGTGCGATTATCTAAGCCAATTTTTCCGCGCGAGCGAGGTGGCCGCGGTGGCTGCTCGCCCTGCCCTTGTTCTTCGTCAAAATTCGTGCTGTGGTCTCGCCTCTTCCGAGCTTGCCCTCTGCCATCTTCCGCCCGCGCCCGCTGCTCGCCCTTGCTGTTTCCATCCCTCCCGACCCTGCCAAAGCGACACCACGCCATGGTTTCTCCTCTCTGGAAGGCTTGCTCGGAGGGAAACGTCGAGAACGTCGCCGAATTGCTGAAGGAGGCTACGTCAGTTGACATCGAGGTCAAAGGTTCGTCCATCTCCATCGTCATCGATTTCTCTCGCCGGCGCAATCGTCTCCCAGTCCGCACTTGTCGCTGACACGTCTCGTCGCAAGATCATACCGGCGTCACTCCTCTCATCGAAGCCGTAAAGAACGGACACGTAGAGATCGTGAGGATGCTTCTTGACAAAGGTATGTCCCGCTTTGTATTGATTTTCCTACCGCATATATGTGCCGGAACTCAAAGCGCGGACGTTATGCAGGAGCAGAGCCCACAAACGCGTCCAGTCAGGGCCCACCGGAGTCCTACACCTCCGAGCCCGTCATTCACGGTCTGCTTTCTGCGGCCAAAAGCAAAATGGCGCAGCCTCTGACGATGCAACCTGAAGGCATCTATCAGGAACAGCCCGCAACAGCCCACGTCGACCCGGCCGTCAATGGATACTACCCTCCTCCCGGTGCCTACTACTACCCTCCCATGCCCGGCCCGCCCCCTGTGCTCCCCGAGGGCGCCGTACCCTATTATATGCCCCCTCCGCCTATGCAGAACGATCAAAATGGCTTTGGCAACCTCCCACCCCCCGAAGTTGCTCGCATGATCCCTTGCCGATACTACCCTGCTTGCCGTTACGGTGCTTCGTGCATGTTCGCTCATCCGCAGGCACCCTTCATGCAGGGACCTAATGCTCCGCCGCCGCCGCAATACGGGGCTCCTTACGACACAATGAACTCTACACCTTACCCTCCGCCCATGTACTATCCGGTTCCTCCCGGCTCCTACCCTCCCAACAGCGCGCCCGTCAACCACATGTCCCCCCCTCCGATGGCTCACGCCCGTTCGGGCTCCGAGGCTATGTCGCCTGTTCAAGGCCCCTTCAGCCCCTCGAATGGTCAACCTCCTATGCCATACGGCGTGGTCTCACCTGTGTCTCCTCCATACGGCGGACACGTCTCCATGCCTGTCTCCGTGCCGCCTTTGCCTCCTCTCCACAACGGTCCCAATGGTGCACAGTCTCCACTGCAGCCAGCGACCATGTACCCTCCGATCTCCCCGAGCGCGTCGGGCGCAGTCCCTCCTTACGCGATGCCACCGCAATTTGCCCCGCAACATATGGCTTCAAATGGAGAAGCTCCGGACGTCGTTTCACCAAAATCGCCCGTTCATGGACATCCGCATGCGGACGCTTATAACGCTGGCTCGATGCCTCGGGACATGGGTCACCATCGTCGCGGCAGTGCTCGCAGGCCATCTTTCGGTGGACGCGGTGGAAAGCCTCCTTGCCTTTTCTTCCCCTCAGGCCGTTGCAGGAATGGGTATGTATGCTTGCTTTCTCAACCTGTCCAATCGCTCATGCACAGCTTTTCAGCGATGAATGCCGCTTTCCCCACGTGCTGCCGGACGGTTCTGGCGTCCACCACCCGTCGCATTTTTCCGCGCGGGGAGGGCACAGGCCACGCCCTCCCTTCCATCCTAACGGTGTGGCCACTTTGGAGGACAAATTTGCCGTCATGACGACTCACGAAGTACGCTCATGACTGTCGCCTGGAAGGTTCCGCGCTCATTTATGACATAGGAGAAGGCTCCGATGCACGTTCGGAACGGCACTGGCACTGGCACTAGTACCACCGACTCCAGCCGATCGCAATCCGCGGAGCCCGGACACAAAGGTCGCCCGCCTTTCAAACCCAGTCACTTCGTGAACGGTGCTGCACGGCCAGACCGGAAGTTTGGACCCATCAAGCAACAGCGGGTGCCGAACGCAGACGAGTTCCCTGTCCTCAATGGATCGACGCCCATTTCCCGAGCCAGTTCTCTCGGCAACTCTGGCCCCACAGCGGCTCAGATCTTACAAGCCCCTGCTCCGCGCAAGGAAGTACAAACGCGGGGCAGCACTCCTGATCTCGTCGCGGCATCACCTGTGGTCAAAGTGCGTGTTTATACAGTGTCCAAGCTATAGGGTGCTAATATTTTTTTTGCAGGATGTCAAGCCCGAGATCAACGGAATTGCTCCTGACCAGTCTGCCAGCAAGCGTCCGATCTCCTTCGCTGCTGCTGCCACCGGCGCACCCGAGCCCGTGAAGGAGTTGTCTGTCGCCGCCTAAAAGGGGCATTGCTGTCCTCGGCCCACCCTGTGCTTTATTTCGTCTTGTGCATCCTCGATCTTGCCATTTGCGACTGCCCACCCGTCTCTCACCGGGCTCCAGTGTATTCTGTATTCTCTCCGGTTCGCCTGCTTTGTCGATAGTAGCCTGAGGCCCTGCTCCTACAGTTGTCATGACAGTATCACGCATCCATCTCCAATCCTGGACCCACCACTCCGCCCTGCGTACAGACTATCTATGATCCATCCATCTCCTGCCGTCTCCTTGCCCATCCGCCTCCGTCGTGCTGTGTTTTTCCGCCGTCTCTGCCGTATTTAGACGCATCCATCGTCTTGTTTATCCATGCTTCGTTCCCATGTTGTCTCACCCACGCACAAAAGCACACACGCATCTTGACACCGACCTGCCTATCGTAGCATCTCTCTATGTCGTAGCTATATCTCTTACATCACCGTACGCCGGGACCGCAGCGTCCCGCGACGCTGCTGCTGCCCGCATAATCTACTGATACATGAAGATTTTAGTCGCCCACTCTCCGAAGGTGTGCCGGTGTTCACGGGAGGAAGGGTCCGCCGGAGCGGATGCTCTACGCCCACGCGGAGAGGTTGCGCATCTCGACGCCGGGGGCGGCAGTGACCTCTCCGATGCGGACCACGCCCGCCTCGCCTGCGGCGTGGAGGGCTTCGAGCGCACGGTCGACGGCGTCCGGGGCGACGACGAGGACCATGCCGAGGCCGTTGTTGAACGTGCGGGCCATCTCGCGGGGCTCGACGCCGCCGTGCAGCATCAGGAAGCGGAACACGGGCGGCAGCTCCCACGATGATGCATCGATAAAGCACCCCATGCCCCGGGGCAGCACCCGCGGCACGTTTTCCGTGAAGCCCCCGCCGGTGATGTGCGCCATGCCCTTGAGCAGCCCCGCCTGCGCCGCGGGCAGCACCCCGCGCACGTAGATCCGCGTCGGCTCGAGCAGCGCCCGCCCGAGCGTCACGTCCGCCGCCCACGGGCACGGGTCCGCGTACGAGAGCCCGGAGAGCGCGACCACCTTGCGGACGAGCGAGAAGCCGTTCGAGTGCAGCCCGGACGACGGCAGGCCGAGCAGCACGTCTCCGGACGCGATGGTCGCCTGTGGGAGGATCTTCTCCCGCTCGACCGCGCCTACCGCGAAGCCGGCGAGGTCGTAGTCGTCTGCACAAATGTCCGCGCCGGCGGGTCAGCAGTGCGGTCGGGGAGGCGCGCAGAAGAGGGGGCGCGTGTACGGACCTCCTTCGTACATGCTAGGCATCTCCGCCGTCTCGCCGCCTATGAGCGCGCAGCCGGCTTCGATGCAGCCGTCTGTGATGCCCTTGATCACTTTGGCGGCCGTCTGTACATCGAGCTTGCTGCACGCGAAGTAGTCGAGGAAGTACAGCGGCTCCGCGCCTTGCACGAGCAGGTCGTTCACGGACATGGCAACGAGGTCGATACCTGGCGCGTATGAGGTCAGCTGAGGTCCGATCCAGCGGCTCCGACGCGGACAGCACTCACCGACATACTCGTGTATGCCTGCTTCCAATGCGATGCGCAGCTTGGTTCCGACGCCGTCCGTCCCGCTCACTAGCACGGGGTCCTTGTAGCCGGTGGCTTTGAGGTCAAAGGCGCCGCCAAAACCGCCGATTTCTGCATCCGCGCCGGGGCGACGTGTTGCACGTACGAACGGCTTGATAGCTTCCACAAGCGCGTTCCCAGCATCCACGGAGACACCAGCCTGCGCATAGGTGAGACCCTTGGGAGCCTCGGCAGACGCCGACAAGGCTCTAACACAGTGCCGATTAATATACTCATACCGCACAGGAATGAGCGCCGTAAAACCTCACCTATGAGCAATGTCACGGCGGTAGACCATACCTTCGAATGAGATTTTCTGGACACCGGCATAGGCCGAATCCAACGCCTCCCTCAATGTGGGCGCATAAGCAGTGACGCAGATCACCCTACCGCCCGAAGTCAGAATCTTGCCGTTGTCGTCAACGGTGCCGGCATGGAAAGCCACAACGTCTGGGAATTATTTTTGAATGCATGCATACGAGTTGCAGAGAACGGGACATACCGTTTGGCATCTCTCCGACGGAGATTTCCTTACCCTTGGCATAGTTACCAGGATAGCCCCCCGACGCAAGGACGACGGAAACAGCGCAACCGGGCCTGGTCTTGACTTCTACCGCGTCGAGCCGGCGTTCGACGCATGCCTGAAAAGCTCACTTTCAGTACCTTGTCGGCGACGAACCCGAAAGAAGTCCGTACGAGAAGGATCGCCGTCAGGTCTATCTCGGGCTCAAGCAGGAGCATCAGTGCCTCGGTTTCAGGGTCGCCGAATCTGACGTTGTATTCGAGGACCTTGGGCCCGTTTGTGGTGATCATAAAGCCTGTGAAAAGCAAGCCGACGAAAGGGTAGCCTACAGTGTCCAGTTTAGTGAGGCAAAGCGGCACATATACATATACGGGGGTTGCGCACCATCCCTTCGCATGCCGTCGATCGTGGGTTGGAGAGCCTCTGCTCGGATACGATCCATGATGGCTGGGGTAGCAACAGGGCAGGCGCATAGACACCCATACCACCAGTGTTTGGACCAGTATCACCCTCGCCGATGCGTTTGTGGTCCTGCCCTGCAGGCAGCGGAACGATTGTGTAGCCATCCGAGAAGGCGAGCACAGAGACTTCCGCGCCGATCAGGAGCTCCTCGATAACGACCTCGCTCCCTGAAGTGAAGAAAATAAATTGGCGATGAGACGTAGTCTACATGGATTGTTGTATCGCAGACCTGCCGCGCCAAAGACTTTGTCCACCATGATCTCCTGCAGACCCGCGATCGCCTCCTCAATCGTATCTGGCAGAAGAACGCCTTTTCCAGCGGCCAAACCGTCGGCTTTGAGGACAACCTTGAAACCACATGTCTTGACATAGTTGATGGCCTGATCGAACTCGGACGACTTGAAGGTCTTGAACTTGGCAGTCGGAATGTTATGGCGCTCCATGAATGTCTTGGAGAATGCCTTTGATCCCTCCATGCGCGCGGCGAGCGCACTAGGCCCGAAAACGGGTATACCCACTGCTCAATTCGTTAGTATTGCCCATGAAATGCGATATGCCATGCGCACCTTTGCGGAAGTGGGACTCAACTCCATCGACGAGAGGCTGTTCAGGCCCTGGGAGGACGAGAGTGACCTAGAGTAGTGGATAGTGAGCAGATCAGACTAGCTGCGTACGGAACTGATGCGCGCACCTCATTTTTAACAGCAAAATCTACGAGCGCCGGGAAGTCGGAGGGCGAGATGTCGACATTGGATGCCTTGGGCTCGAGGGAGGTGCCGCCGTTCCCGGGACAGACGAAGATCTTAGCGACGAGAGGCGAGCGCGAGAGCTTCCAGACGAGCGCGTGCTCGCGGCCGCCGGCGCCGATGACGAGGAGAGAGTGAGAGGCCATGGCGGAGGGAGAGACGCGCCGAGCGATCTGGAGTCTGGACACCCTCGGCGTCAAGCGCGTGCGACTGCGGAGACCCCGGAAACCGCAGGCAGGTCGCAGTCGCGCAGGCCGAGCTGAGCGGGAACGTGGTGCTCGCCGCTCCTCTCGAGACTCAGAGCCTCGCCGCTCGTTCCTCCCTCCCCACCTTTTTCTATGTCGCGCTTGCAGTAGTGTTCCTTACGCCCTCACTTTGGTTTCGCCCGCGACTGTCATCAGCAGGTGGTCAGCATCCGCGCCCGCGCCCTCACGGCCAGATCAAGCCGCTTGCCACCTCCAACCCGTCTCGAGCCTTTCTCTAGATTGCACACACTCCCTTCCTCACTCCCTTTCTTGCGCATGGCTATGGCGGCTGAAATTGCGAAGAAGCCGCGTAGCAAGAGCTTTCTGACTCGTAGAAGCAGCAAGAAACCTCCACAGGCGCAAGAGACTCAAGGACACCCGCGCAGCGCTACCCTCGACACGCAGGAACAGGAGCCCTATGGAGGTCGCTCGCCTTTCGAGCTCAAGGTTGCCTCCATAATCCCGGATCCTCTCAACGAGCTTCCCACATGGTACCACCGAGAAGTCGAAACTGCGACGGCATCAGCGATCCAGTTTCGTGTCAGGTACCCCCTCCACAACCCCGTTGGCCCACGTTGGTACCGCAACCACCACCTCATGCCGTCCAGGCGCGATGGTCGACCACCTTCGGTTTTTTCCCCTTCGTTCCCGCCAATGGCATCAGCTCCTGAACGCGCCCAGGACCCTTCGCGAATGGCGGGACCAAGCCGCACACCTTCGGGCTCGCCTCTACCCACACCCTCGTCGTCACAAGTGCGCATACAAGAGCCTTTACTCAAGCCGCGCCAGCGAAACGCGTCGCAGGAGAACGGAGAGGCTTTGGATGGGCAGGTGGACGATTGGAGCAGGTACCCAGGCTCTCCTGAACCAGAGGTCAGTTGTTTTACCCACTCGATCGCGAGTTCGCCTTTGACAGCAGTGCCATCCAGAGCCCCGTAAGCCCTTCGTCATCTCAGAATCAATTCAATCATCGCCCTAGACGCGCGAGCATGAACCACGGGCCGCGCCACAAGACTTTAGCTCCCTCTCCTTTGTCGCAATCCACCTCGGCTGTCCACCTTCATGCGATAGACCCCAACCAGATTCATCTGCCACGCAAGTTGAGCAAGCGGCGCAAGCCGTTCAATGGTTTGTTTAATGGCTCTCCTGAGGACGGTGATTCAACACCTCCAACTGAGTCGTTTTTTCGCTCATATGTCTGTGTTACTAGAAAACCCTCATACCAAGGACTTGCGCCGTCAATCGATGCTTGCGCCGTCGATGACGTCGCTCCCTTCTCTTCAACCTCCGTCACTGAAGATTAAGCGAGGCAGCGTGCTCGGGCGTCTCGTCAAGCGATTCAGCGTCCTTCGCAAGCCGGAAAAGCACAACAGCACTGGTACTGGCTGGACTCACACCTCCGGGCTGGAATCCAATATGCCCAGTCCGAGCGTTTCCTCACCGGAACCTCGATCCTCTTCACGCCTTTCCACGAGATCATCGGAGCCAATGAAGCGCGTCCCACCGCCAGCCGTAGAGGATGACCACCAGAGGACTCCCAGTCTAGACAGGCAACATTCCTCGGACTCGTTCTCGGTGCTTGAAATGGCCACGCCTGGTAGACTCACTATCGCCAATCCTGACACGCCAAGTTTAGGCGACATCACACCTATGAACGATCCGGCACCGCTACCGATATCCCATAGCCCCCAGCCATCGGGAGATGATTTGCCTTTACCCTCCATCCCGCGCACCGACTCTCCTTTGTCTCTGGACGACAGCCCTACCCGCCGCTCTGTACTCCTGAATGGCTCACCACACCTTGATATGGAACCTCCCCGTCCTCCATCTTCACCTCCGCTCCCGGATCTTCCCCCTCCTACTCCCGCTCACGCTCTCCAGAGTTTAGTCGACCACCGACAGTCCACGTACGATGTCGAGCCCTCTCCTGCTCCATCGACCGTTGGTGTGTCGACCCTGGCGCCCACTGGCCCGCGGCCAGACTCTGTTCGTCTCTCCACTGCCTCCGCCACCTCCACTGCGACACCTCTTCAGCGATACCAGCTCCATGACGACACTGTTCTCACCCGTGCGTCCGTACTCGTTGAGCCCCCCACTCCTTACAAAGCTCCCTCCAACGCTCTCCCTCCGACAATCGTCGAAACGGAAGAGCCGCATGTGCCCTCAAAGCGATCCGAACGTTCCCCGACTAAGTCGAAGGACTCTTCGCGGACTAAGTCGACGAGGAAGACCGAGACTTTTAAGCTCGTCCGAAGCCCCTCGACCGCTCTCGAACAGAACGGCGAGGTTCTCGTTGGGATGGGTGAACAGTGGGAAGTGCCTCTGCGGACTCTCCGACGAAGAAGTCGCGCAAGGAGAAGGACCGGGAACGGGAACGTGAGAGGGAGAAAGAGCGGGAGAGGGAGAAGGAACGGGAGAGGGAATGGGAGCGCGAACGGGAGAAAGACCGCGAACGTGAGCGGGAAAGGGAGAGAGAGAGGGAGCGCGAGCGCGAGCGGATCGAACACGAACGCGAATGGGAACGTGCCGAGAGGGAGCGGATTGACAGCGAGAGGGAGAGGGCGAAGGAGAAGGCAAGAGAACGCGAGCGGCAGAAGGAGAGAGAGCGGGAAAGGGAGCGGGAAAGAGAACGCGAACGCGACCGGGAGAAGGAGCGCTCCAAGTCGATCGACCGAGAGAAGCGAACGGCCCATGACGACACCAAGCGGCGACGGGACCAGAGCAGCAGCACGGAGGAAGGCGAACCCCGTCATCACCGCAGGCAGACTTCGACCAGCACCCGGGACACGCAGTCTATCAAGGTAACGCAAACTCCTGTCTCTCGCCGCAGCGTCAAGAGGGCAAGCGAGCACGATGACCACCGGTCGTCACGCACGATCAGCGGCGTCGCTCCCTCGACTGCTCCCTCGACCACCACGCCTCCCTACGTGCGTGAGCGGCACTTGTCGGCGGCTGCGGCAACCCGGCCGAACTCTGAGCTGAACTCTGCTGCAGACTTCTCCTCCGTGAAGGCGAAAGATGCCTGGGAGATAGAGCGGTTGTGGAAGGCACGAAGCATGGCGTACGGTCCAGACGGCATGCCCATCTTCTCGGCGCCCGCGACAATTGGGAGCGACTCGCGACCGTCGACGCTGATCGCCCCCGAGTTGCAACGCGTCAGCTCCATCCCTAGTGTCGCTGCTCTTTCCGACGCACATGCCTCACAAAAAGCCTCGGTCGGCCAACCTAACGGTTCGACCTACATGTCGCAGTCGCCGTACTACCCAGGTCAAGGCCACATGTCCTGGTCACCTCCGTCCCAGGGTTCAATGATGTCCCCATCACAACTCTACAAGTTTTCCGCGTTTGCCACCCCTGTGCCCCTTTCAAACAACCCGCTTCCCAACCCTCCCCGCCTCACTGTCTATCAGCAATCTCCGCTCCCCATGCAGCTCGTGAACCCCCTCCCAGAGCCACCACGCCTGTCTACTTACCAGCCGGCCCCGCTCCCACCGTCTCTAGTGGTCTCTGAAGATACCGCACCTGCTTATAGACGCAACTCACGGGCTTAATTTTCCCTGCATGAACGGACTTTCCACACACAACCCGATACCACTTCATCGTCGCTTCAAGCTGCACATCACTTATCACGTAGAATATTGCTTACGTCCGCTCCATTATCTGCTCCTTTCCAGATGTCTCTTGGGTTACTGGCGAACTGTCTTTTTCCACACCCACGCCCCTCCTTCATGTCCCATCACGATCCCTCCATTACTATCGTCTCCTTCCACAGCACCTCGGAGCATCGTTAATCTTATCGAACTATTGCTGTGACTGTACGACTTCGTCATGTTGGTTCTCATACTATCTTCCGGACAAACACGCTTAGCATTCGCCTATGCGCAAGTTACGAGGGTCCGCTTCCAAAGCGTCGCATATATTGTAAAGTACATGCATGAAGAGCCGGGACTAATTGCGTGGAGATATAATACATATGCAGCTCGACTGTTACACACAGTGGTATAGAGGGAAACCCGCGCCTCGGGAGGCGTACGACAGCACATAGACATACGGACGGATAGTTCATACCCAGACGAAATCGGGACTCGCACATGAACCTAGGCATGAGCACGTCACCTCTCGCGCTGGTAATCGGTGTAGTCGAGCGGGAACGCGGGCTTCGGGTAGTCGTCCCACTGCTGCTCCGCGTCGAGGAAGCGGCGGAGGCGCGCGACCTGCGAGGAGAGATACATCACAATGATCTGCATCTCGAGGTCGAGCTTGAGGCGGAGGATCTCCTCGCACGTCCTGAGCGCCTGTGTACGGGTGGAGACGAACATGTTGCCCTCGAAGCCGAGCAGCTTGAGGGCGTCGATAAGCTCGCCAAACTCTGAGCACCAGGCGAGGACCCCGAGCTGTGTGGAGAGGCAGGCGCAACAAGGGAGGCACTGACGTCAGCGAGAAGACCATGAGGCGAAGGCAAGGCTGCATGGCGTACCTGGCCGAACTGCTTGAAGCGACCATAGAGAACATTCGGTGCGCTCTTCAAGGCGAAGTCGAAAGTCTCGTTTTGAGCGATGACGCCCGGTTGGGGGACATAGTTGTCCATGTTGGGCTGTGTTGCCTGAGCCTAAAGAATCGTCAGCTTCGTTACACTGCTAAGGTCATCAACCCAAACCCACCTCGGGCCGTGGCGGCGGATCTTTGAACCACTCATAGCCAGAGTAGTCTACCTCTGCTCCCCAGTCAACAGTGTCCGACTGCTTTCCGTATGGTTCCATGGTGCGGAGAACTTGCTTGACAAAAGCGATGAGGTAAGGGGGAGGTTGGAAGTTGACGGCCTCGGAATACTCTTCAGCGTTTGGGGCCGGAGTGAAGAAATCGTACGGGTATTCTCCTGGTGCTTCTTCAGGAGTCTGTGGAACCCCGGACTCAGGGAGCGTGAAGAGAGGGTTGTCTGGAATGTGCCATCAGTCGTGATTGAGAGACCCAACAACCACTAGGCGTACCGAGGGAGAGTGGAGTGAGAGGGGATCGGCGGCAAGGTGAATCGGGCGGGGCGAGGAAGACGTTTAAAGAGACGTTCTGTCGGACATGTCAGAGAGAGATACGCTGAGAAACGGCGAGACCTGTTACCCTGATAGTCGTTCGCTCGGTATGCTCTTGGCTATACGCTACGAATGACTGGACGCTGTCCTGGTTGTCGACGATCGAACGACGATAGACAGCGGACCAGCGGTCGACCGACGTAGGCCGCGAGTCTACTGGGGTAGTAGGTAGGAGGGAGGCGCGTGGAGAAGGATTGAAGAGAGTCAAAGAAGAGTGCGGGGAATCAGGTGTCTGCGGCGCAGTGGTGAACTCAAATTCGATCTGCGAACGCGGATCAATAATGGGTGCGTTGAACGCGTCAGACGTTACTCACCTGCGGTGCCCGCAAATAATAAGTCTCCGGACGAAGAGACCGAGGGATGATGTAAAGGGGAGGCGAGGGAGGTGGAGGGATGGGCAGAGGAGCGGGACTATTGGTGATAGCAGGAGCTACCTCGATGTTCAGTACGTTACGACTGAGGAAGGAAGGAGACGGTGCTGGGCTCGGATGGCCGAAGAGAGGGGTGCCTTCCAATGCGGATGGAGGCGCGGACGCGGTGAGGGAGTGAGGATCAACGAGCTCGAACCTCGGGACCTGAAGGTGGAGCGAGGTAGCAGTTAAACGAGGGCTAGCCTTGATGATCTCAATGCGAGGGAGAAACTGCTCTGTGTGAACAGGGGAGGAGGGTCGGTATGGATGAGCGGGATCGACTCGAGAGTAGCGGCCTCGCCCTCTTCTACGAGATTGGAAAAGTCGATCTGGTCAAAGACGAGCTCGGGAAGATGGAGCTCTTCGGCTGGAGGGCTGACGAACCGCGGTGGTGGAGAGGAGACCGACGGCGGCAGCGGCGGCGCTTCGATGATCTGTGAGGCGTGCCGTTTGCTTTTGAACAGCGATGACCTGCTGAGAGTCCGGATGCGCTTCAGAGACGAGGAAAGTGAACGGCGCGGCGGTGCAGCAGGCGCAACGGTGCAGACTTCGGGTTCTTCGTCGATGCGCCGAAGTTCTGGAAGCGGCTCGTCCTCGAATTGAGAGCCTTTGGTGTATGTGTGGATGTGAAGGAGGAGTGCAGATTGCGGCGGGGTCTCTGGAGCAGAGTCTCCGCTGGAGGAGTCGTAGGAGGGCCGTCGGGTGGCGGGGTATGCGCGATCGGAATCGGAATCGGCGGACTCACGGAGGCGCGAGCGGCCGATCACTGAGCGCGATTTCTTGAGAGAGAACTTCCTCAGGCGCGAGAGCGATGTGCGCGAACGAGAAAGAAGAGAGGGGTAGTAGGCTCGCTGGTAGTCTGAGATGCATCACCATGTGTGAGCAGGAGTGGGTACAAGCTAACAGACCGCGGGCACTCACCGAAGACGGGGGCGAAATGGGCAGGGTCTGCGGGACAGAGAGAAAGGCGGAGCTCGTCGTACGTGATCTCCTCGAAGTCGTCGTCGTCGTCGTCTGCTGTGGGGTGAGAGGAAACCCGGGGGCCGTCGGACGAAGGGACGGAGTGGTGTCTGTAGGCGCGAGCGAGAACCTGCTCGGGAAGCGAGCGGTCAGCATCGGCGAACAACGACGGGTCAGTCGAGGCACGCGAGCCCTGGCGGGGACGGGCGAGTCTCGACTGGGAGGGGAGGCTGGATGGATGCGTGGCGACTCACAAGCCCTCAGATGCGGACTTGCAGGGGGGTGGACGTGACGGTTCGCAGTACTTGAAGGTCGTCGAAGGCGGCGCGGGAGATGAAGGGGCGTGTAAACCTGCTGGTCGTCGCGGACGGTCACGCTCCGCGAGATAGAGTCGGCTGAGCGAAAGACGAGCTCGGAATCCACAGGTTGCGGGGAAAGCGACTCGGAAGAGGCCCTCCCTCCGTCCCGGCCTCGAGGCACTCCGTCCCCCGGCGCTCCTCCTCGCGCGCTCCTTCTTCCACTCCTCCATCTCGCCCCTCGTCCTCGCCTCAGTCATACACTCCACCGCGTCGTGGACCTGCCACTGGCCATGGAACCCTACAAGGTGTTCAGCGTCATCCACGGCATCGAGCTCTCCTCTGTGCACCGCGCTACCTTGGGACCCCATTCTCATGGTTCTTCGGAGTTCGGGCCATGCACTCACGGACGTTGCGTTCTCGGCCTTGCGCACGAGGAATGCGCCCCGAAGCGGACTCGCACTAGTTCTATTCAGGGTCTTCACCCCGCGGAGCCACAAGGCCTATCTGGCGTCCCGACTGCTCTCTGAAACGGCACACGATCGTCATGAGGGACATGTCAAGTCATGTCCTGGCCCCTCAAGACTGACCTGCGCCAACATATGCGGTCATGGGTTTCTCTGTGCAGTTTCGGCGTGTCGACGCAGTCCGTCGTAGTCCCACAGCGAGCAGTGTCCCTCATTTTGCGCTCGGGCGCTGACCCAGCGGAGATTGGCCGCTAGGTCTTGTCCCTCGTTCCGTAGACGTTCTTCTGGATGCTCTATCTAGCAGACAGAGTACGCTTCGCCATATCACCGGAAGGATGCGCGCGAACGTTCGCTCCTTCTCTTCGAGAGCCCAACCCGATATGATCGACACGCAACATCGGCGTGTCTGGGGTGCACATCACAGGTACGTGCCCTCGGGACGCTCTCGCAGTTCACCGGCGCAGCTCATCGTCTACCACAGAGGTCAATATGCATTGACTCCACGCCCCACCTCCCCGTGGGGCAACAAAGCGAACGCATGCAGACTGCGGTGCCCAGACGATGATTATGTCCTTAGGCACATGAATAATGTTAGGCCACACTCTGATCATGTTGAGGCAATATTACACGGCATACAAGACGTCGTTCATCCTAACAAGGACTGCTGTTCCCCCACTGCGTGACGCCGGCGCACGGCCACCGCAACACGCCATACATCGGCGAGCCGCCTCACCCCGGCCCCAACAGCACGCCCACCCTCCTCCAACGTTCCTCCGACATGCGTTGTCGCCCAGCCCGCGCCAACTACGAAAAATATCACGAACAACGCCGCACGCGTGCCCCCAACGGCGAACGGCGTGCGCCCCTCGTCGAACGGCCACTGCACGCTTGCGACCTGCACCCAAGAGCCCGGGCCGGCCTGCCGGAAGGCCCGCCTTCCGTGCCCCGCGAGCCCACTCACGCCGCCCGCACCACCGTCGCACCAGAGAAGAGTGGTCCCGGTTTCGGCAGCGCGCGCGCGAGCGTGCTGCCACATGGTGAGGCCTATGGTGGGGTGCCACGTGCGAGCCGGGGCGAGGACCAGCGCGGGGCGGGATGAGAGAGAGTGCAGTGTGGAGGAGTATGCGAAGTCGAGACAGATGGACGCGCTGAGCGAAATGGGGCGTGTGTGATTCGGCCCTGGGGCCCAGGCGGGTCCGGTCCACGACTTCGGATGAGGGAGTTGTATGGTGAATATCGCGGCTTGCTCGTCCTTTGCGGGGGTCATCCCGAACGATTCTGCAACTACAGAGAGAGGACTCGGTGAGATGTGGCAGTGATGCGACACAGAATCAACTCACTGGGCACGAGATGCTGCTTGTAGTATTCGTACACGACCCCTTCGGCGCCTACAATGGCAAGTCCATTCCTCTTCATGCCGACCTTCCAAACCCCATCAGACGAGTCTTCGTGGACGACTTCTTCGAATCCCACGCCGTAGTACACGGAGTTGTGTATTACTTTGTGGATCTCCGCGAAGGCGTTCTTTTTGTCTCCTGGAGAGTTGAAATGGACTGCGCTCTCCGGCCAAAGGATGATCTTGGCCTCGGACTGGAGGGTCTTTGACTCGGCGATGTAGTCCGCTAGCTGAGGCGTATGCGTGAGCACCCCGTTCCTTTGCGGATACGGTAGGGCGCACGCGACCCCAAACGGAGTCACATCTGACGCGGAGACCGGGGGCGGCATATCGGTGGTCCAGTAAGACGGGACGGTGAGGGCGAGCAGTGCGAGCACCGCGACCCAGATCGACCGCTTGCGACCGCCCGGACGAGCTGCAGGATTTTGATGGGTAGCGCCTTCGACGTCCTCGTCCGCCTCGTCGTAGGGATCGACGATCCACGCGCCGAGGACCTCCGCGAGCACGGTGGCCCACATTGCGACAATCCAGTTGATGGCGACTTGGCCGCCGAAGGGGCGCACCCACTCGTACCCGGCGAGCTCGATGAGGGGGCTCCAGGCCGCGAGCTGGCCGATGGGACTGACGTACTCGGCTATAGCCCATGTCGTGGCCCAGATGGCGGGGAAGGCAGTAAAGCGAGCCCAGTTGCCACGTAAGACTCGGGGGATGTGATACCCTAGCACCAGAGCGGTGGCTGCAGCAGAAGTGGTCGTAAACGATAGTCCTGCGACCGCGATCACGGAGACGAAGGGCGTGGACAATGCATTCCACGAGGGGGCCGCGTTTGCGAGGGCGATGGCGGTGGAGGTGAGGATGAGCTGACCGGCAGCGAGGTTCCACTGTCGTCGAGGTATGACAGTTTCCGTTTGGAGGCGCAGGATTGCGAGTAGTAAGACCAACGGAGGGAGGGAGGGTGTGGCGGACAGCGCCCCGAAGGCAAGAACGGAGGATGCCCCGAGATAGACTGAAGGATACAGTATCAGGATACCAGATATGGCCATGGTTCAGATCTGTCAGAGGTGGGGTGGACGAGGGAGGCTCAAATCTACCAGCTTCTTAAACCTAGCTTCGAACTTGCTGCGGTAGCGGACAGTTGGGCGACTAAGGAGACTTCTGCGGCAAGGGAACACGCGCGCTCGTCCGCGGCAGTTGTGAACATCAGAAATGTTTTGCACAGTCTGCGGAAGCCGAAGCGGGGTTGGAGAGACCGCGTTCTGTGCACAGTCGATCCAACATTACGGTGGGGCGCGTGGATCACAGCGCGAGCAGGGCAAGATACCCTATTTGCGTAGACGGCTTGTGAATCTCTCTCTCCGGCATCCGACCCGACTGTCCACAGCTCATACACTCCAGGGGGCTTCCAACTTTGCAAAGATACAAGAGGAACGGAGACGCACAATGAGGTTGGGCAGTGTACACAATTTATTTCACGGCTTCACAGCACACCCCTCGTACACAGTGATACAGACACGACGAGACGAGACCGGCCTGAGGGAACTTCGATCCAGCGCTCAGCACTTGCACTCTCCGGGCTTGCACTGGCAACTGTACAGATGGGGATGGTCGGCGGCGGCAGCATGGGCAAAGCTAGTGGGAACTCACGAGGAGCCACAGCTGCAAGTGGAGGAGCCGCAAGAGTTGGCGCTCGACTGGTTCTTGGGAGGCTCGCCGCAAGCGCAGTTAGGGTAGGAGCAGTTGTCCGTGGCGGACGTAGTGGACGTGCACTTGACCTGGGCAGACTGAACGAGCAGAGATTAGATGAGGATGTCCGCAGCGGGCGGGGAAGGAAGACTTGCCGAAGGCATGGTGTGTGACGATGGGAGCGGGATAGAGGATCTGAAGAGATGGGGGCTGGACCAAGAGGTTATATATGCTAGCTAGCGTTTGATCCGATAACCTGCGGGGCAGCTCCAGACGGGCATGGCCTGGGAGCTGCAAGACCCGATCGAGGAGCGGCACGGGCGCAACCTGGTCCATTCCGCAGGTGGCTTCCGGAATCGATGGCTTATCACCTGCCATTATTGTCAGACCTAGTGTGCGTGCTAGAGTCTGAGACTACAAGCAGGCTCCATGAAGAATCCCTTGTTGTAGGCTGCAGCTACTGGCTCGCCAGCCAAGGGTTGTGGGTCAACGTACGAAGGAGTAGGATCGAGACGAGGGCAGCCGACGGAAAGCATAACGCGCCCATCTCTTCAAGCGCCCACGCCACCTTTCAGAAGCGTCCGTTGTGCTCACTGTGCTTGCCGTCCTCTGTCACCCGCCCCCGTCGCGCCGAACGGCCGCCCTCTCCTCCTCCTCCCTCCGGCGTGCGACGCCAGTCCGCCGTAAAAATGTCCACCAAGTACATCGCCAACCAGGTCCACAAGCAGGCCTCCCGCCTCTCCCGCTACAACCTCCTCAACGTCAACCCCGTCTGGCTCCAGCCTGTCATGGACCACCCGCCGCTCCCGCTGCCCGCCCGTGAGTCCGCGCCGCGCACCGAGTACGACACGCGCCCCGGAAAGCCCACCACGCGCCCCGCGGACTCCAAGACCATCCGCCCGTTCGACATCTCGTACGTCGAGGACCAGTTCCGGCGGCAGTTCTTCCGCGACCACCCCTTCGAGGCCTTCCGGCGCACGTCCCTCGTCGAGGGCGCCGCCGTCGAGCCCGAGCACCCGATCCGCGGCGTGCAGTGGACGCGCCTGCGCCAGCGCGGGCGCAACCCGTCTCCGGAAGAGTGCGTGTTCTCGTCCCCCGTCTGCCAACTCAGCCCCGCCGTGCTGACGCTCCCGCTCGCCGTGCCCGTCCTTTGCGTCTCGCCCCGCCCCGCCCCGCTGCGCCCCCGTCTCGCACCACAGCGCGGTCCGCTACGCCGCGAATCTGCACCAACACCACGGCGTCGGGCTGTCCGCCGCGTACGAGTCCGCCGTCGCGCAGTTCCGTGCGCTTCGCGCCGAGCTCTCCGTCGCGCGTTCCGTCGCGCTCCATGAGGCGGGGCACAACGGTACCATCTTTGGTCCGTCCCTTATCGAGCAAAACTTCGAGCAGGAGGACCAGGCGTTCGAAAAGTCGAGACAAGAGCTCGAGCGCGACAACGCTCAGGACGAGGGCAAGAAGTGGAAGGCGGTGTACAAACGGGACGGTCCTCCAGACCAATGGACCAAGGGCCAGGAGTACACGCGGCTGTGGAAGCGAGGCGTCCGGCCCATGTACTCGTCCATCGTCGACGCGCCTCACCAGCCGTCTTCATGATCCATCCAGGCGCCGGGTCTGCGCTGCGTCACCTCACTCCCTACGGTACCATGGAGCTAATATATACGCTGCCGATAATACTCCCCGTTCACTCGATCCGAGCCTAGGAGATGAGAATGCAACTGACCCTGGCAGTACTACATACAAGTGCTACATCATGACGCCTTCACAGCCCGCGACTGTGCTGCTTGCGCGGCATTCACGCTCATCCATGTCTTCTCGACCAGACCCAACAATCGCTGCATGTCCGAGCTCCAGTCGTTCATCACGTCTTCTGCGCTCCTGCTCTTCCTGAAGTTGACAATCCCTGCTGGGCGGTCGACTCTTGCCCAGACTGTTCCCGATACGACCAGTCGACACAGGACCTCCTCGGTTTGCTGCTGCGTGAGGTCGAGAAGTGAGGTCAGACGTGCAAGAGTAATGCGAGTGTAGTATTGCGACATGATTCGGATATTCTGCGTCGCAATGTCAATAACGGTCCCACAATGCAACGAGAGCCACGTACATGTTCGATTACCCTTGTGTGCAGGTCCTCCCAGAGCTTGTCAGCGCTAAAGACGATAGTCTTCTTCAAGTGGGGCCCATAAATCTGCTCGATTCCTGGCCACCTCATCAACTCCGGAGTTGTGAAGCACTTAACGAGAGCGCTGTATGCTCATGTCAGCTATGAAACGACTGGTGCACGGCTGTATGCGTACTAGTGAAGCTCTAGCCTTGACAGTGCAGGGTTGGCAAATGTGCGATGCAGCATATCCGATTGTTCGTTGTCGTGAGGGGCAAGGACGACATAGTAAACGATGTGCTCAATAGCCTGGCGGTGACGTCAGTGACGCAACGTTGAGCAGAACCTGGTTCACTTGCCTCGCGACCACGACCGCTCACGTCGTCCTTAATTGTCGGTGTTTCCCAGACCTTGTAGTAGTACTTGGCCGCATCTAGATACGCGCTCTCATGCAGGGCAAATTGGATCATCATGTCGTAGTACTTCAGCTTGAGATCCTGCCGAGACTATGAGCCATCCAATTCAAGGTGACGGCGGATGCCTTCACCCACCTCGTTGGCAGCGTCCTTCAGGAACTCCTCGTTGACCTTCCGCCCACCGACACGGACCTTGACCCACTCAGACTCTCCGCCCCCAATGGAATCCTTCTTGTCCTTGACGCCGATCTCGCCGTCCTTGAGTCTCGCGAGTGCGATCAACAGACGCATCTGCTCCACGAGGAACTCTGTCTTCTCTCTCCGGTCCATGGAGGAGTATGTCTCGACTTGAAGGTCGCTGAGGAGATCGGAAGCAACCTGAAGAGACTCCTTGCGCTTCGCTTCTTCGTGTGTTTTGGCGAGGCTCTCATGATAATGGGCAAGTAGGAGGCTTATGCGTGCGCGGGGAGTCTCTAAGAAAATCTGTGGGGATAAATATGAGTTTCAAGACGGCGCGCGACCTAAGGAAGCGACGCACCTTGCCCTCAGTGACATTCCTCAGCGTCTCAATCAACTCCAGCCACTTCTCCGTGCCCCCATCGCCCGGATATTTGGAAGCCATTCCATGGCTTGCTCCACCATGCCCTGGATAGCGCCTTTGAGTTGCCCATGCCTCTTGCTCAAAGTGTTGATGTTGCTATTCAGCAGCTCGAAGTTATGGGACAAGTAGCAGATCTCCGACGCCTCCTTCACAAGACGGGTAGTGGACTTGAGATCTGACGCCTACGAACAACGCGTGAGCGAGAGCAGAAGTGCACAACCTGTTAGCTAACGTTTCGTGTCTGCTTCTCTAGGACGTAGATCTTGTCCAGTGCCTCCTGTATATTGGTCTACGGAAGCTGGTGAGCTCGGTGCCACAATGGTCTGCAGGGCACGCGCGTACCGTGGCTAATTTCTTCGTCTCTTCAAACAGAGAGTCGACCTCTTTCGTGAAGTCTTTCTCTTGTTTTTTGGGATCCGCCATGGTGAGTGTCGTGAAAGGAAGAGAGGAAGTAGATGAGTGCCAAGAGTTCGCCGTGTTCCTTGACTGACGCGTCGCGTACAGCGCCTCTCGTGCGCCTTCCGTATCCGGAAAGCAGGGAATCACGTGGTCACATTCATCGGTATCAATACGAGACATTATGAAGGACATCATTACGCGAAGTGTGCTATGATAACAGTTCATGATCCAACGAGAATAATGATATGCCCCGGGCACCAGTGAGTGTCCTACACTACTTGTACCAGCATGTGTCATATAGAAATCGAAACCGTACAACATAATTCTGTAGGAAGATCATTGGCATACAGGGTTGATATCCAAAAGGAAGGGCCCATTGGAGCGAGTGCGACGAATCGCATCCTTTTCGTTCTCCGAAAGGCCCTTATCCTCGTGGCCGGACGGCTGGGTGTAGATGAGGTTCGAGAGGGGAGACGGCATAGGGGAGGGCATTGCGGGCATGGGCATAAACGAGAACACGAAACGGATGGGGGCGGTGTAGAACCGAACGACGCGGTACGTGAGATTGACGACCCCATGGACCGCGCCGGTGGGGGTGAAGATGGACGGAGCTCCGCTAGGCTGGGGCAGGTCGTCCGAGCTCAACTCGGACGCGGTGTCGGAGAAGGAGATGGGGTCCACGCCCATCTCGTGGAAGGCGGGGGCCGCATCGACGCCCTGCTCGCAGTATTGGGCGACGGCCATGACCTCTGCGTCGGCGAAGACGGGGGTCGCGTCGATGGAGACCTCGCACGTCGCCGGGACGCTTTGAACTCCAGACTCGACGACCTGCGGTACGGCCTGAACGGACATCTCCTGTAGCTGAGGGCGTACGGAGATCGCCGCGTCGAACATGATGGGCGTCGCGTCCACCCCCTTGTCGGCCATGGGCGGAGGAACGTAGGGGGCCGGAGGAGGCTGAAGCTTCCTTTCCGCGAGCCGGATGTGCTGCACGTGGGGCAGGATCTCGGCGACCCGCTGCCACCCGCTCGCGTTTGAGTCGACCGTTCCGAGCCGGCTCTTCTGATCGAAAAACTTGAGAGACTCCAGGTATGGCGTGAGGTGACTGAGGAGGACCGCAGTCTGCAGCGGGTTCTTGACCCACGAGTGGCCAACGCTGAGGCGCAGCAGCGAGCGCGAGCAAACGACGCGGGTCGAGTACACGGCGTCGCTCGACAGTTCCGCCGCGTTCACGACCAGCGCGAGCGTGTGCAAGCGGCGGCAGCTGCGCGTGAGCGGCACGATCGCCTCGAGAGCCAAGGGTGGAGGGGAACCGGTGACGGGGAACCGGGCGTTCGGGCAAAGGCGCAGGACCTCGATGTTGGGGCAGACGCGCGCGATGTGGGTGATGTCACGCTGTTCAAAGAGCACCGATTCGGGGAGGTCGATGTCCAGCCGCCACAGGCGAGGGAGCATCGAGAAGTAGGTGAGGGGAAGGTGGTGCATGGGCAAGTCGCCGCCGCGCGACGTCGCGCGGACGAGCTCCCCGAAGCGCGAGCCGCTGGTCGCACTGATACGGAGGGACTGGAGGGTGTCGTAGAACTGGTCGCTGATGGCCGCACAGACGTCGTGCCAGTCGACAGACTGTGGGGGATCTTCCATGATGAGGTCCAACTGGGAGAGCGGGCTGGAGAGGTGTCTGAGGAACATCGCGAAGTTCATTGCGTCGCCGGTGAGGGTGAGGTTCGAGAGCCGAGCGAACGCGCCGCGCCGAGGCCCGTCACGCGTAAGACGCACCGCAGCCTTGCGAGCTTCCGAGAAGTCGACCTCGTCGCCCGAGAACACGCCGCTGTCCGTCCCTCCCACGGAACTCGGGGTCGTGTACCCGGAACCAGGATCGATCTCGTCGAAGAAGCCCTCCACGGCGGTTGTCGAGCGCGCGGAGAGGTCTACCGCGAATGTCTTGAGGGCGGGCAGTCCGGACGCCCACTTGCCGACTCGAGCGGCCAGCGCACCGGGCGCCATGAGTGCGAGCTTCTCGATCGCGGTGTCTCCTGGAACGTGTCTGTAAACTTGTCGGGGAGGTTCGTGTGTACCGTGAACGAGAAGGCCGTGAGACCGCGATGACTGGCGATTTCCTCCAAGAGCTCATTGATCCTCGGTGTCTTGGAACCCACTTCGAGCGTAACCGCCTCGATCCGAGGACCAAGGAACATGCGGCAGCGTTCCAAGTTACTCGAAGTCTCGACCTTCCACGTGAGAGACGTGAGGTTGGGCAGGATGTGCGTCGCCGGGCGGTGTTCGTCCAGAAGTGGAAGGATCGACGGCACGATATTTCCGGAGCTCTCGATGTATGCAATGCTTTTGACTCGTGTGCCGTATGCGAGGACAGGGGTCCAATCTTCGCGCTCTGGTGCCTTCAACTGTTCAGCGGACGATTAATTGAGTGAGTAGCGAATCTTGGGGAATCGGTACAGGCGACAAGCGTACCAAGCCCATGCCCGGCCGGCGGGCGCGCTTCAAGATGGTGCTCGGGAAGAGCCCAAGGAGGGGAGCAAGGCTGTCGAGATCGCGCCAAAGCAGGTTCAACGCGGGCTCCTTGAATGCCTTGCATGTCCGCGCGAGACGGGCGACGGTACGACGGCCACCGGGCGTGTCGAGGATGGCCTCGAGGAGCTTCTGGGTCGTGTCGGGGTCGCGGAGGATACCTGGACGCATATCTTGTTTGGAGACGGCGCACGGAATGTAATTGTCAACTTTGACAGATGCGACGGATTTCAGCGACGCGGTGGACTGGCGAGGGCGGATGTTTGGGATCCGAGGGTGTGCGATGTGCGAGAGGAAATCAGCCAGAGAGGGCCGAGAGAGGGGCTGCCCGGACGACATGACGGTTCGTGAGAGAAGGAGGTGGGTACTTAAGAGGTCTGACGTCTGGTTTAGAGTGGATCTTGAAAAGCCCTTGGAAAGCAAAATAGATATCGTGAGTGACTAGAAGGGGAGATGGGGAGCTTGGTAGATCCTGAGGTCGGGCAAGTGCGGAGGAGTGGGTGCGCAATGCGACAAGGGAGTCGCCGATGTTTAATGCATGGCATTATACGTCGTGCCCAAATTGCCAGACGCATGCTCGCCGCACGCCGTCCCATCTCGTCGCCGCATGCTTTAGCAACGAGGACCACAAGGCTCTGCAGAAGACGGGCGGAGACTACCTAGCCGCTCATAAGAGGGGAGCACGCGCCCCACGTGAGTATGCAACACGCTGCCGACGCACCTGGTAGGGGAGTCGGCATACCCTTCGGTGTCCGCCATGTCGACTGCACGCGACCACAGCGCGCTGGAGAAGAAATCGCAGAAGCCTCGGGGGCAGAAAGCGACCCAAGTGAGTATATCGGTACAGCACAGAGGAGCACATACTGGCACGGTGCGCAGCCACCGGATCTACAACTCCCCCACTTCCCATGGGACAGGCTCGCCTTCCCAGTCTTCTCCGTCCCCCTCATGATCATTGTCCTCCCCGGCGTCCCATATCTCGCCTCCCTTCTTGGGATCGTAGGACGTCTCACGGCTTCCGTACAATAGCCCACGGACCACCTTCTCCCCATCCTCTCTTGTCCGTTCATTAGGCGATATCGCCAGAATGCGCTGTAGATCCTCCGGAAGGTCGACGTCAAATTTGCCCGGTTCGTCTGGCCTATCGTTCGCCGGCTGTTGGTGACGACGTGCCAGCCACAGTCGTTCCCAGTCGGCATCGGTGTCATTCCCCCCGGTCAGGGCGGCAAGCCTGGCGATTGGGTCGATCTCTTTAACTTGGATCTCGTCCTCGTCGGCGCTGGCGCTCTCGTCGTCGGCTCCATCGATACTTTGGAACAACTTGGCTTTCTTGCGGGCGAAGGGAACAGCCTTACCCTTGCCTTTATCGACACCTTTAGACGATTTAGACTGCATGGGTGGCGGAGAAGGGGGGATTAGAGGGAGGTCCAGAAGAGCGTTGTCATCCGCAGGATGGTTAGTGACGTCGTCTGGGAAAAGGGACACGGCCCGCGTATTCGGCGGGTGGGACGGGGGATCCATGCGACTAGATTGGCTTCGGCCTGGACCTGGCTTTGACTGCGATGACTTCAGCGTACCAACTTCAGATCGCAGGTCGTCTTTTTGCGGCGCGACGGCGTTCGGGATGTCTTTCGTGATTCGAATCTTCTTGCCATTCTTCTTGCCCGATGTGCCAGCGAACGCCTCGAGACTCTTCAGCTTGGGTTTCTCGTCCCACTCTCCGTCTTCTTCAGATGAAGGAGTCAGCGCCCGCGACCGGTCCCTCTTCAGCGAACGATCGAGCACACCCGTCTTCTGACTGGATGTGAGCCTCACTGGCCCAGGCTCGGCATTCGACTCCGTGTCGTCAAAGAGGATTTTGAAACCCTTCCCACTCCTCGGCGGTTTCATGGGGGTGTCTGCTAAAATCGTATCATTCGGCATTGCCATAGTGTCCCCGTCATCGCCAGCCTGCGGGCTCCGAGGGCGTGTAGCACGACCGGTGAAGGAAAGCGCAGCGCGTGAGGTAACGCGGGCGCGTTTCTCTTTGACTGGGGATGGGGATACGGGTTCTCCGCGAAGACGTTTACGTGCTCTTGTTACAGCAGAATCGGCAATGGGCGAAGACGGTGGAGGTTGCATCATAGGGACGGGCTGGATGAGCGGGAATGGATCCGGCGAGAGAGAACGCCGAGCAGCGTGAGCCTTAGCCTTCGATTTGGAGGGTGTGGCAAAGGGATTTGAACGCGATAGGACAGATATGCGGGTCGGAGAGGCATGTGGTTCATGGTTCTTCTTCCTGTTCTTGACCGGGGAGAATGGGTTCGAGGTCAAAACGGGAGGATCGACCTTGACGGCTCGAGCCTTGGGGATGATGGAGGGAGACTGTCGCGGACCTGGACCTGGTTGCGACGAGCCGGATGCGGATGGGAGAGGGTTTCCAGACGATGTCCCTTTGAGAATCGACTTGTAGAGCTTGTATTTCGCCGCTGGGTACACAAACAGACGCGACGGGATGGGTCAGACGCGACGGGGGCTGGGGCACGAGACGCAACGCACCTATAGCAGGCTGAGCCTTGATCTCCTGGACTGATGGGTCCCTGCCATTCTCGGCTCGGAAAGCACGCTCCCATGTCTTGATCTCGGCGCGGAGGGTAGTGAGGTCCATGGGGAGGGATGCGACGCGGTGTAGGTTCAGACGCGTGTGGTCTGCCAGAATGCACGCGCTTGAACAGACGCGTCGGGGAAGCACGTGATGCTGGCAATACGAGGCACGATGGCCGCCCGGGCTCCTCAAGGCACGGCCCCAGCACGGCCGAACGTTGAACGTTGCCTGGCAGTGGGTGGACTGACGACAAGTCTGATCGCCATTCTGTTCCTCCTTGGAGCTCGTCATCCCCTCGTAGGCTCATCCAATGAACCCCTACTTTAATCCCGACGATGGACACCTGCGCCCCCACCACGCCTCCCCGACTGCCTCCTTCCCTCAGCCGGGACCACTGCCCTTCTCCTACCTTCCTCACACCGCTCTCCAGTCTTCCTATTCTCCTGCGCTTTCTCCCGCTCTTTCTCCAGGCCTCTTGTCGCCTGCTTTTTCTCCCCAACCTCAGCTTTCACCCATGCTCGCCACGCCCCAGACTCCCGCCTTCATCCCCCGCGTTTCCGTGATCCTGGAGCCACACGCATGTCCTTCAGCGACCCCGCGTTTTCCTCGGACCCACGCTCCAATCCTCACTTCTTCACCATGAACGACCGCGAGGAGATCTACCCGGCTAGCGTTGCGGATAGCTCGGAATACTCTCCCACCATTGGCGACGAGGAGTCGGAGATCGACCACGCCAACCTGCCTCCTCGCATGCGAATGCAGCTCGAAGCTCAGGAACTCCTCTCTGCTCATGGCCGTTCGGCGTCGATGCCCCATACACTGTCAGCGCCTCCCCCACTAAACCTCACTCGATCGAGCTCGACTAGGGCTATTCCCGTCTCTCCCCCGATATCCCACACACCGCCCTCGGGATCGCACCGCCGCGAGCCTGCTCGACTAGACCATCTCCCGATCGCCAGCACGAGTGCATTCGATCCAGAGGCCGCAGCGTACGCACACGCAGTCTTCGCTGCCCAAGACGAATGGCAGCCTCCCCCTCCGTACTCCGACTCCGAGTCCGATTGGTCGTCGAACCCCCAGACCCCCGCACGTACGCCCTCATCCTCGGCCGTGTACCTTCCTCTCGATGAAAAGAAAATCAAGCCCGCAGACGAGAAGAGTCCCTCCCCGCGATCTCAGCCAGTCTCTTCAGCGAGCGAGCAGGCGGCAGTGGTGGCGTCGCAAGCCAGGAAGCTCGCCGCTCTCGGTGAACTCCCGCCTTCCCCGGCCAGGCCGTCGATCAGTGCCCGGAATGCTTCGGCCCCGGAGCTCAGAGCCTTGCCGACGGAGGTTGAAGTACCCCCTCGTCCAGCAACCGTGCCCGCACCTGCACCCTCTCCGGAAGAGGCTTCAGCACCACTACCCATGGGTCGCCGCCAGGCGAGCAAGAACCAGAGCATTGCAACCCCTCCGCGCGATCTGGACCGCATCGATGAGCTCGATGAGTCCGACCCCCTTGGCTTCGCATGGCACCACAATGGTCCGTACGAGGCTATCGCGAAAGCAGGCCAGGGTGCTCCTGGTAGCGAAGACCACGCGGCTCATAAATCCAGGGTCAGTACTGTATTTGTTGGATTGCTGTGATGTGGCTGAATCCACTTACACATAGACTAAGCGCAAGTCTCCAGCGAGCCATAACCAGCCTCCCACGAGCGTGAAGCCAGGACAGATTTTCCCTTTTACTTCCCAGTTCCAGACTCCGGGGCCCAGTGATATGAGTTACATGAGACCATTTGCTCCTGACATGCCCCCACCCGACAACTTCTCTGTCACCTCTCCGCCGCGTAGCCCCCTTGCCCTCCCTGTTCAACGGCGCTTGCCCCCCATGGTCGCCGATCCTGGAGTGTACAGCAACATCCACATGGCAGGATTACGCCCCGATCCCCCAGCAGTTCCTCTCACGCACAGACTCGACATCAGTCTCTTCAAGTTCCTTCGTCGTTTCCCCCTTCGTTTGTCCCGGGGCGCTCCCATACTGTACTGCTCCCAAGTGGGAACGAAAGTCGCCATGTGGTGCCTCCCCCCACCAGTCGCTCTTCCCCTCCGCAATCGTACCTTTCCACTAACCCTTACACTCACGAAACTTCCACCTTCTCCCAACCTTCGGGTTATCCTCGCGAGGCGGCTTCGCAGAGTCAACGGCCTGCATCAATCGCACCACCTCGTCGCGACCTCCCTCCCGCCAGTATGGCGCCTCGGCCCGATATCACCCTCCCTCCCACTCGTTCTGGAAAGCAGTCAGCCCTCCGGCCAAGTCATGTCCCGCAGAAGCTGGTCATGCCCGCTCCGCTGCAACAGAACCCGCCATCACGGCCTGCGCACCCCCCTTCAGGTCCAGCGCATGTCGAAATACTTAACCAGCGTCATCTCTCCGTCCCACCGACAATTCCCTCCCCGTCGTCCTCGGGCAGCGCGTCTTCAGCGCAGCATCACCAGACGAGCAGAGCCAAGGACATTCCCATGAGCCATGGCCCGAAGGTACTCAAAAAGCGTCACACCATGGGCGTCCCCCAGCCGCGCTCTGAAGTCCCCTCATCGAGTGCCGTGGCCGCGATGTTCGCCTCCCGCGTGCATTTCGAGGAACCCAAGGAGGATCGGCGGAAACGCGAGAAAGAGGGAAAGCAGGCGAAGGAGAAAGGCGTTTCGAAGGTTGTTCCGCTGGACGGTGCGTTCTTCATCGATCCAGTGAAGGAGGCGGAAATCGCGCGTCAGCGCGATGCTGCCCGGAAGAGCAGCGAGAAGGCTGCTGGCCGCAAGCTAAGCAAACGTCGGTAGCTTCGATGTTTTCCTCAATCCCCTCCCAGCGGTCATGAACATTCATATGTTGTACTACTCCCCGATAACGTCACTCTCTTCACATCCCTCTGTCCAAGCATGGACCTCTGAAATCGCATCAGTGCCATTCGGCTGGTCCTCCTCCCACATCTTTGTAGCTGTTATGAAGTACATATCTATACCATACATCCCTCACACTATTCTATGATACATATCAAACAAGGACTGTTGACACCAAAAATCAACCCTACCTGCACTGCATTATGTACTATATATCTATGTTTGAACTGCCATCACGCGAATGTCTCATGCCCTCGTTCTCTGCGTGCAACCGCTACAGTGAACGTGGCCATGTCAGCAACCCTGTTGCAGCCTCGCAGATACGCAGTTTCGGTCTTTAAAGATTGTGCGATGCCATGTCGCGACAGATCAGGGGGGTTTATCTTATACTGGGCCATCAGCGTTATGTGTGCGATGTAGCATGCACTTTTTTCCTGACCAGCGATCGCGTCAGTGGTATTAATATCCCGTGTCTTAGTCTGGGCCACTGTTTTTGTGGGCAGATAAGAGACTTTGTCGAAACTGTCCAGCCAGCATTGAAGCGTGCGGGTGTGGACGACGAGAGTCTACACTTGGCATTACCTGCGGTATTACTGTATATTTACACGGCGATATGGCAAGCGCATAATAGCGCCGCCGCAGAAGAAACGTATGTCAACCAAGCCATAGATTGCCAACCTGCTTTTGATCCCCTGTTGATTTCCGTTGCTGTGCCGCACGCGATAGGCTGACCAACGTTGGTGACTTTGGGTGGACTGGGATCGGGACCCCATCACAAGGCACTGGCAAACGCAGACATCACTTACCGCCACCTTCGGGCCTGCCTGGTGCCCATAATGGAAGGCTGAGACGACGGAAGAAAGGACCGGCCCTCGAAATAGCCCCGCCGCGCGTGGAGGGTGGCGGACTGCGATGGGCGACGCCGGGGGCACATGGACACTCGGGCGCGAGCGCGAGATAAACCAATGTGCACGCGCGGAGGCTTGAACGTTCATTGTTCTCCCTAACCCCGGCTGCTGCGCTTCCCATACATGGCGGCTTCACGCCGCGTGCGGGCGCGCGGGAGGGGAGGGGAGGAGGGGGGGAGGCTGCTTGCAGGGCTGCTAAGCGGCATGTGGGTGGTGGAGTGGTGCAACAGCACATGCGCGATGACCTCGAAGCGCACTAGAGTGAGTGCTGGTGTCCGAAGGTCGCGATGATAGAGCGCGTCGGAGGGTCATAAATTCGGCGGGACGGAGAGGCAAGGAGGGCATCTCAAGCACACCTCGTCGACCTCCCCATTTCGCCTCGCCTCATCTCATCATGAAGGCCTTCTCCATCATCCTGGCGGTCATGTCCGCGTTCCTCGTTGCGGCGACCACTGCACGGGTGAGCCGTAGGCAGTCTGGAGGCTGCGATTGCGCCGGTGTGTTCCCTGCATGCATAGCTGCCATTCGCTGCCGCTGACCGGATGATAGGGACTTCCTACTCGAGCCAGGACATCTCCGAAGCCATTGAGGAGGCTGAGGATGGCGGTGCCAGGTCTCTTGCAACTGCGCTCGGTGATGGTGTTGCTGACACATTTTTGACAGCGACTACCCGCACCAATACCATGATTACGAGGTAAGCAATCGTGTTGACGAGCAACGATTTCTACCCACTGATTGTTCTCCACAGGGCTTCTCTTTCCCTTCGTGCTCCGGAAAGTTCTTCGAATACCCACTGGAACAGGACAATGTGTACACTGGGGGAAGCCCTGGCGCTGACCGTGTAATCTACGACGAGGACAGCAACTTTTGCGGTACGATTCACAAGATTGTCAGCCCCCAACAACTATCTGATGGACACCTCACAGCTTGCTTGACTCACACTGGGGCCTCGAACGATGACTTCCTTGAGTGCGATTTTTAGCGGTGATACCTCTGTAGTTCATATATGACCCTGGAAGAGATACTTCAGTAATACATAAGTTGAAGGACAAGAAGACTGGCACGACTAGAACTACAAAGTGCGGAAACTGAGGCCATGAAGTATCACATTGCATAAAATTATTGAGGTTTTAGGGCCGCCGAGAATGAAGAAAGGTTCAAGTTTGGACGGCAAAGCGGTTGCCAGCCGACACTCATAACATTGACGGATTCCGAATTATCGAACATACACGAGAATACAATCAGTACTGAACACGGAACATGAACTGGAAACTATACTGCTTGGTGTCGGGGTCCCAATGAGACCAGTTCCAGAACCCAGCATCGTCCGACTCGTCTTCAATCTCACGAGCAGGTATCCGGAAAGCAATGGTCTCGTAAGGCTCTGCGGCGACCTATGTCTGCCTCAGCATCGCAGTCGCAGCGAAAACAAAGATGACTCACGATCAAGTACTGATATGCCTTGTTCGGAGGCTCCCTCTTTTGCTCCCAAGCACTCATGAAACGTCGTCGAGGAATAACGTCTCCCTTGATTTGCGGTAGATGAACCTGAACCATCATGCCCTCTTTGCCCGTGTCCCTATCGCGCACTTTGGTGACTCGATATCCAGGGCGACCAATTTTAAGGAAGACTTTCTTGTGGACACTCTGCTGCGTTGGGGCGATCATGAGCTGGGTCTCCTTGAGGTCGCGGGCGGCTCGCCGCGCCAGGTTGGTCTGATGCTTCTTCCCCTGGGTGTGAGCGAGATAGGAACCTTCATTGGTGTGGAGGGTCAAACAAAGACGACACTCAAGTGATCCCAGGTGGTTGCGGAGGATGTAGGGGTCCTGGACGACTGCTAGTGAGATTTTGAGGGTTCGCCGGGCGCGAAGCCACACGTACCTTCGCGAGGTCAATGGTCTCCAATGCCAGCTTCCTGAGCCGCTCACGACGGTCCACATTTGTCTCGGATGCTCCTGCGACACCTCCTCCACCAAACTTGGACCCGACACGGTTCTACGGGACAGAACGCTGAGGACAGGCCCATGATACGGACATCTTCATATGCTCACCTGGTAGTCTGAGGTAGCACGCAAATGAGACTCGCGACGGGGACGTAAGGGGGCAAAACTCACCCATTTTCGACTGGAGGTAAGGACAGCAGCGGAAGGGTGGTCGAGGGTGGTCGAGTGCCAACAAGGGACAGCGGCCGCTTAGTCATCGGTAAGCTTCTGCGATCGAGATCTGCGCGTCCTCCAATCATTATGGGCGGCAAAATTTGGGACTCGTCTCGCCGACGTTTTCAAGCGGCCACAGTCCACTGCTCCAGTCCTTCGCTCTCTTCCGGACTCGTCGGGCACACGCCCCCCGATTTATACCCCCACTGCATATCTGCAGCATAGTCCTCAGTGCCCTACACGTTCCCCACCACACACCATGGCCGCCGGAAAGAAGCGCGTCCTGGACGATTCCGCGGTTGCCCCCAAAGCAAAGAAGACAAAGACCGAGGACCGCGTCAAGAACCCAAAAGAAAAGAACCCAAAACCGGAGCAACCCGCGTCGACATTGGTCTTGGAGGATGTCGACTTCCCCCGAGGTGGAGGAACGAACCTCACTCCTCTTGAAGTGAAGACCTTGCGCTCAGAGGCTGCCAAGGAAGCAGACAAGGAGCTTTTTGAAGTGAGCGTATTTTCAACTCTATATCTACTCATGCGTCTAAATGAACGAAAGGAATCTTCGAACAAGCCTGCAAAGCGTCGGCGTAAGTCAGAGGCAGGCGCTTCAGGGAAAGCGTCCAAGGATGGCAAGAAAGTTGGAGTACGGATAGAGCACCTCAACTACAAGGTAAGAATGTCCCTTGTCGCATTTCATGCGTCGCTCACTCTTTGCGTAGAGGGTGACTGAAGGCATGAAGATTCTTGGCCAAATCGTCTCCGTGGAACCCCTCGCGCTCATCGTTTCTCTCCCCAACCAACTCTTCGCTCACGTACCGATCACTCAAGTCTCTACGCAACTCACCGAGATTTTGGAGACCATGGAGGATGGAGACACATCTTCAGACGAGGGAGAAGAGAACACATCGTCCCGGGTGCCGGATTTGTTCGAAATCTTCCGTCCCGGACAGTACGTTCGTGCAGTGGTCGCCGCTGTACATGCATCTGGGTCGACAGACATGTCGGGTCTCGGCCGTGCACGAGATGAAATCCAGAGAGCAAGCAGGAGAGTTGAGTTGAGCATTATTCCGAGCAAGGTGAACGAAGGCATCGCCAAAGGCGATCTACGTCCAGGCCTGGTAAGCAGCTGTGCGTTCTTTTCTGTTTCGACATTTCATTTCTTTGTTCAGACATTTGCGGCTGCCATTCGGAGTGTTGAAGATCACGGCTACATCCTCGACGTGGGCGTACCCGACGTTTCCGGCTTCCTGTCTTTCAAGGAAGCTCAGAAGGGCCCGACGGGCGACGTCAAAATGCGCGTCGGCCAATTGTTGGACGTCGCAGTCTCCAAGATGTCAGCCAACGGGAGAACATGTACTGTAATTGTGGACCCGAAAGTTGTCACTACGGTCGCTGTGAGTTCATACGGCATGATAACGTTCTTCGCGTCCATCTCATTTGTGATGTTCAGCTATCTGAAATCAGCAGCGTCACGTCGGTGCTACCGGGCGATCTCGTGCAATCTCTGATTACTGCTGTACAACCGGACGGTCTCGTCGTGCAAGTCCTTGGGTTCTTTGACGGTACTATCGACCAATTACATCTCTCTCCTGGTACCCAGAGGACCATTACAAGATTGGACAGAAGATCAAAGCTAGGGTCCTGTACGGCATTACTCCTTCCACCCCTCCTCGCTTCGCTCTTTCTCTGGGAGAGCATGTTGTCAAGCAGACGATCAAGACAACAGACGAAGCTGTCGATCTTCGTGAAGCCTATCCCGTGGGAACCATGCTCGACGCTGCAAAGGTTATCAGGGTCGAAAACGAGAGAGGGCTGATAGTTCAAGTCAGCGAGGGCGTGGAGGGACTCGTGCACGTCAGTTTTTGTCTCAGTCACCAGACTCCCTTCCCAGTTACTGAGGTCGCATTCTAGATCTCTCACGTCTCTGACGAACATATTCCGACGCTCTCGCCGTCGTCGGGAGCATGGAAATTAGGCACCGTGCACCGTGCTCGTGTTACGGGATATTATCCTTTCGACGGCATCCTACAGCTTTCACTTCGACCTTCAATATTGGCACAGAAGTTCCTCCAGGTGGCCGATGTTCAAGTCGGTGAGGTCATCAAAGGGACGATCAAGAAGCTCACGGACTCGGCGTTGTTTGTATCGATCTCAGGCAATGTGGATGGCGTCATTTGGCCCAACCACTACGCGGATATCGCCTTGAAGCACCCCCAGAAGCGTTTCAAGCCTGCAGCGAGCATCAAGTGCAGGGTAAGAAACTCATTCCAGAGATTAGTCATGGTATCTCATGCATTTGTAGGTGCTTGTCGTGGACCCTGATAGAAAACGAATCGCTTTGACCGCTAAGAAGACCCTCGTGGATTCCACCCTCCCGATCATCGCACATATCAGTGAGGCCCAGATTGGCATGGTCTCGCATGCTGTCGTTTTCAAAGTCTCCGAGAAAAGCTTACAAGTCGAGTTCTTCAACAACCTCAAAGCGATCGTCCCAGCGCGCGAAGCAAGGTGTGTTGTGCTGACACGACATCCTGAATATCCGTTCAGGTTCTTTGTTCTTTATGCAGTGAAACCCCTATATCCTCACTGGCTTCAGTCTTCCCTGTCGGCAAACCTGTTCAAGTCCGCATCATCGCGGTTGACACGGAGAGTTCACGCATCACAGCGAGCATACGGCAAGCGTCCCCCACCTTCAAGTCTGCGATCGCCGATATCAGCGGGGTGGATATCGGGGACATCGTGGAAGGCGTTGTGGCTGATATCCACAAGGACAAACTCATGGTTACACTTCACCCTACGCAGGTCACCGCACTGTTGTCGCTCCACAACCTCGCAAACCGTCGTGAGATGTCGGTCGCTCAACTTCGCTCTGCAATCAAGACCGGCGACAAGCTCCGGGAACTTGTCGTGACGTCGCGGAACCCTGAAAAGGGCTTCGTCCTAGTTGCCATGAAGCCGAAGGAGAAGCAGCAACTTGTGCAAAAGAGCCGCCTGTCGCTCGACACGCTTCAACCTGGACAACTCGTGGGTGGCCGCGTCCTACGACACAATCGTCTCGGGGCTCTCGTCAAGCTCACGAACTCGATTCATGGCATACTTCATCCAACAGACGCATGCGACGACTACGAGAACGGAAAGCCTTTCCCGGCCGTCGATTCTGTCCTGAAGGCCGTGGTCCTTAGCGTGGACAACGAGAAGCGGCAAGTTACGTTATCGACACGTATATCTCGTCTCTTCCCCGCTCAAGACAAGCCCGTCACCGATCGCGAAATCTCGAATTTGGAGAGTCTGAAGATCGGAGATTCGGTCAGGGGTTTCATCAAGAATGTCGCTGAACATGGGCTCTTTGTCATGCTCGGCCGTGACATTGATGCGCGGGTTCAGATCAGGGAGCTCTTTGACGATGTGAGCGTCCTCGCAGCCCGCGACAAGCTTAATCGGTCTCACAGCGTTTCTTGTAGTATGTCAAAGATTGGAAAAGCCGTTTCACCGCAAACCAACTTGTCAAGGGTCGGATCCTCAGGTAGGCGTTCTGTGGCAAATGCTTTCCTCGTCTCACCGTCGCTCGCAGCGTGAACTTTGACAAGAAGCAAGTTGAGCTCTCATTCCGCTCCGGAGACCTCAAGCGCGAGACCCGCTCCCAGCTCAATCTTTCTGATCTCGCCGAAGGTCAGAAGGTCGACGGCCATGTGAAGAGGGTGGAAGAGTACGGTATCTTCATCGAGATTGTGGCCTCCAAGCTCAGTGGGTTGTGTCACAAGTCCGAGGTGAGACTACAGCTCTTCTCGCAGGCTAAGTTGGTAGCTGAGAAGACGGCGCTAGCTCTCGGATAACAAAGACGCAGACGTGACCTTGGCGCTGCGTAGTTTCCGCGAAGGCGACAAGGTCAAGGCAGTAGTTCTTTCAATCGATACCGAGAAGCGTCGCATATCTTTTGGTCTCAAGCCTTCCTACTTCGAGGAGCAAGATTTCGAGCAGGGAAAATCCGACGAAGAAGATGAAGCTGACGCACGGGGATCATCTCCGGCCTTCGGCGTCATGGACAACGACGAGAATGAGGACGAAGATGGAGATGGAGAGGAAGACGAGGGCGAACAGGACGTTGACGCCGATGTCGAACTCGCAGACGGTTCACAAGACGGCTCAGCGGAGGAAGACTCCAACACAGAAGCGGAAGGGATGGATATCGACTTCACGCTCGATCTTCAACAGCCATCGAACAGTGCAACACCAGTCCCCTCTAAACGTGGCCTGCAGCTGGACAACGGTTTCCAATGGTCTGCTGTCGATGCCTCCGAGGACGTCGACAAGGACTCGGAAGACAACGATGAGGACGAGCAGCCCGAGGAGAAGAAGAAGAAGCGCAAGCGCAAGGAGATAGAGCAAGACCTCACTGCCGACATGCACACCAAGCTTCCAGAATCCAACGCTGACTTCGAGCGTCTGCTTCTTGGTTCCCCAGACTCGTCGTATCTGTGGGTTCAGTACATGTCCTTCCAGCTCCAGATCTCCGAGGTGGACAAAGCGCGGGAAATCGCCAAACGCGCGACGAAGACGATCAACTTCCGTGAAGAGCAGGAAAAGATGAACGTCTGGATCGCGCTGCTCAACCTGGAGAACATCTACGGCACCGACGAGTCGCTTGAGACGGCTTTCAAAGACGCCGCCCGACACAACGATTCAAAGACGATCCATCTGCGCATGGCCGAGATCTTCGAGCAAAGCGACAAGTCAGAGGTAATGTCCGCGCAAGTACACCCTCAGTCTCCGTATTCACCTCTCACTCCAGAAAGCGGAGGAGCAGTACAAGCGCACCTGCAAGAAGTTCTCGACCAGCTCGAAAGTCTGGACGCTGTGTGGCGAACATTACCTCAAGCGCGGGATGCTCGAAGAGGCTCGCAAGCTCCTTCCTCGCAGCCTTCAGAGCTTAGAGAAGGGGAAACGTCAGTGAAACAATGCTTGACCATCAAACTTTTGTTAACCCGCGCCAACAGACTTGAAGACGATTTGCAAGTTCGCTCAACTCGAGTACAAGCTTGGTGATCCAGAACGAGGCAAGACCATCTTCGAAGGCATCGTGGACTCCCATCTGAAGCGTTGGGACATGTGGTCGGTTTACATGGACATGGAGGCAAGCCAAGGGGACATCATGAGCCTAAGGAACCTCTTCAACCGTGTACTCGCTCTCAAGATGACCAGCCATAAGGCCAAGTGAGGTTTTATGTTTTACCGAGGATCCGAAGTACTCATAAATGCACGTCAGATCTTTCTTCAAGAAGTGGCTCGAACTCGAGCGCCGACTTGGAGACGAGGAGGGTGCAGACGCTGTCAAGGCGAAAGCCATTGAATGGACTCAGCGTGCTGCCGGGGTTTCCGATCCGGATACGTAGTTCGTCATTGTAGCATAATCTCCAGAGTCCTTCGCATGTCATTTGTACCCGATTCATCCAGTGGGCGTAAATTAGTATATTCAATCACAACTATACCGCATAGACAGCAAAGGACATTATGATACTGAGATGAAGACGAGCGAGGTGACGAAATGAGCGTAGGAGAGTCAGAGCGACAACAGTTATAAGAGTAGGGTATATGCCAGCATAAATACGTCGTGGATAGGGTCATGAACGCGATCGTACTCGTTCATGACCGAGCGAAGGTTGTGAATCGTAATCAAGGGCCGGCCTGCGATGATTGCTCATGGAGCTGGCGAGCTGCCGCTGCCAGTCGTCCAGCTCGCTCGAGAGGTGCTCAAACGCCATGGCGTTCTCCGAGCTCGATGTGCTTGTGCGGCGCTCCGAGAAGCCAGACACGGGGCGCCCGTGACCGAAATCGGGCTGGTCGACGCCGAGCAGGAGCTCGATTTTGTGCGACAACTGCTCGTTCTCGTGCTTGAGAGTCGCGTTCTCCGCGTTGAGCTGCTCGAAGAGCGAATCCTCGCGGCCGCCGCGGGCGATGGTGAGAGAACCCTGCAGGCGTTCGATGTCCTGTTCCAGCTCGTCGATGCGCGCCAGGCGGTCCTCCGAGTCTCGTTGGGAGGCGATGACGTTGTCGCGCATGTGCTCGAGGTCTTGCTCGAGGGTGTCGATACGCGACCGAAGCTCTTTGTTGTCAGCGTTGAGGCGCCGGACTTGACTCTGAGCGTCCTGGAGCTGGTTGCGGAGGAACTCATTGCCCTCGTCGGACGATGGCGTGCCCCGCCCGTTCAAGCCACGTAGCCTCATGCTAGGTGAACCGCGGTCCATCTCTGCTTGCATGCTCTGGTTGAGGTTCTTTTGTTTGCTGAGCTCGTCCTTCATCTTGCGCATGGTCTTTTCGGTCGCCCTATGATCACGTCAGTGTCTGGTAATAGTCGTCTTCAACCACGTTGTGACTCACTTTACGTAATGAACCGCAAGCTGATAATCCTCTTCGAGCTGCTGCAAGCGAGCCTTGTACGAGCTCTCCGTCTCCTCCAGCTCCTTCCGCAGCTCTGCAACCACGACATCGTTGTTGGCGTCGCCATTGCGATGGGGAGGGGTCTGCGCGCGGAGGCGGTCGAGTTGGGCAGAGAGAGACTCGACCTGAGCGTCCGAGTCCTGCTTCTGCGTGAGCAGCGTCTGCAGCTCCCGTTCGACGATCTCGTGCGCGCGGATGCGCTCAGAGAGGTGGCCTTCGAGCTCCTGGACGCGAGCGGTGGTGACGTCGTCGGCACGGAGGGGATTGCCGTGCTCGTCCTCGACGACGATGCCCTGAGCGGCGAGGTAGGAACGCATCGCATCGAGGCGCATCGAATGGGCCGTTACTTCCTTGTGCTTGCCCTGCAGCTCTGCGTCCTTCGAGGCGAGCTCCTTGCGAATACGGCCGCTGTCGGCGAGAGCAATCGAGTACTGCGTCCGGAAGCCGACGACCTGCGAACGAAGGGAGAGCGTTCGGTCTCGGCTTCGCGAAGCTTGCGGCGCTCCTTGGAAATATCTTCCTGAGTCTCCTCGGCACGCTGGTTGGCGTCCTTGAGCATGTCGCGGAGCGAGTTAACTTCGTTCTGGAGCGCGGCCACTTTCTCCGTGTACCCGCGAGTGAGGCGAGTCTCGTCGCTGCGGAGCTCGTTGTGGGAGTCGAGGAGCTTGCCCAAGCTGCCGGTGGTCAGTGCACGGAAGTGGTCCGCCTCCTCCCGCGACTTCGCCCAGAAGTTCTCGACGTCCGTGATGCGAACGCGAGCGGCCTCGATCTCTGACGTCCGAGCCTCGAGCTCACCACGGAGGTCCGCGACGTCGGCCTCGAGCTGGCTGACATGCTCGCGAGCGCGAGCGTACTGGGCGTCGACTTCTTCCGCACGGGCAGAGGCTGCGGTGACTGCGGCCCGTGTCTGGTCGAGGCGCGGATGTGCTGGTTCTGCGCACGCAAGAGCTCTTCGACCTGGGTGGAGGCCTTGATATAATCCGCCTCTTGCTGCTCAACGAGAGAGGTCTGTGCCATGAGCTTGTCGGTCGTGTCACGTAGCTTGGTCTCCAAAAGTGCGTTATCTTCCCGAAGCTTCCTCTCCGCGCCAGAGGCCTGTTCGTACGACTGCGATATGGTGTCCGCGCGTCGCGATGCATCGTCGGCCCGGGCTTCAGCCTGCTCGAGGAGGGTCGTCTGCAGCGACATGGTGTCACTGAGCTCCTTGATCTTGTGGTCGCGGTCTTCCTTATTGGCAAGCGCGAGCGACAATTGACGCTCAAGATCGGCAGAGCGTGCGTGCTCAACCTTGGCAATCTCGGTTTCCGAAGCGGACTCCAGTGCGGCAAGTTTCGCTCGGTAGAAAGCGGCTTCTTGCACAGCACTTGCTCGTACCCGCTCCGCCTCTTGTACCCGTTCCGACGCTTCTCTTGCGCGTTCCGTGACGGAAGCCTACGCCATGAAACGCGTCAGTAACTGGTGAGAACTCACGCGAGTATGCGTGGTAGGAAACAACCGGCGATCTGTCAAGCAGATGCGCCTTCACGATGGATAGTCGCCAAATGTTCGCCATCCACGTCATACGTGCTGCAGCCGTATCCATGCCCACACGCCAAATGAGGCAACACACCTGGATCTTTGCCTTGAGCTGCTTGAGGCTGATCACCATCTCGGTGACCTTCCGGCCGTCAATGTCGTCATCGTCCGCACGTGAAGAGAGCTCTTCTTCGGTCTCCGCGTAGATGAACCCGGCGCGCTCGGCCTTCAGAAGGGCAGCCTTCATCCAAGCCTCCTTCTTCTTGAGCGCCTCGACCTCGACCTCCTTGTCCTTCAGGTCACGGATCAGGTCAGCGGTAATGTTGCCAGTCGAACCAGGCTTGGCGAAACCGTTCATCGTAGGCGACGCTGGCTTGTAGAACGCCTCGTTCGAGTTCTTGCGATCGACATTGGGGGAAGGACTTCGTGCACCGGTTGCGCCATTGCGAGCCATGATAACACTAGCAAGACTCGCCGGCGGCCCTGCAGGGTCGTAGACGTCGTTCATCTGCGCCGGAGACACTGCGCGACTGGCAATCATGGGGGGACTCTTCGCACGGCCTCCGTCAGGGGAAACGGCACGTTCGCGTAAGACGGGCTCGTTGGTCTCGGGACTGCTTTCCCCATCGCCCTCTAGAGCCTTGCCCTTGCCCTTGTTGTATTGCGTCGAGACTCCATTCGTCACCTGCTGGCGGCCGGCAGGCGAGACGATGCGGCGAGCCTCGTCACTATCGGATACAAGGTTCGGTGACTCATCACGAGGGTGCTCGGAGCTTGGGCGCTGCACGGCTTGAGGCTGAGCCGCAATTGATTTGCGTCCATTCGCAGCCACCGGGGGTGGCTTGCTCGAGTCTGGATACTTGATGTGCTCTGCGTGACATTGTCAGAAAACCATTGAACAGCAAAGGACTAGAACTCACTCGTATCCAGTACATGTATCATTAGTGGATCCTCAGGCTTTTGGGGGTTGAGAGACTCGCCGCCGAGACCACCTAAGACAAACACTCGCGACCCCATGGAGGCCATGGCGTGCCCAGAGCGTGGCGTAGGAGCAGGACCCATCTTCTGGAACATGTACCAGCGCTGGTCTGCATGATGGTGTCAGAAGTGCGGAGACAAGAGCAGGTTGCTGAATGTACGTACTCGAAACCTTAAATGCACCGAGATCACCCAAATCCTTCCCATCGACACCGCGACCTCCAAATACATAGATGACATCGTCCACAATGGCGGCGGAATGACCCTCTCGAGGTGAAGGGATGAATCCAATGCATGTCAGCTCCGCCCATGTCCTTGTGTTGGTGTCGAACGACCAGGTGTCGTTATAATGGTATTGGCAGTCCGTTCCACCGAAGCTGAGATGAGTACAGCATAAGCACGAAATATAAATGCATGAATCGAGCGACGCACAGAATGATCTGGTCCCCAAATGTGACACAGATATGACTTGTTCGCTTTGGCGGACGCGGTGAGCCCTCCACAGGCTCCACAAGCTCCCAGGTTGCCCTTGTCCTCACTAGCGTTCGTGAAGTGGAGCAGAGAAAGGCCGAGGCAAATAGTGCGATAGTGAGCGCCGAGTCTAGTGCGACGGGGCTGACTTACGTGAGTTGAGATCAAAAGACCAGAGGTCGTTAAGAAACTCCCCATCGACCTGGCCACCGAACACGTAGAACTTGGAACCGACCATCGTGACAGCGTGGCCGTAGCGGCCCACGGGGGACGGGCCATACACGGCGACCCTCGTCCACTCACGAGAAACTGGGAGGGCGCGTGAGGTGGAGGCAGGGCGGGGCTAGCCTCTATGGACGCACCTAAGTTGAGCAGATACAAGCCGTCGTCCTGCTTATCGCCGGGTTTTGACTTGGAGCTCGTCTTCGTGTCCCCACCCCAAACGATCAGCACGCTCCCGACGAGAGCGCTGGCATGACCGACACGGGGCGAGGGGATCTCGCCCGTCGTTTGGAGCAGCGTCGCAGATAGGTCTCGTGTTGAGAGGAGGTAGAGGTCGTTCCGCACAGTCTCTCGCACGAGTCCACCGAAGAGGAAGAGCTCACCCGAGGTCGTGGCATTGACGGGAAGTGCATGGCCGTACCGCGGGAATGGCGACGGGGAAGGGGATGTGGGGGGCGCGACGCCAGGTTTAGGGATGGTGACGGGGGGAGGAAGTTGCAGTCGACGCTGGGACCATGGGAATGCTGGCCGCTGTTGCGACTGGCCTTGCTGGCCATTCTGGTGGGAGCTGGGGGCGGGATTGGTACTGTTGGTCCCTTGTGGTGGGGGTTGACCGTTAACAGGGCGTTGGACTTGCTGGGAAATGCCCGGTTGAATGCCATTCGCAGCAGGAGAAGGGCTGCCGCGACCGTTGAGACCACTGGATCGGAAGGGATTAGACTGACGCGTCCGGGGATGTTGAAGTTGGGAGAGGGACATGGCTGGGAGATGGAAGAGTGACGAAGAACACACCTGTCGTAACTAGTCTCCTTTGATAGCTGCCTCTGCGACTGCTGTTGGCTTGCAGGGGGCTGTTGGACCTGAGAGATGGGAGCCACGGCCGGCGGTGATTGAGCACCTGAAGTGCTGGACTGCTGCTGAGTATGCTTCTTCCTGCTGAAGAAGGACATTCTTCTGCTCCGTCCTCCGAAAAGAGACTGTATGGCTGCAGAACTAGAGAAGAAGGGGGGGGAGGGGAGGGGGGCGGCCGGGCACGGTGGAGCACTGCAGGCCCGCCTGGAGGAAGGAGGAACGAAAGCGGCAAAGCGAGCGACTCGCAGCGTTCCTGGCCAGTCCCTCTCCCGGTCCTCACGACGCGTCTAGCAACCGCCTCCGCTGATAGCCGTCTCTCCCTCTCTGATATTCATCCAATATTCCTCCGCTCCCCTCCTCCGTCCCGCTCTGGTCGCTGGGCGTGTGCGCTCGCACCTGGGCACCTCGGGCGCGGTCGACATTGTCTACGCGTCTGCCGTTGTGCTTCCAGCCCCGCCGCCCCACTCCCCACACTCCATCAAGACATCCCTCCACAGATGCGCATCATCCGTTTATCAGCCCAGCTCAGTTTGCAAGCCGCGCCATTCAACTCGTCACTGCCGATAAGCCCCCATGTTTGCTCTTCGTCCACAGTCGGAAAGGCACGCCACCCTCTACTATCTGATATCTCGGTCCTTACAGTACATACATCAACTTCTGCTATGCCAGGCAGTGCGCCCGCGTGACCTTTGACCACGCATTGGGGCGTACCGCCGTACGTCGGACGTGCAAATATTGCCAGAAATGCCCTCTTCGGCACACATCGCTCGGCATGAGGCTAAGGATCTTGGGTTTGGCGGCGCAAGATGGCTCCGTCCTATCGAGACAGTCCCGACGCCGTCTAAGTTGCCCCTATGTACGACTATGCGAGGCACTGAATGGAACTGGCTGAGTGCCCATATCCCAAACGACGGTGGTCTGACTCACAAGTCGTAGGACAGATCTGCCGACGCGCGAGCTTTACGCAGACTCGAGTGTGTTCCAGGTGATGATGGCATCCAAGTCTTCCGAGTCGTGATCCCGCTTGCGGTGAGCTATGACGCGCTGCTTGGATGGGAAAAGACGGCAGCAGCCCTTGTACGCGCATATAAAGATAGGTGTTCTGGTGTAAAACTTGTCAGACTACGAGGATAAAGCAGGGTGGACTCTACGCACTCGCTAGGATCTGTGATTCTGGCCATGCCTGCTTCTACTTGCTCGCGAGTAGTGGTGACTGCACAGTAATCAATAAATGTCCGAGCAACGTGCCTGAATATCTTACCATCCTGAATGGCTGGGATTGAGGGGAGTACCGACGGTAATCTGGGTTGCGGCCATTGTGCCATTGTGGTCAACTTCAGAAAGTCGACGCCACCGTGGGCTTCGGTCCTCACGTGCGTGAGAATATATCGAAATGGAAGGGGACGTTCAATCGCGGACGCGGATATCCCTTCGCTAGTTCACTATTCGCCGCATTGATCCCCTAGTTCTCCCAGAAAAACAGGTGGGCCCTAGAGCTTGGTACAGCTTAATGAACGGTACACGAATCACGAGAAGTCTATATAGGTCCTTGACTAGTGACGTGATGATCACTCCAGGACATCCGCCGTGCTCAGTCGACGATTGTGAACGTAGGACTCCGGTTCCCAGAATCTCCAAACACTGTTCACGGAATACGGAAGTCAACTCGCGTGTTTCATCAATGCATCAACTTCGGTACTCACAGACGACGATGTAATGATTCGACGGACTCACGTCCGGCACCTCGATTGGACGTGTCCGGCCGTCAGATTGAATCCATCCGCCAGCGGATGTTCTAATCAGCGTCCGTCAGCAGATGCCGTTGCCGCAGCGGAGAAGCCAGATAGCGCCATCCAGCCCACTTCTGCAACGGCCCCGTCCCACGCAGTCTATCTGCAGAAGAGTCCCGCCCGGACACCACGAAGGCGCCGCCGGCACCCGCCGATCAAAGCTGCCCGCTCACCGAAATCGAGGTGCTCGTTCCCGTCGTCGCCATCTTCGAGATGCCCCAGCACGAGCTTGCCGGCGTAGCTTGTGACGTGCTTCGGCGGATGCGCCGTTCTCCTACAATGACAGAAAGCATAACCCGGGAGCCGGAGCGCGGGTCTGTGGGTCAGCGTGTGTCGTGTTTCCAAGTCCACTTCGTTCGTTGCTCTCTTCATCCCCCTCCACCTGCTGATCCAGGAACCATGTTCTCAGAACGCGCGTGTTCGCTCGCCGCCCCCGGACGGATTCCACATCCTTCCATCGCCCGTCCCCACACGAAGCATCATGCGACAGCCCCGTGGTGCCCGCACGCCCGCACCTCCCGCTTCGAGAACCCGACGCCCCCCTCCGGTCAGACGCACACTGTGGGAGCCGTGGGGTGCGTCGCCGAACGGCCGACCGCCGCAGACAACGGCGTCGTGCGTCCCAGGCGAGATGGCGCAGCGGTGCGATGGGAAGCCAGAACAAGATTATATAACGCACCATCTCACCGTGACCGTGTCACCAGCTTTCCACACCGTGGCCGCGTCCGGGGTCGTGATCGCAGGAGTCCAGACGTCCCGCGCGCCCAGAGACTCCTCCCAGCCATCCCCAGTTGCGCTCGCCGTGTTGTTGTCCATTGGAAGTACCGTGGTGTTCGAGGTCGAGGTGTCAATGTCATTTGCCTGTCTCAGAGCCGAGGCCGGGGTGTACGCATCAAGATCGAAGGCGGGTGGCTTGTAGAACGCGCCCGCAGCGCCAATAAGGACTGCGAAGGCGAGGTGGTTTTGGCGAGTGAAGCGCATTGGTCACAGCCGTCTCGAGAACGTGAGGGTTGTGGATGTCTGGTACAGAGGAGACTAGAGGGCTAACATGCTGGTGCTCATCCTGCCGAACTCTATTCAACTTGGGTGGGCCACAACGGGATAGTGATCGAAACTGCCGAACCCGCCGATATGAAGAGCCGATCACACCACACAATCCGCGTATTCCATGAATTCGGCTTACCCAGAAGGGGCGCCACAAGGACGGTGTTACAACTACAGCAATATGTGCCTGGCCTGGGCAACTGCATCTGACTGTGACGGAGGAGGTACGAGTACAAAGTTACAAAGGAGTGTGAGGTCAAATGTCGAAGGCAATAAGTTAAGATGGACGAAGCAATGAACGTCCATAGCGTCAAGACGCTCCAAAGTCCCGGAAAACTCGCCGGGGAAAAGAAAGGAGGGGTTGAAACTGATGAAAGAATGCGCCATTCAGCGACTGGTCTGCGCTAGGCAGAGAAAATCGTTTCATGCTCAAGAAAGCAGCGCCTTGTGGCGAGGAGCAGAGTGCTTGGTGGTGGGGAACTTGATGTTTTCTGAAACAGGTACATGGCTGATCAGCTACCATGGAAGATGAATTCAAGTAATGGGGACGTACTCGTGTCCAGAATATACATGAAATTGGCATCTTTGCCAGAACCGCTCATATCTTCTTCGCTGACGCCTCCGAGGACATACACTTTGGAGCCGACTGCTGCCATGCCATGTCCCGAGCGCGGTGAAGGCTCTGGTCCCATATTCTGAAACATGAACCAGCGCCGGGTCGAGATCTTGAACGCAGCCAGACTGCCCATGTTGGCGCCATCGACACCACGCCCGCCATAGACATACATGATGTCGTCTACGATCGCGGCGGCATGGCTCTCGCGCGGGGTGGGAATGTATCCGAAGCATGACAGCTCAGTCCAGGACCTTGATGCCGGATCGAAGACCCACGTGTCGTTGTAGTGATACTGCCCGTCCGTGCCGCCGAACCTGTCATTTGCACACCCATGATGGTGGGTCGTGAGCGACGTGCGATGGTTGTGAGGGAGATATGGATTTGCCGCACGTACATGATAAGTTGTCCTTTGTGAGCGATACAGGTATGCCCAGAGCGCGGGGACGGCATCTGACCCGAGTTGCCTTTGGGTGAGGGAAAGTGAATATACTCCCAGTAAGGCTTCGAGACGACTGACCAAAGGGTTAAGAGAAATGTCGAGTGAAGGTGGAGTGTTCACTCACGAGAACTGAGATCGAAACACCACAGATCGTTGAATAAGGCTCCGTTGGCCTCTCCTCCGAAAATGTAATCTTCGGGCCGATCATCACAAGCGAGTGCCCAATTCGACCGGTGGGTGACGGCCCGTCGACAGTGATGCGCGTCCACTCGCGAGATGCTGCAATGCAATGTAGAGCGGTCAGACCCTCAGTCATGCCCGATACCTGTGCTACATGCACATGGCTCATCGAGGACTCACCGAGGTTGAGAAAGTACAGCCCATTATCGTACTTGGTCGCCGCCTTGAGCTGATTGGACGACGCCGACCGTGTGTCTCCACCCCATACACAAGGACGCTGCCCGCAAACGCGCTCTTTTGCCCAAAGCGAGGTGAAGGGATGTCACCGATGGTGTACAAACGAGTGACGCCCTGGTCTTGCGCCGAGATGGAGTAAACGTCGTTCTTGGCTCGATCGTTGACTAGTCCACCGAACAGGTTCAAACCGGTCTTGCCCGATGCAGGAGCGGCGAAGGCAAAGTCGGAACGGGGAAATACTGACGGCTGAGAGGGGGTATAACGGGATCCAGTGTCGGGATAGATGAACCTGCGCCTGTACCAGGGGAATATCGGTTCCGTGTCCTCGAGGGTCAGCTCCAGCCGGGGTATAGGCAAAGGCTTCTGGTGACGTTCCAGAGGGTGACGCTCCGGGTAAGCGGTCACCTCGAACCTATCCTTGGGCGGAGGGGTGGGGGCTTCAATGAGAAGGACATCGACCTGGAAGGGGATTTTAAGCTCCTGGGGCTCGCTGGTTTCGACCAAAGTCCTGATAGAAGAGATGGTCAACAGCAACAGACGGGCGAGAATGATGGATGCTCACCGTTCGCTCTGCTTGGAGTCACCTCGAGACAAGTAGGCCCGCTTGACGAGGGCGAAGTCGGAGAAGCTCCTCTTGGAAGAGACGGAGTGGGTGGGAGAGGACTTCCTGGATGAGATTCGACGAAGGATGGGAGGTGGAGAGACACACAGCATGAAGGGGAAGAAGGAGCGGAGGAGAAGGGAAAGGGAAGGGTGATATGAACGCGGGAAGGCGGGCAGGAGTGCGATGGGCAGCTCGCGAGGCATTTAGAGCGGGACGGGGGCTGCGACCGATCCGGGTGAGGAGGATGCCAGACTGTCGGGTGTGGGCACCGCATCCAGTGATTGAGAAGGCGGGCGGTCTGGGTCCTTGTGCAACATCATCGACTGTCTGCTAGGGCGCGGGTACGCAGATGTGCGGGGCAGATCTTGAGCGCTGTATTGCCATGGCCGATGTGCACTCGGGATTAACCATTCGCTTGCAGAGGGTGTGCAGACGTGTGCGGGCAGCAGAGAACCAGTGGGCGGCGGCGGCGGCGGCTCTGACGAGGAGGCAAGGAGTGCGAGTGAGAGAATGAGCAGGACGCAGTGATGGGCCAATTGGCGTCGAACGGGATGCTGGCAACTTGCCAAACTTGCAACCTGCTGCTCCAGCGCTTGCGCCCCCACGCGAGCCGCAAGTGGCTCGGACGCGTTCGTGACGTCACAGTCACATTGCCCGCACCTCTGCTCAATCCCAGCCTCGATCGGACAGGCTTCCATGGCCACTGTGGACGACTCAGGCCAGCCGACAGAGGATCCGCCTGCGCCCCCTGGCCCCTCCGGCGATACCCATGCAGACACCTCTTTCCAGGACATCTCCAACCGCCTCCAGAACTTTTTCTCGTCTTTCTCCACCCCAAAAGACTCGCCATCCACCTCACCGCAGCCGCAGACGATCTCCCTCGACGACGACGACGAACCCCCGTCGCTTTCCATGCGTCCGCCACGCTCTCCAGTCTCTCCCGCCTCACAGCGCTCACCGCTTTGTCTCCCCTCCTCTTCGCGTCCTTCCACGAGCACTCCGCACTCTCCCCGCTCAGGCACCATGAACCTCAGTCGTCCTGCTCCTACCGCAGCCGCAGAGTATTCCGCCGCCGCTCAGCAACGCAAGCGCGCGAGCCAACCGTCCCTCCCCATTCTTCGCTGGTTCTCTGCCAAACCCTCAGGTCACCCGGGCCACCATCCTTCCAGCTCCGTACCAAGTTCACCGGTGCGCTCTCGTCCTCCCACCCCGTCGACTGCGCCTTTGAATCTGCCGGCATCCGCGTCCGTCGATTCCTCCACGCCTTCCACGCCCTCATCCGCACTATCCACTCTCAACGATGCCTTCTCCGACGACCCGCATATTGCGCATTCGCGCCATGGTTCCGATGACATCAGGCTTCCCGAGAGGCCACAGGCAGCACGTTTGCCTATCGCCTCACTGCACAGACCCTCCTACTTCTCCAACCTCACCCGGCCACCCTTCCAACAGCATGCCTCTCGACCCCTTCGTCAGAGTCGTACGTGCGACCCGAGTACACAGACCCCTTTGAGGAACCGTTCCCTCAACAGCCTTTTGACAGGTCCGACCTCGATCTGCTCTACAGTCCTACTCCCATCCCGCTGCCGATGCCACATTCTCCACGCCCTGCGCACCTTAATAGCTCCCCGCCGGAAGGATCGTCGCTGGACTCACTACGCTCAATACACCAGCGTAGTCGGAGCTTTCACACTACCACCAGTCCTCAAACGTTCACTTTTCCACAATTGCCTTCGTTTAAAGGCTGGTTCTCCTCTGAAGACCAAACGAATCCTCAGGCACAGGGGAGGGATCTAGTTCATCCTCTCCTCAATGAAGAAGACCAAGCGGAAACCACAGAAGAGGAACGGGAGCGCATCCGGCGGAAGTGTGCGTATATCTTCCTCCTCATCACGACCATTCATTTAGGCTCTCACCCACATCAGATGCCGCGACCAAGAGCCCATTGGTCTTCTGTCACGGACTCTTAGGATTCGACAAAGTCACCCTCGGACCCTCTATCGCCCCATTTCAGGTTCAACACTGGCGCGGCATCCGTGATGCGCTGGAGTCAAACGGGATCGAGGTATTCCCTGTACCGTATCTCACACATAGGCTTCGGCTGTCTCATACTGCTCTTCCTTTTCGTAGGTGCTCACAACACGCGTCCCTGCGACCAGTTCTCCCGTGGAGCGTGCCAAGGTGCTGTGCGACAAGATTTCGGAGGTCTATCCGGGACGCCCAGTCCATCTAATTGGTTCGTAACGTTCGGTCCATCTTTGCATACGCGCTTATGCAGACTTCAAGACCCACCACAGGTCACAGCATGGTACGTTTTATCAAATTCTAAAGTGCTAGTGCATACATTGAGTAGCTGCGTTCTAGGGCGGGATAGACTGCCGGTACTTGACCACTCATCTCACCAACCGACCATTCAAGGTGCTCTCAGTGACGACCATATCCTCTCCTCACAGAGGGTCTTCGTTTGCAGACCATTTCCTCGAGACAGTGGGGCGCGAGCGCTTGCCCTCTGTATTGTCGTTGATCGACTTGCTCCCCAATGGCGGGGGCGATGGGACTGCTTTCGAGTTCCTAACAGTGAAGAACATGCAATTGTTCAACGAATCCACCCCTGACGTTGAGGGCGTGCACTACTTCAGTTGGGGTGCAACATACGAACCAGGTCTAATCGATACATGGAAGTACGTACTAAACTCCGCTCGATGTTCGTCAGAGCCAGAAGCTGATGCGCGGCCGCGACTGGCAGATGGCCACATTCTGTTGTGCTGGAGAAGGAGGGCCCGAACGACGGACTTGTTTCGCTCCAGTCAGCGAAGTGGGTACGTGCCTTTCTCGTAAACTGATTTGGTAGCCTCTCACGCCGGCTGCCGCGCCTGTAGGGCACGTACCTTGGAACGCTTGAAGGTGTGAACCACCTCGATCTGGTCGGATGGATCAACACCGCACGCTATAAGTGGGCGGAGATCATGGGCCGTGAGATTAAGTTCAAGCCCGCGACGTTTTACCTAGGTATTGCGGACCACCTCGCGCGTGTGGTCGAAGGCCAGGGCGACCCTGAAGGGGATGAGCCCGCGACGAGACCGAAGCTACCACAAGAGTCGAGCGACCGTGAGCGCGGAGAGATGGTGAACAGCTTGGGCAAGGACGAGGCAGACACTCGGAGCACAGAGTCGCTCGCGCCTGAACTAGATGAAACTCCCGCTGGAACGCCGACAGTAGCAAGGCCTGATAGTGGCACGCCGACCGTGGGTCGCTCGAGCACGGAGAGGGAATGTGGGCGATGAAGCCAGTTGGACTTGGCACCCATCACACAGACAGCTATACCCCATATGACCACGCAAGCGACAGAGAGATATCCATGCTCACGACGCTCACGATCGTATAATCTTCTGTATGTTAATACTAATGTATACACTACGCTGCAGACATACATCGCGTTGTGCGAACACGACCTTCCCTTCCGGATTTGCGAAGCGGTTCTGTACGGTCGTGGGAGTGCACCCAGAGAGCTGATGAGGGGCGCGCGGGGACCAAGGCGGGGGGAGAGTCCCGTGAGCGGGGCATGAGATGCATGAGACCAGCGAGGGCGGGGCGGGCGCTGTCGTCATCGCCACCGCGGGGAAGCGGGGGGCCGTGGGTCTGCGCAATCGATCGAGCCGCCCCTCTCTCTCTGCGACCAAGTGCCCTCCAGCGTCGCCATGGCCCTCGAGCAGCTCTCCTCCAACAAGACCTTCGACGGTCAGCTCATCAAGTATAAGTTCAAGGTGCGCACCTCCGGCCGCCCATGACGTCGCCGCCCGCAGCGCTGATCCCCTCCTTGGCCGCGCTTGCCTCTCTCTTCCCTTATCCTCCCTCCCTACCATGCGTCCCGACAGTCTGCGCGCTTGGTGGCCTCGATTCGCAGTTCAACCTCTTCCTTCCCGCGAACGCGGTGAACGGCACCAAGTGCCGCTCCTCACCTACCTCTCGGGCCTCACATGCACTGAGGACAACGCGTGCGTCTCCTGTCCTACCGCGCGACTCCCCGTTCACCTTCTTCCTGCCCGCGCCATTCTTACCCTTGACGCCACCAGCGCGCAGAAGGGCGGGTTTCTGGGGCCGGCGGCGAAAGAGGGCATCGCGATCCTCTTCCCCGACACGTCCCCGCGCGGCGCGGGCGTCGAGGGCGAGACTGACAGCTGGGACTTCGGCGTCGGTACGTGCTCACATATGTCTGCACGGAAGGTTCGACGCACTGACTACCCGGGGGCGCCGCCGCTTTCTGTGCGCAGGGGCGGGCTTCTACCTGAATGCGACGACCCGAAGTGGTCGAAGCACTACAACATGCTCACGCATGTCACGATCGAGCTCCCGCAGGTGCTCGAGGCGGCGAACGTCCCCGTTGTACGCGCTCCTCTTTCGCCCCTCCTGCAGCTCCGTACTCACGCTCTCGGGACCCCCGCAGGACCTCACGCGCCAGTCCATCTTCGGCCATTCGATGGGCGGCCACGGCGCGCTCACGCTCTACCTGTCCTCCATCCTCGGCGGCGTGAAGCAGTACCGCTCGGTCTCCGCCTTCGCGCCGATCGCAAACCCGATCAACTGCCCGTGGGGCCAGAAGGCTTTTGAGGGCTACCTCCAGGGCGGCGTGGAGGAGGCCCGCGAACGGTACGACGCGACGGAGCTCGTCAAGAAGCTGGGCAGCGCCCCAGTGCATATTCTCGTGGACTATGTGAGTCTGGGTCGTGCAGGTGGCCGGTGGAGCGTGCTGAGATGTCGTTGGCGCGTGCGCGATGCGCTTGTAGGGAACGGGTGACAACTTCTTCAAGAATGGGCAGCTGCTTCCGGAGAACTTCCTCAGGGCCGCGCGCGACGCCGGCTACGACGAGGTCCAGGTCCGTGTTCGGTCTCAAGAAGGGTATGACCATAGCTACTACTTCGTGAGTGCCCAGTATTATTACCTTTGGACGCACGGAGACGGACGTTTCCTTGACAGATGGCGACCTTCGGCGCGGACCATGTGCACTGTAAGCTTGATCCTTCCTTGTCCACGAGGCTGTTCTGATTGATTTTCGGGCAGTCCACGCAAACTTCCTGAAGGCGTAAGAGTTTATGTGTCACTAACAAAGGAGAGGCTACATTTGTTGTATCATTTACGAGACTTGTATCATTGTAAGCGCAGCTCTTTGTATCATGAGAAGTATGGCCCGTCGAAGCTGGAAGTCGCCCGAGCAATCACTTGAGAACGGCCTAGCCCGAAGTTAACCGTCAAGAACCACATCTAGAAGCCTTAGTCGCACAAGATTCACCCAGCCAGAGGCTACACAAATCCAATCCTGGCGCGATACACAGTTTCCAGGTCGGGGAGTTCACCGGTAAACCAGAGACTCTTCAATGCGCCTTGAACTGTGATCCGGTCATCAGGTTCGTACACGAGGAGATCGCTGCACAGGTCTCTGGCTAAGAACCACGGACGACATCAGCTCCGCAGAAGATACGAAAAAGGAGCGAGAACTTAAACCGTGAGGGACACTGTCCCAAGGCTGTCGGGGAAAGTGTAGGCTTCCGTGGATGATCCTCTGTTTCACAAGCGCGTCAGAACGGCCGGAGCCGTCCTGAGGGCGTTTTTCATCGTATGGTTCTGCAGATGCTTCGTAGGAATACTGCTGCGACTCGTCGGGGCTTTTCGCGTAGTCGAATGGATGGATGCCCCTGAAAGTACGGCAACATTAGTCACTCCGAAGGTTGAGATCACGGTGCGCACGTACGCGAGCATGATATACATGATAACGCCGGAGCTCCAGCAATCCGCGGGCATACTAATGTACCCCATTTCCCGATTGTCGAGAGCGAGGATGCCCTCGGGCGGCAAGTAGGAGACCGTGCCACAAACGTTGAAGGTCTCTTGATATCCTCTGGGGCGCGCAAGGCCGAAATCTGCTATCTGAATGCGCGGGTATGGTCCTGGAAAGTATAGAAGAATGTTCTCCGGCTGCGGTGAGCTCAGCTTATGGTGTCAGAACTGTGAACAGGTATCGGTGACGAACCTTCAGGTCTATAACAAGCCGTGTTAGGGCACAGCACTCTTAGGAATCATCAGGGTCACTCGCCTCGATGGGAGATCATTCGGTCGTGGAGATACTTAAGGCCTTTCAAGAGCTGATACATGATGTACTTGGCTTCTCCTTCACAGAGTTGCGATTGGGGTTTACTCGTTATGTACGAGAAGAGATCACCGCCGGTGCACAGCTCGAGAAATATGTACCTAGAACACTGTCAAGTCGACCTTCACCTACAGTGACGGTTGTGCACTTACAGGAAGCTCTCATCGCTGATTGATGCGCAGACGGCGTTGATATTGGGCTACATAGTAAAATGAGTACTCTTATCAGGAGTTATAGTGTGTTAAGCGTACATGAACCAAATGGGCGAGTATGTCCACTTCTTTCTTCACCTTGTCTATCTTGTCGTTGCCTTTGCGTTTGATACATTTACATGCGACTTGCCTGTTAGCTGTCGAGTCCATAGCTAAGTGTACTGTGGCGAAGCTTCCGCTTCCTAGACAATGAGACGTTAAGGCGTATCTTCCGATATCCTGGGTACCAAGCTCAAGAACCAAAATGGAATAATCAGGTACAACCGACCTTCGTTTTGAGAGGCGATCCGGTCTTCGTCGGGGTCGGATCAAATGGATGTATTCGGAACTTGGGCTCTCGTTCAAGTAGTACGCATTCGAACTCTGCGGAATTATCAACATGTGCATGGATATTGGCAATGCACTCCATTCACTTTGTGACGAAGGGATTTGCAGAATGTCGCCGTCCATGAGAATAACAGACGCTTTTCTGATTCTGTGACCGTTCAGGACGATGCCGTTGGTGGAAAGGTCCTAGAAGCAGACTGCATCCGTACGACAACGATATTTTCGAAGCGATAAAGCGCACCTGGCAGGATACAATCACTCCTCCGTTGCTCGAAGTTACACTGCGAATTGACGTCAGCTTTTTGATGTGTCTCAGACCAAGTGGAACACCCACGCATATAGCTTGCAATGAAGTCCAGATACGACCGGCTCAGTGATCACGTAGGAGCTAATGAAGGTTAAAATGTCTCAGCGATGATGGACCCAGACTCTACCCGTGAAAAAAAAGTAACTAACCAGGTAGGACCGCGTCCGATGGTCAACGGCTTGTCAGTACTGAGTAGCAACACTGACAACAAAGAAGTCATTGAATGTATGCGCATATAGAAGGCATGTCGTGACTTCTGTACCTTCCGAATGACCGGTGTTTGTGCTTGTGATGAACTTGGCACAAAACGATGACAAGTGAGCGGAGGGATGGTTGCCTGAGACTGACAACCGCGTCTTCGATGTGATTGTCGGGCTGCACGACAGGGAGGGCATGGTGGTCGACGGGGTGGAGCGAAGAGCTATGGGGGACGGCGTAAAAGAGAGAAGAGCAAGTTGAATGGACGTCTACCTCGAAGTCGCGGTCACGTGGTGCACACACCTACATCGGCTCGGTGCGTGCATCCGAAGGATTCCGAACGGAGCGGACACGAGGGAAGGAAATAAATGCAGGACATGTAGGAAATCTAGAGCTACAGCAGGCAAATGGATACAGAACATAGAACATACATCTAGTCATCGTAGCCCTTCCCGCTTCTCTGCTTGACCCTCTTCATCTTTTTGTGCTGCTTCTTCCCTGGTGCCGCCTCTCCACCGGCGGCCATGACCGCCACGATCCTGGCTCTGCGTCCTGTGAGCACTGTACCGTCGTCCGCCACCATGTTCTGATGTGGATACAACTGGGTCCTTGAGAACTCCTTCCCTTGGCCTCTTGCACCCTGTACAAAAGGACGAGCGGAGAGCGAGCTGTTGTTGGCGAAGAAATCTTGGTCCACTTTGCGGCTTTTGTTCGATTGACCAGCAGATGACGTCAGCCCGTCGGTTGGGATGGGAGCAATGAAGGTGTCCGCTTTCTTCGTGACGCGTGTCGTCGGAGCTCTTTTCTTGCCCATCGCTCGCTGTAAAGCCATCTTGCGAGTCTGCTCGTTGAAGTCGCCTTCGGTCACTCCTGGAGGTGGGTGGCAGTACAAGAGTTTTGCGTTGACGTAATCCTTCAAGATGTACCTGGCAGCGCGTGCCTCGTCCGGGTTGCCTTGCCCCGCCCGCGTGAACCCGCGGGCAACTATAAATTATGTTAGACAGAGGCGGAACATGCACGAACTGTCGACGTACTGGCATAGGCAATCAAGAAGTCCGTCCCTGTGATAAGGCCGTTTCCACCATCTTCGGACCCTTTCACCCGGATAGAGAGGCCGTAAATCGCTTCAAGGACCTCGCGAGGGATGCGCTTGACGATGAGTGCAGTTGGTGCCGTATACTCTCTCATTTGGTCAATAGGGAGCACCCCATCACAGACCAAGTCGGCCTTGGTGGTGGCGAACTGAGGGAATACGAGACCAGGACAATCGCACAGGACCAGGGACGGCGATAGGTGGATGGTCTGGAAATGCTTGGTCTTTCCTGGGGTTGATGAGACACTGACTTTTTTCTCTCCGAGGAGCGCGTTGATAGTACTTGACTTCCCGACATTTGGGTACCCAACGAGCCCAATGACGAGCCTCGTCGGAGACTGTCCAGATGAGTCGGTGAAAGCTGTACGGATGTTATTGAGATGAACGCGAGCTGAGAAGATGCAGTGCTTACATGCTAGATCAGGTGCACTCTTAACGAAGAGATCCTCCAGTTCAAGAACGGACAGCACTCTGGTCCTAGGGTCTTGAGCGTCCTGATCATCTTCGATGGGCAGAAACGCTCCGTCCTCGGAATCGTCATCGGAATCCTCCTCTGGCAACTCGTCTTCATCGGGGCTGTCTTCAGACGTGTCGCTATCTTCAGACTCCTGTGGACCAAGTGCCTCATCACCAGCGGTCGCCGGTTGGCTCAACGGAGTATCTTCGCCTTCGTTGGGTTCCGATGACCGAGCTTGCTGCTCTTCCAAGCGCGCTTCTGTGTCCGCTGCCTCTTTCCTCGCTTCTTGTAACGCCGCCGCATTTGCGGCAGAGAAGAACGCGTATTTGACGCCCTGGGAATCGAAGTAGTCGGCCCACAGTTTTCTTTGGTATTTGTTACTTCTCTGCACGCGTGCATGATCGAGATGAACGTACCGTTGACCAGAGGTCAAGAGATCCGCCTTATTTATCAGCAGTAAACTCCGCCTCTTGCCCTTCCCCGTGCCTTGCTCGCCCTCCGCACCCTCTACGTCTTGGACATACGCCTCCAGGTCTTCACACCGAAACCGCAGGGGGTTCCGCGCGTCAACAATTTGAACAACCAGGTGGGACCTCTCCAGAACACGCCAAAGTTGTCGCCAGACTTCGATGTTGCGCTCGAAAGGAGTGAGAAGAAACTGGTCGCGGTCCTGCAATCTTGAACCGGATGGTCGGTATGGGATGGACGAGTGGAAAGGCGTAGGGTGACTTACTCCGCGAGGCCCCTTCTCCATTCCAAAAACGCATCCTTCTCTTGCCTATCCAGCTGCGCGCTCGTCATGGCTTTCATCCACGCTGGCCTTCGTGGGACACGAAGACGCTGTGTGTTCTCCTTTTGCTTACGCAGTGTGCTTTGCTCCTCTTCCTCGCTAAGAAGGAATGGGTTGTGTTGCACACCTGCAGATGCGGCGAGAATTTTGACATTCCTACGCTCTGTGTATTGACATGAGTTCCAAAAAAAACCTTGCACAGTCATCTTGAACACGGACCAGCAGTAAAATCCGTTCCTGCGAGGGTTGCAGTGCTCAAGAACTCGTCTAGGTCTCGCTCCTGGGTAATGGACTGGAGGCGTGTGTAGTCGACGTCCGTGGTGTACTGGTATGTGACGAAAGAGTCAAAAACTGACGTCCAGCTTTAGAGAGGCTGCGCTCACCAAACCAGTCTCCAGAGCAATCCGTGCATCCTTGGTTTTTCTATTGATAATTGCTCGCCCCAGTCCAGATGGATTGGGATTGCGTCCTTTCGGCGCCTGCGAAGGAAATCAAAATGCGCCATACGTTCCTATTTTGACCTTCCTACCATATATACAAGGCGAGGAGATGAAGGGGAGTATGGTGTGCACTGTAGAGCTTGGGCGGACAGCGCTTCAGCGTTTCAGCGAGTGAGATTAGATCTCGCGATCAGCAGATTGAGTGGACCCCCGAAAACTCCCATGATACGGTCACATCCACAAGGGTTCCACTGAATCCGGCGGTCCTCCCGGCCGCCAGCGACCAACATCCAGTCAAGAGTATGCAACATATAAAACGTAGCAGTTTTTGCTCCAAAACGCCCTTTGAATTGCTCCCACCGTCTACAAGTTCATACAGCCCAGGCGTCATGGCCGCCGGTGGCTGGCATTGGCAACACAGTAGCAGCCCACGATGGCTTAGTTGTGACAAGTGAATGAAGCAGAGTTCTCCGTAAATACCATTTGCATCCAGTTGAACGTTGACGTTGACGTCGAGTTGTCGCCGTTCGATATTCTTGATTTTAAACGGCTTTGGTCAAACTTTATCCTGGCTACTATTGGACTAGATGCAGAGCGTGATTGGGGATCTCACATTGACGAAGCTTCAACAGCATGCTTTACGCAGCATTTTACTTGTATCACAACTTGCAAGCTAAGGGCAGACTGAGTGCTGGTGCTGCACAATCAACACCGCAAGCAACGAGGGGAATGCTGCATTCATCTACTTGCGAAGATAGTGATAAGCCGTGACGATCGACCGAAGTTCCTCAAAGATCCATCGACCCATGGGTCTCGTTTCGGGCGATACAGGCAGGTCAGATCCGTGGCCAGAGACCCGTTACCGGCGATCAAGGGCCCGAATCCGGCGGTCCCCCGGATGTGACCTCTTAGGGGGTTGGGTAGACGTGACGAGGATCTCTCGCAGAACCAAGCGGTAATCCGTCGCTGAGCATGTGGATAGATATCGGAGGGTTTATTGCACTAAGCACGTCGAAGTCAACATCCATTCTGCAAACGCCGAGCCGTTCATGATGCTCAAGCTTCGCTGAGCTCTCACGGGAGGTTGGGCTGAACTGGAACAAGGTAAGACGGCGGACCTCTAGATCTATGATAGATGAACACTCACCAGCCGCAACCCACAGAGGCTGGTCCGTACCGTTGGCAAACGGCGTTCCGTGAGAACGTAGGTGGTGTCGAAGGCACCGGCCGACCAGACTGAGAACCCAACTATGGTAGGGAAGTTCTGCTTGACCAAGGCAAGCTCGCTGTTGAGCCTAGATGTCCAACGGATGTGATTTTTGCTACACCAGTGACCGAAGGACGGAGACTCACATTGTTTCGCAGCTGTCAGTGTTTCCTCCGCCAGTTTCGCTGAGAATTGCCTGGCGGTTGCCGTTGTTTTGCAAAAAGCTGACCAGCGTCGTGAGCACATCCACGTTGTCCTACAAAAGGTTCGAATGTGAAAGGCTGAAAAATCAATAACGTATGAACATACCGTGGTGCAGTCGGGGTGCGTTCCACTGTTGTCGCTGTCAAGGTACTTGTGGACTGTAAGGGGAATAAGATGTGGGTGATGCGCATTCATTTGTTGTACACACCATCGAAAATCAGCTTGTCGGATCCACCGAGGGGGTCTGTGACCTTGACGAGGAGCGGGCCGGCCTCGGTCGGGAAGGCCTCGGCCGAGGACCAGCTGGAGCCAGGAAGGAGGAGGAAGTTCTGTGCACCAGCCTGGCGCACGGCGTTCACGACGAACTGAACGCTGTCTACCCAGGTAGCGACGTTGGGAATGTCGTGCGGCTCGTTCATGATGCCGCTATAAAATCCCCTGAGCTACGATTTTTTGTATACAGGCGAGCAAAAAATACTTACAAAATGACGCGCTCGTTCGTACCGTACTTGGCGGCCAGCTGGGTCCAGATAGAAGCGAACTGGCCGTTAGTGGGGCCACCTTGCGCAATGATCTGACCGTTCCAGCGAGCATAGTTGTGCTGTGATGGGTCAGCCATGATAATTTTTGTGTTGATATCGGAAACTTTACCAGGTCAACGATAACATAGGTGTTGGAGCTGGAGGCAAGGGCGGCCTGAACAGTGGGGTCATAGTTGGCGCTGAACCAGTTCTCGTCGATGTCACCACCGAGCGTAGGTGTCATGAGCTGCCACGCTGGATCATAGGAGGGTTAGAATCTCACAAGGACGATCAAGTCGATGCAAGTACCAAAGGCTGCAATGATGTCGCGCGTAAGAGAAAGTACCGCCAAACAAAGGAGAAAAAACTGACGAATGCGGAACAAGTTGACACCTTCGCCAGCGAAGTGGCTGAACTGGTCGGCGGGCGGAACCGTGCCTAATCAACATACGGTCAGCTCTGTCGTACCTACCAAGCTCGGGAAGGCAGGTATACACCTGTGCCGGTAAAGCTGCCGTCGGTGGCCTAAGCAGGGGTGAGGGAGTGCTATGATTGTTCACTAGAAACACATACCACGCTGAAGTCATAACCTGCGGTGTTGACACCACCAAGCTGAGGGAGGCTGCTCTGCCGGGGGGTAACGAGGGAAAGAGCGGGCGATGCAATCGCGAAGGTCGTGGCCGCGAGCAGAGCTGTGTACTTCATGGCTGTGGACGGAGTGAACAAGGACTCCAGTGAGAGGCCTGCTACTGGCTCTCTTTTATAGGACAGCGGGCCTGGCGTCGCCCACGATACAGGCAACCGCAGCGCGGACATTTCGCGGGTACTTGTAAGTGAGAACCGACGAGTTTCCGAGGGGTCTGTTTGTTAATGCAGAGAATGTGGATCCACCGAGGAGCTAAAGAGGCATCATCTTTGAGTATTCATAGTGCAGAAGTAAAGCGTTGAAGAGATTCCGACCAGCCAGACAGAGGTGTCCGGGTACGGCTGGAAAACCATGCTGCCACAAAAATGAATTAATGATGGCGTTGCCTGCGAAACGCGTGAGTACGAGAGGCCAAGTCTATGCACGAGCGTCGCCACGGTCGGTCATGGCGGTCAGGTGTAGAGCAACGAGTACAGACGCCGGAGCGGTGACGAGAGAGAAGCTGACGGGCGCCTGTCCGGGGTAAATCTCTCCACGAACGGCCATCGCGGAGAAAGAGACCATTGGACGGGCCGATGCATGGAGACATCGCACTCGCCAAGTCGCTCTATAGAGCCTCCCTCAGGGAGGTCAGCAGACTCCCCACCGAGTATCTTCGGTGCGTTGAGCGACACCGCAGCATCTACATCGTCCGCTAACACCACTTACTCCAGCCAGTTCTTCCGGCTGAAAGTGAGAGACGAAGTGACCGCGATGCTCAACCCCAATCTGAAGTGCAACCCCGACAACAAGATTCGACGGGTCAAGAAGGTAAGTGCCTCATGACCTTCAGCCCTTCTCTGTTATTGATATCCTCCAGGAACTCCGCAAACTGAGACACGCGAATCTCGGGCACGTCTCCGAATTCCAGTACGTCATCAACACCGCCTATGGCAGAAGGGGCCCATTGAGATGGGAACTCATGCAAGCAAGTCGGTTCCACAGTCCTCGCACGTCATCATTAACCGTCTCGTACAGCGCTTTCGTACGGCATCCCATCAGGAACAGCCGATTCTTCCCGGGGATGATTCTTCTCGACCTCCTGCATGGTCCCCGGAGCTAGTTGCTCTCGTGGGCTCGGATCTTTCGCGCCAAACAAAAGCCATAAAGCCCGACCACATCAAGATACCTGCTCGCACTCCTCCCGGCCGCCTCAACCCGGAGTCGAACGAGTATCGTGTTCTAGGACGGCTCAACGAGCGCAGAGAGGTGAATCTCCGACGGCGTTTCTTTTCTCAGGCGCTAGAGAAGACTCTGTATCCACTACAAGTCATGATCAGACAACCAAGTGATCAGCGTAATTCGTCTGAACGCAAGGACGACGAAACTCCACTCCCAAAAATTCAAGTTAGAGGGACAGACCTTGAAGGAACGGGGATCATGGAGGGGCTAAACTCGCTCGCTCGCTCTACCACGGATATGCTGCCGAAAGCACCCCTTCCGGACTCTGTCGCCACGCCGCCAATCCATTCCCACTTACCCAGCAGGTTCTTGCGACGTCGTTTCCGGGAGCTCCTTGCCACGATTCCTATCCTTACTTTCACGCCCGCACCTTCCTCTAGTAGCCTTGGGGCGCCTGAGGGGCAGTATACTGTATCGCTTTCTCCGAATGCCAGTCCCCGAGGAAAGGTCACCCAATGGGCATGTGCAGACGAGACGGACGAAGCATGGATTGCCGTAGCACAACAAAGTGGTATGCCGAAGAGAAGATGAATGTGAGATGGTCGTTCGCTAGAGCGTACAGATTGGTATGCAAATGTCGTACATAATCGTTGCTACAGTATAAATACCGCCCAATGGATCGCAAAGTATCTTTGTTCCGGAGACAATCAGCTCACGTCCGACGAACTCTCGAGCTCGAGTCCGTGCAACTCGATGAGATACATGTTGTAGTTGCGGTCAGTCGCCTGGGAACCCCCGTCTGCAGCATTGCGCTCGACTCCGCATTGTAGGTCGAGGATGACCTTGTACTCGTCGAAAGAAAACTCCTGCTTCTGACGGACAGTGTCGAGCATTTCCTACAAAGACAATGAGAGATGGCGCTTAAACAAAATACTAAACGTACCGATGGTGTCATCAGGAAGAGAGAATAGTACCGCTTCGCTCGCTCGAAGTGTGGGCTATCACTGTCGTCAGCAAGGCTCTTGATGTTCTGTCGTAATGCGAGCATGTTCCTGTTCATCTTCTTGATGCCCCATTCATTGGCAGCAGGTATGAAACGAGCGTTGGCGATCAGAAGGTACTGCATCAGATGACTGATGCCCTCGAACACGAATCTAACGCGGCAGTCAGGTTTTCTGCGATGAGTAAAAAAGCGCCCAGATACTCACTTGCGCTCCACATCTGGTAGTGCGGCATTCAAGCACGCATCCAAATTGCCCATCTCTGTGTTAAGATCGACAACATGCGGGTCCGGCTCTCCAGCTTCATGCTCGATGCGGTAATTACCCTGTGTAGAAAGGTTAGCTAGAGTTCGAATCAATGCGAGCACTCCACGTACATGTCTGAGGGCTAGGTCGAGATGATGAATAGCACGGCATCTGACATCGATACGAATCGTGTAGAGGATGAGTTCGGCGAGCTGCACATAGGTCAAATGTAACGCTTGGAACCGCCTGTGAACGGAAATGTCAGCAGAGCATTGAGATCAATGTGTACAAGGTCGACACACATGGCCATTGCAGAAGATAGAGGAAGCTTCAACTTCTCGTCGGATTGGAATGGGGCGAGCACGGGGGGGTACGGAGTGAGAGGGGTTACAGCGCTGGGTGGTTCCAGATGCAGGGGGGAATTTGGCGGTAGGACCTCCTCTGGTGACATCTTCAGGGCGTTGAGCTGGTGTGCAAACCAAGTCTAAAGGGACGTTTTAGGTGTATCAACTAAGAAGTGCGAAGGAGACGTACGACACTGTGATAGAGGCTTGCCAAAGCAGAAACATTTCGTACGGAGGGAACTAGGTCATCCTTGCTGACAGCACCTTCTCCTAACAGACTACTCTCGAGATGTGTTTCTTGTCGACAAAGCTGGGATTTGGGTGCAACGGAAGGGCTACCAGATAGGACCTTGAGAAGTTCGGTCAGACACGGACCAAGCTCGGGCTTCTGCGCCCATTGGGCGGCCGTTGCCATGGACTCGTCGCTACCAGCGGATGTGGCTCCCTTGACGGAGACAAGGTGTGAAAACCTGTCGCTGCACCTCTGGTAAAACTTCCCAATAACCGTGAGGATCAATCGGGAGTAGTTCTCTCGGTGGAAGGGCGTGGTTCTGAGCATGGAACAGAGCGAGTTGATCAAAGCCATCAGTTGCACGCTTGCCTGTGACATCACTTGTGAGCTGAGTTATAAGCGTTTCCATAATGGATCTCAACCTTGGCGAGCGGTCTTGACGATAACACCAACGAAGCAGGGTCAGGTTCGAAAGCGTCTGGACCTAGGAAGATTGAGCGACGCGTTCTCTCAAAACTCAGAGGACATACTGGTGATTGTCTGGTGGAAAATCGTTGACACCTTGTCTTCTAGCTGTGGCAGATACACCTTGAGTACGAACTCGTCCAAAACAGCACTAGCCTTGCGCGCTGAATCAAGGCCCGATGGAAGGATATCAGCTATACGATCGAGCCATGCCAGCGTCGGCTGGAAGAGGATGGTGATGTGAAAAGCGTTTGGGTGAACGAGCAATCTATGATGTTGTCCTGTCCCCATCAAGCGATCGTCCGTGCCTACGGCGGCAAGCGTTGACTGCACAGCGTTCTCAGAGCTCTGCACCAGGCCCGGAACAGTATCCTTGAGCACGCGAGTAAGCTCGTCTTCACTCTGCCGTAGAGTCTTCGTTGCACTTTTCGCATCAGAGTCTGCGAACCGGAAGATCGGCTAAAGGGCAAAAACACATGAGCTTTCAGCGTCACGCAAGGCAATAAGTTGTCAATACCTTCATCTTGTCGCGAATGAAGCGGCCATCGCGAAGGATCTCGTTGATCGAAGAGATGGGGTTTCGTCCTGAGACGGCTCCTTGCTCTTCATCTGTGACATAGTCACTCAAGAGCACGCGGATCTAAACCATTGTGAGGCACCGAAAAATGCTGAAAGTAGGTAGGTAGGCTTACTTCCGCTTGGATGGGCGCCCAAACCTCTTCTAGAGGGAATAGTGATCCCAGTTTCGTACCGGATGAGTCTTTGTAGTCCCTCCTCTGAGCGACGTAGTGAGTGACATGACATCTCTTGGGGGAGATTTTCCGACTCACAGACCCAATTCTGTTGGCAACTTCAAAAACGACACGAAGACCTTCGCTTACAGCGATAAGCTTGGAATACAGAGTCCAGAAAAAGTCCCTCAAGGTTTCTTGATCAATAACCTTGGTCGAGGCCTCCAGTGCTGTTAAGCGGAGGCTAGTCGCATCTAAGACCCCTTTCCGTGCGTTCATGCCTGTTCCTTGAAGTGTTGATACAATCGCCACCCCAGCAATACCGAATGTATTGGACGTGATGATGGGAGTCGAAAGGAAAGATGCGCCGAGCCTATCGGAAGGAACGGGATCCATCATACCGACCATAGATCCCCGTCGGCCATATTCAGCCCGTTCGGACACTTCTTCGACTGTCGCCTCGACCAAAGAGAAGACTTCTGTGGGTAGTTTCTGGGCAACAATATCGAGGCCTGTCCCGAGCTTGCCAAGAACGGCGAGGGCTTCCAGGAGCGTCTCGATGTAGGCGAACGAATCAGCCTCAGGATTTCGAGGAGTCGTGTTGGACGTCGTCGAGTGGCCGCCGAGGCCGTGTGAGGAGGACAATCCGAAGGAAAACCCGCCGCTTGCTACACTCTTCCTATATCCAGTATCATTGACGTCGAAAGGCGGGTCGTTGGGACGAAGGGCGAGATCATCAAGAAACTTGGCCAGGCGCGATGCGCGAGGACGAGGGGCATTCGGTGACACCGGAGACGAGGCTGATAACGGTCTGCCGGTCCCATTGCCCTCGGGCTCGTCTTGTTGGTCTTCAAGGTCCGAGACTACGTATGTCAATTTGAGGCACATGACGCTCCGCTGGAAGCAACTTACAGGTTTGTTGATTGGGTGCATACATGGCCCATCTCGACTCACACCAGAAGGACTTGAGATAAAGATGTCCATGTAGCTCATCAACGAGAATTTCTCGCAATGTCTTCGGAGATCCAGAAGTTAGCTCGAAAAATACAACAAGCAAGGGGGCTGCGAACCGCTTCTTGGCCGACAAGGTAGCTACGAAGGTCAGATACTGCACCAATCTCCATCATGTCCGGTTTCTTGATCAGCTTGAGGCTCCGTACGAGAAGGCCGGCAGCTTGAAGCAAGCGCTTCTCCAGAATCAAGCTTTCCAGTGCATCGGGCACTGACTTTAAGTGTTCACTGTAGCACAGAAGCAATCAGTAGACGTCGAAGAACAAACATTATGCATACATCTGATCGAGTATACGCATCATCTCCTCGACCGTCTGATTCCTGGACCACAGCTGTACAAGATCACCACGTTTACTGCCCAGAGTTTCTTTCGCTTCCTGCAGTGCATTACGAGCTTCTACTATTTGCTTTTGTGTAGCGTCCAGATGATTCAACAAAGCGCTATGGTGAGGGAGTGCAGCGTTGAAAGCCTGATAGTGTTCTGGGTGATAGCATGTAGGGTTAGCAACATCTCAACGACAATTACTGAATACGTACTGTCGATGGAGCCCTTCATTGCCCGAGAAAGAATGGCCTTTGTCCTTCGAAAGGAATCCATGTCCTTGCCAAGTGAAGACTCATCCAAAAGCTGTAGCGCTAGGTCTACTGGATTGAACTACTGTCGTCAGGCGCATATATTTGGTGACCTGGGGTGTAACTTACATCGTCACCGGTGACGATGGCCCATTCATCTCGTATCTCATCCAGTACGGCTAGAACCGTTCGGTATAAGCACCTCTACTCCACATAGCTTGGAACATATGCCGTTGGGCGAAGATAGATTGGACCGGGAAAGGGCTGCGTACCGTCGATATCTCCAGCCTTCGCCTTCCCTGTGGTCCGTCGGCCAGGGACCTTCTCCCTGATCTTCTGCTGTCGCTGCTTCTGCACCTCAATCTCTCGTTGCCTCTGAATTTCATACTCGTCATCTGCATCGTCGATGGTCCCTCTCCGCCTCCCGAAACTTTGGAATGCAGCTACAGCGGCGAGCGAAGTAGGAGAGATCTCGGCTGGGGAGACGGGGTCCCGATATCTCCTTCCATTCGCCTGCTCAGAGCCGTTGGTAGTGATTCGAGACCTAGACTGTGGGCCATTGGGAAGTCCAGAGGGTCGACCATCATATCCTTCCTGCGAATCCCGGGTCGTGCGTGACTCCATAGAGGAACGATCGGGTACCGAGACTTCAGAAACTTGTCTAGTCCTAAGGCCGGAGCGCGTAGGTCTGATAGGTCCTCTTGGGGAGCCAGTGGAGGCGATGGAACTGCCGCTTGGGGTAGTTGGACGGGGAGGGGGGCGGTTGATTTGGAGTGGCCGCGTAGTCGCGCCGCTCTCGCTGCGGCTGACACTTGGCGAACGCGCGCGTCGGGTAGGACGCTCCGGAGGGTAGGCAGGTATTCGAGACATGAGGGATGCGGATGAAGTGGGGACAAGACAAGCCTCCGGAATCCGGAAACGGGTCTATACTAGCAGCACCGCTGTTGCTACACTCCTTCCTCCTATGGTAGGCGTTACCTTGGAAAGGCAACTGTGACCTCGCGGCCAGAGGTTGCGAGCACGTGCCGCACGCGGCGCGTGCAACTGAGTACTGAGGGTCGCGTCGCCTTTCACCACCGCGACTCGCCTGCACGCCCCTTCTCCTTTGCACCGTCTGCGGCGTGCCCACCATGTCCGCCTCCTCCTTTGAACCGCCCGACACAGCGTCGTGCTCCTCTCCTACCCATCCGGCCCTTCAGCCGCCGTCTTCAAACGCGCCTTCTTCCGCCAAGTCCCCCACATCAAGCCCTTACAAGACGCGTCAAACGCGCTCACCACCGCGCACAGTGCAGTGCTTTGTTCAAGTACCAACTCTGAGTCCCTCCGAGAAAGCGAAGTACCATTCTATAGCCAACCAGGAGATCCCAGAAATCGATGTCACGGACGAGGAGTCCGTCTCTGAATACACCGAGTCGTCTGAAGGAGAAGAATACACAGAATCCGAGCCTGAAGTAGAAGAGATCCCTCTTGCGCATGTGGTTGAGTACATTCTGGCTTGGCGTCCTTCTCCTGAGGACGCTGTTGAGCCACCTCTGCCTCCAAACGAACGGCCGCATTACAAAGCGATTCTTCCGCGTTCGTATCTCGTCAAGTTTCAAGACCGAAGTTATCGTCGCGTCCAATGGGTTTCGCACAGATCGTTGCTCGCAGCTGCTCCCGCAAAACTGAGGAATTTTTTGCAAGGAGGCCCTAAGAAGCTGCTTCTCTCTGAAATTCCCTCCGAACAGACAGACGCCTCCGAGTCTACCATCGACGCTGGACGCGGCGGCCTGAGATACCCCAGGCCGGTGAGCACTTCAATCTATGATGCACAACATATCCTTATAGCAACATCAGGAGACGTCAATAGCGGGGTGCATTCTCTTGCGCTTGCCCGGACGCGGAACAACGGATTCCGGTCGCTTGGAAGACTATCGGCAGAGTGCTCGACATCCGTCTTTGGCGACCGCGGAAGAAAATGCCTCGACGACGTGTGATGAACTCCGAAAGTGAAGAGTCGGACTTCGAGACTTGGGAAACTCCTAGTGCTTTAACGGCAGCGTATGATCAAGGCGAGGAACCGTCCAGCAACACGATGTCCACAATTGAGGAGTTTGAATCACTTGCGGGCAAGAAGTTGAGTGAGGAAGATGAGAAATACGTAGCTTGGGCTCTAGTCAAATGGGATGGCCTGGGCTATGAAGATGGTAAGCCTCTAAAGTACTTGATCCGACGTCTTGTTCACTGTCCTCTCGGCCAGCTTCTTGGGATTCACCCCCTCGCCCAGAGTCACCCGAATATGCCACCTTTCGAGCTGCCTTTGCCAAGCTTCTCGTTTCTCGCGCAGTGAAAGTGCCAAAACGGAAAAAACGCGCAAGCATGGAGAAGGATGGAAAAAAGTGGCTACTGTCCAAAAAGTTTACAGTCGATCTCCCTCCAGACGTCGGTCAGAGTCCTGGGCTCAAGCTCATGCCCTTCCAAGTCGATGGCGTGAATTGGCTTTGCCATAACTGGAACATAGACCAAAACTGTATTCTCGCGGATGAGATGGGTCTTGTGAATGCCTTCCATGTCCTATGGCACCGTCGCTAACCGGTTTTGATTTATATAGGGGAAAACTGTCCAGATCGTAACTTATCTCGGGTACATCATCTCCACCTTCGGCGCTTCGCCGGCTCTTGTTGTCGTTCCCAACTCCACCCTCACAAATTGGGTCCGTGAATTCGAGCGATGGGCACCGAATTTGCGCGTCGTTCCGTTCTATGGCGAGGCCAAGGCTCGCGATATCATTAAGAGATATGAGCTTTTCCACACCAAAATTGCGAAGGATACCACCGGAGCCAAATACCACGTCTTGGTCACAACATATGAGACGATCACGAACAGCCGAGAATTTAGCCTTTTCAAGACCACGCCTCGCTGGGAAATGCTGGTGGTAGATGAGGGACAGCGTCGTGAGTCTTTTGAGTAACCGTCATATGAAGTGGTACTAACGGATCACAGTCAAGAGCGATGCGAGCCTCATCTTCAGAAGACTGAAAGAGCTCAACACGTTCCATCGCGTCATCATGACCGGGGTGAGGATCTGGGTGTTACAATTGGGTTGGGAGTCGTTGACGCATATGCGCAGACTCCTCTGAACAACAACATTCGCGAGTTATTCAACCTCATGAACTTCCTTGATCCCGACGAATGGGAAGATCTGGAGGGGCTGTCCAAAGAATACGAGGAGCTCACTGACGAGTTGGTCAAGCAGCTCCACAGTAGGTTGAAACCATATTTCCTACGTCGCATCAAGTCAGAAGTGCTGCAGCTCCCTCCTAAGGCGAGTTTGATCTTGCGCATGAATACTTCGCAAAACTCATGATCCATCATAGAATGAAGTCATCGTTCCCGTCAGCATGGCCCCGTTACAGAAGGAGATTTATCGGTCCATTCTCAGTAAGATAATTGCCCAACTGTTCTGTCACGATTCTCATATCCACACAGGCCAGAATCTCGACATCTTACGGAAGCTCGCTGAAGGTAGCTCCACCCAGAAGAACAAGGCCGCTCTCACGAAGACGAACATGAACAACATCTTGATGCAACTTCGCAAGTGAGTGGTTCGTTGATGAATAACCCTTCAGACCTGACTTAGGCAGGTGTCTACAACATCCGTACCTTGTATCCGAGACCATTGAACCACGAGGACTGCCTCCAAACGAGACTCATGAGCGGCTTGTGAGTGCAAGTGCGAAATTGCGCTTGCTCAAGATGCTACTTCCAAAGTTGCGTAATCGCGGGCATCGAGTACTTCTGTTCAGTCAGGTCTGTGATCTTGCCGCCATTTGATTAGATCGCTCATGTTTCTCTCAACAGTTCAGCATTGCACTCGACGTTGTCGAAGACTTCCTCGTTGGCGAGAACATCAAATATCTCCGTCTTGTGTGTCTGCTTCTGAGCGCCTCGCGTGTGCATTGTGCTGAACATATGGACAGGATGGGAGCACGAAGCAGCTCGACAGGCAAAAGGGCATGGACGAATTCAACAAGCCCAACTCCGATATTCTGATATATCTCTTGACGACTCGTGCCGGTGGTGTCGGTATCAATCTCTGGAGTGCAGACACGGTGATCGTTTTCGACCCCGACTTCAACCCCCATCAGGTAAATAATTGATTGATATCGGCCCACAAGCACTCATTGTTGTCCTGCAGGATCTCCAAGCCATTGCCCGAGCACATCGATATGGCCAACAGAAAACCGTACTGGTGTTCAAGTTCATGGTCAAGGAATCCGCAGAAGGTTCACTCCTTACCTAATATGGTTTGTTCAATACTGATGCCGCTGCGATCGCAGAGCGCATTATGCAAACTGGAAAGAAGAAGCTTATCCTTGATCATCTTATCGTCCAGAAGATGGATGACGAGGAGGGGAGCAAGGAAGACGTCCAGTCGATGCTTATGTTCGGCGCGAAGGCGCTCTTCGAAGAGAACGCGGAAACAGTTGCTCGAGAAGTTCATTGTGAGTACCTATTTACTGAAAACGAGATCAAGCTCACGAATATTACAGACTCGGAGCACGACATCGAGAGTCTCATCGAGAAGACGGAGAAGGAAGGAGACCAGGTCGAACCTGAATCCAACGCCGGGTCTCTGTTTGCGTTCGCAAAAGTTTGGTCGGCTGACAAAGAGGGTGTCGAAGATTTAGCGGACGACGTTCCTGAAAACGCTGAGGAAGCGGACTCATGGACGAAGGCTCTCGAGCTAATTGCTGCTCGGAGAGGTGCCGAGAAAGAACAGGAGCTCACAGGACGTGGTGTGCGGCGAAAGGCCGCCGCAGTCTTCCCTCAGCAGGTGCGGAAATTTTTCTGAGTGAACTCGTGCCCGATGTGCTCACCCCTGCCGCAGCAAGATCTGGACTTTGGGGATTCTCCGAGAAAGGACAAGGCGAAATCCAAGAAGAGGAGGAAGCAAAGGGAAAACTAGGCTCCGACGATTCGGACTTCCATGCACCAGCCTCCAAATCTGACAGCGAGTCCGATGAGACAACAGACGTGCCTATGGACGTAGACGACATGCTCACGTGCCCGGTGTCGGAGTTCCCCAACCCGGCACATCGAAGGCACATGCAAACCGGGTCAAATCAGCGCAGAAACACCGAGCACATCGGCCTCTGTCGCCCATCCCACAGAATCGGCAGTCCCTGACAGGCTCTCTGGATGACGTGTGTGGACTGTGCGCCCAACGGCATGCCCCGGGGTCGTGCGTCATGACGGAGGACCCTGAGAATTTGGCTCAGTACAGGCTCATGCTCATGCAACATGCTGGAGACGAGACGCCTGAGGAAAGGGTGAGTCGTGTCGAACAAGCCTCCTGTCACGTACCCCCTCTGACTGGATACTGTTTAGCGTGCCGCCATCCGGGTCATTGATGAGACGCTCTACCACCTGGGGAAGATTAAACTAATCTATGGCCAACCGCTGCACCTCGTGGAAACTCCTGAAGCACCTGTACCCCCGCGACCCGCGAAGAAGCCAAGGACGGCAAATACCCTCGCCCGTCCAGCGGGTCAAGTGCAACCACCGGTGCCTGCTGCTAATATCGCCAACCAGACCCGACCAATCGTCGGTCCATCACGCATCCAGGGTGTCACGCCTACGGCTGGCCCATCTACCGCAGCTCCCTACACAGCCGACGTGCGGCGTAGCCACCCGACCACGGCTTCCGCGCGCACACCCACGCACCCGCTGTTACCGAGGGGATCAACTACGCAAGCGAACGCCAGCGGTGCAGTGTGTGTCGTCTGCCTCACCCCATCGGCCCACCACGCGAACGACTGCCCTACGGTGAAGGCAGGGCCCGCAAGGTGCGGATAGCGGTCGAAAAGCCGTTGAATGTGATCATCGTGTCCAATGACGTTCTGACGTGTTTTCGGCAGCATCACCCAAGCAATCCAGCGGCTTTCCCAGACCCTGCGCGCAAGGCAACCGTGCAGCGCCTCAAGAGCATCCTGGTCGACCAGCAAAGACGTCTGCTGGCGGCGTCATCGGCCCAGGGCGACCTGCCTCTTCGGCCATCGATCCGAGTGGCGATCCGTGACACGCACCAGACGTGTTCCAGGGTGTGCTCGTGCCGTGCCGCGAACGTGATAGACTAATAGAAGGTGCATGACCATGATGCGGTTGTGTGGTAATGTATATCTTGCCCAGTCTGGCAGAAAGCCCTTAATACAATGTCTTAGATGGCCACGAGTCATCATCGTCTGTGAACGACAGCGGAATGCCTTTCACGGACGAAAAGACTTGTTCGCTGTAATGATCTCAAATCTGAGTCGAGGCGGGACTCCCGAATCGCACCAACGGACTGCGAGCAAGGATACCGATATTGGCGGTAGTGTGGTGTGATGTCTCTTGCCGCAGGTGGTCCCAGACCGCAGGAGCCAGTGGCTGCATGAAAGAATCTACGGCTGGATTCCGCAGAACCCAACGGCGACAAGTGTTGTCAACCGACGCGCCACCGGGGACAATATGACTTGACGCGAAGACCGAGATGTGATGTCGCTGAACGAGAACAATCGTTACCGCGCGGGCCTTGGCGCGAGCCTAGGAGCGTCCGATTGTTGCGGTTCGCGGGCGTGGCGTGGGGGCGGAGCGCGGGCGAGTGTATTTAACGAGCGTTTGTGGGCGCCGTCTGTGCTGCGGTAGGTGGCCTGCCTTTTGCGCTGGTGAGCACGCGCTTTCTCATCCTCCCGTCATCCTCACGGATGGTCAAAGTAGAGACACCGGCGTCGCCTGGGTTGTGTGCTGCTGATCCGCCCTCTTCACCCACTACCGCAGCCCTTCCGGTCCGTCCATTCCCCACAGGAGGTGCGCGCCTCTTGCTCTGTAGCTGCGGTAGTCCGGCAGCCTCATAAAACTCTCTCGCAGGTTCTGGCACGTGTCCCTCCTCCCCCCCTCCACCGAATCCTCATACGCCGACCCCGAGCCTCAAGCGTCCTCGCACTCCTTCAATGGCTACCTCCGCCATCGACCCTGAGCTCCCTTCCCCCCCTCCATCGACGGAGAGGCTATGCTCGAGATTTTTGTACACGCCTCCATCCGCTTCGCTGGTCTCCCCATGAATTCCAACTCTCCCTATGGCGACGGGCATCGGCTGCGTGTGATAGGATCCAAAATGCTCGAGGCCGCTTTCTTGAGTGCGATCTTCGACCAAACACCGATGAAAACTGGGGAGGATATGGAGGTGCGCGATCTATCCCAGTCTCGCCCATTCGCGATATTCACATTACCACAGGCTGAAATCAAGAATCTTGACCAACGTGTGGACAAGTGGGTAGAGGGCTACAAGTGGCGCGAGAAGGTGCGCCACGGTAAGGATGTTGACATGAGAAGCCAGGCGGTGAGTAGCGCATGCCTGTCTTCATCCGCGCTATACCCATCGTCCCGCAGGAGACTCGCGCTCTCATGGATGCGTACGTCGGCGCAGTGTTCGTCGGGAGCGGCTTCACGGCTGTCCTCAACTGGATCTCTGCCCTAGTTGATCCTTCTGCCCCTCCCAAGGCTCAACCAGGGGCTCCCGATGTGAAGCGCACGCGAATGGATTCCCCGTTCACCGGAAACCCAATGGGTGGGGGCATGGGTGGAGGACCCGGCATGAATACTGGGCAGGGGATGCACTATTCAGGCTACACTCCCTATCCAAGTCAGCACTTTCCCTCCTCCCCAGGATACGCGCCGTCGCCTCCTTCCATGCACCCACCTCCCCCTCCTGGCATGCCTCCTCCTTTGCCGCCTATGTCTGGCCAGCCCCAATCCACCTTTCTTCCCCTCTTCAATCAGACCGCGCAGCAACGCCGGATAGAGGTTCAATACCCCGCGCAGTTCTCAGGACCGCCGCACGCGGGGAGATGGACCGTGCAATGCCTCGGTACGTTACTCATTTGCTCGTGAGACCTCGCTTACTCAGTATTGTCATGCAGTCAACGGGGACGTGAAGGGCACCGGCACCGGACCAAGCAAACAGCTCGCCAAGGAAGAAGCTGCAAGGCAAGCATATCACGCGATGGGCTGGGCTCCACGTATGTTGGGCATTTCTACGTCTGGTGTCTTTGCTGACATCAAGGACCAGGAGTCTGAGTGCAGCCCCCGGCCATAGGCGGACGTGTTGCGCCATCGCGGACTAGCAGGAGGCATCATAGACGACCCTCTCGTAATTGAGCTCGACCTTCGAAAGAACGACGAGCTTCTTGACGGTCGGCGCCGTCATCGAGGTCGGCGCGTTTCGAAAGTCGAGTTGAGTTGCAAGCGCGTCGTCCCCAATCGGGTATTGTCTGCTAGTCTTCTATGGGGCCATGATCCTGCGCGAAGGTAATCATCCACGTTGCTAGTTTGAGGATGGTCTAGACTTCTCGTGTCGTCTCTGTAAATTAGGTTCCGTACTGTACACACATGTCAGGACGGTATTCGTGTATGCACATCCCGAATACGCTACGGCACACGCGATCTCCTGTTCTACGTGCGTCTTGACTACCCTCTACTCGCCATCCTATCCGCCTGCTGCTCGGACCTGGAACATACCGTACTATTCACACCTAGTTCTCGCTCTCCATCGCAATCCGCAATTCTATGCCTTCGACCACCCCACCCGCTCCACCCAGTGTGCTGATCGGGCCAACGAAGGCCAGCGGCACCGTCACCGTCGTGCCGTCGATCGCGACGACGAAGTCCCCCGCGTGCACGCCGTCGACGACCATCGAAGTCCCCGCGTCCGTGCCTGTAAGCACGATCTCCGTTAACTCCGTGTCCCCGTCCGCCGTTGCCGCAGCAGTAACGGGCAGCGTGAAGTTGGCGAGCGGGTAGAGCACATTGGACGAGTTGAACGCGAACGTGAGCCCGCCCCCGCCCCCGCCGCGCGCGACGACCGCAAGCGCGTCGTCCGGGCCCGCGAGGAGCACGCCCGGCGCGCCGGAGAGCGCCGCGCGCACGCGCAGCGTGTAGTTGTGGCCCGCGCTCCCGAGCGGGGTGAGCAGCGCGACCCCGTCCGGCGCGACGTGCGCGTCGTACCCGTTCCCGCTGAGGTCCGCGATGCGCGCGCCGGGCGGCGGCAGCGGGCGTGCGAGGCTGCGGTTGTACGCGAGCACGAGCGGGCCGAGCGAGGGGATGCGGCGCGCGAGGTTCTGCGCGGGCGCGCGGGCGGCGAGCGTCGGGAAGCCTGAGAGGTACTGCGCCCGGGTGAGGTGGTTGGCGCGCGCGGCGGACTGCCAGGCTGCGCTGGCGACGACGGGGAGGCCGTCGCGGACGGCGTAGAAGGCCTCCAGGAAGAGGCTTGCGGTGGGACCGTGGTCATTCCACGCGGCCTGTGCGTAAGGGCAATGACATTAGCGTGGTGATATTATACCGCGCAGACGGGCGGCGCCAGCCGGGGACCCGTCGGGACTGGAATCGGACTGGCGAGTGATGACAGACCATGATTGATCCCTTCAGGGCGGGATCTGTGAGGCCCGGGTTGTTCGTCGCGTTTCCTGCGGGCCATGATGCGCAGTTAGCAGCAAGCCCGATCGGCAATGGGTAATCGCGAGCCTGCAACGACGGTGAGCACATACCCCGATCGAAGACGTGAGGGTCCCATATCCCGCCAGTCACAATGTTGGCCCCCTCCCAGAGGCGCGTTTGGTTCAGCATCTGGGGATAAGATCCCGACTGCATCGGGCATTGTCGAATCATGAGCCCAGTTGGACCAGATGGCACCTGACTAAGAGCACACCTGCTTCATAACGATGTATTGGAAGAAATCGTCGCTGAAAACAAATTTGTCAGCCCCGTGTTCTGGAGAGTTCGGAATTCAGTTCTCGGTTGTCGGTCATACCTGTTTATCACATTGTAACCCGCGGTGATGAGCCGGAAGGGGTCATCCTGGTCGAACTCCCTACCAAGGCATAATATGAGATGATGCCCTATGAGAAGCGGTAGATCGCCTCTCACCAATGTTGTATAGTTATGTTCTTGCTGACAGACGTCTTGTTGGATGGCTCTTTCGTCCCCCATATCCGAATTGATTTCGTGTTTCCGCTCTCTTCCATCACAAAGGTACTCTGAGCGCCCGGAATTAGCGTACTCGTCAGGCATTAGCGTTGTTAAGGCAGTCCCTGACTGACCATTTCATTCACAAAGTTGTTGTAGTCATCCGCTAGAGCGGAATCGTATTCGTCTGCTCCGATGGATACCTGCTCTACAAGTCGTGTCATACAAGCTGCATCAGCATACATTCGCACACGACCAACTCACTGGAGTGCATCCACGGCAAGAACTCTATGCAAGGTCGTTCAATAATAGTCACAAGGCTCGTGCGTGAAAAACGCACCTTTCCAGATGGCCTTAATGGTGGGAATGGCGTCAGGGACGGTGAGGTTGATGAGGGTGGGGTCCGACGAGAGTGCAAGCTCGGGCTTCCACTGGGTGATCACAAGAGCATGATCGGGCTGTTAATGCGTCGGCCGAGGACGCGAGAGAATGACGCAGCCATCGATTGCGTCGAATTTGCGCGCAATAGGATGAGACATTATTGCCAAACTGTTCGGCACGGAGCAACCCACCGATTCCAATTCGGGTACAATCTGCGATCGAGCAGGCGTCAGCCTGGCTTGCGACGTGCCTCGGCAAGAACACTCACGGTGACCCCTCGGGCGGTGCAGTGGGTCTGGAAGGCTTCAAAGTCTTCGCGTGAGTACGTCTCGTTCAGGTGTGGGGTCAATCCGGCCAGCGCGTCGTCTTCAGGCCTCAGCCGAAAGCGTGCGTACGTTGTGCTCGCATTGCCGTCTCCGAGCTGTGGGCTCACATTGTCCGAAAGATGGACATGCTGCGGCATACCAGGTGGCCATCAACAGAGGTTCCTGGGTCCGTGGGCGGAGGACACGCACGAATTCACTGATCTTGAACCACGACGCATAGGTGCACAGTTCTTGCAGGAAGCCGATCGGATACCACTGCCGACCGACATCTGGGTATCTCTCGGTGAGAGGCTCCGGAGTGGAACATAAGCAAAGGACCAACCGAGCATAAAACCACGTGTTGCCCAGTCGGGCTGGTCGACCACCACGCCCGAAGGAAACCGTCCGCCTGTCATGACGAGGCCCTGGAGCAGCGTCCGAGAGGCCCAGAAAGCGCCCTTGGTCCCCGAGGCGGTGATTTGTATGCCCGAGTCGGAGACACGGAGCTCGTAGCCCTCTGCAGTCGGAGAGCCGTCCGCGAGCGTGGCGTTCGCCAACTCAGACAGCGTCATCGTAATCAGATTCCCATCTGCAAAGCCGGCTTTCTGGGCATCGCCCACGGATAGGAGGATATTAGTTTGTGGAAAGAGTTCCTCGAAATCGGCCTTGAAGGTTTGGGCGAACGCCAGCAAGGTGGGTGGAACCAGTGTGAGGCCACTCTGGTCCACATCCTGTGCATGGTTCCCGTCCACCACGATGTGGACCACTTTAGACAGTTGGAAGGAAGTGCCATCGCCACTGGCTGTGAAGCTGTGTACTGCGGGCACCAGAGGCGGGAGTTCTGCCGCGAAAGTGTCTCTAAGGAAGGCAGTGAGGACCAGAGCATAGCAGGCGATCGCCACGTTGAGCGGAGACATGGGGAGGACGGACGGCGGACGACAGTGGCAGGCGACTGTCCACGAGGATGATATCGCATCCTCGGGCGAACCAGGGGCCTGCGAAGGGAATGCGAATCAGAAGGACTCCACGGTCGTCCATGCGCATGACGGCAGGCGATATCGCAACATAACGAGCACCCAGTAGGAAGAACAGACGTCGAGCGGACGTTGGGAGCTCGGCCGTGTTCCGCCGGGCCCAAGACGGGCGCGGGCACAGGCTTCTGTCCATATGTTCACCTGATCCAATGACGTCAATCCATGGATACAGCCCAGGCTCGTGCCCATACCCATCCATGCCTGGGCGGGCCGCAAGCCAAGTTGCGGCTCGGACGATCAGGCTCGGAATAGACCAATGCATCGCTGATGGGTGGCATCAGCATGGCGAACAGGCAGACGGAAGCCGGCATATCCGATGGATGGAAGACCACTCACGAGCGGGATGGACAGGTCAGGTGTTGCGTGGGAATGTGAATAAAATATGGCGAGAGAAAGCAATGTGCGGTGCCCACGCCGGAACCGTGCTTTGCAACCGCACGGCCGCCGGGGATAACAAACGAAGAGAAAGTTGTGCAAGGGTGGCGGCAGTGCCGGATACTAAGCAGCACGCGAGTCCGTTTGTCAGCGGCGCGACCACGGCCGCTGGTGCACGACAAGCCTCCCAGCGTACGGCGGGCGATGACAAGAACGCTGCGCACTGTGAGCACGACGGAGGTGAGACACCAGAGGGTGCAGCCGGGGCCTGTGGGTACTCGCCGGTTGGGCCTCGGCGCAGTCAGCGTTTCCGGCGCTCGGATCACGTGGCGGCCTTCTCCCGACCCCCGCTGCCATTCTGGGCAAGGCTACGGGTCACGTAAGCGGGTTAAATGAGTGAGTAAGAGAGCTTAGGCAGGCCGAGCGAAGACTCATTGGCATTTGAACTGCCACTATCCGCCCTCTTATTCCATCCTTCAGTCCTCCGCTGCACACTTACATTGCACGCCTCGCCGTCCACCCATCTGCCTTTTTCGCAGCCCACTCGCCCCCTCTCTCCTCTCCTCCACCACGTCTTCCCGCTCCAAAGATGACCTCTCTTCCTCATCCCGCCGCAGCCTACTATCCTCCTCACTCCCAGGCCAACCCTATCGATCTCACCCTCGACGACGACGATGACGACCTACACAGCACAGAGAGAATGTCAAAGCGCATTTGCCCCAGCTCCCGGTCATTCAACGCCAGTTGTAGCTACGCAACCGCGAGCACTCCTTCCTCTGCATATAGCCGCCAGTCTCCCTCCGGTCTGTCCCCTGCTATGTCCCATTCTACCCTTGCGCCCCCGGACGCACCCCCCACCTCGTCCCCATCCCACTCCTCTCATTCTGGCTATGGCGCGCCGCGTTCGCATGATCACTACGAAAGCCCGTCTCCGAATGCACCCCGCTTCCAAGGCCCGTCCAGTTCAGCCGCCTTCTTCCGCTCGCGACAAGCGCCCCCTTCCGCGAACCCTCTCGATCCTCACCCACCTATGCAAGCCAGCTCCAATGGAGCATCACCATCGAGCGCAGCTGCGCGTCAGATCATAGACCTCACGGGGTCACCTTCGCCTCCTCCTTCCGCTAGGTCTTCACAGCCGCCACAGCCTTGCGCGCCCCCGCCACAAGCCATGGGTAATTTACCTCCGGACCTTCCCCCGAAGACCCCAGTTTGCATTGGTGTACTTGCTGCCACCGCTCTTGTGCTATACCCCATTTCGTATCTCAGTCCGTCGGATACTGGTGGGCAAGAGTGCGACTGGGCGCCGGTACGTTTGCAGTACGAGCACAACGACAACAAGGCAAGCGGTTCCACAGAGACCATTCATATAAGACCGCCTTCCATGAAAGGAACGAACGGAGAAGTCATTCCGGGCGAGACCTTCGCGGTAGTAGAGCAGAAAGTCGCAACACATCTTGGGCCGATGCTTGGCAAGGGACTCATTCGCTTAGATGCGAAGATTCGGAGAACAAATCGACCGGTGAGCGCGCATATATCCTACATATGCTATGGCCCGCTGACGTCGGATAGCTGCCCATTCTACAACTGCAACTGCTCGTATTCACTCCCAAAGGCAATATCCCGGTCGTTTCCCATTACCTCGCCACGAATAGCCTCTATCTAGACCATCCTACACATCCCACAGATGTTCAACACGCGTCATCACAATACTACCACAATCCTCACAATCCTCCTCCCGGTGGTCATGCTCCTCGGACCGCTGTCATCAATCGTCCCGGCTACCTTGGACCATCGCACTCATTCAGCAAATGGAGCGCACCCGCTGTCGCCGGACGCAGTATTGAAGTCCAGCGGAATCAGGTCGATGAGCTCTTCAAGAGTTTGAAGAGTGGAGACGAGATAGATGAGGCCAATACTCGTGCGTATCACACGCGTAGCGTAACCAGCAGATTTATATCTGACAAAAGCTTTCTCTGCGTATAGCACCTGACGTTGCGACGAAGATGTATCCACATCAGCTCAAAGCGCTTACGTTCTTGCTCGCGCGAGAGCAAGAAACTGACGACAAGTGTCGACGACAGACGTCGCTGTGGCAAGAGCGAGTCAATCCTCTTTCGCATCAACGATCGTGGGTCAACATTGTCACACAAGCGGAAGAGTTCACAAAGCCGTGGGAGGCAAAAAGCGCCATCCTCGCCGACGATGCATGTGACATCTTGGCTTATCTCCGAATGTGCCAGCTGACTTATTTCTTACTCTCAGATGGGTCTTGGTAAGACGATTACATGTGTCTCGCTCATGGCCGCGACTCTGCAAGCCGCCCGCGAATTTGGCGAGTCGCCCCTACCACCTCCCCCTCCAGCTCTAGCTCCTTCGACTCACGGTGACGCTCCATTGACTGCATCTCACTTCCAAGGAAGCGTCTGGGGCATCCCTCCTCTCTCGATAGAGCCTCATGCTTCCTCGTCCTCGTCGAAGAAGAACAAGGCTGCGCAGAAGGAACAGGATCGCGCGGAGGCACAGTACACCCGAGCCTGCCGCATCAAGATGAAAAGTCGCGCCACGCTCATCATATGTCCACTGTCCACGGTGGTCAACTGGGAAGACCAGTTCCGCGAGCACTGGCGCGGCGAAGTCACTGTTTATGGAGGCGCCGCGGCCGGTGCAAACTCATCGCCTTCCTGTTCTGTGCCACAGCAAGCTACTCTGACGGCGCTCTCTACTCCCACCGGCTCACAGCTCGATATCAAGGCGGAGGAGAAGAAGCCGGCATCCGGCCGTGTTCGTGATGGGACTCCGCTTCGCGTCTACGTCTATCACGGCAACGCGCGCCGGCTAGACCCGAGCTTCCTCGCCGACTTCGACGCGGTCATCACGACGTACTCGACGCTGGCGTCAGAGTTTTCGAAGCAGACGAAGAGCTTGGAGACTGCGGATGATGACGACGACGATGAGGGTAATGGTAGTGAAGGAATCATGGAAGTCGACGCATCCGGAAAGGGCAAGAAGAAGCAGAAGAAGAGGAAGAAGTTCTCTTGTACCCCCGGTGCCGAGGTGACGAGTCCGCTTCAAAGCGTCCACTGGTTCCGCGTCGTCCTGGACGAGGCACAGTGCGTCACAGATTCTTGGCGTATTCTTGCTTTGTCTTGACCGCTAATTCTTTGTCCAGCTGCATCAAGGAGACAAACACCGTCGGATGCCGCGCGTCGTGTGACCTCATCGCAGACCGTCGCTTGTGCTTAACGGGTACCCCCGTGCAGAACAAGCTTGACGACGTCTACGCGCTCATCAAGTTCCTCAGGTTGACACCATTCGACGACAAGAACACGTGGAATGAGTTCATCGGCACTCCAGTCAAGTACGCTCAGCCCTTGGGTGTCGCTCGTCTGCAGACCATCATGAAGTGCATCACGCTTCGTCGCACGAAGGAATCGCGCGCCGAGGATGGCAAGAAGATCCTTTACTTGCCGCCACGACACGATGAGCTTCGCCTCCTCAAGTTTGACGCGGAGGAACAAGCAATCTATGACCAATTCTTCAACGAGTCCAAGGCCGAGTTCCAGTCGCTCTCCCACAAGAACGAAGTGATGAAGAACTACGTCGGCATCCTGCAGAAGATCCTTCGATTGCGCCAAATCTGCGACCACTTCGAGCTCGTCTTCAACAAGGGCCTTGGGTTGCCTGGGGAGACAACATCGTACGAAGATGTCGTTGCGGCGATCACGCGTGAAGGACTCGACGTTCAGAGGGCAGCGGTCGTCTTCAATCTCCTCAAGGAAGCGGGGACCACTCAATGCGTTGAGTGCTCGTGCGAGCTCTCCCCTCCAATGGACGCAGGCAACGAGGGCATGAACGAGGACGACGCACCGACCGGCCCAGCGAAGCGCGGAAGGAAGCCCAAGGCCGCCGCGTCCTCTTCGCGCGTATCTACGCGCCAGAACAGCCCCAACCACCCACAGCCGGTCCTTACCCGCTGCCAACACCTCTACTGCGCCGACTGCTTCCGAAGCTCCACGTTCCCCGGTTGGCCGAAGGTCGCGCCGGACACGCACCGGTGCTGTTCGGTGTGCCAGCAGGCGCTTGCCCCCTCGGATGCGGTCCTCGTCAACCTCGACTGCACTCTGCTCGACAGCCTGACGGCCGGTGGGAAGAAAAAGCCGGTGAAGAAGGAGAAGCGACAGAAGGGCATCGCGCCGGAGAACTTCCACCCGTCCACCAAGGTTCGCGCACTCCTCGGGGACCTCATCCAGTTCTCGCGTGTGAACCCGTACTCGCCCAACTATGACCCCAACTCAGTCGAGGTCCAGATGGTCGATGGGGACGGCAACAAGCTCGACGACGGCATCACCAAGACGGTCGTGTTGTGCGTCCACTTCATCTCCGCGCGGAGCTCTGCCTCATGATACTGACGGACATTGTTCATAGCTCTCAGTGGACTAGCATGCTTGACAAGTGCGTTTTTCACCACCTTCCAGAGCCGTCCATTTGTCTGACGGATCACCTCAGAGTCGAAGACGCTCTCGAAATAGCAAACATTCACTACGAGCGCCTAGACGGGACCATGAAGCGCGACGAGCGCACGAAGGCGATGGAGGCGCTCAAGCATGACCCTAGCTGCGAGGTGCTTCTGGTCAGCTTGAAGGCAGGCGGTGTAGGCCTGAACTTGACGGCCGCTCAACGTGTCTACCTCATGGATCCCTATTGGTGGGTTTGCAGATTTATCCGCCTGAGAACCAACACGCTAATGGGGTATTTCCCACATCAGGAATCCCGCGGTAGAAAACCAAGCGGTTGATCGTATTGTAAGCATATCTCTGGACCTGGCCGCAGTCCGTGCCGCTGACTGGAGTGTGTTTCTCAGCATCGTCTCGGTCAAACACGGCCTGTGACTACCATCAAGCTCATCATCGAGAACACGATCGAGGCGCGCCTGCTCGCAGTCCAGAAGAAGAAGTCGGAGCTCGCGAAGCTCACTCTCGGTCCGCCGCTGAGCAAGTCCGACCTGCAAGCCCGCCGGTTGGAGGAGCTCCAACAGCTGTTCGCGTCGTAAATTATTTCTTTGCTCACTCATTGTCCATGCACGCCGCACCACGTGTATACCTTATTCCATTATAAATTACTGTCTCTATTCCGGTACTGTACCCTCCCAGCTAACGATGGACATGTCGTTCCTTGTCGCTATGTTTTCTTGCTGCCGTTGCTGTATCACCACGTTCGTTTGTGCTTCAGAATAGATGTATGGAGTGGGAGAGAAGGCAGCGAGGGTGGGACACAGGAAGCCGTCGTTTGTCCGATGTAGTGAGATACGTAGACACGATCTAGAAGGCGAAGTGCGCCCCGTTCTTACGCTTCCCCGCGAGAGAATACACTAGCACTTGCGCGACGAGCATGCCGATCGTGACGCCGATGGCCACCTGGATCATCCGTATCCCGAGCTCGAAGCTGCTCGTGTTCCGCTGGCTCGAGCTCACGAACTCGTTCGACCCGGTGAGCCCGCCGCTCGTGCCGATCGCGGACTGCGGAGCCATCGTCAGCAAGGAAGCCCTCCACGTAACGCGCCGCGGCTCGCGCAGCGAGCGGACGCAACGGGACGAGGAAGAGCACGCCGGTGACCATGGAGGTGAAGGCGGTGCCGCCGAAGAGGCGCGAGTACGCGTTCCCGCAGAGGCCGATGACGAACGCGCCCGTCGCGGAGACGATGTCGCCGCGGTCGGAGACGAAGCGCTGCGCGAGGCGGTTCGCGGCGAAGGCGAGGCAGGAGAAGAGGACCATCACCGGCAGCTGCACGCTCCGGAGCGCCTGGAGGTTGCAGAGCGAGGAGCACGTCGAGTACACGGGCACGAGGACGAACATCGCCCACCACGGGAGCGTCTGCCGCCACCAGGCCAGGTCGGGTCGCGGAAGCAGCCTGCGGCGGGGGAGGGGCGGTGAGCGGGGTGCGGGGACTGGGACGACGACTCGACGAACCTTTGATGAACTGGCTCCCGGGCGAGTCCCCGTCTCGGAAGAACGTGAAGGTGCCGAAGGCGTCCTGGAGCGGCTGGGAGGTGTTCGCGTCGAGGATGGCCCCGTGGAGGACTTGTGCGTCCAGCGACTTGGACGCGGCGATGTTGCGCCGCGCGAGGGGGTTGAAGAGGAGGTAGAGGTCGGAACCCATGGTTAAGCCGAAACCCTGGACGGGCGTTAATGCAGTGGACAGATCACTGACAGAGTACGACGGACTTACCAGAAAGAGGGTGTAGATGACAGCATGCACCATTCGCACGGAGCCGCAGAGGATGTTCTTCGACGTGAGCTCGAGCGCGGCGATCACTGCAGGACGCGGCTGGTGTCAACAGTCTTGCGCGACGGACAAGGCCATTCTCACTCACGGATCGTAAAACCGGGGAGGATGAGCACGACGCCCCCAGAGGCGATCGCACTGTAGCAGAAAAGGTTCCCCGGCAGCGAAGAGAGCGCACGAGCCACGAAGGACACGACGATGGACACCGTGATCCTAGCGAAACGGCCCGTCAGCCCCTTTCATCGCAGCGCGAGAACTGCGCAACGAGCACCCACTCGTAGACGTTCGCGTAGATCGTGCTCTTCGCCGCAGCCTTGAGCCCGAGCCACTGGAGCACCGACGCGCACCCGCCGGCGACGAACATGTCCGCGATCGAGCCCCCGAACGCGAGCGCGCTGATGATGCTCGCGCAGAAGAACGCGAACACGCACCGGACCCAGACCGCGTACTCCGGCGGCTGGGCCATGATCGCGTCCAGCTGCTGGAGCCCGTGCGCGGCGCTGAGCTCGTCGTGGAGCACCGCGCGGTAGACGAGGCGCACGCGGTGGAGCTTCGAGAGCGCGACGCGCCCACCGGCGCGGACGAAGTGCGTGTCGGACGTGCGCGTGTCCGTGTCGAGGAAGTTGACGATCACGACCGAGGGGAGGTGCACGAACGCGACGTTCACCGCGAGCGCGGTGCCCGCGCACGACAGCTGCGACTCGATCCGGTGCGAGGGCGCGCCGAAGCGGAGGAGGGCCTTCGCGAGCCGGATGATGAACTGCTGCCGCGCCTCGTAATCTGCGCGGGCGGGCGTGAGCGGGCGGGGGGGAGAGGAGGCGTGCGGCGCTCACCGTCGACGCGCTGCGCGATCTCGGCGGTGTGCCGGTGCCGCTCGCGCAACGCCTGCACCTTCTCGCGGTAGCTCAGCTCCCGCTGCAGGTCGTGCGGGTCCGCGCGCTCGGCCTCGCCGTCCCCGCCGTCCATGTTCTCGTACCCGCGGTCCTTGCCCGCCCGTCCACGATCCCGCCCGCCATCCCGAATCGCAAGCCGAGCGCGATGAGGCCCGCGACGACCCCGTGGCTCCGGTCCCCGTCACCGGCACCCCTACGCCCTCTACGGCGGCGTCCCGACGTCAACCCCAAGTCATCATCATCGTGGCCGTCGTCGTCGCCGTCGCCGTCATCGTCATCGTCGTCATCGCGAGAATGAGAGCTGTCCTCGTCGGAGCGCGCACCGTGGTTCTCGCCGGCGAGCGTCGACGCGCGACGGTGCAGGATGCCCCGCGCCGGGTCCGTGTGGCGATGCGAAGGCAGCCGGGTCGGCCGGAAACGCGTCGGTTCTGGCTGCCCGACGTTGGCGGGCACGCCGGGCCCGGGGGGAGGCGCGTGCGGGCTGAATGGGTTCCTGGTCGGCGTGCGTGATGGACCTATGGGCGGAGTGGGGGTGAAAGAGGCCGGATGGCCGGGAGATGGAGCTGGAAAGAAGCCGGAGGGCGGTTCGCGCTGATAGGAAGGAGGGAAGACATGTCGAGCAAGAATGCAGGGAGAGTTGAGCGGAGATGCGGTGGCAATCAAGGGACCGGCCCAGGTATGAAGACATGAGTTGACTGAACGCCAGACAGATGAGATGGAAGGTGCGTGTATTTATGCTGGACGTGGCTGGCACCAGGGCACCAGGAGGGCTGACAGAGGCAAGACGGAGTGTGGATAGTCAGCCATGCGTCACTGTGAAGAAAGACCCACTCACAGACCGCACGGGATTTAGATCTACGGTCACCAATGCAATTCAGAAACGAGGAATGAGAGGGAAAGAAACATGGCATGGTATACAATGATGCAGTGTCTATGGAAACATCGAGAGCTAGATATACATAGGCAATAAGTGATGTCCGAGAGAGTGGGGGTGTCGTAGAGTCGTGAGGACGTCTTTGTGGCGTAGGGCCCACATCCAAAGTGGTACGGCGCAAAGACCCGGCTCACATATCTCTTTCCTTCGAACCAAAGATGACCCGAATCCTGCGGCACGGCGTCTCCAAATCATGCTCGCCCGCGTACCGCTGAGCCTCCATAATCTCATGGCGGAGCTGCATCTCCTCCAGCAGCTCCGCCCTCGATGGCGGGTCACGGGGCGGCATCGCCCAACCGTTCAGCACGGCACAGTTCCAGAGTGCGATGCGGGTGCGCATGTCGCTGGAGGCACAAACAAACAAGTCAGCCTCTGCCACGAAGACTTCAGAACGGGGACCGAAACATGCCTTTGGTACTGCTCGATAGCATGCTCGAACCTGATGCGACTGGCCACTTCGGTGTAGTCGTCGTCCTGCCAACCGAATCGGCGCAACGTCTGATCCCCTTTGAGAACTCGCACAAGCAACTCATCCCACATGGCCTCCTTGGTTGATAAGACCGAAGTCACTGCGCGGTAGAGGTGCACGTAGCGGCCCTGCTCTTCCTGAGACTGGCGTTTGTCCGTTCCTAGCATGCCGATGGCTTTGTTGCTGGTCAACGAGGTGGTCTCATCAGAAAGTGCTACGCCAAAGGGCGGTGTCGCGAATCGCGCCGAGCGCGCCGACTTGAAAGATTCCGAGCTGGATGACGATGAGTCCGATATGGATCGGCTTCCGGAGTCCGACCGCGCCATCGGAGCGTTAGATATGGGCACAGGACCGCTTGCTGGAGACGAAGGAAGCTTTACGAGGCCGTCTTTGGGGCTGCTGCCTGCAGAGGGTGGTAAGGTGGGAGATGGCGATTCCGACGAAGGGGTATCGGTATCTAGAGACGCGTCCAGAGGTGGTGGATGGTCGCCAAATGAGCTGATGCCGCTTCCGCGAAAAGTGGCCGTAGTGGCGATTGAGAGAGGTATAGAGGGTCTTCTCGTCTGTCGACTCCTGGTATAGGGGCGAAGGGGGCGAAGGGAGGCGGAAGGAAGTCGGCGACGGGGGGAGACTGGACGCGATCGAAGAATGCACCGAAGTAGCTCGGGATAATGGACGAGGGTGTAGGGTTGATAAACCGGTTTGTCCATACATCGTCATAGAGGGCCTCGAGTAATTCATGTTCGTGTGCGAGGGCGGACGCATCGGCAGGCTGGGCATATGAGAGACGTTGCTGGATGATGCCAGGTGCAGCCGTCGAAAGAGTGCGTGCATGAGCCCGTAACGGATCGGTATACCACCGGGGTAATGTGGGGAACAAAGCGTCTAAAGTATCTCGACTTAGCGAACGCCCAATGGACGATGAACAGCGTACGTCCATACCTTCTTCAAGATGCTCGATCGTAGCACCGTGTTTCATCACTCGGCGGATTTCCTGTCGGGAAGGTGATTAAAGACGGCAAGGAAATCGTTGCATTCCGACTCACTTCGTACAAATCATACCACTACAGAGACCGATTAGCAACGTTCGAATGCAATCAGGGAAGCGACGTGCCTTGTTCTCAGGGATGCCTTGCGCCAGCCCTTGTATGTGGACGTGATCGAACTCTTCGTCGTCAAAAGGGAGCTTGTTGCGAAGACTGAGGCGCGAGCTTAGAGACGGATGGAGGGGGTTGAAAGAGGACTCACATGTTGCAATGCACCCATTGGACGCGACCAGCGAGCTGCGGCTCTAGTATCTTGACGGGTAGCTGAACGTTGACCATGTCCACACCGACCTGATGGGCGGGTGAGTTGGTGGTATCTGGGCCAGGGGGAATAGATACTGACGAAGGTGGCGTCTGGCCATAGCTTTGCGGAGGAAACCACCCAGAGGCCAAGCTGAAACCGGGGCTGTGTCAATCACACGAAGGGTGGAAGCGAGGGTCTAAGCGGGGGACGGACCCCTGTACCGATGTCGAGACAGCGCTGGGAGGAGAGTCGCGATGGAGGAAAGACGCGTGTCCCTTGGTGCCGGTGATGAGGGCGTTGTCGAGACATTGGCTGAGGCGGATGAGATGAGGCGGGAGAGTGGGGAGCGGGGCGGAGAGGGACTCACACTTCGAGGACGTCGCGATCGAAGGAGCAGGGATAGGGGGCCTTGTCGCGGTCATAGGCATGGAGCTTTGAGCCGAAGCGGTCGATGAACTGATTCTCCTTGCGGTAGAAGGCCCTGCGGGAGTCGGAGGAGAGGGAGGAGGAGCAGTTGGGGCGGGGCTGAGGGCGGGAGGAGAGAGGATGGTTGGGGCCCATGTACATCATGTCGGGCTGAGCATGGGTGTGTGGAGAAGAGAGGAGGAGAGGGGCATGGAGGGCGAGAGGCGAGATTTCGCAGGCGAGAGAGCGGCCGTGGCTGGGGCAGTGGCTGGGCTCTCCCCGCTCAGGCGCCCCGGGCTCGTCCCGATCCTGTCGACGTCTGCCCGGCCCTCGCCCCTGTCCCTGTCCACGCGCGCGAGTCCTTCCCGATGTCCCCCTCGGTCCAGTGCCAGGTCCCAGGCCTCGCGGGGCTCGCCGTCGATGGCGCGCTCGCTGCGAATACGCGCGCGCGGCGAACGAGCGGGCGCTGGAGTCCGAGGAAGGCGGAGGTCGCACTCGCGCTTGTCGTGCCCATCAGCGACGCCATGGCGCCAGCAGGCGCAGCTCTCGATCGCGGCGGCGGCCCATGGCGGGTGGCGACGGGGGCGGGCGAGGACAGCGACGGGGGCAGAGGAGGCAGCGATGGAAAGCCAAACGGAGACGGCCGCGGCAGATCCCGCTCGATCGCTGCGTGGCCGACACCGACGTCACTGCCGACCCTGCTCTCCTCCCCCGCCTCCTCCGCCTCCACCCACGCGCCCATGCATCGTCGCAAGCCCATCTCCGCCAAGCAGCGCAAGGAGCAGCTCCAGCTCAAGCGTGCCGTCAAGCGCGGCGACGCCCCCGCCCCTCCTCCCGCTAAGCCCGACCGCCACCGCAAGGGCCGCCGTGGACCCACAGGCCAACAGGTCGGCGCGCCCCCTGCCTCGCGCGTCGCCGCCGCCGACTCGTCGCGCCGCCTCGAATCCTCGTTCGTCAAGCTTCCGCCTCAGTTCCTCGCCCACACTCGCACTCTCGCCGCATCGATCGCACTCACACGCCCAATTCCTCCCGACCGCGCGATTCTCTCTGATGTCCCCTCTCCTCCGGCAGCTGATCTCCCGGCACAGGACTCTCCTCTGACCTGCCCCAAACGGCCCAAATGGCGATACGACATGTCCAAGAAGGAGGTCGAGGCGAACGAGGAGGGCCTCTTCAGGCAGTGGCTCGCCCAGACTGATGCTTCCCTCGATCCCTGCTTTGATCCCACTCACAGCCCCGCCGAGGCAGATGCCCAGGCGGAGAAAACATCCGACCACTCGCCCGGGGCGGAACACATGCCCCACGCGCCGACATCCTTCGAGCGTAATCTTGAAGTGTGGCGGCAGCTGTGAGCTCCCCTTGCTTCCTCATCCCCATCCACCGCTCGCGAAGCCCTCCCGCTGACCACCTCTCCGCAGATGGCGCGTGACCGAGATATCCCACATCATCCTCGTCCTCCTCGACGCCCGCTGCCCCACCCTCCACTTTCCTCCCGCGCTCGCCGCCTACCTGTCAAACATGCCAAATGCGTCCCGCGTCCGCACCATCCTCGTTCTCACAAAGGTCGACATAGCCGGCCCCGAGAGGGCCGCCGCCTGGTCCGCTCACCTCCGCGCGAACCAGCCCGGCACCCGTGTCGTTCAGGTTGAATCCTTCGCCGACAGATCTCTCGACCGCGAAGCAGACGCGAGCGCCAGAAGGCGCGCGCGCGAGCCCCGTCTGCCTTCCGCCTTCCGCCGCACCCTCGTCGACGCCCTCCGCGAAACGCACGCCGAGCTTCTCGAGCCCCCGGAATCAATCCGGTCCAAGCCCGAGAGGCTCGCTGCCTGGAAACCCCGTGTGAAGTCCGATGTCGACTGGGACGCCGTGCTGACCGCCCACGGGGGCCAAGTGGGCACCGTCGTCGGTGGTGCCGCGGCGCCGAGGCCGCACGGACCAGCGTCCGATGACGGTCAAACGCATGAAGCCCACTCCGATGACGAGAGCGAGGCTTCCGAACCCGACTATCTCACCGTCGGCCTCATTGGTACGCCAAATCCGCAAAAATGAACGGCCCATCTGCTGAACGAGACTGCGCAGGCCAGCCGAACGTGGGCAAATCGTCTTTGTTGAATGCGCTCTTCGGGACGCAGAAAGTGAGGGCGTCTCGCACCCCTGGCAAGGTCCGTCGCGCATTTGCCTTTTGCCTAATGAAACTGCGGAGCGGGATGCTCACCGGCAAACGCCGTGCCAGACTAAACACTTCCAGACGCTCTTCTGGACCCCGGAGGTCCGCCTCGTCGACTGTCCGGGGCTCGTCGTTCCCAACTACGTCCCAATGGAGGATCAGGTGCGCTCCCACCCCACCCCGATTTTCGTCCGATGCACTTACGTCTGCACCCTGCATCCCACGATCGCGCGCATACAGGTTTTGAGTGGGATCCTTCCCATTTCACGCGTCTCCGCGGTGCCGTTATGCATCCACCACGCCGCGCAGCTCCTCCCGCTAGAGCGCGTTCTCGGCCTTACACATCCATCGCTTGTCCTCCCGCCCCTGGTGGACAAACGGACGTGGCGCGACGGCGCCCGGCCACCGCCCGCCGCGCCCAGCCCGTCCACGGACCCCGTCTGGACCGCGATGGACATCCTGACTGCGTACGCAGCGCGCAAGGGCTGGGTCACCGCGAAGGCTGGCCGACCCGACGTCAACCGGGCGGGAAACGCGAGTGCGTGTCTGCGGTTCACGGGGCCTCTCAGTGTCCGCGCGACTAACCGAGACCTCCCTTCCTCGACCCATGTGCTGCGGGTCTCGCCCGGGCCGTCAAACGAACGAAAAAAAAAACCCCCCGAAACCGAAACCGAAACCGAAAACCGTTCGCCCCCGTCGTGTCCGGCGCCGCCTCCAAACTGTATTCCGTCCTCCTGTTTCGACCGCCTCTCCCCGCCACAGTCCTCCGCGCGCTCGCCGAGGGCCGCATCCGGTGGGCGTTCTGGCCCCCCGGGACCTGCCCTCCGCCGCCGCGGGCGACGGAATCTGGATCGCCCCGCGCAGCGCGGACGATGAAGGCGGCCCAGCGACGCAGGCACGACGGCGACGACGACGACGCCAGCGATTCCGAAGGGCCCCCGGCTCGAGAGGACGAGTTCGGAGAGCACTCTGACGTCGCCGCGGGTGGCAAGCGCCGCGTGCACTTTGAAGGCGGCGCGCTCGCTTCGAGCGACGACGACGACGACGAGGGGCAGGCGGAGGTGGACGAAGGACAGGACGGCGCGCGCGCCACCCCCGCACCGATCGCGCGCGCGTCGGCGGGGCGGTTTGGGGCCCTCGCGCTTGGCGTGCTCGATGAGGGCGAGGACGATGAGGGTGAGGACGACGAGAGCGAGGACGACGACGGCTGACCGCCGCGAAACGTCCGTGGCGGCTGTTGCATTAGGATTTGTACGGCAGTACAATGCATGCGTACCACACGCCGATCTGCCCGACCCCATTCTTGTGCCACAGCGCTCGTTACACGTTCGGGCAGCCCCATCGGCATCTCGGGTGAGCTCCAGTGTGCACATCGTTCCGCCGCCAGGACGGTCACCGAGGTGCGGCGAGGGAACATCCTTACTATGCACCGTGCACGGATGCATGCATGCCACGGCAAGATACGGCAGTACGAGCGAGTGTCGAGCCGCGCACGCACGATGCCTCGTCTAAACGGGGACCAAACAGCGCTGAGACGGAGGGGATCGTTGCTCGAAGATTAACCCATCCGTCCGTGATGCCGTCCTTCTGCGCGGGCGGTGCACCGCGTCGTGACTACACATACAGGGCCGTGACACACCTCCGCGACGGCGAAGTAGCCCGTGTGAGCGGACAGGAAACACAGGGTGATAATATTGACGGCGACGGCGTGGGCATGGCAGAACGTTGGGACGGCGACGAGGGGTCCGCCACCCTTCGCTAGCTCAGTCGTCATTGCAGGGCAGGCCCCGGAGGGAGCTCGCACGGGGCGCCGCTGCGCCGTCAAGGACAGAATGGGGTGTGAGGGGATTCGGGAGGCAAGGAGAAGGGGCCCGCTCCATGTCGTATGAACTAGGGAGGAAACACGTCATGAGAACGTGGGCAAGCGTCCAGCGGAAGGTGAAGAAATTACATCGATCTGAACTTCTCCAGCGCAAGTGGAAGGGGTTAAAGATAGTAGAAGGGGGATCAGAACGGGTGAGAGGGACGAGGAGAGGCAGTCAGGGAGGGCAGATTCTGGTTCGTGGGAAGGACGGCAAGGAGAGCAACCCAAGGGCTGACGCCGGCGACAGCAGTACCGAGCGGCCCCGCAAGCCATCCTGAGCTGGTATCAACGTATGGGGTTCACTGTAATTACCGTACAACGTGAACGCGCAGCCCAGTTGCGTCACGGAGCAGTCCAACGAGAGGGTGGTCTAGTAGCGCGCCCCATAGCCGTACCACCGTGGTTGAAGCTCGGGCCACGGTTAAGCTCGCCCATCTGCGGGCCCGGGCTGGGGCCACGCTGGAGATCAGCGTAACCACCCACGGGCGCCAGGGTGGCCGGTCCAGCAGTGAAGTCGTGTTCGGGGAGCGAAGAGGCGTTCGTGCCGTGGTGGGTTGAAGAATGGAATGAACCGTGGGAGGCGTTCGAGTTGGTGCGGCGGTGGGTGGGGAGGCCTGAGTCGTCGTTGGTGGTGGGCTGCCAGTCGATGGGTTGCATGCGGTCATCAAAGTTGGACGACGGGCGGAGCTTCCACTTGCGGAAGAGGGTCCAAGCGAGCGCGACAGCACCGACGGAGGCCGCAACAGCGACGATCACGGTGAGCGTCGCTGTTGTTATCTTCTTGGAGTCGGTCGAAGCGCTGGTGGTCTGGTTGTTGGACGAGGGAGACGAGGATGTGGAGCCCGGAACGACGCTCGTAATAGTGGCCGTGCTGCGGTTGGCAGAAGGCTGGGTATTATCAGCCGCCGATGTAGCGGGGTTCTCCGGGGCGGAAGTGGGTGACAACGACGAAGTACTGGACGTGGAGACGGTCGAGGAGGAAGACCCGCTCGTGGTGGAGGACGACGTAAGGCTCGTGGCGGAGCTCGTACCGGTAGTAGTAGTGCTCGACCCAGAGGTCGTCTGAGTAGGCGCAATGAACATCTGCCAAAAGGATGGCAATGCAGACGAACTCACCAAATCCGTCCCAGAGGTCGTGGTCGAGCCCGTCGAACCTGTAGACGCGGCGCTGGTTGTGGAGGTGCCGAGGTGGTACCTGTGAGATTGAGCTGGACGAGAGGGAGGCAGTGGGGTCCCTCGCCGCCGAGGACCGGGTTGAAGATGCTGGCGAGGGCGCCGCCGTCGGCGCGCTTCTTCACCATTCGGCGGGAGATATCGACATGGTCGCGGGAAGGATGAACGAGCGAGTTCGCCTCGACAACAGTGGCCAAGCCCAGGGCGACGACGAGGCAAAAGAATGTGAGAGCGACCTTGGTGTTCTTGCGGGCAAACATGATGGGCGGAGTCGGGATGAGGGAGGCGGGATGAGGGGAAAGCTGTGGGTGGCAGACCGTCAGCAGAGGGCTCGACGGCGGGGCTTTCGCAGATTGGCGGAGGGACCGAGGCCAGCCCGGGACGGAGCGGCAGAAGAGAGAGGGGGGAGACGCACTGGGAGAGGGGAGAACCCCGTCTGCGGCGAGTTGGTTTTGTGTGGTGAAGGAGGGAGAGCTGAAAGGAGCGACGGTGGCCAGAGCCAAAGACAGTGGGCGCGGGAGGAAAGAACAAATCGAGGCGCGCCTTCCTCGCCGATACCAAGGGAACCATAGGCGCCCATATCAGATCCCCCGCCAGCCACCGCCAGCCAATCCACCAGCGGCCAAGCCCCAAGGGTACCCGCCGGACACGCTCCCTCGCACGTAATTTCTCGTCTCACTCAATGCACGGCGCGGGTCTGCAAAGCACGTCGGTGGGTCGTAATTGGGAGCATTGGCCGCGCACGGGCCCAAAACTAGGCGCACTTGAAACATACAAGCAAACGATGTATCAACGATCCGGAAGTGTCCATCGCAAATCACCACAGCTCCACCACCCCCGTCCTGGCCATCAATCAGTCGTGACTCCGGAGCGTCCAGCTGTCGATGGCCACGCTCGGCGGTGTCACAAAGTCGCTGCTCGACATCCCATCCCACTGCGGGTTGAACAACACCTGCAGACTGTACTGGCCTGCGGGCAGGCTGATCATCACCACCGTCACCCCTGGGTTCTCCTGGTCAACCTGGCCCGCCGGGAGGGCCGGGTCGTCGCTGAAGCGGACGGCGTCCCCAGTAGTGAGGCTAACGCCAGAGGGCGCGTTGAGGATCGACATCGTCAGCGTCTGGTCGCCAATCTTCAGCGTGGCCGTAGTGCCGTCCACCGTCACAGTCGCGTTCGTATGCATGCGCCACATAATGTCGCCCGACGCGTTGATGTCGTCCTGGAGGAGAACCTGCTTTCGGCCATTCAAGTAACGGATGCCTCGCTTGAACGACGTCCTGTGGGAAGCAGTCAGCATTCCAGTCCAAGCCGACGTCGAGAAGGATGAAAACGCCGTCGCCAAAGATAGCGAGGCCAGACATGGAAGCAAGTTCACTTACACGCTCAAATACGCGCTCGTAATATCCGCCGTCCAGAGCGCGGTGTCCGTCTTGTCGAGGCTCAGCACAGTGCTCGAGCCTTGCGTCGTGCTAGAACTCAAGGTTGGAGGACTGTCGGAGCGGCGGCAACCAGCTGGTTTTGCTTGTTGACCAGGATCGTGTTCTGGCCTTCAGTACGCTTGCGGTAGTACAGCCAGCGGTCACTCTGCTGCGTGTCGTTGCTGAAGTAGTTCAAAGAACGGTAATCGCCGGAGCCGAGCTCGCCGGCCCAACGCGTGCCGAGGGCATCGAGGACGAAGTCGCCACAATCCAGGTCGTTGTGCGTCTGGTGACCCTGCAGGGTGCCGGCCTTGATACCAATGTACATCGCGTTCTCATCCGTCCACGAGCTTCGCAGGGAGGCCCACTGGTCCGTGTTGTTATCGAAGAAGTTGTCGAGGGCCAAGCCGTCCCAAAACGCACCCTGGACCGCGGGATTGTACCAGAACACGCTCCAAGGTTCTGGGGCATCGTGTTGGTCGCGCTGGAACAGAATGTACTCCGGATGTTTGAACTGGTCACCATACAAAAGCATACTGTTGGCCGTTGACGAGAACTTGTTGGGGCCATGGTCACCCCATGAGAACAGCGAGCCGGGACCGGTGATAGACATGTGGAAGAGACCAGTCTTGTAGAAGTTAGGGTTAACGGTGAGGAGATCGTAGTCGGAACCGGTTGCGGTCATGAGCGCAGACGCCATCTCGGCGTGCCCGGTTGTGCCGAAGTACCAGTAGTTCGCGGTCTCGGACCACGATCCATCGGTCGAAACGGCCCATGCGCAGTTCTGCTTCGCGTTACCAACGGTCTGAGCGAGGATGGCTTCAGCAGTACCGGTGGTGTCGTCTCCAAGATTGCCAGCGCGCCAATCGTCAGGCCTGCATTGCACACGCAGTTCCAATTTCCTTCAATGTTGCTGGCCCACCAACCGGTGAAACGGTTGTCGCTGTTGTTGAAGGCGACGAGGCCGGGGTTTAGACCGTAAAAGAGCATGGAAGTGCGGATCTGGCTCTTCTGGTCGTCGGTGAGGGCATCATAGAGCCAGTCGTAGGCAATGCCGAACGCAGAGGTCATTTCAGCAGTATCAAGGAAATGGGTGGGGTTCCACTTGTCAGACCCATCGGGACCAAACGATGCCGTGCCATTTCCAGCGGCGTTCTGTGTAACCCGTTAAATCTTGATCGTGAGAGGCATGTGCGGACAGGGATGCATACCTGGAGTTCCTTCCATGCCCTATCCACCCACTTGGTGTCCTGGGTCAGCCGGTAAACATAGGAAAACGCCTTGACGCGCTCCTTGACCTCGCGCGAGTTATCCAAGATACCGCTGTCACCGTCCATGAAGTACTGAACCACAGGAAGGCTGTAGTAGTTGGTGGCATTGCCAAAGATGGTGTCGTTCCAGAACTTGAGGTAAGGGTTGCTCGAGATTAGGGTAGGCAGAGCTTCCCACTTGTACGAGGGGGCGATGATACGAGGGCGATCGGAACGAACGCTGGTGACGGAAGGGTTGGAGGGGGAGAAAGAATCCGATGGCCAGGTGGAGCCCGAAGAGATTGTGGGCGAGGTGTACAGAGCGCTGTTAGTCTGAGGACTTGGGTCAGCAAGGACTGCAGAGCAACAGAGCTCAATGGAGGAAACGCGGAAAAACAAAGCGAACGGCTGTGAATGGGAGTAGACGGTAGACCGTCGAAGAACGTCGCGGCACATGCCGGAGCGAGGGTCTCGGAAGACTATGCGCCCGTGAAGACTGATAACATAAGTAATGCACGTACCGTGGACGGGTAGATGGGGAGGAGGTATAGACTATCCGTCGCGGTAGCAAACAGCTTGGAGCCGTCGTTGTTAGTGTTGTTGCCGGACGATGACCCGGACTTTGTAGACGAGGAGCCTGTTGTGGACTTGCTGGCGCGGATCCCGAGAATGGCACCGACGACGGCACCAGCAATCACAAGAACAGCGACGGGGATGCCGATCTTGATCCATTTGCTGGTGCCCTTCTTGGGGTTGGAGGGGGTGATGAAGCCGGTGGACTCATTATAGTAGGGGTCGCCTGAGCCGTAGGGAGAAGGGTTGGAGGCGTTGCTATGGTTGTACGGGGCGTGGAGGTTGGAAGCGTTAGAGTGGTTGTAAGTCGCGTTGTAAGACATGGCGCCACAGGCCCCGAGGGGGAGGAGGGAAAAAGAGAGGACGCAGGAGCCTGCTGGAGGACGTGCAGAGAGAAAGGCGGGAGGCGGGAGAGATGGTCGTCGGAGGCCAAGATGTGGGACCCGGCGAGCGTTCACATCGCTCTTCAATGTCGCGCCCCGCCGGCACACCCGGCACCACCCTGCACCACCCTGGCACAGCTATTTTCGGCCGCTATTCTTGGCCGAGCCTCGCACGAGTAGGCTCCCCTCCAGGCCGCCTCTTATATAGGACATAAGTACTACTAGCTAGTCCCGCCGCTCTCATCTTTCACTGCACATGCCGAGCGATTGACGATCAACAACGCACGCCGTCATCATCCCTCTCCGCAGTCCGCAGCCGTCAAATTCAGCGTGAACGCCCACACAGCCATGGAGAATTAGCCCGCGGTCCGTCCTCTCACGGTTCACCACTGTCTATTATCTATACGAACGACAACATGAATCTCATTCTGCAACAAATACTGCAGCCGCTCCCATCCCTGTTCCGATGCACATCGACGTGACGAGGATCTGCGTGCACGCCGCAGCGTTAATCTCGGCAACCACCCTATGTCAGATGAGTATTTACCTTGCCATTGCGCCGCGAGAGTGCGTTCAGTCCAGTCGCGATCTGCCGAACACCGGTGCAGCGTGGATGACCGACCCATGGTTAGAACACGATCAACTGTTGTCGACGCAAAAATACTCATCAAGAGGATGGCCGAACGCTATAGCGCCTCCATTCACGTTCACTTTCTCGATATCCAATCCGAGCTTGTTGACGCAGTACACGTACATTGATGCGAAGGCCTCGTTGATCTGCCACGCGTTTGACTTCAGCCATGCGACTAAGACGAAATATGGCACGTACCTCGAACAAGTCAACATCGTCCTTCGACAACCCCGTGGCTTCTAACACCCTGGGGATAGCAATCGACGGACCAATGCCCATGATGCGCGGCGCGAGACCGGCGACCTGTGTCGCGACGTGTTTCGCCAGGATCTTCAGCCCAAGCTGTTCAGCCCTTCTCCGCGTCATGAGCAACACGGCCGCCGCTCCGTCAGTGATCTGGCTTGCGTTTCCTCCGGTCGTCTGGCCTTTGCCCCATTGTGGGAATGCCGCCTTCACTCTGGCAAGGGTCTCCTTCGTTGTGCCATACCGAATACCGTCGTCCTTGCTAACAAGCTTCGTAGTGCGCGCTCCGGTGCCATCGTTGACGAAGGCGGTGAAAGGCACGATCTCCGAGGCGAAGATCCCTTCCTTGTCTGCCTTCTCTGCACGCTGGAAGGACAAGGCGGCCAAGGCGTCCATGTCTTCCCGGGAGACGTTGAATTCCTCGGCGACGTTCTCAGACGTCCAGCCCATGGGCATCGACGCATCCCGAGCCGACTGGCTTTCCTTGACAATGTCGCTGCTGGGCGGTCCACCGCGATCCGGGCTGTATCGTGGATCAGAGATCAGAGTGGCGACAAACAATGGTCAATTCCTATGTCACGAACTTGTCTGACATGCTTTCGAATCCCACGGCGAGTCCAACATCGATTTGTCCAGCCTTGATCTTGTTTGAAATGTCGGTCACAGCCATGAGCCCGGAGGAACACCAGCGATTGATGGTCTGCAGCGGCACGGTGTCCGGAATGCCGGCCGCGAGCGCAGCCCTGCGAGCTTGATGTGGGGCGCCGGCCGTCAGGACAGTTCCAACGGTGATGTCTCCAATAAGCGCAGGATCTATGTTGGAATGTGCGACAGAATGCTGAAGTGCACCCGAAAGTCAATCCGCATGTTCCACGCGTCTGAGTGAAGAGGGCTGCACCTTGAAGATCTCGTATAACAACTCATCGCTCCTGTGTCATGCGTGAGTCTTAAATCATGCCACAGCCCATCTCCCGCATCTCGGCCAGCGCAGGATATAACGTAAGACTTACCTTGTGTCCTTGAATCCTCCCTTCTTGGCTTTGCACAGTGGCGAGCGAATGGCCATGGTGATCACTACGTCATTGGGCGAATTGCGCGTGAGAGCGGCGCGGCCTTTGGAGGACCCAGGCATGAGGTGAGAGACCACCTGCTTGACGCGTTCGACAGACATGGCGGGTGGAGAGGCGTGCAGTGAGGAAAGGAACCTGAGTCGGGACGGCGGGGCTGAGAAGGAGAGCGCGTCGAATAATGTACCTCGGCTCGGGAAGGAGATGAGCCGAGCACCGTGAGCGGGGACCGTGCCGAAGGGACTAGGCGGGCTCTGGCGGCACGGGGTCGAAGTCAGAAGACCTGGTGGCGACCATATTGCTCTCGGATCCTGCATCAGCAAAGTAGGTGCGGAAACGATAGCGTATGATCGTGCACTGGGGCATTTGTAGCGTACGGTAGTTAGTGCTAGCGAAGACAATAGAAGGTAGATTAGTATCCAAAGAATGCAGTAACCCGTATTGTACGGCCGTCTGCTTCTTCCGCTATCAACTGATGATCGATTCTCGCGGGCAGGGCTATCAAGTCTGAGTGCGCACGCGACCGTATATCGGTCATCTGCAGCGCATGAGTTGATAGTATTACACTATAAGAGGTCAGAGTTAGCGGAGGAGATGACAGATAACTGCAGAACACTGTCGCCTTCCGTCGCACACAGGGGCGTACATATAATCGCACAGGTAGTATGATCCAATCACACGATAATCCATTCGGGTTAAATACGAAACAGCCGGTGTTCTACACAACGGACACATGAGCAGAATAAAGAACTTACATGGTCGGCGATGTGGCCGAGCTTGAAGCCTCTCTCCCAGCACGTCTCCCCGAATTGAGGGAGGGTTCCCTGCCATCGTGAGTACTATCGGAGTGGTCAGTAATGTAGAAAATTCGTATCGAGAGATCGCTTACCTGATAGAGGAGTCAATGTGGAGAGCGCGGAAAGGTCGGTTGAGCGTGGCAAGATAGACAGGTCGGGCATGGAGGGGCGCCATGGGCGCGAAAGGGTGAATTGGTTGGGCGCGGGGAGGTGGTCGCCTTGAGCGTGGATGGTCGCGTCGGGGAAGGGGGAGGGAGGCGGAAGAAGTCAGCGGGTGCGGCCACAGGGAACGCGGAGGAAGAGAGACGCACGCAGGAGAACTGGAATGCCTTCACGAGCCGGATCCCCTCGACAGAGCGGCCCACGGGGAGGTTGTTGATCGTAATTTGCTTGTCCAGCTCAACCGAACGCACAATCAGCCGCGATTCCCGGAAGTGTGCCGCTCCACCAAGGACGTACCTGAGGGCACCCTACAGGGTCGACTCTGATGAGAAGCCCACAGAGGGCGATCCCCTCGTCCTCGATGAGGACGCCGTACTCGTGGGACATGGACATGTGGGCCGACTCGAGACCGCCTTGCTTGCGCGGGGCAATCACCCAGATCGGTCGAGGCCGCTATGGACTTGGTGGAATGAGCGGCTGCAGAACAGATATCGGTAGAGGAGGAAGAGGAACACAAACCAGTGAGCCGCTGCTCCTGCCGAACGGGCGGCTGCTCGGGGCGGACGCGTCGCGCGCGTTCAGCAACGCCTACCGGAAGCGGTCGCGCGCAGATCTAGCAGCAGGAGGTCGGGATGAGCGGGCTCGACCATGCGGGTCACCGTAATATCCTGCTCGCGGCTCGCCTGCCGCGCTCGGACGTTCTGAAGACATACCTGTACACCATGCTCCCACGGAGCCGGTGGCTGCCGCACCTCCACATCGCCTTGAATCCCCGGTGGCAAGTGAATGGTGTTGGGTCGCTGGCTTGCATGGGAGCGCGCGGCGCCACATTGAAACTGTCGGCGAGGCTGAGGAATCAGGCCTCACAAGTGACCGACCCGTGGCCATGGGCGACGTACTCAAGCGTATCTTTGTACCCGCAGTCTTGAGGGTGTGGGCTTTCGCCGGTGTGGGTGAGGTGTTCAAAGCCATGTGTCGACACAAGTGTGTACGTGAGCGAGATGCCGAGAGCGGGGAATGAGGAAGAACTCACCGTGTCTTGATACATCGCGCGCGAGTGTGAGTGGCACATCGCGCTTGGGGGATGATGGTGGTCGCGGATAAAGCCCAGTAGGCGCGCAACCCAGCACACGCGCCCGTGTCTGGAAACAATAGGGAGGCCAAAGCAGGACGCCACTGCGGCGCCTCCGTGACTATCAGCAGGAAATCATGGTAAGCAATGGACCTCAGAATGTCGCAGCTCACACCGACCTCCATACGTCTCAGGGTCATTCTCCACGCTGACGAGGACCGTGTACTTGACCTACCCGGCGGCCGCTCTTCGGAGGTGCACTGGGCCCTGCTGCCCGAGCGTCTTGATCATCATCGCCCCACCCGCAATCAACTCATGGTGCCATCTGCAAACAATGCGCCAGATCTGACGCTTCCCAGCCAGCTCTCGAGAGTGAGATCGCTTTCAACGCCAATCTTCCATCGTCTAACGTCAACGGCCTTATCTCAAGACCTCTTCCCAGTCGCATTGGTAGAGCTTCAAGCTGCAGAGGTCATAGCTTGTCGAATCATTGGATATCGAGGAGGATGGGGCCCGGGAGCAGAACATTCCTTATTGGGAGTTCACTGGCAGCTGGGCCGAACTAGGCTCGGCGTCGCTTGACAGGCAAGGTCGTGCACGACTTGCACCCGACCACTGCCGGCAGCGCCCCAAGTTCCAACGTGTTTGCAGGACTGTATTTGCGCTAGGAAGCCAGAGTTGGTGGAGTGGCTGCGCGGTGACTCGGTGAGGCCGTATACTTATATCCTCGAGGCTCACGCGCACCGCGTTCTCTGCCGCGCGCACCATTCGCGCGCTCACGAACCAACCGTATAGCTCAATGCAGACTTCTCATGCACCCCGCGCGCGCCATGGATCACCCTTGGAGGAGCGCATGATCGTCTACTATCATCAACATATCATCGACTGCAGCTTTTTGTCTAAACTACTAGTGCCTGTAGTAGATCCATCATATCCTGTATGCGGCCACGGAATGTGATCAAATGTCATATCAAAGCCGAATGAATATCAGCTGCTACCGTTCTACTGCCATCATTTGTCGCGCGGACAATAGACGACCTGTCCCGATATGGCAGTGTCGCGTGCTATCGGGCGCTACCGTGGAAAACACCTTTTGCTGATGTGGCTGCACTCCGCGGGGTCCTCGATTTCCCCGTGGTTTACTCCGGATGAGACAAGTACCACTCACCCGCCCCTGTTGCCCGAGAAGACTGCGGGCTCCGCGCGTGTCTTCGAAAGGGATCTGCCCGCAGTGTGAGCATGCGAAGCAATTAAGATCGAGTGAGACACGAAGTGTGCGGAGGTCCAGAGGCTGTGGACCGCCCACGGATGGAAATTCTAAGAGCCCCCGCCAATTGGCGCTCTGGCCGTTCTAAAATCCCGTGCACTGGCTTGAAGGGTATGAAGTGCGCCAGGTTCGCTTCTGCTCAGCTCCGAAGAACCCGCCTTATCCCCGGGAACATACCAGGTAGACCATCACCCATCGCGCGTGCAGTGCAAACCATGCCTGTGACCGTCATCACTGCCAAACCCCAGGACAGCACTCACTCTCCCCAGACGTATCGTTTCATTGGTATGTCAATGTCTCTGCGCAAAGTTTCACTGAACACTCATCGGACGATCTTCCGTAGACATCGGAGGTCAGTGTGATGTCATTCTCATAGTGTACACTGAAGATCCACATCTCTTGGTTTCAGTCAACTTGACCGACCCAGTGTTCAGAGGGTTGTATCATGGAAGACAGAAACACGACGGTGTGACTTCTCACTCTAGTATGACCTGAAGCATCCGTCCTCTTACATGCATGCTCTTAGATGACCTTGAAGCCATGCTCGAGCGCTGTAGGGCTGCACGCGTACAGAGCATGATCATCACAGGGACCAGCCTACACGAGTCCAAAGAGGCTCTCAAGCTAGCGAAGCAGCTCGGCTTCTACGCGACCGTGGGCTGCCACCCCACCCGCTCCGCCGAGTTCGACAAGTTCAGAGGCGGGCCCGGCAAGTACCTGGAAGAGCTCGACAACCTGATCGCCGCCAACCTGACCGGTCCCGGAAGGGTCGTCGCCATCGGCGAATGTGGACTGGGTAAGTGGGCGCACAAGCCCGCGCGGGCCAGCCAAGGTTCCGTCCGGAGCCAACGCCTGACATTCGACCATCCAGATTACGATCGACTGCACTTTGCCAAGGAGGACGTGCAGCGCCGCCACTTTAGTGAGTCTTGCAGGCTGCTTCCCTGGTTCGGACGGGTGGCTCATGCCGTGGGTTCAGGAGCGCAGCTCGCTTTGGCGAAGAAATACCACCTGCCGCTGTTTCTCCATTCGCGTGCGGCGCATGCAGATTTCGTCTCTATATTGCGCGAAGAGGGATTCGACAAAGATGGCGGCTCTGCTGCAGGCGGGAAGGGTGGTGTCGTCCACAGTTTTACGGGCACGCCCGAAGAGGCGATCGAAGTGGTAGGTCGATCGGACGGTCTCCGAAAACTTGGCCTGTGCTCACCACATATGCTCCAAGATGGACATGGGGCTCCATGTCAGGTGCGATAGGGCAAGCTCGGCTGGTTGCATTTTCTTGACAACCGTATGGTCTAGTGTAAATGGTTGCTCGCTCAAGACCGCAGAGAACTTGGCGACAGCGAAGGCAATCCGTCCCGATAAGATCATGTTCGAGACAGGTAGCATAGTAAACGTCCTGAGTGGATATACGATTCGCTGATTCTATTCCATATACAGATGCGCCTTGGTGCACCATGACTTCGACCCATGCTTCGAGAGCCCACTTGTCGAGCCTCTCATCTTCGCTTAACTCGGTGTACTTCCCTCAAGGCACAAAACCCGAGTCCTTCGTATACGGCCGACCGGTTAAAGGTCGCAACGAACCCAGTGCTGTCGGTGGAGTGGCTTGGGTGATCCACAAACTGAACGACGGCGTGCCGTTCGAGAAGGTGGTTGAGAAGGGATGGAAGAATACTATCGAGCTGTTCGGGTTAACAGAACTACAGTAAGCAGGAAGGCAGAACACAGAACGAACAGAGCGTACCCTGTGTCGTAGAGATATCTCGCAGCATTCTGTCGTTTCTCGTCATCGCTTCCATCCCGCAGCCTTCTTTGTCATATAGACACAGCTGACGACAGGAACTGCTTGTCGCAGCCATGGTAGCACGCCATGATCCACTTGTGGGCAGCCGTCGATGCGCAATGATTGTAGTGGAACCACTGTTGCTGAGGAACACAGTACGCCTGATGGTGCTTGATCGCCTTGGATCGTCAACACGTCCTCCACCGACTTCTCCGTCGTTGGAATGCGCAGCTTCACGAGACGTACGAGCGGGCCTCCTGTGACATCCGGATTCTGCGAACAATCCAGATGTCGTATGGAAGGGCAGCGTACGTGTGGGAGGGAGAGACTGTCCGAGGAGTGATCATCTGGAAGAGTGCGTGGCTGCGCGAGAAACTCGAGGATGGGACCTGCAGTACGCTCACCAACAGCGATGAGGTGTAGGGTTTCCAGCATGACCGCACTTTCGAGTAGGTTCATGAAGGGCTGTGGTAAGAAAACGACGGCAGATAGGGACAATGAAGTCAATTGTGATATCGGGAAGTAATTGGATTGGAAGAAGGGCGCTTCGAAGACGATTTGACACGTCGCAATTTGCAGCTCTTTGAGGGCCGTGAGTTGTAAGCGGGATAGTATGCGATTCGGGTTTGCCCTGTTCAGGCAGAGCGAATGGAGCTTGGGGAGTACGACCGTAGATGGAATGTGTCGATTATCGGGGGCGACCTCCGTCTCTATGGCCCGAGGGTGAACACGTTGAATATCGAGGGCGGTGAGACGTGGGTTCTTGTGAAGGAGCCATAACAGATGGATCCAGTTGTCGCCCGGGCTATCAACCGTCAATGTGTTCAGATCTTCAAGGGTGCCCACAAGGTGAATCCAATCGCACAGTGTCGTGGATTTGGGCAGTGAGAGATCGGTGCAGTGAAAGGAGATTTCATGTTCATTACGCACAACGACTCCGGCAACGTCGACGGGAGAGGCACCATCCCAGGCACGAAGCGGTTGTACGATCGCTGAGGCAATGCTGGGCAAATACCGGGGGATGTGGCTGAGACGAATTCCCCGGAGCCTGAGCGTAATAAGAGATGACGTCGAAAGGCTGGAAAGCCCTTCAGGGATATCGCTATCGTTGGCGAAGTCTACAAGGATGTGAAGGTGCTGAATATGATCCCTTGAGCGTTCTTTCCACAGGTTGAGTTTGCGTTTAGGGCTCCTTTCTGACAAGACAAGAGTCCTCCAGCAGGCAGGAGCTCCTAGGATGGTGGCGCGCCATTGTTTGCAAACTTGAGCCAGTCGTACGACATACGCGTGGTCGTCGTCTAAGAGCACGGCAAAGATGGTGTGGGCGATCTCCATGGGGAGGTTGCCGAAATGATAGGCCTGTTGTGAGATGAGACGAGATGCCTGCAGAGCGTCCTCATCAAGAGCGGATTGGATTTTCGAGCGTAACTCCGCCATCGCGGCTCGTTGTGTGTTCTTGTCCGGAGACATTCGCTCAAGTGCGAGGTCAACCATACGCATTGAGGCTGGCAGCTTGCGCAGTTGAAAGAATAGTTGCGCAGACCGCGAATAGCCCTGGTCTGGCTTAGTAAAAGGCCGACTATGAGAACTGCAACGTACCTGCCAACGGCGGGGCTGAAGATCAATCGCCGCTTTGGAGTCCTGTAGGGCCTCCTTGACCTTGCCAAGTTTCTGGTACACCGCCGCCCGCGAGTCCCGTATGGGGTAACCGTCTCCTCCCGTATCAAGTGCCTTGTGTATGGTATGAGGGGACGTCGTTTCCGTCCGAACAACGAATAGTCCTTACGGCGGAGAAGTGTTCCAGAGCCTCTTCGTACCTCCTCAAACGGAAACACTTGACCCCCTGATCAAACTTGTCCTTCCAAGGATCCATGGGTCGTCCTTCGAACGTGTGTCGGGATGAGAAAGAGATAGGATACTGGAAGAAGGTGGCCGAAGGAAACAGAGAAGACGGGCGCGCTCGATCCACCGACCGCGCGTGACGAGGGTCAACGCGAGCAGTCACAAAGTGCCCACGGATCACGCGTGCTCCGACTCCGCGGATCAGGCCTCTGGGGGCGACCCAAGTTTGCGAGCTGCATCCCACCGTTGTCGACGGCTAGAGAGTCTCCCTCCCTCTTCGTGCCTCCCGCATGCCTGCTAAGACCTGCCGAACGCAACACAGACTTCTCCCATCTCTTTCTCTGGAGCTTTCTCACTCTTACTTTGCTGCACACAATGCCTAACGACTCAGCAACGACTCGCAATGACGGCATGATCTCCTTCGTTTTAGCTTCGGCAAGTGTAGTGTGGTATATCATCCTATGGAGCATAGGGTTGATTGGCTGCCTTGCTGCGTAAGTAGGATCCATGCCTTCACCCGTAAATACCACTCATATTTTTCAGTCGCAAGCGGTACAGACTACGACCTCGGTCGCCCTTGGCCTCCGCCGCCGCCAATACAGTTCCAGGCGTAACCATCCTCCGCCCCCTCAAAGGTCTTGACCACAACCTGTACGAAAACCTGGAGTCGACATTTATGCAAGAATACCCGAACTTCGAGGTTTTCTTTTGTGTAGAAGACGAGCGTGATCAGGCCCTTACCATCGTACGCGATCTCATGGCCAAATATCCTTCCGTGAATGCCAGAATTGCAATCCGTGAGTTCCCCAGTCGTTTCAATACCACTGGTGAATTCATAAACCAATGCGCGTCTTGCTAGGGGACGGAGAACCTGTGGGAGTCAATCCAAAAATCAACAACCTCATCACGGCCTACCGTCAAGCGTCTCATGACATCCTCTGGGTGCTGGATTCCAACGTTATGGCGGACCGGGGTACGCTTGCTCGAGCCGTGGATATCCTCGAACCCCCATCCACTGCGACCCCGCTGCGCCGGCGCATAGGCGTTGTACACCATGTTCCATTCGCCTGGGTCACCAAGCCTTCCCTTGGTTCCTGCATCGAGGAGGCATTTCTCAACACAAACCATGCCAAGATGTACATCGCTATTAACACCGTGGCGGTCGACTCATGCGTCGTCGGCAAATCATGCCTTTACCGCAAGTCCGACATGGAGCGTGTCAATGGCTCTCTGCGTCCCATCGCCAACGCGGAGCAAGGTGGCTTTCAGCCTGGAGAACGCGGCTTGAAAATGTTTGGGCGGTTCCTGGCTGAGGACAACATGATCGCCGGCTCCCTCTGGCACGAGCTGGGTCTCCGACATGACATATCCTGCGACGTCGCCAAGAACGCGGTGGGAGATATGTCACCCATAGACTACATCACCCGCCGAATACGTTGGATCCGGGTTCGGAAACGCATGGTTCTCGCCGCGACACTCGCAGAACCATTTACGGAGTCAATGTTCGTTGGCGTCCTCACGTCGTTAGGCCTCCGGTATCTGTTGGGGTTGTCGCCATGGTTCTTCCTTCCCGTTCACTTCCTGGCGTGGGTCCTTGTCGATATGGACGTGTATACGTCGATGGCCGGACATCCCGTTCCTGCCGACAAACGCTGGATGTTCGTAGTTTCATGGGCTCTGCGAGAGCTTCTAGCGTTGCCGGTGTGGACAATGGCGATGCTTGGAAGCGAGGTGGAATGGCGTGGCAAACGTTACCGGGTCATGAAGAATGGGGAGGTTGAGAGGGTTGCAAGCATGGCAAGTGGTCTCCTGGGATGGTTCAGGAAGAGAAAAGATTTCTATGAACCTTTAGATATCAGCGATTAGCACATTCATTGTGTGGTGTTATGTACCAAACGCTATGTATCTTCCGGAATAACATGAGGAACGAGATGGGCGGCTGTTATAACCCCGCACGTGCTGCATACTGCGAGGTGCAATACAGTTGCCGTCGCAGTCGGAGCCGCTTCATCCCGTCTCTCTTGCCCTCAGCAGTCTCACCACTCCCTGCCTCAGTCAACGGTTGCGTTGCCGCCTTCGCTTTGTGACTACCTTCCGCTATGGCCGATGGTGACTCTGTTCGCCAGAGGATAATCTCTTCGGTCTTCACTACGAAGTTGGTGGACGAGAGATATGTCGCGCATGTCAAGATCTGGGAGGAGGATACCGGGGACGGCGGAGGGAAGAAGCCTCGATATATCATCATCTCTAGTGAGTTATATGTGCCCTCCCATCTTTGCTGATTCGAGTGTAGTTTCTCCCTCGTAGGATCTACCACCGGAGTAGGCTTCATACACAAGTCTAAGCTGAATTCCAATGGGTCCTTTTCCGTTGGGAAGACATGGAAACTCTCTGAGCTGCGAGGCATAGAAGTCCTAAATGTATGCCACCTTCTGAAGTCCTCGATCCGAGCCCCGGACTCACCATACTCAGCCTTCCGCCTTCAACATTAGTATGTCCCGGACGTACCGATGGCAAACAGAGAACCAGAGGGATCAGAGTAACTTCATCTCGGAACTGATTCAGCTGTTCCGATCCGTGTCGGGACCTTCAGCACAGCTCGACCTGGCAGGCGTGCGTGATTCAGTGGAGCCCTGTGCGTTGCTCTTGTCACTGCCTGCGTTTTATTGTTCAAGCTTTTCTTACCAGCATCGAGGCCGGCACCACCCGCATTCCAGCGCATGGACCGTGCACCTACCCCGACGAATGGCGCGCCATTGCCTACAGCAACACCCCGCCGCACAGCGGCCAATGGCTATGCAGATACCTCTTCTTCCTACCAGAACGGCAGGTACGAGAATGGAAGAACAGTCGGCACTCCAGGTCGTGCACGGTCATCTTCGAGAGCGAGGCGACCACGGAGTCCCGCGGAGTCGTCGGACTTCACCAAAGCTCCGCCCACTGCAGTGCCCGAACGGGCAGCTACACCTTCCCGCACCCGCCCCACGACACCGTCTCGTGAGCCTCTACCACCTCCAAGTGCCCTACGACCGCGACATGGTCGAGCACCTTCGAACGCGGATACTTCCAGTCGAACGTCCGCCGCGACTACGTCGAGCATAGTTCCATCAATCGCGTATCCATCCTCAGTGACCTCGGTACAGTCCGAACCGCAATCCCAGTATGTCGACTCGCGAATGAACGGGTATGGCTCTCGGCCTTCGTTGGATGCGCCCTCAACATCCCCAGCTTCCGTGGCCCAACCACCGCCGAGGTCAACGTACGGTGCCTCGTCTGAATTTGTTACCTCTCGCTCCCAAGCCGCCACTCCTAATCCTACCGCCCGCCCTCGACCATCAGAAACCAACGGTTCTACCCCCCTTCCTCGAGCGCCGCGACGCGAAAATACTCGTGTCTCGTTCTACGACACCACAAACCAAGCACTGCTCAATCGAGTATTGTCCGGAGACACCATGCTCCACGAAGAAGGCGATGCAGAAGGCGAAGGAGCCGGGGAAGTGGAAGAAGAAAGTGCTCAGGCTACTCTGGAAAGCGTAGAGGAAATGCTCGAGGGATATGAATGGGCGAGCGACGACATTCTCGGTAGACGCGCTTTAACAGGGACGGCAGAGCAGATCGAGGCCAGGCTTCTGGACGAGTTGATGGCACTGGATAAGGTGTGTTTGTTTGCGGTCTTCTGACTCTTATTCATGACGATTCACGATGTCATCTAGGCAAACATCCACTCGTTCATCGAGTCTGATGATCGAATAGGGACCGTACTCAAATACCTGGACGAAGCGATACTGGAGCTCGATAACATGGAGAGTGTCATGTCATCTTACAAGATATACCTCAATGTCAGGATATCTGTCTTTTTCTGCTGTATTGGTGTGTCTGATGCCCTCATAGGCTGTCAGTGACGACATTGCGTACATTCAAAGCCAGGGGCGTGGTTTGCAGGTCCAGACTCAGAACCAACGGGCGCTGCTGGATGAACTCGAGGAGCTTCTGGTGAGTTCGATGCTGTTATGTTCAGCGGGAATATAAAATTCATTCATGGTGCCTGTAGCAAACTGTCCAAGTTGATTCTAGCTCCTTGCTCGCTCTCACCCAAGAATCTCTAGAACAAACCGGGAGCATACAGAAGTTAGAGAAATCTACAGCAGTGCTATACAAAGCCTTACTAGCTGGTCGAGATCGCGGTTCGTTCAACCCACCGTTCATTTCACTCCCTGCTCATTCTGAAGTTAGACATGTCGGCGACTATGGAGCGTTTGGATGAGTACAAGAAGTACAATGCACAGTTCTGCAAACGCGTGCTTGACTATCTCTCCATCGTTTTCACTGCTCAGGTGGGTATTCAACCAACACGTCACTCCTATGTTCCGGACTCAACCAGTTAACAGGGGAAGATGCTACTGGGTGACGACAATGGCATCAGCAAGTCTTCGAGGGGTCGCGTAACAATTAAGGATCACCGGAACCTGGAGTCCTACTTAGAACGCTACCGTGGTCTGTTGCTCTATCTCAAGGAAATGGACGAAAGCGCGTATGCCAAGATATGTGCAGTAAGGCTTTATCCGCAGTATCCACACACAATTTACTAATCACGCTATTAGGCGTACTTTTCCGCGGCCAGTGAACTACACGCCAGTCAGACCAAAGCTATGCTCACTGTGTACGCTTCCATGATCAAGAAGGCACCGACAGAAGAGGAAGCGGAAGGTACGATGCAAGATGCAGCTGCAACTGCAGCGACCTACTCACGGTTCAAATAGGCTTCTCTGGAGTCACTTCAACAAGCAATACTTCCAAAGCAGCGCAAAATATGCGTCGCGCAGGAACTATCGTTCGCTCGCCTTTAGAAAGGCGTGAGAAGAAAGACGGTGGCGACGGCGAGCTTCGGGCTGCCGAGGTATTCATTTTTGACCGCGGAAAAGCTCAGTGCCTAACGTCCATGCATTAGGCCTTGGGCCTGGCTCTTGAGCAGCTGGCTCGCACAATCTACGCCGAGGAGGGATGGGTCTCATATTTCCTTCAGATGGACGACGTCTCGCAAACATTCGCAGATCACATGGGCTTGGAGAATTACTTCCGACGTCAAGCCGCTCGATTCGCTGGTCTCAGTCCAGCCACCATGAAACTTGTCCGAGGAGCGATGGACCTCATCTTCGGTTTTCTGCCTATCGAGCTCAAGAGCTGGTTAGATGTCGCACTTACGCGGGACAGTTGGTATGCCATTCAACGAACACGGACGTACAGTCACTGAGTAACCGTATAGGCAAGTGGTCGGCATGCTCGCTGCGCTTGAGAAGTTTCAGTCAGAAGCGGAAGAAAAAGGGAATGCCTTTCTGCTCACAGTCTTGGAGAAACAGCATATGCGTCTCAAGGCTGTGTTCGAACGACGCGTCGTAAGTTTTAGTGATCTCCTCATGGCTGTGTTCGCTGAATCGCTATTTAGAATGACCAAATCAAGTCGATCGAGGAGACAAAGCTCACCAGCAAGAAGCGCAAAGGCGTGGCGCCTTTCATCAAGTTCTTCCCTACGTACATCAGTCGTATCGAGACCCAGCTCATTGGAGGGGATACACTTGAGATTCGCCAATTCGTGGACGCCGCGTATGATAACATCGTCCAGGCCATGTTTGATGCCCTCAAGCAGATGGCGAAGATGAGTGGTGACGAGGAAGACAAAGGAATGTTAAACTACCACGTCATAATCATTGGTGAGGGGTTCGCCTTATTTCGTCCGGCAAACTCATACTCAATTGTTGTACCACAGAGAACATGCACTTCTTCGTCGCAGAGGTCTCGCAGATTGAGATTGGCACTGTAGCCGCGTTTTTGAAGCGTGCAGAAGCAATATACGAGGAGAATCTACAAGCGTACGTCAAGATTGTCCTGCGACGACCGTTTTCCAAGATCATTGTACGTGTCTGTGTCGCTTTGATCTGGCTTGCCTCACGGGTCAACAGGAATACTTCGAGGGAGTGGAGCGTCTGCTCAAGACGACCGCTCCGACCGAAGTGTCCTCGAATAGCAGCTACTCCAAGTCTTCGCTCAAGAAGTCGTCAAGGACTACAACGCCAAGGATATTCGCAAATATGTCGATACCTTGTTCAAGCGTGTCGAGAAGCATTTCGACGAGGCGTCGGAGAAGGCCACAACCGAGGACGCTAGTGCCAATACAGGAATTGCACCAGGCACCGTCATGGTGGGGGTTTGGAAGGCGTGCGAAGAGGAGTTGTTGCGCATCACGGACCTCTTCAACAAGAGGATTGCTCAGTGCTACAAAGAGACTGGAGTGAGTCTGGAGTACACGGCTGCAGATGTGGAGGGTGCGTTCAAGCGGCATAGGGTTAGTTCTTAGAATGTGTCATTCTTTCGAGTAGCATAAATTATCACCTTCCATGTGCGGATTATCAACCTGCTACTGAATCTCCCATAAGGAAACGCATAGCTGCTGCACATTTCACGTGATCGTGTCTTAGCGAATTGTAAGAGACGCCAGCGGCCAGCCCTGGTGGTCGACTGCAGCCGCTGAGCGCTGAGCGCTGAGCCTCAGCGGAGCACTCAACCGAAACCTCCTCCATCCTATGTCTGACGACTCCTCCGTCGCTTCGCACGAATTTGAGACCTCTCAGAGTCAGTTCAAAGAAAAGCCCGGCGAAAAATTATGGGCTGTTGAAAAGATCCTCGCCGAACGCCGAGGTCGCGGTGGTCGGATGGAGTACCGGGCGAAATGGGGGGCCTCGATGACGACGGAAATCCCTACAAGCCATCATGGGAACCCAAGAGCAACTTCACCAAGGATCTTATACATAAATGGGAGCAGGAGAAAGCGGCGAAGAGGAGAACTAAAGGGCGACGATCAGGTGTGTTTTGTTTACCTCCTTTACAGAGGCATGCTAAGTCTCGTCAGTGGCGACGAGCAAGAGGGCTTCGTCTACGGCTTCGAAGGATACAGGAACATCTGCATACGCGTCTACCTCCCGCCCCACGCATAAAACGCGTCGTTTCATCAGCGTTCCATCACCAACACCCCCCAAACGCACTGGGAGGTACACGCGCAAACGTGAGAGAGATACGGAAGGACCATCGACAGGGCACGAAGACGAAGATTTGCCTGGTCCTCCACGGAAGAAGAGGAAAGTGAGAGTTGAGGTGGTTGTATCCCAATCATCTCGTCCAAGGGCAATAGTTGAAACTCTGGACGAACCAGAAGTTGAAGAATCTGAACTTCCTTTGTCTCCCTCCAAACTCAAAATCGGCCCTCCCGTCGGAAAGAAGCGGAAGAAAAGCAATGCGGCTAACTCAGGCACGTATTTACATGGTTCGTGTGGACGTCAGGGCTCGCTAACTGCTTTAACCTTCCTCTGCAGGAAAGATCAAGGGACAGCTAGGTCTGCAGCACCCTTCAGCGCATCCGGAAGGCAACCAGCCATCCAACACACCTACAAAGTGGCTTCATGGTCGAGTCGATGGTCACGACGGCTCAAAGACATCACGTTTCTGGCCCGATGTAGATATACCCCAAAGAGACACTATCGCCACCCCTCCGTCCTCGCAACGACGGCGTCTCGCGCAGGAAGAAGAAGAGAGCACCCAGGACCTACACGGCGACTCCCACCATTCACCTTTTGGAACTAACGGATCGCGGCAAGAACCACTGCAAACAAGAGAGTCTGACAACGAGTATGTAGGTCCAGGACTTTTCCTCGACGCCGACACGCGTACGCCGACGACACGTACAGCAGGAACGGCATTGTACCAACGACACAGTCACCTGTCCCTGCTCCCGACCTAGAGCAGCCAAATTATGATCCAGCTCACGAGGACATTGTTGTACGCTCGGTTTTCCAAGGACGCCTTCCCGCTTGCGCTCTGCCTCTGCGGTGTCCAGGAGCGGTTCAATAGTGTCGCAGATGAAGCGCAGGATCCGGAATACGGCGGCCACCAGGCCGAAAGATCTTCGCCCTCTGCCTTACCTCAATGAAGAAGTCTTCCTACCCCTTCTACCACGCCCCTCTCCTGAGCCCGAGGACATCGAACAATTCAGCTCTCCAGAGCGTCCTTCAAAGAAGGCCCCGCAAGTCACCCAAAGTACCATCGAAGATTCCTTCGCGCAGGAAATGGGGGATTATGTGAACTGGGACGGCGACGAAGAAAGCCAACCATTGGACACTCTCGTCACTGAAAGCTCTCAGCCATCTCGAACACAAGCTCAATCTCAGGTACGGACGATCACAAGATATGTAGCCGGCGGTGCTGAAATACGCTTCGACAGGAACGTCTCGGCGAAGTACCACCACTGTCCCCGGAGGTGCCCGTCATGTATGCAATTCATGAGCCGCCTGCGACCAGCACGACACAGCACGCTGAGGCAGATAGTCAGTCCCTTATAGTAAGTCGCCGCGGTCAGTGACGATGTGTTGACTGAGATATACTTCGATTCAGTACCGCGAACAGGCCACTCAGGCAACAGATCTTCACTCTGCGCTCTGCGAAGTAGATCAACAGATGGAAGACGTCAACAACGAGATCGCGGAGCTTCAACGCGTCCTGCAGGGCCTCGGACAGAGTGATACACAGGTATTGAGGTCCCTCGATCATCAACATGATACGCTAACCTATTCGCCAGGCTGGTGCGGTCTTGTCGAAACATATCAAAGCCCTCTGTGCGGAGCGCGATGAGAAGTCTAAGCAGTGCTCCTCGCTCGAGGACCAGATCGTAGAGCTCGAGCTTCATGTCGACCAGCTGAAGATGACCGGGGACAGTGTACGTTTGTAGCCTCTCTCCATGTATGCATGCGAATCTCATTTGATCTTGGACACAACCGCGTGCCAGTACCAGTCGCAGATCGCACGCCTGACAGCCGAACTCGAAGACCGCACCGAACAGGTATCTCAACTCGAAGACGCCGTCGCGGAACTGCACATGGAGATGGCGACGCTCCAGGAAGAGAACGAGCGGCTCGCCGACGCAGCAGCGCAGAAAGTCGTGCCCGGCGAGCGTGATCCTCGAGGCCCCGCCCAAGATCAGCAAGACCGAGGAGCCCTGCACGCAGCGGCAGAACGCCTCGCCGCGCTCGAACAAGAGCTCGAGCATGCCCGGCAGGAGCTTGCCGCAGCGCAGACGGACGCGTCTGCGCGCGCCGAGGAACTCGCCGTGGAGCGGCAGCGATCGGATGAGGATCTGCGCACGACGCAGAGCGATCGCGACTTCTTCCGGGGGCTCTACGAACAGGCGTCGGTGCACGCGCAGCGCCTCGCGGGCGAGAACACGGAGCTCGAGCTGCGAGTTGCTGCGCTCGAGACGCAGCGGACGGACGGGCTCGCGATGGTGCAGGCCACGTATCAGAACGAGGCGGAGGCGCTGCGCGCGGAAGTGGAACGGCTGCAGGACATATGCAAGGTAATGAGGGACCAGGACGAGCGTACGGGGTTGGAGGTCCGCCGCCGCGCGGCGATGGAGCCGGAGCTGCGGGAGGAGGTGGAGCGGCTCACAGAGCAACTGCAGCTCGCCCACGAGAAGATGAACACGATGGAGGCGGATATCGCGCGGATGCTGGTGGCGGCGCAGCTCGCACTCGCAGTGAAAGAGGGCGGGGACGAAGAAGACGGCGAATACGTGCCCGGTAATGACGGGTCTTCTCCATCGGATTCGACCTCGAATGCCTCGGCCGAGGACGGGGCGGCTCTATTGCAGGCAGCCGCGCACAGCCAAGGCAGTCTCGTTCGCCAAGCAGTGAGGAGCACTTTTGTGTATGTCAGCACGTTTCTCGGGGTGTCATGTGTAACCGCACGTTCCCATCGGCGCAGGTACGTTGACATTGTCCCTTGCTCGGTGGCTGTTGTCCCACAGGGCTGAACACGTTTGTTCTCGCAGGACGTTATCGACCACGCCTGGAGCACGCACTATAAGGACGGCGAAGTGCTGTCCATGTAGAGTACTGTCGACGTAGACCTCTGTTGCTTATTTTGAAATCGATCGGGTCCGGAGTGCGATAACCTCACGCACTACGCGTGCTCCGTCGATTGCATTTCGTACGTAACGAGCGGAGAGATACAAACAGCGGACTTCCAAGACTTGTCCTGATGTAGATAGAACGTCTAAGCAGCTCAAGACTCCAAAAGGGGCCTGGCCACAAGGCCACAACTACTTTCCAGTTGTCATCTGTGGGAACATTTTACGCAGTCGGAACCTGGGGTTGAGGGAAAGGGGGCGGGGTGCTTGAGGCCGACGACGCCGGGTTAAAGTTGTTGACCATCTCGGATGAGAACGAGTTTTGGTGGGTCTGAACGGAGCTGGACGATCCGACGTCGTAGGGGGAAGGACCGGGGCGGGCTCCAGCAGCCGATGCGTGCGCGTTAGAGGCGGGCTTGACCGCCTGCTGAGCAGCGCCGATGAGAGAGGAGCCGTACGAGGTCCAGAGGGACTTCGCGACCTCGATGTATTGGCCCGGGTTGGGCGCAGCACCAGCGCCGGCAGGGGCAGCACCTGGGGTGGTAGCACCGGGAGCGCCAGGGACGCGCGCCTGACCGTTGGCCTTGGTGGCAAGGTCCCAGAAAGTCTGCCAGAAGACTTGGAGACGAGACTGGAGGAAGGCGAGGGTGTTGGACTGGACAGCGGCGATGTTGGCATCGATGTCGGCCTGGTTCTTCTCGAGGAAGGGTTGGAAGTAGGTGGTGAAGACCCAGGTAGAGCCCTAGACAGATTACCACGAGTTGAGGCCGCGTGTGCGCGAAAAGAGGGGGTCAAGTACGACATACCTGGGTCTGTGGGAGGGAGAGGAAGAGAAGGAAGACGGTTCTAGCCTCCCAGTAGAAGGGAACCCTGATAACAGGCACGTTGCTTAGACTCCGCTTCGACACACGGAGAGCGGGGAACTGACCAGTCCAGGATCCAGCCGGCGACATACTCGAAGGCGACAAACGCGCCGACGACGGCCCAGTACTTGCACCAACGCTCGAGATCCGGCTCAGAGACGGGGCGATGAGCGAGGCCTTCCAGGTAGAATAACTGGGGAGGAGGAACGCAAACCAAGCACTTTGCGCGTGGACATGTGAGCAGGTGTGTTGCGCGTGGAGGGTCACACGAACACCTACGTACCTCAGGAGGTGCGATAGCATAGACATGAACATGACGGCAGCAGTCTTGGTTGCGTACTTAGAAGTGATGGTTGTGGCGGGTTTGAAAGAGCAAAGACAGTGCGCTGAATAAATACGCAAAGTGGGACTACGTGTCGGACGGAGGAGTGGAAGACTGCGTGGCCGCTGGGCGAGTGGGCGACCTGCTGACGCCCGTCGGAGCGCCCCCGCGGAGAACGCCCCGCCTGCGGGCCGGTGCAACGGAGCCGGGACGGAGGAGGCCTCCGTCCCGTCAGCAGATCCGCGTCGTCCTCTCCTCGTCCACCGTCTCAGGCGGTGGTCTTGCATCACACCTCGCCAGGAGCACCGGAACATCTTCACACCGTCGATCATCTCGCCTCCGGCAAAAAGAGCACCTGGTATATTTGAGCAATCATATACGCCCCCTGAGATTCGCGTGCTCCGGCGACGTTGTACGTATTTCCTACACATCGCCCTTCCCGAACATACGCACTTTCGGCGGAACGACGTATCAATCTGTCTCCGGAAGACGCAAAAGCCCCGACATCAATCCCGGCTCCCGGCGGAATTCCTTCGAATCCGCGATGCTCAGCCATGTTGGTCCTTTCGGCCAATCCGCGCGGATGCGCGTCGTCTGCGATGGTTAGCAGCGTGCAGTTGCGCGCAATAACACGTCTCCCGATGTCATAATGCGGCTCGTCCGTCGGCATGGCGCACCAAGAGGGCACCAATCTGCGCGAGCGATGGCGTCAACGGGATCTCGAGTCGGACGATTCTCTGCGCAGCAGCGGCGTCTGAGGACACCCCGTGGAGATCGAAGAAGGGCGGCGAAGAGAGGCGAATGCACACGGCGTGGCAGGGTGTGGCCGGGCGAAAAGAGAGGGAGTGTTGCGGAACAAGATCTATGGGACCGGGCGGAACGAGAACTGGGTCCATCAGCTGGAGCAAGGTAGGTGGCGGCAGCGAAGCAGGGAAAGGGTCTGCGCGTGGCATGGTTCTGGGGGACGGGGAGGATCTGGCCATGAAAGCAGGAGCGCGGACCACCTTCTAGGTCGCATGCTGGAGCCGTGTTGACGGAGGGCTTGCGGGTGGCCGGAGAGGGAGCGCAGATCGCTGCGTGGGCCGATTGGGATGCGGGCGGGGGCGATAGGGCAGGTGGGCGTGGGGTTTCCAGCGTCGGACAGATGCCGCGCGTTCGAGAACACGGCGACGGCAAATGGGGACGAGCAGGGCGCTGGTGAACGGAGACGAGGGCGGTAAAATGGGAAGGAACGTGGACGGCACCCGCCCGGGCTCTCCCATCCAGGCGCATGGCACCCCCGCGCTAAGCTTGGCCTTGTTTGCCCTCGACGGCTGCCATCGACCTCCCTCGCCCGTCCCGTCCCCGTCCCTGTTCCTCCTCCGCGTCCCCTTCCGCCCCCTCCTCCGCTCCGGCGCGCCCACTCCCGCACCCCCGCGCCCCGTCCGCGCCCCACTCCACGCTCCCCCCCTCCCATCTCCATCGATCCACCCATCCGCCATGGATCCTGGCACCAGCCTCGGCGTCGGTCTCAGCATCAAGAAGCAGGAGGACATGGACGGCATGGACCCGAAGTCGGGCCAGAAGCCGGACCAGAAGCCGGTGGTGAGGACGTTGAACAGGGTGCCTCGTAAGTCTGCATTTCTATCCCTGCCGTCAGACCTTCGGACCGTATTCACCGCAACGTTCCAGGTGCATGCGTAAGTCATATACCCCGCACCGTCGTCCCGATCTCCCATCCTCACTCTCCCTCTTGCTAGAATGCCTGTCGCAAGCAGAAGATGCGCTGCGAGGGCGCAGAAAATCCTCCCTGCAGAAGATGTCGCCACGCCGGGCTCGAGTGTTTGTTCGAGAAGCCGACGAGGGAGGCCAGTCTCACCGGAGAAGCCGGTCTTGAGTGAGTCTGACGCGTCGTCTTCGCGTCGAGTCGCGCTCACGCTCCCCACCAGACGCATACGCAGTCTAGAGGCCCATGTCGCCGATATTCGCCAGTCGCAAACCGTCATCCACAGCACATTGATGGAACTTGTGGCTCATTTCCGTAATGGTGCTCCGCTCACGTCGCGCTCCCCATATCCTTCGCCTTTCGCTCACCACTCGCCCGGTGCACAATCTCTGGGTTCCCCGGCCGTTTCTACGCCCTCAACTGGTACGTGCGGCCATCTTTTCAACCATGGCAGTTTTCTCCTGGTCCAACCTCGCTCTTTCCCAGTCCTAAGTTCTGTTCATCGGCCTCACCCCCATCTTTCAGCGTACCAGCAATCTCAAAACCATCGTCCGGCCGGTCCTGACACCGTTCCCCATGGCCAGAGCTTGTACGGCAACGGCCAGTCGCATGCCGGCGCGCACGGGCCTAGCCTTCCTCCCTTCTCCAGCATAGAGTCCATGGGCCCGCCTCGTGGCCAACCCACAAATGTGTCCTCCATGCGTTACAACACCGCAGATGGCGGGGGTCGCCCGCGTCCGCAAGATCCCCCCACGGGATCGAAACGCGCCGCCCCACCGTCTTCCACAGTCACTAGTGCAGAGTCTTCAGACGCCGAAGAAGAGGGTGGCGAGCTTCCCGCATCAGGGCTCGTCGCGCCCTGGGAAGTTCTTCGCGGGTTGGCCGATGTCGCCATTGAGCGCGCCGCAAAGGTGAGTGTCCACCGGAACGCCGAGCACGCGTCCGGAGGCTGGTCTGACTTGACGCTGCCTGGCAGGAAAACGGGGGTGAGAGCGAGGCTCCAAGCCGAGCGCATACCCACTCGCCCGAGCCTCGGCCGCTCCGGCCTGCGAAGCGCAGAAAAGTATTTCACGCTCAACCGCGATCGACGATGTTCCCAGATGGTGAGCTTGACTCATACCTTCCGGAAACGCCCGTTGGTTCTCATGTACTCTTCAGTGGTCACCAAGAAGGTCATCCCGGAATCGGAGGCCCGAGAGCTATTCAGGATGTACGTTATTTCCGACGTGGCGCCGACGCGCGAACGCTGGCATAAAGTGTACAAGCTGACCGTTGACATTGCAGCTTCTATCACGGTTGCTCAACATTCTTGCCCGTATTCGATGCAGCCATCGACACCTATGATGCGCTTCATGAGCGATCGCCCTTTGCCGTCGATTGTATTTGCATGGTGGCCGCCAAAGTTCGAGACGGTGGGGGTAAGTCGGGTTTACCCAACATTGTTGCCTGCTCTGATCATGGTCTCGCAGGTAATCCCAGTGCAGTTTTTCTGAAGTGCTTGGAAGAGGTGCAAGCCATTTCTTGTGCAACGCTTTTCTCTCCTGTTGCCCGCCAGGAAGCCGTCCAGGCTATGAGTACGTATTTGAATGACTACTCCTCAACGTAACTGAGATTTTTGTCATCAGTCTTGGTGTCTGGATGGTCAGATAATGGTTGGCTGAGTGGAGGTCACGCTGTTCGCATGGCCATGGAGCTGTGTAAGTTGAATATGCTACGCTTTGATGTGTCTTCAATACTTACGTTTCGGTACAGCAATGCACAAGGCTTGGCCGGAACTGCTCAAGCGGATGAAGGCCGGCAAGGCGTCGACGTCGAGCAAAGACAGACAACTGGTTGTGTCGTCGAGAACATGGTTTTGCCTGTACCTCTTCGAACATCAGTACGTATTCCAGCGCATTAGCATGCGATGCTCTCGTTGACGTTTTGGCCAGGATGTCATACGGCACGGGTCGTCCGGCCATCTTGAAGGACGACGAGAGCATCTGGCAATGCCGTCTTCTACTCCAACACCCACTTGCAATCGAGGATGACATGCGTCTGGTCTCTACCGTGGAGCTGATGGCCATCCGGGAACGTGTCCACAATAATCTCTCTCCATTGTTCGACCGGGCTGTGGACGAGATCACTTTCAACGTCATCCGGGAGGCCGACATGGAATTCCGCAATTGGTACGCCACTTGGGATCAGGCGTTCTCACAGAAGTACGAAGATGCTGGTACGCTCGAATTGCTGTACTTCGTCTTGCATATGCTCACCTAGTGGACAGCGTTCTACAGGCAAAGTTTGCAGATTCAACACCTGCATGCCGAGCTGTTCCACAACGCGACGGCCTTGCGGGGTATTGACCGCCCAGAGGACATGCCGAATATGCCCCCGGCCCAGCGGGACCTGGCGATTCGGTCGATTCAAATCGGGCGACAGATCCTTGACATCACCGTCAACTCTCCTGCGTACCGAGAGGGTATGAAGTATGGTGAGTAGCTTTGATAATACTGCCTGTTACCCAAAGCTTACGGTGACTTCTTATAGCCGTCCATTATACCCATGCGACGGCGACGTTCTCGGCTTCGTTCTTGCTGCGCCTTTCACGTCTCTTGTGAGTCTAGGTCTGTGCATAGGTGGCCCGTCGTTGACGGTCCGGTGTAGCCCCGACCAATGCAACCTGCATGAAGTTCGAGCCCTTGTTGAACAGCTTGCGACGCTTCTGGCAGAAGGTGCGTGGGTATTTTCTAGTGCTGCATTGAACACTCGGGCTGAGAGCATTGTTCAGTGCCTGGTCAACGATACGCCTTCACGTTGCAGCTCATGCTAAAGCGCTTCCGTAAGAGAAGGCAGTCAGTATCATCACGTTCTCCCACTATGCCCAGAGACCAAAGGAATCGCGCACACAGCGACGCTGCTGGGTACTCCTCCGATGCGGTCAGCCACTCGGCAACGTCGCAGCCGCCAACCTCACCGACTTTTGAAGCCCCTTACCAGGCGTCGCCCGACGCGATGGCGCATATGCCCCCCGGCGTGGCGCCGCAGTATGGTCAACAGTTCACACCGAACATTGAAAATATCTGGCGCGGCTTTGAAACGACCTCGAACGAGCACCTGCCCGTTTGGCTGTCAGACCAAACACTTGGTGGTGCGACGTTCTCTGCCAGCGGCATGGACGCCTTCATTCTCCCCACGGACTATCTCCCGGCTGCTCCCCAGATCTGGTGAAAGCCTATGCTCTGTTTCTATCTCTATTCCATACATATGCAAACACTCTCCTTCGACTACGATGCGGATGACAGATGTTGTAACGACTAGTGGATGACGTATATGGTTTCGGTGGAACTGTGACCGTACGACGGCTACTACGACTTATGTGTATTTCGATACCCTCCTACATTGTATCATCTCGCCCTGGCAGCTATGCGAGTCTTGCTCATATGCCTTCTCCTTGCTCGGATATGACTCGCGCGCCGTTGCCGCAGTTTGTACATACACCGCAATGCAATCTGCTTCCTTCGATCCCCCAACTGCAAGTCGCCGGCAGGGCGGGCCGATGGGGACTGGAGGCGCGTCGCAGGAGATTGCCATTTCAGGCACGTGGCAAATTTTTGGAAAGCGCATCTTGCTCTGCCGACCTCCCCGCCTCGACGATGCCTGTGGTTGTCGACCGGACGCGTGCCATGACTGCGTCCGTCGTCCGTCTGTCTCCTCTCAAGCCATCTGCTGCACACGATGCTCCAACGGACGTCCCTCGACGCAAGCGCAAGGCGAACAAGGGCAAGGAGGTCGAGGAGGCTGAGGAGGAAGCTTGGGCTTGGCGGTCCTTGACCGACTCCTCTGTGAGTAGGGTTCCGCCAGTGTTTACGAGGGACGGGAGGTGCGTAGCATACTTGTCGCGCGACAGCCTTGTGTTCATGCGAGTTTTACGGCCAGCTACTTTTTCTCGGCCGTCGGGGCAGCGGTGAAGATCCACTCCACAGCGACTGGGGAGATTGTTTCGACGCTCACTCCTCCATCGAACAATGTTGCCGGCCCCACGGGAGAAAACCTGCCTCAAGATGCGGTCACGGCCGCCGTGCTCAATCCCCACAACCAGTTCCAGTTGATCACAAGCTCTTTGGACGGGTGCCTTCGCGTCTGGGACTTCCTCGACGGCTCGCTCCTCCAGACTATCGCTACTTTTCGGCCCATCTTCCATCTTGCGGTGCATGAGAGCTTTCCAGGGTACGTGTTCATCGCATCTGCGTTGCCGTCCAAGAGGAAGAACGCATGTACGTCTGCTTTCGGTATCTTCGCAATCTTCGCATTTTTCTCATTCGGGCGTACAGCTGGAGCTACGACTGCGGAGGACAACTTCGTGGTTCAACGCGTCTCGTTAACTGCGAGCGCAGATACCGCAAGCTCGTCCGTTCAGACGTCTTCGGAGGCCTTTACTGTGGGCAAGACAAGAGCTACGACTGGACTCGCGGTCTCCCCGACGGGGCTTGGCTGGTCGCGACGGCTGGTCACAAAGCGTATGTCTATCAGACTGCGGACACTAAGGCGGGCTTCACGAAGTTTGTCTCTCCCGAGAAGCTCACCTGCTTGGCGTTCCATCCCTCCGAGGAGTACTTTGCGACCGGAGACGCCAGTGGCTGCATCCGACTGTGGTACTGTCTCAACGAATCCGCGACTATCAAGACTTCCGGAGTCGGGAAAACCGCTCAGACGACCACGCTACATTGGCACGCTCATGCTGTCTCGTCCCTCGCCTTCACTGCAAACGGAGCGTATCTTCTCAGCGGTGGCGAAGAAGCGGTGCTCGTCCTCTGGCAGCTTCATTCTGGAAGGAAGGAGTTCGTTCCTCGTGTCGGGTCGCCGATTGTCCACGTCACTCTTGTCAGCGTCGGTGGAGAGGAGGAATATCTGTTGGGCCTCGCGGACGCTTCATTTGCATTCGTGCGCGCCTCGACGCTCAAAATTTCGCGGTCGATATCCCGCATAAAACTAGGTGAGTATATTGCGTCTTTGTGGGGGTCCTCCCGCTGAACATGTGCAAGACCCGGCCGTCTCGTACGATCGACCATCGGCATCCTCCTCGGTCCCTCTCGCCGTACACTCACAGTCCTCCACCCTAATACTCCCGTCCTCCCATCCATCATCCCTACAAACTTTCTCCCCGTCATCCTCCAAGCTCGTCTCAGAACTAGAAGTGTCGCCTTCAAATCGAATCTCAAGACGAGATGACAAGCCATTAGAACCTTCCCGAGTCGAGCGCGTCATTCTATCCGATGATGGAGTCTGGATGGCCACAATTGATGAGAGGGAAGGCGACGAAACATTCCGGAGTGAGGTATACCTGAAAATCTGGCAGTGGGATCGCAAGTCCGGCTTCTGGATATTGAACACCCGCATTGATCGCCCGCATGGTGTGAAGAAGGTCACCGGAGCCGCATTTAGGCGAGGATCATGGGACTCCGACGGTTTGCTGTTGGCGACTGTTGGACGGGACGGGGACATTAAGACCTGGAGGGTGCGGTCGGTGAAGACTAAGTCCGACGGGTTGGAAGGTGCGTGGTATACCCTATATCTTGGTGTCCCTCCTAATCATATGCTTCATAGAATTCTGGGTCGCGCGCTCCACGTTTCGATTCCGCACCGAGACACCGTCAGACATAGCATGGTCTCCAGATGGCTCACTACTTGCTGTCTGCGTCGGAGCTCACGTCGCCATCTACGAGTCGGAGACGAACACACTATGTCAAGTCCTCACCTGTCCCGACTGTCCCAGTACAACATCGGTGCATTTTGTCGGAAGAAGTGGACGTTACTTGGTTGTCGGTGGGCCTCGGGACATCCAACTGTGGGATCTCGTCTTCCAGAGCTGTAAGCCGCAACTTGTGGTTTATTGCACGCCTTTCTAACCTTATCTTCAGTACGCTGGCGATATCGCAGCGCTGCTGGTCTGGAATCTGTGGTGTCTCATCCATCAGAAGAACAGTTTATTGCGGTAGAGCGCATGCCTCCGTCAACCACTTCGTCGACTCCTTCAACTCGTGTCCTGGTTTTCCAGACGCTATCGTCCAACCCTGTCTCTATACGCACCCTTCCGTTCCGACTGCGCAGCATCACTGCCGTTCCAGGATCCGGTTTCTTCCCCACCGATCCGTCAGGCTTCACCCTTGTGGGCATCACTAGTGCTTGGGGCGTGGTCCTCTTCGGAGACGATGCGCAACTACCGGATGAAGAAGGCGGCTCGGCCCAGGCCATCGTGGAAGATGGAGGCTCTAACAAACGCACGCTGTTCCACGACATCTTTGGTGCTTCTGCGTTCGCAGACCTCGCGTCTGTACCCGGCCCCTCGAAGACGACCCCAGCAGTTCAACCGTGGCGAGGGAAAGAAGTCGAGGAAATCTTCAACTCGCCCGCGCATCTCATGCCTCCCCTCAAGACACTCTTCGACTCAGTCATGGACGGCTTCCTCACCTACCGCTCTACGGAGGAAGAAGAGCCGGAAGAGCGAGAAGATGGCGACGAGGAAGGCGATGAAATGGACATCGACGAAGAAGTGGCCCCTGCCAGCAGTGTGCCTCTTGAGCGTGTTGTTGACACCCAGGAAATGTCGGGCTTCGTCGAGCTCTTCATGTACCATGCGATCAAACGTACGTAGCCTCTTTTCATCAAGTTGCTCACGGGAAGTTTATGCTCTCTTGCTATTAAGCGTCGTCGACTGGGTATGTACCACAACAAATCAATGGCGCATCCAAGGTCAATAGCGTCAACGGTGCGCACGCCACGCCCAAAGCTGCGTCGAAACCTGTCGCCTCTCGACCCAACGGTTTTACACCCAGTCGGCCGGTTGATTCCAGTGCCGATACCGACTCTACGCCCGCTAAAGCCGGCAAGAAACGTAAAAAGTCCTTGGCTGAAAATCAGGATGGGGATGTGACATAGCGGAACAGAGAAGGTGTGCATAGGGGAGGAGGCGACAGAAGAGGGTCATCCATACGTACACATCTGCATCACTAGCCATCGTTGACCGCGCTTCATGTCTTGCACGCATTAAGTACGTTATTGCACATGCTCCGTTTTCCCCACCTGTCAGCAGGAAGCGGCACGCCGAATGCCATGCAACGCCGGAATAATGTGGACATGATGATTCACAAAGCGACGAAGCAACAGATCGAGAAAGTACATTATAACGAGGTAGAGACGAGAGGGACTAGTGGTTCGCCATGGGTCATAGGATGTCTACGGAATGTTTGAGCGTGAGCAACAGCGACGCGCCAAAGACAAGATCGGGAGGCAAGTCGTGCGAGAGAGCGCCGCCCAATGGACTTCGGTCCTGCGACGCAAGAGGATCCGCCTCGAACCCGCCGTTCTCCCCCGCCGAATCATCTTCGTCGAGGTAGACGGGTGCCGCACCGGAGCCGCGCCGGAAGCCAAGACTGCGGCGCGCGGCCGAGCGGGCACACGCCCATTCGAGAGTCGGCTTGCGAGGAGGGTGCGTCAGCCAGAGGGCGCGGTTGCTCGCATCCGCGAAAGGCGGTGTCGACGGCTGAGGGGACGTCGGGGCGGGGCTTGAGCGATCGAGACTGGCAGTGGTGTGTCGCCGGGACTCGAGGTGTGAGGGGAGGGTATGGGGAGCGCGCAACGAAACCAACCAGGGGTTCGTGAATGTCGGCGGAGGGAAGCCTGAACCAGTGCTGCCCAGAGACGGATCGCTAGCGTCGGTTGGTCGTGGTAAGATAGCCGGGGGACAGGCAGTCGAACGTTGCGAGAAGACCGTATGCGTCTGGTCGAGGCAGAGACAGCCTCGAGAGGACGGGTGGTAGTAGCAGATCGCGTCGTCTCGACGACGGTCGAGCTCGCAGTAGAACTCTTGGTCGCCCGAGGAAAAGCAGCAGTCCCGCCCGTATTTCCTTTGGCCCTGGGCTTTCGGGGGCAGACCTTCAGAGACGGAGAACCAGTCCCCGCATCCGCTCCCTTCGCCGCCTTGCCCCTGCGCGGCCTGTCCTGTCGCCTGTTCTGGAACCAGATCATGACGCTCTTGACGGTCCTCCGGAGCGGTCAGCGGGTCCGCGACGGTCATATGAGGAACTCACATCTCAGCTCCGCCGCTAGACCCTCCTTCGCATCTCGGCTGGGGTGCGTGTCGGCCGCAAACAAGGCCTCGAGGCGCTGCCGCTGGCCTTTCGTCATCCTGTGTCTCGGTCGACAGGGACCAGCGGCGGGGTAGTGCGGCCCACCGCCGCCGCCGCACGAGGAAGAGGCTCCTGTGAAAGATCCAAGGGCAGCACGGTGATATATTGACGTCGCCCGGGTTGTTGGAGTGGGCCGCTAGGGACTCTGCGACGCGGATCCCCAGTTTCCAGATTACTTGACTGAGAGCGCGTCTTGCGAGGCGAGGGTGCAGCCATGACAAGCAGAGACAGAGACTCCAGAGAGAAATTGCGCAGAAACAAGCTAGCCGCTAGAATGTTAGCCTCTAGTGAGACCGAAAATGAAGAGGAAGAAGTGAAAGACTGACGCGGGCGCCATGGGCCAACAAGCGAGACGCGGTCTCGTGACCGCGTTCGGCTGCCAGTCCGATCGCGCTGGAGTCCATGCAGTTGATCATTATTGCCGTACACAACGAGGGGAGGTATTACACTGCTAGGTAGTCCATATACGGTGGGTGTGCTACCTGTGGTATGATCAAGACGGTCCGATGCTAGGTATTCGACACATATAGTCCATATGCTGCAGTGTGCCGTTGAGTACGAGTCCGAGACGTAAGCTATAGCGCGTTGCGCCACTAACAGCTGACAGATACAAAGGAGTAGGGTAGGGTAGGTGCTGTGAAAAAGTGCTCAAAGGCCCGGCCCTTCACGAAGAGTCGTGGCTGCGGAGGGTCCAGCTGTCGATCGGGACCGACGGAGGCGTCTGGAAGCTGGTGAACCCGCTCCACTGGGGATTGAACAGCACCTGCAGACTGTGCTCTCCAGCCGGCAGACTGATCATGATCACCGTCACTCCGGGGTTCGGTTGGTCTACCTGGCCCTGCGGCAGGGCAGGATCGTCGCTGAAGCGGACGGCCGGCCCGGTAGTGAGGCTCACGCCGTCGGGCGCGTTAAGGATCGTCATCTGCATTGTCTGGTCGCCAATGGTAAGCGTCGCGGAGTTCCCGTTGACAGTGACGGTCGCGTTGGTGTGCATGCGCCACATGATGTCGCCAGAGGCGTTGATGTCATCCTGGAGCAACACCTGCCTGCGGCCGTTGATCATACGGATGCCCCGCTTGAACGAAGAGCTGCAGATGCGTCTCAGCCTCACTAACTTGTGGTTCACAATGTAACGTTGGACTTACACGTTAGAGTAAGCACTGGAGAGGTCCGCGGTGAAGAGCGCAGTGGAATCGCTGGGAGCTTCAAAGACAGTGCTCGAACCCTGGGTGGTGTTGCTCGTGTCGAAGCCGATCGAAGGCGCAGCGGTGACGAGCTGGTTCGCCTTGTTGACGAGGATCGTGTTCTGGCCCTCCGTCCGCTTGCGGTAGTAAAGCCAACGCTGGCTGTCCTGTGCGTCGCTCGAGAAGTAGCCTGTGGAAAGGTAGTCGCCCGAGCCGAGGTCCCCCGCCCAACGCGTTCCGAGCGCATCGATGACAAAGTCACCGCAGTCGAGGTCGTTGTGCGTCTGGTGGTTCTGGAGAGTACCGGCTTTGATGGCCACGTACAACGCGTTCTCATCCGTCCAGGAGCTGCGCATGGATGCCCACTGGTCCGTGCTGTTGTCGAAGACGTGGTCGAGGGGCATACCATCCCAGAACGCGCCGGCCACGGTGGGGTTGTACCAGAACATGCTGTTCGGTTCCGGGGCATCGTGCTGGTCGCGTTGGAACAGGACATACTCGGGATGCTGGAACTGGTCGCCATATAAGAGGATGGAGTTGGCGGTGGTAGAGTACTTGTTCGGGCCGTGGTCGCCGTAGCTGAACAGCGAGCCGGGGCCAGTGACATACATGTGGTAAAGACCGGTCTTCGCAAAGTTCGGGTTGTTCGAGAGGAGACCCATGTCTGAGCCGGTAGCCGTCATGAGGGATGACGCCATCTCAGCGTGCCCGGTGGTACCGAAGTACCAGTAGTTGGCGGTCTCGGCCCAAGTGCCATCGTCAGACACCGCGAAAGCGCAGTTCTCAAGGGCGTTGGGGATGGTGAGGGCGAGGAGCTGTTCCGCAATGCCGCTCGTGTCATCGCCGAGGATGGCGAGGGAACCCATGGTGAGGCCGCTGTTGCAAACACAGTTCCAGTTGCCCTTGATCGTGTTCCCAGTCCACCAGGCGGAGCCATTCTTGATCGTCTCGATACCAGCCTGGAGACCGTAGAAGATCATCGAACTTCGGATCTGACTCTTCTGCTCGTCAGACCAGGCGTCGTACAGCCAGTCGTAGGCGACAGCGAACGCGGCGGTGAACTCGGCGGTGTCGAGGAAGTGACTCGGGTTCCATTTGCTGGGCCCGTCAGGACCGAAGTCAGTTGTTCCATTCCCAGCGGCGTTCTGGTAAAAATAACAGACGCGTCAACATCTGACATCACGCCGAACGATGGCTCGCTACACACCTGGAGCTCCGTGAAGGTCCTGTCCAGCCATTTCGAGTCGTTGGTCATGCGGTAGGCGTACGAGAAAGCCTTGACACGCTCCTTGACCTCACGAGCATTGTCAAGGATACCCGAAGAGCCGTCGAGGAAGTACTGGACGGGGGCCAGGCCGAAGTAGTCGGTCGCGTTACCGAAGATGGTGTCGTTCCAGGACTTGAGGTAGGGGTCGTTCTGGATGAGAGTGGGAAGGGCCTGCCACTTGTATGCGGGGCAATGAGACGCGGGCGGTCGGGCCGAACGTTCGTAGGTGAAGGGTTGGAGGGCTTGAAGGAGTCCTCGGGCCAGGCGAGGTTGGTGTTTTGGGTGGGGTTGAACGTAGGAGTCGTGAAGGCGGCAGCGTTCGTCTGGCAGGGAACACAGAGGACCGTCTCAGGGCCATGCGAAAGACGTCATGTATGCATGCGGACTCACTGTGGAGGGGTATAACGGAAGGAGGTATTGGCTGTCCGTGCCGGTGGGGAAGACGCCGATGGCCTCCTTCACACTAGCGGCGGAGCTGGCAGCAGCCTCGCCGCTGGAGGAAGAGGTCCCGGAGGTGCTGGAGGAGTTGTTCTTGGAGGCACGGCTGCCCAGAACTCCACCGAGGACTGCAGCGAGGATGACGGCCGCACCGACGGGTATACCTACGTACAGCCACTTCTTGGTGATGGCCATGACCAGGAACGGACACGGGCGAAGGCGAGAAAGGGTGAAACGAGCGAAAGAGCGACGAGGGTGTGCCCGGGGGGCGGTGGACGAGAAATACGGCCGCGGACTGGGTGGAGTCGTGTTAAAAGGAGAGGCTGGCCGCGGGAGGCTCGCTATTTCGATCCCTGCTGACGCCGCCATGCCGAGTCCTCGGTCGGCGCCCACTCCGCCCACGGCGCGCCCATTCCAGGATCATCGAGACCGGGGCGGCGCATGGATGCGGCGCGATGCAATGATATACGAACAACAGTGCGCGTGCGCGAGAGCGGTATGTACAGGATCGTATGCGTATGTATGTCGTCGATGGTCGTCCAGGTCGTGAGGCGTCCTAACCATATGGCTCCGGGGCACATGTGCCCAAAATACAGCGGCAGCTGCGCCGCAAGCGTACAGAAATATGCAGGCCGCCGCCGTCTTTTCCTGCGTCGATGGTGGTACACGACCGCAGAGTCCTCCGTCGGTCGTCAACGGTCTACAGCCAAGGCCTCGGCCGTTCATCCGACCGTCTCGGGGCTCATGATCCCCAGCAGGGTCATCGCCGCCTCCATGTCGACGTCTTTGCCTCGCCGTCGCCGCTTCCCTGCGCCCTCCTCGCCTTTCGTCAACCCGTCGGGCAGCAGGAACGCGGGCAGCAGCTCCATGCTGATGTTCGGCGTGATCGCCTCCTCGTCCTCGTCCTCGTCCGTCTCCGTGTCGTCCTCTGCTTCCTCGGCCTGCGGTCTCGCCTCCCCGTCCTTCGCCTCGCCCCGGTACCTGGGCTCCAAAACGAGCATAGGCACGTCCGCGTCCCCCTTGCACTCCGCCTTCGACCGGGACGCCGCCTTCGCGGCCGCTCGCGCGCGGTGCGTCACCCGGCGTCCCGCGCGCGCGTTGGCGCACGCCCACTCGAGCGAGCGCAACAGACGCGGGGCTTCGCGCCCGAGCACGAGCAGCGCGTCGCCGGGGCCGGGCGAGGACGGCCTGGTCGGCGGCGAGGACGGGATGTGTTCCCAGATGTTCTTCCGCGATGGCGACGGCGACGGCACCGCGGTGGGGGACACTCGTCGTTGCGGCGTCGAAGGGGTGCAGGCGGGCCGCGGCGGGGGGACGGACGACTTGGACGCGGCCCTGACCTTGGCCTTGGCCTTGGACTTGCACGGCAGCTCGCGCGAGGACGCGATGTGGTCGAGCGAGATCGCAGACTCGCGGGCGGGGAGCGTCTTCATCCCGCCGAACGGTCGGACGTGCTTGTTCTCCGGCAGGGACCCCTTCGACCAGCCACAACTCCCCGACCACGCCTTCTTGAGGCTGCGGCGCCTGTTTTGGAACCAGGCGTTAACGGCTTTGAGCTCCCTGTAGGAGGCCCGGGGGTCAGTGCGCCGCGGCGACGGGAAGCGGAGGTTGCGGGCGTGCGTACATTCCGAGCTCGGCGGCGAGGAGGGCGCGCTCCTCCCTGCTTGGATGCGTCTTGATTTCGAAGACTGAGACGAGTGCGTGCGTCTGCGGTTGTGTCAACCTTCTCCGGGTCGCGGGGAGCATCCCCAATTGAGGTGCAGCGACGACCATGGAGGAATCCAAAGAGGAGCAAGCAGAGATGGTGGGGGAATGGGGAGGAGACATGTCGTGCAAGAAAAGGAGGCAAGTGGGAGAGGAGAGAGCTAGCCGAGACGTGCCATGCGCGAGAGGAGGAGAGGGAGGAGTACGACGATTCGTGCTCGTTGAACCGCGTCTACGCGTCTACGGTCGAACCGCGTCTCGCGTCGCGTTCTGCGCGTACATACCCCCAAACAACACGGGTCACATGGCCGTCGTCAGCTAGCACGTGTAAAGCGCCTGTTTGGGCGTCTGAATATCACGAACCCCGTCAATACTTAAGGAGGCGGACGTCGGATGGTAGTCGCTCTAGACACAGGACAACCGATTCGAATGCAATTAGACAATGCGACACACAAGAATTACGACAGACGACGAGTAAGTGGCACTACAGTGTTGGAAACAATATTCTGGATACACACGTCTCGATCCCAGCTCCTCAAAGAGTCAGTCACACGCCGATATGCTGTTCTTTGAGCCCTTCGCCAACCTCCCCCCTGACCCATGGGATCAGCTGCATCATGCGCCCCCTCACTCGAAGCTCTTCCCGCGTCGCCATCAGTCTGTCTGGAGCAGTATGGTAATCACCCCCGACCTTCAGCCCAGCCTTCATCATCGCCTTGATCTCGTCCTTCACGTCAGTGCTGTAGAGCGTGTTCACCGGGCGTCCGGCTTTCTTGCGAGCCAGGAGGGTGTCGAGGAGCTCCTGCCATTCCACCTCAGGGAACTCGATGTAAACGCTTTCGAGATCGGGGAGGAGCAGGGGTCTAACGAGCTGATCCTCGGGAACTCCGGCGTCGCGCTGCGGCTTGAAGTACGCGCTGACGACGTCGGCCGGCCACCAACTGGACGGATCGGTGGAGAGGGTTTTGAAGAAATCGTAGGCGACTCTCTCCAGCCGGAGAGTGTTGACGAGAGGCATGCTCTCAAACCAGCAGACGACGCCTCGCATGAGTTGGTCTCTGAACTGTCGGTCCGGGGTGTAGGGGATGGAGTACACGGAGACGCTACGGGCCTCCGGGAATCGGCCCTTGAGCGAGTAAAAGAAATGCGGGAAGCCTTGAAGGGTGCCATGGAGGCCCCCGAGCGTCAATAGCATGACCCTGCGTGTGTCGAGGAAGTGCAAAAGCTCCTGCACCCCCGTCGTCGGGATCCTTGCGAGAAAGAGCTCGCGCAGGTTTGGAAGCGACAGCGGCAGGCAACTAGACGGGTTCGGCATCGCGCCGACGAACGATAGCTTGTAGATGTGGTACGCAGGCCGTAGGAGCTCACTCCAGCGGGACATGGACATGAAGGAAGGTAGGGTGAAGTGGCGTATGTCCATAGTGTGGAGGGTTTTGTACTGCACGGTCTCCCAGTCAAGGGCGAAGCCAGTGATAATGAGCTTGCGTAGCTTCGGAGTTGGGAATCTGCTGAAGGCGACCAGGGGTGACGCAGGGTCCCGCGCGTACATGACATTGGCGTCGATGTCGACGAGCTCGAGAAGGTCAGGGGGACCGGCGACGCTGAAACGACGGAAGAAGTGGTGCATGATATTGAGGTCGTTGAAGTGGAGGACGAGCATGCGGATTTGGGAGATCTTGGGCAGTAGTTTGTCAAGGATCATATCGAGGCGGGGGATGGTCATGGGTTCCTGGTGCTTCTGCTCCTGGCGATCGTCGAGGCGTATGTCGAGTACGCCGCCCCCGGCACGTTCCAAAAAGGCAAGACTACGCGTCCACGGGTGCTGGTCGCAGAACCACAGCGTTCCCCACAGCTGAGGGTCCGCGAGTGCAATCTGGCGGAATCGCTGACACACCCAGGTGAGATGCATACGCATCCTGTTGGCCTTCACCACATTCTCGCTCCCCCAGAAGGTGGTACGGAAGATCATGGTGAGGAGCTCAGGGGGAAGGTCGAAAATGGGGAAGTCTCGGTACTTGCAGATCCTGCGCTGGCGATGCGCCACAGCCAACCCGTTCTCAACCGGCTCGACGACCCGACCATTGAGAGACTGACGCAACCACTGGAGTTGCTCGACGCGGTGGTTGAACATGATAGCACAGCTCGCCACCAACTCCCTGGGATCCATTTCGGTGTCTTCCGGTATGATCTGAAGGTATGCCCTGTCCGCGGCCGAGGCAGAGGCGGAGGAGATGGAGGGGGTCAGAGACCGCAGGGGGCTGAGCATATGGGTGTGTGTGAAGGGGAACAGCGTGGGGAGTCGGAGGAACGCCATTGGCAACGACGTTGTTGCCCGCGACGCGCGAGGGACCACCCGCGCTTGAGCGGCCTGAGCCTGGGTTTGGGCGAGCCCCAAAGCGTGCCCCGCGAGTCCCCGGCCGCTTTCGAAGTTGGTGCGAGTGGGAATACGGTTCGACATCTGGACAGCGATGTAAGCGGCAGGAAGACGCCACCTGGGACGCGTGAACGGACGCACCAGAGGACGGTTCCGAGGAACGACGAGGCGCGTTGGAGGGGTGCAGTTGGGAGAGGACGGAAGATGGTGACACCAGAGAAGCAACGGATGCCGTTAAGTATGGCGAGGCGGCGGTGTGAGGCTGGGGGAGAAGGGAGAAGGGAGGGAGGCGACCTTGTACTCGCCTGAGGAGGGTGCTTGTTCTGGCTGCACATGGGGGATGGAATCGATCGTGAGTTGCGGGCTGGCGCTCCAGAGACTGAAAATGGAAACGCACCAAACACGCCTTGTTTGGCCGTGTGGGGGCTCCCGGCTCTGGTAGGTCGCGCTGCTCAACGCTGCCCGTTTCTGGTGCACTCACCGCACTCGGCTACGCAACGACGGCAACAGGTTCCTGCTTCTTCTGGCTTCACCAGGTATCGAGGCACAGGCGGGAGGCGGCGCAAATTTTCACTGATCAAGGCCAGTGAACGGCGAGGTGGGGGGCAAGAAGTTTGGAGCACGAGTGAGAAGGGTGGGTGGCCGCTTGGATGCGCTATTGCGTTACAAAAACATGGCGGAAGGAGAGCAAGCCTCCTTTTATAGCGAACCATGAAGTCTGGCGTCGAGTGGTACGCAGTGCCTCGATGCCAGACACATCCTAAAACTCCCCAATACCGACCCCAGCCGAGTGGCGCGCGCTTAAGCGTCGGATCGCGATAGTTGAAGTCTTGCTTTGTCTGGGCCCTTCTCTTCAAGAATAAGCTTGATGTGGGCATCCGGCCCCAGTGTCAGGGGCCGGGAGGGCCACGCCTTGAGACTTCTATCTGCTCAACATGTTGTTTCAATGGCTGAACAATCGATGTAGCACCCACCGGAACCCGCAGACATCCAGGTCGGCTGTTGCTTTCAGCGTAGACGGAGGACGACGTCGACGACTGCGGCCTGAGCAAGGCAGATCGCTCACTCAAGCGCTGGCGCGGAATGTGGATTCCTGGACAATGAGCGCCCGTCCATTTGGTTCCGCGAGCGTTCGGCAAGCGATCGCCCATCAAAAGTGCCACACCTTGGGCTAAGAGCGCCAACTCCGTTGAGGCTCGGGCCAGGGCAGGCACTCTTTGGCTTGACAACGCAGGCTACCTGCGCCACATCAGACCCCACCCGTTGCTGCCAGCGCTCCGGCCAGCAAACCTAACGAAGGCAGGACCCGTCCACCCCCAGGTAGCAGACTGGACGCTCCAGAATCCACGCCACTTGGAAGCCGCTTTGTTCGTTGGCCAAACCCCTGTTCCTTCTCAGGCCAGCCTCGCACATGCCTCCCCAAGCCAGCGTGGTCCGGTGCGGCCATACCGCGTGGACCTCATTAATAATAGAAGTGCAACGCAAGCGGCACTGCTTGGGGCCGCGGCACGAGCGCGTCTCAAGTTCCTTGCCTCCAGCGTACGGAAGATGAGCAAGCAGGCTGAGATTGAGGCCGAGGGAACGCTGCCAAGCGACCCCGAAGTGGGCCATCGCCTGTTGCAGCCACAGTGTGTATGCGTTAAGTTCAAGACAATGGCCGAGCACGCCTTCCTTGAAGCCTAGCTTGATGGGTGGCACAATAGCTGAAATCATGGCCTGGGAATTGAGCCCTTGAGTGACCGGTTCTCGTATCATCCCGAGAGTTTTGGCTCACTAAGACTTCAGATCATGGGGCATGGGAACTGAACTTCACACCAGAGGTATGCCAGAAAGATTATATTCGTGGCTCATGTGCCGAACACAACCTCGCTAACTCTTTTATGGTACAGACTTATGGTACAGACTAACGACTGCATGTTTACCTTAACTACTGCGCACTAAACGAAGCTAATCTGGGAGCAGACCGACAACCTATAGCAGGAGTGGTGCAAACGGAGAAGACGTCCACTATATCGAAATACAGTACGAAGGAGCAATATCTGATCGCGAGGATATGGACTGTTAACTGAAGGATAAGCAACCCGCTATTCATACATCATCACAGCAAACCGTCACACGATTCAGTCGTGCCTCATGCCAGAGCCCGAAGGCCCAGAAGCATCGCGAAGAGGAGGTAACTCCAGAAGCTCGTCGACGAGGTCGCTCACAATGGTGTCCTCGTTCGCTTTGGCCTCACCACTGCGGGAAAGGCGGGCGTCGATTTTGGCGTTCAAGGACGGGTAGTTGGCGGATGTGAACCCCATCTGCAAAACAAAGAATTGTCAATCGTGGTCCCATAACGGAAGCCAGGTGTGTCAACTACTCACATCGCTCAAACGCCGTATGAGCGAGTCGGCGGCGTCGTTCCGACCAAGCTGAGTGGAGGGTCCGGCGGATTCGAAAGTCCCCCACAGTCCATCACGGCGGTGCACAGGAGCGTGGATTGTGTGAGACCTACGTGGAACACTGAAGAGCTGAAGCTGAGGGAAGGGCCCACGTGCATTGCTGATGATTTCAGGCTGCTGCACAGGCATAGAGCTAGAGTCAGGAGCAGGGATAGGGGCCGAAACGGCGGCTTCAGGAGCGTCGGGAGCGGCGACGGGGCTGTCAGGAGATCTTTCATTTCACTGGAGATTCGACCAACGTCAGAACGACGATATCTGCGGGGAACGCCAAGAAGACGAAGGACATACCTGTCGGTAGATACGTTCATTTTGCGCTTCTTGCGTTCCTCCCTGAGGCGACGATAGCGTTCCTTCTCGGCGATATACGCATCCTTTGCAGCCTGGAGGGATTGTTTCGCGGCCTCGGGTGATTCCAACGGAGATGCACCGTACATGGTAACCTCAGCATCCTCAGCACCGAGTCCATCCACGTTAGGATGGGGCGGCGGTGGAAGTATAGGAACGGTATCATCCCAGCTATGTCCGTGGTGATGATGACGATGGTGTCGGCGACCCCATCCATGTTGCGACCCAAAAGGCGGCGGAGGTCCTTGACGGGGGCCAAAGACGTCGTCTGCCCACTCACCTGGAGGACGGTGCATAGGAGACGGTCCCCAAGATCCCTGACGATGAGGCGGCGGTGGCCCCGGAGGAGGGCCTGGGAGCGGCGGACCCGGCAGCGGAGGCCCACTGTACGTGCGAGGACCATGGGCTGAAGGAGAGCCACGGGGAGGGCCGGGAGGAGGAGGACCGAAGGATGGGCCATGGGGAGCGGCAGGTGGAGGAGGACCGGGAGGAGGAGGTGGAACGGGGGGAGGAGGAGGTCCAGGAGGTGGTGGTCCAGGAGGACCGAAATGGTGATGAGGTGGGAGTGGGCCATAGAAAGGAGGAGGACCAGGGGGGCCGCGAAGGCCGGAGGGGGAGGGACGGGGTCCGACGGAGCCCCATGGGCCCCAGGAGGTGTGGCGACTTGATCCACCCGGCCCCCAACCCCAGGGCGACGTCCAATAGGTCTCCCAGCTCTCGGCACGGGGGGTGCGTCGGTCACGAGCAGGAGTGGAGGTAGCCGGCTCGAATGTTGCGACTTCTGTAGGCTGAGGGGCGGCACCTGCTACTCCAGTGATGTCGGAGATGACGCGGATGACATTGCTCAAAGCCTCAGCGACGCGGCGGCCCGCAGCTTCCTCAGCTGCACGCCTTCCATCTGTCGCGGTCTGACGCAGCTCCTCGGCATTCACCAGAGCACTGCGGCGAATCTCCTCCGCAGCACGGGTGACCTGCTCCCGGTGAGTCGCCCAGTACGTACCGTTCGATGCATTACGCACGATGTTGCGGATGCCTTCAGAGAGTTCGGGGTTGGAGGCCAGCATGGAGGCCAGCATACCAAAGAGATCTGCGACGTCGTTGGCGACGTTCGGCGGAGCAGACTGGGTGCTACCGAGATCGGGGAGGGGAGGGTCATCATCATGCGCCTGGCTCACAGCAGTGTTGACCTTGGGGGTAGGGGGACGAGGCACGAGGGCGGAAAGAGTGCTGCGACAGCTGTAGCCACGGGTGCTGAAGTCGTTGATGTGTATGGTGTGCTTGGATCCAGCCTCTTCGGCGACGAGGGACTGCGTTGAAGATATGGTGTCGGGACTACGAGAACTGAAGTCGTCGGAGTTGGCTCTGGCTTTGCCCTTGAGGGAGGGCGTTGGGATTATCTCAGGGAGCGTGCCGGTAGAGCCAGTGGTGGATGAGGCAGCGCTATCGCCGACATGCTTGTCCCGGATCTGAGAGACGTCGGCGTCGCTGTCGAGAACTTCGACAAACGCATGGGGGCCAGAGCCGAAGAGACCGGCCATACCATTAGGAACGGATTGCCAACCGTCGTCCACCTCCATCTCGAACACGGCGGTCGCAGAACGTCCGAAAGTGTTGCGATAGTTCATGCCGGAGGTGGTGCGGGGAGTTTGGGGAAGTGGCTTATCGGCGTGGAGGGAATCAAGGTCCCGGACGGTGAACTTGACGAGGTTCAGAGTGCCGTCGTGCTTCTGCATAACAGTAGACTGGTAGAAGTCCTGGAGCTCCTCTTCGGTGCTGAGAGTGACTTCATCGCCGTCACTGTCGAGGTACGAGACGGCGACGCTGGGGATGGGGATCTTGTAGAGATCCTGGATCCGTGAGGCGAGGGTATCCCAGGAGGGACGCTCTTGGAAAGTAATGCGACGGACGAGGCCGTCGGGAGGATGGGTGAGCTTGAACTGAATGGGAGGCATGTCGAGGGAGTGGAGCGCAGGGGCCTGTCGCGCCGGTCTATATACGCGCGGGGCGGGACTGGGCAAGAGTCAAAGTCGAGAGTTCTAGCCGATTCCGACTCCGCTGCGCACCCTGCGCTGCGCAGTGCGCACGCTCGGCACCGCAATCCAGCGGCAGACGCCCGGCGAAGGAGAAGGCCCGAGTCTCCTGTGCCGACGCGTCATCGCACACACCTCGATCCTTCTCGCTGCACTGACTCGATGCTCTTGGCCACACCCGATCTGCCGCAGCGATTCGTGGACATAGACAGCTCCATTATCCTACACACATGATCGCGACTCGACCAAACTCCGAGCTTCACCGTCTCCTGGGACTCTAATCTGCCTGGCTCTCTAAGCGAAGATCGCGAAAGACGGGTGGATGTCGACGGGGTCGTTGAGCTGCGCAATGCTGGTAAGTCCGTGTATCATCCGTATGAGTCACTAAACCCACTCGGAGGTTGATGTTGAGACCACTGATCGTCTTCATCTCATCCGCAGTCAACTCAAAGCCAGTGCACGCCAAATTCTGGACCAGACGCTCGTGGTTGTTCGACTTGGGAATTACAGCAAGACCCTGTTGGAGCGCCCAGCGAAGAAGCACCTGGGCCGTGGCTGCAAGGGTATCAATTCAGTGATGAACCACAACGAGAACAGCATGATCCACTGACTCTTTCCGTTCTTCGACGCAATGCTACCAACGGTGTCGTGCTCCAACAGACTCACAGCGCCTTTGTCACAATTGATCTCTACGTAACTCTGGGGGCCGAACGATGAGTAGGCGGTGATGGCGATGTTGAGGCGTTTGCAGTAGGTGATCAAGGACTCCTGCGTCAAGTAAGGGTGAAGCTCGACCTGCAGCACTTGCGGCTCAATGCGAGCATAGCGCATGACGTCGTGAATGAGAGAACCCTGGGCGTTGCTGTAATTCCAGTGAGTAACCGCATATCAACATGGTCTCCTACTCACCTCATACCGATGTTCTTGGCCAGACCTGCGTCGACAAGCTTCTCTATCTCGGTCCAGGTCTCCTGGTAGGGCACCTTGACTGTGTGGGGTTAAGTTGATGCCTCTGTTACGTAAGGGCGAACATACTCGGGGTGACCGTCTTGCCATCAACTCCCCACCACTCCTGAGGGAACTTGACCTTGGGGTCAATGTACTCGATGGAGATCGGGAAGTGAACAAGGTACAGGTCGAAGTATTCGAGGCCCCACAGCGCAAGAGAGTTCTTGCAGCCCTCCAAAACCTATGCACTTCGTCAGTAACTAACGACCAGAAGAAAATCGACTCCACGTACGCGCTCTTTCTCGTGGTAAGAGTTCCAGAGCTAATTACCCTTACTGTCAGGCTCCAGGAACCAATCGGAGAATCTCTGAACAAACCTTAGAGGTGATCCCTGCATTTTTGATCAGCCAATACTCGTCACATGCTCAGAAATACCGACTCACAGACGTCCTCGCGTTTCACAAGACCGTCCTTGATGGCACGAGCGATACCCTCACCAGCCTCCTTCTCGTTTCCGTAATCGGATGCCCCGTCGAAGAGACGGTATCCCTCCTTAATCGCGTTGTAAACGGTCTGATTTCAGTCGCATACGCTCAGTGATTGTGTGCATTGACGAGGGCAAGACTCCATACCGCTGCACAGGTCTCTTTGGTGACCTACTGACGTCGTGAGTGTGCTTATCGGTAGGGGAGGAATCAAGTTGGCTCGTACCTTCCAGAGACCAAAGCTACGCCGCGGATGGGACGGTCAGGGAGGCATGTCATTGGGTGCAAATACACTCTGAACTCACCCGACAAGCGGCATCTGTGCATATAGCGGGTGAGCCTCAGAGGATCGCATGCAGCGGAGGGAAGTATAAGACAGACCTTTGCGCCAGTGCGCTTGAGGGTGATGGTGGTCTCCATTGTACGCTGTGTGAGGGTGAGAGAGACAAGAGTGGGGCGGGCTTCCGAGAGACACCGCGGGCTATAAGAGGGGCGACGACCGGGAGCCGGCGCGGGGAAGAGGGAGGGCGGGCCGTTGGCCAGCGGTGTGGTCGATACATCGATGACATCGATGTCTGTGAATGGCCTGCGGGGGGTCAAATGATATCAGGTCTTGCCCGGGCATTTGTCGGGAGCTCAGCGCTCCGCCTTGGCTCAGCCACTTTCGACACTGTCTTCCCACCGGCCCGGCGTGCCGACGCGGCGGAGAGCCGCGTGGGCGGGAAGCGGGAGGCGGGAGGCGGAGGCGGCTGCTGGCCCTCGTCCGTCGATGCGCATCCACATCGCAGGCCTCGGTGCGGTTGGGACCTTCGTCGCCTACCACCTCCGCCACACCCTTACCCTTAAGGACGCCGTCGTCGCTCTCCACCGCAAGGAAGTCGCTCCCGCCCTCTCCCGCTCATGGCCCGTCCTCAAGGTTTCCTCCTACCGAGGTGCCGTTGTCGCCTCCGAGCACCGCGTCCTCCACACTGTGTACCACACCACCCCCGAGCGTTGGACCAATCTCGTCCCCATGCGTCACCTGTCCTTGGCTGACCAGGCCCGCGGCGAAAAGGAGCTCGAACTTCATCGCCCCTGGGATCCCCACAAAATGCCTCGAGTCGGTGGCAGTCTGGAGTCCCTCATCCTCACCACCAAAGCACACCAAGCTTCCGGCGTCATCGCAGCCCTCCGCGGATTAATCAGCCGCAACACCACCATCGTTCTTCTCGTCAACGGCATGGGCCTTTATGAGCAACTTGTCGACGAGCACTTCCCCGACCCCGAAGCCCGCCCCAACTTCGTTCTCGCCACCAACACTCACGGTTTCTTCCGTCCGGAGCCCTTCCACGTCGTCCACTCCGGTACCGGTGAGATCCAGCTCGGTATTGTGCCGGATCCGCTGGGACGCAACTACGAGGCCGCGCTGCTCCGCTCTCGCGACCCATTCGTCAACCTCTCCCTCGACGACATCGAAAGGTCTGAGGAGGTCCCATACGGGGCGTCCCGCCGCTACCGCAACCTTCGTTACACGATCGCTGCCCTCACCGGTGCGCGTGCGCTCGGGGCGTCGTGGCGGCCTTACTCGGACGTTCGCCTGAACATGCAGCGCAAGCTCGTCGTCAACGCATTTGTCAACCCCGTCTCCGCCCTCATGCAGTGCAGGAACGGGGAAACGCTCGCGGCGACGAACGGCCACTGGCTCATGCAGAGGTTGTGTAGAGAGGCAGAGGCGACCTACCGGGGGCACTTTGAGGCGGAGGTGCGGGCACAGCGGGAGGAGCATCTCAGGCGTCTGCGGGCGGACGACACCCTTCCACCATTCATCGCGAGTTCATTTCCCACTTCCTTGAAACATCACTCCCTCCAAGCAGAGATAGAAAGAGTGGTTGAGCAGACGAAGAATAACTATTCGTCTATGTCAGTGGATATCAAGACAGATCGCGGCACGGAAATCGAGTACATCAATGGTTACCTGCACAGGCTCGCCTCCAAGTATCGCGTCAACACCTGGGTGAACGATACCCTTTACCACCTGATTAACATGCGCTCTCTGATCCCCTTTGTGCCGGGAGTACAAACCGGTGTGTTCATCCATACGTCGTTCATGCTCCTACTGACGTTGGCTTAGACTCGAGGTGATCTCCGCCTCCAGGAGAGGTGTTCGCATGGACTGAGCTCGCTGATTCTGGATTGCATATCTCATGCTACTGTATCCAAAAGTTGTCCTATATCCTATAATGCGATATCTGTAATATGTACTTCTTCACCACAATTGCGATCAGAACGTCTCCTCAACTCCAGTCAGTACTTCCATGGTCGTCGTTGCAACGACTGGTGATATGGTATGCCATTCAAACATCTCTACAAGGAGTTGAAAGCTTTCAGAGATGCGGGGCAGTACCCGGGACCACGAAGGACCCCGCGCAGAGAGCAGCCTGTTTGGGTGGGGTAGTATGCGTGGATGTGATATTTACCGTAGGAACAGGAGGTTGAGAGCGAACATGAGGGAAATAGAAGCATATTGCACATGACAGAGACGAGACTGTGAGAAGAGATACGTACGTGAGAGGCAGGGGGTGGGAGAGCCGGAGAGCCGGCGGATGGGTTGAGAGAACGCGATGCGGGGGTGTGCTACACCGGAGCCGAAAAAAAACTGGAGGGGGAGCTCACGACACCACACTTTCGGGATGAGTTGCAAGGACGTCAAGAAGCCTGCTGCGCCCAATCCAGGGACGCTGCAAGGTCATCAGGGTACAAGAATTGCAACTCTTCTGTCGTGACAATCCGTCCGCGCTTCCCTCCCGTGGGCGAAATGTGGGCATCCTCGAAGAATCTGTCAAACATCGGGAGATTCTTTGCACTCCAGCGTACGGTTTCAAGCTTGAGAGGGAGACTGGAGCTACAGTCCGCGACGGCACCTCTGTGGACTTCAGTGGTCGTCTGACGGACGAGCAACTTGACGCACCCTGTATCCCGTCTTGTGAGAGGACTGCATGTTCCGACCCATTCTCTCCTGAGAACCCTTCATACTGCGTATCCTCCTATGCCACGCATCAGCATCGTGCAGTCAAGTGCAAACCACACCACTCACAAACCACCCAGAATGACCGCGAACGTGTCCTTCGGCTGCAGCACGACCTGCCCCACGAAGATGCTCTCCGGCGTCCGCGCGTCCCGCCTCCGCGGGGCTCCGCGCCCGCGGCGTGCGTGACGAACCACCGGACGTGCCGGTCAAGGTGCTCGACGAACGCCGCCCGGCGGTCCTCGCCCAGCGTGGGCAGGAGCCCGTCGACGAGCACCGCGCGGCAGTCGAGCGCGCAGTCCTCCGTCACCTGCGGCACGACGTGGATCTCGCCCGCGCTGAGCGCGGCGAACGCGGTCGACGTCGCGTACTGCACCCGCGCCCACGTCGGCCAGTCGACCGCGGTGCGCGAGAACTCGGTCCCGAGCGAGGACATCAGGTTGCGCACGACGCGCATCAGGAGCGCGGCGGGCGGCGCGGCGAGCAGCTCGTCCGCCGCGAGCGAGCGGTGGTCGGGGTCGGCGAGCGCGTCGAGCGCGTTCGGGCACGGGAGGGCGACGGGCGCGGAGGTCGTGCCGGGGTCGATGAGGAGGTCGGCGCAGTGCGGACCGGGGGAGGCGATGTGGCAGAGGACGCGGCCTCGGGTGTTTGTGGAGGAGGCGGCGATGTTGAACCTGCGGCAGATGGCGGAGAAGGTGTAGACGAGGGAGATGGGTATGGTCTTGCCGCGTCCAGGGCCGAGGAAAAAATGGGGGAACTGGTTCAGTGGGTGGTAGAATGTTGCGTCTGCGGCAGCAAGTATGTCAGCCTGGAGTGGAAGAGGCTGGTCTGGAGGAGGGCGCTGCGCTGCGTACTTTCGGCGACTGCGAAACCCTCATCGCGCAGGAAGTCTCGGATGAGTACTGCCAGCGCGGGAACATCGCAGGTCGAAGCTTGCACGTCCAGCTGAGATTCTGAGAGTCCCTTGGCGAGCAAGAAGAACGACATTTCGCAGCGAGGTCATCTAACTGCTTGAAAATCTGCAAAAGGCTCAGGTCATATGATGCTACGTCACTAATATGAGCGACTACGAACCTTGAAGGGCGATTCGTCTACGAAGGCAGAGAGCCCGGCGAGGACGTCCTCAAAAGAGTAGAGGTCTTCGAGCAGATTCCTCCTGTTCCAGACTTTGACTGCATGGTTGCGTGCAATAGTGCCTAAAGTTGTCTTCGCCCAGAACTTGCGCGGAAGAACATGCTCAAGAGCCGGGAGTTCGTCGGGCGCCATGTCTTCTCCGGCTTCTTCGCGGAACACGCGAGGTACAGGGAGGTGTGATTCGAGCTCCAAGGCGTCCCAGACGTCGAAGGACATCTCGTCCGAAACGAGCCGGCTCGCGGGCTCCTGGCGGTCATCGGCGTGAGTGCGGATATGGTCGACGAGTCGAAGGGCGGTCTTGTCGAGCTTGAAGCGTTCGACAAAGAGGGCGTGCCATGCGTCGGAGCCAAGTCTTGCGTGGCGCTCCTTCTCGTTCGCCGGAAGGGTGTGGGTGTACCGAGCGCGGTAAAGTTTGTGCCACACTGATCTGTCGAGCGCTGCCGCCCGTGTGATGGAGCTGACGGAGAGACAGCTGACGACCGCGGCGAGGCTCGCGGGCTCGCGGCTAGAAATGTGCAAGAGGATGAGGATCCAGAGTTCTACAGGTAGCTCAGGCTGTGCCATGGGGTCAACCCGAGGTCGGAGCAGTAGTAGGAGCGTGGTTGTGGATCAGGTCAAGATACGAGATAGTCCGTTGGATGAATCCGTCGTGCTTCCTTATCGAGCCTCAACTTCTCTAGTGACGTAAATTGTCTCAACTGAGGCCGTTGATCACTATACTTTTCAGTGCGTACGCAACCTGCGAAGTGCTTACAACATACAAGGCAGATGACATTAGTGAGCAACGCTCAATCGGGAGGTGTCCCAGTAGTCTACAACAAATCATGAGGGCGATATACAGTCCGTGCATCAGTGATCGTCCGCTCCTAGGTATCCAATCCGGACCGTACGTGTCGAGCCGTCGTTCCATGACTCTACTCGTCTGCGAGAGACAATGGAGTACGTGGAGTGTTGTGTACCAACGAAGCCTACCGCAGTTGACTGAATGGCCGCATCAATGAGGAGAGGATACCATTCCCCGAGGACTGGAGCGGTGCCCGCAGTCTCGTGGTCAACTGTTTTCCAGCCAAGAGCCCGAGCCTGGTCCCACCATGCAGGGTCTTTTTCGTCGCCAGTGATGATGACCCTTGACGCTGGAATATCTAATCCCTTCCGTTCACGCAGCTCTTCCTGCACTTCCCTGAAACAGGTGTGAGTACTCGAAAAACATCACACAGATTGATGGGTACGCACATGACTCTGCGTTGAATGACGGAGAGTGGTGGGAGGCAGTCAGCAGGGTCCTTGGCTTCCCAGCAGAGGTTGGTGGCAAAATCGCCACGACGGGCATGTACAGCGATGAACTGTGAACAGGCGAGTTAGCTTGGACCCCATCTCATCATCCGAGATACGTTACCGGGGGGATCGTAGTATCGTCAGGGAGGGCGAAAATGTTCCTTAGGTAGACTTGCGTGATAGTCTCGATGCGTTCCGTCCAATGCAAATGTCTCAAAACGTTCCTCCACATGGGGGCGTAGTCTAGCTCCCACTCCGAAGACTGGAATCCGGACTGAGCTTGCGCACTCTAGGGAAGAACAGACCACTCACCTGCTGAGCACAGACATAATACAAATAATCAAAGCACAATAGATGATCGTCAGGGTCCACCGTCGTGTTGTGCAGGGGTGAAGGCACGGCCTTTCCGATGTTGCGTGCACGCTCCTCAGGGAAGCTCAGACGCGCCAGAGACCAGAAAGTGCTCCCTTTATCGTGCTCAGACTCTGGAATGAGTTTGATCCATTCCGGTGCTGTTGTGTATGAGATGTCTGTAACAAGGCGTCTCTGTAAGTGCAGGGAGGTCCAAGCAATGTGTCGGTACGTACCCAGGCCGAGATGCCCTGGCACAGCGCTCCTACGAGGGAAATGCTCGCGGTTCTGGACAGCCTCCCAGATGTTCCAGCAACCCAGGTCGTCGACAAGCCACTGTTTGGATCCTTGACTTCGTCCCACTCGAGAATCTCAATCCCGGACTCCTTCACGAAGCGGGGTACGTCGAAGACCTCTCCGAACGGAATGGGGGGAACATGTCCGCCGATATGGGAAGGGGTGAACATAGGCATGATAGGAATGCGGTCGGTGATACTACCGAGGTAGATGAGGTTGGCGTAAGTCATTACATCGTTGGCTGAAAACAATGGAGTGAACACGGAATGCGCGGATGGTTGGGGGAAAACGTACTCCAGCCTGCTGCGGCCCAAGAAGTGATATACTTCTTGTCAGGGCGGAGATTATCCCGGAAGCTCTCGGTCGGAGGGCCGTTAATGAGCGCGGACAATTCCGATCCTTCTTCCTGTGGCGGGGGCATGGGGGTGTGCATCCGTGCGGGCGGCATGGATCCTCGAAAGCAGGGTTGCCGCCGTCTGAGAATGCATGATTAGGGAGGAGGCGGAGGACCTGGGGAGCACCAGAGAAGAGGGTGGACTGGATGGTGAGGATGGTAACGACTGCGAGGAAGACAAGGGCGACGAGTGAACGCCGCTTGGTCAAGGGGTACATAAGGCGGCGAACCGCGGGAGACGAACGCGGCTGGGAGGAGGAGGGAGGAGGGAGCTCGAACGAGGCCGGGCCCGGGAGAAGGGGGACACGAGAGTTGAGGCGGGCATGGGTCTTGTCGTGCCGTGGACTCATGGCTGACAGGCGATCTGCGAGTGCGAGAGCACTGCGGGTGGGACGGCGGGGGCGGGCGTCGCGATCGGTGGAAGGGACCCCAAGGGACCCGGGCGGGACGAAGATATAAGTGGGCAGAGGCGCATGGTCCCATTGTGGGAGATCTGAGGGCGAGCGGTAAGTTGGCCTGCCTGGCGATGAATCCGGCCGGAGGCAGGATCGCAGGACGCGTTCCGCCCGTCATTTCGCCCGCGCTTCCACTTATCTTAGATCCATCTTCATAAATCCCCGTCACGCTCTTCCTCGCCCTGTCACGTCTGTCCCCGGCGCCCCGGCGCCCCCGGGTCTCCTGTGTGCCCCAAGCGAGCTAGAGCACCCATGGGTCCGAACGCAAACATGCGTGCGCTCCGCAATGGTTCGATCGTGTTCAGGCAAACTTTGCTCGGCCTCGCGGTTACCGCGAATGGTCTCCGGAGCCTCTGGATTGGCCGTGGCCCCGTCATCAGCCCGAGCAACTAGTGTGTCTTCCGTGTGCGGCGGTCCGCCTCTTTATCTGCGCCCACCACCCTTTATCACTGCATGCCCCCGCTCTCCGCCTCAGGCCCCTTGAACGGCTTCAACGCGCCGTATACACCTGCGTCGCACTCGCAGGACTCAGCCCGACGTGCCTCTCTGAACCCCGCAAGATGGATGCGCACCATGCCCCTCGCAGTGGAAGATCGCCGCGTGGTCTCCTTCTACATGGCTGCAGCGTTAGTGGTATGTGCACTCGTCATTTGGGTCATGTAGACGCTGACAGTCGCTTCTCCAGATGGTCTTCGTGTAAGGCACCTTGCACCCTCCCCGATCTATGAGCATGTCACCAAATCTTTCGCTCACAGTAACAAGGCCGTTCTGAACGCTGCCCCCGACATCCCGCTCCTCTTCCTCCTCATCCAGCTCGTCTGGGCCGTAGTCCTCCTCCATGTTGCCGCTCGCTTCACGCCCAAGGTAGAGATCCCAGCGCTCGAGCTCAAGACTGCCAAGCAGCTCGCTCCTGTGACGTTTGTGAACGCCGTCGGCCTGATATTCAACATCCTTTGTTTGCGTGGTGTGGATGCATCGTTCTTTCAGGTGAGTTTTACCTCGCTGTCGTCATACACCCCCTTCAAACCCCACGTACCTCAGATTGCGCGAGGTCTCGTCCTCCCCTTCACGATTACCGTCTCGTCGATTCATGGCCGTTCCATCCCCTCGCTGCAAGTTCTGCTCGCCGCCTTCATCGTCACCTTTGGGTTCTTCATCGGTGTCACCCCAGATACGCAAGTGATACAAAACTTGGTCAATACCCCAGCTGGACAGCCATATTCTATGGAGTCCTCTCATCCATCTTCATCGCGGTCCACGCGTTCTGATCAAGTATTCGCTCCCTTATGCCAACAATTCAACCATCCAGCTGGCATACTGGCAGAATCTTGGCTCCGTTCTCATCCTCCTTCCATTTGTCCTTCTCCAAGGAGAGCTGTCGACACTGTCGCAGCTGATGCCAGCCCAGACTGGAACGCTTCGGTCTTCGTCTGGGGCAGCACCGTCACCGGGGTTTTCGGCTTCTTGCTATGCGTCGCCGGGCTGCTCAGTATCAAGGTCACGAGCCCCATAACGCACATGTTCTCCAGCGTGAGTTCAGCCGCTGCCTCCCCGTTTTGTGCGCCGCTGACTTGGTGTGACGCGTTTGACTGGGTCCCCTCTTGCACCGCTATCGTGCTGTGGCATGTGCAACGATACAGGCCGCCCGTTCTGCCATTCAGACCCTCCTCGGTGTTTGGATCTTCGACGACATCTTGACGACGTGAGTGACACCGGCCTTCCCAAACACACCTACAGCCCTCCGTGGCTCGACCCTCAAACTCCACCCCGTGCCTGTGGTCCTGATATGCGGTCGTGCGCTGACTCTATAACCCAGACACCGCGTTGGTTCTATTCTGATAATCGCCGCCGGCACTGTGTACTACACATGGACCAAGTCCATCGAAGCCGCTATGGCCGCGCCGCCGAAGCACATGCCGTTACCGACCGACGATGTGGAGGCAAACGCCGGCGGCCTGACGAGTCTCACCGAGGAAAACGAGGAAGCGTATGATATGCAAGAGAAGACGCGGTCACAGACCGACTAAGCAGCGACACGCCGGTCGGCCTTGTGCGCATTGCCGCCGCAGCCGGAACGCCGGGGCAAATGGGGATGGCAGATGGCTCGCAAGCGTCCGTCCGTCCGTCTGTCGTTGGGGAGGAAGTGAGGATGTCCATCGGCTTCGTGAGTGCGGATATCATGTGGTGATCGTTGATACCTTCGTGGACGCTGTAGAGTAGATGCACCCAACACTGGCTCTTGATCTCTCCCATCTTCTATGTCCTGCGTCGCGTGCACGATCCGGACCGGCCCCACTCACGCATTGAATGGCTGGGATTTTCTGGCCGAACGAGCCGCCGTCGAGGCCCCGCGGACGGCGACACGACGGCTTGCCAAGTCCGCTCCATTTGCCATGGGCGCACCCTAGCAGAGCCTCGAGGACTCTCGAGTACATCGCATACGGGCGTGGGGGCGTCGAGGTCCCCCTTCGCCACAGTGTAAGGGCGTCCGTGGCCGTTGTGGCGCGCGGCAGCGCTGCCTCGCGCCTTTCTCAGGCACATGAGAGCCCGCGGTCCCTGAGGGGCTCGAAGGCGGATGGTGCACGCACGCCCGCCCGGTGTCGAATGTGCTCGCCGCGTTCGCACCGCTGTCGCCGCGGGGCCGATGTCAGCGCGTCGTGCTGCGTAGTCCCGCGCGTTTGCAAGGCTCGTTATACCTCTGTTCTGGTTTGCAGCGGCGTCGGTGTCAGCGTCGGCGGTACACGTAGCTCCACGAGCGGTTCCCGTCTTGCGTCCGACGCCGCTCAGGCCGACGACACGTACGACCGCGATGCACGATGGCATAGGACATGGAAGGCATGGGTCACCTGGTACAGGACCCGATCGAGGTACCAGGGCAAGAGATCTCGCGACATTCTTCGAAGCGTTGCGATTGAGCGAGCGCCGATGGTACATGCGTTAACGCCGCCTCGGCTCCTCCTGCCCAGAAGCAATATATTCAGGCCGGATGTGGTAGGTTGCCCGTTGGCGTATACAGTACTAGTGGCATCTGCCAGCGCGGATCCGAGTACAGACGTCCTGGTGTGCGTGACAGTAATTGCACGCCTGGGCTTCGACGCACATGCGCGCGCGTTCCGAGCCAACCAAAGTTGTGCAGTTTATTCTGAGGGAGGTCCGTCCGAGTACGGGGCCTTCCGCCATGCGTACGGGGGTGACGCTGAAATGTGCCGCTGGCCCCCGTGGGGTGCTGGGCCCTCGCACAGCGCGTCCACTACTGCCCGCCATTTCACGCGGAGGGAACTCGAGGCCGAACGCTAGCTTTCTAGAGTAAACACTCGATCGAGAGTCTGAGGACGAGCTGCGCAACCCCAACCTGCAATCGGATCGGACGTTTCTGTCCACAGCCGCAGCTCGATCGGCGTCTATCCTCTTTCGTTCACCTCCACCCGGAGTTTCTGGACAGATGTCTGCGGACCGTCGCTGATTCCGCAAGGACGTGGCCCTGTGAGGTCATCGAGACCTGCGGGCTGTTTTCATCGCACGGGGTGCGAGTGCGGTCTTGTTGTTTGAGACCGCGCCCACGACGTTGGCAGACAACGGCCTGGCGGAAGTTGTTACCCCAGCTCGGAGGAGAGGAGGACGTCGGGAGTGCATGGACTGGTGCGTGTTCTATTATTACGACTCGATCTCCACAATGTCGTCTTCTTGTTTTTAGCCCTGTTCAATGGGGAGCGAGTTGCTATGCGGGGCGGATAGTGCGCGACGTACCCCTTCCGCCACCGTTACGTTCCGCCCACATGTTTCCGTGCGGCGGAATGGGCTGGAAAGAACGTGGGTCGCCGAACCTGCCGTGCGTCTTTCCGAGCTTCGAACTTCGAACGGACGAGAGTTCTGTGAAACTGTCTTGATTCCTGACGGGCGACGCCCACGAAGGCCTCGATCTACGGCAGCCCCCTTTCAGTTGCTCCCAGCGCAGCCCGTGTGCGGCGTCGCCGACCGACACGGCCATCCCGGCCCTGTCACGCCGGGCAGCGATACATGCCTCTGACCTGGACTGGATGGACTAGATCCATGCGTCGCCTGTCACATCCTCGCCCGCGCCCGCTCTCTTCCCGTCCGTCCGCCCTCCGACCCGAACGCCGCCTCCGCGCATGCCGTCCGTCATTCGCCCAACTGCCATGGGCCTTTTATCTGCGCAACTTCGCGCCACTGCCTGTCCCCGCTCCACTGCCGCTCGGGGCCACCATCTATATACCGACGCCCGCCTTGTCGCGCGCAGTGTCCGCCATGGCTCCGACCCTCCTCCACCCCAGCATGCCCACCTTCGTCGACGCCGCCCACAGCCTGCCACTCACCCCACCCCTCTCCGCCACAGAGGGCGAGTTCGACAAGCCGCTCCTGTTCAACGACATCAAGCAGCACCTCGAAGATGCCCTTCAGAGCGAGCCACAGTCCCTACGCTATGAGCGCAAGATGGGGACACTGAGCTCTCGTACTTTCTGCCCTCGCGCCAGACGGGCGTGAACGATATGTACGTCTCACTCAGGACGCATGTAGTTCGACTCCAGAAGGCTGACACGCACGCGGCGACGCAGGTACCTGCACATCGGCATAAACGCCGACGCGCGCATCACACACGAGAGGTTCAACACTGTGTGGGCCATTATGCGCCTCCGGCACCCGATGCTCTGTGCGCGCGCCGAAATGCGCGACTACGATGACGTGCGCTTCGTGTACGTACACCCTGCTATATTCACTACGCGGCAGTACAGTGCTCACCGCGCGTGCACAGGTATAACGCCCCCGCGTCGCCCGAGCAAGCTTGGCTGGAGGCAAGCGCGAACATCGAGCTTCGTTCCCAGACCAAAGAGGGTAAGCGGCCTCTGGTCCCCCGTGGCCTAGATGAAGAAGCACCGCTCACGCCCCGATCTAACAGAGCTTATCGACTCCTACCTCAACGGCCCGCGGACGCTCTCCAACGAACGCCTGTCCTACATCCTTCTCTCCGAGCCCGCGCAACCGGCCTCCGACGACCTCTTTCCCACTCCACCCCGCACCCCTGAGCCGGATAGTCCGATCGAACGGTCGAACGCCGGCCTGAACGGCCCTCCGCTCGAGGACTCCTCGAGTACGCAGAACGAGGATGCGGAGTCAGAGGCTACGCCGGCCCCGAGGAGGCCGCTCGAGTTCATGTTATGTGTGATGCACTTCCTCGCAGACGGCATCGCGATCCACAACTTGTCGAACGACATTTTCTGCTTGGTCGGCGGCGACTTGACCGACGAGCAGCTCCATGAACTGCTCCGAGAGGAATGGACTACGCGGTGGGCAGAGGCGCCTGAGGAGGTAGGTTCGCGCTCAACGTCGTTGGGCGGGCCATGCTGACGCTCCCATCTATTCTAGTGCGTGCTCCCTGGGACGCTCGAGGAGAGAGTGCCGAAGCCGACAACGCCCTTCCGTCGCGTGGCTGCGCAGGTCGACTACCAGCTTTCGCAGGCGCGGCTCATCGGCGGGCAGGCCTTCCCCCGCCACAAGCACCCCGAGCGACTCACCATCGTCCCGACAATCGCGTACCCCGAGGCGCGCACAAAGGAGATCCTGAAGGCGTGCAAAGTGCATGGCGTGTCCATATCCGCCGCTCTCTTCGCCATCTGCAACGTTGCGTGGGCGCGCATGGGCGCGCGCGCGGGCTCGCACCCGCTCCCGACGCTCATGTACTCCGCGCTCAACCTCCGGCCGTACTTCGCCCGCAAGGCGCTGCAAGACGAACAGCGGCTCTGGGACTCGTACTTCTTCGTAGCGATCGGCTATTCAACGTCATCCTCCCGTCGTACCTCCCCGCCGGCAAGGACGCGCAGGCGGCGACGTTCTGGCGGCGGGCGCGGAGCGCGAAGGAGCAGAGCACGCGCGCGGTGAAGCACCCCCTCGCCGCGTCGCGCACGCACGGGATGGCGGAGGAGCGTGGGGTGCGGGCGCGGATGTGGGGGCGCGAGGATGACGAGAAGGAGAGGGGGACGTGGGCCCCGCCCGCCCCGGCCACCATCTCGCTCGACGCGCTCGCGCCGCGGGAGCCGGTGCTGCCCAAGCGGGAGAAGGCGTCGGCGGCGGCGCTGCTCGGGCTGTCGCTGCTCGGGAACCTGGACGGGATCTACAAGCACGCGGCGTTCCCGTCGACGGAGCTGTACGCGCTCAACACGGGCTCGCGGCAGCGGAACGGGGCGATGCTCATGTTCGGGTACACGTTCAAGGGGAAGGTGTGGATCAGTCTTGGGTACGACTGCAATGGGTTTGAGGGCGACGTCGTGGACAGGTTCTGGAAGGAGTGCTTGGATTGCGTGGAGGAGTTCATGGGCTGAGTGTGCTGGACTCTTGTACCAACTGCATAGACCATTTGGACGTCAGGACTGCTGCATCTGTCTGTAGAGGTTGTGTATGATATGTATTCCTCGGACGACTCGAGTCGATACTGGTACTAGCCACTCTTTTATTGAATCAGTTCCGCAACCATGTTTTGGTCAAGACGATCGCGATTGGCTTACTAACGCGCTGTTCCTTCATCTACCCCCGTTGTGGTGCTGTATAGACGTACCTCGAATGCTACACATGCGTTCGTCGTGGATAGGCCTTACGAACGGAGGCTGTCGTTAGCGCCTCAATGCTATTGGCTGGCATATAGACGCCTAAAGAGCTTCACGTGCGCGACCGTTCAACGCGCCCTCAGTCTGTGACAACCACCACACGCGTAGAGCGCTGAACAGAAAGTACGCCGTATGGCGCCCTGCTGTACCCTGTACTGACGGTTTGAGCCTCCATAGGCAATGTCTGTGGCCACAGGCACGGCGGCTACATACAGGCGGCCAACGCCAGCTCAGACTACTGCCACAACTAGAGTAAATGTTACTGATGATTACGAACGTCAGTACGCGCTTCCTTCCTGCACACTGAGAGCTCATCCTTCACGCAGGTTGGTATACGGAGGCTGCTCCAAATAACCGCATGTTGCTTTCATTGCGCTCAGGCTTAGATTCCGAAGTCGCCTGGGCCCTCGACAGACTTTGTCGACTGTGTCAAAACGAGCAGTTTATGCTCATCGCCATCCCTGGGCTCACCGACGCATTGTTCGAATGGCCCGAATGGTACTGCACCGAAGGATACCTGCAGCTCGACGAGACCTCAAGCATGTTCGCCCTCCCCAAAGCCGAGGAACGCAAGCGGAGACACGCCATCGAGTCTTTGTTCATCCTCCGTAACGCCGCCATGCACGAATCCAACGCCCACGAACTGTCCCTTTTTCCCAGGATACCGAACCTCGTCCTGCGAACGCTGCACGACATCAAACCAAACACCGACGCGAACGCAGAATTCATGCTCTGCGTCATGGAGATCCTGCAGACCATCGCCCACTCCGTCACTCTCCCCGCCCCAACTGCCCCGCCGAGAGCCAGCCCCGTTGGACCTCTGCAAGAGATTGCTGGGTCATCCTCCAACAGGTCTCTCGTCATCATGTCCTTGACGACTCTCACCGTCCTCTATTCCAATCCGCACAACATCTACCAACTCGCCCCCGATGCCCCCGCCCTCGAAACCGCCATGAACGTCCTCCCTCTCATCCTCGACAAGGAGCTTATCGACGCGGCGTTGAACTACTTATATGCCCACCTCTCACATCCTCCCATGACGAGGACGTTCTTACTCCACCCCCGCATGCCGGGAACACTCAGGCTCCTGGTGTCCCTCATCCTCGCCGACCAAATGGAGGAGAACGTCTCGTTTGAGATCGGGATGCCGACCTTCACTGCCCCTGCGCAGTCCATCGAGATCACCAATCATGAGCTCACAAGCGAAGAGCTTGAGCATCTCCTTCCAATGCCAGAGCCTCAACGATGTTTTGAATGGTATGTCATTGAAGGTGCATGCCGCTCATCGTTCGACTGACTTCGATTGCCAGGATGAAGACCATGTTCGTCGCCAGGCCGGAAGGGGAGCTCACTCAAGTCGATTTTTGGAACCTGTACAAAGATGTGTTCGCCTCCCACCAAGACAAGTTCGGTATGCTCGTCGCGTCGGACGTCATCAAGAACGTCAACGCCGTGTTCCCGCAAGCTCAGGCGATGGTCCTTCCTGGCCCACCACAGAGATTCGTCGTGCGCGGAGTCGACCGCAGACAAGGCCTGTCCTCCATCGCGCAGTTCAAGTGCCAGTGGAAAGACTGCGACCTCGACCCCTTCCCCGCGACGGACGCCCTGTACGAGCACCTCCTCGACACCCACATCCAGCCCTTTGACGGCGCGCAGCTCCCGTGCGCCTGGGGGTCGTGCGCCGCCCAGACGGCAGTCACGAAGGCGCAGATGCGCGCCCACGTCCTCACCCACCTGCCGGACATGCAGCCCCCGGCGAAGCACCCCTCCCAGCCGAGCACGGTCACGCTGCCGTCGATGAACTACCCGCACCCGGTCGCGGAGCCGACGAAGCGGCCGCCCCCGCCCGCCCGCGCGACGCTCGTCACGTACACGCGGCCGCACGTCGACCCGCCGCCCAGCTCGCTGACGGCGCTGCTGTGCCTGCGCGTGCTGTTCCGGGCGTCGTTCGTGCCGCCGGAGGTGACGCTGCGGGCGGACGAGTCGCACTTTGGGTTCCCGGGCGTGGTGGAGGAGCTGGAGGGGGACGAGGAGGAGGAGATGCGCGCGGCGGACACGGAGGAGGAGAGGGAGGGGCAGAGGAGGGGCAGAAGGCGTTCATGGCCATCCGGTATCTCCTGGAGGACGTGCGGATGAAGCACGAGACGTTCCAGGGATGGGTCACGGCGATGATCGACGGGGGCTTGACCGGTCAAGCATGATATTTCGTCTTTAGTGTACTTGCGCTGATTCTATCCTCCGTTGAAACGTTGAACGCTGAATGCTGCCTTCGACTCTGGTCTGAGGTACGCGATTCCGAGACGAACGGAAATGGGCGCCACCGCGGCTGGGAGGCGCGACGCGATCGAGAGGGAGCTTCGACTGCGATCACCTACACGAGCTGCGAGGGCACAAACCCTCGTCGTTCCACAAGTCTCCTTACCCTTTTCCTGTTCCCAACTCAGCACGACTCTCTTCCTTCACGCCCCGCCCTGGGCCTCAATGATGCAACGCCGAGACTCCGTCGCCTTCGGTTCAAGATTCGCGACAACATACACCCGCCTTCTCCAGGCAAGTACCGCTCGAGACCACACTCCCAAGCTCGCTTTGTAATTTGTTACCGTACCTAGGGTGCGGACCCGGTGCAGTTAGCTGGCCCCAAGAAAGACGTCCCTGCATTCTGGTCGAGCCTCCTTGAGCTTGAAGTTGACCGGGAGTTCCTGTCCGCGAGACTGAGTGAGTTGCGGAAGGATGACTGCTTGGGAAGGGTCAAGGTGCGTCCCTCGCCCCGTGTCTCTCTCATTTGCTCAAATGCGTCATAATTGGATCAGTAGCCTGCGCTGAATTGTATTGTGAATGCCTGCATCCTCTCACTGCAAGACGAGAAGGCCGGAGAAATTCAGAGGTTACATGCAGCCTCCACTCTCGGCGTACTCAGTCGCAATATACTTGGCAAGAACTTGGCGGGTTGGGAGGTCATGGAGATCTTTGCTGGAGGGGTAGGCGGGAGCGACGGAGTGTTCAAGGCAAGTCGTTGTCTTCTACAAAGTGGAGTGCTGATGCTTGACGTCCCCGTAGAACTTGACGGCTGCTATCGACGATATTCTCGGCAGAGCCTCTCTATCAGGTGAGTGCTCTGGATACTTTGATTCATTTCAGATATGCTTAGGCAGCGCATTCAAAGCCACCCTCCGACACGAAGTCTTGCAGCTGGCAATGATATTTGTCTGTGGTATCAACCAACTCAGCCCAGGCGCATATTTCCTCCGCCACGACCTCTTCTCATGCATTGTGATGGTGAGTGTCTCATCGAGCCTTTCGTCTGCTGTGTGACCAACCACACTTGCCAGACCGTCACTTCGCCAGACACAGAGCAGTTCACATTCGAGGCCGCCCTGCTCCTTGCATTGCTCGCCAATTTCCATAAATCCGACGCCGCGAAACAAAACCCTTACTTGCGTCACATTCGCGAGTGCGAGAATGCTGAGTTCATGCGCAAAGTCTGTTGGGCCAGCAATTTCGCTGCTTCAGCTGCAATCAAGTGAGTGTCTTCATCGTAGAACTCTATCGACAGGGCTGAGCTGGGCTCAGGGCGTATCAAGCAATCATGGACGATTCGCCGCCAACCCTCGCCAGCAGCTTCAACTCGTTCCTCTCGGCACTACGTCCTGATCGAGCCTTTGCGTCTAAACCCGTAGATCCACCGCGGGAACTGTTCAAGAACCAGTCAGTAATTCGTTGAGACTCACGACGAAACTACTCACAGGACGTTGCAGACCCGTCGAAGCCTGTGTCATCTTGCTTCCTCTCCACGAGCTCTTGTACGGTAGCCCGGTGTTCCGGCGCGTCTTCGTCAAGACGTTAGAAGGGGACACCAAGACGGCCGCCAAGATCACCCCTCTACCTCTGACCTTACTATCTTTATCATCATATTTATTGTCGCATGCGTCATCGTCCTCGTCTCCTCGTGCGATTGCCTATGCAAACCTAGCACTGAATATCCTCCTTGTCATGTCTGAAAACGATGAGATCCTGGCGGGTTTGCAAGTAGAAAGCGCTGAAGACGTCCATCTCTGCAGACAGGTGAGTTGTAACTAGTGAGGTATGCGCACGAATCTAACATTGTTCGCAGAGACTGCCTGCACTACCTGCGACAACACCCCCACGATCCCCATTGTGTGCTCTTTTGGATTGTTGTATTCTATGGCTACGCCATAACCTACATAAGAAGCTTGAAGCAAACTCTTACATGTAAGTGAAGGTGCACACCTTCAATGACTGTGTAGTCGGCGACTTACCATGTTTTTTGTGTAGAACATGTATCAGAGCATGTACAAGAGTGATATGGTACCTCCAGCGCGAACATGTCCGTCTAGGTGAGCTGTAGAATCTTCATACCGGAGTACATTTGGCTGAGGCACCTGCAGAGTACCATTGGCAGGAATTGTGGCGCTCCCTCACCAATCTCCTCGACTTCCTGGCGAACAAGTTTGACAACCTGATCACCACCGGCGGTGTCGAGCAGCTCTCCCACGAAGTAAGTCCTGTCTTGCGCGCTCGTAGAGTGCGTGCTAATTAGAGAGTAGACACTGCTGCTCCTAGACCTTGCACTTTGCCGTAATGAGCTACTACTCCCTAGCCCGAAAGCGATCCATGAACTGGTTGTAAGTGCCTGCTTGTCTTGAGATGAAGTGAGACTCAGCTGCTCGTTTTGTGCCAGTACCAAATCGTCTGCTCTGCGGAGGTATTCCGAAAGCAGAAAGCGATGTTGGATCAGCTGAGCAATCCACACACCTCTTCGAGAAGAGTGTCGAGCGCTCTGTCAAACGCCTCGCAAGCTCTCGCCAATATCACCGCTGTCGCCGAACAGTACGAAGCGAAGCTGCGGGAGGCCGCTATCCGCTCAGCGAACCAAGGCATCCGGGCGATAGCCAAGGAAATCGAGAAGGACGGACTGAACTACGGACAAGATTTGCACGGTGCAGATGACCCTCCGTGAGTGTGCCAAGCGAAGCGCGAGGGTGAGCTGGGGCTAACGAACCGCGGCGGTCCCCACAGGAAGGAAGCGGAGGATGTCATAGGTTTCATACGATTTGCGTACACGGACGGGATGGCGCTCATGCCATGACACCACGGGGACAACGCGGGCCACGATGCACCAGGCAGGCGAGGGCAGGCGGCGGAAAAATACGTGGTGGTCCAGGGCGGAACGCGGGGAGGCGAGGTCGCTCCATCTAGGCCGTTCAATCAAATCAGATTCGCCGAGGTAAAGAACTTTGTGATATGATACGTCTCGGCTTCCCCCTCGACCACACTTGTGAGCCCACACAGGGCGATAAGACGGCTTCTGCGGGCACGACCGGCGCAAGAGTTGACCATAGAATATCCTGCTGGACATGACAGGGCGGAAGCAACGAGCACACCGCCGCACGTGGTGGCCCCCACAGGGCGGGTGGACCAGATCAGGCAGCGAGATGGCGGGCTCGAGGCCCGGAACGGGAGAGCGACGGAACCGAGCCAAGAAGAAAAACTTTTTCGCAACGCGGAACAGGCCTTGTTCCAGCGCCCGCCCGCAACTTCCGTTTGCCTTTGGCCCTCTCCCGCGCTATGACTGAGTCCGGAATAGCGCGGACCGACGTTTTTACCACCACCTCGATGCTCCGTATTATTTGGGCGAATTTTCGAACGACGGTGGGAGCAGCGCGCGCAGCGGGCGGGGCGGGGAAGCGATGCGGCCCTGAGCGAAGCGGCGGAGCGCCGGCGGGGAGGGAGGTATGTAAAAAGTGAGGAGGACGGGTTGGACGATAAGCACCTGCTTTTACTCGGTGAATGGCTCGGTGAACACCACTCATACAAAATGCCTCCCTCGCTTGCCCCTCGCCCCCGCCCTCCCCTCCGCCGCCGGTCGACCCCCCACCCCCCTCCTGGGTACTCCCAGAGTGACCCTCTCCGACTCATGGCGATCCTCCGCAACGCTTCCCTCCTCGCGCGACACCTCCCCCGCTATGTGCGCCCCGTATGCGCCCTGAGGGCTCCAGCGCGCGCCCTCGCGACCGCCAAGGCGCCATCCTCCCTCTTCTCCCCGCTGGACACCTTCCCCGACCGTCACATTGGGCCCGATGACAAGGAAATGGCGGGCATGCTCTCGAAGCTTGGTTACGACTCCATGGACGCGTTTGTCGCGGACGCGGTCCCCGACAAGATCCGCTCTTCCACCACGGCCGTCAGCGATGAGTCCATCCCCGCGCTCAGCGAGTCTGAGCTCTTCCGCAGGGCGAAGGAGCTCGGCCGGGCGAACAAGCCGTTCAAGAGTTATATTGGCATGGGATACCACAATGCGGTTGTCCCCCCTGTCGTTCTGCGAAACGTACGTCCATTCGGGTTGTGTAACATGAGCATGCATGTGCTGAAGGCACGTCGTGTTAGGTCATGGAGAGCCCTGCGTGGTACACCCCGTACACCCCTTATCAGCCAGAGATTGCCCAAGGTATGCGCGCGCCTTCACTACGTGCATGCATTGCTGAGTCGAGCACCCACAGGCCGTCTGGAGTCTCTGGTCAACTTCCAGACGATGGTGATGTCGCTGACGTCGATGGACATCGCAAACGCGTCATTGTTGGATGAAGCCACCGCGGCCGCCGAGGGCATGGTCATGGCATTCACCGGGTCACACGGCAAGAAGCGCACTTTCTTCGCAGACCGCGGCGTCTCTCCCCAGACCATCGCCGTCCTCCGCACTCGCGCGAAGGGCTTTGGCATCAACCTGGTCGTCGGCGATGCCCTCCAGGACCTCGGGGACAAGAAGGACCTCTGTGGAGTGCTCGTCCAGTACCCGGATGTCAACGGCGAGGTCAAGGATTTCTCTGGTCTGGCCGAATCCGTTCACGCGTCGGGAGCGCTGCTCGTATGCGCGACCGACCTCTTGGCTCTCACGATGCTTAAGCCACCTGGCGAATGGGGCGCGGACATTGTCCTCGGTAACTCCGCCCGGTTCGGTGTGCCTGCTGGCTACGGCGGCCCACACGCAGCGTTCTTCGCTTGCACGGACAAACTGAAGCGCAAGATGCCAGGTCGTCTCATTGGTCTTAGTCGCGATGCCAGGGCAACCCTGCCTACCGTTTGGCGCTTCAGAGTGAGTCGTAGCCCATCACGTCATGTGTTTGTTTAATGTCTCTTGCAGCCCGCGAACAGCACATCCGTCGCGAGAAGGCGACGAGCAACATCTGCACTAGCCAGGCGCTCCTCGCCAACATGGCTGCGATGTATGCCGTCTACCACGGCCCGGTCAATTTGCAGAGGATCGCCCAGAAGGTCCACGGTCTCACCCAGGTTGTCCGCACCGCCGTCGAAGGATTCGGCTACAAGTCCGTCAACGCGCAGTTCTTCGACACTCTGACCATCGATGTCAGTGGTGTAGCTAGCAGCGCAGATGCTGTTCACGAGGCCGCTGTGAAGTCCGGTATCAACTTGCGTAAGATCGACGACAGCACGTTGGTCTCACGCTCGACGAAAGCGTTGCTGTCGAAGATGTTGTAGCCCTCACCAACGTCTTCGCCTCCGCTGCATCTAAGCCCACTCTTTCTATTGCCGACCTCGCCGCTCCGGAAAGCCTTGCAATTCCTGAGGCTCTCCGCCGCACGTCAAAGTTCCTTCCCCACCCGGTGTTCAACACTCACCATTCTGAGACGGAGATGATGCGCTACATCTACCACTTGCAGTCGAAGGATCTCGGTCTTGTCCACGCCATGATCCCGTTGGGCAGCTGTACCATGAAGCTCAACAGCACTAGCAGTATGATGCCCGTGACGTTCCCCGAGTTCTCGGCTGTCCACCCTTTCGCTCCCAAGGATCAGGTCAAGGGATACTTGGAGATGATCAAGGCAGATATCGTTCTTCTTCAATACATACTGCTCACGTATTATATCACAGGAGCTCGAGGACGACCTATGCAAGATCACTGGCTTTGCTGGCTGCTCGCTCCAGCCTAACTCTGGTGCGGCTGGCGAGTATGCTGGCTTGTCGGTCATCAAAGCGTACCACGAATCCCGCGGGAGGCCCACAGGGATATCTGTCTCATTCCTGTCAGCGCGCACGGCACGAACCCTGCTGTAAGTGATTCATTCCCGACATCGAATCTGGCGCTCATCTGTTTCTAGTCGGCAGTCATGGCTGGTCTCAAGGTCGTCGCCATCAAGACTCACAACGATGGCAACCTTGACCTCGAGGACCTCCGCGAGAAGGCCGAGAAGCACAAGGACAACTTGGCTGCTTTCATGGTGAGTTATGCGAGATAAATTTGTCAAGCGTCTTTACCAACACAGGACTCAGATCACCTATCCTTCAACCTTCGGAGTCTTCGAGCATGGCGTGCAAGACGCATGCAAGATCATACACGATAACGGCGGACAAGTCTACCTCGACGGTGCCAACCTCAACGCGCAGGTCGGCTTGACGAACCCTGCCATCTGCGGTGGTGACGTCTGCCACATGAACCTGCACAAGACATTCGCCATCCCGCACGGCGGAGGAGGCCCCGGCGTCGGGTAAGTGCTAGTTTTCAAATGTCTGTTCACCAAGCTCATATTTCGGTGTCAGCCCTATTTGCGTCGCGGAGCACCTCGCTTCCTTCCTTCCCTCCCATCCCCTCATCGCCACTGGTGGACAAAAGGCCATCGACGCCGTCGCCGCGGCTCCCTTCGGCAGCGCTTCCATTCTCCTCATTTCCTGGGCGTACATCAAGATGCTTGGTGGCACCGGTCTCGCCGACTCCTCCAAGGCCGCGCTCCTCAATGCCAACTACATGGCCCACCGTCTCAAGGGGCATTATACCCTTCGCTACAAGAACGGCAAGGGCCGCGTCGCCCACGAGCTCCTTATTGATCTCGCTGAGTTCGACAAGGCTGCTGGGTTGAAGGTCATGGACTTCGCGAAGAGGCTGCAAGACTACGGCTTCCATCCTCCCACATGCTCGTGGCCCATCTCTACGTGCATGCTCATCGAGCCCACCGAGTCTGAAACTCTTGAGGAGGTTGACAGGTACGTGTAAACAAGCCTACTGAATCAGGAGTGCTCACATCCTCTGTAGGTTCTGCGATGCTATGATTCAGATCCGCAAGGAGGCGGAGACATCATCACCGGGAAACAGCCCAAAGACAACAATTTACTGAAGAATGCTCCTCATCCACTATCCGTCATCACCTGGCTGAGTCCGAGTGGAACCGTCCCTACTCTCGTGAAACCGCAGCCTACCCTATGCCCTGGCTCCGCGAGAGGAAGTTCTGGCCCACTGTTTCTCGCATCGACGATGCTTACGGCGATACAAACCTCATCGTGAGTAAACCCGTCTTATGTATTGAACGCGGTACTCATTCGTCTCGGTCTAGTGTGACTGCCCCTCCGTAGAAGAGACTGCTTCCCCTAGACTTTGGACTGACAGGACACACCAACACCGGGCCCCTACTCTACTAGACGGCCCTTCTGGCCTGCGTACTTCAACGTCACGCACATCTGTACTATACCTCACGCCATCCTACGTAGTTGATAGATCACGATATGATATACGGTGTACGCACGACAGCATTTATCTCCTCCACTATCTAGGGATGTCGCAAATCGTCGGGCAGCGAATAATACAGCTTTGGAAGAAACCGCTTGATCCGTGACCGCACTTCGACCCCCGCCCGTCCTTCGCCGCGAACTTGAGCAAAATGCGCACCGACTCCATGTCTGGCACCACGCCGTCCTCGCGCCCGACCATCTCCAGGCAGAGCACCTTCATCGCCTCGTCGAGCCGCCCCAGCCGGCAGAGGCACTCGAGGAACGTATTCCAGTTCCGGACGTTCATCGGGAAGCCCGTGTCCGCAAGCGCGGTGTAGATGCGCACCGCGGCGTCGTACGCCTCCGCGTACGCGCACGCGTCCAGCACCACGCTCACCGTCGTGCTCGAGAACTGGCCGGCGGCGAACATGCGCTCCCAGACGCGGAGCGCGTCGGCGAAGCGGCCCGCGCGCTGGTACGTGTCCATGAGCTGGTTCCAGAGCGGGACGTCGGGCGTGAAGCCGGCGGCGATCGTGAGCTGGTTGTGGACGCGCTGGATCGCCTTCGCGACCGCGTCGCGGGACGCGGTCGCGTCTGGGTCGTCGGTCTTGGGGAGGCCGGCGGCGAGGAGGGCGAGCTGGCGGAGGATGATGGTGTAGGCTTTGCTAGCGAGGGCGAATCCGGCCTTCTGCATGTCCATCACGATCTCGAAGTATTGAGGAGGGGAGGGGATGCCTCGGGGCCACGTTTTGAGACTACAGAACGCGGACAGGACGGCGAGGTAGCCGGCTTCGTGCAGAACGGGTGGGTCACCGATGACCTTGGGGCGCCCCAGGGCGCGATACATGTCGAGTGCTTCCGTAGGAGTCGCGCTTAGCCGCATGAGGATGATGATGAGACTCGTGGTCGTCTCCGGGTCCGAACGGATGTCGAAGAGACGCATGTCCTCGGCGATGGCAAGTGAGGTCCCGAGCGTCGCCTGACTCTCGCTTGATGCGAATCCTCGGAGTAGTAGCTGGTACGTTCTGGCGGTGGGAACTTTAGAAGCTGGAGGAGGGGGGGCGCCTTCAGAAGATGAGACCTGGCGGAGATCGGTGATGTAGTCATTGTATAGCCCAATAGCCTGCTCAACAGTCTCCTTGGATGGCTTGCGGAGCCCGCTAGAAAGGAGTGCCTGGATGACGATTTGTAGTGTTTGTGGAGTGGGGGCAACGCCGCGGGAGACTTCGTCGGTGTAGAATTTGACTACCTCCTTCGAGGGAGTGGGTCCCTTCCCGAGGAATTCCAGGACTTTGAATGTTGAACGAATGTTACTGGGAAGCGAGAGAACCTGGCGCCAGTGCTTCAACGAACGGACGGAAGGTTTATCGCCCAAAAGTGCCAGCAATACATCCTCCGTGGGCAGCAATCCGAGCTGTTTGAATCGCAAAAGGGTGCGCGAGGCCTTCTGAAAATCTCCTTGGTTCGCAACAAGCCGCAATACGTCATGAACCCGTTCGATGGGGGCTTCTTCCACGTTCTCGAGCATAGTGATGAGGTACTCGCAGTAGACATCCCGCCAATGTCCCGTTGGCGGGCCTCGGTGTACCGGTCTAAGATAAGAGTGGCCGTGTCGTTGTCATAGGATATGCCGTACGCCTTCATGATCCTGATGACGTGCTTCATGTACTCGGGAGAAGGAAGGCCGCCGTTCCGTGGAAGAGGTTGAAGGGAAGTCGCAATGATATTTGCGCTGGTGGCCGCGTCAATAACCAAGCCCGCCTCCTTCACCGCCTTAAAACAGTTCGTCATGAACTGTTCTTCTTTACGCTCGGCTGCCCAGAGAAGGAGTGTTCGCCATCGAGGGAGCATATGGCCGGCGTCGATGTAGTCGAGGCTACCTACGGCGGAGAGCCATGCGATCGCGAAGCTTCCTTTGCCTTGAGACTGGATGAGAGCAAAGACCGTGTCTGCGTACGCGGGTGGGTCCATGCTCGACAGTCCCGCCGCCATCCGGATCGCATGCTTGACCAGGGATTGGTCTTCAGGGAAACGGGAAGACGAAGACGCAAGATGCGCGAGGGCATCTTGGAGCATAAGCTTGGTGCCTTCCTCCACATGTTGAAGTTGATACTTTGGGATCTTGGCTACACAGCGCTGGAGGTTCGCAAATGTCTTCTGGGGAGACGTGGTACGTCGACAAACCACATCGTGGAAGCTGGCTACCACCGTCGACAGTGTATGCGTGGCGAGGGTATCGTTGGAAGGTGGGGAAGAGGGTGTCTCGCCATTAAAAGGGGCTTTCGCTGAGATTCCGCTTGCCCGGATGGGGGTGCGCAGACGGGAAGGAGTGCGTAGTTGCGCGAGGTGTCTGCCTTCAGCAAGCGTTCTCCTCAGGAACATTCATGCGGCGCTGCAGAAAGTCAGACAGATTCCGGAGTCGCTCAGATGATAAAAGCGCACCTTTAGCCACCACCCTCGCATATAGAGCTAGACCGAAGGACCTACGAACGCACGAAGCGCGGATGGCAAGAGAAAGAGAGCAATAAGCCCAAGGACGGATGGGCGCCTCACTGCACAGACGACAGTCACGACACGCGCGGGTCTCGTGATCATTTGAGTACACGTCGACTTTGAGTCGTGAGCCGCGTTCCTGCCAGCTGCACCTTTCCCTCACCCTCCAAAACCTTCCTTGTACCAACTCTCATTCCATACCCCACCATGTCTGACAAGCTCAAGGAGTTCGTTGACATTCCCCAGCAGTTCGTTCGTGAGGGCAACCAGGTGTGTTTTCCGACTGCAAAGTCCGAAATGGCTCCTAAGCTGCATTTTCCAGTTCCTCATCAGGTGTACCAAGCCTTCGCACAAAGGTTCGTGTCGGGCGTAACCCTTTGCAACTTCTTGGATGTCTGACTGCTGTAAGCAGAGTTTATTCAGATCTCGAAGGCGGTCGCGATTGGTTTCGCGGTCATGGGCTTCATCGGCTACTTCGTCAAGCTTATCCACATCCCGATGTACGTGTCTGTAGCAGCGGGTTTTGGGTCTCATGCTGACTTCATGGGTATGAAGCAACAACATCTTAGTGTGCGTATTCAAACCATCATCGTCGTTCAATATATACTCAATAAATATCGTTGCAGAGGCGGCGCATGAGCTGCTCGCGGGTCGTTACATTCGTACTGTACATTCGGGGACTATTTATCTCTTCGTGCGCTTCCTCTCATTCCCACACATCATCTCGGCGTGCCTCAAGTCCGTGTCATCAAGACGCCTCGAAGTGCTCTGGCGACTACTCGGGTCATAGACGAGGACGATGCCGCCCATGAGGCTGGGTCCCAGACTTTTCCCAACGCCGCTGGAGATGAAACGCGTTTGGAATCCGTGCTGACCCCGGGGCGGGGTGTGGATTGAATGACGTTTCGTGGCCGGGTTAATCGTCTCGGGGGTGATTTGTGGTTGTGATCACAACACAGTGCGGTTCGTCTTCACACGATGGAGTCCGTTGGGTGCGTGGCGATGGGCGTGTCGACTCCATGGAAATCACTGAAATGCGGGAGTTGGACCTGTTCGTCGGGTGGGAGTCAACGGACGCTCTTCCGACGCTGTCCTGATCCCAACGAGGCTTCTGCCTCCACGTCGAGATCGAGCACCAGCCAGAGCTACTTCCTGCGAGCCGCGAACGAAAGGATGAGCACTGTGTGCAGACCGGGCAGCAGCACCGCCGACTACCCACCTTCTGGAAACCGAAGATGAGGAAGGCAGCGAGCGGAAGAGCGGCTTGTACCATGTAGCCGAGCACATTCATATCTTGTTTGAGGTCCATGATGCATGCCCTAAACGAACCACCTCAGTCGCCGGCGGGAGCAAAATGTGAACAGCTGACTTACGCTAAGGTCAAAGCAGCATATATGAGGAAGAGAGCAGCCTGTCAATGCAAAGTGAGAACCAGCAATGAAGCGTAGAGTATGTTCGGCTCACCCTGCACCACGGGGACAAGGACGGCTTGCGACGATCTGCCAACGGGAAATCCTTGATGATGTTCGCGCGGCCACGATACCATGCAGCAATCGTCGCCACTAGACGGAACCCATTAGCATGAGAATACTGGCAGTAGAAATAAAACATACACTCGAAACCGATGATGAGAGCAGGAAGACGCTACAAAATACAGGCACGGCAAACATCTCACTGTTGAGGAATGAGCTACCGCGATCGCTGGAGTAGGTCACTGCTTACAAGTTGCCATGCAGGAGACCGCAATAGAGCCCGTTCTTAACACCGACCCACTCAGGGTGCGTGCTTCCATACTACGAAGATGTCAGCTAATTACAGCCGGACGAAGATAAAAGTACGCACATATGCGGCGGAGACCGAGAATGCAATGAACGTGAGGTATGGGGGGACGATGATCTGATGATGTGTGAGGAGGAGGCCGTTGAGAACGAGAGGTCGACCTACAGCAACGAGTTTGATCCATCGAGGGACGCTCGCCAGTCGGGCCTCCTTCCATGGCTCAAGGAACGTTGTCCAGATCTATCGAGCTCGTCAGCTCGCGCACCAATATCACAGGTAGCAATGTACAGACCTGGAGCACCACGGCCAAACCAGCGACAACCGCCCTACATGCGCACGGCTTAAGTATCTAGTGAGCAGTGATCAAGGATGGCTGCCATACATGGTGGGGCCGCGTAGTTCATGGAAGCTTGGGCCAGACATAACGCATAGGGAGGATGTCGTTGGACTTCGTGCCCGCCATAAATACTGCGCGGATTTTGAGTACGAAGGTGCTTGGGAACGGTGTCCGAGGACTCACATCAAGCAGTAAATGACAGAATAAATTATCCAGGTAACACAAAAGTTGATGATCGTCGGGTGCCTTTTCGCAGTCTTGGAGAACAGGAAGGTGACGACGAGGAGGGGCAGCCCAATGTGGCCGCCGACGAGGTGAATGGCGAAAAAGACGGAGGTGAGGTCCGTCAAGTCCGGCGGCGGCGATTCTGCGACGAGACCGTAACTGGTTAGCTCGAAGGGGAACCAGCGAGCGGCCACTAGCTCCCTGGCCAGGGGGAATGGGAACGCACCTTTGAGAGCCGCAAGCACGGCCCGCGAGGAAACGGCGGTGTCCATGGCCGGTAAACGAAAGAGAAGGAGCTCAGACCCGTTGGAGATCAACTCCAGCGGTGCTGGACCCCCGCGCTGGGAAGGCAGTCCAGGAGCGGGCGTGCGAGAGAGCGGTGGGCCAGCAGCTGCCAGTGCTGCTGGGTCGGGAGCAGGGGCGGCTCACTGGGCGGGCAGGAGAGCGGGGTGGAGAGCGGCAGGCTTCATGAGGCCCGCGGGGGCGAAGATGAGAAGCCGAGAAGCGCGATGGGACTCGCCCCGGCCTGATAACTCTGATTCCTTCCCCGACGATCACAGCCCGCGGGCGGCGGGGCGATGGACCGCCCACGTCCAATTAAGAACTGCATCATCGAGGAGCCCGACGCCCGGTCATCCACACTGCCCGCCTGTCCGCGATGGCAGCCCCGGTCCTGGCCAGCGGCTCCGCCACCAGAGCCAGGGATCTGGTCCCACAGATAGCCTTCCGTCCTCACTTATGGCCAGGGCCGTAACCGCGTGGGGGCTCCTTGATAGGACGCTCAGTGCGCAGTGCCAAGGCTCCGGGATTGCAAACAATCTGACCGAAGGCGATACAGCATTAGTTGTGTGATTATAATCTCCCTATCTAAGTATGACGGTCCCACAGACTTCACCGAACCGGCGCTCCGCCGACCAAGAGCAGCCCAAACCGAGGAGGCGTTTTGACCAGTTCCAGCGCAGGCTCGAAACGCTGCTCGACAGAGGGCGTGCCCAGCAGAAGCAAAGCGGACGCCTTGCCCGTCTTGTTTGTCGTCGTCCGCTCGCCCTCACCCACGTGCGTCGGCAGCAGCTCAGACAGCAGGATTTGCGTCTTCGCCAGGTATTCCTGAACAGAGCTCTCGAGTCGCCTAAAGACCCTTCCGCGATCTGGACCATCAGATGTCAATAGCTGACGGCAACAGCTCGCAAACCGCACGAGCTCACTTCAGTCTGACGAGAAATTCGTGACGCGATCTCTTCGGAACTTTTCGCCCCATCAAGCCCCCATAGACCACTCAGCGCCCGGAGGAATACCAAATCCCACAACTGTTGCGCGGCACCGGAACCTGATGTGTACTCCAACCGTCCGAGAAGAAGGTCGATGAAACATCCAAGAGTCGTGCTGGCTTGGAATCGCCGCTGAGTGTTGTCCCGGGATACACCAAGATGTGCATCTCTGCTGCCAAGGACAGCAGAGCTTGAGTCAGGTAAGGGGATGGTCGACTGGTCGAACTGTCATCGCCTAAGTAGGAGTTAGTACACCCGAGTCATCAGAGATGGCAGAGGCCTACCTTTGGTATCGATGGTATCGAATTTCCCTGGGTATACCGCGCTGTTCTCCACGGCATCGAGAATCTGCATGACAGTGGCCTCTGCCATCGTTGCAACAGGGATGTATGCAAAGCAGTCAACCGCGCCTGGAGCACTGCACAAATATTGAGGTGGTGTGAACGAAGGATTGAGAGAAGGACAAACATTCCGCAGCGGACGAACTACACCCTGTCCTTGAGAAAAACTCAGAGGGTCCTCCAAGTTCTTGACAGATCCTCGCGAGAAATATAGCATGTTTGCAAGACGAATCTGTCGCAGGAAAGTAAGTTTGAGAGTCTCGTCCTTCAAATGTGGAACTATCGCGCACCGTCCACTTCCGCATTTGCATCCAGCATACGGCAGACGCTTTCCGAAAGCGCTTCTGCATCTTGTTGGTACGATGTTGACAACCGCGAGATCAAGTCACTGTCGCACAGCGAATTAGAACCAGCATCCAAGAATACAGAGAAGAACATACTGATCAGCCTGATCCGACTGCAGCATGAAGGACAAGTCCTCGTGCAGAGCAGTGGCATGACTCTCTAACGTTGTCAAGGCCGAATGGAGCAGCGGCGTCCGTCCGCTAAGTTGCTGCTGCAAGGAGGACTTGTATTTCGCGAACTGGGCGGAGGCGGATGCACCGTGGGCACTTGTTTGCAGCACAGAAGGGATGCTTGGGGCTTGGAAAAGGTGCTCAACGGGTTGAGTGTCTGGGCGTGTTTAGAGGAATGTCTCAATCGCTGTAATAGAGAGCTTACCGAATTGGTGCTCGTCTGCATGTTGATCGAGAGCATCCATGGTATCCTTCACAGAGACCTGGAATGAGCGTTCTATTGACGCTAAAGCCTCCTTCCAAACGGCGGCGGCTTGGTGTTGACTGGTTGAATCGACCATGGTTCGAATTTCAGACCGTTCTGAAGACTCCAGGTCCTCCGCAGCTTTAAGCCAAATCTGCAGGGAAGTACGAACGTCCCAGACTTCGCGGACGGTGTTCAAGCCGCAAACCAGTCTGCCATGACACTTCGCGTATCTTGAAGAGCCTTCTTGAACCAGCTTTCCAGCTTGTCCTCGAGGTGTGGCTGCAGAGCGGATGTTCCAACTGCGGTACCGTCGATGTACGGCTTGAAGGCCCGGATGCTTGGGGGTAACAGAAGGAGGTGGCTCGAGGAGGGAAGTGATGCGAGGAGGATTTGTGTCGAGAGCTGCAGTTCCGGCGGAAGAGACGGCGAACTGTCGGATGACGCTTGGAAGAAGTGCAACGCCTGTTGCATCAAGGAAGGCGACTCCGCACGACCGTAAGAGAAGACCACTCTTGCCGTGGCGATCGTAAGCGCGATAAGACTGAGTACATTTTCTGTCTTCTGCCTGGTTTCCCGCACGACGGACTTGCGATATCGTTGTGCAACCCTGCTAGTCGCTTTCGACGCACCCGGGCAGATGCATGAGAAGTAGAGGCGTTCCGGGTGAGCAGGGTCGCAAGGGTCTTCATACGTTGGGCCAGATAAATTGAGAGAGTCTCCGGAAGCGGTCGGGACTCCAGAACATGGAGCGTGAGTAACGTAGCACAGACTTCCTGCGTCCAAGTTGTTTTCAGTCACAGAATCTCGGCTTGTGCGAGTGATGCGTACCCCCGGACTGCTGCTCGCTTCTCGCAGCGAGAGAGTTGCCCTGTGAGATATCTGGGATCGGAAGGGAGTGATGGAGTCCCATTGGCGTTGCACAAGCGGCATTTGCTCCTGGAGGAAATTGACCCTTGTCATTGGCGCGAATGGAACGACATGTCAACTCACCATGACATCTATACCATACGTCTGCCAGGCCACATCCTCATCCTCTTGAGACAGTGCTCGATGTACCACCCTGGCCAGAAGCAGCAACCAAGCAGCGTTGAGGTAAGCCTTCTTCTCCATGAGCGCCACAGGTGCTCGGGAGCGTCCAGGAGGAGTTTGACGTGGGCAGACAGAGACTGGAGTGCCTGCAATGTTTGTCTGTAACAGCTTCAGATTTTGCAACATACCAAGGAGCATGCGACTCTCACCTTCACCGGTGACGGCCCGCTTGGGGGTCCGTGCGGGATTTATGGAGTGAACAGTCTCTCGCATCCCGTCCAATGCTTGAAGAACATGCTTCGAGGACTTAGCCAACGCCAGAATAGAAGTGGATGCCTCCAAGAGGTCTCGGTACCGTTCCCTGTACTTTCACGTACCCCTGAAAATCCCAGAACACGGAAGAAGACAAACAGACGTACCCGACCATGAGTCGAAGCTCCTCCTGCTTCCCGTCCGCATCCGCTCTACACGATTCAAGTGAATGACCACAACACGTTGAGCCTAGTGTGCTCACCGTAATCTTTGCTGCACTAACTTGACCTCAGAGATGGTGTGGCGAGCAAAGAGCTCATCTGGGTCCATATTTTCCAAGTTGTTGAACAAGTCCAACTTCTGTGTCGATGACGTCGACCGAGAGGACTGTCGAGTTACATTCGGAAGCAGTGTGTTTGCTTTCTTGGTGTTACTCGGATTCCATTTTGGCGGAGGGGCTCAGAAAACAATGTAGCATCTATAGCGCCCGAAGAAGGTGGCGGTTCATGGAGGATGTGCAACGAACGAGAGACGATGGGCAAAGGGAACTGCTGCTACCAGTTAGCGTGGTGTACAGCGCGTATGCCGAGCGTCTGCCTCAGCTTCTACTGATTGCAGGTAGAATCAACATAGCAGGAAGAGGAAGGAAAGTGGACTGGATAACAGGCGCTCTGGACTACCGGATATCTGGACCATTATCTGCTCGTACATACACACGATGGAGATATACTAATAGGTGGATCATGAAGACATTACGAGTGAGAGGCTATTCTACTGGCTCTCTGATGGGTGACCATCTCTTTCTTGCCTCGTCTTTGGAAGAAGACGCTGCGTGGTGCATCCGCGTCGATGGACCGGCTTGAAGGCGCGCGGTACCGTTTGAGGATCTAGGCGGTGCGGGAGAAGCGGAAGCTACTCTCTGGTCTAGTGCTTTGAGGGCCATTGCTCTGAATTAATGACTGTCAGGAAGTGTCCGTTACATCAGCGATAAACTGACCGTCGCCGCTCGGCCTCAGCGCGCGCCCCGCCGGGCACTGGCTATATCCCCCAGATTCGATATCGGCGCCGCCTGTAGGGATCAGATGAAGTTTTGTTGCCACGGTGTAGGCAGTGTTTGATACAAGGTGATGGGCCCACTATTTCAGAATAACGCGTACAGTTATGGAGCATGCGACGCGTGGAGGAAAGGATACGTACTGATGAATGGAGGGAACCAGCTAACGAAAGCGAAAGTTTCGCTCCGATCTCCGTAGGCGGGAATTCCACTCGAACCTCCAATTTTTTTCTTGTAGAATCGGAGCCAGATATAAGAGACCAACCATCCAACTGGATGACAATGAAGGGGACTTGGAAACCGACGATACACATGACAGTAGAAAACGTCACGTATGCCATTGGAAGGGTCTGGGATAAGATGTGAGTAAGAATATGAAGAAAAGGTTGCAACGCACCTTACCCGTGCTTTAAACACCCCATGACTTGAACCTGATGCTCCGGTATAATTTGCGTGAACGCGACTAGGATGCCGACTTGAAGGGCCATTTGCCCATGGTATGCTTGTCCGTACCTAAGACATGTGAACATGGGACGCAACCAAAACAAGATCATTACTCACAGGAATACAGGGAACCCAAGTACCATGTACTCCAGCCAGTTGACCACGAAAGCGATGATATTTGAGACAGTGATTGTGACGACGACGAACTTTGCGGTCTCCACCGCACCCCATAGCCGCTCTAGGTACCTCAGAGAGGGTGGGATCACAAGCATGTGAGAATCAACTACAACGGCTGGTCAGCGGAGCTGTGTAGAAACAAGCAACGGACGTGCCTCGACGATGGATGTCTCAACGAACGCGGAGTCAGGAAGACCCATGGGTAAATATACTCGATCCGGGTAGAAGAACAAGGTATGGCGCGACGAAGGTCTCATTTGCCGAGTAGTAGAGGAAGTAGTAGAGGGCGGTGAAAACCAAGGTTGCGGCGGTGAAGACTCGAGTTGCGAGCGGTGTTGAGGAGATGAACTGTATGGGCGCAAAGGAGAGAACAGCCATGGTGCGCAGCAGGGAGATCTTCAAATGGACATTCGTATCTGTCGGTGGCCAAACAATATGAGAGAGCTGCCCGGTGCAGAGAGTGTGTCGTCGGAAGTCGGAGTAGAGAGTACTTGTACTGACACGGTACTACGCGCGCAGTCAAGCTGGTGTGACAGCTATGGTCGCGCGGCTCGTGACATGTGACGCTGCGCTCTCCATGACTTGAACTGCCACCATCCCTTCCGGGTAATGTCCTCAGACTACGACTTCCGCCCGGGTGGCTCTCTCAAACTCAAGGGTGGGCTTAAGGGTGGTGGTGTTGTGAAGAAGTGAGTAGTCTTGAGTCGTGCATCGGTGATGGACGCCTGTCTCATCCAGGTTCTCAGGAAAAAGAAGTCGAAGTCGAAAGACAAGGCAGAGCCATCAATCCTGACGATGACAGGGTCAAGGCTCTCGAAAGAGCCATAAAGGAAGACGAGTCTATAGTTGACTCTCCGCCGGATAGTGGTCACAACTCCCCTGCTGTCGCGAGCTCCAGTAGCAGTGACAGAAAGACTGCGGCGGAGAAACGTTTTGAGGAAGTGCAGAGAAAGAGGGTACGGAATACATTGACAGTGCTAAAATGTATGCTGACTGGTAATATAGCTTGCGGATAGAGTGTCTAGGCTCGCCACGAAGACCCACAAGGATCGAGTGAACGAGTTCAATTCGAAGCTCGAAGCCCTCAGTGAGCACCACGATATCCCAAAGGTGGGCTAGAGCTTCGTAATCTTTTTCGCTACTTTGCTGATCATTCCTTCAGGTTGGACCGGGATAACACTTGCTGTACTTATGCGGAACGTTTACACATGTATCTCCACTGCGGTTATGCCGACGAGTCTCTCTAGTCCTCACCACGGTCCCTAAAGTGCCATGTGTGATTTTGCCTGTGCATACTGGGACTGAGATGATACCTGGGCTGCTATATATGAGATGTGGGTGCTGTTGAGGCGTGTTTGGTCGATAGATATGACGGACTACATAAGATGGCGGCATTTTAAACGTGACCACCCGCCGCGCCTGTCTGTGCCTCACCACAGCTCTCTTCCGTCCATGCACCTTCCCCGTCCTGTACCTATAGCATGAAGACTCCGGTACAAGAATCCTCTTCTGACAAAAAGGGCCACATGTGTCCTCCCTCCGATGCTGCTCATCCTTCAGACCGCTGGGAATCGTTGTTCGTTTATGGATTCATTTGCAAGTTCACGCAGCTACGCACGAAAGTCGAAGGGTTCCATTCGCCAATGGAGTACGCTTTTCTTTCTATGATATTCAAGGCGATTGACGCGACGTGGGGACATCAACAGCTTTGAAGATGCTTTGCTGTCGCCTGAGCCCAATCTCATCATGACCCAAATCCTTTCGCGGTTTGTGTTAAACCTCCGTCCCGGCACGCGAAATTTGAGGTGAGAATATCTTTACTGTTATGCTGGGCTTGCCGCACAGGCTCAGACGACGTGGCATACGTTGCAGCTCGGACATAATTTCTTCTACAGTGGCGGGGGTCGTTCAGGAGTACCTCAAGACATCAGAGAGGACTGTCTTCTGGGACGACGCGTCGAGGCAAAACTCAGACCCCTTTCAGGACATGCCCAATGGATTCTTTGCGGCCGAGTGGGATTTGAAGGTGTGTCCGCGCTTTTTTTGGTTATGTTCTGCGTGTAGTTCATCGTCACCCCATCCCTTGTTGAACGTTAGCTCAAAGTCTTGCGTCAATTGGTGGAACTACAATTATGCCATAGCCACGAGATCAAAGCCGTCATCGATAGGGCGTGGGGTGTTGTTCACAACAAGCACAAAAAGACAGAAGTCCCCCCGTACCTCCTCCGCCCGGAGACCCTCATAGTCAAGTGCGCTTGCAGTTGGTTCCTTTAGGCCAGGATAGGGAACGCAAACGTTACTGGGTAGTAGATGGTGAGCATTGTTTACCCTCCCTATATTGCCTCTTGGCGAGCGTGTTACGTCCCATGCGGTCAATGGCGGTATTAGCAGAACGACCTTTCTCTCCAATCTACGCCACTGCTACATCCAGCGGTTGGTTGCGTACTGGATGGGCCTGACATCACATCATCCAGATTCTCCTCGTGTTTACCTGTCCACAAATCCTTGGAAGATATCCGCGACATTTCAAACCGTGTCATCTTCGCGAGACGAGTTCATGGCCTTCCTCGAGACAGTGAAAGAAACCGCTTCATCTGAGCCTAAATTTGGCGAACGACGATCGAAACTGGAGATCGCACATTCAGCTTTACTCAAGGCTCTGCAAGAGCGCATAGAGGTCATAGACTCTGAGTTGATGGTAGGTGTCTATTCTCCTGCGACGTATCAGCTATCTCTAATTATTATGTGCCCACAGCGGATTCAACGAGCCCAAAAGAAAATTCAACAGCGCAACCTTCTCATTGCGTCTGCCGAACTCAGAGAGACACGAACTCGACGGAGGACAACACGACCTAACTACGTGTACATGAACAATCCCGAGAGTGATGTGAATTTTTTTCGACGAGATTTTGGATCCACGCTGAGGTCTCACATGTCACAGCTCGAAGCAGATGAATACACGTGCCAACAACCAGACGATGAAGACGAGGAGTACGAAGACACAGCTGGATTCGACGACGAGGTCGGCAAAGCTGCGTCCTCTCGCGGCGCAGATACACGCCGCTCCACGCGAACCAATGGCAACAGAGTTAAGGAGGAGTGGAGTGATTGGAGAGGCGAACGACGTTCGACGCGCCTCGGAGCACCTTCGGACACTGCACTCGACGAACCACCTCCAAAGCGAGCACGGACAGACGAGAGCGCTGCGAGTGGGGACCTTGACAACATTGCTCCTTCCAACGGGAAGAGTGGCAGTGGGCTGAAGATCAAAATCAACGGCGCGGCAGCCGTGAAGACGACCGAGACGGCAGTAGAGGCAATCGCGGGCAAGAAGAAGAGCAAATTCTGGTACTATGCCGTCGAACCTATACCTGGCGCAAAAGCACCTGTAGTCCCAGCTCCCTCCACCAATGCCCGACAATCGGGGGGAGATGCAGTAGACGCGTCGTCCGAAGGCCACAACGGTCACGGTGCTCGGTATCCGTCAACGACCCCGTCTGCCGCGGGATCCAATGCAGAGGAACCCTACGAGAAGAGCATTGGCGTTAGTCTATCACCTGCATCCGAAAGTATGGAGTCGTAACTTTTTATCGTCCCCGCGCGCCGTCTCTCTTATCCGTCTGTCGAGACGTTGTCGTTAAATCGCCTGACTCGGACGCATCTTTCGCACTCACCATGATTTCACAGCTAATCGCCACATATTCCCGTCCTGATGCATGTATAGCCTACACACAGTACTTAATTGTTTTCAATATCTCATGTTGGACCAAGCGATTTTGTGGTATACTTACACGACGGGCAACGGCCCAGCTTCGGAGCCCGAAAACGCGTAGAAAAAGCCTGTCAAAGGTGTCTTTTCTGCCGCCTTTTGTGCGCGTGTGAAAAAGGCAATAAAATGAGCGATTTTTCCGGGTGCTTTACGGGGTGCCGAAAAGGATCGATAAAGAGACCTTTGGTGCCCATTTCAATAACACGCGTTACTTATCACTCGTACTAACTTGTTTGTTACTCACATACTATACACGTTCTATTGCCCTTTAATGTGAATTCTATTGTCTTTGTTCTGAGCACAGTATTCTGTCGGGCCGAAGAATTCACCTAAAACGTCACCTTTCAGGATACTCTACGACACACACAAACTTGACATAAAGTTTCGCCTTTCCCACCCTTTTTCTCCCCTGGAAAAATACCCCCCGAAAATGACAACTTTGACGGGCTTTTTCTACGCGTTTTTGGGCTCCGAAGCTGGGCCGTTGCCCGTCGTGTTAGTAAGGTACCCCAGCACAGACTCGACGACGTCACATGACCTCCCCGTGTCACGCTTAGGCCAGTTTGGCGGGGGAAAGACGCTTAAAATCGAATAACAACTTGGGGATTCCTCGTACGGCCAAAGTGCTTTATACATTGTATGCTAAGAAGAGTGCCTTAGAATATGTATAGAGCAGATTTCGCGAAATGTCCATAGCAGTGGAGTTATAAGCCCAGATGTGTGCTTTGCGTGCGTTTTTGGTCGTCTAAGCGAGGCCCGGCTATCTCGGGCCCAAATTGCGAGCGCGCGCTAGTTGCCCTGCCTGTGCAAGTTGACGCGGTCCCGGGCACGGTGAAGCCGCGCGCAGTAGGGAAAATGAAGCGCAAAGCGAGGGCAATTTCGCGCGCTTAGAACGCCGTGAATGCTCGTGCCTCCAAGAAAGCGAGGAATGACCCTGACTCAGAAAACCATTCGCCGGATCTGGCAAGCATTGAAAGCTTGGGCTGCCGTGACAACTCGCCGGTCTCGCCCCCACCACAACCGCGCATGGTGAGCCCAGCGTCGATATTGGAGATGAGGGACTCCCGCTTACACTTGTGCAAAGATCAGGTCAAGATGCGAACAAACATTCACGGAAATTCGTCAACCCACTTGGCCCGGCACGATTCGGCGCCTCTCCATCTCCTGGAAGCGCCAAGCATGCGCCGATAAGCAGACTTATCCGTAACGAGCACGTGATGAGTCACAGGAATCACACGTCGTCGAGTCTGTGCTGGGGGTACCTTACATGGGCATGTTGCTTGAGCCGACGGGCCAACGCGGGCCGGCCTCATAACCGTCTCGACTAAGCGCCTAAGACAGCTGGAAACTTACTCTCCTCCCCCTCCCCCTCACCCACTTCCGCTTACTTTATGCTCGCGCACCCCTCAAAGAATGCGATCTTCAGCAAACTGTGCTCCTGCCGCTTCTATGGCCACCCCAACGCAAAACGGGCTTCACGGAGCTCTACGACTTCCTTACGCGCCTTGGCCACCACATCCCCCATCAAGCCTACGTCCTCGGACGACGTCGACCTCATAGCATTTTTCGACCAGCCCAACACATCCCAAAAATCAGTCGAACATACAGGTCTTTTTGGCCATCGGGCTCTCACCCATCCACGGTCTTTCATCGCCCTTGCCGACTCTACCCTACACCGAGCCAAACTCCTTGCTGGGAGAATCTTGCGCGCACGTCAGTCGCAGGATGAGCTATTCAAGGTCGTGAAGAACCTCGACAGGCTCAGTGATATGCTTTGCGGTGTTATAGACCTCGCGGAGTTATTGAGGAACGCGCACCCGGATCCTGCGTGGATCCAGAGTGCTGAAGAGGTGTATGAGAAGCTTTGCGAATTCATGAACGTGTTGAATACGGACGTAAACTTGTACGAGGTATGGTGACTCACCGTCAACTCGGTTCATCTCTCGCTTACGTCGTGATCGTAAGGTCCTGCGCGATGTCCTAGCAGACGAACAGCTGGTCAAGTCACTTAGTCCGGAAGCTCACGCAACTGCTATTATATTTTGGCGCGACTTCGAGAAGTCAGGCATCGACCTTCCCCCAGCTCAACGAGAACGCTTTGTGTCGTTGTCTACACAAATTCTGGTTGCCGGCCGGCAATTTCTCAACGAGACGGCTACTCTTAGACCACCGGCTAAAATCAAGTGGTCGGAACTTCAAGGTCTGAAAGATTTGGGTATGGGCGCACGACTGCGTCTGCAAGCACAGGTGACCAAGCGCGACCTCCTTGTATATCCCGGCTCTCTCCAAGCTCAGATGGTTATGCGCTCGGCGCCTGCAGAAGAGCCTAGGAGAAAGGTCTACATCGCGTCGAATTCGAGCACTCAAGACCAAATACGGACATTGGAACATCTTCTCCAGATGCGCGGGGAGCTGGCCCAGCTTGTTGGCAAGAAGAGTTATGCTCACATGACGCTGTCTGACAAAATGGCCAAGAGTCCAGGTAATGTTCTCGTCTACTGATACCTTGACATCACTAACATCCGCGCAGAAAACGTCCAACATTTCTTGGATTCATTACTCGACCACACGCGACCTCACGCAGAGCGTGCAATCCAGACTCTCAGCACTCGGAAACAGCTCCATCTCAATACCGCCCACTTGCCAACCATCCAGGCCTGGGATCGTGACTACTACTGCCCACCCGAGCCCCCTGCCTCTCCAGTCTTCTTGCCGACACTGACTGTCGGAACTGTATTCATGGCCCTGTCTCGCCTCTTTCAAGCTCTGTATGGGGTATCGCTGCGGGTCGCCGACACCCCACCTAGTGAATCGTGGCATCCCGACGTGCGCAAGCTGGAAGTTATTGACGAAGACTCAGGAGTGTTAGGATGGATCTACACGGATCTGATCGCTCGTGTCGGAAAGCCCGGAGGTGCTGCTCACTACACAGTCCGATGTTCGCGCCGGACCGACGATGACGACGAAGATGGAGATTGGGAGGATGCCAGTCCCTCTTCCAAAGCCATCGCCCGAATGTCAGAAGAGTTCGAGAAGGAGAAACGTTTTCGGTTGCCACATCGCAAACACGTCCTTCAACTACCCGTTGTGGTGCTTCTATGTGAATTCACGCCACCCACGCTTGGTTGTGGCCCGACTGTCCTCGAGTGGCATGACGTTCTGACCCTGTTTCACGAAATGGGACACGCGATGCACTGTGAGAATTGATCTCATATTTTGATCGTTATGGATGCTGACTGCTTCGTTAGCCATGATAGGATGTACGGAATACCAGAACGTCTCAGGAACTCGTTGCGCTACCGACTTCGTGGAACTTCCTTCGATTCTCATGGAGCATTTTCTCAACTCGCCTCATGTTCTGTCGTTATTTGACCGCCACGGAACTTCCCCCATCCACGGGTCAAGCGATTATCATGAAGATCCATGTCTGTCTATTGACACTTACACCCAAATCCTCCTTGCCACCCTCGACCAAATCTATCACTCTCCAATCGCAGTCACCCAAGACTTCGATTCCTCCCACCTCCTCGCAGATCTCTTTGAGGCGCGGGGGGTCATTCCCTATGTCCCTGGCACCTCGTGGCAAACCCAGTTCGGGCACTTATTTGGCTATGGGGCAACGTACTACTCGTACCTTTTTGACCGCGCAATCGCCTCGCAGGTCTGGAGGGGGCTTTTTTCTTCTGATCCGCTCAGCCGATCTCTTGGAGAACGATACAAAGACGGTGTTCTACGATACGGTGGCGGCAAGGATCCTTGGACTATGGTAGCATCTTTACTAGACGTACCTGAGCTCGGTGAAGGGGGCGCCTGGGCTATGGCTGAAGTCGGCCGTTGGAAGATTAGAGACGATATATCCTCCGGCAGACGTCTGTAGCTGTGATTACCACCAAATCGTACGCTTCCACTCGCTCGCTCACTGTGAGATTCCACTTGTCCGCAAGTAACTTGCACGAAGACATGGAATAGCAGTGCCGAGATCATTTGTTCTCGCGTTGAAGGCAGTGACGGTCACTCTCTTCTCCAGTGCCATGGGTTTCCTTCTCCAGAACAAGGTCGGTCTTTGCACGCGCTCATCATGGACGATGGCCTGGGAATCGTAAATACAGGAGGAACACGAGCGGCCTATCGACGAGGAGGGTATGCAGCATGCTCATCACCAGGTTTACGAGGAAGGGTCAGCGGGTTCTCTGAGTGCAGGATCCATGGGTAGCGCCGCTGCCATGTAGGTGAGTATTGTTCACCGATCCCTCATCTGGGCGCGATTTCTCACCAAAGAGGAGAAAGGTGTTGAGACAGTTCATCTCCGGCGCCGGCGGATCACAGACCCAGCTGATCAGCCTCGCAATGGCGAGGGCGTCCAAGTTTTTTGACAAGTCGGGCGGAGCAGCTTCCGGCAACAAGCAAGACGCCGTCAATGGTGCTGCTATGACCATCATGAAACTATTAGTGCAGTCCAAGTTCAGCGGCACTTCGGATGGGAGTAACAGTGGTGGACTGGGGAGTCTGATGGGTTTGGTGAGTCATGGTTCCTTTCGGACATCCGTTCCAAGTTTACGCAAGTTATGAAGGCGGCCAAGTTCATGTGATAAGGATGAAGATGGTCGGTCACTGCCTACGACGAGTTGCTTATCTACGTAGATATCTCCAGTTGATGTCACTCGAGCACTTGTTACTTGGAAGGTAATTATTGCGCGAAAGATAGGCACGTTGAAGGCGGCAGAGTAGGTGCATTTCAGGCTCGCTCAGCAGAAGTCGAAGATATCACCGGCGCGGGCCCACTCTCCCGGATTCTCGATCCGTTGGTGCATCAAGGAGAGCCGCGCTCGACGGCGAGCCTGGTAAGTATGACTATCGCCTAGGCGGTCGTATAGTCATAAAACTATCATCATGCTCACGGCGAACAGTGGGAAAACAGGGTAATAACTTAAAAGTCGGAACTTACAACGTTCTCAATGTCCTAGCTAGATCGGCTTGATACTCGGCTTACTCGACCGGTACCACAACCTGACTTTGTCAAGAATGAGTATGGCGGAAGCCTCGATGTTATGAGGCCGATTGGAAATAACGCTCCCTGCACGAGCTTGAGCCTTTTACGGTTCAGCCACGCATCGGGCTTCTTCCTGGTGATATTCCGCGACACGGAGAGTCAGAAAATTGTCGCAAGTCGGCACGCGAACCCGCTGGATTCCGCTGGAAGACTTCGGCGGCCACTCTCATCTCCCTGAGCACGCATTGGTCCGGCAGGCACGCATACGTTCGGGTCTACTCGCTTCGTGTACATCTACTTATCCGATACCCCTGCCACAAGTTGCTTCCCCCTATCTCGCGCTCTTGATCCCTTCGCCGTTGTCTCGCAACTAGTATCTCGTTATCATGTATGGATCTCACCAATGCGCAATACAACGTGTCGTTGTGCCTACTTAGGTGGTTTAGGAGACGTGCAGCACGAATTCGAGACTTCACACGTGCCATGGACTGAACCAGTCGAGGCGACGAGTTCCATGAACTATGATTCTAAGGAGTGCCAGGTCTCCAGGATCGATAGAGATTAATACCATTTGAGCACCCCTGTCGTGTGTAAACGTGCAGTGGGCCCAAGTAGTTGATCGAACAACAGAACTACTCAACCCCGGCCTGAGACGAGGCGGGAATGAAGGGGCAGCAGGGACCACAGAAAAATGGCTGGGGCCGGGGCTGCTGAGTCGCTCTCTGCGCGCGCTTACTTCATGTAAGATTTCCTGTCAAAACTGCATCACCAGCATGAAGCTTCATCGCAACTCTATCATAGCCACTATCGTTCAAGGGCCAATCCACCGTAACAAATCGTATTCCTGTGCCCTGACTAGATCTTATACAAACATCGCTCGGAATGGTCCTCGTACTTTCCCCGTGAGCATGATTCGGCCGTACTTGCCGAAGAAAGCGGTCAGGAATGATCGCTATGGGAAACGTACACGACTCACAATATTCACTTGACGCTGAGGCGCTAGTACCGGAATTGATTGTACGTCCTCGTCTTCGCAATCTTCATGATCTCCAGAGCGGCGTGGTTGATAGCCTTCTGCATTTCACTTATGCCAATGCGGCACGCGACACAAAGGTCATAGGCCTCGTTGCAGGCGAAGAAGCGGATGTCCTCTGGGCTAGGTCGGGTATCCCATTCAACCTTGGACGAGGCCTAGTGCAGAGTGAGTGAATCATCACTACTAGACATACAATCGTCGACTCACTCGAACTGCGGCGGCGGCCCCAAACGCATAGATGTTGTATCCCACGTTCCCCCCATAGATCGAGTTATAGATTGTTTGGTAAGCGGCCACATCAACCGACGGGTTATCGTACTTGACCTGAATTAATGTCAGTCACGTTGTCGACGTAAGCAGAGGAAGTCTTACCTTGTGGTTATATAAGTATGCCTTGGCGAGCTGGTTGCGTACGCGTCGGGTTATTTCGTCGGCGCTGTCCTCGTCCATCATGCTCAGGGTGCGGGGAAAGTGGGTGTGACAGGTACGCATGACCTCAAAGCAATGCGCCACCATCTGGTCCAAAATCGGAGCGTGACGGCTCACAGGCATGTAGGACCGAATTTCCTTCATATCCACTGCCAATTGGAACGCCGCGCAATGGACATACTCCGCCACTTTATCGTTCATCATGGTAAATGCATCACTGAGGAGATTATGCCATTCGTTCTGGAATTTATGCAGGTCTTCGGCGGGCCCTTTATCGATGACGAGGAAGAGTTGGAAGTCGCTGTCGTTGAGTTTTCTCAAAAGTTCAGAAACAGGAAGAGGAGTGTGTGGAGCAGCCATGGCCGTCGAGAGCGGGGGGTGAAGGGGGATGAGGTGGAGGAGGGCCCATTCGCCCAAGTTTTGAGACATGGAGCTTTGTCGCAAACATGACCACACACAACGCTTCTGCGCCCTTGTATATTGTTTCCCATCTTCTGTATTGTTCTTGAGCTCCGGAACTTTTACAGCGCGAGCAACAACATCAGCGGAAAATCTTGAACTTTGTGCTACGGGCCCCAGCACGAAGAAGGCCTAGAAGTCTCGTAGTCATATAATCAGATCGGAACCTAAGCGTGCCAGTCAGCGTAGTGAATACTAATGGGACAAAAATCTCCCGAGAGATGAGAGATTACTCTTGAGCGAGAGAGACGGCTGACGTCTCAACACGTCTATGGTTCCGACCCAGAAGCCACAATCTGAGCATCCCAAGCAAGTGGTGGCATGTTCCATGTGGTACCCTTCATGATGACTGGTTTCGATATGTGGGTCCATGGGAACGCTCACCGCATTCGAAGTTGTTCGCCTTTGTTCTATTGTTGGGACCGTTTGAGTCTTTGGATATCATGGGCGTTAGAGACACAAAGCAGATCAAAGAAGCCACACATACATGTTCTAATTTGTGAAGGCATGAGAACGGGGCGCGCTGCATGGGGCGAAACATGGGGGTATAGACGACAATCCCAAGACGGGGCGCTGGCGAACTTGAGTGTAAGACACGCGGACTCACGCGATCGACAAGCTGTGGCTGAGGATAGGACGGGCGGGGCCAATCTTGGGGCTGGTGGTAGAGGAGAAGGCCTGATCCAGATACGCCAAGACGGAAGGGGAGCGACGCCTCGACGGATGGAATAATAGCGGAGATACTTGGCGTTACAGATGCACGAGCAGCGCATGCAGCCCTGCCACACCGGCACTGGCGTCGCGCCTTGGTCGGGGGACCTTCAGAGGGGACGCGGCGTATGTGGAAGGTCTGCCTAGGGGAGACTAGTAGGGACGCGGCGAGTTTGCGCCTGGTTTCGAGAACGTGTGTGAAGTCGCGAGCCCGTCAAGTTGCTCCCTGTTGATCGCAGCATGAGCGAATTACAAACGCGCTTGACGTCAACGACTACCTAGCTTTCATAAGAACTGCCAGACTCACCCAGCTGTCAACCGAGGTTCCGAGAGTGAGCAAGAGCGTCGAAGAAACAGATCGAGCGCCGAAAATATGGGACTTAGTGGATAATAGAGCTATTAAACACGAATTGAATGGAATGGGGCTCCATCACCTGTAGATCGTAGAAAGCAGAGACGAATCCGATTGTCGATCGCGGACATTCAGGCGATACATTTCACGGCTTTGTGATTTGCACCAAATCGTACGCTTCTGCTCGCTCGGTCACTGTGGAATCTCAAGTAACTGCACGAAGACATTGAATAGCAGTGCCGAGATCGCTTGTTAATAAGTAGACGTCACTTACAAATCCGAGACGCTTCTGTACACTTGGACACGTTGAGATACACTCCTTCATACCAATAGAGTGGCCTCAAATGATGAGGACGATGATGTATATATGACATAACGATACATATTACTTGAGATGCGGCAATGTACAGGACAAGAATAGGTATACAGAGCCTGATAGCAAGGAAAGCGGAGGACAGCGAATAAGATAGCAATATATCAAGAGGCGCGAGGAGCATAGCATGTGGCGGAATCACGAGGTTGAGGGTATGGGAGCTATCGTACCAGAGACTGCACTTTCCACACCGCCAATAGCCAATGTAGACTTATGATGGTCGCTGCGAGAAGCGCATTCCCATGAGTCGTCGAAAGAGGGAAGATACGAGGTGTCTAGAAAACTGTCCCAATTCGACTCCGTTGAGAACGAACATCCGAATGGAAGGCCGACAGGATGGCTGAAGGGAGTTGAAAGCGGAGTGTCGACCTCACTACATGTCCTGGACGAGACTGAAGACGACCTAGATCGCGGATAGGGGCAGAAAATATCCGGCGCGGAAGGAGGCTGGGGAATTGGTGGGTTCTTGGGTACACGTTTGGGGAGACGTCTCTTTGGTTGACTTGAATGAGAAGGGGGAGCCGACGCAGCTTCAGCTGCCTCCTTTGTTGCGTTGCTGGGAAGACCCATCGCCTGGCTTGGTCGCCGCACGGATCGCCGTTCGGTGGTGTCGAAGACTTGACGAACGGCGCGAGCTTTGCGGGCACTGCTGCGGATGAGGGCAGGGTGAGGAGCTTGATGACACCGCGTAGTGAAGGGATACGCGGATCGTCCTCGTTGTCCAGTGCCTGAGGACAACAGTTGCTCTCCACTGATGGCCAAATTCGCAAAGGCTTCTGTCAGCGACGACATATCTATGGAGGGATGCCGTTTGTCGGAACAGTCCTTGGCGGGGTGAACCCGCATCCAGGGAGTTTGCAGATCTCTGGCTCCAACGTTGACGGAAAAGGGGGGTTCGATCGGGGGGTAGAACGCTGGAAACGCGTGTGGTGGCGCAATGAAAGTCGAAAAGGGGCACCGCGCGGCGCATTTTTCGGTCGATGCTCTGCCGTTCGCGATCCCACGGACGGTCTATTGGAAGAAGGTCAGCCCGAGACTTGACTAGAAAACAATGCCCACGTACGGCTTCAACTGATGCCTCGCCGTCTTCAGTAAACAAGGATCCTACCAGATCATCCTCCAGCTCAACGGTAAGAGGGTCTTGTTGGGGTCGTTTGGGCTGCTGGCCCTCTTGTTTAGCCCTGTTCCGACGGTTCTGGAACTGCGAACGGATAGGTTTGTGGCTGCACAAAATTTTGTAAAAGCGACTCTAACTCACCCACACCTCGATTTGGCGTACTGTCATACTGCACTTCGCAGCCAGATCGCACTTTTTCAGTCGTGTAGGGTACCAGTTCTGTGCGAAAAAGCGTTGGAGGATTGGAACAGCGTCCTACGAAAACCCATGTTATTCCCTTCAACCAAATCGACCAATCCGAAATGGCACCTACATGATTGAAAGGTCGTTTGGTGGCGTTTGATGCACCACGAGTAGCTCGATGAAGCCGCTGTGCGCGCACGAATCGCGGGGCGAAATTGTAGAGAATGTACGATGACCAGCGAGCAATTAGCTTGCAGCGGAGTTCGTCCAGCCTGGACCACACGAGAGCGGAATTTGTCGGGTCACAATGGGGGATAGGACTCCCAGCCATCGATCCAGTCGCTGGTTCAGCTGGGCGTCGCAGGCTGTCGTAAAATCCGCAGCGGCGGCCTGAACGATGGCAGATATCCGACGAGCATACCGCTCATCCACCCCAAGTGAAGTCAGTTGAGGTGCGAGGGACTGCAAGTCATGGTGAAGAGGGGTGCGAGGGGTTGTCGAGGCGAGGTGGGGCGAGCGGGGAACGTCGTTGGTAGTAGAGGGTAGCTTGCTCGGAGAATACTTGTTTGCGGCGGCCAATGCAGAGGAACGGATGCGTTGGAGTATTGAGATTTGTGGACGTGTTGTCAGTAGCATGTCGACGGACAGAAGCGTAGAGGAGTTTCAGGAGGGAGCAGTCTGGAGACGACGACGCACGACCGTCTAGTAGTGGTTTGTGTGATACAAAGGCTCACCACAATGGGCGTCTACATCAGGCAGACGCGTGTCAAACAATGGGCGAGGACGACGTGAGAAAGCCCGGAGTCACCGGCCTCCCGTGACCGACTTTCGTGCTTGCACGTGGGCAACCCGCGACCTGTACGCCGACATCCTGTGCGCACCGTCAACGAACCGGGGTTGTCTCGGCTCCGAACTCCCAGAGGCCACATGAGCGCACGCGAGCTATGACATGTCCCATGGAGGCGAATACACGACGGGCAATGCAGGATTCCACACACACACAGAGGCGGACAAAACCTGGTAGATATTACGAAGGTATGGGAGGGCGCCGGTGACTCCGGGCTTTCTCACGTCGTCCTCGCCCATTGTTTGACACGCGTCTGCCTGATGTAGACGCCCATTGTGGTGAGCCTTTGTATCACACAAACCACTACTAGACGGTCGTGCGTCGTCGTCTCCAGACTGCTCCCTCCTGAAACTCCTCTACGCTTCTGTCCGTCGACATGCTACTGACAACACGTCCACAAATCTCAATACTCCAACGCATCCGTTCCTCTGCATTGGCCGCCGCAAACAAGTATTCTCCGAGCAAGCTACCCTCTACTACCAACGACGTTCCCCGCTCGCCCCACCTCGCCTCGACAACCCCTCGCACCCCTCTTCACCATGACTTGCAGTCCCTCGCACCTCAACTGACTTCACTTGGGGTGGATGAGCGGTATGCTCGTCGGATATCTGCCATCGTTCAGGCCGCCGCTGCGGATTTTACGACAGCCTGCGACGCCCAGCTGAACCAGCGACTGGATCGATGGCTGGGAGTCCTATCCCCCCATTGTGACCCGACAAATTCCGCTCTCGTGTGGTCCAGGCTGGACGAACTCCGCTGCAAGCTAATTGCTCGCTGGTCATCGTACATTCTCTACAATTTCGCCCCGCGATTCGTGCGCGCACAGCGGCTTCATCGAGCTACTCGTGGTGCATCAAACGCCACCAAACGACCTTTCAATCATGTAGGTGCCATTTCGGATTGGTCGATTTGGTTGAAGGGAATAACATGGGTTTCGTAGGACGCTGTTCCAATCCTCCAACGCTTTTTCGCACAGAACTGGTACCCTACACGACTGAAAAAGTGCGATCTGGCTGCGAAGTGCAGTATGACAGTACGCCAAATCGAGGTGTGGGTGAGTTAGAGTCGCTTTTACAAAATTTTGTGCAGCCACAAACCTATCCGTTCGCAGTTCCAGAACCGTCGGAACAGGGCTAAACAAGAGGGCCAGCAGCCCAAACGACCCCAACAAGACCCTCTTACCGTTGAGCTGGAGGATGATCTGGTAGGATCCTTGTTTACTGAAGACGGCGAGGCATCAGTTGAAGCCGTACGTGGGCATTGTTTTCTAGTCAAGTCTCGGGCTGACCTTCTTCCAATAGACCGTCCGTGGGATCGCGAACGGCAGAGCATCGACCGAAAAATGCGCCGCGCGGTGCCCCTTTTCGACTTTCATTGCGCCACCACACGCGTTTCCAGCGTTCTACCCCCCGATCGAACCCCCCTTTTCCGTCAACGTTGGAGCCAGAGATCTGCAAACTCCCTGGATGCGGGTTCACCCCGCCAAGGACTGTTCCGACAAACGGCATCCCTCCATAGATATGTCGTCGCTGACAGAAGCCTTTGCGAATTTGGCCATCAGTGGAGAGCAACTGTTGTCCTCAGGCACTGGACAACGAGGACGATCCGCGTATCCCTTCACTACGCGGTGTCATCAAGCTCCTCACCCTGCCCTCATCCGCAGCAGTGCCCGCAAAGCTCGCGCCGTTCGTCAAGTCTTCGACACCACCGAACGGCGATCCGTGCGGCGACCAAGCCAGGCGATGGGTCTTCCCAGCAACGCAACAAAGGAGGCAGCTGAAGCTGCGTCGGCTCCCCCTTCTCATTCAAGTCAACCAAAGAGACGTCTCCCCAAACGTGTACCCAAGAACCCACCAATTCCCCAGCCTCCTTCCGCGCCGGATATTTTCTGCCCCTATCCGCGATCTAGGTCGTCTTCAGTCTCGTCCAGGACATGTAGTGAGGTCGACACTCCGCTTTCAACTCCCTTCAGCCATCCTGTCGGCCTTCCATTCGGATGTTCGTTCTCAACGGAGTCGAATTGGGACAGTTTTCTAGACACCTCGTATCTTCCCTCTTTCGACGACTCATGGGAATGCGCTTCTCGCAGCGACCATCATAAGTCTACATTGGCTATTGGCGGTGTGGAAAGTGCAGTCTCTGGTACGATAGCTCCCATACCCTCAACCTCGTGATTCCGCCACATGCTATGCTCCTCGCGCCTCTTGATATATTGCTATCTTATTCGCTGTCCTCCGCTTTCCTTGCTATCAGGCTCTGTATACCTATTCTTGTCCTGTACATTGCCGCATCTCAAGTAATATGTATCGTTATGTCATATATACATCATCGTCCTCATCATTTGAGGCCACTCTATTGGTATGAAGGAGTGTATCTCAACGTGTCCAAGTGTACAGAAGCGTCTCGGATTTGTAAGTGACGTCTACTTATTAACAAGCGATCTCGGCACTGCTATTCAATGTCTTCGTGCAGTTACTTGAGATTCCACAGTGACCGAGCGAGCAGAAGCGTACGATTTGGTGCAAATCACAAAGCCGTGAAATGTATCGCCTGAATGTCCGCGATCGACAATCGGATTCGTCTCTGCTTTCTACGATCTACAGGTGATGGAGCCCCATTCCATTCAATTCGTGTTTAATAGCTCTATTATCCACTAAGTCCCATATTTTCGGCGCTCGATCTGTTTCTTCGACGCTCTTGCTCACTCTCGGAACCTCGGTTGACAGCTGGGTGAGTCTGGCAGTTCTTATGAAAGCTAGGTAGTCGTTGACGTCAAGCGCGTTTGTAATTCGCTCATGCTGCGATCAACAGGGAGCAACTTGACGGGCTCGCGACTTCACACACGTTCTCGAAACCAGGCGCAAACTCGCCGCGTCCCTACTAGTCTCCCCTAGGCAGACCTTCCACATACGCCGCGTCCCCTCTGAAGGTCCCCCGACCAAGGCGCGACGCCAGTGCCGGTGTGGCAGGGCTGCATGCGCTGCTCGTGCATCTGTAACGCCAAGTATCTCCGCTATTATTCCATCCGTCGAGGCGTCGCTCCCCTTCCGTCTTGGCGTATCTGGATCAGGCCTTCTCCTCTACCACCAGCCCCAAGATTGGCCCCGCCCGTCCTATCCTCAGCCACAGCTTGTCGATCGCGTGAGTCCGCGTGTCTTACACTCAAGTTCGCCAGCGCCCCGTCTTGGGATTGTCGTCTATACCCCCATGTTTCGCCCCATGCAGCGCGCCCCGTTCTCATGCCTTCACAAATTAGAACATGTATGTGTGGCTTCTTTGATCTGCTTTGTGTCTCTAACGCCCATGATATCCAAAGACTCAAACGGTCCCAACAATAGAACAAAGGCGAACAACTTCGAATGCGGTGAGCGTTCCATGGACCCACATATCGAAACCAGTCATCATGAAGGGTACCACATGGAACATGCCACCACTTGCTTGGGATGCTCAGATTGTGGCTTCTGGGTCGGAACCATAGACGTGTTGAGACGTCAGCCGTCTCTCTCGCTCAAGAGTAATCTCTCATCTCTCGGGAGATTTTTGTCCCATTAGTATTCACTACGCTGACTGGCACGCTTAGGTTCCGATCTGATTATATGACTACGAGACTTCTAGGCCTTCTTCGTGCTGGGGCCCGTAGCACAAAGTTCAAGATTTTCCGCTGATGTTGTTGCTCGCGCTGTAAAAGTTCCGGAGCTCAAGAACAATACAGAAGATGGGAAACAATATACAAGGGCGCAGAAGCGTTGTGTGTGGTCATGTTTGCGACAAAGCTCCATGTCTCAAAACTTGGGCGAATGGGCCCTCCTCCACCTCATCCCCCTTCACCCCCGCTCTCGACGGCCATGGCTGCTCCACACACTCCTCTTCCTGTTTCTGAACTTTTGAGAAAACTCAACGACAGCGACTTCCAACTCTTCCTCGTCATCGATAAAGGGCCCGCCGAAGACCTGCATAAATTCCAGAACGAATGGCATAATCTCCTCAGTGATGCATTTACCATGATGAACGATAAAGTGGCGGAGTATGTCCATTGCGCGGCGTTCCAATTGGCAGTGGATATGAAGGAAATTCGGTCCTACATGCCTGTGAGCCGTCACGCTCCGATTTTGGACCAGATGGTGGCGCATTGCTTTGAGGTCATGCGTACCTGTCACACCCACTTTCCCCGCACCCTGAGCATGATGGACGAGGACAGCGCCGACGAAATAACCCGACGCGTACGCAACCAGCTCGCCAAGGCATACTTATATAACCACAAGGTAAGACTTCCTCTGCTTACGTCGACAACGTGACTGACATTAATTCAGGTCAAGTACGATAACCCGTCGGTTGATGTGGCCGCTTACCAAACAATCTATAACTCGATCTATGGGGGAACGTGGGATACAACATCTATGCGTTTGGGGCCGCCGCCGCAGTTCGAGTGAGTCGACGATTGTATGTCTAGTAGTGATGATTCACTCACTCTGCACTAGGCCTCGTCCAAGGTTGAATGGGATACCCGACCTAGCCCAGAGGACATCCGCTTCTTCGCCTGCAACGAGGCCTATGACCTTTGTGTCGCGTGCCGCATTGGCATAAGTGAAATGCAGAAGGCTATCAACCACGCCGCTCTGGAGATCATGAAGATTGCGAAGACGAGGACGTACAATCAATTCCGGTACTAGCGCCTCAGCGTCAAGTGAATATTGTGAGTCGTGTACGTTTCCCATAGCGATCATTCCTGACCGCTTTCTTCGGCAAGTACGGCCGAATCATGCTCACGGGGAAAGTACGAGGACCATTCCGAGCGATGTTTGTATAAGATCTAGTCAGGGCACAGGAATACGATTTGTTACGGTGGATTGGCCCTTGAACGATAGTGGCTATGATAGAGTTGCGATGAAGCTTCATGCTGGTGATGCAGTTTTGACAGGAAATCTTACATGAAGTAAGCGCGCGCAGAGAGCGACTCAGCAGCCCCGGCCCCAGCCATTTTTCTGTGGTCCCTGCTGCCCCTTCATTCCCGCCTCGTCTCAGGCCGGGGTTGAGTAGTTCTGTTGTTCGATCAACTACTTGGGCCCACTGCACGTTTACACACGACAGGGGTGCTCAAATGGTATTAATCTCTATCGATCCTGGAGACCTGGCACTCCTTAGAATCATAGTTCATGGAACTCGTCGCCTCGACTGGTTCAGTCCATGGCACGTGTGAAGTCTCGAATTCGTGCTGCACGTCTCCTAAACCACCTAAGTAGGCACAACGACACGTTGTATTGCGCATTGGTGAGATCCATACATGATAACGAGATACTAGTTGCGAGACAACGGCGAAGGGATCAAGAGCGCGAGATAGGGGGAAGCAACTTGTGGCAGGGGTATCGGATAAGTAGATGTACACGAAGCGAGTAGACCCGAACGTATGCGTGCCTGCCGGACCAATGCGTGCTCAGGGAGATGAGAGTGGCCGCCGAAGTCTTCCAGCGGAATCCAGCGGGTTCGCGTGCCGACTTGCGACAATTTTCTGACTCTCCGTGTCGCGGAATATCACCAGGAAGAAGCCCGATGCGTGGCTGAACCGTAAAAGGCTCAAGCTCGTGCAGGGAGCGTTATTTCCAATCGGCCTCATAACATCGAGGCTTCCGCCATACTCATTCTTGACAAAGTCAGGTTGTGGTACCGGTCGAGTAAGCCGAGTATCAAGCCGATCTAGCTAGGACATTGAGAACGTTGTAAGTTCCGACTTTTAAGTTATTACCCTGTTTTCCCACTGTTCGCCGTGAGCATGATGATAGTTTTATGACTATACGACCGCCTAGGCGATAGTCATACTTACCAGGCTCGCCGTCGAGCGCGGCTCTCCTTGATGCACCAACGGATCGAGAATCCGGGAGAGTGGGCCCGCGCCGGTGATATCTTCGACTTCTGCTGAGCGAGCCTGAAATGCACCTACTCTGCCGCCTTCAACGTGCCTATCTTTCGCGCAATAATTACCTTCCAAGTAACAAGTGCTCGAGTGACATCAACTGGAGATATCTACGTAGATAAGCAACTCGTCGTAGGCAGTGACCGACCATCTTCATCCTTATCACATGAACTTGGCCGCCTTCATAACTTGCGTAAACTTGGAACGGATGTCCGAAAGGAACCATGACTCACCAAACCCATCAGACTCCCCAGTCCACCACTGTTACTCCCATCCGAAGTGCCGCTGAACTTGGACTGCACTAATAGTTTCATGATGGTCATAGCAGCACCATTGACGGCGTCTTGCTTGTTGCCGGAAGCTGCTCCGCCCGACTTGTCAAAAAACTTGGACGCCCTCGCCATTGCGAGGCTGATCAGCTGGGTCTGTGATCCGCCGGCGCCGGAGATGAACTGTCTCAACACCTTTCTCCTCTTTGGTGAGAAATCGCGCCCAGATGAGGGATCGGTGAACAATACTCACCTACATGGCAGCGGCGCTACCCATGGATCCTGCACTCAGAGAACCCGCTGACCCTTCCTCGTAAACCTGGTGATGAGCATGCTGCATACCCTCCTCGTCGATAGGCCGCTCGTGTTCCTCCTGTATTTACGATTCCCAGGCCATCGTCCATGATGAGCGCGTGCAAAGACCGACCTTGTTCTGGAGAAGGAAACCCATGGCACGCCGACCGCGACCTCGCCCGCGATGTCGCCCGCTCTCTGCCGCGTCGCCCTCCACGGCACGCGGCCGCTCTAACTCTGCGGCACCACATGCAGGTGCAGGGTTCGCGCGGGAGTGGGAGGGGGTGTGGCCGGACCTGCAGAGGATAGTGGGGGAGACCGCGTGCGCGCCGCACGTGGCACTCGCCGTCCCGCGCGCGCGCGTCGCCTTCGCGCGTCCGAGCACGCCAGCGGGTGACCACTGCTCGCGCGCGGGCGGTCCGGTGCGGCCGGGCGCATGTCAGGGTTCAGACGGTCTCGACTCTCGGACACCTGTCCCTCACGGAATATCAGTTTCCCAGACTCGAGTGATCCGGGGGGCTGTGCCGAGTCTCCTTGACTCAAAATCCCACCCACCCCCAACTATTAGTTAGTAGTGCTTTCCTTACAGGGAAGTATTCAACGCCCCCTACTAAGTATGGTATATGTCCAGTCTGCCCCCGTATGTTTTTCCCGCCCGGCCCCGTGATGTCCCGAGTCCCGCCCCTCCTACATCATTTCACAGCGAGCTCGCTGTCCCTGCACCCTGCCTCCCCCTCCCCTCCGTTTCCCTCCGTTCTTTTTGCAATCTACTTGTATTTAAAACGCGTACCTAATGACACACAATTCAATAGCTACACTTGCCTGAGTGTGCCTGCACTGAGCCCATATACCCCCCAAAATGCGTGCAACATACAAGCATCTACAAGTGTTGAATTGGCTGGCTAAGCTCTGCATCAGATAGCTGTAGATAAGAGCTGCTCTAGTATCACATTGCAGGTGGATAGCTAGAGGGGTGCAGGTATGATGTCATATGTTATTTCAGAATGACATACTTCACAGTGACATGGTATATACATGTATCGTCTTACATACACCCAGAATTGTACCTGGAGATCATTCAGAGCGCATTGCAAGAAGAAGCAAGTAAATGGACGATGCCGTGGTGAAGATATGACATATGCTCAGAAGGGGGAGTTGGCTTGAAAATGCGGCCTTCATATGTTTTTGTGCAGACCTCTGATTGCTTTACGGCTTGTTGCAGTACGTTTATATGTGGATGTAGAGCTCAGATCGTCAGTTTGGTGCTTATCGGTGAAGGATTGAATGCAGGGAATGGTATGTCATTATTCTATGACATAGAGTATAGTGATATGACATGTGTTCCGATTATTATTATGAAAGGCGGAATAGAACGGGGTGTTCTTCTCCTCAACAATGCAGAAAGAATCTCGAGAAACGATTGAGTAGTCGCTGAGGGATGGGAGTGTATCACATTCCGAACACCTGGATATATTCATAGACGATATTATGAATGCAATGCAGAAGAGAGCGCACAGAAATCAGGATTTCCGGTGAAGATACAAGATATGTGTGGAAAGTGGAAGTTCTGAGAAAACACGACATGCATAAGTTCATGTGCAGACATGATATCAACATGCTGTTTGCTGCATCACAATTGGGTACTATTGGGGTGCTCAGATCGGAATGTTCAAGCTTATCGGTGATGAGATGTATATGGGGCATCATATGTCATTATTTCATGACATACAGTATCCTGACACAGCATATGCTCCGATTAGAATGCGAAAAAATGGAATATAACAGGGTAGAGTATAGCTATCCAACGCAGAAGAGACCTTGAAAAACGGTTGAGAATCAGTGGAGATGTGCAAGGTGAGCCAGAAGTGTGGTTGGAGTGGAAAGCGAGGTTGGAGCACATTCAGCATAAACCACACTTCTGGCTCACCTTGCACATCTCCACTGATTCTCAACCGTTTTTCAAGGTCTCTTCTGCGTTGGATAGCTATACTCTACCCTGTTATATTCCATTTTTTCGCATTCTAATCGGAGCATATGCTGTGTCAGGATACTGTATGTCATGAAATAATGACATATGATGCCCCATATACATCTCATCACCGATAAGCTTGAACATTCCGATCTGAGCACCCCAATAGTACCCAATTGTGATGCAGCAAACAGCATGTTGATATCATGTCTGCACATGAACTTATGCATGTCGTGTTTTCTCAGAACTTCCACTTTCCACACATATCTTGTATCTTCACCGGAAATCCTGATTTCTGTGCGCTCTCTTCTGCATTGCATTCATAATATCGTCTATGAATATATCCAGGTGTTCGGAATGTGATACACTCCCATCCCATTTCTGTGTGTGGTATGTCATTTTAAAATATCATACCACACTACTCCCTCACTTTTGCAGCTACTGCCCTCCAAATTTGCACACCCACAGCTCTTGCATGCTCCTCCCTGATCCAAAAAACAGCGAGGTGAAATAACATCTACACATGCTGCTGTGAAGGGTGACTTCTCAGGTAGAAGGTGTTCAGTACAGGCAGACCAACTCATATAAATATGCTGCAAGGTGCTGCAATACATTCAGATGTGATGCAGAGGTGCATTCCAAAAAAATGAGGGACAGATGCAGAGATGGGCAACATGTTGAGCTCACTGTGTCTGACAGTGAGCTCGCTGTTTGAGACAGTGAGCACCACTGGTAGCACAATTGCCGACCTCGGTAACAAAAAACTCGGTATTGAAGGCCAGAGGACCAACAGTGAGCACCGGGATTACCGATCTCGGTATTCAAACCTCGGCATTGAAGGCCAGAGGTCAGCGAGAGCACTGACAGTGAGCACCGGGATTACAGACCTCAGTAATAAAAACTCGGCATTGAAGGCTGGAGGTGTCCAAAAACTCGGTAATGAGGATGAGCAATGGATACCGGTGGTCAAAAACTCGGCATTGAAGTCTGGAGGTGACCAAAAACTCGGTGATGGATTCAGGCAGTCAAAAACTCGGTAATGAGGACTGCTGATTGATACCGGTGATCAAAAACTCGGCAATGGGTGCAAAAAACTCGGTAATGAATACAGGCAATCAAAAACTCGGCAGTGAGAGCGGTAATATGCACAGGTGGTCAAAAACTCGGTTGTGAGAGTGGTAATACACACAGATGACCAAACACTCGGTAATGGAGGGACTGCCGGAATCTCGGTAATGAATACACTGCCGGAAAAAGTGGGTTTTTACCAGAGGACACCTTGTATGACTGTTATAGACAGGGTACAAGCTCATACAAGTGTTCACACTGTTTGAACTCCGCTGCCCCAACCAGAGCACATACTGCAATAATACCAAGTGCGCTATTCTTGGCACAACTGTGTGCATCTACCGAACCCATTACCGAAAAAAACCATGTTCACCAGGGGACAACTCGTACAACCGTCTCAAACAGGGTACAAGCTCGTACGAGCTTCTGTAGTGTTTCAATTCCGCCACCTTAACCATGCCACGCACAGCAATAAAACAAAGTGCGCTGTTTTCCAGTGATCTCTGGCAATGTATTGCATGCATTACCGGAAATTTTTGATACCCACCAGGAGCACCTCATACGACCGTTCCAGACGGGGTACAGGCTCGTACGAGTCTGCACACTGTTTCGACAATACCTCCTTAACTACACCAGGTACAGCAATGAAATTGAGTTCGCTATTCTCAGCTTATCCGTGCGCATCTACCGAAAGCATCAACAAAAAAAACGAGGTTCACCAGGGAACAACTCGTACGACCGTCTCACACAGGGTACAGGCTCGTACGAGCCTGCACACTGTTTCGACTCTCCCACCTTAACTACAGTGCGCAAAGCGACGAAATAAGGTTTGCTGCGTTCCGGTAACCTTCGGCAATGCACGCCATGCATTGCCGAGATTTCCGGGTGTCCGCTCTCCCGGAGGTACTCGTACGACCGTCTGAGACAGGGTACAGGCTCGTACAAGCCTGAGCACTGTTCCGACCCTCCCTCTGTAACCACAATATGCACGGCAATGGAATTTGATGTGTTACGTTCAGTACACTCGCGCGCATCTGCCAAATCCGTTACCGCAATATTCCGGGTGCACACCGGAGGTGCCTCGTACGACCGTGACAGACGGCTACAGGCTCGTACGAGTCTGCATCAGTACATCCCCAGATGTCTGAAACTGTCTGATCTCTCGCTTATCTTGTGGGAGACGTTTCAGAGAAGTGAGAGGTGAGCAGACATCTGAGACAAATATCAGACAATTCAGATGACCGGCATTGACACCGGCACACGGCGAGCTTCGAGGGCGAGAATGAGATATATTATTGAGTACTCTACACAGGTGAAACAAGGTATACTGGATGCGACCTAATTGCAGACGGCGGCGTGCATCCGTGGCCCTGAACCACGCACGACCAAGAGGCTTTGAACGCACCGTGCGCTCCACATGGTGCAGCACAAACAATGGGGGGCAATCTAGGATGATGCATGAGCGCGCATGCGAACACGCACCACACGCTATGCTCGCGCACCTGTCCCTTGCTCCACATGGTCTCCCGGTTTGCTTCTTCTCTTTCGCATCCTTCACGCGATCGTCATGCCCATCGGGCGCCCACCACCCCTCGTCAACGCTGCACTCAATCATGGGCCGCACTGGCCCGTCTTTCGCGTCCACGCTGACAAAGACCACGACGTCCTTGCTGCGCGCGTCGAATTGTGCTTTACCCGCACACGCACCAGCTTACAGTCCAGCCCATCGACCAAGCCGGGAGCGGGCAGGAAGACGGGCCTGTTCGGGGCCATGGCCTGTGCGCACGGCGACGGGCGAGGTGGGCAAGTGAGAGGCAGGTGATGTGGGCGCAATGTCTGGGCAACATGGGCGAGGACAGCAGCGCGGCGATGTGGACAATGTGGTGACGTGAAAGACGCAAGCCCGACGCGTGTGACGCGGGCGCGACGAGGGTGAGCAGGGTGATGTGGGTGCCAATCGTCAGTCTTTCGTTTGGTGCAACGCAGAGCGGAGAGGTACTCACCACGTAGTGCTGCTCGTTCTCAAGTTTAACGGGTTTGTAGAGTCGTACTGCGCAACAAGGGCAGTGCGCTGCGCCCGTACAAGCTCGCAAGGACCCACTGGCGGTGTGCGTGTGGGTGGAAGGTCTAACTCAGTGCGTAGTCCAATGGCCGAATGGCACAATGAGAAATTGTATTGTACGGCAGCGAAGGAAAAGTGGGAGTGGAGTAGGGTAAGAAGGAGGGAGGGAAAGACAAAAAACGTCGGGATAGAAGGAGTGCACTCACATATATCGCGTCCATTGTGCGGCGGCGCTTGGCCTCAACTACTGAAGTGACGATTGTCGGAGAGCGTGGGGTAGGAGTTGCGGGGGAACGCGTCCTGGGCGGAGGCACCGCGCCGACGGGGCCCCTCGAGCTCGCAGCGGAGCTCCTCATCTTGCTCGAGCTCGCGGATGCGGATCAGCGGTGGAGGGATCGCGACAACCTGCTGGGGGTGACGCTGGTGAGGCCAGCGAGGTGCCGACGAGGGTGAGGTGACGACATGTGTGAGGGGGAAACGCGGGCGAGGGCGAGGGGGGAAGGCGTTCGAGACGGTGGCAGGGAGGATAGCAGGCATAGGAGGGGACGAGGACGAGGACAAAGTGCGGTGGCATCGCTACATTGGACGACAGCTGGCGGCGCCTAGCGTGAGAATCTCAGCCTTAGGAGGATTCTGCCAGCGCAGTCTCTCGTCTTCGTCGTCGTTGTCATCCTCCTCCACCCTGCCCCGACCTCGCCCTCGCCCTCGCCATGCTTCGCGCGAAGGTCAGAGCATCTTGGCTATCCGCCCATCGTGTCACAAGGTGCGTAGTCAGTCTCCATCCATGTTCGATGACACTACTGACATGCTCTGCGGCTGGCGCACACGCACGCGGCGGGGGCGACCACCGACCAAACACGCTCCATGTTGTGAATTGCTGGACCTTGGACGGGCATCAATAAGCACATCCCCCAGACACATGGTACGCCCATATGTCCCATTTGTCTTGCATTCAGCTCATGATACACCGAGTACTCCACCCACTGCACCCCCCTCGCCCCCCACCTCCGGATTCGCTGCCTCAATGTCCTCTACCACGTCCTCCACCTGCTCGCCAACCACCTCTCCTCCGTGAACACCCAGCGCCTCGCGCTCAGGAAAGAGACTGCCCACACACCATCGCTGGGCTCGTCGGGAACATGGAGCTTAATCGGCTTCGGCTTGGCCGCCCACGCCATCCTCCACGACGTCCAGCTTCTCCTCAATGCCCCCTGCGTCTCATGCGGTACTCAAGCACTCGCCCTCGTCGTCCCGGTGCACCACAGACGCAGACGCGCGCATCGCGGTCGCGCGCCAGCCCTCCACGTCCCTCTCGCTCGCCTCCGCGCGCGATTGTCCACGGCCCGTCCTCGCCCTTTCCCGCGCCCACCGCGCCCCTACCCACGCCACCCGTGACGTCTGAGAAAGCGCCGCGCGTCCACGCCCACGCCCACTCGGCCGCCATTGCCAGACGCGCGACCGCACGCGCCGAGCGTGATGCCCCCTCCTCCGGACGTGGGCGCCGACGACCCGCCACCGTGCCCTCGAAGCCACCATCGCTAGTGCTCGGCCCAGGCCCTCGTGCTCCTCGGCTCGCCCACCGGGTCCCTCGCAGGTGGATGGGCTGGGTTTGGCGATTCACGACAGAGTGGGGTGCGAACACGGTGTGGTACTCAACGGCCTTTCTCGCTGTCGCCCCGCATGACGTGCACGAGCGGGGCCGACAGTGGTGGAGTGCGTACTCGCCGATGGGCGAGTCAAGCTCTCCGAGCACCATGCTGCGCCACGCAGGCTGCACGGTGCTGAGCTGCACGAGGAGTGTACGATATCGTAGTATGTAGTGTACATGTGTACTGGTAGACCTAGAGAAATATAGCTGTTTGCCTCCGTATTTGGTGTGTGAAGCGTGCGTGAATCCCGAACAAGGTAAAATCGTCTCCATCTTGGACTTCTGGTTTTTCTGATCTGTCTGAAATCTCTCACACGACATCTCACTAAGAATTGGAAGTAAGAGAAATTCTGAATGTCTCAAAACGTCTCACAACGTCTCACGCCTCTCCACAGAAATTTTGAGAGATTTTGAGAGATTTCGTGAAGTACTGATGTGGGCAGTGTTTTCATTGCTCCGGGCCAACCACAGCACGCACGGTGATAAAAACGACTGTTCCGAGCTCGTATGACCCAGGGGAACGTAGCGAACGCATTACCGAAACGTACGGTGCAGTAGGGCGCAATGTACGCAGTGGGACGTGCCACTAACGGAGCCGGCATCCCCTGCTGTATCAGCCCGGTATTGGCTTCCCAGGGGCTGTAGAATATCGTTTTCATTGTTGTTGTACCAATTACAATGTACTAGGGTATGTAGGAGAGTTGGAAAAGCACTAAGCTATCAAGGGGAACTACCTGCCCCCCACATCTCGTACGACCGTTACTGACGGCTACATTACCGGAGCTCGTACGAGCTCGTATGGCCGTTACCGACGGCAACGTGGGCACCTCGTATGGGCGTTACCGACGGGCTACAGCACTGCCACCGAGTGGATATGGGCCCACGCTTCCTGCAATGCATTTCTTTGGCTGCCACGACCAGGTCGCGCGCCAGCCACGGTGACATCACGTCCAGACTCGCTGTGACGCCCATCTCCTCTCTCCCTCTGACCACCGCCATCTCTTCGCCTCCCTGCTCACCAGCCCCGCGCCCACTCCAGCTCGCCGATGGCAGTGTGCTGTCCATTCACTCAGGCCATCCCCATCAGTGTAGGGCTCTCCCAGAGCCCGCAAGTTTCGCCCTTCCTGTGGGCAGGCGTCCATCTCCCGCTTCCCTCGCGACCACACTCCAAGCCGGAATCTCTGCTCCCCCACCACCTCCCATCTGTCGACACTCAAGTAGAGAACATCTTTAAGCCACAAGAGGTATGTCTTTCCCTCTTTATCTTCTGCGCTGTAGCTTCGGGTTCGGCCCCTGACTCCACGGCTCGTCGCAGGCAGGCCGACCTCCTCCGCTTCATTGTTCAGAAAGAGTCGAAACACCTCGAGCTCCACTCGCCGCTAGCTGCACACAAGCTCGCACAGCTCAAACGCCAGTGAGTTGGACCACACGTCTCCCGGGGCATGGACCTCACCTACCCACAGTAACCCGATGGACCTCCCGCCCTCGCCCTCGCCTTCGCCTCGTCCAACTTGCTCTTCACTGGGGCCATCAAGGACGTCAGTCAGTCCTCGTCGCCGACCTCTCTGACCTCTCCGCCTCCCCCAGCGGCAGTCCAAACCCGCCCAGCATCTCATTACGCCTCGCCCTCCGCGTTGGTGAAGCACGGCCCGCCCGCGCTCGAGACTGGCGGCCGCACGCTCGGGCACATCGGCTCCCACAGCACCAGCACGTCCTCGTCCGGCACCGCGTCGTCGAGCGTGTGCCTCCCGCAGTCGTCCGTGTTGTCCCGCATCCTCGCGCGCCAACCAGATCAGCTCAAATCTCCCCCAGATCTGGTTCCACTCAGATTGCGGTGGCCTTCCGTAGATATGCTGTGAACGGTAGGTTGGATCAGTCTCTGCGCTGTGAAGGGGCTCGAGCTTACCATATACATCCCCTTCTGTTTGGGCAGCCCCTTTGTTGAGAGGTGCGGGAGCGCGGTAACAGCATGCCAGTTCATGTGGCGAGACGTCTTCCAGTAAACGCTTTCACCTCGTTCTATTGGCGCGTCAAGGTGGCTGATATCGTTCAGCAGCGGAAGCCCTGCCGACCCTTGCCTACGGAGTGACCTCACGACCCAGCTCCTGCATGCTTTCCAAGCAAGAGAAGTGCGTCGTGCCCGTCCCACTGTCAATTCCCGCGCACCACCCGTCCGCTCGGGTTCGCGCCGCGCTGGACGAGTCTTTACCCGGTTGCGGCACAACGGCCCTTGACGCGAACGCGCCAACGAGCCGTGTCCAACTGGTCTCCACGTCACTCTGTGATTGGTACGGGCCATCTCCTCTGTGCCCATGCAGGAGCTCGCTCATGATGTCCTGTATCTGCTGTCCGCATGCGCACTTTCATGAACACACTCCGATTCAGACAGCACACTGAGGTCTCTCTCGTGATCCTTCCTTGACATGGTCAGCGCTGACATTTCTTCGTGACTTGGACAGGGCGGCGTACAGTGATCGTTGTCACCAATGTCGAGCACTGTCCCCCCGTATAAACTGTCCTCGCTCCCCCAGCCTCGCTCCGTGATCGGTACGGGCCATCTCCCCCTCTTCCGTTCTCCCCACGTTCGGCTACCCGCGGGCTTCGTAGTACGGTACGGTACATGGCGTTTAGTACAGTAGTCCTACGGTACATGGAATGGATGTTTCGCTCGCGCCGGGCCGTCCCCGCGTGCGCGTACGCCCTTTGGACCCACATCGTCCAACAGTCGCGCGCACCCTTTCCGGGCCCGATGCGCACGATGAGATGCGCAGGAAGATGCCCCGCACGGCGGGGGAGGGATCTCGCTTGCTGTCGTCGCCTATGTGCACGGGCGCCTCGACTTGGTATATTTCTCCTCGGCTATAGGCGCTCGCGGCTCTCGCGTACCAGTAATTACGCGGCCAGCCTCGTCGGGTGGGCGCGGGGAGGTGCACATGCTAGGGGCCTTCGGTCGTCGCTCGGTCGGGCGCTAACACTCGGTCGACCGTAGCAGGCGCCCGCTTCGGTCTTCGGTCGTGGACGGAGAGGGGTCGCCGGATTGGGGCACCCTCGCTATGGCGCCCTTGTTCTCCAAACTCGCTTAAGATTTCACGTGATATTCATGTGACCCATTACATGAACTGGATTTGTCTCCCCTGTGCCCGACCCCTGGAACCCCTCCTCGACCCCCGCCTCTCGGATTAGAGAGGCCCCAACTCGAAGCGGCGGCTGGGTAGGAGCCTGAGGCGACGTACTCCTTCCCCGTCGCGACCGCAGTCTGCACGGTCGTAGAGACCCCGCAGTTCGTCGCGCCGTTCGCACCACCCACAGACTTCTCCGTCTGTGAAGCAGTACCCGACGACATCTGTGTATATAAAATCCGTCAGTCGCGCCCCGCGACGGCATGGCGGACGCTCCTCACCTGGACGAATGCGATCGCGTTCCCGGCCAACGTCTTCGCCTGGTCGACGTACCCCGTCGCGGTCGCGGTCAGCGACGCGACGTCGGCCGCGCCCTGCGCCGCCGCGACGTCCGTCTTGTGGCTGAGGCCCTCCTCGAGCCGCTCGACGGCAGTGCCACTACGGGTCTCCTTCTCCTGCACGCGCCGGGGGCAATGAGTGCGCGCAAAGACTGGTGATGAACGCGGTTAACACACCTCTGCAGTATGTGCGGCGTCAACGGCCGCGGTGTGCACTTGAGCTGCGTTCTGCTGCACCTCCTTCGAAAGCTTGGCGGTGGACGCTTCTGTCTCAGCCATGGCGGCAGAGGTCTCGAAGCGCGCGTCGCTGCGGCCGGTGGGGAGGGTGGAGGTAGACATGGTGAATGTAGGGTGGTGAGATGGGGTATGGGAGATGTGAGTCGTAGCAGATGGTGGTGCAGACTATGAGGATAGACAGCGGTATATATGCTGCTAGATGTGCGCACGACGTCACTCGCAAGCGCTGTGGCGGTTGACGTCATGGCGTAGGAGGAGGAGGCGCTATGCCAGGGCCACCTCGCCCGGAGCTTCCCATCTCTGTCACGAGAGAGCCACTGACGCGTGAGACAAACGGCTGGGAGTCAAAGAGCTGGAGTGCATAGGATCGGGTACAGACAAAGAAGTGCAGCTATGGACGAATCCGGGGCCTGGCTTCCGATACATCTTTCCTCCACTGTGCTCAATCAGAGTCCGTATGAATATTCTAACGAGTGGCAGCGAATCAACCAGAGCGCTGGGGAACTGGGTATGTGCGGGGGCTGATGGTATGCGACAGACATGGAATGAATGGTGGGGAGAGACGAGACAGTGGCGTGCGAGATACAGACAGACAGGCAGAATGACTTGCGGGAGGACATGCGTGATTGAGAGGAAAGCGGCAACGTGAAAGGAATAATGAAACAGGGAACCAGGCTAAAGTATACACAGAACTGGGCGGATGGAGCTTTTGGTGAGGCAGGATACTTCATATCTGGCGCTTTTGAGCATCTTCCTCTTCGAACGAACCGGACCGGAGGAAGCGCGCCAACACCTCTTCCGACGAACGCTTGAACACATCGACCCCACGCGCCGGGTCCCAGACACGTCCACTTTTGCGCGGCCCCAACAGTGGCGTTCCTTCGGGCGTCTCCAGTGCTCCTGTTGTCGACGGAGACGAAGTCACCATCGTGTCGTTCGAGGACATGCGTTCGAGAGGTGGCGAGAACGGCGTCGACAGCTTCGTCAGCTTCGGCGATTGGCGGGGAGACGAACTGGTCGACGGACCGACCGAGGGCGACCCGGGCGGTTTCGGTGATCCGCCAATTTGCTCGTCGGCACTTGCCCACCGGACAGCCGTCGAGGGGACATCGGATGCCGGGGCGACGACGTGCCTCGAGGGGATCCCAGTTTGGAAAGCGGTAATGGTCGTGGAGCGGCGATCTTCAGTGGGGGAGGAGACGAGGTTTGTGTAGGGCTTTGGCCGGCAGGAGGAGAGTATGTGCGGGGTGACCCGATCGTTTGGGGAGACCTGAGACCGGTGGGCGACCCTCTTCCAGAGAAAGGCAGCCCTCCGGAGTAGTGCACAGGTTGGGTGAGGCCCGGCCCGGCGACCGCCATTTGGTCAGGATCAGTCCGGAACGGAGGCAGCAATCCGGCGGTAGTCGAGATCCGCGGCCACGGTCTGATACCCATGTCTGTACCACGGCCAGGCTTGCCGTCTTTGCTTGCCCGCGCAGCTTCGACGTCTTCCATCCACGACTCGACCTGCACGCCCATACTCCGAGTCTCGATCGGTATGGTTTGGACCCCACGGCCACGATACTTTTTTCCTTTGCCGCAGGCCAAAGAAGCCGAGCTCCCAGCGCGTGCTCGACGAGGACCGCTGTCGTAGCGCGTTGAAGCTTCTTGGGATTCCTCCTCTTCGCCTTCGTCTTCATCGTCGCCGTCCATGCTACTGGCATCCTGCTTCTCTTGGTTGACACGCTCGCGTTCCTGCTCCCAGCGACGCCAACCCTCGTCCGTCTCAGGTGGAGGAAGCTGTGCCGCGGCGTTATGAGGGCGGACGAGTTTCGACGCATACTTCTGAATACTTGGCACGGTGTCCCATGCGTTGGAGTATGCGACGTTGAAAGGCAGGCTGATGGGCGGGGGGCTCCGAACGGGCTGTTGAAGAGCGAGAGGTCCAAAGGAAACTTTGGGTGCCGGGCTGGGCTCCTCTATGAACGTGCCCACCGGAGGCGCTGATTCAGAATCCGGAAAAACGCGACGCGGAGCATATCTCGGTTTCTCCTCCCACGGAAAGATGGCATGAATCTTCGACCGGTCGGGGACAGGTGGTGAACCAACCGGCTGCCCCTCGGGACGACCAATGACGCTCTCGTATTGCCCTTCGCGCAGCAACTGCTCAGGAATCTGCGAGGCAGGAGGGGGTGGAAAAACGTTTCCGACTTCGAGTCCGATATGTGAGAGAGGAAGTGTGGGTGCGTGGCGTCGTGCTCTCGACTAGGAACTTGGTCCCAGATGTTCGGGAAATATGTGTTCTCCGGGAAAGCCGAAGGTGGAGGAGTCTTGGGTGGCGGTTCGACGGCCGGGTTCCATTCGAACTTTGGGGGTGATGAGGGACGTTGAGGATGGTGACCCGCGTGAGATGGAGGATGCTCCCATGCCCGCGACTGGCGACCTTGCTCTTCTTCTGGTGAATGCGAATGCTGTACTTGCTGGTCGACATAATGGTGTGTTGGGGGATGGTACGGGTGCTCGGCAGCATGGGGAGGTCCGGGAGGTGGAGAGCGACGTACTTGGGGAGAATGTTGTCCTTTAGGGGATTGGACGCCGCGAGGAGACAAGATGCCACGAGGGGATTGATAACCATTTCCACGGGGAGAAACATATCCGTTGCGAAGATGTGCAGGGGACTCGGTACCACGCTGGTGGACCGGCGAATGGGTGCCCCGCTGGTGGACGGGAGAATGGGTGCCACGCTGGTAAACGGGAGAATGGGTACCGCGGTGATGGTCTCGATGATGGTGCTGGAACGGACGGTCGCCGAGGGAGAGTGCTGCAGGAACCCTAAGGAATCTTGTGCTCGCCAAGACGGTTGCCTAGAAGGGACCCCAGGCCGCTCGTCCTCCGATTGCTCGCTCTCTTCTGGGTGAAAGACGGTGCCCTGCGAGAAGAATCGCCGGTCGCCATGAGAAGCCCAGTGCATTCCGGGAGGCGGGGCGCCGGCTTGCACCCCTGCGATGTCACCTTCCGAGGAAAGGTAAGCAGCTTCCTGATGCAGCTGCTGCCCCCAAGCGACGTACTGCTGCTCCGCATACGGTTCGTTTGGGTGACCAGGAGCGGGAGGTGCGGACGGTGGCAGAGCGAGGGGCTGGCGATATGGGGCTGGCGGAAACTCATGTGGGAGTGGTGTCGGCAATGTCTCCATCCTGGGCACTTCGTCACCCTCGACGACCATGAAGGGCTGCCGGGGAGTCGTGTTCTGTTCCCCACCAGAGTCCCGAGCCTCTGTCGGGGCTACCCGTTTGCGCGGACGCATCAGATCGACGCGACCGTTCAAAGGCATAGAACGGTATTGCCCAACCCTGGGCCGCTTTTGGGACGTCGCGTTGTAGGTGCTTATTCCTTCCACCGCAATCTTCCGCAGATCGTCGAGACCGAGCGCGGCGCCTGGACCTGGAGAAGTTGGAGGGGGGCCATCTCCGCACCGCTGCTGACTCCGGAGTCCCAAGCCGAGTCATACCGCGTGAACTCGAAGTTGGAATGTTGCGGGTGTTGCTCTGAGCGATAGTGCCTGTCGTAAATGTCGTACCAGCGGTCGACAAGAGTGTCGTAGTCGTAGGATGGGAGTTGAAGGTTTGGGCCCTTTTCCGTGAGTCGACCGTACTTCGTACCAGGGGCACGATAGGTGACAGAAACCCATGGCTTGTTAGGTCCAATGAAATGGATGGCGGAAATTTGGGCGCCGAACCGTTCATAAGCAGGAGCATATCTGTGATATTCGGTCAGCACACTCGTCAGATGATCACTTGAAGACCGACTCACGTGTAAACGGCGGTTGGAGTAGTGTTATACGTAAAACTGAGCCTATGCCAGTCGTTGCCCCTCCATTCGTTGAGAACACCCTGGTCACCACCGTCCCATGAGCCTTGGACTTGAGGACTTCGAGGATTTGGTCGAACTTGTCTCCTCCCGGATTGAAGACCATAACGCCGGAGTTGAAGATATCGGGCCAGCCCACGTCAGGAACAGCCGCGAAGTCGTGAGGAAGGGTGAACAAGTGGGACATAGGCCTTATGGGGAGGACGTCGGCGTCGAGGAAAATGACTTTCGAATACTGAGTGAGGCGGAAGATGTGAAGCTTGGTCAGAACCAAGTTAAGGTCCGGACGTCCTGAAAGCCGATGGTCAGCACAAACGTACACCAGCCAGGAGGAGCGTTGCGAGAGAAACCCATGGAGGATAATGACGATGAGCTTGTAGGGCGTGATGTACCCATTCACGGGGTGCAGATCACGACGAACACGCGCATGCGCCATCCCATGATGCAACAACGGTGGGAGACGTCGCAAAAATAATAGGAAAACGCGTCGAAATATATGCACTCGACAGAGATGAGGAGATATGCAGTGACTTACCGAGCAGTTTGAGACCAGTCAAGTCCTCTTGCTCGATAATTTCCACGCCAATGACGATGTCAAACGCCCTTCGGAGTAGCTTAATAGAGGACACGTCGACGGATTCTGGAGTGACGAGACATAGTGTCTGGAAGGGGACTTCAGGAGAGACGGGGGGAGAAGGATGGAGCTCCTTGAGGGCGGCAGCAACAGCGAGGGCCCCGGGAGGTAGTGGTCGGAGGTTACGAGAGTGACGAAGGCATAAAGAGCGTCCATGAGCGCAAGGCTCAGGAGGTGGGCGTCGAGGACGCAGAGGGAGGACGGAGGCAAGTGAGAAGCGGGCGTCCAGGCCGTGCCGTTCGCCGGGTGTTCTATCTACACTTACGTAACGCAGACTTCGATAGTCCTTCCGGAGCGATCAAAAATTCGCTGGACGTCAACGACGGTGGAGAGCGCACTTCCGACGCCCGACCGCTCCCCCGCCCCGCTCGCCGATCGGGGTCGTTGGGTCCCCGCGCCCGCCCCCTGCGGTCCTGCGGGTCTCCGCACGCACCAACGTTTCCCGTCGCTGCTAAACGATGTGCAGCGAGCGTGCATCTCCGCGGGTGTGTCCGGACGGCGTATGATGGTGGGCCTGGGCGTCTGCGAACACGTCTCTATTCAACGCAACGTCGCATCACCTCCGAGCCCAGTCCACTTCACAGTGGACGATCGATGGTGCGATAAGCCGTGCGATGCCACCCCCGTTTGCTCCCCGCCTGTCACTCTTTGCCCCACCCGCGCCCCAGGCCGTCGGCTGTAAATCGCCCCGACTTGACTCTCGCCGGAGTGACTTATCGCTGGAGCGCAGAACAGCCTGGAGGAACCGTCGCGTTCAACCGTTCCGATAAGTGCCCGCGGCATGAGAAGTGACGCAACAGAGAGGGCGTGAGGACAGAGAAGCGGACTCGACTGTACGACATGATTCGATGGGCATCGCCAGTTGTTATCTTGAGCGCCAAGTGTCGTGTATGCGTACATCTGAGTGCATCCTGCCACCGGCAACCAAAGTGCCAAGTTGAAGTCGCTTGTATATGAGAGACAAGGCGTATGGACTCACGTGCATGATGGCGTGTCCGATTCGCTCGGAGTCGGGTGACGCAGACGCGGCCGCAGGAGCCCCAGCCCCGTCCTTACCGTCGTCCATGATGTCCTGACTCCTCATGCCGTCTGTTGCCCCTCGTCTCCCCTGGCTCAGACTCGGGCTGAGGCAGTCTACCCTCCTCGCCCCTCTGCCCGCCATTCTTCCCTCGCGACTTCAGCGCGCCTTCCTTCTCTGTTTTTCACCCGTACTGCCGCCCCCGCGCCTTTTCCAGTCAAACGTCTGCTCTGGATCCTCCCTTTCGCCGGAGGATTTGCGCTCTATCTCTCAAAGCCCCGCGCCGATTCCCATAATGTCTTCGCCTCTCCAGACCTCATCCCCTGCCCGACCTCATGTCCCGATCTTGGGGAGACCATCATCATGTCCCCCTCGGAATCCGACTCACTGTCCTTTCTCGCGTTGCTGTCTTCCTCCGGAATAGAATTTGGAGCCTATCATGACGGCCCAACGCTTCGTCTACCTCTGCTGCATATTCATCCCAGTCTTGTTGGCGGCCCCAATGCTCCTCGTCGGCCCTCCAGAGCCTTCTTTGCGCGGAGATAGATGGGGCGCCGTGTGGTGGTACGGGTTCCTCACGAGCCAGATGCAGAGAGCGGGTCCCACGTTTACCAAGGTACGTCTCACTCTACATATCCCCCAAGAACCCACGGCCTGACCTTCTCGATCTCTTTAGCTGGCGCAATGGGCTGCCTCCAGAGCCGATCTATTCCCTGCTCTCCTGTGTGATCGCATGGGGGCCCTGCACTCCCGCGGAAAGGCGCATTCCCTTGCACACACTCGGCGAGTCATCGAAGGAGTCCTCGGTATGCCACTCGAGGAGGTCTTCGAGGAATTCGACGAAACCCCCATCGGAACCGGTGCAATAGCGCAGGTACGAGAGAGTAATGCCCCGTTGCGATGCCTGGTTTACAGCGAATATGCAGGTGTATCGAGGCACTCTGAAGAAGGACATCATCCCTCCGGCTCATCTCGCTCCCCGACGCTCAAGACGGAAAGCCGTCCTCCCTCCTCTCACCGAAGGACCTCCTCCGTCGGCTCCCACCTCATCGGTGGCTATCAAGGTGCTCCATCCGCGTGTCGCGAAGATGATAAATCGCGACCTCAGCATCATGAGCTTCTTTGCGAATTGCCTCAACATCCTCCCGACAATGCAGTGGCTGTCGCTTCCAGAGGAGGTGAATGTGTTCGGAGAGATGATGCACGAACAGCTCGACCTTCGCAAAGAGGCGGACAATTTGGCCATCTTCGAACATAACTTCGACGGACGCAAGCTTCCGGTCACGTTCCCCGCCCTCTTAAGCTGTGGAGCAGTCAAGATTTGCTAGTTGAGGAGTTCGAGAACGCCCTGCCGCTGGAATTGTTCCTGAAGAATGGAGGCGGTCCGTATAACGATACCTTGGCTGAGGTCGGGCTGGACGCGTTCTTGGTGAGCTCTGTGCCATCGTTCCAGTTAAGTCAACTAAGCACACTCCACAGAACATGCTTCTTCTGGACAATTTCGTTCATTCGGATCTCCATCCAGGGAACATCATGATCAAGTTCATGCGTCGCCAAACATCGCGAGAGACTGGATTCTTGTGGTCATCTTTTTTCAGCAAACCTGATGAGGTTGTCCCAGGGACGACAGAAACCCCTCAGAAGTCAACGATGTTGTGGTGAATCATCTCCGTGCTATCTCTGGCGACCCTGTACGCTGGCGAGCTGCCTTGGAAGACATGCACGCCGATGGCTACATCCCTGAGGTCGTCTTCGTCGACGCCGGACTGGTCACCACGCTGAACGCTGTCAACCGTCGCAACTTCCTCGATCTCTTCCGGGCTGTCGCCGAGTTCGACGGATACCGTGCCGGCGTGTGATGGTCGAGCGATGCCGCACGCCAGAGCTCGTGATTGACGTCGAGACGTTTGCGCTCCGCATGCAACATATTGTACTCAACGTGAAGCGGAAGACCTTCTCGCTTGGACAGATCAAGATATCGGACATACTCAAAGACGTCCTCCATGCAGTGAGAAAGCACCACGTCAAGATGGAAGGGGACTTCGTGAACACCGTGATCTCCATCCTCTTGCTGGAGGGCATTGGCGACAGCTGGACCCTGAGCTGGACCTGTTCAAGCGGGCGTTGCCCATTTTGCGTCAACTGGGCCGACAAATGTCCACGCAAGAGAACATGAAACAGCTTCCCTCCGGCGAGGTCGGAGCCTTCCTTAAGGTTCGATGTCTTACGTCCGCGCCGAGTTCCTATCTAACGTCTCTGTGATAGCTCTGGGTTGGATGGAGGCGCGAGAGCTTGCCACGGCGGCCTTGGTGAATGCCGACGATCTCGTCAAGTACGACTGGTGCGGCGCACTCTCACATCTTATCTGCTTCATCTCACAATACCCGCTCCTAGGCTCACCCCGGCAATTTAACCACGATCGCCATTACTTATAGATAGACTCCGTCTCACGGCGCAGCCGATGCTCCCCCTTGTAGAAGTAAACCTTACGCCAGACTTAATCCGACTCCCGCTCCATTCCCGGCTCAGTACATACCACGCTCACAACCTGGCTGTATGTTCACATCCGCGCGCTCGAACAATCTTCGGCTAAAACTCGAATTACAGCGCTTGAGCATATCCTTACACAAAGCGTGGGGATGCAGCCCCCTCTCTACGGAATACAGTACCCGGGGGCAATAAATATGGCAAATATACGGCAAATAAACGGTAAGGGGGGCACTCTAAAGGTCAACGGGGAGCTGGACGCCCTGCGGAGCTTGGCGTTCACGACGAGGGGCTTGTCGAAGAGGGTGGTGCGCGCGTTGCGGAGGCCGCGGTAGAACTCGCCCCTGTCGTGCCCGCCGGTGAGCTCGAAGTCGTACATCAGCACCATCCGCGCCAGGCACATGCGCATCTCGTGCATCGCGAAGTTCTTGCCGAGGCAGTGGTGCGGGCCTGTGGGTGGCGGCCGCGGACGGCGACGGTCAGCTTCTGCGCGCGCGGCGTGGGAGCGACGAGCCACATCGACGCACCGAAAGTGAAGGAGGACAGCGCGCTCTGGTTCGTGACCGTGTTGGGGCCAAGGCCCCCGGGGAGCCAGCGTTCGGGCAGGAACGTCTGCGGGCGTGACCGGGGTCAGCCGGGGTCACGGTCTGCGCGCGGGAGGGGCAGGGGCAGGGGCAGGGGCAGGAGCTTACGCGAGGCTCCGGCGAGAAGTTCTCCTCGGACATGTGCACGGCGTGGTTCGCGGAGGCGAGGATGACACTGGGCGGGAAGTACCTGCCGGCGACGGTGACGCCGCCGGGGGGGACCTCGCGCGGGACGTAGTACGGGGACGCGAAGCGGAGGGCTTCCTTGAGGATCGCGTCGAGAAGCGGGATGGACGCGAGCGTGGTCTTGTCGAGGTCCGCGGTCGGGTCCTCGATCACTTCCTCGAGCTTCACGCGGAGGTCGGTCCAAAGAGACGGGCGGCAGAGCATGAAGTAGACGGCGACGATGAGCGTGGTGCTGGTGTTGTCCGACCCTGGAGAGGCAGTGGTCTGTCAGGCCTGACGTGGCGTGGGGGGGCAAGGGTGGACTTGCCTCCTTGGATGGCGACGATCGCATCAACTTGGAGGTCCGCCATGTCGATCTTCCTTCCCGTCCGGGCGTCACCCTCGAGCTAGTGCATACGTGAGCAACTGCAATCAGCCGCGCCGGTACGCATTCTGACGCACCAAGTAGGACATGAGGTCGCGGATCTTGACGTTGTCGCTGTTGCGCACACGGGTCTGGATCATGCTTGCAGCCAGCGCCTTGAGCTCCTTCATCGAGTCCATGGTCGCTAGACCAGGCAACCACCACAGGATGTCGATGAGCCACGGGCACAGACCGAAACTGTTGTGGGGGGTTGGCATGAGCCATTCAGACAACACGCGGGGACAACAACTCACCTGTCGAGCACCACGGTAGCAATCTTTCCTCCTTCGACTATGTTCTTTGGATCACCATCCTTCATCAGCCGCTGCTCCGCATATGAGTACCGGATCACTGTCGGCGCGGGCAAGGCACTCACAAGACCATTGGTACCGCCAAAGGTGGCATCACCCTGGTGATAAAATGTGAGCGAGGCGCATCGAGATTTTTCTAGAGTGTTCTCACCATGATATCATACGCCCAATGGCAAAGGCACTCATACAAGTTCACGGAGCCATCAGGGCGGGTGCGGTCCGCGATGCATTTCATCAGGTACCAAGTGTTGCGATGGAGAGGTGTGAAGAAGTTTGATATCCTGCGCGGACGGTGAGCTCACGCTCTCGCGCGGGGTCAGGCCTACACGCACGAGTTCATGGTGAACGCCTGGGCCCAGATATGCTTGCGGGCGGCATGGTCGTCCCGGGACTGCTTGAAGAAGAGCGCGACTTCTCCGGTGCTGCCGGGAAGGTTGTAGGAGTCGGGCTTGTCGAGGTGCGTCTTCGCGCCGTAGATGGTGATCAACTCGGAGGAGTCGTTTGTAGAGAGGATGTTTGGGCCTGCGCAAGGCTCCTCAGCGATGGCCTTGGGAGCGCCAGGTCTAGGGAGCTCACATACCGATGCGAACGAACTTGCCGTAACGCTCGTGGAGGCGTTCGAGCTCGAGGTGGCGATGGCCGGTCCAGGAGAGGGTGGCGAGGAAGAGGGTGCTGATGCGCCAGAGGTAAGGACCGGGGTATTCCGCTAGGGGGTGGAAGGGCGACAGGCGGTAGAGGACTGTGCTCGTTGCGAGTGAGGCGAGGTAGATGAGGAGAGTGAGGGAGGCATGAAGGATGCTCGGGGATCAGCAAGCCAGTAGTTGTAGGCGGAGAGGGAAGCGAGAAGGAAAGCGGAGTAAAGAAGGAAGTAGTCTCCGCGAACGGTGTGACGGTTGAGGAAACGCCAAGTGAGCTGGATGATGGTCGGGTGAGCGGGAGGGAGGGAGGAGGGGAGGGGACTCACAAGACCGGCAAGAACGGGGGCTGCATCGTGGATCGCCATGGGGGTCGAACGTGGATCGCAGGAAGTGGACTGCGAGCGCCGAAGGAGACACAGACAGCGCCGTGGGGTGGACGGAGTTATATGAGAGAGAGAGCATGTGGTGCTCCAGGCGGATCAACGGTGTCCGGAGGCGTTCTGGGCTGGATATGTGATATGGGCTGCAGGGCGAGCACAGAGGTCATTGCCTCATGATCGGGCATGTCAGGGCAGGTCCCGGCGTCGGCGGATCCGTGCCCTTGATCTGCCTGTTGCCGTCCACGGAGCAGGATGGAACGTGCATAGATAATCAGAATGGCTGCTGTTGGTGCAACCAAATTCCGAAAGCTGAGCCAGGGGGGCTCGGGGGCCGTTGGCAATGGCAAACTGCGCGCCAGGGGGACCAGCTGTGGCCAGAAGGTGTTGACATCACTTCTGTGGACGGGCCGGGCGCGATATCGCACAGGTTTCTGCGCGCCAGCCCAGCGCATCTGCCGCGGCTCGACACGGATTCGCCCGGCCCCATGCGAGTTGTGACGTGCACGTCGATCCGGGGACCGCCTTCTTCGACCACCCAAACGCGCATCATCAAGATGGATACCTGCAATACAACAACGCTTCTACTCGAGACAAAGGTACAAATAAGTTATGAATATGTACGACTACAACCGGGACACCGTGCGTACGAATCTAATACATGTACGGGATCATACAGTAAGGCACCTGCGCCCTGTACTTCTCCCAGGTCTCGCCGAAGTGGGAGCGGAGCTGGGCGTCCTCACCCGAGCACCGCCGGGCGAGGTTGACGACCGCAAAGGTCGAGAGCATCGGCATGAACATGAACTGGGGGGTGTACGAGAGGTTGCACTGCGAGATGTATCCCGCGTCGTCCCAGAGGCTGAGGTGGACGCCGATGAGGAGGAGGAGAACGCCGGTGTAGCCCGGGTGGCGTACGATCGAGTAGGGGCCGGAGGCGACGAGCTGGTGGTCATCCTTGATCACGACCTCGTACGTGAACAGCCCACCCAGCTTGCGCATCGCGACCCAACGGAAGAGACCTCCGGCGAGGGCGAAGGCAACGCCGACGATAAAGCGCGGTGTGAACGCAGTGAGCGTTTCAAGCGAGGACGAGGGGGTGGGGCAAATGAGCGGGAGGACTGGCCGCAGAGCCTTGCCCTGGGGGTGGTGGGAGAGGAGCATGACCGCGTGCCCGATGGCGATTCCGACAATAAGCATCTGCAATGCGCGCTTGGAATAAGAAAAAGTGGAAACGGGTGAGAGGAGGAGATACGGACGGAGCCGGAGCCGGAGACATAGCGGACGACATGCTCAAAGAGCATGCCCTTGTAGATGGGGCCCTTGCTCTGGGGGGCGCGCTTGGGCGGGGTGAGGACGAGGACGGCAAAGAAGGCGGGAATGGAGACCAAGGCGAGCTTGAAGAGGGTGACGGCGAGGGGGAAGGACGAGGGGGCCATCGTGCGGTGGTCGGCGACTTCGGGGCCAGGGCGGGTTAGAAAGGCGTTGATGAAAAGAAGAGGAGACTGACTCGGGAGAAGAAGGGAAAGGAAGAGAAGAGGAAGAAGAAGATGGGCGCAGATGCGGGACGCACGGCTGCGGCGGGCGAGGCGGGGGCGGGGCTATTTGAGACCCTCGCCCGGAGTGGTCGAAGATTGGCCGGCGACGGGCCATCAAAGCATCAAGCTTCAAGCCCATCTTGCCCATGGACGCGTGGAAGAGACGGGGCGGCGGACGGACGAGCGATCCGCGCGCCATCCCAGACGCGTGACAGGGCGGACCGAGGACCCCGGACAACGCGTCTCCGGGGAGAGATCGCGGACCAACGGCGACCCGGCTGTCTGGTATCCACGCCGGCGCACGCCCAGTCCTCGTCGCCTTCTCCAGCGAGCCGCGCTCTCGTCGGACTCGGGCTCTTCGATGATGGTGCACCGCCCATGCTCCCCAGGGCCTCTACCCCCGCCCGCCTTCTCTCCCCCCGTCCCCCGTCTTCCTCCCCTCCTCCCCACTCCCCTTCTGCGCCATGGCCTCCTCCGTCAAGGAGAAGCCGTCCGTCAACGACCTCGTCCTTGCCGCTTCAGACTCCCCCGACCAACTCAAGCCGCTCCCTGACGAGTCCAGGTAGATGCCGACCACACCCTCCTTGGTCCCGTTTCACTCACCACACCCCAGCTCCTCTCAGCCTCCTGCCAAAGATGACGAATTCTCCTGGTCCACGGTCGGCCTGCCCTTCTGGATGCTGCTCATTGCCACCCTCACCTGCGACTTCCTCTCCGCCTTCGACCTCGTATGTCCTTCTGGCTCGCCTCGTGACCGCTGCTCATAATGTATGCGACACAGTCCGCTGTCTCCACTACGCTGCCCACGATCGTCAACCAGCTCAACGGCACCGATTTCATCTGGGCCGGTAGTGCGTACCCGCTTGCCGCCACCGCCCTAATCCCTCTTTGTGGCGGTCTCGTCTCCATTTTCGGTCGCAAGCCTGTCCTCCTCTTCAGCGTCATCCTCTTTGCTGCCGGTTCCGCCATCTGCGGAGCTGCCCACAACTTGAATATGCTCATCGCTGGCCGTAGTATGTCTCTTCCCTTCCCCAGGCCCTCGTCCAACTCTGACTTCCGGCGCCTATTCGTCCAGCCGTCCAAGGTCTCGGTTCCGGCGGCTGTCTCGCCACAACCGAGATCATCTACGCGGACCTCGTCCCTCTCCTCAGCGTGGTATCATCCAAGGCATCACTGCTGTGTAGGTGTCATTGCCGGTGCCTCACATTGCAGCAATTAACGTAGCATCGACAGGATGTGGGCTGGCGCTTCGTAAGCACCCTATCGAACACGCCCAAGTCTAGTATATTGAACGCACACAGCGCTACAGGACCTATCGTGGGTGGTGCTCTAGCACACGGGAATGTATGGCGCTGGTTGTTCTACTTGAACCTACCCATCTCCGGTGTTGCCCTCGCGCTCATCATCTACTTCTACCGGGTCCCGTCACCCAAGTTCTCTTTCCGTGAGAAAGTTGCGAAAATGGATTGGATGTACGTTCCACTGTGTTCATATCACGAGGTCCAATTGATTCACTCCTCCTCTCTAGTGGTGCCATCATCGTCGTTGGGGGCTCTGCATCGCTCACCTTGGCCTTGACGTGGGGAGGCATCCAGTTTGCCTGGAGCGCCCCTCAAACCCTTGTTCCTCTCATCGTTGGCATTGTGGCGTTGATTGCTTTCTTCTTCGTCGAGCGTTTCGTCAGTGCAGAGCCTATAGTAAGTCCATCTTCACTGCTTCTTGGGCGGTGTTCTCACAACGACTGCTTCAAGATTCCATGGTCGGTCGTCAACAATCGTACCTCTCTAAGCGGGTGTGTCGTGCCCATTGCTACTTGATGCTCTCTCTGGACTAAATCGCTTCGCTCAGATATTTGGGTACTGGCGTTCATGGCATTGTCTCCTTTGGCGCCATATACTACTTGCCAGTATACTTCCAGTCCGTCAAAGGCGCCTCCCCGGTGAGATCCGGTGTCGACATCCTTGCCATGGTCTGCTTTATCGCGCCATCCTGCATCGGGGTAGGGATTTCAGTGGAGATATCCCGTCGATATCGCCCCCAGAACTACATCGGATGGGCGCTTACCATCGCTGGCTTCGGGATCCTCACCCTCCTCGACGACAATTCCAGCAAGGCACGATACGTCTGCTCGCAGTTCGTGCTAGGCATAGGCCTTGGAATCATATGGATTGCGACCCAATTTCCGATCCTCGCACCGCTGCCCTACTCAAACAACGCACATGCACTCGCCTTCTTCACGTTCGTGCGCTGCATGACACAGGTCTGTACCGGTTTCACATCGTCCCATCAGATCTAGGCTGATCGGCCCGACTTTCGTACTTGACCAGAATTGGGGCATCGCAATCGGCGGTGCAATCCTGCAGAACCAGCTCCAAGCGAAGCTCCCTAGCGCGCTGATCGACTCGCTGCCCTCTGGCGCGGCGTTCGCCTACTCCCTTATTCCAGCGATCAAGGACCTCAGCCCGCCGTTGCTTCAAGACGAGGTTCGCCACGCGTTCGCCGATAGCCTGAAGCTCATCTGGGAGACCATGGCGGGCATCTCCGGCCTTGGCCTCCTCAGCTGCCTCCTCATGAAGGAGGTCGACATGCGGACGGACGTGGACGAGCAGTGGGCACTCGAGGGCAAGGAGAAGAAGCCCGCCGTTGAGGGAGAAGCGTGAAGAGACTCTGGAGCTCGACTCAGTTTCTTGTGAGCGCTAGACATTTGCCGCTGTCTTCTGGCTTAGACTACTTATTTTCGATGGACGGCCGTGTGCGTATCGCGGTGGTTATGCCGGTGTGTGGACGTGCGGGGCTGCTCATGTGGACTTCGCAGCCACGCGCGAGATGCGCACGACTCTCTGCTGTATCTAATCATTTTCTGATGCCTCTATTGCTGCCTCTTCCGAGCGTGGAGCCGGCTATGTACTCTCATGGGTATGTGTCTGATGAACGAGCCCACTAGCACGTACAGAGACGCATGGCAGGAGTCTCAGAATCTAGATATGCATGGGTATAATAGAGCGTACATGCCGCTCGTCGGCGCTGGAGCCTAACGCTCAACGGTCGAAGTGCTGATGTGGTTCTCAAGCCATGAGAAGCAATCATTGAAGTACTTGTCCTTGATATCCGGCTCGGTCATCAGATCATGCATCATGCCCTAGAGCGAGGCCGTGCTTCGATCAGCGCTGAGATCGGCGAGAAGAAAGCGAGAGAATGAGAACCTCGTATATGATGAACTCCTTGTCCGGTGCCTGCAGTTTCTCGAAGACTTCCTTGGTAGGTGGGAAAGCGTTGACCTGCGCGAGATCTCTGTGAGCCGCAAACTCTGGCACACGTTCGAATCACGGACCATATCTGCGCTCCCATGGAGGATCAGTACCTGGGGGCGCACAGTCAGAAGGCATTAGGATCCGACGGATGGGCGCGGACATACCGGCAGTCTCGCGGGCCATTGCTTGTACCCTTCTTGGAGCAGGAGCTCGCCCTGTGGACGAGCGCGGGTCAGCTGGGCGCCTGAGAGTGACGTCAGGGTAAGATTACCCTGGAAATCATGTCGATAAGGCCCTCCAGACGGCCGTAGCCCTTGATGTACGGGTCCTTCAGACTGTCCTCGCCGACGGTCGGGTCATGAGAAAGTCCTGATCAAAGATGGTTTCAGGAGCGCGTCGAGGACACTACGGCTGACCGAGACCTTATCTTGGACGGGCGTCTTGATGACGAGGTTCGGCAGGAATCTGCCCACGAATTCCAAGAGCTTGCGTTCGAGCGTGGACGGCGCCCGTCGCGCCACCTCTACAAGAGGGCTAGAAGCTATCACGCCCGACAGCAGATCGACGGTCTTCTGCTCTGGTGGAGCCGTTCCATCGCGGGTCGCGAAGCTGAGCGCCAGACCAGCGCCCTGGGAGATACGGGCGCTATCAGCACTTGCACTAGCCACTTGCAGTCGCATGGTGAGGAAGTCACGTACCATGGAGTGAGCCATGAGGAAGACCGGCACGTCGGGCACGGTTGTGTGCGCGTGCGTGATGGCCCATTCCGCGTCCGATGCGCGCTCTTTGATGCCTCCCGTCTTTCCGTACAGGCTGCTGGGGCTGCGCTGGTCGCCGAGCGCGGTGCGGCCGAAGCCACGCATGTCGTACGCGAAGACCGCGACGCCGTCGGAGGCCCAGCGGGCGTGCGCGGCGGTGTAGCGGCCTATGTGCTCGATGTAGCCGTGGATGAAGACGAGGACGGCGCGGGTGGGGGTGGGGGAGGGCGGGAGGTAGAGGCGGGTGTAGAACTTGGTCTCGAACGGGCCGTCGAGCCACTGCTCGTCGTACGGAAGCGGGGCAGATTCGGACATGGCGTGCGGTGGTCGGGGGCGTGCTCGTGAGCTGGGTGAAGGCTCGGACGAGCAGACGAAGGGCGGCGGGCGACGAGAGGGCGTCCCGGACGCCACGGCGGAGTGTTGTCCCGCGTCGCGAGGGATGAGAGCGGGGGAATCGCAGAAGCTGACAGCCGCGACGCCCGGGACACCCGGGGACGAGACACACCGGAGGGTGGCTAGGACGGGGTGGCGGGGGGCTCGGGGATTTGCATCGAAGGGCCACCATGCTGCCATCTGCCCTGGAGCGTGATGGATCTCCGCCATCCCCTTGCCGGGCGCCGCGCCCGAGCATCCTCGACAGGCACCTGCACGGCCACCTCGGTGCCATCTGCTCCTCCTCGCACTGTCCCCCGCCTGAGCATCCTCCACGGCGTCATCGACCGTGCGACATCCCATCAAACCGTCCTGGCGGTCGCCCGCGCTGCCGTATCGCACCCCGCGGGCTCACAGCCCATCACCGAACGGTTTCCAATGCCAGAGCGCATCACGGTCCCTACCCTCCTGCTACTTATGCACACCGCGCGGCCTCGCGCTGCCCTCGGTTTCTCGCTCGTTCGCCCTTCACCGGTCACCCCCGTCGCTCCTTCGTCATGAACTCGACCACCTTCCCCTTCCCTATTCTGCCGCCTGGCACTCCGCTTTTTGATGTCCACTATACTTTCGGGGCTGCTTACATCGGTAGCCTGGCGTCCATGGGGTCCGTCCCCATCCTCGTTCTCCTAATCGCCGCTCCTCACCCCAGTTCCAGCCTTCTCGGCGCCACCACGCTCCAGGTATGGTACTACTACAACAACTTCCCAGAGGACCGTCTCTGGATGAAACTCATGGTGCGCCCATCCTTGTCTTGCCGATGTCTTTCCCACTCACTCGGTCCCCGCTCAGGTTTTTTGTGTATGGTGCGATCCACCCATATCCGTTCTCTGAGTTTGCCACTCACCAACGCACAGGATCGTCGAGTTCATTCGGTCGACGTTCACCGCACACGCTGTGTATAACTATCTGGTCCTCAACTGGGGTAACGTCCTGGGCCTTTCGGAGATTGTTTGGTGAGCTCCTACAGATGATCGTCTCGACCTGCTTCTGACAACGTGATCCCTGTCTCCAGGAGCTTGAGCGTCCGTCCACGTCCGCTCTCGTATCGAACGCGTTTTGCTGACCTTTGGCGCCATTGCATCAACAGTCCATCATCATCATGACCGTGCGTTTCACCGTGTCACGTCGGCCCGCTCTCGCCTGATTGCCCCATTGCAGAACATTGGCGAGCTTTTCGGCCACTTTTACTTTGCATGGCGTATCTATAAGAGTACGTCATCCTTGCCCCTTGGGCCCTGGCGGAGATGGTGATCTGATCCGGGATGCAGTCAGCACGGGTGCTGTCCGCTACGTCCTGACTTCCCTCGTCGTAAGCCCCGCAACGATCTCGGCCTTCAGTCAGCAGGTTGATCTCTTGGCCGCAGGTCGTCCTCACCCTTTGGAACTTCGGCATGGGCACGGCTACCTTCGTGAACCTGTGGGTGCCGCCGCTTTAGTGACTCTTGTCGTCATTCTTACCTTCGATCCCCAGGCTCCAGGCGAAGAACCTCACCGACTATGCCGCCGGCGCACAGAGCGTATGTCTTTGTCTCCAGTTTGGTGCCCATTATTCTAGGTAACTCACGTACTCGCTGATAGGTCCTCGCGCCTTTCGCGCTCGTCACCGCCATTTCGACGGACGTGGCTATTGCTGGGTCCCTCGTATTCCTGCTTAACCGGACTCGCACTGGTTTCTCAAGGTTCGTGGCCGCTTTCTCCGGAAAACGGTGGGAATGACTGACTGGATATATTGTAGAACAAACCGCCTGCTCAACACCCTTATTTTCTACGCCATCCAGGTTGGCGCAATCACTGTGTGGGTGGTTCTCGTTCGCTGCATGTCTTCCAGGTGGCTGACATATCGTTCAGCATCGCGGATGTCGCAGTCATCGTACTGGCAAGTTTCTTTACAACGCTGACGTGGTTTTCCTCGCTCATCCCCTCCTGCAGAACCAGTACATTGACAAGCTCCAGTTCATGTACATCGGTGTTTACGCGGTCGTTGGCAACTGTGAGTCAACAGTAGTTTCACTGTGGTTACGTTGACTCATCAGACGCATTCCTGTAGTGTACGCCAACTCGCTGTTGGCGAGGTGAGCATTTTGTGCTTTAACTTTCGAGAAAGGGGGCTCATGACATCAAAACAGCTTGAATGCCCGGGCATCGCTCAAGGTGACTGCTGCCACGGTTGTTTCCTCGATGCACAACACTACTGGCTCGCGCACGGTAACATGGTACGTCTCGCGATGTTGTTACTATCGGTCTAATGTCCTCTGACCCCGTCTTAGGCCGGCCAGACGAGCATGCACGTCGCGCCGCCACCAGCAAAGCCCAGAACGCGATTCACCTGTCCACGTTCGGCCCGACGGTGGAGGTTACCCAGGAATACCACTACGACCCCGAGAGCAAAGCTGGCTACCCCGGACGTCGTGGGGACTTCTCGGTTTAACCCCACCTTCTGTGGACGAAGTGAGGTGAGGTGACGAGTTCGATATCTATCTATCTATCTCTCAGTTGGATTGCCGGCGGAGGCGGTGTAGCTTCTGTGGACTTGTTGTTTATCTCATCACATTGGCTTGTTGTACCGACTATAACGTAGTATTTATGTGTATTTGTGTGGACATTCGCTCTCTGGGCTACGCATGCCAAGCGGAATGTGGTCTGTCCGTCTGATTAGTACATCGCCTTCTAGACATCGTAACTTCTGGCTGGTCACTCAAGATACATTCCAGGGATGGGTCAAGTGTTTGCGGGCTTCTGGTCCAGATGCTCCTTGCCCGACCCTTGCTCGGCACCCCGCTCGTGGTGGGTCTGACCCGGCCGTGCGGGGTGAGCACCGTCGCCCACCCGCGCTCGTACTGGTTCGCGGGCTTGACGGCGACGCCAAGCTTCTGTGCGGCCTGCATCGCCCAATGCGGGTTGCGGATGAGCTCGCGTGCGAGGAAGACGACGTCCGCCTGGCCGTTCCGGAGATACATCTCCGCCTGTTCCGCGTCGGTGATCATCCCGACGGTCCCGACGAGCATGTCCGGGTGCGCCTTCTTGATCGCCGCCGCGAAGGGGACCTACAACCCGATCGCAGATCGTCAGCTGCCGGTGCCACCGGCTCTTGCCCTTCACGGCGACAGACGATGGAGTGAATCTGTGGCGCCGCGGTAGGCGACCTGGCCCCCGAGCGCGCACTCAATTATTAATGATGTGCGCGTACCTGGTAGCCGGGCGCGACGGGGATCTTCTGCTTGAGCCAGTTGCCGCCGGTGCTCACGTCGACGAGGTCGACGCCGAGCTGCTTGAGCTCACCGACGAAGAGAGTGCTCTGCTCGAGCCCCCACTGCTTCCACTCGCCTGTCGCGGCGTCGCGCTCGGGGCCCTCGGCCCAGTCGGTGGCGCTGATGCGGTAGAAAAACGGCTTGGGCCAGGCGGCGCGGACCTTCTGCACGACGGAGAGCGAGAAGCGGACGCGGTTCTCGAACGAACCGCCGTACTGGTCGGTGCGGAGGTTCGAGAGCGGGGACATGAACTCGTGTTGAAGGTAGCCGTGCGCGCCGTGGATCTCGATGAAATCATCTGGAAGAAATTGAACTGAGCCCCAGGCATCCACTTGATCGGGAGAATGGTACAAACATCCAATTTTCTTGCACCGCTCGACGGCGTCAAGGAAAGCTTGTTCAATCTGCTTGATCTCCGCCTCGGGGAGCTCGTAGGGTGTCGGATAAACGTCAGAGAAAGGGATCGGGCTCGGAGCGGCGACTGTGGTATGACAACAGCCGTGATGAGACTCCAGCTCGCGAGGACGGCCTTGAACACCCACCTCTGTCGGCCCAGCCTCCGTCTTCCAGCAGCGCAATATAGTTCGGCGCAATGCGCGTGTGGGCCATATCGGAGTGCACCCACGGGGCCATCGTGGAAGACTTGCGCCCAGCATGGGCGAGCTGAACGCCAATGACGGCACCCTGAGCGTGGGCGAAGTCAACGATGCGCTTCAGTGGTGCGATCTGGCTGTCGTCCCAGAGGCCCTGTGTGTTTCAGTGGAGTGATCATGTGCTGAGCCGAAACGGGCATACTGCGTCCTGGGGCGAGATGCGTCCTTCGGGGATAACTGCGGTCGCCTCCATGCAGATGGCACCCAGGCCACGGGTAGCGAACCCTGTGCCAAAACAATGAGCTCTAGCGAGCGGCGATTAGAGCGAACGAGAAGCCTACCCCGATGTGGACGAAGTGCCAGTCAGTCGCATGGCCCTTGTCTGAGCTGTACTGGCACATTGGCGACTGCGCCGTGCATGCAAGTCAACGAGGATGAAGCTTGCACCGTCCCGAAATGCTTGCTCACCACGAACGCTCTGTTGTGGAACGTAACCCCACGGATCGTCAGTGGCTTGAAAAGCTCCGGCATTGTCGCATTCTGGGGGTAGATGCTCTGAAGGCAAACTGAGACTAGGCGTCGATGACTAACGGTGGAAGACAAAGGTCACTGACACTGGGGTAAGCCAATCCGATAGGGGGGTCGTTGAGAGGGAGATATTGGTAGGCACCGGGAACGCCGGTATTGACGAACTTATGCCCAGACATGATTGCAGAGAGCGGGGCGGATGAGAGGGAGGTGCTGCTTAAGGCCTGTAGATATAGCAGCTGAAGAGGTCATTTGAGATATATCGACATCGATGACGGCACCCATGCCGTCCGGAATTTCACCTCTGGGCGCCTCCCTTCCCACGCGGGTCTCTGGTCCTCAAGGCCTCAACCGCACCTCGCGTTTGCACAGGACATGGCCATCCACCCCGTCTTCACTCGCGCACTGCATCAAGCCCATCCCGAAGCTTTGATCCAACAGCACGGTACCACCCTGCGCGCCTCTACCGGCCAACAGTACTTCGCAAAGATCGGCGACCCGAGCGAGCAAGACCAGTACACAGGGGAGGCCGAGTCTCTGAAGGCAATGGGAGTCGCTGCCCCTGGTATCGTCCCGGCGATGATCTGCAGCGGACTCATTGACACTGACTGCAAGTGGCGAGAAAGCGACGTGGGAAGGCCATATTTCCTCTCAGAGTACAAGGACATAAGCTCGCTCACCACTGACGCGGCAAGCGAGCTTGGGAAGCGTCTGGCCACCGAAATGCACACCTACCGCAGTTCGAACGGGAAGTTTGGATTCCATTTACCGACCTTCTGCGGTCCCACGAGGCAGGACAACGGCTGGTATGATAAGTGGTCAGAGTGCTTCGATGCGCTCATAGGCGGCTTGGTGGACAAATTGGAGGCCAAAGGCGGTTTTAGCTCGCTCTGTCGACAGGCTGCGCAGGTGAGGGAAAGGTGAGTGCGGTCTTCAAACCTTCGCCGCTCCGTGATGGCTGTTTTGCTGAACAGATGTATGAGGGTGATTCCTGCCCTTCTGAACCCGCTCGACATCCTGCCTGTTCTGTTGCACGGAGATCTCTGGGTACGCTCGGCTGAGCCATTTGACTTGGACGTCTGGATTTGACGCTTGCGCGGCCAGAGTGGGAACATGGGTGTGGATCGCCTGACCGGAAAGCCAGTCATATTTGATCCTTCGTGCTACTACGGGCACAGCGAAGCCGAGTGAGTCCGTGGTAGCGCCGCCCCTGAAGTGCTCTCACCAATCGCTCGACGCCGTAGCTTGGCGATTGGACGGATGTTCGGCGGGATCCCGCAGTCGTTTTATAAGACGTACCACGATCATCTTCCCAAGTCCTCCCCACAGGACCAGTACGAGCTGCGTCAAGAGCTCTATCAGCTATATCACTATCTGAACCATACAATCCTCTTCGGTGTAAGACCACTGACCTATGACACCCCGAGCAGCATGACTAATGGCCAGAAAACCCACAGGGATCGTACGCCAATAGTGCAGGTCGCAAGATGGAAAGGCTTTTGCGAGAGATTTCTTCCGTGATGTCCTAGAAATATGTACGGCATTGTTAGTACTTTCTCTGTGACAAGTCTCAAAATCAGAGGCAATTGACGAGCCGAGCGTACGAATCTACGAATCGCACATGGAGGCCTGCATGGGAGAAGAATGTGTATGACCACGCGGGAGCAGGTGAACGAAAATGAACGAGGGCAATTGCCAGCGCCTGTCGCCTAGGTCGTACTCGGGCGCTTGATCAGGCGCACAAGCGCCGAGTGCTCTTCGTCAGCGAGGACGCTCTTCGACGCGGTCTCCAGCGTCGTTGGGCCCTCTCCACTACGTCGCCCTAGCCGTCCGACCCCCCGTCGCTCTCTAATTCAGCTGCACACGCGTCCTTTCACCGCTGGGTCTCGTTCAGGCTCTACCTGGGGTACCCCGTTTGCGTCTTATTTGCGTCTTGAAGATTCTCGTTCCAACCTCACGTACACGATCGTTCACGCCTTATAATGAGCCAAGGTGGGCTCGTTCACTTATTTAAACGGAAATTGTACTGAACGAACGTCTGTAGCTTACCCTGACCCTTCTCAAGCATCATTTTATGACGATGGTTATGGATTCGACGGCGACGGCGAGGAACAAGAAGACATCACCCAGGAAGACTGTTGGGCTGTCATCTCCGCTTTCTTCAACGAGAAGGGCCTCGTCAGACAGCAGCTGGACTCTTTCGACGAGTTTGTGAACAACACAATGCAAGAACTCGTCGATGAGAATGCGGACCTAATCCTCGACCAAGCTGACCAACATACGGGACACGAGACGGATGTGACGCGTCGCTATGAAATCAAGTTCGGCCAAGTTTATCTTTCCAAACCCCTCATCACGGAGCCCGATGGCTCTGTCGTACCACTCTTCCCTCAAGAATGCCGCCTCCGTAACCTGACGTACTCCGCGCCACTCTACATGGAGTTGAGGAAGAGGGTCCTCATGGGTAGGGAGGATCCTGATAGTGCTACGGGAGACATGATTTGGGAGTCGGAATTTGATGAACGGGCAGAGGAGCACGAGAAAGTGTGGATAGGCAAGGTATGTATCATTTTAATCCGGTCAATGAGCCAATCCTTCATGGTGCCTATGTTCAGGTGCCCATCATGCTGCGTTCCGGTTTCTGCATTCTCCAAACCTGCGAAGACGATGAACTCAACGCCTTGAACGAATGCCCTTTCGACTCTGGAGGCTACTTCATCATCAACGGCTCAGAGAAGGTGCTCATTGCTCAGGAGCGCATGGCCACCAATCACGTCTACGTCTTCGCGAAGGCCCAGCCATCTCCCATTAGCTTCTTGGCGGAGATTCGTAGTGCGGTTGAGAAGGGTGGCAAGACTATCAGTCAGTTCCAGGTGAAACTGTATCACCGCAGCCAAGACCGTACAGTACGTTTCATATACAATTGGCTGCCCGTGTGCCAGATATCTTATACCTTTGGATAGTTGGGCAATGTCATGAAGGCGACCATCCTTACATCAAAGTAGACATCCCGATCTGGGTCGTCTTCCGAGCTCTGGGGATAATCTCCGACCGCGACATTCTCGAGCATATTTGTTATGATATGCAAGATAATCAGATGCTGGAGATGCTGAAGCCATGTATCGACGAGGGCTTCGTAATTCAGGATCGCGAGGTTTGTTTTCTTCATGTCCTTTGGTCTCGCATTGCCCATCTCTACTTTTATAGATTGCCCTTGACTACATGGCAACCGTGGCACGACGACAGGTCTCAACCGGAGCGTCGTCTACGCTACGCACAAGAAATCCTGCAAAAAGAGATGCTGCCTCATGTTTCCATGGCCGAAGGATCTGAGTCGAAGAAGGCTTATTTCTTTGGATACATGATCCACCGTCTCCTCCTTGCTGCTTGGAACGCCGAGACCTCGATGACCGTGACCACTTCGGCAAGAAGCGACTCGACCTGGCTGGTCCCCTTCTTTCTAACCTTTTCCGGATGCTCTTCCGCAATTGACGAAAGACGTGTACCGCTACCTCCAGAAGGTAAGTCTTGTGGCCCGCGTAATCCCATCACGACTAATGTCCGTCTTCAGTGTGTCGAGACCCACAAGGAGTTCAACCTCGCGCTTGCTGTTAAGCACAACACCATCACCAACGGTCTCAAATACTCTCTTGCGACTGGTAACTGGGGAGACCAAAAGAAGACCATGTCCTCTAAGGCCGGCGTATCACAGGTGTTGAACCGCTACACGTACGCGTCAACCCTCTCCCACTTGCGTCGTTGCAATACCCCTCTTGGCCGAGAAGGCAAGATCGCCAAACCTCGTCAGCTCCACAACACTCACTGGGGCATGGTATGCCCCGCGGAGACACCGGAAGGACAAGCTTGCGGTCTGGTCAAGAACCTCTCACTCATGTCATGCATTTCCGTCGGCTCGCTTTCCGGTCCCGTCATCGAGTTCTTGGAAGAATGGGGTCTGGAGAGTCTTGAAGAGCGTAACCATGCCACGGCGTCATACACCAAGATCTTCGTCAACGGCGTTTGGATGGGCGTGCACCGCAATCCTGCTCAGCTCGTCACCTATCTTCGTCAACTTCGCCGAAAGGACGACATCAATCGGAGGTCTCTGTTGTCCGTGACACCCGTGAGCGCGAGCTGCGCCTCTACACCGACGCTGGTCGAGTCTGCCGTCCACTATTCATCGTCGAAAATCAGCAGCTTCTCATCAAGAAGAAACACGTCGAGCTGATCGGCACTATAAAGCCGGAAATCGGTGCAGACAAGGACACCGTTCCAGACAAGGACCCCATTCCAGACCAGGACGCCGTTCCGGACAAAGACAAGAAAAAAGACATAAACCGTTTCGGCTGGAATGATCTCATCCAGGAGGGCGTCATCGAGTTGCTGGATGCCGAGGAAGAGGAGACCGTGATGATTTCCATGACTCCTCAAGATCTGGAGGAATCTCGGGCTCGTGCAGCGGGGCTCGAGCCAGTCGAAGAGGAGAATGAGGACCCGTCGGCGCGCCTGAAGGCCGTGACTCATGCTCACACTTGGACGCATTGCGAGATTCATCCAAGTATGATTCTGGGGGTATGTGCCAGCATCATTCCCTTCCCCGACCACAACCAGGTACGCGCCATGATTCAGGTTGACTGGTTCCTCTTTAACACCGCTTTAGTCCCCGCGTAATACCTACCAATCCGCTATGGGCAAGCAAGCCATGGGTATCTTCCTCACCAATTTCCTGATTCGCATGGACACGATGGCGAACATTCTCTACTACCCTCAGAAGCCCCTTGCAACCACCCGTTCTATGGAATATCTCAAGTTCCGGGAGCTACCAGCCGGTCAGAACGCTGTGGTTGCATCCTTTGTTACAGCGGGTACAACCAGGAAGATTCCGTCATCATGAACCAGTCCTCGATCGACCGTGGTCTGTTCCGCAGTATCTACTACCGGAGCTACATGGACCTGGAGAAGAAGTCGGGTGTACAGCAGCTCGAAGAGTTTGAGAAGCCTACCCGCGACACCACGTTGCGCATGAAGCACGGGACCTACGACAAGCTTGAGGAGGATGGTCTCATCGCTCCAGGAACAAACGTCAACGGTGAAGACATCATCATCGGCAAAACGGCTCCTATTCCTCCAGACAGCGAAGAACTTGGCCAGCGGACGCGGAGTCATACCAAGCGCGATGTCTCGACTCCTCTCAAGAGCACCGAGCAGGGTATCGTTGATCAGGTGCTCCTTACGACGAACGCCGAGGGCCAGAAGTTCGTCAAAATTCGCGTCCGTTCGACCCGCATCCCTCAGATTGGCGACAAGTTCGCCTCTCGTCACGGTCAGAAGGGTACGATCGGTATCACCTACCGCCAGGAGGACATGCCGTTCACCGCCGAGGGCATCACGCCCGACATCATCATCAATCCCCACGCCATTCCCTCTCGTATGACGATCGGTCACTTGGTCGAGTGTCTACTCTCCAAGCTTGCCACCCTCATCGGCCAAGAGGGTGACGCGACGCCTTTCACCGACCTCACTGTCGAGTCTGTCTCCGGCTACCTACGTCAGAAGGGCTACCAGTCCCGCGGTCTCGAGATCATGTACCATGGGCACAGCGGCCGCAAGCTCCAGGCGCAGGTTTACCTCGGTCCCACGTACTACCAGCGCCTCAAGCACATGGTCGACGACAAGATCCACTCGCGTGCGCGTGGACCGGTGCAGATCCTTACTCGTCAGCCCGTCGAGGGTCGCAGTCGTGACGGTGGTCTGCGGTTCGGAGAGATGGAGCGTGATTGCATGATCTCGCACGGTGTCGCAGCGTTCTTGAAAGAGCGTCTCTTCGAGGCCAGCGACGCATACCGACTGCACGTCTGCGACATGTGCGTATCTCACCGACTCGTTCTATGCAGTCCTCTAACCCTTTTGTCCACAGTTGCGGTCTCACTGCTATCGCGAACCTCGTAAGAATATCATTATACGACATCGCCAGCGGATACTCATTGCAATTCTATGCAGAAAAAGCAAACGTTCGAGTGTCGTGCTTGCAAGAACAAGACTGCTTGTTCACAAATTTACATCCCTTATGCCGCCAAGCTGCTCTTCCAGGTAAGCCGCGGTGAAGTCAGTTCAGATGGCACCCTAAACCCTCATGCATTGTTTTATCCTCAGGAATTGCAAAGTATGAACATCGCGGCTCGACTGTACACTACGTCGACGGGACGTATTCGGATTAGTGCATGGACTCCACCTTCAGCCTGCTGTCAGAGATGATATGCGTGTACTCTACAAATGCTATATTAGATATGGACCCATACGTGTACCTAATCGTCCTTCATCAAGCCCTCCCTCTCGTGCGCATTGCCATCATGCTGCTCCCCACGCCGCCTTTTCGGTGTAGCTTCGTCTTCCTCGCCTTGCTCGTCCTCATCACCAATCTCGAAGACGACAGCGTCGTCGCCAACGCCGCGACCAACAAGAGTCGCCGCATCGTCATCTTCGTGGAAGCCACGCGCCTCGGTGCGGCGTTCGAGCGACTCGAGATCGTAGTCTTCGGCGTCTTCTTCGTCCTGGGCAAGCTCGTCGAACATGGCCAGTCTCCTGTTGTTGGGCGAGGGGCGCCACAGCCAGGCGATAGAAACGAAGTCCACGAGGTAAAGGAGGCAGAGCCAGCCATCGAGCAGCCACCACTGAGACTTCCATGACTTGGAACCATAGTCTAGAAGGCCCAGTTAGATATGTGGGTACGCGACAACGTTACGGACAGTCACCTTCGGCGAGACGCCCAGAGAATGTCATTGACGATACGACGAAGAAGATCGCGATGACAACGACCGTCAGCAAGAGGATGCGATGGAGCCAGACGAACATCGAGAGCTTGTAGTGCTGCTTCCTGGCAGCTAGCTGAGCAATTGTCGCTGAATTATGAGAAAGTCAGTCAAGCATTTGATGGTCATACAAACCAACTGACCGTTGAGAGCATAGATGATCCAGAGAAGGAAGCCGCTGAGAGTAAGGGCCAAAGGAATGACGAAAAGAAGGAGAACGAAGGCAGAGCTAGACTCCAGCTCCAGCTCGACGATGCCGACGGCGTACAGCACTACGTACACAAACTTAGCCTGGGCTTGTGAACAGACACAATCTCGACATACCTCCGAAGACGAAGTGTGCACCGGCGAGGAGCTGGCACCTCAGCATCAGCCTACCAAGAGATTCTTTGACAACACTCAGTCCAAGAGAGACAACCAAGAGAAGGAAAAAAGAGAGGGCGTTGCGACCAGCATCGAGAATTGCAACTACAGCGTACTGGGATGAGCGAGGTGGAGAGCAATACTCGTGGATCACACTTACCAACTATGAGGAACACCGTGGAAGTGGTCCCTTCGCCGTGGGCATTCAAGTATCGGTAGTAGGCTAAGGGCAGTGAGCGAATGCACCATGTTGAGCAATAGGAGCTTACCCCAATTGCCTAGCATCTCGACGATGAGGAAGCCGAGGAGTCCAGAGAGGTAGTACTAGAGGATGTGTGAGCTCTCAACGCCATGTTGCTTTAAGCGTCATATCTACCTGAATGGGGAGAAGGTCTTGGACGTTTTGGTAGCAAAGCCAGCCCCAACCAATGGCGAGAACGCAGTATAGCAGGAACATCGCGAAGTAGAACTGCACTGACGGTAAACTCAGAGCATTTATGACCATGGGCTTTGACTTACGTTAACTTTCGGGTAGTCGGACGCTGGAAGCTGCCCATCGAAGGTGTTTCGGAAGAAGACAGTGCCGTTGTACGCGGGGTGGTAGTTTACGTCGGTGTCGGCTCGAGAACGTGACGAACCGAGAACAGTTATGGGGACAGTGGCTGAACCAGCGATGAGTGAGCGTACGATTGCAGAGGCATTTGTACACACCAACACAGTAGTAGCCGGTCTTCCGGACGAGATACTGAATGGGCTCGTTATAAGTTATAAGCGCAGAGGGACTTGGGTTCAATGCAGCCCCGTTCTGACGTCTTTGAAGACCGATTTGTCTCTTCCATGGCGAAGTGTAGTTTCCTTCGGGGGCGTGGGGTTGCCGGCAGGATTGTTCCAGAGGCCAGAGATAGCGACCTCGGAACCATCGGACCCGGTATTATTCCCCTGCGAAAAGGCAACGCGTGCAGTCCAGAAACTGGTGTCGTTCACGGACTTGCCGTCGGCCAGCTTGATGATGAACTTCCCGAGCTCTGAGGAGGTGCAGAAACCGCCGCGCATGGCGTCCGACGTGCACACATAGATCTTCTGCTTGCGTGTTCTGGTCAGACGAGATTACCGCGCAGACACAGGGATAGACTCACTGGCAAGTCCTCTGACCGCGATGTATCCCACACCCCAAGGTATCCTACATCGCCCCATTCATAGATGACTGTTGCAAGCTGGCCATGAGAAGTGGGATTGAATGTAACTTTGGGTGTACGGTGAGCATGCTAGGGCAAAGTTGGACGGGTAGATGACGCCACCATTTATGTATGTATTCTGCCCTCCCCACATTCCAGAGCAGACTTGACGGTCGTAGTCGGTGTCGGCAATCGGGACCTCGTACGCCGCGGCGCCACAGGCGGCAAGGAGAACAGAACAGAACGGAAGCCATCCCCAGTGGCGGACCATAGCGGTCGGTGAGGAGTGGAAGGGTGGTGGTGGTGGTTGAATGAGAGACGGTGAAGATGCGACTGCGCCGTGGTCTCTGACGTCGCGCCGCGAGCCGCGCAGGCACCGCTTCCGCTTTCGCCTGCACTGTCCCTTCCCCCACTGTGCCCGCTGCGTTCTCCTCACCCCACAACATGCTCGGCGAAGACGAGGACGTGTTCGACAGCGTTACCTGGGAATCTCCCGCTATCCCGCCTTCGTACGATGGCCCGTCCACTGCCGTAGGCACTCTGGGCTTCAGGCAAAGCACTTCCGAGAGCGAGGACGGGCGCGGGCCACACGACCCGAAGTGGGAGGGCTACCTCATCACCACCGTCAAAGACCCCGTCAAGGAGCTTGCGGAAACGAAGGATGCCTACGTGTCATATTTGTCTCTGCCAAGGTGTGTCTCCTTTCGCCCTTATTGCAATGTCCGACAAGTGCTGATACGACGCAAGACGAATCTCCCCATATTCTCAACACCTACTCCGTCGGCGCGGAGGCGTTTCACAGACTTCGTTTTCCTTCGTTCGCATCTCGCGAAAGACTTTCCCGCATGCGTCGTGCCTCCTCTGCCGGACAAGCACAGGCTTGGTATGTTCCCAGCCTTCTATCACCGAACGTCCTCTCAACGACTATATAGAATATGTTACTGGAGACAGATTCAGCCCGAGTTCATGGAGCGACGGCGAGCAGAGTGAGTTTCCATAATGCTGTGATGACCCCTACCCTCGATGCTGAGGCATGTGCAGCTTGCACCTCTTCTTGCAACGACTCGCCAGACACCCAACACTACAAAGGAGCACGCTCTTGCGTGCTTTCTTTGAGTCGACAGAATGGGTACGTCGATCTATCTTCGCCTGCGGATATGTTGCTTATTCGCTATGCAGCATGTCATCATGCACCAGCATGTTGCTCATCCTCCAGTTCCGGAGCAATCATCTGGCGTGATTGACAGTCTCTCTGATACCCTGTTAAACGCATTCTCCCGCGTGCGCAAGCCCGACGAACGCTTCATGGCCATGCGCGAACATGTTGATAAGTTCGAGGAAGGCATCACGCTCTCTGAACGTCTCTTCAGCCGGATTCGGAACCGCACGAACGGTGAGCCTCCTTCCATCTATCTCGTTTTCCTTGGTTGTGCGAGGGTCTGAGGCTGAAAGAGATGGCAACCCTGAACCGGGTGAAGATCTTACGGGAGACTACCACGACCTCGCCGTTGCCGTGCAGGGTCTTGGCTTCCTGGAGTCCGGCATCACCGACCCCCTGAACCATTTCTCGAACACTCTCCTCGAGTTTTCTGCGCTCATACGCCACACGGTAAGCATCATGGCTCAAAGCCACGGGGTGGGGATTTACACATACCGATCTTGTAGACGCAAATGACCGCCGACCCTTTCCTCGTCCACCTCCACGCAGTGCTTCAGTACTCGCATGCCAATCGCGCCGTTCTCAAGCTTCGCGACCAGAAGCAGATGGACTTTGAAGAACTCTCAGAGTATCTATCCAACGTGACGGCGGAGCGGGATCGCCTGGCCGCAGTCATTAGCGGTCGTGCTGGGAGCACCGGCCTTGGCCTCGGGGCGTACCTCAAAGACAGAGTAGACGCCATTCGCGGTGCGGACGATGATCGTAGTCGTGTAGAGCGTATGCGCAAGCTCGACGTCAAGATTAAGGAGGTGCGCCAATGCTCCTTTATGTCCATCTTTTTGCCACTCACACCGTGTTTCGTCGTCAAGCTGCAAGACGCTGTTCAGACAGCTCATGAGACGTCAGATGCGTTTAGTGACGAGACTCTCCGTGAACAGAAGGTCTTCCAGTTGACTAAGGAAGCCGAAATGAAAGAGATGCTCGGAAGCTATGCCGATGGTCAAATCGAATTTTACAAGGCGGTATGTATGTGTAACTTCATGGTTCGGTAATAACTGACAACGTGCATTCTCAGGCCATGGAGGAATGGGATCGGGTTATACCAATTATTCAACGTATACGCGTAGACGTCTAATCGCACGGACCTTCTCGTCATGTTCTGTACTCTTATTTGCTTCTATTGATGATCGCCACGAGGATGCGATAGATCTCGTACGACGATGGACATTAAGGCTCGATTTATCAGGCACTCCTGTCATCCCTCCCTTTACCCTTGCTTTCTTGCTTCTCTTCCGTATCGAGAGCAAGTTTGAACACAGACTCCTGAACAGCCATAGAGATCTGCGTCGGGACAAGATCGTGAAAAGATGCGGATATATGGACCAGAAAGTTACACCGACGTTAATGATGCCTGTGTCAACTGCTCGAATCATATGAAGTTCAGCCGTGTCAGATGCACCAGCGGTTGTGTGAGCTGTAGTTGCGGGTATCCATGGCGGCGGGTCCTGAGCAAGCTAATCGGTATGCTGGTGCAGTGGATGACTGTGCAGTGCCTTACCTCGCCAGGAGACGCGGCCGGTGCTACGTTGTCCTGTAATTCCAAGAGAATAGCAAAGGACAAATCTGGATCGATGGTCAGGTCGAACCACCCGGACACCATGGCGAGGCTGACCATCCCGGTACATTTGCCCGAGTTGTGCTTCTACCATGCAAAGCTTCACAAGGAACGAACGAAAGGCTTGCTCAAGTGAGCTGACAGTGATTGCACCCTCCACACTGGCAAATGAGGAAGTAAGTGATCCATGCGCCACACGGCAGACCTCCAAAAGACTCGCCTGGTGTCCTTGTTGAAGGCCTCGACATCTTTCAGAGTCGTCCTCACGGCGAAGATAAATCGCTCGAGAGGTTTCTCATCGGCGCCTTTGAGGACGACGACGAGTTTGTCGACATGCCCCTGCGTTACCTCAGCTCTACGTACAGCTACATCAGGGGATGAGTTTACATGAGTCAACTCATCTGCTACTGCTTGAATGGCGGTGGAGATGTATTCGTTTAGAGCAGGATGCCGAGATTGAAACACGGCAGTGTTGTATTTCCGGCGTCGCACGAACAACTCTGCAGGATACACTTGTCGGACGTACAAGATGGTGTGTGTCGCGACTTCAACTGAAAGACAAGATAAGCAGAGGAGTGTGTGTGGAGCGAGGCACGCACGCACTGAACTCGGTGACGCCACGGACGGCTTCTAAGGAGGAGTAAGCGGAGAGACGGCAGAGCGCAGTTGGGGCTACGGACGGTTGAAGGTCAAGGGCTGCTCGCTGGCCATTGGATGCCCATCGCGCGCGGAGGAGACTCGCGAAGCTCCCGCGAGAGTTCTCGCTCCGTGAAGACGCCCGGGCGTGGCACGGCCACGTGACGCGCCATTGACGTCGTCGCTCTGGCCCGGGGCAGGGGTGGCTCGAACGGTGATGTCAGAGGATTCGGGCTGCTCTATGCAGCTCCCAGGGGCTCCGCGCCCGGCCCACCTCTGTCCCAGCGACCACCGTCTTCCCGTCTCGAGCCCCCACAGCTGTCCGTTGCCGCTATGGCGTCAATCCCGGACCAAAACCCCACCGTCAAGCAGTTGGAAGAGGACGAGACTGTCGCAGACCATGCCGCCAAATTGGCCGGCGTGAAAAGAGGCACGCACCGCTTTTCTCGCTACGCGCCCCTACGTAATTCTCACCGAGAGCACACAGCGTGCGACAGGTGCAGGAAGATCAAGTCCAAGTGCGAGGTTGGCACCGACGAGAGGTGCCAAAACTGCGAAATTGCTGGCACACGTGAGTCTCCTCCCGGACAATTCTTTCTATACTCGGCTCACTCTCGGTATGCCACCAGCATGCACCTTCCAAGGCGAGTTGCGGGAATAGGCTGGTCTGCTCCCGTCTTCTTACCCATGCGCACAGGTCCGAGCTTCAAACGTGGTCCTCCCAAGGGTTACATTCATTCCATAGAACAACGATGGCATCAGGTCGAGTGCATTCTTGCTACCATCATGGAGTCGCCGGGAGCTCAGGCTATCATGACCGACCTGCGGGGAGACTCCTTTGCTAGCGCGATCCTCGATCGGGTGCAAGCAGGGCCATATGTGCGTCTCCGCCGCCATCTCCCTGCCCTTGACTGATGACCTCCAAGGGATCACGAGGACGCATGAATAGTCGGCACGATCTCACTACCGAAGGCTTTTACGCGTCCCTCGTTGATGTACCCGAGCACACGCCTGCACGAGAAGACAGGAGATCACGAAGGCAGTCCCGAGTGTCGAGAGAGATTGTTTCCCAAGGTAAGCCACCTCATCTCGTATGTGATGCTGTCTCATTCCAGTGTAGATCCCACTGCATCCGCCACCCCTACCCGAGAATGGCAGGACCAGCTCTTTGCTCGCCTTGCGCATGGCACACAGTGGGGAGGCTATTCATCATCTCCCATGAGCCCACCTTCGAGGTCGTCATCCTCGACAGGAAACTCATCGGATTACGCGCGTACCCGGAGAAGGCTGGAGCAATGGCCACTCAACATACCGGATCAACAAAACTGGGACAATATGTATACGATGTCTGATTCGGCCCGTGCGTAGGTCCCTTGAACAAGTTCACCGCAACTCTAATAACATTCTAGAATCCGTGACTACTACAGAGCCCGCTGATGTTCTCGACGAGGCAGCGGAGGCTTTCGGGCATCTTTCTGTGGATCAGAACAAGGAGGTACTTGTGTTCCTTCTGGCCTCTCAACCGTCTCACATTGTTTGATTACAGTTCCGGTATCATGGACCCGCGTCAGGTCTTCCACTGTTAGCGCAGAGCCATGGTCAGGGTGACGACAAACAAAAGAACAGGATTTGGTGAGCATCTCGTAACCAACAGTGGCTACCGAAGTAATTCATACATTTGGTGTGTAGGCGATTCATGGCGAACGTCGACCCGGAGTCACCCTCCCACGATCTCATCAACGAAGAAGAGGATGTCGAGGTGGACATGCCTGCGCCGGACGTACAACGGTATCTCCTCGAGCTCTACTTCACCTATGTACATCCCTTCTTTCCAGTCATACACAAGCAAGACTTCCTCTACCAGTACGGCGCTCTGTAAGTATGTCCTCTATTTTACATCAGCGCAAGACTGACGCAAGTGACTTAGAATGTCGGTTGTCACTTCACGTCATCTAGGTGTTGCTCACAAGAATTCCACAGGTCGAACCATCCTCTGCCGGCTACTGTCACAACTACCTCATTGCATCGCCATCCCATGCAACGCCCCTGCAAGATGTTGCTGCTTTCGATGTTCGCCATCGCAGCACGATACTCCGACAGGGTGGACGATCATCCACTGGATGAAAGTGGCGCATTCTCCAAAGCCGGTCAGAGTTTCGCCGTGGACGCCCACAAATTGCTTGGTCAGATCCCACATTCTCACTGCAATGACAAAAATTGACGGAAGGCACAGATCGCAAATACCAGAGCAGTCGTCCTTCCACTTGTCAAGCTCTTCTCCTCCTGGCTATCCGGGAGTTCGGGATGGGTGAGCGGACTAAATGCAATTTCAAATTCAAGCTCATCGCTATTAGGTGCCATGGACAAGGGGTGGTTATACAGCGGTGCGTCGAAGTACGTGGTCACTGATGGCGACCGTTTATAATGCGCTGTGATATCAGGTATGGCTATGCGCATGGCTATCGACCTTGGGATCAACAGAAATACCGAAAGTTGGACGGTTGACGGCAAGCAGCCACTTTTCTCTGATGTTGAGAAGCAGATCAGGAAGCACATCTGGTGGTCTTGCTGTATGTCCGATAAGTAGGTACTGATCGTGTGATGTCTCAATCATGTTCTCAACCCTCCTGTAGGCTGTCTGCTGTGTGGTTGGGCAGGCCGATCACGTTCCGCGCCAACGATTATTCAATACCGCTGCCGAAACCAGACGAGGTTAGCTGGATAGTACTTGATATCCTCATACTTAACTCAAAATCCATAGGTAGATGAGAATGAACCGTGGGAGCCGTATCCTCCAGGCATCCTCGGTCATTTCACACCTCAAACGTCGAGGTTGATGACCTCCTTTAAGCAAGCGTGTCATCTGTGTATGTCAAACTTGATGTTTTTCACGAGCTACCTAGTGACAAAAAATAGCCGTAATCATCACCGACATCATGGACAAGATATACCCTGTCGAACCGCCCATCGATATTCCACGTCGCGTGGTCTTTGAGCAGTTGGAGACACGCCTCGCCAAGTGGCAGATCGATCTACCTGAGCCTCTGCGGTATAATCTCAACGACAAGAATGCCAACGTGCTGCCCCACGTACTTGTATTACACACCGAGTACCACGCTGCTGTCTTGCTGTTGCATCGGGCATTGTAAGTCTTGATGCCATCCTCCTAGCACAGTCAATGACGTCATTATGCATCAGTCTGCCCGCATCTGAAGAGTGAGTTGAACGATGTCCCCGCGTACGCATGTCTAAGCATTCTGTCTCAGGCCTATCCAGTCGCTTTCGAATACGGCCGCCGATCCGCTCACCTTGAAGGCACTCGATGCTTGCTCCGCCGCCGCCGTCCATATCTCTACACTAGGTGCTTATGCCCCATGTGTTACTCCTTCTCCCCGTTGTCTTAATGCTGGCCTACAGCGGAAACGTATCACGAACGGTTCGGTTTGGAGAGAGCGCCCGCTTTTCTCTGCATATACCTACAAGCTGCGGGGTGAGTCTTCTCAGAACATGCGCAATTGAGACGACTCACGTTTCTCTCTGTCGATATAGTATCATGCACGTCGTTACTCGTGAGTATTCCCCTACGCCTCTACCTTGTCCTGTCCTCATAGTCGTTAAATGTCAGTGTCACGACGCCCTTGGGATCCCCAGGCTACCCTTGGCTTGACACGGTGTATTGCTGCATGCCGACGGATAGAGGTTGGTGAGCTGTGCTAATACAAGCGATTCGCACTAACATTGGATTGACTTTCCAGCGACTGTGGCCTACGGCTACCAACTTGCGTCAGCTGCTAGAAGGAGCCAAGGTTCGCCTCGACGAGTCGAACTACCCGGTGAACCCTCCGGACGCGAACAGGCGTAAGCGTAGCGTTGATCATGCCTTCGGAGGTCCGAAGAATACCGACATACATTCTCGAGGCATGCACAGACCCACGGATGGTTTGCGTGGTCCTGGCGCCAGCGTTGGCGCCTCTTGTGACCGAGTTCAAAACACACCTTTTACCCAATCGTTGGGAGGCCCTGCGCCCGAAATGCCAACAACCTTCTACCCCGGTTATCAGTGGTGGCCAACTCAGCTCATGACCCCGGGAGGTCTCCAGGGCCTGGGACTTACAGCTCCTATGGACATTCCTCCCGTCTCCGCGCCTATGCCCTACTCTTCCCTTCCCAGCTACTCACCCACCCAAGTGCCCCAGGGTTCTCATCCCCAGGACGGCTATGTTTTTGCGCCGAATGGCGGATCCGTACCTTCTCAGGGCTTCAACAACGACTTCACCTCTTACCATACAGGGTTCAACTTCGGGCCAACTACCAACGGTCACCATATGGATGGGCATCGGCGGTAGAGATTTTGTGATATCGGATGCAGATGCATTGACCTGGGATGTCAATGAGCGACTTTCTCTGCTGTGTATTTGGGCTTTGTTTAGTCTCTACTATGCCGTTCTTCTGCTCTACGCCGTATCTCGCTGTACTTGTACCTCGTCTTCATATTACCTTTCAGACATAGCACCATCTCTCGGCCCACTCTACGATGTGCCGAACCCGAATGTATACGTAAAAGTCTAGTATAATGTCGTAAGGGCACGAACCTCTTCCGTGCAGTGATTAGAAAGCAACTATAGATGAGCAGATTACACTTTCAGCGTCGCTTGCCCGGCAGCGAGTTTCCTCGCTCGTCGCTGGGCCCTCCAGATGGGCCCATAGTGCAGGATGACCCACTGGACTGGCAAGAAGAGGACGCAGATACCCGTTAGGAGAACGTACGTCCAGCCTGGACGGAGAGCCTTGAGGATTAGATCGATGACAGAGACCGCGACGGCTCCAATGCAACACCGGACCAGGTTGTTCTGAGAGCTGCGATGAGCAACGGCGGAGACTGCGAAGAACCAGAAAGACGAACGCATGCCGTGATCGCAGAGCCGTGTTCGGGCACGAGGTCGACGATGAGCGTCTGCGCGTTGTTCATGATCGCGATGCATGTCCAGCCGACTGGCACGACGAGGTCAGCGCTAGATCGCCAGGGAGCGGAGCGGGTCACAAACTGACTGATGAACTGCAACACGAGCGAGCCCGCGAGGGAGACGTGGGCCTGCAGGGCCCAGCCGTATCCGATGCAGGCCACGGAGAAGATCCCCAAAAGGAACGGCATGAGGCGCAGGCGGGCGCGCTCGATGGGGAAGTGCTCCTCCTTCGTCACGTCCTCCGGCTTGAGGGTGCTCTCGGGGTCGGCCTCGATTTTGCCTATCATCTGGCGTTTGATGCGCTGGTACTCGCGGTCGGAGATCTTCCCGTTCACGATACCGCCGAGGAGCATGGCGATGCCGATGGGGAGGAAGCAGAGACCGGTCTCGGTCTCGTTGAGGTACGGGTAGACTTCCTGGAAGAGGACGGAGATGGTGGCGATGACGGCGTAGAACTCGGCGTAGACGAGCGCGTTGAAGAGGAGGATGAGCGTCACGTCGGGGCAGAGGAAGAGCAGGAGCGGGTTCTGGAAGGGGCGAGGGGGTGGCCGGACGACGTCGCTGGTGTCCTGTGTTGTGCGGCTGATGACGGGGATGACGGGTTTGTACCACGCGGGGGGTGGGATGCTCCCGTCTCCGACCATGGCACGAAGAGTCTCTGGGAGAAGGCTGTAGGCACGTCAACTGAATTATTCGACATACAATCTTGACAATGTGCTCACAGTATCATGACAAGCGCACATACTCCAGACGAGATCACCAAGAACCAGAAAATGGACCTGCAAGCAGTCAGAGATGCCTGAAGAAATAGTACTGTGGCGGGGCGTACCTCCATCCCAGCTTGTCGGCGAGAACACCGCCCAAAATAGGACCGACGCAAGGTCCTACCATCGGCCCGATGCTCCACATGCCAAAGAAGTTGCCGCGCTCAGCAGGGGCCGCAATGTCCGCTATCACACCAGCGCCTGCAGAGGGTCACGTAAACGGCGCTGTGGTTGGAATTATGCTCAGACAGCCACGCACCGAGGGCGATAGTGCTCGCTGAGCCGGCGGCTTGCAAGCACCGGAAGAGCATGAGAAACCAGTAGGCGTCCGTGGGCACGAGGGCGAGCCCAACGCAGGCAACACAGAGGACGAGGAGGCAGACGACAAACATCGGACGTCTTCCCCAACGGTCCGACAGCGTTCCCCAGAACATAGGCGCTGGTAATGAATGTCAACGGGACGGACTTGATGGAAGTCACCGAGGGGACTTACCGACACCTTGAATGACCATGTACACCGTTACAGTCAGATTGATGAGTTCCGTTGATTTGTTGAAGGCAAGGGCGATCGTTGGAATGGCAGGGAAATAGATGTTCGCCGTCAATGGGCTGTAAACGGACCGGGCCGTGCGTCAACGACGTTGCAACGTGCCAGACAGAGGTTGTTATCTCGCTGACGGACCTGAACATGGCCGCAAAAGAGGTGACGGCGACGATGAACCATTTCTCCCTGGATGTGTAGACGCTATATGGCTTGCTAGCGCTAGGATCTGACAGGGAGAGGTTAGCGGGGTTAAAGACTAGTGGAGAGGATCGGAGGGCACCCTGTGGTTTGTCATCCGGTGGCTGGGCAGTGGCGTGGTCTACAGCTGAAGCCGAGACATCGTCGCTGTCGCCAGTGGTGGGAGTCGGGGATTTCTCGCTGTTGCCCATGAGGAAGAGCGAGAGGAGTGGACGAGCCTGGCGGGGAGCATCTTCTGCACGCGAAGGCCTTGGACATATATACTGTAGCCCGACCTCCGAAGACCCGGCGTGCGATCGTGCTTGCTGCTAGCCGGACCCCCGCGGTGGGTATTTCCCTCGGCGCTCGAGTGTCGGCCGACGTCCGTGTGGGGCCACACAAGGGCGCCAGAGCGCCTCTCGACCGAAGTCCGAAGCAGGCGCCCGGACCCAGTCCACGGCGTGTGCGCCTGGTCGAGGCGACGATTTCAATCGGCTATGGTGTCAGCAGTGCTCTCATTACTAGCAGCCGATTGTCGATTCACTATAAGGAGCACTTGCCGCATTTGCTGTGGGCACTGCAGCTATACCGAGGCCGCTCAATAGCTCACAACCCCACATGCGCCAGGGCTTTGCGCGCTCCCTGGTTCATCGACATCCTGCTCGCGCAGACCTCGCCACGGCCGAACTGTCCGAACGGCAACCGTCCATATCGAATGCTAATCATACACTGAACGTATATTCACTAGTCACCGTCCACCCTCATCTGCCCACGACCTCGCCGGATGCGTTCCTCAAGGCCGCCTGAGCCTCCGAATACCTTCTTCTGCTCGTGGCTCAAGAACCCACCCATCCCCTTCGACTTCACCCTCTCCCGTTCTTCCGCCTCGTGTTCAGCCCTCTCCCGCTCCAGTAGCTGAGTCAGTGTTCCCGTCGCTCTTCCGTCATTGAGGCTGCGTTCGACGACATCGCCGCCAGACGAGCCGCACGGTCGTCTACGGCTTGGTTTGGCCGGGACGAAGAGGGTCGCGGGGGAAGGGGAGGGCTCATACGCGACCGTTTTGGCGGAGAATGGGGATCATCTTTCCTAGGACTCGGGCTGCGCCGTCGCTTCCTGAAGTCTTGATAGGCAGGGCTCCTGTCGCGGCGCAATTCCCGCATGTTGTCGTCCGAGTCGTCCGACCTCGGCCATGTCTTAACTCGTGTCACCGGGGAACGCCGCCTGCTGTCATGATACCGGTCGGGGGAACGGTCACGGCTACGTCCACGGCGAGTGGAGTGGTAGCCATCATGACGGTCCTCGTTAAAGCGAGCGCGGGGCGGAGGTGAACGCGAGCGCCGACTATGGGGACTGGGGAACGCCGGCGAGAGTAGTAGTCTCTGGGGTCGGAGCGACGTCGCTCCCGATCGGACTCCGGGGAGCGCGAGCGAGAGTCTGCTTTGTGCTTGTCCTTGCGGTGCTTTCCTTCTTCTCTTTTTATCCTTCTTGTGTTTCTTCTCCTTCTTCGACTGGATGCCATTCCGCTCTTGCATCTCACGAAGACGAAGAGGGTTGGCCATGAGAGCCTGGTACGCCGCCTGCTCCTGCTGTTTGATGGCGAGAAGAGGATCTTCGCGGATCTTCGCAGCGGTGTCACGCAACGTATTGGCGTGCTGGATGGCAATGAAGTTCTTGTGGGCAGCCCCAATCTAAACGGGAGTGGTTGAATGCATGAAACCAGCCTCAAGTGTGAGAGCGACGTACCTTCTCGTTTTCGTCCGCCGTCAGGATCTTATCTACCCGCTTCTTTCCGAGAAGATAGTCCTCCAGGTCGTTCGGGTTCTGAGTGCTCCCTGTCGCGGGAGTAGTGTACATCCAGTCCAGCTTCTCCTGCCGCTTGCGACCCGTCTGTTCCTCCTGCATGCGCTGAAGTTCTTGTAGCTGACGCTCTTCCTCCTTCTCCTTTCGGAGTTGGTCAAGTTTCTTCTTCTCCTCGAGCTAGGGGGTGTATGTTTGGACGACCAACAAAAGCACTGAGTGGATGGGATACGTACCGCCTTCTTTTCTTCGAGCCACACCCGCTCCTGATTCTTCATCAGAAGCGGATGCCACGACTTCTTCATGTTCAAGTCACCACCACCCATCTTGACGAAGTTCTAGAGGGAGACGGGTGGAATATGAGTGTGGAGGGGACGAACGGCGGCTACGGCGGCGGGGGCGACGTCGCAGTATGTGGACAAGCAGGGACAAGCGCTTGTTTGTGCATGTTGGGATTCAAAGCGAGCCGGTGGGAGTAAGCGCCGGACCAGACTAATGGCTACTAGTCGACGTCCTCGTGTAGCCTCTCTCGTCCTCGGGCTCATGTCTTCCTCCGACGACCAGCGACTCAGCGATCTCGAGGCCGGCGAAGATGAGCCTCTCTCGAATGGACCCTCCCAAACGTACGTCCCCTGAGCGCGCCGTGGTCTTGTCAGCTCATGGACACTTAATAGCGTACGCGTCCCTTGACATTGCAGACCTACTCGTTCGATCTATTCTATGACGCGCGATGAGATCGCAAAGAACATTGCGAATCGCTTTGTCCACTCGGGGACGTACATCATGCTCTACCTGGCCATGGCTGCGCTGTCCGTCACCACCGTGGTCCTCAGTCTAGTCAACGACTGTCCTACCCTCCCATTCTACATCCTGGAGTTTATCATCAATGGAGCTATGATCCTGGAGGTTGGAGTGCGTTTTGTGGCCTTTGGACGGGTTCGTGGCCACGCTATCATCCCTACCCAGCGCACTTATTCTATCGCTCCTTCAAACAGCAATTCTGGAAGTCCGCCTGGAACATCATGGACCTCGTCCTGACGGCATTCTGCGTGATCACCCTCCTCTTCATCTTCTTTGCGGGCTGCGACAACACCAGCAAAGAGGAAGAGCTGCTGGACACATTGCTGCTTGTCGCACGTAATGTGCTCCAGTTTGGCCGTCTCGCTTCGGTTATGCGGCAGTACGTACTTCATTCTTCAACAAAGCAACCGCGCACCCCACATCTCCCCGCCGTTCATCCACTGCTTCCTCTCCAATCCTCCTATACCTCTTCCACACCGTGCTTCCTCGGGGTGCTCGCCCCCTTCGCTGCTGCCCATCCCTCCCACGACGCGGAACGAGAGGCTGACCGCGCCACCCGACAGGTCCGGACAGTCCATCTTCACGCGCCCGAAGCCCATCGACCTCTCCGCGGCGCGGCGGCGCGGGTACACACTCGACATCGACATGGAGGACGAGGACGAGACAGGGGGCGAGCTCGGCCGGCCGCTGATCCGGAGCAGCGACGTCGTGTTCGACGCGGCCGAGGAGCCGCCGCGGACGAATGTCCAGCGCGCGAACGCGCTCTCGGACATGCCCCGCGCGGTGCAGGCGGCCCAGAACCGCGAACAGGAGGACATGTGGGCCGCGCTGGGGTAATGCGAAGCGGCGGCGGCGAGAAGGTGTTCGGTGCTCAGCAGGAGTCGTGCTTGTGCGTTGGACGATAGGGACGGAAATGCGACGTGTCCCGCACATGTTCATTATTTATGCCTATGCGTGGACGTTTTTGGTAACCTGTTGTGTGTGCTTGGTGTGACTCGCTCCCGCTACTGTTGGGGAAGCCGTACCCCTGAAAGGTCGTCCACGGTCATCGCGCCGATCCGTCAATCTCCCATGTCGCTGTCGCTGTCGAAAGACGGGTTCTGAGGCTCGCATATCAGCAGGTGAGCTTCGCGCCCGCCGGCGGCCCCCGCGGCTTCTCAAGATCATTCAGGCTGCCACCGGGTAGGCTTCGACGAGGACTTGCTTGGTGCGGAGGACGACCAAAACAAAGAGCGACGAGCTCCGTGCTTGTCGACGCGCCGCGCCGTCCAGGGCAAGAAGGCCGGAGTCGGGCTGCCTGTCCGAGGATCCCGAAGGTAAATTGAGACAGCAGCTCGAAAGGGTCCGCGCCGTTGTTGGCCGTTGTTGAGAAGATGCATTGGCGGAGAGGACGTTTCTGATCCCAGAACACCTACGGAACGGTGTACGCACTTTACTCGGGGTAAACTCTCATATCATCCTTGGACCGCAAGCGCGGCGGGCGAAATGGTTCTGGTCCACGGATCGCTGCGCACTCGACGACCGTCGGTGTGCGCGGCTCGGTTGCCAAATGGTCCGGTGAGGAAAACGTCTGACAGGACGTCTCATGCCGGCGATGTCAGTCCTCAGCGTCGAGCTTATTTTATGGGCTCAGAGTCATGGAAGACGACTCTCGTTGATGGCTGATGGTCTGGGGCGGGTGCGAGGGCTCGTCTCGGTGGCAACGCGCAGGCAGTTGGCGGCGTGCATGTCACAACACAAGCGTTAACTGTGCGTTTGACTATCGAGCGTCGTGGTGAGATTGGCACTGTGGCAGTTGCCGTGTCATCCGCCTCCTCGTTGAGCGGAACCGGGCGAGGACAGTCGACGGCGGAGACGACGGAGCCTCAGGTGGACGAACATACTTACAACTGCGAGGCGTGCACGGGTGATGGGCCGTGTGTACGATCGTCAGCCATGGACGCGCAGATGGAGCAAGGCGCAGGCGACGGGACCGGCAGAGACGGCAGCGGGATCCGCCCGTGCCCTCGGGACGCATGACCGGTGACCGGCCCTGACCGGCCCAGGCGGACGAGCGCGCGTGGACGTCGGCGCTACCACTGTGATCGAGCGCCGCGGAATGATGTTCTGATTCGCGTCCTCCCAGGCCCAGCACACACACACGTGCTCCCGCTGCCCGACACTCTCCACGGCGCGCGGGCGCGGGGGGAACGCAGGGGGAACGCAGGGGGCGCGCGGGGCGCAGAATAACAAGAGCCGCGACGGGTTTGACCAGAGCGGCACAAGGCGCGAGTCAGTCCTTGCACGCGAGCGGGTTACATAACGGGGCGACGGCGAATTAATGGGAGTGATATGAACCGGCGCCTGCGCTGGCGGAAGACGGACTGGTCGACATCCGTCGCGACGCCCGACCCGCCTTTCTCTTTGCCAGGCCCTCCGCTGTCCAGCTTCGTTCCCGCACGCCTCGGTGCCTGCCCAACTCCTCTCCCTCCTCCATGCCGTGAGCGTCCGCGAGCCCGCCCACCAAGCCTATCTCCCACCCCCTCCTCTCGCCTCTCTAAATCACTGATCCCGGATTCCACCACTCGTGCCTTTTATCAGTCCGACGCCGACTCCTACACGCTCCTTCCCCTTCCCCTCTCTCCCCTAATGATGCCCCCCGCCCTCTCGTCCCCCACCCCAAGCAGATCGTGGTGGTCCCGCTCCAAGTCCTCCAAGGAACCCCTCCGCCCCCACCGCTCCTTCTCCAGTCTCGCAATTGACGATGACGAGAAGTACCCCTCCACTGCCTCCAGCTCCTCCTCCAAGGCAAAGGACGTCATTCCAAGTTCAACACCCTAGCGTCCGCCATAGGCCTCAAGCCGAAAAGACTCCCGACCCTCACCATCCAAGACCCGCCGTCCCCTCTCCCCTCTCCCAATTCCTACTCCACCTCCCGCCCAGGCACGTCCCAGAGTAGCACCAAGTCCCTCGTTCCTGGTGATCGTAGCCCTTCTACACCAATCGTCCTCCCGCGAAATCCGTGTCCACCGTGCGCTCGTCAGAGTACGACTACGACGCTGTCTCCGAGCCACGTACACCGTCCGACCTCCCGCGCGACCGCCTCTCTTATCAACCGTCTGTAATGACAGCCTTCTCCGAGATAGACCCCTTCGCGTCCGCCGGGATTGTTGTACACCATCTGCCTCAGGACCCCAACCGGCTTTCCGTCTACTCGGACTCTTCTGTGCTCGATCCCCACCACAAGCGCCCAGATGCGATACCTCAGAACCGACGGTCGTACGGTTCGTCCTCGTCCAACTCTCATGGAAACTCCTCGGACGTACAGGCCTGTCTCCTCTGTCAACCTCCTTCGCTAGGTCACCGCCGGCTAGGTGCGTGTTCCAGTCTTCTCCCGCTGCGAAAGATACTGACAGGCTTTTAGTCGTTCCGCGTACGACTTGACGAATGACTCCAGCACGCGTTCTATGGCTCGCGCTTCCCACCGATCCAAGAAGGTGTCAGGGTCCAATGCGTCCAGCAGCACCGTTGTCCGCATGACCCGCGGACCCGGTTGAGTGAGCCTCCCGTTGGTAGCTCCTCGACCCATCTCGCACGCAAGCGGTCGACACCTTCTCTACCACGGCCCAGAGCAGACATGGACTATCGCGCTGTCCCTCCATCCCCTTCGGTCCCGATGCTGAGTCCCATGCAACCGATGTCTGTCCGCCGTAAGGCTTCTGGTTCTGTCTCTCCCGTGTCTTCGCATGCTCCCACTCCTCCCTCCATCACTCGCTCTCGGAGCGCGTCCAATGCGACGAATCCAGACTCGCCGGTGTCGGCAGGAGCGCGACCCTCGGTCCTGATGCGGAAAGCGTCATCGTCCCGTGTACATCTCCCTCCAATCCCTTCACCCCCGACGAGTGACCTACCACCACCTCCGCGATTTCCCGCCTCCAACTTGCCGTACGATATGTCGCCTCTAGAATTCCGCGCCTCCTCAAGTTCATCAAGCTTGAACTTCGCACCTAGTGTGGATATGCATGACTTTGACTCTGGTGACGCCATCTTCCAGCTGATGCACGACAGTTACGACCTCGGGCCGTTTGAATCGAGCGAACACAGGGAGAAGCCGAAGGCAAAGCGTCGGACCAATCGTGACCTGTACATCTTCGACGGTGAAGTCAGCCCTCCCCAATCTGCGACCGAATCCAATTCGCCGTCGCCGCTGAGCAGGTTCCCGCCTGTGCCCACCAGCCCAGCAATGGACCACATTCCGCACAAGGCCCCCAAGCTGTTGAAGAAGATGTCGGCGCAGAATCTGCCACAGCGCATATCAAGTGGCAGCGTCCAGTCGACCGCATCAGCGCCGTCGGAAGAGTTTCATGCAGGCAAGACACCGCGCAAGCAGCGATCCTTCCATACCTCCCGCGTGCCTTTACCGCCGCTCCCAGGCCTCCGGGTTCTTCTGGCAGTGCCCACCCATCAGCCAGCGTCGAGACCCTCCCCCAACACCCCGCATCACCCATCCTGGAGCCTCGACGAGGAAGCGTCGCCAGCCCCCGGAAACGACTTTTCTCTGGCTCCAGCGCACGGAGAAGCACCTCTTCGCACGGACCGACGAGCCCGTCTGTAGAAGACGACAAGCGGTCGATCTTCAGCTTCGAGAGCGACGTACGCCCGGTCACGTCAAGCGGGGTGGAACCCATCACGATGTCGTTCGGCACTGCGGGGGCACCGCTGGCGCTGATGACGAAGAACGCGTGTATCTCACCCTCATCGTTCTGGGACGAACAGCAAGCCGGAGGGGCATCAACGAATACCGCGAGCGCGTCGCAGTCGGACTACACGCCCCAGTACATCATGGCTCCGGCGGACCAGCTCAAACTCGCGGAGAAGCTGGAGGATGCGCAGAGCGCAGAGGAAGAGGCGGAGCGGGAGGCAATGGCAAGGCTGGTCTTGCAACCAGGAGACTTCGGGATGACATTTGCGCCGACGGCGACCACATCTCGTTCGCGCTCGAACTCGGTCCTCTCGAGCACCTCGCTCGCACAAGGGCACGAGAACGGCTCAAGGTCCCGCGTCACTTCCCTCACTTCCCTCAGCTCCCATCTCTCGGCGGCGCCGTCCAGGATGTCTCAGCTCGAATCACTTCGCATGGGTCCTCTGCGGAGTTCGTCGATGCTCGCGAAGGGATCCTCCAGGGTCCCATCATTAACCACCCGGCCATCGACTGCCCAGGCTAGTCTGAGCCTGTCGCCCCCTCACTCCCCTCGCTATTCTCAGTCCTCGCCTTCGCCAGTCATTCCAAGCGCCAGCCTGCCGCCGCCACCCCGGCGTCGGCCATCGCGGAGTGACCTTAACGAGATCACATCGAGCGGCGTGGCCGACAAGAGGGCGAGCGTTGTGCCGATGAACCCGCTTTCACCCCCTCCGATGCGGGCTAACAGAGCCCGTCACGACTCGACGGGTGCAAGGTCAATCGCGTCCTCGAGACCGCCGAGCTCGTTCAACCAGTTGCAGCAGAAGAGTATGAAGCGGCGGTCGCTGATGAGGAAGCCCTCTTTCCTCGACATCGACGACGAGCCCGACGACGCGGTCGATGGGGACGGTTCTGATTCGGACGGGCCTGAGCCGGACTCGCCAGCGATGGAGAGCAGCTTCCTGGACATGGACCGGGGCAAGGGCTCGTTCGACACAATCCGGAGCGTCGACAGCTCGTACTACTGACCTGGGGATTTTGTATCATACATGTTTCTCACCTGCAGGGTTCCCTTCCTGCTCTTCGCCGCACCACGGTCGCGTATCCACACTGTCCTTGGTCGGCCTCGCTGTCGCCGCTGTGCGCATGTCATTCGTTGTTGATTCGTGGCAGGTTACGTTTCCCTGCACCTCGTCCCTGGGGCGGCGCAGGCCGCCCTGTCTTTCATTCGTATCTATGTCTTTTTATTGTCATCTTACGATACGCACACTCGCCTCCGCTTGCTCCAGGTGCGGACTTGCACGTACTACTACAGCTCCTCGCGCGTACCTGCTTAATTTCTTAGAGCCCTCCCAGTCTTGGCCAATCCATCTCTGCTTCTGCTTCTGCTCATGCACGCATAACCGTCCGTTTGCTCTCTCCTCCCTTGGGCTCTCGTTCGTTGTGTCAACGTCCCGTTAGACGTCTCAAACGCGATGATGAAAGTGAACCCCGACAAGTCGCTCGCCACGGAACCTGGGTCGATCGTGGCTTGCATTCGATTGCTCTTGAGGATCATGTGGTCATACTTAGGTCATACTTAGGGGTACAGCAACAGCCGCGGTCTTGTTGCCGGACCCGAGCCGATCGTCCGACATTGATCATTCATCGACATCCTCGGAGGCCGCGAGGGTGCGCCTACGCCGCTCGTCGCGCACGAATGTTGGGGTTCAGCACGTTCTGATGCACGCTACCCCCTCCGCCGCGACGGCAGTCGTTTTGCGGGGCCGGTCTCCCTCAGATTGCGTGCGCCCGTGCGGTCCCGCTCTGAGCGCCAGCTAGACAAGGGAAACGGGGGCACACAACGTCCAACGTCGACGTTGACACTTCATTAATTCATTTCCGACGACCGCGCGCCCCACAAGCAGCCACCAACCTGCAGCCCTGGCCGCGCGCGGGGGCCGGCGCAAATTTACGGGCGGCTGTCGATGCGCGCGCTCCGTGGACGTTCCACCGCTCCGTCTGCTCCGTCGCCCTTCCCTGCCTCCCGCGATCGCCAGCGGGACTTCCGACGTCGAAGCGCCTGTTCGGACCTGGCACCAGCCGTGCGTCAGCGGGGGCGGCCGGCGCGCGAGTCTGCCAACGCACCTCGCGCTATCACTGGAGACACGCGTCGGTCCGTCGGAGGAGGACGACGTAGTGCTGCACCGTCGGCGCGTGCACGACGTGCCCGTCCGCGCCGATGCCGTCCGCGCCTGTGGCGCCTCGACCGCGTGCACGCGCTCGACCGTCCAGTAACGACTCGGGCGCGCGCCGGGGGGATCCGTGGCGGGACGTGCGCGGCGTCGACGAGGAACTCGAAGCGCGCGGCGGAGAACGTGAGCGCGATCCACAGCCCGCCCGGGCGGACGAGCGCGGCGAGGTGCAGCGCGAAGAGCGCCATCGGCTCGAGGACGAGCCCCGCCGCGCCCCCCGCGGAAGGGCCGCGCCGCAGGGCAGGGTGCAGCCGCGCCCGGGACGTCGGCGCGCCGAACGCGAGGTCCTCGCCGCACGAGACCGCGTCCGACGTGCTCTTGTCGACGACGGCCGCGAACGCGCGCCCGCCGACGCCGCCCTCGAGCAGCGCCTGCGCCTGCGCCCAGTCGAGCGCGTCGACGCACGCCCAGCGCATGCGGCCGCCGCGTGCGAGCTCCGCCGCGCGCCGGCGCGCGACGAGCCCCGCGGCGTAGTCGGCGTGGACGAGCGCGCGTTCGTCGACGGCGGGCCCGAACAGCTCGTGGTACAGCTCGCGGAGGCGCTCGGAGAGGGACGACGTCCCCGCGCCGATGTGCAGCAGTCGCGGCGGCGGCTGGGCTCGGGCGGCCGGATCGACCGTCGGGGATGTGAGGCAAGGTGGGGCGGGCGATCGAGCACTGGAGAGGGAGGCGAGGAGATCTGTGCGGAGAATGGGGAGGAGGGTGTCCGCGCCGTCGCCCAGCCATTCAAAGTGGCGCTCGTCTTCGAAGCGCGCGTTCCAGTACGCCTGGGACTCGTAGTCGGGCGGCATACGTTCGAGCGGTGGGAGAGGCGGTGGCGGCGGGAGGAGGGGGCACGACGGGTGAGCGGCGGCGAGGTTCAAGTTGCGGAAAGACGGCACAGCCTCTCGGGCCGCAAATGAGATCGATAGACGCAGTAGCGGCATTCTGCAGGCAAGGCCAAGAGCTGGTTGCAGCACAGGGACTCTGAGCAGAAGCATTTCGCAAAGAGGATTCGGGACGTGGTGGGCGATGAGCAGAAGATACTTGACTTGAAGGCTCCTGTCTCTGGCCAGACTACAACCAGACCTCGCCTAGACGGCGTCACTTGACTGGCTGGGCCTCAGGTCGTCGGCAGCTATTATACATGCCTACTCCACCTACAACTATATGGCAAAGATGCGTATTACATGTACTTAGAAGAGGTCGTTCCTGACCTCGCGCTCCGAGGTCTTCGTGCGCTCGTAGTAGTGGATCGGCACCGTGGTTGAGCAGCTGGACTTCGTGGTCGAGTCGAGGGGCTTGAAGTGCCCGAATTGCTCCTACAGACCGCGTGAGCAACAAAGCGACGGAAAGGCGGAGGAAGGTATACGCACGGTGCCAAGGACGTGGCTGAAGTACCAGACTTCCTGGAGGACGGTGCCGTTACTGCCGCAGCCGAGGTAGGGCACGGCGCCGGTCTGGGCCTTGAGCGCGGTCTGGATCTGGGCGAGCGGGTACGTCGTGTGGTTCGACGGGAAGATGCCAGAACTGTCGGTGGAGCGTGAGCATAGAGCGACCGTCTCGAACATCGTGGGCAACTCACGCGGCGAGCATCTCGTAGGTGGGGTACATCTTGAACGCGCGGATGACGGCCTCGAAGAAGTCGACACGTCCTGGTGCTTCTTGTAGTCGGGGCCATAGCAAGCGACGTCGAAGGTGGACGTGCAGGTCGCGTGTTTCGAGAACTCGTGCGCCCAGAAGGCCTCGTTGGGCTGGCCCTGGCTCACCCAGTACTTGTTCACTAAACAGAGCCCGTTGGTCAGTGAGGCGCTCAGCGGACGTAGCGGTCGATCATACTGAAGTCGAGCATGTCAAGGCGGCCGAACTTGGCGACGAAGGTGTCGACGCCAGGACCAGTGTAAACAGGGACGGTCGTGTTGCCGGGCAGAACGGCAGGTGACGGAGCGGGGTCGTACTGACGAGAGAAATCGCAGTACTGCTCGTACGACCTGCAGAACATCAGGTGAGCGGGCGCCATAAACCTGGCGGTCGAAGAGGCGCAGAACGCACCCGTCGCAGTTGTCGGGCCAGAGGCCGTGGATGGTCCAGCTGCCCTTGGGAAGGAGCTGGCCCTTGCGCTCGTAACCGGTGTAGGTGTCCCAGTACTGGGTCTGGAGCACGAGACCGCCAGGCGTGGGCGAACAACAAGTGTTGGCGATCGCCGTCGTGTTCTCGCACGAATACACGGAGGGCTCGCTGGCGCAGGCGGTGATGTTCGGGAACGTCCGCGGTACGGAGAAGAGGGAGGCGTGCGCGCCCTGGGCGGCGACGAGGGCGGAGACCGTGGCGAGGACGAGGGCGGCGGCCATGTCGGACGACGGGGCGGGAGCTTGACGGGCGTCGAGGCGACGAGGGGCGCCCTCGGGCGCGGCGGGGCTTTATAGAGGCGGGCAGACGAACGTGCAAGCCGGCGCTGGGCACGGTGGTGATGCACATGAGGCACGGCGACGACGATGGGCATCAGCCAACGGGCGGGGTCCATCACCGCGGACGATGTGCGCCCCCGGCTCGTCGCGGATGCCGACCTCGCTATTTTGGCCATGCCTGGACGTGGGTGCTGTCGAAGCAGGATCCGCCGAGGGAGACATGGACGTCGGCGTCGTCGACACTCCGCCTCTCGTAAGTAGCCGCCCGCCGAGTCCCAGCACATCACCGGGGCTGTCCAGCTTTCGCTCGACGCGTCGCCCCCCGCACCAGGCCACCTGCCCGTGTGGTGCTGGCAGTAACAATCATCCCGGCCGCTACTAGTCCAGATCCAGCAGCAAAGTTGCACTCACGTCTTGTCATTCACATGGAGCCCGCGCCACAAGCACATGCAGCAACCGAACCCGTTTCCTATGAATCTCGCTCGTCTCTCAAACATCAGCCCAACCCCCTTCATCCAGTTTGTATGACGCCTCGCTTTCGGGTCTGTCGGGACTGTCTACCAATTTGGCCACACGCTCTTCTGCCCGGCCTGCCAAACACATCAGTAAACCGTCAGACAGGCCGAGATGCCCACCGACCTTTTCTCAGGAACATGCGAGTGGCCGAAGCGTGGGAGAGAATATGGCCGCCAATTGGTTTCAGGGCTCCTCCAGCCACGAAGGTCATAGTAGCACCAGGGTCGGCTGCCAAGTACTGTGAGCAATCGTCCCCCATCCAAGCGATCCGGACGCACATTGTACTTGGTTGGTTATGAGGATAGCAATCTGGTTGTTTGTGAGCGTTGAAGGGGGACACTTGCAAACCAGATGTCCTCACGTTGTACTCTTCCGACAACTTGGACAATTTAGAGAGCATCTAACACGATATGCTTCATGTAGGTGACTACGGTAATAGCGCTGAAGGCATACCTGTGCAAGCTGGATCCCGCCAACATGATAAGCTACCATTGCTATGTTCAAATCAGAGCCCGCATACCTTCTGTTGTCGTTCGCTAAGCTCTCCTCTGCCAGAAAAATCGGTCCGGAAGAGGGCCATGATACTGTCTACGATCTGCGCGCAACCAAGAGAGTCAAGTGGATGAGTGCAAAGTGTACAGTAAACCACCACTCACGAGTACTCTGAAATCCTTATCCTCAGCAAACCGGAGAGAGCATTCATTGATGAGCTCCATCTAGATCCAATGAGTGCTCGTGACATATTTTCGACAGGAAAAATGGTAACCTGATGTTCACTGTTGTGTGCACGGGCTGCGTATAGATCTTAGCGTCTACGAAAAAGATATTCGAGGAATTGAATCCCACCATAGAGTATGTTTTCTAGCGCCATATCTCCGTCCACTGAGCAACCCGTGTCAACACTATGCAACTAGAACTCCATGCTGGTATCAATACCTCCGAAGCGATCAGCGATAGAACGAATACGGTCCGGACGAAATGTTCCCTCGGTGTCGATATATGCCACCTAGTTGGAGCGAGCATTAGTACGGATTGTAGATCATATTTGCGACTTACCTTGCCAGAAGCTCCTCCCATCTCGCCAGGAAGCTGAGCCAAAACGCTCATGGTATGGGCAAGTTGTGTCTTCCCAGTTCTGAATTCTCCGTACACTTTAAGATGTCAGGGGAAGTACACGCAGAAGAATGATGTCGCGAACCTTCGGTAATTGACTGAGACATGATACCACCTGAAGTCACGAGTCCAAAGGATGCTTTAGCTACCGTGTAATCTTACTCACCACCCAGAGCAGTATCGACAGCTTTACTGCCGGTGCTAATGGAAAGGACTTTCTTCCGCTTTTCCTGTACCTCTATGCCAGTTGCGAACGACGATCCCTGGCGCCGGTTGTGCCAGATTAATGTCTGGCGGATGCGAGATGTAGATACCACGTACCAATATCTTGTGGGCAGCCTCCTACAACACAGATGTGGGAGCAGTAGCAATATCCTATGTGAAGCGATACGTACCTTAATCTTCTCCACCTTCGCTTCTGACATACCCTAGAGGCGCATTCAAGGACATAGACGACGGGACACGTAGAAATTGACCGACCTTAATCTTTAGCATCTGTCTGCGGGTCGTCATATTCACGCCAGACACGGTGTTAATGGCGGCGGACTATGTGCTTGTTCATAAGCTAGCGCGTCCTGCGGCAGAGCTCAATATATGCGCATACCTTCAGCTTCAGGATGTCTTGGACATTGATGCCCTGTGTGTGGGTGAGTGAAGTGAAGCGTGGCATCTAATCCAACATACATGTTGTTGAAGTTCATCAACGGTGTCGAAAAATGGAGTCTGGGAAAGTATTGGCAGCTATATGCGCGACTTGCACTATGAAGCATACCTCGTCGACATCGTCTCCAGGAGGTGTGGAGGGGCGCGAGGCGGCGGGAACACTGGATTGAGCCCGGCGGACCATGATGAGAGGTGTTTAAGAGTAAAGACGGATGGGGGATGGCAACAAGACGTGCTTGGGGTAACTTAACGCGGTCTTGTCCAGCAAGGTTTCTTACCACGTGACCGTTTCTCCTCGGGCCCGAGTGCACGCATGCTGTCCGTGGAGAGAAGACGCGGCCGATGGGCTCAATGCATATACGCCGAGTACAGACCGAATGCGTCATGTCGGCGCGAACAAATCGAGAGGGTCATCCTTGTCCACGTCATCAATATGCCCGACGATCTCAACCCCAGCGTCGCGTGTGCTCGGTGTCCGGCTCTTCTTTCGCACAGGCCGAGGAGGAGGAGGGCTTGGCGGTTGCTCCGGTTCGTTCTGCAGCTCGGACGAAAGCACGGGGGTCGGTGCACGGATCTCAGGTATTGGGCCCGAAAAATCTTTGCCTGTCATTCGTGACAGAGTTGCGATGTCTGCAACGGTGGTCGGAAGTCAGGGTCGTCTTCCATGGTAACGAGATACCCTTGACATACCGTACGGCCGACGGTTATTGAGGCAGAACGTGATGCGTGCGGGGTTTTTCTTGTCTTCAGTCTTGAACTTGTTCTTACATGCCTTTCTATCTCGTCCAGGGAGTACGTACGATATAAGTTCATAATTCTCCCCGAACTGAGACAGCGCCTGCACAACTGTAAGAACAAGCCGGTGGCCACAGACCTCACGGCTTACATCGAAAAAGAGATCCGTTTCTTCTGCACTCCATCGCGACCCCCGGACCTTCTTGCTGTACGTCGTCGAGTTGACAAACTTGGTGAAGTCCGACTCCTCCACATGAGTGTAGTTTTCGGTTTGGTCACCCTCGTCGCGATTCACAAAAAGAGAAGCCTCGTCGATGACAGTCTCCCCGTTGGCTCCTATTCGGACTTGAACGTTGAAACGACTGACTGCCATACTATCGGAATAGTTGAAGTCGTCCGCGGATTTGTCAGCGAGAGGGTCATCTTCTGTTGTCGAGTCGGGAGCAGGCGTATTTGGGTTGGAACCCGAAGCAGAATCACCACCTTGAGGAGTACTTGCAATGGCTTGATCCATACCGTCCTCCTCCGCTTCGAGGTCACGTCCATACTTCTTGGCTTCCATGATAGCCTTCATCCGAGCCCGCTTCTGTCTGTTCGCAGCTCTCCATGCAACATGGTTATTGACAATCTGGTTTGCTTTACTGCTAATCCGTCCTCTTCCGGTATCGTCACAGAGAGTAGCCATAGTCACTACTGTGGGATCGAGTTCTTCTCCGGGATCGGCGTCCGGGTCGAAAGGAGGAGACGGAAGTCGACTTCTGCCTCGACGAGAAGTAGATGATTCCCGCGTCCTTTGGCCGGAATCTTCCGCGTTCTCGTCGCCCTCAGTGTGGGACCGCTTTGAGCGCCGTCGTTTCGCAGAGGGTTTGCGTCTGAGGCCTCTAAACCACATCGTCAGCACAAGTTATCCAGTACACAATGTGGGTGCTACCCACGGTCATCCGCTGCCGCTTGCTCTGAATCTGCACCTGTCTCTTTGCGCTTGCGTGAATTCCGCCTCTGCTTCGATGACTTCTCCTCCAAGTGCCATGGTGGTTTCCAAGCTGTTCAGCTTGAGGCACGGGCAAGTCATTCGACAACCTTTCGACTCCGAAATCAGGAACAAGGTGTTGTCAAGAGGGAGCATGAGCCGCGGGTCAATTTGGGAGGCGTCGAATTGGAATGGCATCGAGTCTATGGATTGGTCTAGCAGCACTTGTGGGAGACCTGGAAGGACATTTGTATCGGAGGAAAGAGAGGCAGGGGGGTGCTGACTTGGTGGAGGAAGAGGGGCATAACGCGGCGGAGAGGGAAGGCGCACTATTGAACCTCGAGGTACAGGCATCGAGAGTGGAGTCCCGGATGATGTCTGAGAAGACGCGATAATAGGAGGCATCCGTGCGGGAGTACTGCGTACTGATGGAGGAACTCGAAAATTGCTCGAAGGTACAGAAGTCGTTGCCCCTGCTACAGCAGAGGAATTTCCCGGTGTTTTGGTGATGCCTGAGAGAGTATCCTGTAACAAGTCTGTCGAAGTGGGTGGCTCCGTGGTAGGCTTTTGGGAAACGGCCGGAGGAGGCATGGCAGAGGGAGCTCTGGAGGCGTGACCTTCCTGGTCGCGTGTAGAAGAGCTAGCAGAGGAGTCTGGTAGTGCTGAAGGTTGCCGTGATTCCGTTCCAGTACGTGGCCGAGGCCTTGCAACTGGACGGAAGACGGTACTACCTTTCTCTATTGGCCAAGGTTGAGAAGCCGAACTATGAACGATACGAGCATGACTCACGGACGCGTTGGGACATGCTCCGGAAGCCCAGGTATCAGGTTCAGTCGCAGATGTGTACAGAGGGAGCGGGTGTCTCAGTTCAGTGAGGGGGAGTCCATGGAGCGGGGGAAGGAAGGACGGTGCAGAAGCGCCATTGGGCGGGCCGTGCAAACTCCAGAGTTCGACTCCAAGTCCCAACTTGCTCATGACATCCACCGCGCCGCTCGTTGATATTTCACCCAGTGCTATTCGTTCTTTTAGTGTCTTCTTTCGTGGCGCTCAGTTTCTCGGTCTTTCCGGACCCACTTCTTCAAGATGAGCAAAACCGTTCGTCTACCTACGGGCAGTCAACCAGACTGGGAGCTCGATGAGCCGGCGCAAGAAGAGGATACTCTCCAGTCTCTCGCAAGCAGGTTAGCTGCAACGATTGATGCTACGCACATTTCGCTTAAGATCCCACAAACTAGCCGAGTCATCCCTTTGTCGTTGATGCAATGTGAGTTACCAGCGATCCAGGCCAATGGATGCCAATGCCAATGCTCATGCTAGTACAGCCAGGCAGCGGTGGATATTCTCTACGTTTCCGAAGTTCAAGTCCAAGACTCGGGGCAACAAGAGCACCAACGAGCCTCTACCACCACCCCATAACATCAAACCCCATGGTAAAATCGACATACGCATTGGCCCTCACTTATTTCCCAACACGTCGATCTTGGAAGTCCACTACATTCCGCCTGTAGCTTCCACTAGCAGCGCGGATTCGCAATGTACGTGTCTGATTCTCTATCCAAGTCATAGATGATCGGCAACCAACACTCTTCGTGTGCGGCGCAGTTACACAACAGTTACAGGCGACGACCTCTGCAACGACCTCTGTTACAGAAGAATACTCGGGTTCCTTCACAGTAACTCCAGAGCTTTCATCGAAGGTCGCGTCGGCATGCCAAACCAATCCCATATTAGCAAACCTGGTTTCCGCCGTGTTCAGTGGAACTGCGACTGAGGACCAAATGAAGACATTGGCCCTATTCGTCCAGTCTCTGGAAAACGTGCAGCAACCAGAGGTTCCCAAACCTCCCGGTGCTTCAGCTTCTGTCGCAAGCCAATCGTCCGCGCCCTCTTCTCCTCCGAAGCCTTTTGACATCGTGTTCGAGTTTCCCGACCGCCCATCTGACAGATGGATTTTGCCTCGAGGTGATATCTATTGCGAACGTGTTAAGAGTGGTGGAGGAGCCTCTGCGCGAGGTACAGATGTCGTTATCACCATGTCAATCTCTGCTGCAAGTACTCAAGCGGCGCCGGGAAACGAGTCCATCCCCGAGGACGAGAGCCAGCAAGAAGTTGTTACTCTGCGTTTCTCGAGGGTGCCTCAGTCCCTATGGGACATTCTTATTGCTTGGGCCGGGGGCAGGAAAAAATGGAAGAAAGCAAGGCCAAGTTGATCGAGATGGTGCGTTCCCAAACAGAGCTTCTGGTGTCTTTGACCGAGTTATCCCCAGGTTCAGAATTCGCGTCCGCGATCTTTCCTTCAACATCGTCTTCCCGAAGGAGATTTGTTAACTGAAGTCCAGACGGTGCGTTCAGCGCTCACCGAGTACTTTCCATCTCATTCATTGTGTTCGATACAGGCCGCTGCGCCAGCATATTCGATGAAACTTGTCAAACCGCAAGGCGCAGACAGCACTCGACCAAAACGTCGGCCTTCAAGAAAGGCGACTGCAGCCCGGCATTCCCAGGTCGAGAAGCCTGCTCCTATCAAACGAAGGCAGTCAGTCAAAGAAAGGGTTTCGGCTCCTGCTCCAATCGCATGCCATGTCTGTGGACAAACGGATGTTCCCTTGATGAGGGGTGGACGTGAGTTTGCTCGACCACGGTCTCCTTCAACAATCTCACCTTCATACAGGATTTTGTAGAACCTGCATCGACGCTGGCAGACTGCCTCAGGGGGCCAGCACGGAACCTCAGTCCGTAACGTTCGTGAATGGGTTGCAACCCGCGCGCTCGCGAAGCGGTCGAAGTCTGGTGCTGTTCAGGTTCAGCCTTCTCAGTCTGCGGTGCAACCACCTCCAGCTCTCACGCCAGTTGTTGCCCCAGTCGAGGATATTCATGTCTCATTAGCGTCTAGATGACGGGTAGGCGGTGTTGTACAATATGTGACGATGCGTATGGTATAAAGATATAAAAACAGAGCATATCGACAGCACTACGTGAATAGATTGACAGACCAGCCAAGCCACCAGACGATTATACCCAACTGGGCAAAAATGACGGCGACTTCCAGGACAACTGCGCACCACTGGATCGCAAGGAGTGTAATGTAAACGGGAAAGACGAGAGACCACAGTCCGCTATGGTCAATCCAAGGAAGGTGAATTTGAGAACTGAAGTAGACAGCGCCACGGGCTTGCAGAATCGTACCAGTTGTCCATGAGAAAGACAGAGCGAGCAAGGCTCCCCAGTGACGAAACGAACGCTGGGGTAGCTGCGTGATGAGATAGCGCTTCGGTTCACCGGTGAATTCGTTGCGGTACCAAGGAACGATAAGAAAGTCCTGAACATCTTCACCAATAATCTTTCCATAATTCCGCCAGAAGGGGGCCATAGTGTCCAGGAAGAAGGTAAGCGCGTCCAGGCCGATGTCCCAAAACTGCTGATAGTGGTTTCGATAGTTCTCTTCCAAGGCTGCGATTTGTGACAACTGAAAGGTGTGAGGATCAAAGCCATAATGATCGAGCCATTGTACATACCTCGGGATAGACCAGCGACGTATGTGAAAGTGCGTCATTATACTCGCGTTTGACTTCGGCCTGGACGGCCTTTACTCTCTTGAGAACGGTTGCCACGTCTTCAGCGTGATGGGCTAAGGCCTCGCGTTGAGAAGACAGAGTTTCCAACGCGCCCAAAAGCTTCGATACCGGCTCATCGAAGACTTTGCATGGTGGAGCGACACCGTCCACTTCGCCAATCCCCAGGTGGATGAAGTCGTGCAGGGTTTCTCTTTGCCGTTGTATTCGAGCGTGAATGTCCTCCACGGCAACCCAACTCTTCGAACTGCGAGTGCCTCCAGTGATTGCGGCTGGGTCGTGCAAGAGGGCATCTAGTACCTCTGAGGGTATCCTTGAATACTGTATTCCAAGAAGAGTCGATAGGCCGGCCTGCAAGGAGTCGTAGTCGCGGATACTTCCACAGACTCGTTGAAGAAGATGTCGTACGCGGTAATTTTGGGAGAGGGTATCCTCCAAAAGTCTGCAAGTATAGGTTAGTGCGGGCAGCTACCCATTGAGGGAAACAGCGTACTGGGCCTTGACCTCATATTCCTCCCTCTCCTTCTCCTCATTCGCAGATCGTCGACGCTTCTGCTGTTGTTGAGCGAACACGCCATTGGCAGATGGTAGAGATCTCCTGAACTTGCGACGTAGGAAAGTGGAGTGCGCGCCCTCTTTGGACGCAGATTCGGGCCTTGGAGTCAGGCTTGCATCAGTAACACCAGGGAAGCGAGTGCTGCTCTGAGTAGCCGTTGCGGGTATGTCAGAATGCTCGCTAGAAGTCGGGGCATCGGAGGCTGCCTGTACCGCCGACGGGTTTGGAGAGTGCATATGGAGGCTGGTGGGTCGGCTACGAGGAGGTTGAAGGGATGTGAGTTTGCGCATAGGATTTCCTCCTTCCTCTGACGCGCTGTGTCCGCTGTTCTCAGACAAGGAGTTCCTTGCAGATGACAGAGCTTCGTCGCTGGGCCGAAGTGCGAGTCGTTTCCTGAGCTCCCGTAACCGTTTGCGACTGCTGTTAGGAGAGGCTCCTTTCGAGACTACGCTATAGAGCGAACTCTGTGCCGAGTCGCCTCCGTTGACAGGCCAAGCTTTGTAGTTGTCACTGCTTCGGCGTGAATCTGGGCCAAGGGAATCTCTTCCAGATTCAACCAACGGTTCGAATGATACTTGCGCGTCATAGGAGGTCCGGGCAAGGGAGATTGCAGCTTCCAACGAATGACGGGGAGTAGCCCACGAGTAGGAGCTACTGGTAGGTGATCGAGCATCAGAGAATGATGTCGTATAGGGTGACGATGGAAGGACCACGTCGTTCTCAGGGATGGTGTCCATCGTAGGTCTTGCGGAGTGAGCACTCGCGTACTCTTCAAAGACAAGAGCCGTAGGACTCCAAGACGAGAGCTTTGGCCTTGAAGATTCTTGGCTGTCCCAAAGATGCTTCATCCACGTCAAAGGCTCCGCCTGATCAAGTGTGGATCGAAGTTCTTCGCCTTGATTATGATACCATCGCCTGACCTCCAATAAAGTAGGGGAGGGTGATTTACTCTTGGAGAAGAGGACTTCATATTTCCGTCGCAGCTGATCTTTGATCATCTCCGCTTTCCTCAGAGTCAAGGGACTGACACCAGAACGAATTTCCTTCAGCTTGCCTATATTTCCCGGTCAGCGTGAGCAATAGACCGCGGTGACGGGTGCTAACTCGCGTGATGTGCCTCCTGCTCGCGACCGAAAGCGCCATTGAAAGAGGCTTGGTCCTTGGACTTGCGTTTGCTTCTGGAAAGTGACCAACGACGATCTCGAGCGTCTTCGAGAGGAGATGAGCTCCAGTCCAACGTGGCTCCGCCGTCAGATGAAGAAGGAATGGCGCGGAATGGCACAACGCCGATGGAGGGACTGAAGTCGATCTCTGAATCACCAGAGAGCCGCACGGGGCGTACCAATGGAGAGGTGAGGTTGACGGGGACCGCTACAGACGGGCTGGAGGAGAGGGATATGTCGTCGGAGGGGGGATGCGATTCCACGCGTAAAGGGCTGGACTGTGTCCTCAAACGGGCTTCACGTCGAGCCTTCAGCTTCAAGGCACGTTGCACGTCCTCCAACACTCCTGGGTCTAATTCGCCATCAGAAGAGTGTTGAGCACATCGGCGTAGCAGTATACATGCCTTCACGAGCTTCAAAGCATGTCAGAATATCACACCGCCCATACAATGAGAGGACAGCTCACATAGGTCGTACTCATCGGAAAAGGTCTCGGTAAGAACGTTTGAAGCTGCCCGCACAGTAGCATCCCGCTGGTCCAATCTTCGAGAGTAATTCGTGGTTCTGCGTGAGGGCGCGGATTCCCTAGTGGTGTACATTTCGACTGCAGACGCGTCGACCGACTTGACCCGCCGTCGTTTCTCGTCTTGCTGGGGAAGCAGGGGACCACTATGAATGCCGGACTTACCACGGAGCAAAGGAGGAGGCCCCAACCCAAGTGAGTGGTGACCATTCTCGTTTCCTACGGTGAGGGGGTCTACTGGGAAGTGAATGTGCGTTGCCCGATGCAAGGGAGTAGAGGTAACGGAGGACTGGTGCGGAGACTCAGGCTGCGTGGAGGAGGACGCCCCGGGACCGGGCTCAGCCATTGCGAGCTCCAGTTGAGTGAGACAGTGATGTGTTTGAAAGGAATGATTTCAAGAGAGGATGTGCAGCAAGGAAGGAGTGGTTTTGGTGGAGGAACGGAGACAGACGGCAGGTACGGCAGGAAGGGCCGTGTTCTCGGCGTCTCCGCGGTGAGTCTGCGGCCCGCCCCCCACGTCGGGCGTCCCATATTCGTAAAGTAACACACACCGCGCGCACTTCCGACAGTCTGAACGTTCCAGAGTCCGACTGTTTAAATTTTGCATCGAGTTTCTATGTGTGTATTATATCCCGACTCGAGTACTAGCGATTGTATTCGAGATAGGTCACAATCTACCGAGGAATCCGCGCCAAGGCCCGCCGTCGCCTAAGGATTAGACGGAGGAGCATGATGGTGGTGAAAGCTGAAAGCGAATACCTACCAATGCGTTAGCCGCGTCTCTAAAATCAACGGGCGCCGAACGACTCACCATGTTACGATGTAGGAGACATGAGAATTCCTAACATCCACTGATGGTGACCTGCCTATAGGTACACCGCGAGCAAGCCGCGAAGCCGCTTCGCCAGCATGCCCCTCTGGATCCAGGTGAGAGATATTGGCATACAGTAGACTCTCAAACGTACCAAATATCTCCTCAACAAAGACAGGTTGAACGTTGGCCTCCTCTCCACCAACATGGGCGGCCATGGTGTTCACATCCGCCCAGTACCACTCGCCCTTGTCGGGATGGTTTTCCGGAGTGAACTATTGCGAACTTGGGCCGTGCGTAACATCCCGAGGACTTCGACCTCGCCGGTTTCTGTCGCCAGAGAACGACGTACCCACTGCGCCATGTCCTTTGATACAAACCCGCGATCGACAAGCACAGTTGATCCGTCGGAACGCATGAGAGGGACCACTACGTGATATCCGTTGGTGCCGTCTCGAACCCGAGGACCTATGAGCATGACATGCGAGCATCCCAACACCTTTGAGGACGACCTTCCGATATACAAAGTCGGGTACGACATCCATGCTTCAAACTCACAGTAAGGATGAGCCAATACAGAGTGGATGATGGCACGTACTTGACATGAGGTGGGAGAGGGATCGGTTCGCGCTCAAGCTTCTCCTCCAGTTCGTCGATGAGCGCGACCTTCCATTTCAATCGTTGAACTTGCCAGGTGCCAAGAACGAATGTTGCAATTGGAATACATCCAACCACAACCATCGTCGGTGTAATCCATGGTTCTCGTTTCGCCTTGTAATGAGACCAGAGGGCAAGTCAGACGCGAACGCCCGTCTCGGAGTTGAGTATGCCGCCAGTTGTGTGAGAGCTTGACCGTGTGCGAGGAAGGATCGTGCCAGTCGCGAGAGCATCGGAAGGGACGCGTTGGTGAAGCGTACAGGGCGGAAAGGTGCGCCCGCGTCTTGTTGATCCGTGACCGTCTGGCACATGCGAGGCGCCAAGGGCGGACACGCCGCAGCGGAGGCTATCCCACCTTTCCCTAGACCATTTCTTCCTACCTGGCTTCTTGTCTGTTCGCTGTCTCAGAAATCCCTTCACCATGTACGCTGAGCCCATACACACCGCCGCACGCAAGCTTACACAAGCACACAGGCATTCAGGCTCACGAACGCGTCAGTCTGACTACAACATCGACGGTGATGACATGCACTATCCAACCCGACCGGTCGACAAGGACAAGGCGGAAGGAGAGCTGGTTGTGAACATTAAGAAGGCTACCAACCCAGACGAATCCGCACCTAAACAGAAACATGTCCGGAGTACGTGCCCGTTTCGTACGACCTCTTCAATGTGTTCTTATGCTACATCAGAGTGTATTGTCTACACCTGGGACTACCATTCCTCAATTTCCTTCTGGACCGGTTTGCGAGTACAACCTATCCTCTCTGATGAAGTGCAGACCTTCAAGGCCTCATCACCGTCCACAAAGTGCTGCAGGAGGGGCACCCTGTGGTCTGTGACATGATTACTGCCACATGAGCACTCATAGTAATTGCAGTTGATCAGAGTATCAAAGAGGCGCATGGTCAGACTGGTTGGTTAGAGACTTGTGCGAGAACAGCTGGGCACGATACCTCTCGAGGTGTGTTCATTCGTGCGGCACAGACCAACCACTCATCCGTTACAGGCTATGGTCCTCTCATCAGGAATTACGTGCAATTCCTGTTGGCGAAATTGCGTTTCCATCGAGTTCGTCCTGAATTCAACGGTCTGTTTGAATACGAAGAGTATATCACACTAAAGGGCATAGACGATCCCAACGAAGGGTTAGCACATCCAATTCTCGTGGTTTATCTGCTTACCATCGGTCAGATATGAAACCATCTCAGATCTCATGGCCTTGCAAGACAAGATCGAGGAGTTCCAAAAGATGATATTCGCGCACTTCCATCATTCTGCCAGTAACGAGTGCCGCATCTCTGCGCTGGTCCTCTGGTGAAGGAAAGTTGGGGGATCTATCGTTTCATCACTAGCATGCTCCGCGCAATGCACAGACGTGAGTCTTTCCATCTTCGAAATTCTTCTACTCTAATTCCAGTGAAGGAACGAATGACATCGAGGCTCTCGAACCCCTTCGTACGCGATACAACGCACAACACTACAACCTCCGCAAGTTCTACTACGAATGCTCTAACCTCAAGTATCTTACTGGTTTGATTAATGTGCCGAAGCTGGGCCAGGTAACAGTTCTTTGTGGTAGAAAAGATGCAGCCATTTGACACTCTCTTAGGAACCGCCGAACCTACTGGACAATGGCTCTGCCCCAGACCTGCCTGCGCGCCCCACAACCGCCTCTGTCAAGACTCCTCCTCCAGCCGCCCCTACCCCTGCCATTGATATCAATGAGCAGGCGCGCATGCTGAAGCAGTATGAAGATCAGCAAGCAGCTTTGGTGGCGGCACGCGACGAGGAAGAGCGGCGTCGCAGGGAGATGGAGGAACAACAGCAACGGGAATTCGAGCAGAGACAGGCGTCGCAGATGGAACAACAACGGTTGGCCCAAGAGCAGCTCCTTCGGCAGCAGATGGAACAGCAAATGATGCAGTACAACAATCAAGCCGCGCAACAGGTGCATGACTTGGAACGTGGAATCCTGGAGATGCGAGGACAATACGAGCGCGATCAGTTGATGCTGGAGCAGTATGATCGAGTTAGTATTCTGAGCTCTTTGCGACCGGCTTATTCATGTTGTTTTGCAGAGAGTCAAAGCCCTTGAGAGCGAGCTCGGTAGCGTCACAGCAAACGTCGGGTCTCAGATGGCCTCGAAGGACGAACTTATCCGACAGCTCCAGGAACAAGTCGCGACTTGGCAGAGGAAGTACGAGGCGTTGGCCAAGCTATACAGCCAACTACGCACGGAGCACCTTGACATGCTCTCTAAGTTCAAGCAACTGCAGCTCAAAGCCAACTCTGCTCAGGAGTCCGTCGACAAGATGGAGAGGATGGAGCGCGACCTCAAAGCCAAGAACCTGGAACTGGCCGACATGATCCGCGAACGCGACCGGGCCCGCTTCGACCTCGACCGCCAGAAATCGAGTCACAAGGACGAGCTTGACAGGCTCCGTCGCGAGATCAACTTCGCAAATGAGCGGGCAGAGGATGCTACGCGGTCGAAGAGTTCGGAGGTCTCTGGTGTACTCTCAAAGTATAACCGTCAGCTCACTGAGCTCGAAGACTCGTTACGGGTAAGTCCATCTGCAAACTCTGACTACTTGCCTACTGACCAGATATCAGGCGAAGCAAATGCAAATTGACGATCTGCTCGCCAAGCTCGACAATGCCGGAGGCGATCTTGATCGTTTGCGCGAAGAGAAGGACGATGAGATTGAAATCCTCAATGATAGTCTTACCCAAACCCTCCGGCAGTTGCATGAAGCCCAGCAGGTATGTACGATGCATTCTAAGCCAACCTTTACCGACTCCCTTCCCCCAGAACCAGGGGTTGAACGAGGAAGCAACAAACGCGCAGATCGATACCCTCATCTTGGACAACCGAAAGAAGTTGAACGACATCATCGGTTCGCTTGCCCTCCCATATTATACATGTAACATTCATGTTGAGACTATTCTCAGACTCCATCTTCAATGCCTGCGTGCAGAAAGTTGACGAAGCGATCTACGAATTGGAATCTCCCGCGCAGGCTGGGAACCAGAACTCCACGCCAGAGTACACGCTGTCAATGATCGAGAAAACTATCAACAACGCAACCGACTTCGCCACTATCTTCAACCTCTACTTGGGTGGTGAGCCCGGGGGCGAGCACGTCGAGGTCATCAAGGGGGCAAACGAGCTCGCTCAGTCGCTCGCGGACGTTCTTGTCAACGCCAAGGGGATCACTCGTCTTGTCGACGACGACGTCGCAGACAAAGTCATCAACGTTGCAAAGAACGCTGGTGATGTCGGCCTGCGGGCATTCCTCAACCTGCAGTCCTACAAGCTCGACCTCCTCCCGCAACCCACTCAGCGCAAGGAAGTGGCCATGCGTCACAACGGCGAAGTCCGGGGCGCGCTGTCGAAGATGTCAGAAATCGTGGACAGCCTCGTACCGAAGGGCGGCAAGGCTGGCGCAGTCAAGAGCAGCGGCGACCTCGGGGATCTCGTCGAGCAGGAAATGCTGAGCGCCGCTCAGGCCATCGAAGCCGCCACGGAGCGCCTTCAGCAACTCCAGTCCCGCCCCCGCGACTCGTCTCGGTACAGCGCCGTTGACCTGCAGGTGCACGACGCGATCCTCTCCTCCGCGCTGGCCATCACGTCCGCCATCGCGCGCCTCATCCGGGCCGCGACCGAATCCCAGCAGGAGATTGTCGGGCAGGGCAAGGGCACGAGCACGACCCAGCAGTTCTACAAGCGCAACAACCGCTGGACAGAGGGTCTCATCTCCGCCGCCCGCGCGGTCGCATTCGCAACGAACCTGCTTATCGAGTCCGCCGACGGCGTCCTTTCCGGCACGCACACTCTCGAGCAGCTCATCGTCGCCTCGAACGAAGTCGCCGCCGCGACCGCACAGCTCGTGGCCGCGTCGCGCGTCAAGGCGAACTTGATGTCGAACACGCAGCAGCGGCTCGAGCTCGCGGCCAAGGCGGTCACCGAGGCGTGCAAGGCCCTCGTAAAACAGGTCAAGGCGATCTCAGCGAAGCAGGCCCAGGAGGAAGACGTGGACTACAAGGGCATGGCTGTGATGGAGTACAAGCGGCGCGAGATGGAGCAACAGGTCGAGATTTTGCGGTTGGAGAAGGATCTCAATGCGGCGCGGCACAAGTTGGGCCAGATGCGGCGGGCAGGATATCACACGGACGAGACGGATTGATGGCACAAGTGCTCTTCAATGTTCAATTCTCGCACTGGAATCACATGTACTTTGTTTACACGAACTGAACTTGCGCTCCCTTGGATTAGTCGAGATGAGAGGGTGCTTGTGGGACCGCGGAACGTGGGGATTGGACAAATCATAGGACCGTACTATTACATGGGAGCGATTCCCAGACTAAAAAACACAGTACATGGGGTGCACCGCGATGACCACGGTGGAGTAATTTTGGGTGATGTATGTAGACGATGAAAGTGGCATAACAGGAAGTCCAAAAACATGAAAGCACAGAGATAATACATTGTACAACCCTCTAAGCAGCCAAGACAAAAGAGGGAAGAACAAGCTCAGTCAGTGATGAGTTCAGAAACGCTCCAATCCTCGAAACTGCCGTCAGGGAGGTAGCGTCGGATGGTAAGGGGGATCTTGCGCTGAGACAACTCCTTGATAGCAATCTGGAGAGCGTCCGTCTCGCCTTCGAGGGGCACGAGCACAGGTGCATTCATGCTAACATTGGGGCGTTGAGGCGGGGAAAGTGAGATGGCAAGAGGGCCGAACGCACCTGATTTGCAACGCTCTAGTACCCAACACCCGTGCCCGCTCGTATTTCGTGAGGTATGGTGTTGTGACGCGCTCTTTATTCGCCTGTCGCTCCCCTTGCATGCCTGATTGAGATGGAGGTTGACCAGCCTGGCCGTCGCCGGCCTCGGGTGCGCCCTCTGCGCCGTTGGGGGGGAAGCCGTTGGCCTGTTCGCCCTCTCCTTGAGCTTCACCCTCGGCGCCCTCATTTGCGAGCAAGTCGTAGTTTTCATCCTAGACAGGTGTATATAAGGACTAACGAAGTACATTGACATGCTGGATGCACGTACGAATGCGTCATCCCCAAATCTGTGAGTTCACCGAGTCAGCGTAGTCCTTTAGGACTTGAGCATTCGACTCACCCTCCTCCGCCATCGTAGTCGTAGTCGTCTCTGCCGCCGCCACCACCGTATCCGTCATCAGACATAGCTAATAGCAGTTGCGATAGAGAGAGAAGGAGGGGTGGTGAAGAACAACAACAGACGTAACGCACGACGACTCTTTCTGGCTATTCGCAGAACAAGACTTTGAGCGTCAACTCGGGTGCACGTGATTGCTTGAATATTGTTGGTGTGTAAAAACCGGATTAACTGACCTTGCTCTCGCACTGCTTGCACCCGCATGTTGCGAACGTACGTTTCACAGCAGATCAGTTGCACAAAAGGGATACCGCCTCTAGCATTTATGCTCTCTATGTAGCCTCCTGTTGGCTGTGTCACACCTACCAGCGCCGTATGCAGTTGGTCTTTGCTCGCAGCGTCATGCTTCGGGGCCAAAAACGAGCGAGCTGATGATGCTGTCGCCTTTGGTACGTATGGAACCCCTGCTAAGGAGATTGGCTGGTGTCGAGCTTGTTCGCTTTGTCGCCAATTAATCGCTTATCTTGCAGGCTCCCCGAAGAGAAGGTTTATTGGACCTGGTCCTCAACCAACGTGGCCGCTACTCGCGTCTATAACTATGCCGGATGACAGGCGGCCAGCGATGACACGCCTCAGGAGGGGCTTGAGTAAGGTGAGCGAGCTGTCGGACCGATCTCAGGTGCTTGACTGACGTCCAGGCGAGTCCAGGAGTGCTGCCATGGCCAGCCAGCACGTTCGCGCCGAGTGCGGTCTTGTACGATGCCGGTGGGTGCAGGAGGCCTCTATAGCTAGCAGGATCCGCTGGCGGCGAGTAACCGCATGGGCAGCCTTGAGGCAGGGAAGGACGGCGTCGCCCCGATCGATCAAAGGCACTTACTCCACGTCGTCCACTCCGCCGCCTGGCGTCTCCCGGGCTTCCTGCTCTGCCCAGGACGCCGGTTGGTGGGCTGGCCGGTGGTCGCCGCGCGCACAGGCAGTGTCTCGGCTCTCGACATGTCCGCCGGATCGTCGTCGAATTACCCCAGAAAACACGGCTGCCGACCGACGCCGACGCCGTGACGAGCGCAGGGCGCGTTCGACCCCGGCTTCGACCCTTGTGCACCCTCTTGTGACGCTACCAAAATCCCATCAGCCCTCGGGATCGGCCGCGCGTTTTGCCTTAACCCATCTTCCTTGCCTCTTCTCTCGCCCCGTCGTGCTCTCGGTCGTCCAAATACCCAGCCGTCCCCCTCTCGCTCTCGCCGCAGCCTTTCCCCCATGCCTTCCAAACTCCCGCCCAAGGACAGGGCATGGGGCACACGCTACGATACATTAGAATCCTCCCCGCCCGCCTCTCCCGCGGCCCAGCGACTCACGACCGATCTCAACCCTGCGACCATTCAACTGGCCAGAGACACCTCCAGGAGCCCTGCCGATCACCTCAACACCCCTACCGTCGACCGAACTGGATGGCAAGACGGAACTCTTCACGACGCAAGCATCTTCGTGGGCAGGTGAGCGTCGTGCCCTCCCGGCTATTGGTCTTCTAGAGCTGAAATCGGTCGTCTTTAGCCTTCCCGCGAACGTGGATCGCGGCGAGTTGACACACCGTCTATCGGAACATCTATCGGCATATCCACACATCAAGACTATCAAGGTGGTACGCGATAGTCGGGGAGGTGTATGCGCTTTCGTTCAATGCGACGTTCGTATGTTTGATATATGCGCTCTTCGTGCGGTCTGTTCACGCTCCGTTTTCAGAGCCCGCTTGCCGCGCGTAGTCTACTCATTGCGCTTCAAAACGATCCTCCGACGCTGTTCTTAGGTCGTTATCTCCGATTCGAGCCAGCGAAAGCGTTTCGAACACTATTAGTGTCTTATAGGTAGGAGACCTGCCGTGCGTGGTGCAGCATTAGACTCACGAATCCAACAGAGCGCCAATGAGCTTGCTGCCGAGAAGCCTGGACGGTATATCAGACGACTCGGACGGACAGATCACAAATCTACGGCAGCCATACGCCATGAGAATATATCGACCCCGTAACGCGAAGTAAGTGGGCATGAGCAATGAGACGGGCGTATTTCTTACCGTTTGCATCTTTAGATATCTGGGACTTCTCTACGATGCAGATGCAATCAACTACGTTTCGAATGAGCAGGACGGGTTTCGCCATAACGACGAGCTTGATGGCGACGGTGTGCTGTTCCATCCCCTCAAGTATGATTCCGAGGTTGGCACCATGATCTCGAGATTCGTGACCGTGAGCATTGACGTATCGAGTGCAGTCCGTCAAGAAATTGTCCATGACATTTGGACCTTTAGAAAGCTTCCAACCTCACGTAGTCTCTCCGGACGCCGGTACGTCGCTCACCGCTCCTACTTCTGTGGAAATTTTTGTGACCCCCACAACAAGACCATCAACCGCCAGAATGTGGTTATCCTTTCCCTCATAATGCCCCTCGTGCTGCAGACATGGATGGTGGAGTTTGGGAGGTCAAATGGAAAGACAGGGAACATAGCGTTGCCGCCCTGCTAGTACGCGTCCCCTTCTTCTGAGTATGCCATCAACTTTGACATTGCCATAGACGCTGCGTAGGATACCCCATCTGACTGTCAGCTGGGCGCATCACCCTCCGTCTGGTGGAACGACAACTTCCGGACTCAAGCGACCCATGTCCATACCGCGATCGGCCTTGTGGAGTCCAAGCGATCGCGCAAAATACTTTGATTCCGGCGACTCAAGTCCCATCGGCGGCCCCCGTACCCTGCAAACATCCCCGCTGCAGATCAGACACCCACTGCCTCTGCCTCCAAGTGCTCAAGGTCAGAGCACTGATTGTTCGCCAATATCATGGGTCTTACCTGTTGCAGGTGTTGTAGGCGTGGCTCGTGGGCATCCAACAGGCCCTGCATTGCGATGGGCAGATCAAAACAACGATATGAACAGCCAGGAGAGCATTCAGTTGGCTTCCCGGCCCTCTGTTCTGCCCAACCTCGGCGATGCAACATATCTGCGACCAGACGGCATGTCGTCCTCCGAGTTCGACAGCCCAGTGTCGCCAGGACTCCTTCCCAGTGCGCCAATTTCACCTCACGCAGAACGCTTTTTCTTCCAAACAGCCGGTGGTGCCATAGATCGGGTAAGTGCATATCTTAAGCGAGGCACCGCGATAACGAGCCAGTGCAGGGTCCCCACATGTCCGCCTTTGTCGGATTTCCTCGCGGGCTACCACCGATAATGCAGCAAGACGGTCTCAAAGAGATTGACCCTACTACAATCTTCGTTGGTGGTCTAGATATCGCAGACGCTTGGGATGAACAAAAGCTGCGATATACATTCGGTCGGTATGGATTGATCCAAGAGGTGCAAGTGGTTAAACCAGGTCTGTTCTCTATCATCCCACGATCGTCGTCTTCTAAAAGAACGCAGTCAACAAACGGTCTGCATTCGCATTCGTGAAGTTCGCGTCGATGGAGTCTGCAACACTCGCGGTACAAGAAGCGGTAAGCCGTTCTTCTCTTGAGTCTTCTGATCATGCTCACTGTGTCCCGAAGCATAATCGTACACACGAGGGACGACCTCTTCGAGTTCAGTTGCGCGACCGCAATCCAACCACTCGAGGGAACTGGCGTCCAGGTCGTGGTCGTGGGCGACCCTACCTTGGGGGACATCCTCCCGTCGACAGAAGAGTTCCCTTGGGGCCATCCACTGCTCCCACTTCCGGGTTGCCTGCGTCCCTGAACCAACCCCTCCCTTACAATGGATACCAGGAGTCACCATCCTCCACCCGTGGAACTCCCGATAGTGGATCGCTTCACGGTCTCTCTGACATCATTCCTCGAGGGCGTGGGATGCCTGACGGCTCGGGTGCGAGCAGCTCCTCGTTCTCTTCCTCGTCTATGTCATCGGGTACAACGAAAGTCCCTTCCCTTCGTTGCGACATCCGGCGAGATGGTATCACTGCAACGTCGACACCTCCCCCGACAAGTGCGTCTCTACCTACGCCTTCCTCCACTTCCGCTCCAGTGCCGTATCCGGTGAATATGGGGTTCTTCGCTGCTCAGCCCTGGATGCCCCCATACACCGCACCTTACCCCTACGCCGTACCTGTGATCCCTGGGTATCCGTATCCTGGGTATCCATACCCTACCATGCCCTCAGTCTCGTCTTCCTTCTTCACGCGGGATTCTGCCTCCCCGGCTAGCAATACCGCGTCTGGGACACTTTGGGCTGCATCCGCGGCCGAGAAGGTATTGTTGTGCTTTTGTCTCCGTTTTACTGGTCTGACGACGGAATCAGGTCGACGTGGGCACTTCAGAGGCCGCTCCTACAGTATATTCTCACCAACAAGGCACTCAGCCCCCTCTCAGAGCCACGGGTTTCATCCAGAATGACCACGGCGCCCTAGTCCCAGTGTATCAGAGAGAAGCGCTCGACCAGTACATGGCCAATGCACACGGACGTCAAGCACCCATCCTGCCCGCCCGTACACCACCAGGATCCAGTACTACCTGGCATGCATCGTGGCAACGCACAAGCACGGTGTTTCCAGGACCTTTCCCGGTTGGAATGCCGAATGGTACACCTTCGGCCAATGTTCCACCGACGGCTTTTCTACCGCAGATGCAGCCTCGTTACTGGATGCCTGGGTCAATTCCCTACGGAATCCCAACCTTCCAGTCTACAAGCGGACATGCGCTTCCTGTGGCCAATCCGCCTCAGCCGGGGATTCCGGTAAGTGCGAATTTGGCTTTCTTTCTTTGGTCGACGGTTGACGTTGCACACAGGGAGTCCCGGCCCCAGGCGAGCACATGGCACCCGTGCAAGGTCCGCCATCGGGAATGGACCGGCCGAGCTGGCATCAGTCATCGGCCCAGTATGAGACTCGGGGATAGGACTCGATCATAACGCCTTCAAGTTGGTGGGGATGCTTTTCTAGGGACGATCGGGCGGCGATTGAAGGTGGCGGGTTGACCTCTACCGTTAGTAGCAACGGGCTGTTTTCATGTTCAGTTGTAAGGACGGCTTATCGTGTACCATGGGTCGTGTTTGAAAATGAGGCTGTTGGACGAGCCATCCTGACGCACGAGACGAGTGACGCGGACGGAAGAAACGGGAGAGAAAGGATGACGCGGTGGCGGGCGATCCCCGCTGAGGACGCGGTCGCTGGTGGGCGAGATCTAGCGCCGGAGGATGGAGACGACGGGATGACGGTCGGTGCTCTTTCTTCCCACCGATTTGACCATGGTCCCCGCCCACGCACCCAAGTCCGCAATAAGGGCTGTATTCTCCCAACACTAGTTTGCATCTTCCCCTCTTCTCTCGTTCCCTCGCTCTCGCATATGCAGTCGCCCCCGCTCGTCATCGTCGAAGGCTTTCTGAGTAGCGCCGGCGCGCTCGTGTGGGGAAACTTGAGGAGCACTCAAACTACGCTTGTCGGTCCATCGGGGAGCGGAATAGACGCACGATATTTGCCAGGTCCGTCGTCTTGCTACGCGCCGCCCGCGTGCTGGGAGTCTGACCAGGCGCGCGCGTTCGTAGTGTAGGGCCGGTGAGCTCGCTGCACGATCGGGCATGCGAGCTCTTCTATTTGATTGTTGGGGGCACCGGTGAGCAACGAGCACCGTCCGGAAGGCGTGCGGCCGCTGACACGCGACGCGAGCAGTGGACTATGGGGCGAAGCATGCGCGCGAGCATGCGCATAGTAGACATGGTCGCACACAGGACATCGGGCTCTATCCGGAATGGTCTATCCAGCATCCACTACATTTCCTTGGGCATTCTGTGGTATGTCACTGTCCTCTCACATCTGTTCCTTCACGTCGTTAATTGAGAATATTTCAGGGAGGTCCCACCATCATGAAGTTGCAGTCGCTTCTGTCTGCTGGATTCTTCGGGAGACAGTATCATCCGGACATGATACTCTCTGTGAACACTAGTGCGTCCTGCTCTCGCGAAATTCATGGCACATCCCTCACGGTATTCCAGTATCATCACCATTTAGAGGAACTCAAATTGTATACGCGTTGGGCGAAGACGTCTGCAACGCCCCCGACGTCCGCCCGCTCTCGCTCGGGGACCTCATCGGGAAAGGGGTACACGTCTGGTCATACCTGTGGCCACTTGTACCGAGCTGTCTCAGCTTTCTCGACTTCCACGCCGAGTCTCGTGCCCTATCCTTCCGAGAAGCATCCTTCATATCGTTCTTGGGACAGCTGTGGAAGAGCGATTGGTCGGCATCGCGCGACGCGACGCCGTACGACGTCACATTTGAGGCCGCGGAGGAGCGCGAGGACGCTGGCGAGGGCGCGACAAATCCGAGGACATATTACCGCAGCCATTGCGCGACGATGGTGAGTCGTCCGTCTGCTTCCCGCGATCGTCGCAGTGACCGAAGTCTCCCTAGGGCATGTCGGACGAGCATTCTAGCAACGGCGGTGTAACCTTCTCGCTGCTGCAGAAGGCGGTGTTCTGGCCGCTGTACTTGTCCTCGCGCACGATCTCCGCGTTCGACTTCTCCGTGCTGCGGCCCACGCCGCGATTCCTCAATGCGATTGCGGCCACCCATCCGTCGAGCGGTGGTGGCAAAGACCGAATAGAGGATGGGATCGTCAATGTAGACGAAGGTGCAGGCTATGTATCGAACGCACTGCGAGCGAATGATGGTGTTGTCCCGCTGTTTTCACAGTGGCATCCATGCGACTGCGAGTGAGTGCCCGAGTCCAAATGTTCTTTTGTATGACTGCAGATTGACCGAAGAAATAGGAATACGCTCTGCAGGCACTACAACCACGGCGAGGGCATCCTCGACTCACCCGAGAAGACGCCCCACGACACTCCGCCTGAGGCTGGGGTTTGGCATGTCCACGAGCTGCAGGACGCGCACCATCTGTCGGTGGTGCCGATTTGGGTCGGGTCCGGTCGCCAGAAGGCGTTTTGGCGAGATTTGGGACAGTGGCTGCGTGCTATAGATTCTGCACGTGTTGATGATGTGATCGCGGCGTTTGAGGCGTGAGGTGCTGCAGCCGCGTGGCGGCGAGCCCGGCGAGCAGGGTTTGAGCAATATATTGGACGATTTAGCAGCCAATTCTGTGCGCTCCTGCACACTACCCAGGGCACAAAAACGAGGGGAGAAAAGGACGGAGGATCACAGCCAGGTGGTACGGGTCAGCGCGGAGCAGGGTATCGAGCGCTGGGTGGTGAGCGATGAGCGAGATCGCCGAGGGGGGTGTCATCCGGCGGTGAAGTGTGAAGCAGTGCCCCGACAACGGCCTGCGCCTTCCCCCTCGCCCCCGCGTCTTCTCTCCTCTCCTCCTTCTCCTCTCCCATGCCTCTTTGCGGCGTACAGGCGTTCATCTTCTGCTCGTTCTAGCTTCTTTCATTCCACCACTGTATCTCTGTCTCTCCGTCTGCCTCGCCGATCGCCTCCACCATGTCCTCCTACATCTATGTCGACGACACCGACCCCCATCTAGCCTACTCGGACGCCTGGTTTGAGTCTTCGACCGCAGTGGCTAGTGCGTGGAATCAGACGCTGTCTTATACTCAGACCACTTCAGCGTCCCTCTCGTTTTCCTTCACTGGTACGCACCATGATGCCTCGCCTTCCCAACATCCCCCTTACGCTGCGTCTTCTCTACGCGTGTCGTAGCCTCCTCGGTGTTCATCATCGGCCAAACCGTCAAGGCGCCGTCGTCATCAAACAGCAGCTCTGGCCCGTCTTCAATCTACATCCTCGACAACTCGCGCAATACAGCCTCCGTCTACATCGCGGATGCCGTAGCCGCCACAAACGTCCTCTTCTTCTCCGCGACCAGTCTCAGCTATGGCAAGCACACGCTCGACATTGTCATCTCCGACGTGTCCGAGGACATGCCGTTTTACCTCGACGTCGTCGCCTTTGGGATCTCGAACAACCAGCCGTCGTACATCGGCAGCTCGTCCTCCGACTCTGTGGCCGGGAAAGTAGTCACGGTTACGACCACGATGGAGTCTCAGCCGACGCTCGCGTCCACGAACGTCGCCGTCGCGGGCGCAGCATCCTCTCTGCCCGTCGGCGCGATAGTCGGCGGCGTCATCGGCGGCGTCGCGCTCATCATTGCCTCCGCGCTCGCGTTCTACTTCCTCTGGTGGCGCACGCGGCGCCCGTACGGCTACCGGACGTTCGACGGCGCCGCGCTCTTCGACGCAGGTAAGTCCGCGCCCACGCCCCCGCTGCCCTCGATCTCACCCCGCCCGCAGAGGACAAGCATCATCCGATGGATCCGCGCGCGTTGCAAGTCCAGCCTTTCCTTACCCCCGGCGCGGCACAGACGCCGTACTCGGACCACGCCCCTTCTGTCTCACGGAATATGTCCACCGCGTCGCACACGTATCCTCCCCCCGGCAGCGTCGCCGGCAGCGCCCCGAGCATGTACTCGGACACCCAATCCGGCTCGGGCCCCGCGGGATCGCGTCCTGGTTCCGTCTTCGGGGGCTCCAGCAGCGGGCGCACGCTCTCCGTCGTCAACGACGCCGGCAACTACGCGGCAGCAGGGTCGTCGGCCTCGGCAGCGGCGGGCTTCGTCGCCCCGCTCGCGTTCGCGACGCCCGCGCAGCGCAAGGCCGCGGAGGCCCAGGCGGAGAAGGAGGCCGCGGAGCGCGACGCGCGCGGCGCGGGCTCGTCGTCCGCCGCGCCCAAGTACCACGCCGACTCGGGCGTGCGCTTCGACGACGACGGCAAGCCCGTGCCCGCGGAGGCCCCCGAACCCGACCTGCACGACGTCCCGCCCGAGTACACCGAGATATGACCACCGCCGTGGTCTGGTCCTTTTTTACTCTGCTGCGCCCGACGGCTTGGGGACGCCGTTCGTCGGTCAGCTCGGTCGCCGTTGGCGTCGGCCTGGTCTCGCCGAGCGCAGCGGCGTCGCGCGATCCGCCCTCGACACAGGCTGTGCACCCGCAGGGGACGAGCTGGAAGAGAGGGTGGTCTCGCCGCTCGGGTTACAGAGCTGTACGCTGAGGTCTGGGTGTGGGTGGGGCGCACTGACGAATTGGCTCGAGCACGGACTGACGTATATGTTTATTTCATCCTCAGGATCACGCTTTCTCTCGCCATCGGACTAGCTTGACGACCTCCGTGTACGCTCCGCTTGGAACCTAGTACCGTACATATGCTTAGATACATACCATCCCCACGTAAGCTTGCATTTAAACATTATATCCGCTAAGACATCGCTCGTCCTGTGCGTCGCTCCGGCGCTGTGCGCACCACCACACAGGCCTCGGCAATCTGGGCTCGCAACGGTCTCAGTGCGATTGCCGGGACCGCCCAGGAGACTCTATCAGGACGGAGAAGCGAGACGTTACATAATCCCACCAGGGTTTCAGGCAGAATGCATGTTATTGCCAGCGCACAGCACAAGATCTACAAGACAGCGACGCTGCGAGCAGCGGGACGAGCTCATGACACAGTGGAAGGGGACGCGAATAAAAATACAGCTAGGTACATTGAGCGAGAACGTCCAATTAGCCGGCGCGCGGTGCAATGTAGAGCAGGTAGAGACGTAAGAGGGGCATGCAGGAGTCGGGAAGGGGTGGGCATGTACAGCACTGCAGAGGGATGCAAGGGACAACAGCATATGGTATGTGCCAGCTGGGAATATGATGCGGATTAGGCCGGCGTGCATGAGAGCAGCTATGATAGCACTGATGTACACTGAATCAAAGGTCCCGGTCAGCATTCAGTCTGGACAGGTCGGGTAGCACGGGATGCTCACAACAAATCCGAGACAGGTTACGGGCGTTTGCCAGTGAACCATGAAAGGCCTACGCTGCCGACGCCTGCGATGTGCACTCGCGCGTTGAGGCGGCATACAGTGTCCGAGACTTCCGATTTACGGAAGTCGATGTGGAGGTCGCCGTTGGGGACCCTCGAAATCGAGCTGAGCTCGCCGAACGACTGGTAGTCCCCCGCAATCAGCGACTGGGGTTTCTCATTGACGTTAGCTCGGAACGCTCACCTCGCACCACTTGCGGACGGCGTCGAATCGACGCTCATCATGGGGCGGGATGCCACTGATGATCAGCTTCCTCTTCTTGCGAGCCCTCGGGCTGGAGAGCACATTGGTGATGGTCCCAAAGTTTGACGGCGACTGGGGTCTCCAGGTCATCGTTGCGCCGTCGGACGCGGACAGGACCCGGTCACGAGCGAGAACTTTCGTGGACTCCGGGGGATCGTTCATGTGCGACGCGTCCGCAGGCAGCGACCACAACGAAGGCGAGGAGCCAAAGATGGTGGTGGAAGATTGGGAGCGGGTGGACCCGAAGTACATCTTGCGCGGCGCGTCAGACGAGATGCGGGTGGCGGAGGACCCTGACTGGGTGAAGCTGGAGGAGGTGCTGGGACGGGGCGGCGGGGAGCCTTCGCTGTCCTCGTCCTGGGACGGCACCGTAAAATGGCCTGAGACGGACGGCCGCTTGAACTTCCATACCGTCGTCTTCGGCGGGGTGAGCGTCACCTCCGGGAGGTCAGCACGCGCGGGCCGCGGTGCGATGCTCGAAACCGAGGGACTGGAGCCACGGGCATGGGAGACGGGAAGTTCGACGGTCCGCCGGAAGGTGGAGGTCGAGGAAGCAGCCGGACTGTGCGCGCGAGGCGCGGGTCCGGAGGTGGCAGGACAGGCGCGGCGGGGAGAAAAGTTGAGGTGGAGGCCCCGGAGAGGCGACTGGGCGGAGAAGAAAAGGCCGTGCGAGCTTCTGCTCTTGCGCGGCGTGGAAGCGTCGCTCGGCGGTTCCGTTCCCTGCAGACGGGAAGACGGTCAACTGAGACGCCGGATGGATCACGTGGGTCGCGCCGTACCTGCGTGACCTTCGCGTCCCGGCCTGTGGACGCGTTCTGGGTCGAATGCCCAACACCTCCATTGACATAGTCGACTCGGGGCGGGGCCAGGGAGGCAGCGCTCATGGAGGGGTAAGCGAGGTACGGGTGGGTTCCAGGGATCATCTGAGGGGTATCGTCGAGGGCGGCAGGGGTAGTGAGATGATGTTGTTGTTCTTCTATCCAACGATAGGTCCTGCTTGAACTGCGCGCACGGGGGGCCTGCGACATGCGGACGTCGTCTTCGAGGGCCGGGGGCAGGTTGTCGCGGATCGTGGCAGCGGATGAGGGGGTCGGAGGTTCTGCATAAAAAAGAAGGGCTTTAGCATGAGTCGGTTAAACGAGGTGCACGACGAGGGAGGGAAACGAAGAGCGGGACAAGCGTAATTACGCTTTGGAGGGAAGCGGACGAAGAGGCCGGGGACGCACCTGCGAAAATCGGGCTTGGGTGGGGGACGTCGAGGCGCTTAGGAGGGAGGAGGCGGGTTGCAATTGCAGTGAGGGGGAGTAGAGTACGATCGTGCGAGGCGTTGGGGGTCATCGTGAGGGTCGTTGCGGTCGTGGGCGAGGGCGGGGCGGGGAGTGCTCAGGGAGGGGAGGTCATGGGGAGAGCATGAGGGGCGACAGGAGACGGGAGCGAGGCGAAGGGCGCGGGCGATAAATATGGGACGGAGAGAGAGTCGCGCAGGGGCCATATCCGGTTAGAGAGCGGCAGCGCACCAGCCCACGCCTCGTCCCCGTCCACAGTGATGGCGGGCGTGGGCTGCCTGCCTTGGTCATCGTTGACGTACCGGGTGGAACGTGGTCGGGTAGGATCAGCGGGACCTGTTCCCATCGCCGCACGCGCCCGCTCGTTCCGCCCCGCTTCGCCCGTCGGCGCGGCCATGTGTGCGCGTGCAGCCGGGATGCCAGCACGGGGCGCGCGGTGCGGTTGAGAACGCGGGCCACGCGCTGCGCGAAGGAGGCCGCGCGCGAGTCGTGCGCGCTGGGGAGGAGCACGCGCCTTGGCTCGAGTGTCGGCAGAAGACGGTCGGCCACCCGCCTGCCAATGCACGGGCGCTGCCTGGGCGCGAGTGTGGCCGAGAGACGGGCCTCGCGTCATCGATGCGCCGGGTGGACGGGCCTGCCTCCGCGCCATCGCCTGCCAGTCCAGCACTCGCGTGCGTCCATCCATCCGGGCTCCATCTCGAATTATGCGAATTATCGAGGCGGAGGGTGTCCAACGTCGATCCTGATTCCGAGATCCCATCGCCCGTCGCTCACGATCCCGGCGGCCGGATGCTCTCTCCGTCTTCCCGGCCGGTCTCCGGCGTGCAAGCTGCGGGTCCCTGGAATCGATCCGAGCTCTCCTCCGATAGATTGCTGCTCCCAGTGCGCGGCGGCAGCTCTCATCGTGGTGATTGTGGCTGAGCGCAGTGCCTCGTCAGACAGATCCCGCAAGATGGGCTTCAGAAGTTCACCTCGTGACGTTCCCCGTCATCGCTCAAGTCCTACTAGCTCAACTGATCATTTGTCGGGTTCCTCCTGTAAGCGTTCCATGTTCTACGTTCCACCCTCCGCTGTCCACCTCGGGCTCTCCGGAGAGAATGCCTTGACGCTGCCGCAGAGTATCTCCAACGCCCGCCGCAGAAGTTGCTTGTGGCACCAAGTTCGCGATGGCGGACGCGACTGAAGTTGCGATCGATGTCTCTGTATACACAGGCCCGAGAAGCCATCTGCGCGTTTCACTCAGCCTGCGCATCTGGAGTGAACGAGAGCGACCGCCCACTGACCGAGCTCGACCCGCGGTCACGGCCTGTCAAGAGAGCCTGCAGGCTGCCCGTCCCCTGCCAGCCGCCCCAGAACCTTGTCGACAATCTTCGTGAACAGCGGCGCGGTCCCCGTCTTCTCGTACCGCGCCAGGAGCTCGAACGACCGCCTGCTCCCCCCCTCCGCCAGCGCCGCCCCGTCCTCCCCAGGCCGCTCCCCCTCCGCCCCGTCCAGCAGCCCGACGAGCTCCGTGTCGATCGGCAGGCTCCCCAGGAACGCCAGCCCCTCCCGCCGCGCCAGCTCCTCCCCGCCCCCGGTGGAGAACACGTTCGAGACCTCCCCGCAGCACGGGCACACGTACCCGCTCATGTTCTCGATCAGCCCGAGCACCGGCAGCGCCGTCGCCCGCGTGAACGACACGCACTTCATCGCGTCCAGCAGCGCGACCGCCTGCGGCGTCGTCACCACCACCGCGCACACCCGGTCTCGCACCGGAGCCATGTGCTCCACCAGCGACAGGTGCTCGTCCGACGTGCCTGCCCCACAGCGACCGACGTTAGCGTGCCCCGCTCGAGGTCCGGCGAGCACCACTCACCAGGCGGCGTGTCGATGACGAGGTAGTCGAGCTCCCCCCACCGGACGTCGCTCAGGAACTGCCGGATCATCGCGTTCTTCTTGGGCCCGCGCCAGACGACCGAGTCCTCCTTGCGCTTCAGCAGGAAGCCGACGCTCATGCACCCCAGCCGCCCCTCGCTCCCGTCCGCGTACACCGGCACCCACCCGTCGCTGCTCTGGTGCACCGGGTGCCCGTCGACGCCGAGCATCCGCGGGATAGACGGCCCCGTCAGATCGACGTCCAGGATCCCAACCCGTGCCGTCGGAGAGGATGCGCGCAGGGTGAGGGCGAGCTGAGTCGAGACTGAGGACTTGCCCACTCCGCCTTTACCGGAGCAGACGATGATGATGTTTTTGACCGTACGCAGGCGGCGGCCAACGGGCGTGTCTTCGGGGGTGGTCATCTCCGAAGTCGTCGAGTTGCTCGAGGAGGCGAACATGGGCAAAGTGGATGGGTACTGCGTGCGGTGGGCATGAACTCGGGAGTGGAGGCGCGGAACGAGAGATGATGATAAATCGAATCTCGACATTATCGCGTCTCATCCCACTTTTGGCAGGCGCTACTGCCGGCCCGGGGTTCGGGTCCGTTTCATCTGTCCTCTTCTTTCACCGACATGCGAGAGCAGCATCGATTTCGCAACCCAGACGGGTATTGAAGCGGCGAAGAAATGCGATAATGCAGAGCATACGACGATAGCAGAAATACAGCATACCGTAAGGCAGACTCGTCCAAAATAACAGTCTGCTGTTCCCCATAGAAACACAATCGTCTCTGCAGGGTAAGGCGTACGGGGCGCCCGGCGGGATCATGCCCGAAAAAGCGCAGGTTTGAAATGCCTGAGAAGGCTGTGAGTCAGTATCCGTTACCTTCAACGAAGAGGTGATCAAACGAGACATACATCCGACACAGTCGAGCCATCAAACCTCCCAGTTGAACCAGTGTGCCCACACCTTCAAGGATGCGCATATGGGTAAATCCGATCTCCTGTGCGTTCGTCAGCAGCAACTTCAGAACTCAGACACCAGACCCTACCTTGATGTATTCCAGTTTGGTGTACTCCGGCATCCTACACAATTCAGGCTCTTCAGCAGAGAACATCGAGAAGCATCAAACAAGCGTACTCGTCGAATGTCTTGACCACCCTGAACACAGTGACTACGATGTCAACAGCGCTGTAGCCTTGGTCCCATAGCTCGTTGAGCCTCTCCATGGCACCATCAATGTCGCCCTTGACGCATGCTCGAATCATGGCTTGAACGACGATTGGATGGGGTTGGTCGCACACTTTGAAGACGTTTGGCCCAGACACGAAGCCGAAACCAGACCATGTTGATTGAAGGTTGTTGATTGCTTGTCGCATGTCTCCCTCTGCAGTAAAGATAAGGGCCTCGATTCCTTCGTTGTTGTGCTCGACCTATGGGTATCTTCGTCGGCACAGCACATGCAAACATCACATTGCAGAAGACTCACCTTTTCGGCCTCACATATTTCCAGTAACCGCTTAAGGATTTCTTGGTCTCGAAGTTTCGAGTACCGAAGGATAGCGCAGCGACTCTGCAGGGGTTCAATGATCTTGTTCGACATATTGCATGCCAGAGCGAACCGGGTGGTTTTGGCGTGAAGTTCCATGGTTCGTCTCAGAGCTTGCTGGGCCCCCGCCGTCATACTACAACTTGTTGGCACGCAGTGATCAAGAAAGGCGAGAGAACATGCCTGTCTGCCTCATCCAGGATGATGATTTTGTGTCGCCCTGAAGGCAGCGTGACCTTCTTTTGCGCGAAGGCTTTGATCTTATTCCTTACAACCTCGATCCCCCTACGCGAAGATGAGGAACAGGGCTACTTGAATGCACATATGACGAGAGACGTACCGCTCGTCAGAAGCGTTCAACTCCAATACTGCCTCTTTGTATGCATCTCCGAGTAACTGGTGGGCCAGACAGTGTATGCTTGTCGTCTTTCCAATGCCTGGCATCCCTCCACCACACGGTGAGCAGCAGAGAACGTAATAGAGGATTACCACATACAGAAATAATGATGTGCGGACAGTTGCCATCCCTCGCTATCACTTTGAGCCTTTCAATAGTGTCGGTATTTCCGACGATGTCGTCCAAGACTTGCGGCCGATACTTCTCGACCCTGAAGAATGGTGAAAGTCGGTTCTCTTCAAGGTACTGATACGTACCATGGTAATTCGTAGGGAGTGGTAGATGCATTCCCGTTGGCGACGGCCTTCCCCTTAGCGATAGACAGCGACATAGTGAGTGCAAGGGAGAATGACGCGAACGACGCGCGCCAGATCTGACGCGTCCAAATTGTGACTCCTTCGTGACCATTCGCGTTTGATGGTCACGGCGCTGTGAGGCGAGGCCGCACGAGTCCGCCGGGCCAGCCACCATGCCACGACACTACAGTAGCTTCAAGGACGAATCCTCTCTATTGTATCCGTCCATTTCGACATCACGCATCGCCCCGATTATCGCACTCCAAACACCACCATCAACTTATAAGGACTGCGCCATCGAAGATCCCGTGTGAGGTCGGGCCACACTGCCATTTACTAACACCACCCTTGAAAACAGGCGGATGGCCGACGGATTTGAGCTGGAACCCGACGACGGCGACATGCTGCTCGACGCCTCCAGCCCCGCAGGGCTCGTCACTCAGTCACCCTTTGCCTTCGCTGCCCTCCTCGTTGCGCTATACTGGATCGTCAAACTCATTCGCCCAGTCGATTCATCTCGACCTCCGCGTGCACCATCATGGATACCATGGATTGGCCCCGTTGTGGAGATGGGCAAGGATCCCGACGCCTTCTTTAGGAATATGGAGTGAGTGATCTGTCGCATCCCTCAGTATGTGTTCCTCAACAGAGCCGCTCTCAGGAGTCTGCTTGGTCCTATCTTTCGTCTGAAGACTTTGGGAACAGAGATGATATATGTCACGTCACCTACGGTCCGTTTGAACACTAATAAGAATTTTGGCCAACCCATCCTAATTTACTTGATCCCAGCTCATCAGCCAGGTCTACCGGGATTCCAAGGTCCGTGAACTGTCTCTTGAATTTGCTTCGATTGTTGATAGTTTTGGCAGAACTTCGACATCACCAACATACGCATCGATATAGGCCAGAAGCTATTCTTCGTCGACCCGCGAATCGTGTCCGACTCCTACATGATTGATCGGTACATGCCAGCCTTTCACCACCTCATGCTACCCAACAACCTCGGTCCTATCACGTCTGCTTATCTCGCTAGTGTACACGACGCACTCCTCGGAATGATTTCGAGTACGGACGGCGCGTCAGGGCCCCTGAAAACATTCATCATACCTCCTGCATACCGGGCAGCAGCGCATGCTACTTCGGGGCGGACTTTCCGGCCGAAGCATCGTATCCCTTCTTCAAGAAGTTTGACGAAGGCCTTCCACTTCTTAATACCCCCATCCCAAGGTTTCTCCTGAAGAGTACCGTAGCGGCTTGGGACAACCTCGTTGCTCTGGTTGAGAAGTATGTCGCCGAACAACAGGAGAAAGGAGAAGAGCTCACCGAGTTCGTTCAAGTCGCTGTCAACGGTATCCGTGCCGACAACTGGGCAAGTTCGTCTTAGTCACTACCGCCGCCCTCACACTCACCGTTCACCCCAGACCACTCGGGATGTGGCTACCATACTTGGGTCTCAGCTCTGGGCGTTGCAGGCTAATGCGGTCTTTACCGCCTATTGGCTCATCGCTCTCTGTCTTGACCAGCCTGAAGGGCTCGGTCCTATTGTCGAAGAATTGGACAATGCTCGTCACCGGTGGCAGGCTACTCACCATACCACTTCAGTCGGCCTCGCGTTCTTCGAGGAAGTCGGCACGAGCTCGAAAGCACTTCCACTCCTGAACTCGGCCCTACAAGAGGTACTGCGGTACACGACCTCGTCCTTCTCCATGCGCCAAGTCACCGAGAATACGGAACTCGGAGGCTATCAAGTCAAGGAAGGAGAGCGCGTTGTTTGCGTTACGAGAAATGTGCACATCGACGATGAAGTTCACCCGCAAGCTACTCACCTCAACCTTCGTCGTTATTTGGAGGCTCCTCGCGCAACAAAGGACGGCAAAGTCGTCGCCAATCACACCATGTCGTTCGGTGGTGGAGTGTCGATGTGCGAAGGGAGGTACGTGAATCGATCCTTGATCTTTCAATCCCGGCTGTCTCTGATTTTCTCTCCTAGACATTTCGCTATGACGGAGCTCCGCATGTTTGTTGCTGTCCTCTTGACCTATGCTACCCTAGAGATCGATGAGGGGTGCACCACTCGACCTGTGCTTATGTCGGAGCGCATCGGTCTGGGTGTCATTCACCCTCGTGGTGACGTGGATATCATTATGAGGAAGCGGAAGTTGTGAACCTCGGAGCTCTCGTTCGCATTATATAACCACCTGGAGGCTTTTAATTGCATACCATGATCTGCGCATCCATCCCGACATACCTTCTAGTGGGCCATATCAGGACGACTCGAAGTGAGGGTTATCAAAGTCCGGAGTGTGTTGGACGCGTCTCGACGGGCCTTGCCCTCGGAAACCGGGCCTGGGTCCCGTGACCGTCGCGACTGTGACGTGAGCGCGTTATGATTTTATATACCGTTGGGTAGAACCAGCACCCGTTTGTTGGACTATGACCCGTCCCCCCCTAGAGCGCGTCTGGCTCGACTAATCTCCTCGTGCGCTAGTGTCTTTCCCTGAATCTCCTCTGTTCTCTACCGGTTGACGGAATGAAGCCTTTTGCATCCTCTCGATTCGCACGATGTACGTGTAAACTTCGTGAGTCTCTTTCCCCGTTGATCTACCTCACTAGCTAATACTTGGTTGAGGTCCAAGCCTACGCATGCATTCTACCTCTGCTGAATACACCGCTCTGCAACGTCCCAGACTAGACTACCGCGACATCTCGGAAAATGTTGTTTACAAGTCTCACAACGCTTTCAATCGCAAAGCCCCCCTTCCTGTCGGCGCGGTACAAACCGTCGCACGATTGTACGAAGAACAGAAGGCTCTGAACAGAGACCTGAACGCGCGAAGACACGAACGCACCGCTGTCGGTGAGCGCATACGTACGTCGTCGAAGGACCCCCAAAGGAAACAGGCGGCGTTGGATGAAGCCAAGAGCCTCAAAGCCGAGATCACGGGGCTCGAAGAACGCATCGGACGTATGGAGGAGGAACTGTACTCTCTCGCCCTAGCCATCCCCAATGACACTCATCCCGACGTCCCCGTTGGTCCCGAATCGGTCGCGGTGACCATCTCAACACACGGTCCTGAACCTCTTCCGGCGTCTCCAACACGAGACCACGTTTCCATTTGCCGTGCTCTCGACCTCATCGACCTGGAAGCTGGTGCGTCCGTAACCGGCTCATCATGGTACTACCTCAAGAACGAAGGGGCCCTGCTCGAGCTTGCCCTCGTCAACTACGCGCTCAGCGTTGCGATGCAGCACGGCTACACCCCTGTGACAACCCCCGACGTTGTACGCACCGACTTCGCGCGGCGCTGCGGTTTCCAACCCCGCGATCCAGTTGAAGGGGGCTCGACACAAATGTACCATCTTGCGAACAACGCGGATCCTGCGGAAGATGCTCAACACAACCATCCGGAGTTGGTGCTGACAGGGACGGCGGAGATCCCGCTTGCAGGGATGTTCGCGAACAGGATACTGTCCGCAGCGGAGATGCCAATCAAGGTAGTGGGCTGGGACACGCGTTCCGGGCGGAAGCTGGCGCGCGAGGGGTGGACACGCGAGGACTCTATCGGGTGCACCAGTTCACGAAGCTGGAGCTTTTTGCGGTGACGGACCAGGAGACGAGCGGAGAGGCGATGGAGGCGATGCGCAAGCTGCAGGCGGAGATCTTTGAGGGTTTGGGATTGTCGTTCAGGTGAGTACACGGGACAGCTTTCAGCTAGGCGGTAACTGAACCTTCCTATTCAGAGTTCTGGAGATGCCAACGGAAGAGCTGGGCGCGAGTGCGTATCGCAAATATGACGCAGAAGCTTGGATGCCCGGCCGAGGAGGATGGGGAGAAATCTCTTCAACCTCAAACTGCACGGATTTCCAGGCCCGCCGACTGCACATTCGTTACCGTCGCTTAACGCCCTCCGGAGACAAGCCTTCAGCAGAGGAGTCGGGGCGCTTGCCGTTTGCGCACACTCTCAACGGGACTGCGGCAGCAGTGCCTCGCTTGATTGTCGCGCTCATCGAGAACGGCGGAGTCTTGGACGAGTCTGGTGCTGTCGTAGGCATGCGTCTTCCAAGGACACTAGAACCGTTCTGGGTCGGGGGCAATCCTCGAGGCCTTATCACATGGGTATAAGCTTCACATGAGGCTGTACTACATCAAGTAGTAGTCCACTGTACTTACTCTACCACAGCTCATCTGAATGCACACAACCATAACTACGGATACAAAAAGCTCCGCAGACCGCTTGCACCGATGCTCAGCGTGACATCCCCGCTCTCCCGTATCCACCGGGATAATGGTCGGATGTCGGCTATCCTGCCAGAGGGCGTCATGGCGAATCAGGCGTTGGCTCTTTGCCGGAGCTTGGTGACGCTCTTCCGAGAATATTTGGCACGCTTGAAAGAGCACCCAGTGGTACACAAGAGTCAGGCTGTGTGGGAAATCAGATGGAATCCGAGGGCTTTGATGAGGAGTGCTTTCAAGCGAGGGCAAGGGAGGGCAAGGGAGGTCCTTGTGGAGAGGAGATCTAAGCGGACCGGAGCCGGCGCTTTGTCCGACGGCAGACGTCATACATATAAGGGCCGGGCGGTGTCTCCGGAACCTCGTCTTCCGCCCGCACTTGCCCTCCCCGCCACATCCACTATGTCCACCATGTCCTTCGCCAAGCAGGCATACTCGGTCTTCAACCGGGAGAAGCCACATGTGCGTCTGCTCTCAGTGACCTCAAACCAGACCGCTCTGACCAGTTCCCCAGTCATCTATCAGCGAGTGGGTCGAGATCTTGACCTCGAGCTCTTACGACGGGGAGGCGTACGATGGGTACGTCGCGCATCCGTACGCGGACGCGCTTTTACCCATGTTTGTGTCCCAGCATTCCCGAACTAGTGGAGTCGATCAACATCCAGGCAACTGGGTAAGTGCTTCATATGACTCGCACGAGACTGCCTGGATCCATATCCTCGATCAGCCCAGCGGAGGCTTCGAGAGCGCTTCGCAAGAAAATCAAGCACGGGAATCCTCATCAACAATATCGCGCGCTCCATGTACGCGGTTATAGATCAAACACGACATTCTAGCTGCTCATCACCGCCTGCTTGTAGATCCTCAAGGCCATCGTAGAGAATGGTGGACACAAGTTCCAAAGTGAGTCGCACTATCCGCGCTGTCATGGCTGCCCTACTCACAGAGGAATAAGCTTCTTTCGCCGATACCATGCTTACGGACGCGCTGAAGCACCTCGCTTCTGATCCCTCTACGGATCCTAGAGTCAAGAAGAAGCTCGCCTCGGTGCTGGCTGCATGGAAGCGCCAGTTCTCGGACGATCCCTCCATGATTGATGTCGCCAGACTCTTCGACCAGTGCAAGCTAGCACAATCGGATCGTGCAGCACAAGACAAGAAAGTCATAGAGCACGTTAATCTCGGGCTCGGCATAGATGTGGAGTACGTAGAACGCAAATCACGAGAGGAAGAAGCCCGCAAGAAGCGCGAAGCAGAGAAGCGAAAGACGAAAGAAGACAAGGAGAAGCGGAAACGGGAGGAGGCTGAACGGAAGCACAAACCGGCTCAGCCTCGCACGAAGAGGAAGCCATTCAATTTCGAAGAGGTACGTCGCTGCATGAAAGATTGACCTCGACGACACTAAGGCCAGTAATCACTGTAGGAGAAGCCTCAGATCTTGACAGCGATTGCTAGTGCATCCCAGGTCACCAACAACCTTGTGAATGCCATGACTGTGAGTTTCGCTCATTACGACTCGCGGGAGAATATTTATCATGTTGCAGCTTGTTAACACACAACAAGAACGCTTGGATGAAAACGAACGTGTTCAAGAGTGCCTAGCCAAGGTCAAGCAAGTGAGGAAGCATATCGTTCGCTACGTCCAGGTATGAGGGTCCTGGTAAATCCATCGCGCTACTGTTAACCCCGCTGTTAGTTGGTTGAGAACGAAGACATGATAGGTGTTCTCATCGACACCAACGACCGGATCATCTCTGCTCTGGAGAACTACGATGCTGCAAGTAAATTTTACCTGTCAAAGGTATCATCTAACCATCGTGCTACAGCTTTCCAAGCCCGGGACCTCCGAGCAACAGGTCAAAGAGATCCAAGAGGGGCTTGCTGCAGCCAAGCTTTCAACGAGTGAGCTTGGGAAGCTTCAAGAAAAGCAACGCGCAGCTATCGAGAGGTCCATTGGACGGGCGGGTGGCTCTAACTTCAGCCCAGGTTCAGGAGAGACGAGCCCACGAGCCCCTCATACGTCCATCCAGACCTCCAAGATCTACAATTCGGTTCATTGGGTGCAGACCAGAGGTACGCTTGCGGACGAAGTACTGTCACGCCGTCTAAGATTCTTCTTTGCCCTACTAGAAATCTCCCTCCTCCAATCCGACCCACTACTGCACGTTCCTCGGACGAAGACGATGAATATCGTCGTGGTTCCCTCTCGGATTATAGCGACTATGAGTCCTCCGACGAAGCAACTCACAATCGGGCAGGCCCGTCCTCTGGAACCCGGCGAGGATATGTCGACGTATCCGACGATGAACCACGCAGTACTACCTATAGCCGCAAGCCGCAGCTGAGGTGGAGGATCCCTTCGCTGATCCCTTCGCTGATTAGCTCGAATTGCAGACGGACAACTTTGTACGAGTATATGAGGTAGAAGATCTCGACGTGGAAGGATGTGACGATATTGTGTAGTATCTATGCTTCCTCGATATCCTTGTCTTACTAGCAACTGCATCTCCTTACAAACACGTCACGCAATTGTATCACGCGAGCCAATGTTGTACCCATGGAAATATACGAATGAACTATCGAGCAACTACCTCTTCCGCTCTACTCGCCATTTGTAAACCCGAGGTTTCCATGTTTTTTCGTCTACTGTCTTGGGTCTCGGCCTGTCTTCGTCGTCGTCTCCGTTGCATCATCAGCACGCTCTAAGCCACTCAGCTTTCTAGCCGCCCCACTATTCATAAGATGTCGCTGCATCTCAAGCTCCCTCTCAGCATACCGCAGCTGTCTGTCTCTCACGAGCCGAGCAGAAAGCTCCTTGAGCAAACGGGCTCGATGGTTCTGGTAGAAATGGGTCAGTACAAGCATGCAGAAGTGGGACCTCGTGGGCTCTCACCGGTGTTTCCTCTGTCTGGCTAGCATCCACAGAGGTGATCGAGTCATCCTCCGCAGATGCGCGGGACTTTCCTTTCTTCCGCGCAAACGACTCCGGTGTTTTCCACCCCATGTCGACATCCATTCTTTCCGACACTGTCTCCAGACTGCCGTCTTGGGGAGAAGCGGAAGACGATGCCTGGCGACTTGTCGCCGCACGTTCACGGGCTATTCAGGAGGACGGACGTCGGTGCGCAGAGGAGTGAGTCGAGAACGATACCACGTACCTTCTGCCTCGTCTTCGGCAAAAATGATCTGCTTGTTCTTCCTCATGCGCGACCTCCGCTTGCCCTTCCCCGACGACGATATAACGCCAGCTTCGCGCAGAACCTCGAGCTCTTCTTCGTCCAAACCACCGATCCCGTCTTCGTCCGCGGAGTGCACCAGGTTTGCGAGCTGCATGAGCTGCGACTTTATCCTGTCAATTTTCTGCCGCGGCGCGCAGTGTCAGAAGCTTCAACGAGGGCGAGCGAACGCAGGAGACGCACCTTGAGCCCCGCAGCTCGCATCGTCCGCAGATAGTTCTCGTCCTGGGTTTTCAGGACTTTCACGATGTCTGTTGGGAGGGCTTCGTTCCCTCTGTCTTTTACGTGCACGCCTCCCTGCAGAAAATGAGGTGTTAGCCCCGCATCATCCATAAACACACAGACGAGCTGACCTCTGTCTTCTCCCTCGTCATCGAGAAGTAGAACTCATCCTTGTTCCTGGTCGCCGCCTTCTCGCGCAGGAGGTTGAGCCTGTCTCGTTTTGAGTGGTAGTCGCGAGCGCGGAGAACATAGTCCTTGTGTTTCTCGAGGATGCCGAGTCGTGAGCGGTGCGACAGCTGCGACCGCTCTTTGTGGTTTCTCCTGTGGAGCGAGTTCTTTATGGAGGACATGAAGGCGGGAAGTCGCGCGAAAAGCCAAGACGGGAGGACGCGGGCGTGCGCGTGAGCGAGAGTCGAGGTGGAAAGTGGGGAAGAGCCTACAAGAGCGCCAGAGCACTTTTCCAAATTCCTGCCCCGGTCCGGGGAGCCGCAGTTACCAGCTGATCTCAGACTCGACCAGAGCAGGTTCCGGCTCATTACAACGTAAATGCAGGCGGTAGGCATGCATTTTATGTTACACGCGGAGGTACAACTGGTGTGTGCGGTATTATGCTACATATGAACAACGTCCGTGACACACACTACGTCCCTCCTCCATGATGATTCGGATTCATGGGCGGCCCACCCATGCCCACCCCGCCCTGCATCCCGTCCATCTGCGGCACCGGCTGCGCTATCGCCCCGCCGATAGGGCTCTCGAGGTAAAGCCGGATGAGCACGCTCTCCAGCGCCGCGACGGACGGCGCGGGGAACTCGAACGACCGCGCGTGGTCGCGGACGCTCTGGAACAGCACCCCCATGCGGTCCCACCGCTCCTGCGACATGTCGACCGACGACGGCTGCATCTGCGGCAGCGGCGCGAGCATCGAGATCGCCGACTGAACCCCCTGCGGCTCCGCTACGGACATCTGGGAGGGCGGGGGCGGGAGAGGGGGGGGAGCCACCACCGTCTGTCCGACACCCGACGAGGAGGAGGAGGGGCCGGGCACGTGCACGTCGTCCATGAAGGATATGGACTGCGGGCTCATCGACATCGACTCATCGGGGTCTGCTGGCTCGGGCTTTCGGGTGCGTCCGCGGGTGCGGTCTGCAGCGGAGCGGGCCTCCATCTCTGCCTGGGCTTTCCGCCCTCGTTTCGTGAAGGGCAGGTTCGCGGGCCCGATCTCGTGCGAGTGCTCCGAGACATCTTGCAAGCGGTTCAGAGCATTGAATGAGCAACAAGGCAGAAGGCGACTCACAGCATGCCCTGACCTCCTCCGTATCGTAGTACGTCTTGTAGCTGATCGACGCAGGACAACCAATCCCGTCGAGCTATAGTACCTAAAGCACATTAGCTCGCGTCCCTCCTCCCCACCCCCGCACACACCCGCACCCCCGCACACACGCAGACGACACTGAAAGCCAGCCGACGCACCTTTCTGCTCGGGACCTTGCGCACCCTGTCCGGGTACTTCTTGACGTACTTCTTGCGCCCCCCGCGCGAGTGCCGGCCGCAGACGAGCTTGGTGTGCTCCTTGAACCGCGGCGGGACCGCCTTGGACGCGTGCGTGTCCCCCTTGACGAACTCGACCATCTTCTCGCCCTCCTCGCCCTGCCGCCACGTCTCGAACGCGTCCATCGACGCGAACACGAGCGTGTACCGGTCGTCCGCGTCCCCGCTCCCGTACAGCCCTTTCCGCCCGTGGTCCGCCCCCGCCCCGTCCCCCACCCCCGCCGCGCTGGAGAACGCCCCGACGACGGGCCCGCCGCTCCCGGAGAGCGGCGCCGTCGGCGAGTGCACGCGCGCGGGGCCGGCTCCCGTCTGGAGCTGCGCGAACGGCGGGGAGAGCGACGAGGACGGGCCGGCGGAGAGCGAGTGCGGGGGCGTGTCGAGCTCGGCGAAGGCGTTCGAGGGCACCGGGGGCGGCAGCCTGAAGTTTTGGAAGCTCATCGGCGGGCGACGGGGGCGGGGGCGGGGGGCAGTGTGCGGGGTAGGTCGAGCTTTGCGCGGAGGAGGAGCGGCGAACTGGCTCAGGGTCGGACCGGGGGCTCCGAGCGCCCGCGGGGCGTGCTTCGCCCGTCGGCCTTTTTGCTTTCTTGATTCCCCCTTTTGGCCTCGTTCTCAAGCACAGCGCGGGTGATCGGTGCGGGGCGCGTCAGCGGGCGACAAAGAGCAGCCAGCATTGAATACTCGATGGTGTCGTCTACGGTATGATTGTCCTGTGCGTATGTGATGGCTATTACAGTGTGGATATCCCAAAAGTCCATGCATGCGATGCCAGCGCGACAAAGCGTTTAGATCAGCCCGGAGAAATCGGGAGCACTAGAAGAAAGCCAGCGCCCCCACAACCACGCTCGCAACCACGGTGGCCGCCCCCAAGAACTGGGTGGGCAGAACACGTAGCTCCATAGCGCCGCTGTTGGTAGTGACAACCGTTGAAGAGGATGTGGACGAGGTGGACGACTTGGGCTGCGCGACAGCCGTCGTCGGGTTGTACGTCACCCCATTGGCGTCCGCGGCAACCTGGAAGACGGAGCCGTTCCCGTATTCATAGAACTGTGTCCGGGGGTTAGAACACACCGCGATCCCGGCGAATACACAGTGCGGCGACTCACGTCAACCAGCATAAAGTTGGGGTTCCGTCCGTGCTGGACGGCACACGTCTCGACTTGGACGCCGAGTGAGCCCGTGCCGCTCGCGGCGTTCGTGGAGTTGGCGCGCGAGGAATCTGGGGCCGGAACGCCAGCGACGAGCTTGTCCAGGAAGTGGTTGATGAGATACATCTGCGTGCTCGTGTCCCCGTTCGTTCGGTTCACGTTGCAGTCGAACGTGGTATCCGTGACATCATATGCGGTCTCCCAGACATTCGTGAACTCTGGAGTGCAACCTTCAGCTACGGGCTCTTCGTTGCCACCGACGCCGTGTACTCACCGTCGATGAGGTACGGCACTGACGTGAAATCGGCCGAGGTGGAAAGGAAGACGACGAGGCGCTTGCCACTGTCAATCAGTGACCCCAGAGTGGGCCAAGAGCTTGCCGTAAGCGCAGAGGAGGAAGGTGTGTACGCCATTGTATCCAGACCAGCCGACGTGAAGACGTCAGCATACACGGAAGGAGCGATGTTGTCGGAGTTGACAATAAGCAGAGACACGACTGTCCCAGAATTGGGTCAGTGGTGTCGTCGGAGGAGCACAGTCCAGACCCACCGTCTTCAGTGTTGCTATCCATCCACGTCTTCACTAGAACGACTGATGAGCACCTGTAGGTGATGCAAGGAGCGTGTGCGTACACTGCGTGAGATAGTCCTTTAGGGAGCCACCGTCGAGCAGACTCTGCGATTATTTAAACTGACGTCAGCCGCCATTGGCACCGGCTCAGAGAGGATCACGCACGCAGCTGGTGTGGCAAAGCTCGATGGTGCCGCTCTTGTTGTGGGCTTGCGATTGCAACATGCGAACGCCATCATTCAACTGCTGGGTGACTTGGGAGGGCTCAGCGGGAGAGGGGTGTGGGTCTGAAACAAGGGTGCGCACTGTTCCAATCCTGGTTGACGAACACTGCGGGGCAATCTTGTGAATACCCTGGCGAACGCGCACCAAACGTGCAGGCAACTCACGACTGCTCGTTCCGACCGCGTACGAGTTGTGTGTTCCGACGAACGTGACATTCCCAAAGCTCTTGTCGCAGAGCTATGCAAACCGGCATTGGCTTTGAGGACACAGATAGGCACACAGAGGTGAATGGTACACACCTCAGAGTGTCCATTGCATGTAGTCGCCCGGCGAGTAGAAGAGGTTGCAAGTGCCCCAGAGATGGATGAAAGCAGGAGAGACAGCACGGCCGGTGTGGTGAGTTGTGAAGAGAGCTTCATGACGGGATTCGTGGGGAGCACACGGGTAAGGCTCGAGACCGCGAAATGAGTAAAGAGTGTGGCAAAACTAGGACAGAGAGCAGAACAGAGGGACAAGACAGCGGAGAAGAGGCCAATGCTGAGAGACTTGGCCAAGCGTCCGAGGCGCGCCCCGCAGCTCACGTGCCACTTCACACCCACCTCCCAGAACGGAAATCTCTGTGGTTTGAGGCGCTGCGCAGGCAGCTGCGCATCAGAGCTAACGACCGCTATTCTAGGCGTGGATATATACAGCACACCGCAGCTATCCCTTCTTCTTTGGTTTGCGCGACGTGTGCTGTCAATCATGACTTGCACTGAACGTGAATGTCGGGGCAAAGGACCCTGTCGGAGATTAGAACGCTGGTGAGTGGGCACACTGTGGCACCTCGCTAGCAAATAGAGCTTTGCTCGTTGCGGGAATTCCTTGAACATGAATCTAACGGGGCAGGGCTTGGGATTCAGGAGCACAGTGCGTGACGACCTTCAGGAAAATATGACGACAGACTGCAGTACAGTCACGCAACCGTGTCAGCGCCGACAATGGATCAAGCATCCCGATATGCATCCGATAGCGGAGGTGCGGCTGTGGCGCGAGGCCCTCCGGTACGGCGTGGGGTGGAGCATCAGACACGGCGTCGATGCAATCGTACAAAACGCCGCGGTAAGGCTCCTCGCGGATATGAAGCGGACCGTTGTCATAATTGACGGTGAAAGACAATGTAGTATGCCTGCCCTTCGCGACGAGCAGATGCCGCAGTAAGCCTGGGGGCGTCTCTGCTCAAATGGCGCGGCATCCCTGCGGTCGACGGCTCGTGCAGCCCCGCGTTGATGTTCTCCTAAACACACAACGCGTACGTGCGGCGAACGTGAGGGGCTCCGAACACCGCGACAACAGGCGGCAGGCGCGCATGCAGGTGTTGCGGCCACGAGGCTACCATGCCACTGGGCAGGCTCAAGATCAGGCTCCCATCTGAGGGCAAACAGGCACGTCGCCATGTTATCGCGCCGGATCTTGTCTGGATCAGAGTCCAAGACCAATCGAGAGGCGCCGCTCACGCCGCAGGCTGGGCAGTGGGCAGCAGGGAGGATCAGGGAGGCCGCGCGGGTCAGAGGGGAGGTTGGGAGATTGATCGGAGACCCCAGGGGCTCCCGGCCGAACGAGCAGCGGCTTTCGGAGAGCGTCACGGGTGGGCCGTGGCCTCCGAGTCCGAAAAGCTTAATGGAGAACGGCTGGGTGTACCTGGTTGATCGCCAGGCCCGGAGGCAACCCGGAGGCGTGCCGATGGCGGCGGTTGGCCCGGGCGACAGCCCGAAACAGTCCGAAACACGGGGGCGCAAGCGGAGGCATAGGACAGGATCGGGAGGATTGGATTGCGCACGGCGACAGGCTGGGCCGCCGTGTCGCGCCCGGGGGTTGGTCGAGGCCTGGCATATCGCGATGACGTGACTGGGTCTGGCCACTGGCTCTCGCTTGTGTGGAGCAGGCGAGCGGCTTCGCAGCCAGACCGCGGTCGATGGTGCCCGCGGGGGGCACGGAAAGGAGGGCGCCTTTCGAGAGGCAGGCCGACCGCCTCGGGCGTCTGGGCGCCCGTGCAGCCGGATGCGGCGTCACGACGGTGTCTGGAGTGCTGACTGTTCCGAGGGGGCGTGGTCAGCGCGTGCCGGGCTGACGCCTTGGCCGAAATTGATGGGTCGTGGGAGGTGGAGGGGGAGAGAAGAAAGGGAAGTGGAGCGGTGTGAATGAGATGAATGATGCAGGCGCAGAAGCCTGGCGCGTGGACGACTGACATTGCGTCGGTCGAGTCTGGCCTCAGCCATGCATGGGCAGCAGGCCGTTTTGCCGAGTGCGCGTCAGCGAGAACAAAGGGCAGTGCGCGGGTGGACGACGATGGGCACGGGGCGGACAGCGGGTGATGGATCCTGCACGCTCGTCTTGAGAGCGGGGACGAGCGACGGGGCCAAGCACGGCTGGCTTCACGACCAGGACGGTTATCGATCGTAACCACCGCCCGGATAGGGCAGCGGCGGAGGATCAGCGCACCCAGCCAAGGGGCCGGCAGGGGACGCGGTTGAGGCGGACGGAGCCCCCGCTCGCTCGGACTTGTCGCGGCCCATCGCCAGCCGGACGCCAGACGGGCACGACCCAGGCGGCCGCCCGTCCCGCCATTATGTCACCGCCCGCCTTTGCCAAGGGGTGGCGAGAACAAAAGTTTCCGACACTGACTGTGGAAACCGTCGGCCCAGGACCCCGGAAACTTGCCACCCCCCCACCTACTGCAAACGGTCATCGCCGTCAACCGGACGGTCCAGCCCATGACGAACAGGACAAATCCGCGAAAGATTGCCGAATCCCCGGATCCCGGCTGGCGGTGGGGACAGTTCCAACAATGCCCGGCTGGCCCTTCGCTGAACCAAACAGTGTGGTCATATATTACATACGGGCTACTACAGCAAAGCCTCGATGGCACAGTGGCACAGTCGTCCATCTGCCGGTTTTGGTGCCGAGTGCTATCCCGGCTGCACGCATTTTTGCACGCATGCCCACCCTGGGTACACCGATTTTTTTCTTATGCTTCGAGCAGTGATTAAATATAGTAGATGCACTGCATGGCACCATGATGGGAAGTTGTGGAGGAAAAATGCAAAAAGACAATGCACGGAATTGAACCCTTGACCTAAGTCAAGTAAAACAAAACCGGTGTCCAGATGTCGATGCCGCTGCGCTAACAAGACTTTACCATGGGAGTTTGTATGTAATATATGACTACACTGTTTGGCTCAGCGAAGGGACGATAGCGCTGGGGGCGGCTGTCAGCTCCGATCCGCTTTGGCGGTGCCGATTACCGATGGCTCACGACCTCAGCAAACCCTTCCCGCCCTGAGAGTTCACCGTCTTCTGTGCACATGGTGTTTATCAGTATATGCCCCGAATATGTTCTTCAGACTGTACTCAAAATTTTGGCCCAATCGGTCCAAGGGAAACACGACTTTAGGGCACTCCAGACAAAAAGCGTTCGGCAACGCAAATTCCAGGACCCCGGAAACTTGCCTGGGGGGTATGTGGGGGGAGACGGTGTCTGGCGCTTTAGTTCTCGCCACCCCTTGGCCTTTGCACTCGAATTTCCTCCTCCGCCCCTGGCGCTTGTCCCCGCCCGGAATATAAGCCACTCTTGCTCCAAGCCCGCCTTCTCCAAAGTCTCGTGCACCGCGCCTCTCCCCCACCCTCTCCTCCCCCGCGTTCTGCCCGCTCCGCCATGCCTGGTCTTGTTGCCGACGCCACTCGTGTTTGGGAGCTCAACCTCCACTGGCCTCTCCACGCCCAGTGCGGCGTGTGGGACCCCAAGGGTCGCGGTGTCGACGTTTGGGAGTGTATTCGTGCTCGTGAGTCCTCCTCTCCCCTCCGCTATTTGAGCCCTCCTCATCCGCACCCTGCTCTCCTTCGTTGCAGACAACTCCACCCCCGGTACCCAAGTACGTCCCTCCAGCCGTCCATCGTTGTCCAATGCTCATTCTCTCCCGCAGCCGCCCAACCAGCTCTACTGGCGTTACGTCGCGCGCAGATGAGCAGCTGCGGTCCCCCGCGTCTCTGCACGCGTCCACCACCCATTCTTCCGCCCGACGCATTCCGTCGTGACGGCGCGCCGACCCCCTGGGTCCGTTACCGACACCTTCCATGCGGACTGCCTTTGACGAAGCGCACTCCCCCTCTTCGGGGCTCTGCCTTCGCACATCGCACAACCCCCCTCCCCCTCCCCCCTCTCGCGCCTTGGCGCGATCTGAGGATGGATGGGAGCGGTGCTTCCGCACAGTCGCGCACCACAGGGGACGCTCGCGAAGGGTCTAGTTAGGTGCTGTGCACTAGCAACGGGGTTTCGTCTTTCCACTCTATCATTTGGTATCCTCCGCGTGTATGTGCTTTCCCTGCGTTTGGTCATTCCTCCTCTGTCGCTTGTACCGTCGTGCTCCCACTCTGCTTGGTGTTGTCGTTTGTTTCCTTGGTCGATGCTGGATCCGCCTCCTTCCCTGACTACGTACTCGCTCGTTCTCTATCGGTATTCTCGACCGTGTGTATCATTGCTGTCCGTTATCGCACCTTAGCTCTCGCCTAGTATATAACATACGCCTACACTAACCTGAGATTGTATGTATCGCATGATGACGCAATGCCCACCCTCCCAGAGATGCGTGTGGGGGCCGCGCGATGTGGGGTCTGGGGACCCGACTTCTCTTACGTCAGGGGCTCGGTCGATGCGCGCTCGCGTCCGCCCGCGCCCTCCTCCCGGGCATGGACTGCTTTCCATGCATTGCGCTGGCCACAGATCGCGCTTCGCCCGCGACCCAAGCCGGGTCTTATCCCCGCTTTGCATCCCCCGCGCCCGTCCCTGGTCACCCGCGTGGTGACTCCGCGGGCGACCCACCCGCCGCGCGCTCTTCGCGAAGCCCTGCGTGCACGCTGCCGCCCCGGGAGTCCGGGACCGCGGCGTTCCCGACGAATGGCCTCGCGCTCGCGTCCGCGGGCGACAGCGAACCCGCGCACTTCGCACCCTCGATGTTCCCCCGTCCACCGGGCGCGGCCTCGCCGATCCTCTGCCACCTCCGTTTCCCTGCCATCGCCGCCGCCGCAGATTGACGTACTTTCCGCTGCAAGCGGTGACCGACGTGGGAATCGCAAATATGTCGCGATGCGGCGAAGCGCTATGAATCGGAAGTCATAAGAAATGCATTGCTACTTAGAGCCAGAGGATATGAGAGTGTACAACAGGGTCGAGAATGCTAGATGAAGGCAGGGCTGGACGGCAACACAAGTACAGGGGGACACATTGACACATCGATGGACTTCTGCACTCGTACATCCTCCCGTCTAGAGCTTGTCGTAGTACGTGTCCAGAGGAGGGATCTCGGGCTGCAAGCATGTGTCAGCCAGTCTGAGGGCAACTTCCCGTGCGACGAACCTTGAGACCCTTGCGCACACGGACGCTCTTGACGATGTCCTCGAGCTTACTACCCTTCTCCAGCGGCGCTATTATCGTCTATATCAGTACAGGTTCCGATGATAAGACATAGACCATGCGTACAGCCGTTCATCAACTCCCAGTGGTCCAAAACCGACTGAGGGAACGCCTGGCCACCGGTCTGCGAGCGGAGATCGCCGTTGAAACCGAACGACTCCATAACGGGCAGGTAGGCCTTCACCGTGAACATGGGGGTACCGACACGTTGCTCTTCACTGAACACCTGACCACGACGCTTGTTGAGTACCGAGTAGATACCACCGATTGCGTTCTCCGGGCACTGGATCTCGACTGAAACGAATGTCAACGGTAAATTCCAGCATGCGCGGTGGTGGAATCGTTGAGAACATACCGAGGTAGATCGGTTCCTGGAGACTTGGCTCGGCGAGCAAGCACGCGGCGTAGCAGACACGACGGCAGGTCGGGATGAGCTGACCTCCACCACGATGGATGGCATCGGAGTGGAGCTGGTTGAGGAGATATCAGGCGAGATCTGACATTCGAAAGCCTTCACGGGACTCACCGTGACATCCAGGATGTTCACACGAACACCACGCATGTTCTCCTCGCAAAGCACACCCTCCTTGGTCGCCCACTGGAAGGCAGCAACACAAGAGTCCTTGATCTCGTTGAGGAACTGCACACCCTTGGTGGTGTCGACGAGGAGGTTCGGGCCGGTGGTGTCGGGACCGAAGCACCAGATCTTACGCGCATCGGTGACGTCCCAGCCGAACTCGTCAGCCATGGTGCGAGCACGGATCTTGTAGTCGTCACGAGGGTTGATCTTGCCAGCCTCGATGGCCAGGGTAAGGGCCTCGTCGATAGGCATGGCCTTGGCGTACAGACGATTGTGCTTGTTCTGCGACTTCGACAGAGCCACGATCGAAGACTCCGTCTTGACAGTCTCACGGAAACCGACCACAGGGTCGGAAATCTTGAGGGGGACACCGGCGTGGTCTTCTTGGAGATCCTACGAAGAATGTAAGAGATGCCATAAGACTAGGTATTTGTAGCGCTAACCTTCAAGCAGATCTCCAAGTGGAGCTCACCGGCACCCGCGACAATGTGCTCACCACTTTCCGAGATCCACGCTTGCACACACGGGTCAGACTTCGAGAGACGCTTGAGACCCTCAACGAGCTTGGGGAGATCCGACGCGTTCTTAACCTCGACGGCAACCTGGACGACAGGAGAGACCGAGAACTTCATGACCTTCATGTTGTGCGCAGTCTCCGACGAAGTGAGAGTACCGCTCTTGAGCAGGAACTGGTCGATACCGACGAGACCGAGGATGTTGCCGGCCGGGCAGTCCTCAATAGGTTCGACGTAACGACCCATCATGAGCACGGTGCGCTGGACAGACTTGACGAACAGGTCGTCCTTCTTGCCGGGCACGTAGTTGGGACCCTGGATACGGATTTTGGGGCCAGCACGGACGGTACCGGAGAAGATACGACCGAAAGCGTAGAAGCGACCCTTGTCGGACGTCGGCACCATCTTGGAGATGTAGCAAACGAGGGGACCGTTGGGGTCGCAATCGCGGATACCGATGGCGGACTCGTCGTCCATAGGACCCTCGTAGAGGGTTTCAACACGGTAACGCTGAGCAGTCGCCGGCGAGGGGAGGTTGATGACAATCATCTCCAGGAGCGAGTCGCCAGCAGGAAGGAACTTCCTCATAACGACCTTAAGGAGCGCCTTGCCCTCGAGTTCGCGCTCATCCTGAGCAAGCTTCACGTCGAGCTTCTCGCAGATCTTGTAGACGTCCTCTTTCTTGAAGTTCATGACGGCGTCGAAAATGCGGAAGATGGGGTCAAGGACGAAGGAGTTGAAGGCGCGCTCGAGAGGCTTGTTGTCCGCATCTGTGCTCTTGGTCGTCCACTTCTTCGTCGCAGGGTTGAAGTAGTTGTCGCCCCAGAGCTTCAACATCATCTTCTCCTTGTCGACACCGAACTTCTTGGAGTAGCGGGAGGCAAATTGACGGAGAGTGAAACCCCAGCCGTGGAGACCTGAACCGAAAGCGACGGTACCCTTCTCAGGGTAGACTTGAACGTCACCGAGAGCCTCGTCGTGGTAGGTCGAGATGATGACGTTGACGCTCTCCACTGTACGCGAGAAGGACTGGAAGAGGTCTTCCTTGGAGACCTGGAGCTCGAGGAGGGCACGGTCGACCTTGTTGATAACGACGACCGGCTTGATACGCTCAGTGAGCGCTTGACGGAGTACGGTCTCGGTCTGGACGCAAACACCCTCCACACAGTCCACAACGACGAGCGCACCGTCGGTGACACGAAGAGCGGCAGTAACTTCGGAAGAGAAGTCGACGTGTCCGGGGGAATCGATGAGGTTGATCAGGAACTCGGTACCTAGTAGTGCACCCATCATCAGCTACATCAGGTTCACGCATGAGAAACTGAGTGCGCACCATCGGTCTTCTGCTTAATAGCGCCGACGTCGTCCTTGTCGACCTCGAAGTACATCGAGATGGCGGTTGATTTAATCGTGATACCACGCTCCTTTTCGTCTTCTCTTGTGTCGGTGAAACGCATTTCGCCGGCCTTCGCGCCCGCAATGATACCAGCTTTGGAGACGAGCGAGTCCGTGAGAGTAGACTTTCCGTGATCGACTGTAGAAAGGAGTGCTCGAATCGAGGAACAAGAGAGTGTATGAGAGGAATACGCACCATGGGCAATCACACTCATGTTACGGATGTTCGTTGGGCGATCCATCAGTTGACGGATCTGGTCTGTTTTTACATACAGTCAGTTCGTTGCAAATGGGCCATGGGTGCCAATGACCAGTCACGGACCGACGGTGAAGTTACTGCATCGGACAGCAAGGGGTGAGATGAGAAGCGAGCGCGAAGATCTAAGCGAGCGGTACTCACACCATGGTGGCTAGATTTTACAGGGAGAAAAGAGAAAAGGGCGGGTTGGGGACGACACCGAGAGAGATGCCGCTTGATATAGGGAGGAGTAGAGTCGAGCAGACACGCCGGGGCCGCAGGACTCTGAGTAGGAGGTGGAAACTTTCGCTCGACGGTGGATCGGAGCTTATCGATCGCTTCAGGGCAGGCTGACCCATGAGAGCACGTGCAACGGTCCAGCCAACCAGAGCGCGCGCCCACACCATTCCCCGAGCTTTTCGCCTCGACTACTCGAGAGCGCGCCCACCGCCAGAACATGCCGACTGTTTCTGTCCCGGCCCAGGATCCGGTCTGTGCCCTCCATACACCGCTCTCGAGTCACCTCGAATCACTTGCGGCCCCATGGATGACTTTTTTATGACTTGCCGTGAAATGCTCGATCGCTGGTGCTGCCCCGTTGTCGCACCGGTATCCATTGATAGCCAGTAAGCAGTATCACCATGGGCAAGCTTCGTCTGCGGGAGGAAGGCGCCGGAACTCTGACTCGAACTAGCTACAGTCAGTACTCAATTGATCATCGGTAGCGGTCGTCTTCCACTTCACCCCGCAACATGCCCCAGTCGCAGTATCACCCTCTGCAGTTCAACCCCCAGACGAAGGAGCCTTTCCTCCGACTCCCCAGCCCTCATGAACACATAATCTTGACGCCTCCGCGTACCTCCGATGGACCCGCGATCTTCTCCCACATGAGCGATCCTCGCGTTTATAGCTGGCTTGAAGGGCCACCATTCCCCTACCGCCCCGAGCACGCCGAGCAGTGGATCAGCATGATCAAGAAAGACGCGGATGCCGCTTTGGAAGTCCTCCGTATCGCAAGCGAAGCTGATCCAGACGCGCCGCCGGTGTTGGTATCGGCATGTCCGGTACGCTGCATCCGAGAGGTTCGCGACGACGGTAGCGATATCTTCTTGGGCGACATCGCGATCTTGCGTGAACGTTGGCCGGACGAGTCAGATGAAGACGCGCAAAAGGCCTTGAAGGACCCCAACTACGAGAGACCACTGGGTGACCCTGAGATCGTATGGTGTTTTGGAGGTGAGCATGGCTCGTACACCCGCACGTCCCACTCACAGAGCGACCGGCGATAGACTACATCGCCGCCTCTCACCAGGGGCGAGGAATCATGAGCGTGGCCATTAGAACATTGATTCACGAATGGGCCGTACCTCGCATGGGAGTGCGGCAGATTCGCGTTGAGACGTTCGAAGAGAATCTTGGGAGCCGTCGCGTCTTCGAGAAGAACGGATTTGTGTACGAGAAGACAACACCGATGGAGAGAAAACTAGAATCGGGCCGCCTTGTTAAAGGCATGCACATCCTCTGGTGGAAGGCGCAATGATCCGATTCCGTGAGTGTTGCATCGCATCACAACCGTGCGAATAGCGAGACAGTAGTGATAACCAAGAACTGGACAGATGATATGCACTGAAGGAGCGGGCAGGAGACCGACGAAAAAATGAGGAAATGTAGTAAGTCGGCACGTTTGGTCACGCACGGATGAATACAACTGACTCTATCGATCATGTTACGCCAACCCATAACTAGACGCGATACTCGTATTCTTCTCGTTCTGAGACCGCCTCCAGCTGTCCCATGTGCTTGAGAGGATCGTACCATCAAAGCATGAGGATACTCCGCACCGATCGCGTAAGACAAGTGCTATGGATTTTTCCGAGCGACCGAGCTGCGGTTTGCACGCCCGGGAAAGCGTGAGTGCAGGCTCTCAGCCTGTACGATGCGACAAATGCTGTTGATTTCCCGGTGTGAGATACGTAGATGGCAGATGGGGATGGAAATGGAAATCAGCCACAGCTGCTACATAATTACAGTTCACATCACCGCCATAAACTGCATGCAGTGTGGACTTCGCGATGGAAATCTGAGGCCGCCCGTATGGAGCGAGAGAAAGGGGAAACAAGCATTTCTGGGCGCGGTAAGGAGCCTTTCATGCACTGCGCAGAGTGACCAGGTAACGGACGTGTTAATGCGTGCATGTCGCACGGGGAAGAGGCAGTGGGTCGGCGGCGGCGGGCACAGGCGGCGCGGGGGCCGCCAGTGCTCAGGAGGCGCCTATTTTGGACACCATCGTCAGGGCCCACACTGCCCGCCCGGCCAGCTGAGTATCCAAAGGCTGCCCTCATCCCCCCACCCGCGCGCCATCTTCGCATTCCCCCTTTCATTGCCCCCCGCTTCTTCGCCTACCCTCCTCATGGGCCTTATTCGCCCTGCCACGCCGGGTTTCCTCGTCACCCTCATCGCGACCATCCTCCTTGCCGTCGTATCCTTCAATGTCCCCATCATCAAGTCCATCTACTTCCTCAAGGCGACCATGACCGTCAATGGTGTCACTGGCTCTGTCCTTTTGGGTACCCTCGGATACTGTCTTGATCTCCCAAACAACCAGACCTGCTCTTCGCCCTCGGTGGGTTATCAGCTTGGTGAGTGTTCATTCTCTGGTCTACACTCTCCAGCTACAACTCCCGAACAGATATCAATGACCTCCTCGGGAACAACACTGGCATTGAAATCCCGGAGGTGGTCGTGAAGTGGATCACCTATGCACTTGTCCTCCACATCGTCGCCCTAGTCCTCGCCGGCATCTCTTCCATTTTCGGACTTCTCGCCCACGTCCGCGAAATGTCGATGGCGTACTGCAGCACCTGCGTTTCTGGGTTCGCTGCATCGGTCGCCCTCATTGCCTTCATCTTCGATATCGTTCTCTTCTACCTCACCAAGTCGCGCGTTACCGCGGTCAACAACGGCAAGGCCGAGTTCGGTTTAGCCCTTTGGCTCACCCTTGCCGCTTGGGTCCTCCTCTTTTTCGCTGGTTGTTTCTACGGCCTTGGCCGTTGCTGCATCAGTCGACGTCCTCGTGGAACCGACAGAGAGGCCAACCGTCCAGCAGTCAACAATGGGTACTCAGAGCAGATGCGGTTGGAGGCGGTCAAGGCGGAGGCGGACAGAAAGGCCCGTCAGGCCGCAGGGAAGCATGAACTTGGACTGCCTGCCTTTCAGGAGTACGAGACGCAGCCTTTGACTTCGAAGAGCGACGACCACTTCATCGACGACGGGGGCTCCATTGTTCCCTACTCCGCAGCCCAGCAAAGTTCGAACTACGCCGGGGGATACGCCCAAGCAGTTCCCGGCAACCGTGCCGTTGACGCGTATTACAACAACTCCACGCCGTCCCGTCCTTCGCCCGTACGTCAAGGCTCGCAGCACACCCAGGCCCCGTCAACGCACACCGACCAGCAGTACCAACAGCCGGGCTACTCCCAGCGTGACTACCAGCCATCTGGTTACGGTGCAACGCCTGCTGCCGCCGCCACCGGTGCGGCCGGTTACCTTGCCGCAGACCCTTACGGCCATCGCCAACAAGTAAGTGGCGCATCTTACGGCCATCCTGCCCGTGGGACCTCATGTGAGTCGCTTCAACCTTTTGTTGATATGGTATTGATGGGTTCAACTAGACCATTCTGCTGTTTCACACAACGATGGGTACGGTCAAGGCTACAGCGATCCGTTTGCCGCTCCTGTCGCTCCTGCTCAGCTGGTGTCCCACGCGAACCTCCACAACGATACGTACAACACCTCAGGATACATGTACCCCAGTCAAACGCCTACCCCTCCAGCGGCAACGAACCCGTATCGTGCACCTGAGCACTCGTACACCCTCGGTGGCAACGGGTATGGCTCGAACGTTGTGCCTGCACTCGATACCTCGTACCCTCCGCACCCCTCGGCCTCTCCCGCACCGTCGGCGCCATCGGTGTATTCAATGGGAACGTCGTCCACTCCTGCGCCCATCAACACGTCGGTGCCTTCCGGGATGCCACAACCTTTGAGCCCAAGAGGCCCCCGCGACCCGAACCCATCTATGCCCGCGACAATAGTGGAGTCTCCCACTCACGAAGACGCTCCGCACTACTCCGACAGCCCGCCGATGTATGATGCAGCGACGGCGCAACCGCCAGGGCAGTGGGGCGCCAAGCGCTGAGCTTCCGGTCCCCGTCCTCCCGGGTTGCGTTTCCTTGGCTGGCTTGAGGTCGCGGTGCTGGAGGCCGTGAGTCGGCATTGTTTCGCGAGGAGATGTACTCGGACTTTGAACCTAGTTCATGCGGACCTCTTTACTGTTTACCAGCTCTCGTAATTATTCGATTCGACTACTACTCGGACGACCCGCCTCCATCTAGCGATGTACACTAGCTAGCGACGACGATTCTCCCGCATGATGCACGAAATACATTGCCATGTACACACCCTAGACGACACGCCACACGCAGCAAGCAGTACAACTTTTGTAAACGTAAGTGCTCAGCAGTCGTCTCTCGGGGCAAGCAACAGCTGCGCAACTGCGGGATGCTTCAGGGCTCCTTGGCTGGAGCGAAGGTGCTGTGCGCAGTCGGCGGCTCGGTCGAAAGAAGCATGGAGAGGAAGTCATGCACGATATCTGCGGCCGCGATGCCCGTAATCTCGGCTGCGCAGCGCGGGTACGTCAGTGAGCGCGTCGGCTGGACAGACGACGACGAGCAGCGCGTACCGTTGTCGTACGCGGGAGAGACCTCGACGATGTCTGCGCCGCTGCACACACAGAAACATGTGAGCGACGGCGGGTGCCCTGAGACGGGACTGTGGAGGGCGGCTTACACGAAGTTGAGCCCGGCGAGGCCGCGGATGATCCTCTTCACCTCACGGGTCGTCCATCCGCCTGCTTCGGGCGTGCCGGTGGCGGGCGCGAGGCCGGGGTCTGGGCGAGAAGAGGGGTCGGGCACATATCCGAAGTCAGTGTGGGTGGCGCCGCACTGGAATGCGCGGCGCGCGGGAGAGACTGACCGATGACGTCGATGTCGAGGCTGGCACACGATCGCGGGTGAGCGGGGGGCGAGCGGGCAGGAACGGAGACTGACCTGAGGTAGACGGGGGAGTCGCCGATCCGCTCGCGGATGCGCTTGATGATGGCGGCGACGCCGTAGTCGTCGATGTCGTCCGTGGAGATGAGCTGGAAGCCGGTCTCCTCGTCGTTTTCCAGGTCAGCCATGCCCTGCATCGGCCCCGTCGGGGTTAGCGCGGCGTACACAGGGATGCGGATCCGGGAGAGGACGCACAGCGAGCTTGCAGCGGATCCCGGCGTGGATGCTGGTGTTGGTCATGAGGCCCTCCTCCTTGGCGAGGTAGAAGAACGTCCCGTGGGTGACGCGAGACTGCTCCGAGCCCGGGCCTGGGTATGCGGGCCATGTGTCGAGGTGGGCGTCGAAGTGGATGACCGACACGGGCCCGTAAACCTTGTTGAGCGAGCGGAGGATCGGGAGCACGATGGTATGGTCTCCGCCAAGACTGCGGGCGAAGGCGGTCAGTCTGCCGACCTCGTCGGAGAAGCGAGCTGCACACCTCACTATCCGCGGATGCGCTTTGCCGTCCTTGGAGAACCGCTGGGTGACCGAAGCGACCCCAGAAACGTCGGAACTGGTGGGAGCGCGATCCAGAAGCGTCGAGTAGGCAACTTCCATTTGGTCGACAGCCAGTGCATTGTCAAAAGGGTTCACGGGCACCTGTGTGGCAAGAAGATTTCAGCCGAGTCGTGTTCCTATTGGATTCCTCCGACTCACGTCGCCACAGTCCATGATTCTCGACCCAAGCTCGTAGGGGTTGTTTTTCCACGAAAGGGTGTATCCCCGCGTCTCGCGCTGCCGCCTGCTGCCTGAACGGATGGCGTAGGGTCCAAAGCGTGCGCCTGGGCGATATGTTACTGCGGTGTCGAACGGCATGCCCAGCAGCGCAATGTCGAATCCCGCGTTTTCGTCTTCTAGGCATCGGGCGTAAGGGAGGTGTGAAAACGACAGAGGCCCGGAGAACGCCTGATCAATCTGAGGACCGTACTTCTCCAACCAGGTCTGGGGAGTAGACCCGGATGGCGCGAAGTCTTGGACATCCAGCAAGGGCACTTGCTCGGCCCCGGTCTGGGGGTGGCCGTGTCCAACGTGAGAGCGGACGGAGGCCAAGTGTGCAAGAAGCACGAGCGCTGAAAGTAGCGTCGTCATGGTCATCTGGACGCAGAAGGCCAGTGAGTGATGTGATTGAAGGCAACCTCACTAACGATTGCACCTGCAGGGCGAGCGTGACCAACGTTGGGAGTCGTAGAGAAGAGGGATCACCGAAATTCCATCGGGAGCTACTATATACATACTTGGCTTATCTTTTCTGGTGTTTACTATGCCACACTCGCGTATGATAGGCAGGACGAACATCCGCCATCACACCCTCAGATATAGCCGCTAAAGTCTGATCCAGTCCTTTGTCAATAATTGATACACCATACTGTAACATCAAGCCCGAGGCGTAATGCCATAGTAATCCAGCTGACCGGTATCGTACACTCCATACCAACTAACACACCTTGCAATCCGAGAGAAAATGAAAATAGTCGGCTGGCCGCACTCCAAACGTGCACGAATCGAGCTACCCTCAGCGCGACGCCCCAGTGCGGTGCCTGTTGTTCCGCAGCGGGAGGACCTCCCACTGCCGGCGGAGTCTCGCGGACCCGCTCGCGTTCCTCGCCTCCTCCGCCGTGAGCCCAACGACCTTGACCGGGCGGAGCGCGTCCACGGAATCGTCCACTTCCTCGGCCTCGTTGCGGTCCTGCTCCGCGATCTCGTGCTCCGTCAGGTCGATCTGCCCGTCGAAGATCTCCTCCGGGGTCGCGTTCGTCTGCTTGACGCCGAAGAGCGAGAGCGAGCTGGTGACCGCCGAGGTGAGCAGCGTCGACGCGTTCGCGATCATCGTGGGCGGATTCCGGACGGGCACCGAGCTCAGGTAGTACGTCTTCTCCTTCCACGCGCCCGCCGACGCCGTCGCGGCGTCCCCACCTGCACCGGCAGCGTCCGCGTCCCCGCGGAGGGCGGGGTCGACGGTGAACACAACAGTGATCTCCTTCGTGTCGGGGTTGTATGCAAAGCGGGGAAGCGGGTGGGAGTGTGCGTTGGGGAATGGAAGGCTGACGGGCCTCCGGTGGCGGACCACGGGGCTCTCGCCTGGGACGCGGGGCGGCCGGGTGAACTGGAGAGGCCGGGCGGGGAGCGTCATCTCAGCACGTACCTTCGATATCTATCGCATGCCCCGCAGATCGCGAGCACAGCGCTCCGGAGGTATCGATGAAGAAGACCTGGGCATGACGGCTGTCGGAGAAGTCAAGATATGAAGACAACAGGCTGCGCACCTGGTTGTTGCACTCTGGACGCCTCATCGCTGTTCCCGCCTTATCAGCGTTTGTATGGGAGCGCGGCGTCAGTCACTGCTCACAGTCCACCAAAGAGCTCTCCGTGGATGGCCAGAGAATGACGGGTGTGCCGTCTTCGCTGAAGCCCTGGGTAACGTCGAGAACACGGTCAGTCCCGATCGACCGAAGCATGAAGTAACCGCGCGGGAATCCATGGTTGTTTAGGTCCGCCTCGAGTGGGGGAACAGGAGTGCCTATGCGAGCTTCTTTATCCGAGGTGACGAGCATGCTAGAATCCAGACGTCCTTTTCCAGTCACCCAGAGGTGGTCGAGAGAGAGAGACGAGATCGGAGACAAGCAGTTTCATCGCCACAGCCGCCATGCTCGATCAACCGAACCGGAAAGATGGCGCTGCACGAACGTCATCGCCATCTGCGGCAGCCACATGAAACGGCATCACGGTACTATCCTCCACGAGTCCGAGTTGGGTGATCTACAGACTTGTACATGATGTAGTAGGATACAAATTCACAACAATATTACGTCGACAACATATTACCAGTCTTCATCTGGCTCCAACGTACCATCCGACAAGGGGGATTCGGGTTCAAAGGCGCCTGGCATACGTTGTCGCAAAGTGCGCGATTGGCCACCCCGCTCCAACCTTTCCCGCTCTACGAGATCTTCCAGACCGCCGCGGATCTTCGTCAACCCCTTCCACTGCAAAGACCGTGAGCGACTGCCTTATCAGAAGACGTTATAGAATGCTCACCTCATGCCGCGCAACAACGCTACCATCTGACCTTCCCCAGTTAACCCCCAGCCATCCCGTGCTCATGAGGATAGGTTGCTGTGCGAAGAAAGATGAGGGTGGGAGTTACGGAAATGTTATCGCTACACTCGCCTGTGAGTGCCAACTGACGTCTCGAACACATGGCTGTACCCTCGATTGAGCGAAGTCACCGACGTCTACATCGGATGGGTCCAGGCCTATGGGCAAGGTGAAGGAACGATCGAGTACTTGCACGACCCGTCCATCGAGCGACCATATCTGAGCAAACTTTCAGTTGGATGAGATGCCTAAAAGAAGTGGCACGCACATGAATGCGACCATCAGCAGAACCCGAGTAAATGTATTGCTGGCCGGTGGTCTCCGTAGGACTAAAGTGACACCGTATGAGGGTACGAAGTACGCTGTGACCGGTGTACTTCATGACGCTACAATCCAGTGGGTGGGCTTTGTACCTCTGGTGTGGATAGCGGTCACCACTGAATGGATGTGAGACTGCTATTCTGCACAATGGAAGTCATGTCACGCACCGATAGTCGTAGTGGGGGATGCCATATTGCTTGTCCGCGACTTCCTCGTACTCATGATTGGTTCTCATCATGCGAAGGTCCCAAAGCCGAAGGATCTGATCTTTGCCGTTGGAGATGACATACCGGCCATCGCCTTTGGCAGACACATAGGTGATGCCTTCTGTATTTCCTATGAGTACTCCCGAGGGTTTCTTGTTGGATAATGACCGACGATCCCTAGCATTCAGACCAAGTTAGCACACGTAACTCAACTGGACTCGTACTAGGATCCAGCACATACCAAACCTTCACGAAAGTATCGTCAGACGCACTGACGAGGACATTTCCAGAAGCGGTATCCGCCCAGCAGCAGCTATTCACGTCCTGAGTGTGTGCATCTATCTTGACAGTTCGCCTATCTGCGAGGAGATCATAGACTGGCAGGATATGAGACGACGAACGGGTTGCCATGGACAACAAGTACGTACCGAATATGTTACTGCTCCCGCCAGCGATGACCTCACAGCCATCCGCCGAAAACTTGCAGCTCCATATGCTGCAATCGTCTCGCTCGTACCAATGGGCACCAATATTCCTGCGCCCTCGTCTTGGTGACGGGTCACTGAAGTCTATTGGTATTTGCTCTGCTGACGAATCTGCTGTAGATGTCATGTGGACGACGTTCGTCTATGTGTATAGATGATAGTGAGTGTTCAGACGGTGGAACACAGCCAGGGCTTACTTACAACAGAAGCATATATCATCCTGATTATGGGTATAAGAGCCACGCTCTCTTGCATTCGAGACTGCACTTACCGCTGATTGTCAGGACTGAGATGAGAATCGGTGATAGTCCATCCACCGGGCACGGCGTTGACTGTTTTGATGACTTCCATAGAAGTCGCGTGCCCATCGCGGGAGCCACGAACTTGGCGGAGGTCGGTCCGAAGCGGTTTGGTGGTATCGTATACGTGAATTTTAAAACCTGCAGACAAGTGAGTGATATGCACTTCTGACAAGGGGCGGAGAGCACACGTACTTCTCCCGCAAGTATAATAGAATGTGGAATCTACGAGCATTCAGCACGAGTCGGCCAACTTGAAGCGGGGAACATACCGGATGAATACTGTCCCACATAAGCGTTTGAGTCATAGGATGCAACCGCAGTGCCACTAGAGTTGGGAATCAAGTCCTAACGGGCAATGAGGGTCCGTTACAATCTGCAGTGCGTGAACGTACACATGCTAGATCCTCCTTCCGCATTGGACGAGAACTCAGAGACCTTGATATCACGTTTCGTGCGAGGTTGTTAAGGCCAGCGCGGGACTGCAGCTGATGATGGATCTTTCCAAACTCCCCACCAAAAAGTAGCTCCATGCCCTTTTCCTGCGGGGCAGTAACCGAAGGCTTGTACCTCTCTCGGACCATCTCAGAACCGTACATCTCGTCGTCTTCATCCTCATCGACATAGTCCTCGTCGTCCTCGTCTTCTACCTGAGCTTCTATCGATTCCAACTCGGTGTTGCCAGACCGACTCATAAGACCTAGCAGTTGAATGAACTCCTCCGGAGTGATATGCGATGTAGTCTCTTCACCGGCGCGACTGCCTGACGTGTCCCAAGCACCTCGAACTGAGAGAGCCGTCTCATTGCCACCCCTGACCTAATCCTGGAGTGTACTCACCTTCAAGAAATGCCCGTAGAAGCGCTTGGGCCCCAGAAGCATCGTCAAGAGGGCTGCGGTTGTCGGACATAGTGGTAGTAGCTCAGGGCCAGTCCGTGAGATGCAAGGTTCACAGGGGGGGCGCGCGATGGAAGGAGGCGAGAATCCGGCCGGGAGATAGCCCCGCTGAGCAAGCATTGACGAGTTCGACCTGTGTGAACGCCATGATCCACACCGATCCTGCCCCCGGCCCGGGAGGTCAATCACTCTTCAGATTCCGAAAAACTCCGACAAACTCCGCCGGAATGAACTGAATCGTTGGTCGCGTTTCATGGACGCTACTTCGACTCTCGCTCTCGCTCACATCCCTTTCCTCGCATCGCCATCACTCTACATGCGGCATGGCAGACCCGTTCCACATCACCGCCGATGAAATTAATTGTCTCATATATGCTTACTTTAAAGATTCTGGTAAGTATCTATATATCCGCGAGCGGTCTGGACCTGATGACTTGCTGCCTTCCGTAGGATTTCACCACAGTGCGTTCGTTCTCCGAGCTGAAGGCCGCTTGGAGCACTCTCAGCACTATCGAAAGAATATACCCCGCGGCGAGCTCGTCGAACTGCTCAGCAAAGCGCTTTTGTTTTCGGAGGTGGAAGCACATTGGCGGGGGGACAACATGACGCTCAATTGCACCAACCAGTTCAAATTGCTGGAACCTCACGTGTGTTCGTATGATCCAAACTTCCCCCCTCCACCTCTCCCAGACGGCGCGCACCTGCACATATCTCAAACCCCTCACACAAATATCCATACGGCTCCTATGAATGGCATCGCCGAGTCGTCTCTCAAGAGGAAGACCAGTTCTACGTCCTCCCCTGATGAGCTGCCTAGGGAGAAACGCACCAAGATTGCCACAGGGATGGATGTGGAGATGCATTCGCCTGTCGTTGTAGAACGTATGTTACTCTGTCTTCGTATAGGTTCATCCAACCAATGTTGTCTCTTTCAAGCTAGACCACCTGCCCAATCGAATCCCACTGGGTCCGTGGATGAGCGTTTGGTTGTGGCATCACCAACTGCTACTCGAGATACCCATGTTGTAGACACAACGGAGCCACCAGACTTAGCAAACGGCGCGGTACAGCTACTCAAAGCACACAAGGCAGAGGTGCGGTACTTCATGTTCGTGCGCCGTACGTCCACATAAACTCATTTGTGGTCCACATTAGGTTTTCGTCTGTGCTTGGAATCCTGTGGATCCAACCTATCTAGCATCAGGGTGACTCTCTGTCATCTAACCTTCTCTATGCGCCAGACTCTAACGAAGTTCCCAGGTCGAAAGATAGCGTCGTGCACATATGGAACGTACCTGGCTCATCGCAAGGGGAAACCACATCACCTACTATAGGACATCCACTTACCTGTGCCTACGTCGCACGAAGTGAGGGCTGTGATCTCACATCGATCACTTGGTCTCCCGATGGCGCATATGTTGCTGTCGGTTGCTTTGACTCAGTCCTTCGTATATGTGATGCCCAGGGAAAGGGATACTTCACGCATGCACAGCATGATGTAAGTTCTCGCTCCTTACTGCAAGTCTTTGTGGAACGCTGCTGACTATGAATTGAGAAGGGGCCGATATTCGCCGTGAGGTTCTCGCCGTCGGGACGTTGGCTCGTCTCTGCCAGTCTGGATGGATCAGCTTGTGTCTGGGAAGTTGGAGAAAAGCGGTTGCACAGGCAATACCAGTGGTCGGATTCTGAAAAAGGTCTGAAATGCTCATGCCTGTCATGGCACGTACTAATATTTCCTTGCAGAGTGTTGTTTGGATGTAGATTGGATTTCGGACACGATATTCGTGACAAGCAAGGCTGACGGTCTATCCGCGTGCTCAGCGTCGACTCCGCCAAACCGGTCAAGACACTAATGTAGGTCTAATGCGCATTGCAAGATGTCATAGTTCTGATCAATCCGGTCAGTGGGCATGCCAGCGAAGTCAATCAGGTCAAGTGCAACCCTACTCGAACTAGACTCGCTTCTTGCTCGGATGATGACACTGGTCGAGTATGGAACATTGAAGACGTTGGTTCTTCACGCGCAACACCGTCTCCTGTCATCTTGAAGGGACACAATTCACCAATCAGCAACATAGTGTGGTCACCGTTCACGCCTGCGGGAGAGCATGAGATTGTTGCCACGTGAGTAACCTTCGATTTTTTTTGCAAGCCCACCACGGATGTCTTACTCGTATGAAGTACCTCATTCGACGGTGCGCTAAGTTATGGGATAGCGTCAATGGCCAGTGTCTGTGTACCTTCAAAGACCACGTCTCGGTGAATCTGTATGCTTTGTCATTCAGCCCAGACGGCCGATATGTAGGAACGGCCGGTGCCGACGGATGGTTACACATCTACGACGTTCAGGTACGCGTTGCGACTCATTCATCCGCCAACACGTCTGACAGCGATCCTACCAGGCGCGAAAGAAACGGTGGTCGTGGCATGCCGGCAATCACAGACCCAGTATCTTTGAGATTGTATGGCAGCAATCAGGACAGTTGAACCGTATCGCTATGGCTATGGAGCAATGTACAGTGGGAGTGGTGGACCTAACGAAAGTCCTGGAGTTGCGGTAGAGTCGTGTCTTCGATTCGTGCTCGTGTATTGCTCAGCTATGTTACCCTCTATATCGCTATACTTCATGGTATAATGGGCAATGAAATACATTCCGATTCCCTCACGCCCTCAGGCCTTACAAAAGCCTTAGTCCCCGTTAGCCATGCAGCTTCGAGTCGAGAGGGCTCGAGCGCCCAGTGACGTAACGTGCCGGTCCGACGCGCGGCCGGGGAACAGTGAGGACATAGACCCCGCTCCTGGCCGCGTCCTTCCCTCAACCCTTCAGCATGCTCCGTATCAACCTCTTCGCTCTCCGCCCCCTGGGGCAGTCTGCCTTTGCGCAGGCTAGTCGGCAGCCTCCCGGTCTGCGGCTCTTCAGCACTCTTCGTCCGAACGCTCCTTCCTCACACAAACGCGCTCCCTTCCCGTCCTCCCGACATTCCCGCACTTTTCTCACCGACGCGCAACCCGTTGCCCGGAAACCCTCCCAGACCGAATCATGGGTCAAATTTGGGATATCCGCCGTGAGTGTTCCTCTGTTCTAGACATCCTGCTTCCACGATGACCAACGTTGAACAGGCAACAGTTGCCGGTACGATGGTCGGCGTGAACTTCTTCCTCAACCGCGAGACGCGAGACGCGCTATCCCCAGCGGAGCGTTCGTATCTCCATGAAAGCTTCCAGTACACCGGTGCCGGTCTCGCGTTCACTGCTCTCGCCGCACGGGCTATGTTCCGGAATGGATTTGCGGTCAGGCTGATGGCTGCTCGACCTTTGGTGGTACTCGGCGTGAGCTGTCTGGGGTCAATGGCAATGATGTTCGGTGCCATGAGCACATCTCCCGAGAACCCCGTGCTCAAGCACTCATTCTGGCTGGTGAGTCCCTCGAGGCCTGACCGATCGTGTGTATATTCAGTTCGTGTAGGGCTTTAACGCTTGCCAAGCCGCCGTCCTCAGCCCCCTCTACTTCTTTAGTCCCGCCCTCCTCTCACGGGCCGCATTGTACACGGTTGGTGTTGTGGGCTCACTTTCGTACATCGGGGCAACCGCTAAGTGAGTCCCAAACCTGCCTGGACTTTCCGATCCTGGAGGCTGACCGAACGTGCAGGAACGATACCTACCTCTACATGGGAGGCCCTCTTCTTGCCGGCGTGACTGTGGTTGCGCTCAGTTCTCTCGCACCTTTGGCCCTTCCTCTGGGCATGCGTGGTCTGGCTGTTTCTGAGGCGATATCTCTGTATGGTGGTCTTGCCGTGTTCAGCGGTTTCGTGCTCTTCGAGTATGTTGTCTTACGTTCCATACGGAGAACACATTCGCTTACACAAGTACAGCACACAGAAGATTTTGCGCAATGCCAGGCTGGCTGCAGAGGGTAGGATGGTACGGGACCCGCTCAAAGAGTCCATTGGTCTCGAGCTCGACATGATCAACATCTTGTGAGTGATGAGTTCAATCAGGCTGGTCTATCATCCTCACGCTAGAACCAGCGTTCGGATGGTCCAGCTACTTGCTAACCAGAAAAACAATCGGAAGTAGGCGTGCGTTGGTCAGAGGCCTCAGTCGTTATTTTATACGCACACATCATGTATTGCTATCTACTTGAATTCGTATAGCCCTTCAACGGAAACTCCTGCACACTCTGAAAGAACGTGGATCAATAATAGATTGTGCAGGTACACAAAAGCTACGTCAAGCAAACGCGTTCTACGTTGCCTTCTTCCCAAGACTTTCCAAAATCTGCACGAACCCTCCAGGATCCACGATCTCCGTCCCGCCATACGTAATCCTTTTTCCAGTCTTCTTTGCCCATTCCTCGAGGTTACCGTACTCGACGTAGCCCGCACCACCGACGACAAATACGATGCCTTCGGAGAACGCCATCCGACGGGCGCGCCACTCCCCGCGCCCCCTGGTGCAGGAGCACCGACACCAGAGATGCCCAGTCCGGCATTGGGGTTCCGAGGCGCACGAGGGTCCAGGAACAGGTACTCGTCGGTCTCTTGGAGCGACTGGTTCGACGCTGCGGACGGGTCCATGAGCGCCTCGGTGAGCCGAGTGACGGCGAGGAGCTTGTTAGCGGGCAAGAAGTTCTTCACCCCGGAGATGAGATTCTCCAACCCGCCGTCTTTCAGGTGGACGGTGAGCTGCGATGACAAGGAGTAAGGACGTCGTGTCATCAACAGGGTCGGTTCTCTCTTCGAGGGACTCACTTTGCTACCAAGCGCGCTGAAGCCCTTGAAGAGCTCGCCGCCCGGGGTGCTCACGCCGGGCACGGGCGTGGACGCCCCACCGAGCATGCTCGGTGCCATCATGCGCGAGATCTCGCGCGTGCGGCGGACGTACTCGAACGCGGCGACGTCCGCGCCCGCAGCCTTGAGCTCCTTCTCGAGCTCCGCGACGTCGTCCTTGGACACCGCAGTGTCCGGCGCGGACAGGTACCAGACGAGGACGAGGCGGAGCTTGTCCATCGGGGTCGGGGCCGCGTCCGACTTCAGGTGCCTGAGGGCCTCGAGGATCGCCTGCGCGGTCTGGCGCGTGACGGCGTCCTCGGTGCTGAAGAGCACGTCGAGCCCGCGCTTCTTGATTTCCCCAAGGAGCGCGGTCGCTATGTTCATGTGCGTGTCGAGCACTGCTTTGCGAGCAGTGAGCTCGGGCAGCGCGGTGATCGCCGTCTTCAGGTGTGCTGCGTTCGCGGACAGGTCCCTGGAGAGCGGCGCGGGGTGAGATGGGTTGTTTGTGTGGAAGGTGACCCAGGTTCTAGGTTACGATGGGGCGGGAGCGCAAGTGAGACTCACATCTGAGCGATATCGTTCACGTCGCCCACACCCGTAGAGCGTGTGATCTCCTCAGCGTCTTGCGTGTACTTCCTCACTCGATGTCGATATCTTCTGCGACTTGGGGGAATGGGTTGGCGGCATTCTTCGCCCAGAAGAAATCTTTCGAGTCGAGGTCGTAAGAACGTTTCTGGGGCTGAGTAACGACCACCCTGTTGAGCTTCATCTCAAGACAGTCCGAGGCAAGTGCCTGATATGTCCAACCGTGTGCCAGCATCGCGGTGAGGTCGACATTTCGGTCCACGATCAGAAGCACTGTGCCAGACTAAGAACGACGGCGCTACCATAATGGTAGCACGAACTTACGTGGTCTCTGAAGGTTCGACAAGCCAGATGCATCCTGAGCGAAGAGGAGGGCGAATGTGACCTCGCGGATGACAGGATCGCATCTCGAATCTTTTGTTCAAGCTTCTTCGCAATCATTTCCCCCGCGTTGCCCTTGGGGGCACGGATGATTGGGACATGGCCTGTGTCGAGCCCAATGAAAACGCAGTTCGACTCGGGATTTGTGATACGTACCCATGGTGGCTACGACACTGAAGAGACCGGTTGCAATGCGTTCAATCTCCTCTTCAATCTGCTGCTCCGACGAAGAAGGGGAGTTGAGAAGTTCATAGGTTGTGACGGGAGGTGATGGTTCCGCAGTCGGTGCAGCAGTACCGGATGATGGAGAAGGCGTAGCATTGACAGGTGGCAACAAGGAGAACAGGGAGGGTGATGGTGCAATGAAGGAAAGGTACTGGTCCAGAACCTGCAAACGCCAGTGTAGGTGAGTACTGTGGGAAGTCATACATGAGGGATTGGATGGGTTTTCTCCAGACACTGTAGCCATGTAGCATGGGGAAGCTCCAAAGAAGTTACGATGTAAAAGCCCTCCAAAGCCCATGCTCAAGCTCTGCCGTGATCAATCCAGACAAGACTCGCGCAACACCATTCACGTTTCTCTTGCACGGCAAACAAGCAGTGCTGTATATGTTTTGACACAAGCCAACAACGCGAAACCCATACAAAGCCTCAAACATGCGTTACGTCGGAAAGAACGCACCTGCTCCACAAGCTCGCCGGTTCCATCTCGTGCTACCGACCCCGCCAACTCTTCGAGTAAAGCGCGAGGAAGGGGCTCCACAAAGTTGAGGTGATAGGACTCGTAGAGACCCTTCTCAAGGTCTTGGGATATCCTTCGGACATTGGTGAGAGTGGGGGAGACGAAGTATACGGCGGGTACATCCGGCAACGGTGGCCTGTTGGAGTGAAGCTGGCTAGATGTGGGATTAGGAATATGCGGAGGAGGTGAAAGGAAATGTGTCGGTTGAACTCACATATGCAGCGTGACACCGACGTCTCTCAAGTCTTGTACGCGAAGGACGGTGGCAAGGACATCCTTGGTGTACTGATCGAGCACGAGCACTTTCCAGACGGGAGGGCCGCTGGGAGATGTGACTTTGAGAGAAGGGCCTTTGGAGGCAGACTGCGATGCACTACCCGCGGAGTCGACAGGTGCGTTGAGATTGAGGAGGGTGAGCAAGGCATCTGTCTGCGAGTCCTGGAGTGTGGGCGGCGCGGCACCTGCCTGACGAGAGGATGAGTGGACGAGGCTGCGGGGGGGAGGGGGCGTACCTGCTTGAGCACGGCGCTCGCCATGAGGAGAGAGGGGGCGGGCGAGGAGAGACGGGGAGGAGAGGCGCAGCGGAGGCAGACGACGGACGGCAGACTGTGCAGGCGGAGCCACGGACGTGTTCACGCGTAGGCGCCCATATGCTGCGTGTCTGGCGGGCGCCTCGGGGGAGACGGACGGGGATTGGCGGGAGGGGGCGAATTGGTGAGCGGTGGCCGGGATGGGCCTTGGTGTGGTTTAGCTGCAGTCCCTGAAAGATGGCCCCGATCCGCGCTGGCCCGCTTGACACCGCCGCTGCCTTCGGTATCACGACCCCCTCGCGACGGCTAAGAGCCATGGGATAAGAGCCCCCGCGCCGCCCTGCCAGGCCCAACCTCCCCTTCACCCGCCGCTTCTCCCTGGTCCCCGCTTCTCGGTCAGTTCCCCCGCGCCCTGCATTGGCCTCATTCTGATGTGCCCCAGATGGGCTGCATTCCTAGCAAAAAAGCGGTGCTTGAGGCCGACTCGTCAGCGGTCCCGAGGATACAGACGAAGCAGAAGAGAGAGAAGAAGCTGAAGCGAGGACTGGAGTCGCCCACCATCGGCGAGGATGCGGCGCCGTGGGTCAAGAGCACGCACAGACTGCTCTCGGAGAAGGATGGGGCGATTGTGATCACCGACGGGCCGTCATAGCGATTCTGCAAGCCCTCCTTTCTGTGCTTCTCCGGTCCCGGTGGTTCGTCCTCTCCCGTCCCCGCCTTCTTCCCCGCGGCCGCTGACGACCGTGCTGCAGATCGCTGGCGCTCTTCTGCGCTTTCTCGTACATAGTACATCCACCCCACGCTCTCTACTGTTGCTCGTTTGTACATCAGCTTCGTTTTCACCGCCGTATCTGCTCCACGTGATGTGAGACTGAGCGAGCGGGTGTGCCTCCCGCGCAGGTCCGGCTGTGAGAATATGACGTAAGAGTCTCTGGCACGCGGTTGGATCGCGAACGGTGGGAGGTGTGCGGCCGGATGACCGCGCCTCTTGCTTCTCTTCCCTCGCGACGCTCTTGTATCCCCCCTAGACCTGGGCGCAGGCCCACACGACTCCATATCCACGACTGCGACGACCAGCTAATGAACATACCATGTCTGCTCTCTCTATCGACGTCAATAACAACTGGTGGACCACCAGCGGTGGCTCCACCTTCCTCCCTACCGGCACGCACGCCCCTTCCTCCTCCTCCTCCTCCTCCTCCTCCTCCTCCTCCTCCTCACTCTCTTCTTCTGCGACACCCTCCACATCCACATTCCCCTCGAGCCCTCTGACTTCCTCATCTGGGAGCTCTTCGATATCCGCCGGTGATACCTCTTCCATCTCCCTCTCCTCTGACTTGACCACATTCACCACTTCGGTTCCTGTCACTATCTCTAATCCCTCGACAACGTTTACGTCCTTTTCCCAAACCACTGTCACTTCTTCAACCATCTTCACCGCGTTTCCCGACTCCGCCACCGCTGTTCAAGCCAATACTGCCATTCAACCCGTTTGTATAGGCGACGGCGTGGACGCCGGATCGCTCGGGCTGCTTTCCACCCTCTTAATCCCCTCCGTCGTTGGGCTATTGATATGGGTCAGTCCACTATTCCTTGCTGCACGCGCTATGACGCGTAAATTCACGCGTCCACAGCTATTGTTCGCGTTTCTGCGCCCCCGATATCGTCAGGTCTACGGTCTGAGGGAATGGTTCGTCCACCAGAAGTGAGTTGCGTCGCCCTACGAACCCTGTCGCCGCTGACAACTGCTAGCCTTCGGCCCAAACCGCTCGGTCGCTCCTTGTGGGCATTTCTCTTCCCCCATGTACCGCTCGTCCCGTCCATGCCGTCGGACGTCTCCGACGCCGGCCGCTCGCCCTCCAAAGACGCAGAACTTTTCCCATCCGACGAGCAGCTAAGTCAACGGACTCTTTGGATATGCGTCCTTATCGTTGCCGGGTGGACGCTACTCGCGCTTGCAGGCTTCCTCCCCCTCTACATGGTTTCAATCCCTTGCCTCGCCAACAGCGCGCCTACGCCCCAGTTCACCGGCGTGTACTCTGTGCTCCAAGACCTGAGCCTGCTTCGTCTTCTTCAGGCACTAGACGCAAGCTCGCCCTCGGCATCCGATCTTCACCTCATGTTCTCTGTGCGCGACGTGTCCGGGGGCGACCTCGCACGTACCGTACGCATTCGAATCATCATTGCGACGGCTCTCACCATCGTTCTGGGGCTCCTACCCGTGATCTGGAAGATTCTCAAGGAATTCAATCGTACCGTATTGTACCGGGAGCGGTGGGCAGAGGTGCACTGCCGGGGAATCGAGATGGGCTGGCTCGGTGCGCAGCACGTACCCGGATTCGTAGGGTGGGGCGAAAAGCGATTCAAGGACCATCTCGTCAAAATAGGATTGAGTTCGACCTTGGACGCCGTCACCGAACGGAATGCGCGCGCAAAACGGCGCCGGCGTGGAACACACGAGAACGGCGCCGAAGAGAAGGGGAGCTTGGAGGTCGATGTTCAATCGCTCTTCTCGATCAAGTGAGTGCACTGTGCGAGGTTTCCAGAACGTTTCTAAGGTCACGCCACAGCGACACCACCCAGCTTGCTCATCTAATCGACGAACGCGATGAGATCCTGGAGAACCTCGAAGTAGCGGAAACGAAATACATTCAAAGTTTCCGCCTCAGCACGCCAGACCCGTCAATAGCAGATTGGGAACCTCCAGCTCAACCTGAAGAGGCAGAGGCGTTGGCAGCTAGGCCGTCGATCAGTCGTCCCAAGCCTTTGACTAGCGCTAACGTACGTTCAACTTAACTATTCTCTATATCTCGCTCTGATTTCTTGGTAGGACCGCCGTAAGAGGCGTCGAGGTAGAAATCCCGCCTTCGGCTCCTCGTCCTTGCCTCCCACATCCTATGTGCTGCCATCTCAATTCTACAAACTTGCTGAACTTGGGGGAATCACTGGGGGCGAATTTGCGAATCCCGAGAGAGACCTCACCTCATCTGGAGCCCCCAATTCCAGTCACATCAGCTTCACCGAATCCGTCAAACAGCGCCTTGTTGGCTCCAAGTTTCAAGAGATGCATCGGCAGTCCGCGTCGTATGGACCTCTCCCCCTGGGCAGCCCTCTTCACGTGGATGACAGTGGACAGTTAAAACCAATCGCATCCCGTGACATGCCCGGACATAACCAAGCCCCTTACGGCGATAATCATCATGCTTCATGGGATACCTCGGCGTTCAATGACAACACTGGTCAGCCCCACTGGTTACAACAGCAAAATCCAGACGCCATCATGGAAACTGATGAACCGGAAGAGGAGTGGCACGACGTCGCCTACGAGGATCCAGAAGCTTTCCAGAACGCAGAAGAGTACCCGGCAGACGCGCGGCGGCGACCTCGTCCCCCTCGAGCGCAGGCTCGTGTAGGCACCCCCGTCGAAGAGCATCGCGAGACTTTCCCGTTGCGTATGCGCACAGCCGTCGCGCCCGAGCAGATCCCCCCTCCGCACCTGCGCGTGCAACCACGTCAACCCTTCGTGCGCCCACTTTCAGGCGTCGACCATGATGTCTTGGGCGAGACGTACGCAAGCATCAACCATTGGCGATGGAAACTCAAGGTCATCAACTCGGAAATCGCGGAGGTCCAACGCGAGAGCTATAACGACATCGCGGATGGGGCACGCATCAAGGGTTGGTTGCTCGTTGGCCGAGGGCTCAGATTCATCCCAGGCGTCCAGCTCATTGAAGGTCGCGCCAAGGAAGACATTCGTTGGGACGAGCTGCAGAACCACAGGGACTGGATAAAGGATCTGTTGCGCTGGGTTTCCCTCGTTATGGTTGGGTTCGTTCTAGCCGTTGGACGTGCGTTATTTATTTCCCATAAACGCTAGCTTACACTAACGGCCTTGCAGTAACGGCGGTCGCGGGTCTCGCAGTCGCACAAGCGCCAGACGTTGCCCACTACTTCCCTTTCCTCCTGCCAATGACAACCAGCAACCCAGTTGCCGCGGGTGTTGCGACATCTTTGGCCGCCGCTACTGCGGCCAGCCTGTTTATTGGCATCGCCCTTTGGATCTTGCGCGGTGAGTTCTGTTACCATCGCCATGTCGTTCTCCAGGGCGCTGATTCCGCTTATCAGCGTCTGTCAACACGGCTAGTTCCATTTCCGTGTCTGGCACGCAGCTTATCATATTCAAGACGATGTTCTGGCTGTTCACTGCTGTAGTGGGCATCTGGTTGTTCGCCGTTGGTGCCGTGCTATTTGCGATGCATGCTCTCAGCAACAACTCGGGAGTGACACACTCGATATCCAACGGCGCAATCTACATGAGCACCTTCGCCATGTCCCTCATCTTGAACGTTGCCATCATCTTCCCCGGTCTCCTGTTACTTCAACCCATCCGCCTGTGGCAGGTGACAAGAGCAGAAAAGGCTGCCATTACGCCTCGTCAGCGATTCCGAGGTGCGCAAGCCTTATGTAGAGCACCCAATATCATACTGATGGAGATTCTCAACAGCCGTATACCCTCGGACCTACGACCCATCCTATGCCATCAGTTGCTGTATTCTCGCCGTCATCTTTGCATCCGCTTTTGCTCTGATTTTTCCTATACTTGCGCCTGCTGCCTTGCTATTGCTTTTCCTTACACTAGTTGGTGAGTCACCTAAATGTCACGTTTGGGGAAGTTCTAAGGGTGCTTTTCCTTCCAGCACATCGATTCCTTATTGGCTATGTTTATGGACGAACACACTCCCAAACGGGTGGCCTCCTACAAATTTGGATTCTGCGTCGTCTTTGCACCATCGTTGCCTTCCAACCACTCCTCCTGGGCCTCATCTTCCTCTCCCGACGTCTCTGGGTTGAAGGCGGTGTTCTTGTAGGGACAGCTCTTTTCGTCGTTGTGGCGGCGGAGAGTTTCTGCAACTGGAGAACCAAGCAGCCAGGACACAAGTCGCTCTTCCCAGTCACCATCGGCGCTCTGGACGCATTCCGGCAGACCGCCAAACCGTCCAGAAACCTAGAGCTAGACGAAGAGGTCACCAGCCTCGTCAGCTCAGCGAGGAACACGCGCGCCCGTGGTTCTTTTGCATCGGTGCTCGAGATGATGTCCCTCACGCTCGCGGTTAGCCCATCACCGTCAGAGAAGCGAGGGCCTGTTCCTCTCGGTACGTTCTTCCCTTTTGCCGGTCTCTCCGTACCCCTCATTCAACCCGAACGTACAGAAACCGAAACCCTCGACGATCTGACCGCGACGGAGCGCGCCGCGCGGACGAACCCCGACGCGCCCCCACGTCTGCCTCCGCTCTCTGCGGACCATGCGGAGGAGATGGCAGGGGTGCTCTACGCGCCCGAGCTGCTCGCGCCCCCGCCGGTGATCTGGCTCCCGAACGACGTCGGTGGGATCGGCCGCTCTGAGGCTTACGACCTCCAGCGGTACCACCACCTCACGGTCACGCTCGACGTGCGCGCGAAGGAGGACGTACATTGGCAGCAGCCGCTCTCCTCGTCGACCCACTCGCCGCCGCAGACCGGCAGCCCGATGTAGCGTAGGCCGCTACTTGAACACTCGTTTTCGCAGTTCTCGTGCGGTGAAAGCGCGTGAGCAGGACTCTTCACGAATGTATTCTGATGTTATGCCTAAGTAATGTATGTTTTACTTTACACGGACATTCAATGTATTGCCCCTCAGGTCTCAGACCTCAGGCCTTCTGGGCTGTCGCGACATTACACACACAATCATCACAGTAAAAAGGGGCTCCAGGGCTTCGCGTGCTAGAGTGCCTATATAGTTGGAGTTGGCAAGCTGCTAAGCAAGTCTCTGTTCGTATATCGGTTAGTACACGCGCTTGTCACGCGCGAAAGCGGGGTTCGATTCCCCGACAGAGAGTTTTTTGTACGCATAGGGACGCCAGACAGTCCCAGAACACACTCAGCTTCTCCAGCTCAGGCTCTCCATCATGCAGTGACTGATATGTCTGCCGATGCATGTTTTCCTTCCTATTTGCTCCCGCGAAGTATCCAGAGCTAAACGAGAAAGAAGCGACCGGGTCATGTAAAGAGATGAGTAGTATAGTAGTGCACGGAGCGTTGGGAAGGAAACACAAGTACAGATGTGATAGGTATATCGAGTAAGGACCGGACGTGGATAACGGGACGCAGTTCCGCACAGCCACAACTCTCAGATGACAATGTCGGTTATGAGCTCACGAGCTTCTAGAATATACTTAAAAGAACCGTAAAGTAGACACTGTGCAAGGGCCCAAACGCTTAGCATTCACCCAAAAAGCTGCTCTTGGGGAACGGCTGTTTAAAGTCGTCCCGCCACGTCGTCAGGTTTGGGTTCGTGTAAGCTTCGAGGTATCTGAAAGGGGGATGAGAATGGTGATTCAATGGCTCCACAATATACGCACTCCTCAATATACGCCGCGGTAGGGAAGTCCGCAGGATCGCATCCAATGTTGATGTTATCCGGATCCTGGTACACTCGGATCCAGTCAACACGCATGGTCGTCGGGAAGATTAAATTCTTCAAGTCGACAAAGCCGAAGTTGGCCGACATGCCCAAGTTCGCGATGATGTACTACGACGCGGTTAGGTACGATTCTACACAAATTAACGGCACACATACCATAGGCTCTTGAGGAACAGGACGAGGTCCAATCTCAACCGAGGGATCGGCGGCAAACCCGGGCTGCTTCAACGTCCAAGCCACCTTGCCATCAGATATCCAGGTGATGTACTTTAAAAAACGTCAATAAAAGAAATTCAGAGTGGAGACTCAAGGTGTTACTAACCGCATTATCAAAGCCAGGCTTGTACTGGATGCCGTAGATAGAGAACACTCCACCGGTGTGCTCGTAGGCTTGTTGATCTGATGTGCAATGAGCAGGAGCCTCAATACCGAAGGTATGGTGCACTCACTGGTCTGAGTAACGCCTGAGCTGGCTTGCTGGAACGCAGCACCAACGTAGGGGTTCAGGACAGTGATGTCGGGGTCTGGAATGATCAAGTTGTCGGACGTGTTGAACCAGGCGTAGTTCGCGTTGAAAGGCTGAGCCAATCACCTCAGTACACCTTCCTCGACGAGCAAACGAGCTACTCACGCCCCACTGCGCCGATTGAGAGACTTGACCCGACAAGGGGTCCCCAGAGATCTTTTCAGAGGAGATCAGTTCAACGCCTCCTCTGTATGCCGATCAACTCAGTACCTGTGCTTCGAACATATCGATTTCGGGGGCAGCGCGGCCGACGTAGGTACCATCGGCGTGCACAGGTCCAGGGTGAGATTCCCCAGCGCAAGTGCAACGAGAAAGCTTCTGTCCTGGGAGGTAAGACAGTTCGAAGTCATAATCCCTACCACCCGTGGTTGTTGCCGCAAGCGGGAGACCGTTCATTGTTTGGTTGGCCACGGTGCCCACATCGCAGGAGTCGTATGTGTATGGCCACTGGACGAGGCGTCAGATATTGCACTCCCAACAGGGATAAGAAACGCACCATGCCCTCCAGACTTGCACCGAATCCGGCGCGTCCAAGGTTCCCCATAGTCCAGATGGCGGGCCACAGGCCAAGGATATTATTCGCGCCAGGCAGGATCACGGAGGCCAACACCAGACCACCCGTGAAGCAGAACTTATTCCATGTCGACATCATCCCGCCCTGATACTGAAGACCGTGGGTGTCCTTGCGGCTCAGGGTGATCTCGAGGGCACCATTCTTCGTCGTGATCGCCGCGGGATCATACCACTCCATGTTGTTCGTCTGCCAGTAATGCAGGTCGACAGCCTCCCAATACGGATCCTCGCCAGGGTAGAAGGTGCGCCCATCGATGTTGAACTCGTCGCTGAAAACGAGTTGCCACTCCTTGTTTGTGATGACATCAAGGTAAGTGCGAGCGTCCTCGGGTGTCTCGAGGTCGACGAGACCCCAGTTGCCAGGCATGGACGGCACTTGTCCAGTGGCATTGGTTCCGCCAAGGTTAAAGCCACCAAGAGTGGATTGCGGCGTCCGTGTGAAGTAACTGATGAGAGGATAGCCGGCGCTGACAGACGGGAGTATAAGCATGAGCGGTGCGGTTTATGACGGTGCGAGAAGCAAGACTCACAAAAGGGTCAACATGCCCGCTCCCAAGATCAGCATACAGCCCAAGTTGGCGAGACCCCTGGAGGTGAAGATGTGGCCGCCCTTGTCGCTTTTGCGGTCCCGCCGTGGGTCGGGGTTGTGGAGGAAGTCATCTTGTTCGGGAGTGTCCACCGAGAGGTCGGCACCCCATGAGCGTGGGTCGGGGGAGAGGGAGTACTGGCGTCACGCAGCATGCCGTCATGACAAGGGCAGGGAAGTGAGAATGAGCACAGCACACCTTGTCCGACAAAGATGCTGGGATTGCGTCGCCGCCTTTGCCGGTAGTAAAACGAGTGTCGTTCTGTGGACGCCGCCACGGCGTGAGCACGGTGGTGTGGAGAGCAATGAGAGGGGGACGGACCAAAGAGTACTCGGAGGCCATGGGGCGGAAACGGTCCGAGTCCGCGCCTGGCGTGCCACTGAGAAGGAGACTGGCGGAAGAGGGAGGGCTCTTGTCATAGGGCCGTCTGTACGCCATGGGGGCAGGAGGGGAAGAGAGAGAGCGCAGAGGGAACGAGCGGAAGGGTTGAGAGCAGAGAGCCAGCGTCGAGAGCGGCGAGAGAGCGCCGTCGGGAAGGCGCGCCGGACGCGACGCCTCCCGCAGCCAGCCAATCGCGCGGGCGCCGGAAACAAGCGAGCACGTCTCGGGTGACAGCGCTCCAACGATCTCGTCCCCAAAGTGTTCTCCCGCACCCGACTGGCAACATATCATTACTCGCGGTGAGCCACATACATCTGTAACTGCCCCACCGACGTCAGCACTCGCCGCGACCACTTGCCAGTACTTCTGCACTTACCGACACCCTAGAGTACTTAAACGTATACTAATAGAAACAGCACCTCGCACCGTCCGCTCAGCACTCGCCCAGGAAACTGTTCTTCGGGAACGTCTGCTTGTAGTCGTCCACCCATGTCGTCAGATTGGGGTTCGAATACGCCTCGGAGTACCTGGGCAGCACCCCGTGAGTTCCGCTTCCAGTTAACCGGGAGCTTCGACTTACTCTGCGATGTACGCCGCCGTCGGGAAGTCGTCCGGATCGCAGCCTATGTTGATGTTCCCTGGCTCCTGATACACTCGGATCCAGTCTACGCGCATCGTCGATGGGAACTGCAAGTTGTCGTAGTCCACGGTACCGAAGTTCTCGGAGATGCCCAGGTTCATGATCAAGTACTGTCGTCACACACAGGTCAGCCCACCGAATGGTCCTGGCTGCCAGCCACTCACCATGGGTTCCTGAGGGACTGGTCTTGCACTAATCTCGACTGTAGCATCCGCTGCCATACCCGCCGCTGTCAGCTTCCACGCGAGAGCCCCGTTGGCGATCCATCCTATGTACTGGGCACCCCCATTAAGCTGACTGACCCATCTCGAGGCACTGGACTTCTAGTACATACCGCATCGTCGTAGCCTGGGGCATACTGGAAACCGTATGTGGAGTATTGGTAGCCATTGAACTCGTACGCCTTTTGATCTGGACGACCGATTTCAAATTAACGTCTCTGGGGGTGGCACGACAACGCGACCCACCAACTGTGGTCACGCAAGACGTCGCTTGCTGATATACACCACCCTTGTAGCTGTTGAGCACGGTGATAGTCTCGTCGGGGATGTACAACGTCTCGGAAGTATTGTCCCACGTGTACTGATAGTTGAAGGGCTGGAAGGCCGACGTTAGAAATCCTGGTCAGACGACACTTCGCGTTGTACGCACGCCCCATTGTCCCGATAGCGAAACCGATCCGACGTTGGTGGAGAGGGAATCTCCTTCGACCTGTTGGCGGTGTGGGTCTATTGGCCTATCCCGGAGAAGTCACGCCGTGGACATACCTGCGCCTCAAACATGTCAATCTCTGGCGCCGATCGGCCAACATACGTTCCGTCCTTGTGGGCGGGCCCAGGATGCGACTCGCCCTCGCAGGTACACCGGGAAAGGCGCTGGCCAGGCAGGTACGAGAGCACCCCGTTGTCGCTGGAGCCGTTGTCTTCTGTTGCGGCGACCGGCAGCCCGTCCTTCGTCTGGTTGGCCACCGTGCCGACGTCGCACGAGTCGTACGTGTATGGCCACTAGCGCCACTAAGTGTGAGTCGACAGATTAGAGACAGAAAGCCAAAGACGCACCATGCCTTCTAGCGATGCACCATAACCCGCACGACCCAAATTGCCCATCGCCCATATGGCGGGCCAGAGACCCTTGACGTTGTTGAAACCGGGAAGCATCACGGAAGCTTCGACCAGGCCGCCCGTGAAGCAGAACTTATTCCACGTGGCCATCATCCCGCCCGTATATGCGAGATTGTGGTTCTCCTTCTGCGAGAGCTGAATCTCGAGCGAGCCGTTCTTAGTCGTGATAGCCGCGGGGTCGTACCACTCCTTGTTGTTCGTCTGCCAGTAGTGGAGGTCGACGGCTTCCCAGTAAGGATCATCTCCGGGGTAGAACGACCGCCCTTCGACGTTGAACTCGTCGCTGAAGACGAGCTGCCATGTTGCACCGTTCACATAATCCGTCTTCGTGCGGACGTCTTCGGGCGTTTCATCATCGATGAGACCCCAGTTGCCCGAAATGTCAGGAACCTGGCCAGATGCATTGGTTCCGCCAAGGTTGAAGCCACCGAGATTTGATTGTTTGTGCTCCGTGAAGTAGGTAATGAGCGGGTAACCCGCGCTACAATTCGTTCGGCGTCTTTTTGAGTGCGTACATGAGACAGAACTACTCACAAAAGGGTGATAATCCCGGCACAGAGGACGAATATGCAGCCCAAGTTCATGAACCCTCGGCCGGTGAAGATGTGTCCACCTCCATCGTACTTGCGATCCCTTCGTGGTTCAGGCGAGTGCAGTTGATCGTCCGCGTCTGGTTCATTAAACTCGGCGGGGTCGAGGGGGAGAATGAACTGGACGCGCGAGTGAGTGGAATGAGGCGCGCGTGGATGACTGTGACGTACCTTGTCTGTGATCGAAGGTGGAAGAGGCGCATCTGCGCTCGCCTGATCACAGGTGAGCGGCCCGTAAGCTACAGAAGGGAAAGTGGACGGACATACGAATGATTGGGCACTGGCAGACAGTCTCGATCTACGAGTAAAGGGCCCACCACTCCTCATCTCGCTAGGGCTGAGGAGAGAATGACTGGAGCCAGAAGGTGATTTATGGCCATGGTGGTTGGGGAAGGCGGCCATCCGAGCTGGAGAGTCGTAGAAGTACTAGGGAGGGTGAACTACCGACGTGGAGTACGGCGTAATGGTGCTGTTGGGTCGAGCTTGCGCAGAGGGATATGCCTCGCCCTGCTCGCAAACCGCCACCCGTTCGCGCGCAGCCACTATGCCGGACATCGGGCAAGAGCGACGAGCAATGGCTGCGGAGTGATCGGAAGGCCGTTAGGTCGTCAGCTGCGTCTTGCCGCTCTAGGGCCCAAGGAGCCCAGGACCGTGGCATCGTGAGGCGATTCATTCACATTCGCGATGTAACGCGAGCATATGCCTATGTGGCCAAGAAGTTGAAAATTGGATGCGCATGCGTGGCACGGCGCAAGAGTGCCCAGCGCGGCGCGGCGTGTCGGTGGGTGGCGGTCTAAGTAAGTGCAGATAGAGGCTCGGCGAGAAAGAGGCGCGCGGCGCCAAAACGACGTACCTGTCAAGCGTGTCGGAGGCTAGCACAATGGCGTCTGACTGACTGCGCGAGGGACGAGGGACTCGGCTGCATCGCGGCCGGGCGTGCATTCGGTGGGGGGCAGAGGCGCGGCCTCCTTGGCTTCGACGTCTTTATAGCCCAGCGACAGATCCGCTGAGGTCCCAGCGCACGAGAACTCGAAGAATCCATCAAATGATCAGTCGCCGAGTCGGTCGCGGTCAAGCGCACAGCGCCTTCCCAAACCACCCTCGCCAAGTCGCTTCCCCTCTGCTGTGCTCTCCGTCCCCTTATACAGCAGCACTATGCGCACCCGATATAGGTTCGTCAGGAGGCATCCATATGTCGGGGATATATTCAAAGTTGCGGCGCAACACTGTGCGCATCAGCTACTCTAGACTCACATCAATCAGGTCTCCAAGTTGGGTCATAGGTCGGTCGGCGCTTCATACACGCAAAGCGCTGGCCATCCGGAGACTCTGTCTAGTCTATTGGGGGCTTTGAGAGAGGGCATAAGCGTTTGTGTCGTTGCTCTGCACCTTTGGTGGACGATAGATACCAGCGAGGCGTCCGAGGGCGGCAGAATCGGCCGCGCGAACTTCGACCTCGGTATGTTGAAGGACGCGTAGTGGGAAACGTCGACGGAAGACCGCAATGCAAGAAGGAGGACGGGGTGGAAACGTCAGGCGATGCTCGAGAACAAGACACTGTTCGTAGACGGCGGAAAGGGCGGCTCCGACGCAGAGTAGCTGCTTGTCCGCCGACGCCCTTTCTCGCGATCATCTACTGGAGCTTCGTATGTCGTTCCTCGGAGCTTCGAGGTGTCCCCTGAGGAGTGGAAGGGGGCGCATTGTAGGGGTACCGTATAGCTGCGAGATGTAGTCCAGATATGCTTTGTATCAACCAGTCGAGGGTAGCGTCATCGTTGACTCTTGGCTGGTGGTAGGCCGCGCCCTCGAAGGGAAGGAAGGACTACGACTGTGCACATAATACCAATCGGGCGCATCCTATGATAACGTACGCTGACACTAACGGGATTTCACGTCAAGTTAGCCCAGGTCAACCCCTGCGTAAGCCGGGAAAAGGAGACCTGACTGATGTGGGCTCCAGGTGCTAGTGTCCATCCCTGCACCTTCTAACAGATTCAAAATACCTCCGTTTGCGCCTGCACCCGAACGCTGCAACTCCTTGACAGCCTTTTCGACCCGTTCCAACCCGGTCTGATCCTCACCCTCACCTCCCACCTCCAACCCCTGCTCGGCCGCCATCGCATCAATCTGCTTCAGGCGCACCAAGAGCCCCTCGTTCGCTTTTCGCAAAGCGGCCTGAGATCCACAGTCAGCCGTCTCCTGGTGGATCGCCGCTAGCAGATCATCCTTGCGAGCGCCATAATTCGCCAAGGAAGCATGTGGCGCCTGCCCAAAGACCACGTGTGCGACCTCAGCTTCTGGACCAGCGACTGCACCGAGTTCGCTCGGCAGAGCGACCGTGTTCTTGTCCATGTACTTCTGTAGCGAGGTCAGAGCATCCTTGGCTTTCCTTATTCTGTCCCGCTTGGACGGTCGCCCTTTCTTCTTCGCAGGCGGAGGAGCCGACGAATCCGCCTCCCCGAGACCTGTGGCCTGGAGCGCCGCCAAGGCATCTTGGCCATCAGGCACGAAGATTTCTCGCGGAAGCCGAGGTGGGTTTTGTGCTTTGAGCGACGAATGCGGCAATATGTAGAATGCTTGGGCGTCCAGGAGACTGGACAGGACGTGGACGACGTGAGGCTTCAACGACAGGTAAGGCTCGCTCAGATGCTCTGGAAGGGTGATCATGGTGTTGTATACGTCTGTGCCGAGGGCATTAAATCACGGAGTGCACAAATGAGTGTCACACACCCATGGGTATCCCAATGTGAGAGGCACGATAAGTTGTCGGTGGGGCAGAATTCGAAGGCTGGGTATTGTGGAACGTGTAGAGCGCAAGTAAGGCAACAACTTGTGCTGCAGGACTTGAGGTGTCCGCTAATCTTTCTGTGGCCAACATCAGCGGAGTGCAGCTGTGAAGAGGGTGTATTCATACCAACAAATACACGTTCTGTGGTGGACACAAACGCTTGCTTTGCGCGTCCGTCATGGACTCGTAGATGAAGCCAACACCATCCTTGATCGATCCATAGAGATTTGAAGAGTTCGAATGGGCGTGTTGTCTGAGGTAGTTGGGTGGAAAAGGCACGAATGAGATCATCGAAATCCTGTCGTAAGGGATCGACGTAGAGAGACGATGTGAAATAGCTCGGCTGGAGAGAGATGGAGCCCCTCGAGGCAGAAGGCTCTGGTGCAACGGACATGGAGGTCCGGCGGGAATCATGCTGGCGCCAAACAGAGGGAAACATCGCGGACGCGTCTCGTGCACGTGCCGCGGGGACCCTCGACTACGGCCCGTGGCCGATCGTTCAACTGCTCCTCAGCCACAGATGTCCTCCCCTGCGTCCAGGTAGTATCCAACCCCGCCATGCCGACCATCTTCAGGCAACCACAGCCAGTCGCTTGCTTCTTCTGCCAGTCCGACATCTCTCCTACTCCTCGGAACCCCCGCTGCTTCCGATGTCCCCACTGCCTATGTTGGAACCGCTATGATGCAAACGGAGAGCTTGCATCAGACGAGCCTGCCATGCACGACGAGAATCTCAACGCTCGTGCTTTTGCAATGAGAGGTGTGCCGCTCCATGCTCTTCTCAGACGCGTCTTGACCACCCCTCGGGCTCTCATAGCATCACCCCGCAAGGATCGCCTTCCCTCCGTGTATAGGGATGCTGAATTTTGCCATACTTGTCAAACCAACCAGACATTGATACAAAACCTGTTGTCAAACTATCTACCTCCTCCCGATGTATGTGTCGCGCCATGAAGTTGTATCCCTTTCCTGACATCGAGTTGCAGGATCCAGCCTACGAGGGGCGAGCAGCTTCCTTTGCGGACCACCAACGGTCCGTAGAATTTCGATACCCTCCGGTGTGCACGAACTGTCTTCCCGGTGTGGAAGAGAAGATTCGCCAGTCGGACCAGATGGTTCGCGTACGCGCTTTCGGCGGTGCATTGAAGACTACGAAGGGAACGGACAGCCGGAGACGAACATCAGGGACGCAAAGAGAGAAAGACAAGCTGGAACGTGAGCTTAAAGCATGGAAGGTGCGAGGCTATCTTTGGGCGGGTAGTTTCGCGTGCGCCGTGGTTGGCTATGCTTCAAGTAAGCAGACCTCATCACGTTTACTCCGCCTGAAGTGCTCATCCTCCTTTAGTCGCGCTGCGATGCCAGATCTCACCACTTCCCGGAGTTTTCCCCGTCTTACTGTCAGTGCTTGTTGTCTTGTCCCTTCTCTGGACCGCGTGGGATCCCACGTATGCCGTCACACGAAGATACCAATTCCAAGGCAGAGTGGTCCGCGTGCACAATAAAAACCAACATGTTGTGAGTGAACATCTTATCCTATACGTTTTCAAGAGACATTTCTCAGCAATTGTCGCAGATTATGCAACTCTTGATATGGGTCACAAGGTTATGCACGGCCTCTGCGCTTACAGCGTCCCAGTACAACCTCTCCTTCGATCTACTTCATCTATGGGAGGAGCCCTCGTCACGTACAGCGCGGATATATTGTTACACCATGCTATCCTTGGAGGTTGTGGTAAGTGGACTATTCAAACTCCTACCTAAGCGTCATTTTAACGCCTCGCCTGAGGCCTGCGTCTGGACAACCCTAGTCCTCCGAGTGCAACATCCGCCTCCTGTCAGACTGGTAGATTCGAAAGGTCCCGTACGAGCACTGTCGGCCTCCCCTTCCTTACAGTCCACCTCGTCCCGTGGTAGCACTCCCGCGGCAGGCGAGCCTGAATTATTTTCAACACTCTCATTATCGAACAACCCAGTCGTTGCAGGCCCCTCCCATAATCCCATCTTCGGAGTGCCGTCATTCAACTCCAACCAGGCCTCGTCCTCTACCCCTCAATCGTCGCAGAACATGTCTCCTAGGTCCCCTAGCATGGACGTTGACATGGACGACGACAACTGGGACCCCGACGCGATGGACATCGACCCCACTACTCCTCACAGGAAGCGCCGCGCCAACGAGGATGACGCGTCATGGCTCCGGCCACAGCGTTTCTTCGCACCCGAGGAGCCCACCGGACTGGAGAACCTCTTCGCACGCACGATTCGCCTCGCCGATAGCTCGGAGTCGGGTGTGGAGGGGGCGCTGGGCCGCAGACAGTGCGGTAACCAACAGCGGTCGATGATGGCCACATTAGCGCAGGATTGGCGAATATGGGCGGCGTTGTGTTTCGTTCCTCTATCTGCCGTAGTCTTCAATGCCTGGGATGTCCGTAGACGAACCTTCACGCCTATGCCGCTCCCTCTATGACATTACGTTCAATCGCCGATGCACTCTCATTTTGCGGCCTATGTTGTTTGATGAAATTCGTGCAAGGCGTCAAGTCAGTTCGATGTGTATGGGATATCAACGATGAAGGGTGGTATGCTGTCTACCAACTTGTGGTACGAAAGGACCTCTAAAGTAACGGGTATGGATTCAGAGCCAAGAAAGCGGGTACATTTAATGACGAGTCTGTTGTTGGAGGTCAGGCGGTGTTGACATGACACGGAAACTTCAAGGCTTACCTTCTCTGCGCCCATCACCCGCATTGTGCCTTCATAGACCCACAACGCCGACGCATTGACTGGGAAAGCACGCAGAACCGTAGGCCCTAACCCACGAAAGAAGGCCCGGTATCCCCCTTCCGCGAAGATTGTCCTTGCCATTCCCATGAAGGATGGTCTTGGAAAAATTGGAGGCGATGCCATCATCCGGCTGTCGATGCTTCGTCAGTAGAATTAGGTGTACAATCGGCCACCCCCACTTTTTTATATTATCGGCAGGGATAGCCATGAACCAGAAGGCGAAGGACGCGAATCCTCCAGAGAGGAAGGTTGCTGTGGCAGTACTCATCTGGGAGATGTAAGACACGTCAGTCGTGTGGTTACCCTGTGCATAAAAATTAGGCACGTACCGCATACTGAGTACCATCTAGCCTGGCGAATGCTCTCATGAGCAACTGTATGCGTTAGGTGAGAGACTGTTGTAACGACTTATCAAGGCCGTCCTCACCTCTACTGATCCAAACATCCAGAAGAAGTTGCTGCGGAATGCGAGACTCCCAGTGAAACCGGTCCATAGACCGAGCATTCCTTTCGCACGGACAATCTGGCGAATACAGTCGATAGGATTTCTGTACTGGCGATCGGCAGCGGAACGCTGGAGTTGTAGTTGCAACTTCACTGTGAACCTTTCAACGCGAGGCAAAAGAACAGAGGGGGAAACGCACACCTTTGATATGCTCTATTGGCGTGGCTACCAGCGCACTGCAAACGTGAGAGCTCAACCGATGCTCGTGTAGCGATTGAATTTTCGGCTGACCTGGTACATCCTGCGAACAGTCCGGCGATCCCGTGGCCAAGAGGAGTGAGCCGCTGGGCGTCCGACCCAAAGGTGGCCTCGGTTAAGCCCCACCTCAGTAAGAGCAGGCGGTAGTTGTGGAGCGAGCCCAGGAGCACGGAATCAATTGCTGCCCAGCCGACTGCAGGAGGAGTAGCGCCCTTGTACAAGGCGAAAACTGACTGAGATCGCTCGTGTCAGTGCAGGTTTTCACGGTTGTGTGACGGTCACATCACCTCAGTTCTGATTGTTTTTAGGAAGCAGTCGATGGCGTTCTTGTACGTTCCAGGCGGAGAGCACTGCAGTCGCGTTTTGATGGTGTCGAAGCTGGATGTACAGCATAGAGTTCAAGTACTACAGACACGAGCGGTTCAGTATGCAACGTTTCTGGACACGTATCCTGAATGCGGACCTATAAAAGTCACATGCAGTGTGTTGTACTAACCCGTGACCGACAGCTACCTGAGGGAGAGTGAGCAACTGCCATTAGAATGGCATTTATATCTATGGGCCACCTTGGTCAATCCTAAAAAGGCCATTGGCCACTGGTGAGTTAGGATTGAATATAAGTATACGGAGGGAACCACATACCGCTACCCATGCCAGCAAAGGCACCGACGAAACGGACATGGCCAACCTCGGAGTCCGACTCCATGAGGGTTGAATTATTGAACGTTTGAACGCCGATCGACTGGAAAAGTCGCTCGAGGTGGTCTTGAGGTGGTCACCGTCAACTTGCAGCTTGCGTTCTTATGTGCCAGCGCCGTGGCCTCGGAGCGGCGACACGTGAGCAAGTCTCCGAGCGTCTTCATCTCACACTACACGTTTCTTCTTACCATCTCTGCTCGAATGTCGAGTTCAGAATCCTTTCCACGCCGCGTCTCCGAACTGTTTTCTGAACGCGAGCGGTGAAAGGCATCTTGTCCATGAAATCGTTCTCACACCGGTTGCGCGTCTCTTGCGCAAAACCGCACGCCTTCCTCAGCCTTCCTCTCCTGCTTCTCTCTATCACACCGCCAGCAGTACCCCAGTGGCCGCGTTTTATTGGTTTTACGGATTCCTCGTGCTCAATTGGACGACCGCTATGCGTCATGAGCTCAAGTACTTCTGCCGCAGCCACACGGACTAGAATGTTGCAACTTGCCGCCCTTCCTGACCCGCAGGACTCGGACCCCGTGCGCGCAGCCATTCTCGCCGTCTTCACTCACCTCAGGTGCACTAAGCTCGGTATTCCGCGGAACGCCCGCCTATGGTCCTCGAATGGGAGGGGCTTCAGCAGCGGCCCAAAGTGTACAAATACGTGCCAGACTGGGGGGAAAACACTGCCATTGGAAGAGCGGGTGGTACTTGCTGATGAGAAGAGAGAGAGATTCGAGCAACGACACGAGCGAGGAGTTCGGGGCGGTGAACATCTTCGCGCCGCATATCCTGGTCCATCTCATCTAAAGAGGCAAAGCGGAGGGATAACAGATAGCTTCCTAGTTGCGTGGTGGGAACCTTGTGGCAAGCCGGCAGTGAGGGGAAACGATGGCCGAGGGGCGCTCTGGTCACTGTAGCGCCCCACGTGTTCGGTCTTGGTCTGCGGGAGGGAAAAGCGGAGCGCCCGTCCGGGAAGGTCGGGCCCGATGCTGGGCAGAACGCGAGTGTGAGTCGCGATCCCGGACGGTCCGCTTGAGCGCGAGGCCGGAGTGCGACGCGTTCTGCGCCACTCTCACAACCAAAGCGCTGGGAGTGGTGGGTGGGTGCGCTTTGAGCTGCGTGGGTGCGATGCGGGAGGAGACGAGAGGCGATAGCCTTTAGCGCGCTAGCGCGCGTCTCCCTCATCCGGCAACCACCGGCAACCCACGCCTAGAAAGCACCCGTTCGGCCGAGGCGCTCGTTCCTCGCGCCTCGTTCGAACCTCACGCATACCTACCGATTACAGTATTTCAAGCAAATTTGTAGTTAGCTCCGTTTACCTTTCAACATAAAATGGAGCCAAGTCCCCGACCCGATCGGAGGTGCCGGTGAATCGTCTTCGTCAGAAAGTTGGCCTGGGAGAGCAATTGGTGAGACTGCCCTTTCGTCGAAGTCAGCTGCATCCCGCGTCCCACTCCCTACACTGCCGTCCTCAGTCGCCGTCGTCTCACCTTGCCCGCCCAAAACAAGTCTGGTTCTAGGCAGCACTTTGCTTCTCATGTTCTCCTAGTCTCTGTTCTCATGCATGAAGAACGACCTGAAGCCGAGGGCGAAGGAGAACGCGAGCGGCCGGAAACATTGGACCATGCCCATGACGACTCAGAGCCTGGCACCAAACGAGAGCAGGAAGAAACCATCCTGTCCGAGACGGAGACTCAGCCGGACAACAAACAATGCCGCATATGCCTCGAGGGTGCGGACCCAGACTTGGGGAGGCTGATTCGTCCATGTCTCTGCAAGGGGTCAATTAGCGTACGTCCCCACTTCGAGCTTGTAATGTCAACGCGCGGCCAAGGTTCCTTCTCAACTTGCAGCATGTCCATGTCAAATGCCTTCAGCGATGGAGAAACACATCGTCTTCCAGATCTGCTTTCTATGCCTGCCCTCAGTGCGGGTACCACTACCATTTCGCCCGTACCCGCGTGCTGGGCATCGCGACCAACCCAGGTTTGTTGCTAGACCTTCTTGCTGCCTACGGCTTATTGACCAATTGGCGCAGTTGTGATTGCAGTGGTATCCTCGCTGATATTCACTACCATCGTCCTCATCAGCTCCTTCATCACAACATTCTTTACTGCCGGGGAGGACGAGGACGGAACATTCTCCTATACCAACTGGTATCCCCTCGAGATTTTCCGAAGTCTCGTGAGGATGACGATCGGCATCCTGGTCGACGACAACATGATTGACGACTCCACGGGGCGCCACCGACGCAGGACGGCGTTCCCTCCTCAGCCTCAGAAACCGCCGGGTTTACTCCTCAGTCTCTTCCGGCGATTCCTGCTCGGCCTCCCTGTCGTCGGTGCAGGTTCCATCGCTCACATGCTCATTTCCATACCCTTCCCCTTCCACTGGTTGCGCCTGCGCACCCGTCGTGCTCGTGTCGGACGCGAGTCGAAGGATTTAATGGCCCTCATCATCCTCGCAGTGGTCTTGGCGGGGGCCGCCAGGCAGGTTCCGCTGTTCTTCATATGAAGCTGGCAAACTGACGTTGATCCAGAGCCCTTTGGAAGGTGTACCAGCTCACGGCGAAGATGACGAAGCGAGTTCTGTTGCGCGCGGAGGACGCGATTCTCGAAGTACGCTGATGGTAAATGGTTGCGGACTCGTCTGGAATGGTACGGTATACACCCGGGGGGACCATCCGTACTTGTCATTGATTGTGGCTCGCCATGGAGGACGGTATTCAATATTCCTATGTATGCTAATAGTTTTGATAATGTGTTTGTTTGGAAGATGATACGTGACATGTTGCGTAGAGGCCGTAGGTCCGAGTCGGACTGGCTGCCTTTGGGCGGTCAAGCGCCCAGGTGGCTGGCAAGCAGGTAGAGCCCTGTAGAGCCTTGCCCCTTCCTCCAACCGTCCACACATGGGCCCCTGTCGTGGCCCGTGCACGTCAGCCCCCCCTCCACGCCCTCTTGCCAGCCCTCGAGTACGACATAAAGGCGCAACCTCTGCACCGTTTTCTTGACGGAACCTGCTCCCGTGACGCCACTCAGCTTCCCTCTCTCTCAGCCATGGTTCAACACCACATCCTTCAAGGGGCCATCGAAGGGGCCATCAGACATCCAACCTTCACAGCTTCACTTCCCCACCTCTCGGACGACGCGTGGATGAAGATCTTGGCCGGACCCCAAGCTCGCGCGGAAAATGAACGGCTCGAGTTCGTTGGCGATGCCCTCATGTATGCCACACTCGGGCGTCAGATCTATGCGCAGGTGCCGAATGGAACACCCCACTTGTATACGGTGCGTGACATGTGGACCGTCCTATTCCCGTCCGTTGAACCGTTTGCTGTGGACGCATAGTGTTGCCGGGCGGCTTTGCATTCCAACGCCACCTTCTCTCTCTTGTCAGAGAAACTGGACATCATGGCCGTCAGCAGTGCAGTCCTCGAGGCACTAACGGTCCGACCTTTGGTGAAGCCCACCTGGCCCCGAGCAAGAATCGGAACCAGGTGAAAGCCACAGCGGATTTGTTTGAGACGGTCATAGGCGCGTACTACCTTCATCATGGGTTCGAGGCGCTGGATGCCTGGGTTGAGGAGATCTACACCCCTCTCATCAAAGTGGTGGTAGATACCTTCTTCGTGCAGTAAGCCATCACTTCCCCTCCTCATCACTGTTGATCACGGCGCCCCCATGTCGCAGTCAGTACGGCCCTCACCAAAGCTTTGGGAAGGGACCTGGGCCGAAGAAAAGCCATGTCGAACCTCTGAACTTTCGCCCCGGGTTGCTCTCCACCGGACCGCCCATCCACCGTCCTTCAAAACCTGCTCCTGTAGGCTCTCCCCGCGGTGCCGCCACAGCACGCGCGCAGAAGAAGCATGGCGCCGTGGTCAAACAACGACGCTCCACAAGCGAGAAGATCACAACACGGGCGTCCCGCAGTCCGAATCTCAAAGCCAGCGTGCTCGGGCTGACCTCCATCAATGGTACGTTGTCTATACCACTCTGAGCGACGGTCGTGTGCAGTCGCTTACTCGGGGCGCCGAGCAGTTAAGCCAAGACTCGGACTCTCGCCGAGCAAACCGTCGACGTCTGGAGTAAAGCGGGGCCCCCGAGTGGCCAAGCCGAAGCCTATTTATATCGACCTTACGCTCGACTCGGATTCGGAGGAGAACCCCCATCCGCCTGAACGTCAGCCTCTCTACCAACATCCTCTTGTCACTCCACGCATCCTGCGCTCGATCGCCACGGGCGTCGCCAGGCAACCGACACCTGTCTTCGTTCGCGCTCGCTTTACCGCTCAGTGGTCGTCACCCCCGCTGGCGCCACCGGCTCTCTCTCCCTCTGTGGATGGCGATTCAGAGTCGGAAGACGAGCTGCTCTTGGAGAACATGTTGACCGCAGGCGCTCCGTCTTCCGATATGGATATCGGCTCGGAGGCGAGTCCTACCCTTCCCACCCTCAACCTACTTCCGTTCCTCGTTCCCGGCACCCCCGGACACGCCCTCGAGATCCCTTAGCCTTAACCAACCAGGACGACCACATGCTCAGCGGCCTGTTTCGATCTACGTAGTTTTGTTCATGCCTGTAAATGTGCCACATGCCTCCGCCCCCTTTGCGTAGTCTCATGGTATTTGTATAATCTATTTCCTTGGCTCGCTAGATTCTTCTATTGTCGATCACACCCATCCCATACCGAGCTGGCTGGGCAGCGGCAATGTTTGATCACAGTAGTGGTCCGCGTGCCCCTCGTATGTACTGTGCATACGATGTAAGGCCGAGCACTCGCGGCAGATCTAGACTTGTAGACGCGTTACGGTTGCTTGACGCGCGCACGTGCGGGTGTGACACACGCGTCAGCCTGCAGCGCACGCCGAACCGCATTCGTGAGGTCGCATCAAGCACCCAAGACTGCGAACCCGCCCAACAGTCACCTCTCTTTCTCCATCTGCACCCTTTGTTTCCCCACGCGCAGATATACCATGGCCCCAACTAGGCAGAAGCAAAAGCCGACGCCCACTCGGCAGGCCATCACGCTCAAAGGTTCGACTGCCTTGGTGACCGAGTTTTTCAAGTTCGCGGCGAACACGTACGCCCAGCCGGTCGTGCATGTGTGGCGCGGCCTGGATTGATGAGATCTTAGTATCCTGTTCCAGCGCGGGGTCTATCCCGCGGACGACTTTCATATGGTCAAGAAATACGGCCAGACGGTGCTCGTAACGCAAGACCTCGCACTAGAGAACTATCTTGAGAAGTGCGTGTTGGGGTCCTTTGACGACGGCGCAACTAACGGTGGCAAACCACCTCTCTAGGATTCTTAAGCAAGTGAACGGTAAGTCGCGCGCGAGAGTGGCAACGCCGCCGACAACTGAGGCGAGATGATCCGGACAGAATGGCTTCTCACCGGGGCAATTACGCAGCTGGTGCTTGCGATCATATCCAAGGACTCACGCACACCGCTCGAGCGTTGGGTGTTCGACATCAATCTGGTCGAGCTACCGGCGGAAGGCACGGAGGGGTCAGTAGACTGATTTGGCGTTTGGCTGGAGCCGTCTAGAACGGGAGCCCTGATGGGACACACACACAGCGGCGCGGTGACCTCGAAGCCAGAGAGCGAAATCCAGGCAGAGATCCGCAACATCCTGAAACAGATTGTGTCGACGGTGACGTTCTTGCCGGTGATCGACGAGCCGACGGTGTTCAATATCCTGGCGTACACGAAAGAGTCGGCGGACGTGCCTGCGGACGAGTGGGTGGATACGGACCCGCTCGCAATCGAGGCGTCCAAGAGCCAGCAGGTGAAGCTCCGAAGCTTCAGCACAGACGTGCATCGGATCGAGGCCATGGTCGCGTATCGATATGAGGGGTAGAGACAGCGGGCGGCGGGCGGCAGGGGACGCGGGCCCAAGAGAGCGGGATGTTGGTGTACGATGCTGTGGGAAATGGGACACGATTGGTTTCCGACGGCAGAGCCGGGCAGAGGGATGATTGATGTGTGCCGTCCGTCTGACATCGTCAGATGGGCCACCTTCGGAGGCAATGCTGCTCGGTGAGAGTGCGCGCGTACGATTCGGAATGGGGCCTGTTGAGGGCATGCATCCGGGGCAGCAGCCAGCTCAATCGCACGGTAGAGAGTGGCTGGCGGCGGCTGCGAGCAGCCAGAAATAGCGGGCGCACTGTAGCGTCGCCGGTGGCCGCACGCGGGGCCGGGGGTGTGGGTCGCGGGGTGGCCGGGGATGGCTAGGCACAGCCGGTGTGGGCCGGGACGCGATTGCGCGCGAGCGCCCATCGCCATGCCACCAGCCGCGCGAACGCTCATATCCCCGTTCCTTTTCTTCCCCTCTGTGCTTCTCTCCCGTCCCCCGACCCTCCCTCTTCTCCTGTTCCAGAGTCCTCTCCTTTGTCTGGCCGGCCGGACGACGCTCCTTTGGTTTTCATACACCGGATCACTTTCTCCTCCCTCAACATGGGCGACTCTTGGCTTCATCGCGAGATCCTCACCGGTCGCCGCCTCGCCTTCAACGTCATTTTCTACGGCCTGCAACTGTTCTTCTTTGCCTATGGCTGGTACAGTCAAGTATGTGTCTCTCCTCCTCCTCCCCTCCCCCCCTTCTCATACGCCGTGCCGTGCTGTCCAGGAAACCAACAAGAAGCTGTCCGCGCTCAACGGCCTCACTTGGTCCGTCTGGGTCTCGCGTGGCGCTGGTCTTGTCCTCGCCTTCAATGGAGGCCTCATCCTCGTCCCCATGCTTCGCAACTTGATCCGTGTCGTTCGCCCCAAGCTCACCTGGCTCTTCCCTGCGGATGAAAACATCTGGTTCCACCGTCAAGTCGCCTATTCTATGGTGTTCTGGTCCATGGTTCACACCACTGCTCACTACGTCAACTTCTTCAAGGTCGAACTTACCCGTACGTGTGCTTACTTTCTTCGCCCTGCCTTTGCCTAAATCGATGTCCGCAGAGGTCCGCCCGGAGATCGCCCTCGACATCCACTACACTCAGCCAGGAGGCATCACTGGCCACTTTATGCTTTTGATCATGCTTTTGATCTACACGACGGCGCACCACAAGGTCCGCCACCAGTGCTTCGAGGCATTCTGGTACACGCACCACCTTGCGTTCTTCTTCATGCTCGGTCTCTACACCCATGCCACCGGATGCTTCGTTCGCGACTCCCCGGGACCCGACTACATCTCTAGCTTCCCCTTCTACAGCACGGAACACTGCTTGGGATACTTGAGCTGGCGGTTCACCATCTGGCCTGGCATTATCTACTTTGGAGAGAGGATGTGGCGCGAGATTCGTGCAAGGCGTGCCACCCGTCTGTCAAAGGTCCTTGTCCACCCCAGCGGTGCGTTCGTTTGTTCCCTACGGCTATTCTCATCCATCTCATATGTGCTGTCGTTCCTGATAGGTGCTATGGAGCTGCGCATCATCAAGCCTAGCTTCAAGTACGTTGCCGGCCAGTGGTTGTTCATCCAGGTTCCGGATATCTCTGGCTTCCAGTGGCATCCGGTAATTATTCCGTTCGTGGACTAGCCTGAATAATGCTGATGCCATTGGTTTACAGTTCACAATTACCTCTGCGCCGGAGGACCCGTACGTTTCCGTTCACATCCGTCAGGTCGGTGACTGGACCTATGCATTGGGAGAGCGTGTCGGTGCTGGCCCTCAAGTTGTTGCCTCGATGACCAAGGCAGCGATGAAGGGAAGCGAGAAGAACGATGGCGTCTACGGTGTTCGTGGTGATTTCGTCGAGATCGACGCGACTGGTCGTAACCTCCCGGCCGTGCGCATCGACGGTCCCTATGGAGCGCCTGCTGAGGATGTCTTCAACGCCGAGGTTGCTATTCTCGTCGGTGCTGGTATCGGTGAGTAACTTGTTATGCATTTTCTGGATAATTATCGATCCGGCTGGTTGGAATAGGTGTTACTCCATTCGCGTCAATCCTCAAGCATATCTGGTACCGCCAGAAGAAGGGCACCCTCGGCTCTCTCAAGCGCGTCGAATTCTTCTGGGTTTGCCGTGACGCTCCCTCGTTCGGATGGTTCCAGACGCTTCTCCAAGAAGTCGAGGCCGCTCAGGCCGACCGTGAGTGTTGGCAGTGGTTGTTCAGTGACGTTTGATTGACATTCTGGACCGGTTCTAGCCAACTTCCTCCGTATCAATATCTACCTCACCCAAAAGATATCGGAGGACATGCTCTGGAACATCGCTGTGAACGACGCTGGCGCGGAATACGACCCTCTCACTCTCCTCCGCACCCGCACCATGTTCGGTCGCCCCGACTGGAAGTCGATCTACAGCCGCATGAACCAGGCGATTCAAGCGGGCCAGTACATCCCCGGCACCAAATCCCAGCTCAAGAGTCGTGTCGCTGTGAGTAGCGGAGTGTCTAACCTACCGGAGCGAACATGGCTGATGGCTGCGTGCAGACGTACTTCTGCGGTCCTGGCGTTCTTGCCAAGGCGATCAAGGAGGCCTGTGTGGAGAACAACAACTCCGCCGTCGAGTTCTCTTTCGCGAAGGTGAGCGGCACACGCGGCAGCGGATCAATTGTCCAGGCTGACCTTGTGCTTCTTCAGGAACATTTCTAAATACCATGTTGGCCGAGCATGCGTGGCCGAGGCGGCTGGCGGCGGATGGCGTGTGTATGATCTGCGGAGGAGTGTAGTTGTCGAGATGTGTTACCCTGCTTTTTCTTGCAATATTTACGATTCTTGGGAGTGGATACCGTTTGACTGGCGTCTATTGTGTGTGATCAAATCAGCGCCAAATAACGCGTAAATATTGCTTTGCACCTGCTCGTCTTGCTGCTCACGTGCTTCATACTGTCTGTCTTATGCCTTCACTGTGTTTCGCTTATGTCCACCCCGTCAACAACTGCCGCTGTTTCAAAGATGGAGGAAGCACGCAGAGTTCTACAGGAAGTCTTCAAGTTTGATTCCTTCCGCCTGGAGCAAGAAGCGGTACGTACTACGCGTCTGACTTTTCAACGCGTCGCTGTCCCCTGAAACGCTTCAATACCGCGACGCAGGTCATTCGACGCCTCCTGGTGGACAGTGACAATGCCCTTGTTTTGTTCCCTACTGGCGGTACGCGTCTATACGAAATCAGCAGCACCAAGTGATGATACTGGCATGCAGGAGGGAAAAGCCTTACATACCAGATCCCTGGGTTATGTTTGGAGGTAAGGGCTTGTTATCCTGCGAACTCGCAAGCATCTTGAATATGCCGTGGAACAGGGATTAACATTGGTCATCTCCCCTCTCATCGCCCTGATGAGAGACCAAGTGGATGCGCTTGTTGCGAAGGGCGTCAAGGCCGCGAGCATCGACAGCACGCAAGACGCGGGGAGAATCGCGTGGGTTAAGGAGGAAGTTACTTCGGGGGCTATGAAGATATTGTATGTCGCGCCGGAACGGTGAGCACGCACTTATTCCTCCTCTTCGTCGCGGAGACATGACGGTCTTCCCTGCGGCAGACTCAACAACGAAGGCTTCATTTCACTCATGAAACGCGTCAAGATATCTCTTCTCGCGGTGGACGAGTCCCATTGCATCTCACAGGTATGTTTCCCGCTCATATCCGTGTTTTGTGCCAAGCCAAACGTTGCAGTGGGGAGCGAGCTTTCGGCCCGAATACCTCAAGATCGCACGTTTCGCGGATGAAATGGACGTTGAGCGCGTTTTGTGCCTCACAGCAACTGCTACCGAGTCAGTATCCAGGGATATCTGTGACAGCTTCTATATCCACCGCACCGAAGGGGTATTCCGCATTCCTGTGTACCGGCCCAAGTAAGTCAATGGATGGTGATCACTACCACGGCGCTGATTCCATGCTATTTCAGCCTGTCTCTGAATGCCGAAGTGTTCTCAAACACAGAACAGAGGATTAAACGCCTGGTCACCATCCTCAAGGCGCGAACGGGCCCGGCTATCGTCTATGTGACGCTGCAAAGGCACGCAGAGGAAGTCATGAACAGCCTGCGTTCTCATGGCGAAGACGCGATGATGTATCATGCAGGAATGCCCGCCGAGGAACGCGAGCGTGTACAGCTGGCTTTCATGGATTCGGACAGGTCGGTTGTGGTTGCAACCATCGCATTTGGTATGGGTATTGACAAAGGTAAGTGCATGATGCCCTTGCTTGTATCTGCTGTCCTGAATTCAACGTTTCCCAGCGAACATTCGACAGGTAAGAATTTCATCGGTTGGAAGATGGCTGGCATTGATGACCCTTCAGGTAATACACTTCCACATGCCGAAGGCATTGGAGAACTATAGCCAAGAAGTCGGCAGAGCTGGTCGTGATGGCCTTCGTTCAGATTGCTACATGTTCCTCTGCGCATCCGACCTTCCTGTCCTTGAGGGTTTTGCTAGAGGTGATACATGCGCCAAACGCGACATCGAACTCTGGATCCAAGAAGTCGCGACGAAAGAGCCTGGGTCGGATGGGACACTGGACTTCAATCTTTACAAGCAGGCAAAGGAGTACGTCCAGCCGAAGTCCGTGGTGGACCATCGCTGATTGTGCATCCGCGTGCAGCTACGACATCCGAGTGCGTTGTACGCCGCGAATCATCTTTCCTCCGGCTGATTCTATCACCCAGCAAAATGTCTTAGGACTTTGTTATGCGCAGCTCGAATTAGACCACGGCTACATTCGAGCAACCACACCTTTCTTCGAGATTTACGACATCTCGTCCCGGACTCCCGCAGGTTGGCAAGCTGTTCTGGGCGATATATCCCCAGCCGCAGTCGTGATCCGCACCCATTGGACTTTGAAGGCCGGAAAATACCAAGTTCGTTAGCGACGTCATTGTGCTACTTCCGGCTCACAATTGTTTTCAGATCAATCTTGTCCACGCCGCTCAATATTCCCGCATGGAACGCACAGTCCTCGCTAGAGCGGTCAATGGTTGGGAGAACGACGGCCAGTAGCATCCTCCCTCAGAAAAATCCAAAAACGCTTACAATCTTGCATCCTGCAGGTCATATATGGTCCAAGCCATCTCAGCTAAGAAACGTAGGTCTCGGTCTGCTCGCTGGTATAGACAATGTCACTGATCCGCACTTAAGAGGTATATGGTCCTCAATGCTATGCCTAAGTCAAGTAAGGACATCAAATCTCTTGCTACTACAATGTATCAACGCATGGTTGGCCGAGAAGAAGAAGCCGTTGAGAAGATTCGCAAGGTTATAGGGTATGCTACTGCGGACGACTGTGAGTTTGGCGTGCGGCTCTTCGCTCTTCTAGCTAATTGCCTTCGTCGTAGGTATGGCCCAAGGGCTGGCAACTTACTTCGGAGATGACGATGCCGTCCCCGATGGCATGTGCGGCCACTGCACGTTCTGTACAACAGGGGCCGGCGTGGAGTATGAACCTATCGCTCAGTCAGTTCCCTCCCCGCATGCTATCAGGGCTATCCTCGACGCCTGCCCGGAGCGCGACGACCCTCGCCTTCTCGCTCGTATGGCGTTTGGGATCACATCTCCTCGGCTCACAATCGGAAAGTGGTCGACATCCCATCCTCTCTTCGGCAGCATGGTAAACACGGACTTCAATGCGCTGGTAGCAGCATTCGACGCTGAATGCAAGAAAGCAGGCTACGCAAAAGCTGAACCTGCGCTCGTGGCGCGCACTACAACGAAACGCACGTATTCTCAGACTTCCTCGTCCTCATATCGCGGAGGGAGTGGTGGTAGCTACAAGCGAGGGCGTAGAGGAAGGTGGTAGGGGTGAGAATCGGCGCTTTGTAGAGCTTGGGCTGTTGCTGTACCAGATACCTCCGAAGTACTATAGTGTATACCAAATACTCGCAGGATGTATATTCCAATATATGTACTCTTCAGCTAGCCGTCCATACGCATCCGTTGAGCGCGATCGAGCGACGCGCCAAAGCGCACACAGGTGATGACCACGCACGGGCCGCCACAGGACGCGCAGGCGGACGCGTCGAGGTGGCTGAGGATACCTCTGCCATCTTGAACCGCTACTCTCACACCCATCCGGCCTTGCTCTCGTGCTTCATTTATGACACTTTGACCGCCAATACCTCTGCGGATTGTTGTACAATAACCAAGCATGTCTGCTACACCTGCGGCTTCCTCCCCTGATGGGGCTTCGCCTCCTGCCAGTAATCCTCCTGGAGGCGCGGACAGTTCAAGCAGCATCTCAGATCTCGACCGGATGGTTCTGGACTATCTGCGCTCTCGTGGTCACAAGGAACCGGAGAAGATCATCGAAGACCTCGAGCGCGACGACATGTCTGTAGACGAGAAGGGCAAACAACCGGAAACCTTGTCGACGCACACCATCTCCCAAGAGGAACTCGTCAAACAGCTTGCCATTTTTGCGGAGAAGCCGACGGACGCGGACGGCAATGCCCTCAAAGATAGCTCGACCGCTCTGAACGAGCTCTCCAAGATCGGCCAGCCCCAGAACATCCAAAATCTCATCTCGAGCATTGGGCCTGTTGGCGCGGAGGAGATGTTGCTGTTGGATCCTACAGATAAACACGAAGGCTTCCGCGAGCTTGAAGCTTGGGTGGACGGCTCTCTTGACATGTACCGAGTGGGTCTTCCGTCCTTTATTTCACTGCATTGTGCGCGGACCTAAAGCTTCATGTATAGCCTGAGTTCAGACCCATTTTGTTCCCCATATTCTGCCACTTCTATTTGGACTTGGTGCAGCAAGGATTCCGTGAAGCAGGCGCGTACATGTGCGGGTACGAGCTATTCAAAGCTGACGTTTTGCACCCTCACAGCCCAGAGTTTCTACTCTACCTTCTCGGCATCCCTCTCTTCTGTCCACCATACCACCCTCCACCACCTCTCAACCATAACTCTTCCATACCATGTCCAGACGGATGAGATTGCGCAGCGTTTCCGAATGGAAAAATACACTGTCCGTATGAGCCGCTCGGGGTTCAGTCTCTTGATCGGTTGGTTGACGGAAGGTTTTGGCGGCGAGCCGACCGGGGCTGGAGATGGATTCTCTGGAGAGAAGGGAAAACGCGGTCGTGCGGCTGTCATGAGAGTTGTGAATAACCACCTGCGTTTTGATGGTGAGTGTATTTCCCGTGTCCATTTCTTTATTCTAAGTCAACTCCTTCAGTGACCACCTCCTCCACGACCGCGGTTTCCCAGCGAGGATGGGAAGAGTCTACCGGGTTCGTGTCCGCAGTCGTGCCTCAAACAAACGGAAGTACCACGGATGCTTCGGCGTACAACTCTGCCAAGGGCGAGCTCAAGCTCGGTCCTGCCCCCATCTCCGAAGAACTTCGAACGGAAACGGAACGCACCTTGAGAGAGCAAGCCATCGTTGATCAGGACCCTGGGGCCCAGTATGATCTCCACTTCGCGCGTCCGACACCTCCCGCTGGCCTGATTTCCCCTGCTCTGTCTGACCTTCCTCCCCATCCCCCATCATTCAAAACCGTTGACGTCAAGCGCGAAGTTGAGAAAGTCCGCGATGCGCGAAAACGTATACGGCTTGACCCCTCGGTGCTCACGTCCACCACCGCGAACTCCCAGCAAGGTGCTGCCGTACGTGCACGCGCTTTGCCGAGTATATGCGCATATACATTCCATGACGTGGGCGAAGGGTGAGTCATCTCTACTAAATTGATTTTCGACGTAGCTGAACTAAATGCCAGCGTCCCATGTTGCGAGTTCTCTGCCGATGCCTCTCTCTTGGCTGCCGGCTTCTCCGAGAGCTATATTCGATTATGGAGCTTGAAGGGCGAGAAATTGAAGGGGATGCGCAGCGACTTCCAGATGAACGCAATACGAGACGGTGCGCATTACGCTTTGTTGTCAGAACACATTCTTGATTTTATTTCTAGCCTCGTCCCTGAACAAAATTCGAGAGAGGGGTGGCACTACGACCAGGAAGTTGATAGGCCACAGTGGACCAGTCTACTCGGTAGCATTTGATCCAATCGGCGGATCAGCAGCGTCCCCCAAGTACCTCTTGTCTTCATCTGCAGACGCGACCGCGCGATTGTGGTCTCTAGAAACCATGACAAACATCGTGGCTTACCGTGGACATCAAAACCCAGTTTGGGATGTCAAGTGGAGCCCAATGGGCATCTATTTTGCAACTGCGTCTCGAGATCGTACGGCGCGCTTATGGTCAACGGATCGAACGTCAGCACTTCGGATATATGCTGGACATCTGAGTGATGTCAATGTAAGTTAATGAGCCACTCACGCTGGCCATATACTGACGCTGCTTTTGTAGGCCGTCGACTTCCACCCAAATTCGTTGTATCTGGGTACAGCTTCCAGCGATTGTACCGCTAGGCTGTGGGATGTCCAGCGCGGCGCATGTGTCCGTGTCTTCTACAGACACGACGACATCGTCTCCACTCTAGCTTTTAGCCCTGACGGTCGCTATCTGGCCACCGCGGGTTTGTGTATATTTTCATGTTCATGCGGGCTATTGAACTGACATGGATTGGTTTCTCAGGCGAAGAGCCTTCTATCCGGCTTTGGGACCTCGGGTCTGGTCGATGTATCAAGAAGATGACCGGTCATACAGCGTCGATATATTCTTTGGCATTCAGTGCAGAGTCCAATCTGCTCGTCAGTGGGGCGGCTGACTGGACAGTGCGTTGTTGGGATATCAAGGCCTCTGGTGGCCTGGCCACGAAGACGCGCGAGAACGGTGCGACGGTCAACGGCGCGTCGGACGAGACTCCACATGAAAAGGATGAGACAGAGAGCAACGCGACGTAAGTGCGACGACAATGAACAAGTATACACGTTAACATGTCTTACAGGACGGACTTGATTGCTACCTTCCCCACTAAACGGACACCAATCATTAATGTTCAATTTACCCCGCGTAATCTCTGTCTTGTCGCCGGCCCGTATTTGTCTCCTGAGCTCCGATGAATAACATTCTGTCAAGAATGTATCTATCCCGCAACGTGCGTCCAGCCCCGCTCTCTCGCATTTTCCCGTGCAGATTGCGATGACACCCACAATCCGATCCACCTCGGCCGACAGTATCATAATGCAATTGCGAGAGTCGGCCACACATTGCTGTCATTACTGGGCTGACCATAGTCGTGATCGATTAGATATGAGATTTGCGAATTGCTCGGGCGATCCTCTTGAGAATGTCAAGACGAGACCTCATCAATTGTGTCCAGTGAAGTCACTGGTTCAGAGACTGCACACCTATCCGCTACATACCAAGCAGTACGATACTTTCTTACCACATGGATGGCAGTGACATAGGGATTCCGCTGTGTTGAAGGCCACGCAAATGGCGATATCCCCCTTCACACAAAAGTGGCTGAACGCGTCGCGCGTGTACGCGGTAATGACGATCACGTGTGGCATAGGCGCCCGTACGTAGGGCTTGGGTTCGCCTCGCAGACCGTTCCTGCCTCCACTCCAGTCAGCCGTCCCTCCCAGCTACGCCCTCCCTCGCGTCTACCAATGGACCTCGTGAGTTTCATCCTCCTTCTTCTCTCGTTGGCCGTATCTCAGAGCTACCCTGTTCAGCGCGCCGAAGATCACGCTATGGAGGATGTTGACATCCATATGGACTCCGGTGGCTTCCCTCAACCTCCTCCCCAACCTGCGCACCAAGCCCACAACATCCAATACCCTGTCATTCCATCTAATGGTGGTGAGTGCTGGCCTGCGTTGTATACGCGATTGCCCATGTCTTTCCTGGGCTGTGCCAGTTCTGACCGAAATGGACCGCCTTTACGCCCAAATGCGCGCAGCCGTCGCCAACACGCCCCAGCAAGCTCCGCCATTCCGTGACATTTCCGTGAAGGTTCACATCCGACGGCCCGAGAAAGATACTTGGGCGTACATGGGTCGAGGAATCGTCACTCAGGAGATTTCGGGCCAGTCGTCGCGAGTTGGTGGGTTCCAGAACTTTACTTCTTACAATCACGCGTTCGTTGACATTGAACCATGCTCAGTTGTGCGCTCCGCATCTTCGCACAAGATATTCACCGTCTTCGGAGAGGTTCGTTGATAATGTTCTGCTCGTGTGCTCTGTTCACATGTCCATCTATGACAGGGAGCCGCTCTCCAAGCTGAACGACGCGGTAACTTCGTGGTCATAGGTTGTGTTGATGGAGGTCGAGTGGTATCCTGGTCTTTGAATGTGAGCACGTTGGCCCTTCTGCCATGGCTGCGGTACTGACGTTTCCTTTGTATTGTGTGCGTTCGTGGTGGCGTCTTCCCTCCGATGATCCCTTCCTTGCCCATCCCGTGTCACGGTTTATTTACTCTGGTCCCGCCACTTACCCTCCTCAGGCCCTCAACAACTCGGAGACAGTGCGCCTCCTGGCCAGCATCGAGCTCGCCTGCTACGCGTGCAAGCAGGCCATTTCGGACCCCGGCAGCCACGGAGCGTTCCGCCGCCGCGTCGCGCGCGTCATCAAGGACGACCGCCGCCGCCGACACAAGCGACGCAAGGATCAGGACTCGATGATCGACGCCTTCGCCCGCGCGGGCATCGAGGAGGGCATCGAGCAAGACTCCCCAACGGAGAGCACCCAGCCCCGGGTGGACCCTTCGCCACCTACGGAACCCATTCCTATCCCCGCCCCCGCGCCGATGGCAATGCCCGTCCCGGAGCCAGCGCAACCCCCCAATGCGCCCGGACCTATTTTCACCGGGTTCGGGATCCCTGAGGCTCAGTGATTCTACGCCCGCTAGTGTCATCGCTATGTATCGCTTTCCTAGAGTCCATGACGGAGGGTGAGAGAGGGGGAGGGAGGGGTGCGCGCGCGCGTTATTGCTAATGTATTCTATCGTTGTTCGCTCGTCCGTCGTCCTCCGGCCGCTCGTCGCCGTCCGCCCGCCCGCTGGGCCTCCGCATCTGCTGTCTGTCATATGTCGTCATACCGTTCGTGTATCACCGCCTTGTTTACGCACTATCCTATCGCACGCCCCCAGATTCGTCCAATACACCGCGCTCCGCGACCTGTTCTTGCAGTGCGCACCGCCTTAGATATTATTTGACAGGCGAGCCGGACCCGGCGAACGCGCGGGCACGAACCGGTCATGCGAACGAGCTGCCAGACTCGGCGATGACGCACAGGCACACAAGCGACGGTCTGGTGGATGTGTCCTCTACTACATGCGCCCGTAGACTGGGCTCATTATATACTACCCTACATATGACACTGGTATCCTGGCAGAAGGGTACGTCGAGAAAAGAGCGAGCAAAAGAGGGAGCCTGGTGTGGAATACTTAATCGAGATAATGACAGCGGGGCCGGCTAACGCGAACACAAGCGCGCAGCGCGGTGAAAGAACTATAGGTCTCTGTAGATACGAGAACGGCTCACAGAAATGGCGGGGGTGGAGAGGGTGAGAGGGTGAGGGATAGAGCGCGCGTTCAAAGGTAACGGATGGATAGCAGTGTCTGGAGAGAGTGGAAGGTAAAGCAAGAAAGCAGCCAGCTCCGGTAGCACGGCGACGGACACGTCCGCAATCACCTCACAACGAGGGACACGACAGAGACGACGTGCGTGGGGAGGCCACGAAGGCGCATGGTGGGCTCAAGAAACGCGTCCATGGCGGAGAGGGAGACGGGGAGCAACACCCATGGGGCCGGCCCTATGACTGGCGCCACCCTTTACGATCGGCGTCGCTGGGTGGGAAGGTATGTTGTGTGGAGCTGGTGTTCTCTTGATGCGTGCCGGAACCCGATGCTGAAGGGGTGCGTCGCTCAGTGTATTGAGGGGGCAGCTCGATGACCTCGTCTTCTGCCGGTGGCGGGATGTCGTCCTCGATGTCGGTGTGGAGAATGAACCGCGCGGGCGGTTGATAAGTGGACACGCCGGCTTGCTGCGCCTTCCGGCGCGCTGCGCTCGACGTCAAGCTCTGGTCCCACGAGGTGACGGTGCCTTCTGGGCGTTGCCCACCGTTGTAGTCGGCGGTGTATTGCGAACCACGCTGCGATGCACTGTGCGCGGAGGCGGCAGTACCGTATGCTGTGGCGGCGCCTTCGTTCGCAGACCCGTAGGCAGAGGGCGTCAGCGGAGGTGCGATGTTCATAGAGGCGTAGCGTAAGGCGAGAAGACGTCGTGGGCGTCCCCGTGCATGAGATTGGCCGTGGAACCTGGCGTCCTGCCATCTCCAGAGGAACCGTTGGTCTGTGTCTGGTAGAGAGGATATGGGTTGAGGGCGGAGGCGGGAGGTAGATTGGAGTCGACGTGGATGAGGTCGACTTCCTGCTTGCGGAAACGGCCTCCAAACAGACCCCTGTTGCCCTTTCGGCGACGGAGGTAGAACCAGAAGAGGGAGCCGATGACACCCAAGGATACCAGGACGCCGACAATCACGGCAGCAATTGTCCCTGCATCCGAGCTGGTGCTGTCTTGGTTCGTAGGGTTGCCGTTCGAATCCGAGCCTGTCGAAGACGTGGCAGTGGATTTAGGGGCATCGATAACGGAAGCAGGCGAGTTCTTGTCGAGACATGTCTTGTCGTCAGACAGGCCGACTGTCGCGAACTCCGTGGTCCCGCCTTGACGTCCCCGGGAGTCGACAGCAAAGAAGGCCAGCGAAGTCCCCGATGCAATGTCGGCTATCCAATCGAACGTTGTGGAGCCCTTTGGTGGGTTCAAGACAAAGGAATCGCCGCCCGGCACGAATCCCTGAAGGCGTACGAACTGAGCCTCGCAGGACACCTGAAGGAGAGATTGGAGTAGGACGCACTGTGATCGTGATCGGCTGCACGGCCGATGAGAATTGGTTGAAGGTATAGGTTCTGGGAGAGAATGAGACGTCGCGGGGGTAGGACGGAGGTGATCATACCTGCATTGAGAAAGAGCCGAGTCGGTGGAGTAGGTGAAGTCGACGCCTTGGGAGTGGGAGGGATAAGAGAAGATCGTCAATCAGTGGTAGAGAGCCCACCTGGGTCGGTTGTGTTGCATTTGTTCCCACTCTTTGAGTTGCCAACAGTGATCACGGGAGAGATGCCCCCGGAGCCGAAACCCGAGGCGTCGGAGAGGGCGACGACGAGGTTTTGCTGGGCGGTGTAGGCGAGGGTAGTGGAGTATTTACCTTGCTGAGAGGTGAAGGCGCTGTTTGGAATACTGATGTTCTTGGGTGTGCCAAAGGACTGGAGGTCGAGCTGGGTAAGCACGCCAAGTGTCGGGAGAGGCGCGCAGAACGTACGGGGATGATGGTCATGAAGAACGGCACCGTGCCGCCTGAGAGAGAGAGAGATGAGTCAACGCGAAGAAAGGGAAGGGAAGAGGGGAACACACCTGTCCAGGATATCTGGAAGTCATCGCACTGAGTGGCTGCGCCGTAGGAGAAGGAGAAATTAGCGGCGTGAGCTTGGAGAGGCCATAGGAGAAGGAGCGAGTGGAGGAGGGGGAAGGAGGGCCGGAGCATGGACTCGTTGGAGGGCGGAGGGAGGAGGCTGCAAGCACACCGGGGGGCGCACGGGACTTGGACAGGAGGAGGAAGGGAAGAGGAAGAGAGGATGGGGGAGTGCTCCCGGGGACTGCCTCTGGGCGAGTTCGCGCGGGGAGCGCGCGGGTGGGGTCGCGACTTCCGCCACAGGCGCCTGCCCCGCTCGCACGTCGCCGTCGCAGTCCTGGCCAGTTGCCGCCGCCGCCCACTGTCTGTGGGTGCGCGCGGGAGGATCGCATCAGACACCTTCAAATTCAGCACGCGCGCACAGCCGGCCGTCCCACGCTCCCTCCGACGCCGGCTCGCGTGGGTCCATCACAGCGACGCCTGGCTGTAAGACCTTACAAGCCGCACCTTCCGAGACAAGCTGCCCGAGCCATGACACCAGCCACAGATCCCGCCACTGCCCACGACACGCCACCGTCTGCCTTTCCCTCAAGGCTTCAAGCTTCAAGCGTTCTCAGCGACCCGGCGCTCACGAACCTGCGCATGCGCTGTGTCGCATCTCGATTTCAAACCCTCCTCTCCCATCTCATGGATGCATTCTCCCGTGGGGGCGGACGCAGCCGGTCGCATCATCCAAGCACCCGCCATGCGTCGTGTGTTATGGCGCCATTCACCCGGAGTGACGAAGGCAATATTCATGCTATTCTCGGTGCCAACCGTTCCGTCGCCGGGGGGAACCCGTCTCGTCTGCTCCGTTTGGGGCTCGGCAAGCGCGTTCGTGACGGTCGTAGGCTGGCCGCATCTCGGAAGCGGGAAGAGCCAAGTCGGGCACTTCCAGCCGTCCGCACCATGTTCTGACTCTGAGTCCCGGACTCCTCTCCTGCCAAGTTGGCTTGATTGATTCTAGTGTCCTCTCCTAATGTCGGCTCCTTCCCCAGACATGCATGCCGAGGTCGAATTACAGCTCAAGAACAAATGAACAACAAATGCAGGCTTCGGCCATGGGCTCGACACAACTCGCGTTGCAGGGAACAGGTGGGGCAAGACCATCCCCTTCGTCCCGCCACCGCTTGCTCCTGGAGGGAAGGGGCGGAGGCTCGAGGGACGATGGGCGCCTACACAAAATGACGTCCTGGAGTAAGAAACGGATTCGCTCTGCCTCGGAAGACAACATGGCTTGAGAGGCACGCCCACTCAACTTTGGCTTCAAAACTCCCATCACGATCGAGCCGGCTATTACAATTATCCCCACGTCGTCCCCTTACATCTCCACATCGCCTCTAGACGTCCTTAATAAGGAGTATATATCGAACATCGGGCGCAGACAGAGTGTTGAGCACGTGCGCGGCGTGCGAAGTGACCCTGAGATCCGACGACGCTGCCCTCCAAGACGAACCCTGCAGTTCGAGGCACTCGCCGCCGTGAGAGAGATAGCCGCCGCAGTCGTGCCCAGTGCAGCGGACGCCAATGTAACCCAGGCACGTGTCGCTGCGCGAGCGCACCAGACGCCCGCGGGTTACGCCCAGACGACACACACATCTCCTCAAGGCCGCGCCGACTGGCCTTTTGCGCCTCGTCGCCTTCCCTGCTTCTCCAACGCCCCCATGGGACTCCCGGAAGAAGCCAAGGTGTGGACCCGCGAGCAAGTCGCAGCCCGCGTCCTCGCGGGGGACAACCTCTTCATCCTCAACGGCTCCCTCATCCGTGTCCCAGCTTCCTGGCTCACCGCACATCCAGGCGGTCGCCTCTCCATCTTGCACTATACTGGCCGCGACGCAACGGATGAAGTCGAGGCGTTCCACTCGGACGAGTCCCTCAAGAAGATGCGCGGCTTCTCCATCGGTCGCGTCGAGCTCGGGGAGCAAGGCTGGCTCCCGCTCGTCCCTCCGATCGCGAACGGCTGGGTGCGTCGCGTAGGGAAAGACGGGAGGGCGGAGTGGTACAACGAGGCGACGCCGGTCCAGCCTCTGAAGGGCGCGAACGCCGCGGAGATCCTGCTCGTCAGCAAAGACAAGGGGGTCTCTGCTCACACCGGTCCTACACTTGCCGACTTGGAGCCCTCGCCGAACCATCTGTCGCTCAAGAACGAGAAAATGAACCAGGACGTGTACAAAGAGATGCACAAGCGCGTCATAGATGCCGGCCTCTATAACACCCCATACTTCACCGGCTATGGCCCGGAGTTCGTCCGCTATACCCTCCTCGCCGCGATATCTGCTTTCAGCTACTCCAAAGGCTGGTTCATGTCCAGTGCCCTATTCCTCGGATTGTTCTGGCAGCAGCTCACGTTCTTTGCGCACGACCTTGGGCATGTCGGTGTCACCCATGATTGGCTGATGGACCGTCTCATCTCCATATTCATTGCGGATCTGGTTGGTGGACTTAGTATCGGCTGGTGGGTCCATGTGAGTGTTTATGTTTCGTCCGTTAGATGCAACACTCAACGCCGTTCCCCAGAATCATAATGTACATCATTGTAAGTAATGCCTCCTACTCCTCCAGGCTCCTGCTAACCCTACGGTCCAAATGCAGTGGTCACTAACCACCCCTCGCAGTACGTCTCTCGTCACCCTCCCCGATGGCCTCACTCACCCCTTCTCCAGCGACCCGGACATCCAACATCTCCCCTTCTTGGCCATCTCCCCCAAGTTCCTCAACTCCCTCTGGTCCTCCTACCACAAGCGCGAGATGACGCTCGACGGCCCCGGCAAGTTCTTTGTCTCCGTCCAGCACAAGCTCTTCTACGTCGTCCTCGGCCTCGCCCGCTTCAACCTCTACGCCAACTCGTACGTCTACCTCGCCAAGACCGCCTTCGAGCCCCGCCGCTACCGCGGCGGCCGTTGGTGGTGGTGGGCCGAGGTCGTCTGCCTCGGCCTCTTCTTCACCTGGTTCGCCGCCCTCCTCCGCGGCTGCGGCACCTGGCCCCGCGCCCTCGCCTTCCTCCTCGTCAGCCACGTCGCCGCCGCCCCGGTGCACGTCCAGGTGCGTCCGCCCGTTCCTCGCCCTGCGCCCCCGCATCGCGCGCGCTGACCCCCCGCCTTCCGTGCCTGCAGATCGTGCTCTCCCACTTCTCCCGGTCCACCGACGATCTGGGCCCCGTTGAGTCCTTCTTCGCGCGCCAGCTCCGCACGACCGTCGACGTGATCTGCTCGCCCCTCATCGAGTTCATCCACGGCGGCCTCCACCTTCAGGTCACGCACCACCTCTTCCCTCGTCTTCCCCGCCACAACCTCCGGGCCGCGAGCCTGATCGTGAAGGAGTACGCCAAGGAACGCGGGCTGGAGTACGCCGAGTTTGGTTTCGTCGAGGGCAACGGCGAGGTCCGCGGCGTCCTCAAGCAGGTCGCCGACCAAATCAAAATCATCGGCATGGTGGCGGATTCCGAGGTCACGGAAGCCATGGTCACTAGATCGTCCACTTCCTGTCTTCATGTCACGCAATTAGGTCGAATGGATGTGTATAGAACTAGCGTCGCCAGCTTCCTACAACAGAATGCCGCGGCCGTATTTACGCAACACGAAATGAGACGGTCCAGCACAAATAAGGTCGTCATATTCGTGCATGTGGCATATGATGCTATAAGACTCTGGACATCCCAGCTTTTGAGTACATGTGCGGTGCAAGAGGTAGCGTGGTGCAAAGGTGGTACAGGAAGGAAGGAAGCCGAACGGAGATGTTTTACTTCTTCTTGTTCGCCTCCTCCTCGGCCTTCTGCAAATCATATGTATTAATGCACGCCCGAAAAGTCTTATGACCGTGAATCACACGAACCTTCGCTTCCCGGAGCTTGCGCTTGCCCTCGTGACGGGCAACAGCCCGCTCGTCGCGGAGGGTGCGGTAAGCCTGGAACTCGCGCTCCTCCTCGGTGATCTTGCGGGGCACTTCGTGGATGAAGGATGCGGGGAGAGGAACGGACGCGCGGGTAGTGGCGACAGTGAGGTCGTCGCCCTGCAGATATGATCGGTACCATCGCGAGGTGACATGGGCATTGGATACGTACGGTGGAGTCGCCCTTCTTGGGCTTCTTCGCGTTGCGGGGGAAGACAATGAGGCGCCCCTTGTACGCCTTCAGACGCTCAACGTTGAGAGCCTTGCCCTCCTCGCTGAGGTTTCGCCTCCGGTGGTCGACAACAATGCCGACACCACGCGCCTCCTTCTTGCCAATACCAGCCTCCTTGAGCTCGGCCAGGGTGAAGCCACGGCCCTCGCGAAGCTTGCGGTTGTAGCGGACGGTCTGGGCGCGGACGGCCGGTCGGAGGAGGGTAAGAGGACGAACACCGAGCTTGGCAGCCTTGACCTTGCGGGCCTGGCGGCGGCGAAGTTTGCGGCCAGGCTGGTCAAACCAGGTGCGGACGCGGCTCTGCCAGTCCTTGCGGAAGTGGTTGGCGTGAAGGACTGATCATAGGTCGTTCGTGAGGAAGCTGGCATCGCATGACATTCTCAATCAGCTACGCACCGTTGTTGTACCGGAAACCCATTTCTTAGTCTGAGGCGTAAACGCGAAGGTCAGGATCCAGCCAAAGAGGAACGAACTGTGGCTGCCATAGAGAAGGCACAAGAGCTTCATCCATCCGCAAGCCCATCCATCCAGCCAATTCCCGCACGATTTTTGGGCAAACAACCATTCCGTAGAGACAAAAAACTCATTCAAGCGAGTTTCACGGTGTCTTGGGGCGGCATAGGGACGTACTCACCTTGAGGAGGGGGTCTTGACGAGGCGTACGGTGATCTGCCCACAGTGGTAAGCCGCCCTCTGATACAGCGGAGTTCCAATGCGTGAGAGACTACTCCGGTCCGAGGCCGATGCCGGAACAGCTCCGGCCGAGATTTGGCGCCAGTGACTGCCGTCTTACAGGCTGTCTGTCTGCAAACGCGAGGCGGTGAGCAGACAGGGTTCGGGACGCATCATAATATGGCCATGGAGCGACTGAACAACAGAAGGACGTGGGGCATTGATCGAATGGTAGCAGACATTATAGCATGTATAGAACGGGGGTCGTAGCACAGAAACGCGGAACGGTGCACCATGCCGGCCACAGCTGCTGAAGCGCTGATGGTCACTCATGAGCTAGCCTGGCCTTGCGTGCGTGAAGGGCGGCAGGAAATATATCCGGCCAGGGACGTAAAGCGCATGCAGCGGCACTGGTGTGGCCCAATCCCAACATGACGGTAAAGGGGCAGAGGGCAAAGTACAACCGGTGCGCAGAAGACAGCTCAGCGCCAGGCTCCTGTAGTTCGAGGGTGTGCATGCAAGGGGCGATCACATGTGTGGGCTGCTATGTGGTGATAGAAGGCGCGAGAGAGATACGCTTGGGAGCGGCTCGAATAAGCAGCGAACCAGGGGATGATATCATCGGCACAAATGGCAGGCGGTGGGCACTGCAGTCGCGGACGGGCCGGTGAGGCGGGCAGAGGGGGCCCTGGAGTGCGTCAGAGGCCGGGGGTGTGTCATGGCATGGCTGCCCCCTCGCCCCCGCGCAGCTATTTGAGCCGCCACTCGACCGTGTTCTCTCCCACCACTCCGTCCTGCTGCCCGCCCGCGCCAGCATCCGTCTTGCGCCCCTTCGCCCTCGACCCAGCTGTTGCGTCTGCCGTTTCAGCATCTCTGCCGACCCTCTTGGCGTGGGAGATCCAACCTGCCGAATCCAGTCCGCCTGACCGCCTCCCGCGACCTCTCCAAACTCCGTTCGGCGAGTGCCTGAGGCTCCGTGCCACCCAACGCTCAGTCCATAACGCCAGAATCATGCACGTTTCCAAGCAGCGACCTCGGCACAGATCGGCCTCCTCTGACCCGTTCAACGATCCTGCCCATCTCTCGTACTCGGCATACGGCGTCCCCACTCTGACCAGGCACGCTCAGCACCCATCTTCCCGCCCCCCGCCGCCTCCCCCGAAACACGGCGTACCTAAACCTGCCCCCGCCCCCGCCCCCGCTCAGTACGCGACACCCGCCCAGCGACCGCACACCTCATCCGGCAACCGGCAGAACATCATGGATGCCGTCCGCGACACTGTCACAGTCCGGGGCTCCTCTGATCAGAACCCCCGCCATAGGGTCCACCGGAGCCAAACCGAGCTCCCTCCGTGAGTCCCCGCCTGGCCACCCGTGGCCGCTGCGTCTGATCGCTGATATCAACGCTTCCTCCTCCCTTCGCTCCTCTCCTCTCCCCCTCACCACCTCGCCCGACCAGCAGCCCCGCCACCGTCCGCCCCGCTCCCCCGCCCGTATCTAGGCGCTCGCACTCTCAGGACTCCGTCGTTCGCGCCGCCAACACTATGGACAAGGGCAAATCCAGTCGTTCCAGCAAGAAGAAGGGCTCGGCCCATGCTGATGTCATCGATAGGCTCGACTTCTCCGGCGTTGGTCCCAGTGCGTACCTCCCTTCCCCCACATCCCGCCCCCCGTTGACCCCCTGGCCCACGTCAGTGTTCCACCACGACGGCCCATTCGATGCCTGCGCACCCTCCCGCAACCGTCATCGCACCAAGGCCCCCATGCTTGCCTGGCAAGCTGGCCAGGAAGCAGACAAAGCAGCCTTAGCAACCGCCCAGCAGTTCCCCAAGTCGCCCGACCTCTTCATTCCTTACGAGGCCCCCAAGAAGAAGCATGACGCGATTGCGGAAGCATGGGGTATCCACGAACCGGAGCCCTTTGAGGACTTTTCGGCTGGCGGGGGGGCCGCTGCTCGCGGCAGCGGCGAGTACCACCGAAGCCACGGTTACAACAGCTCCACCAAACGCACCAAGGACGGCAGAGACGCCCGTGACGTTTACCGGGAGTATTTGGAAGAGAATCATCCCACCCCCCAACGACGCCCGACGAAGCGCAACATCCCCCCTCCCCAGCCCATCTTTGTCCCCGATGGCGAGTTGGACAATGAGCAGTCATCTCCGCCCACCAGCGCCGGTTACGAGCTGAATGGCAACACACCTCGGAGGAACAAATCAATCATGCAGCGTATCCGCAAGATGCGGGATTCCCCCAATGTACCTGTGGGCGGTGAAGACGGTCGTGGTGATATGTCTCCTGGTCCCTCTGGTGAGTGTTGCGGTCCATCTTCTAACCCTGCGCGCAGACCCCTCATTCGCATTGATTAGGACGTTATGGCCGTGCCGGACACGCCCAATCCCCTTCGGAAGAGGCGTTTGTCTACGTCGATCGCATGCCTGCACAAAAGGACAAGTCTCTTCCAACCCCTCCGAAAGGTACCCCGTCAGGGGAATCAGTTGACGGCTACTTCGATGGTGCGGAGGGTGGAGGTGGTGCTGGCCTCGGCCGCAAGACCAGTCTGTTGAAGAAGGTTGGAACGGTGGTCAAGGGCCGCTCTAAGTGAACGAGTGAACCACTTGCTGCTTGTACCCCAATTGTACGCTCGTTTCCTTAATCCTCGCATCGTGCGTTGCCTCTTCATTGCAACTGTATCCCCCAGAGCCTTTTTGATTGACTCACCATGTAGACTAGTATTACGTGGTCGTGCACATGTAGAAGGACTCGAGCGTGTCTTGGACACGAAACATCCCCCTCATGTCTCGTTGTACTTATGGTATATGCCACTCTCGCTACAACCCTCTCTTCCGTTTTCAACATAATGACCCTACCTTCCCCGTGAAATGATACCGGCCTTCTTGATGTGGGCATCCTTGCTTTCTTTTTCGGCTTCGAGTTCCTTGTGTCACGAATGTCACCGCCGAATATCCATCGTGTACACATACCTTTCCGCATGCAGAAACAGGTTGTTGTAGTGTAGGAAAAATCACATATACTATTGCCAGGTCTACCTCTAAACCAATCGTACATTGATATCGGCAGATGCCAGAGATGATTTCACTTCGTCTATGCCTACTTCACGGCGGTGGAAAATGCCTGCGGCCAGCGCAGCTTCTACGTTGGTCTTTTGGAAGACCTCAACGAAATGATCCGCCTTTCCTGCCCCGCTGCTTGCCACAACTGGAATGCGGACGCTACGCCGAACAAGGTCAATGAGAGCAATGTCGTATCCCGCACCCGTCCCGTCCTTGTCGATACTGTTGAGGAGGATCTCTCCGGCCCCAAGCCTCTCTACACCCTTCACCAGCTGCAGCACCGACAACGGCCGTGCCTCTCGACCGCCATGCACCGTGCATTGATACCACCAAGCTTTCCCCCGCTCGTTCTCCGGTCCGTCGGGCTTGCCGATAACCACCTCGTCCTTGTACGGCCCGTCATAGTCGAGGTCAACGTACGCCCGGCGCGGGTCAACTGAGACGACAACCGCCTGGCGGCCGTACGCGTGCGCAACGGTTTCTATCCCGCTCGTGCCGTCGCCTTCGCCGATCCCGTCAAGGCTCGGCCGCTCGCGCATGCGCTCGACGGCGAAGACGGCCTCCGTGGCGATGCTGACCTTGTCCGCCCCGGCGCGGAAGTACGCGCCGGCAACCTCGAGCGCGGGGCGAGGCGTGCCATCGGGGTCGACGGTGTCCTTGATGCCGCCGCCGATGGTGAGCGGGACGAAGACCTCCTCGGCGGCGGCGGCGACGACGGCGAGCATCGGCTGGTCGCGGAGCGGCGAGTGGCGGAAGGAGGTGATGTTCATGAGGCAGAGCTCGTCCGCGCCCTCGGCAAAGTAGCGCGCGGCGAGCGCGACGGGCCTGCCGAGGTTGCGCACCGCGCCAGCGGCGTGCGCGGCGCGCTCGCGGACGTCGTACTGGTCGCCCTTGGTGACGACGAGGTCGCCGGCGTCGTTGGAGCGCACGTCCATGCAGGCGACGATCCGCTTCGTGAACCCGTCCTTTGCCCGAGGGGGCCGCGCGACGCGAGGCGTGGGCGGGCTCGCGGCGCGGTCGGCTTCGGACTGGCGGAGCCAGGCGTCGAGGACCTTGAGGCCGGCTGCGCCAGACTTTTCGGGGTGGAACTGGCAGGCGAAGACGTTGCCCTTGCGGACGGTGGCGATGAAGACTTCTGAGCCGTACTGCGTGGTAGTGTGGCCCCACTCCGCGACCTCGGCGTGCGCCCAGTCGTACTCGGCGCGGAAGGAGTGGACGAAGTAGTAGACGGAGCGCGGATCGAGGCCTTCGTGTGCTTTCTCGTCCGGATCGAGGAACTCGGCCGCGTTCCAGCCCATGTGGGGGACAGACTTGTCGGCGTTGGAGAAAAGACCGATGCCACCGGGTATGATGCCCAGGCCCTCTGCGCGGGGGGACTCTGCGGAGGAACGGAAAAGGACTTGCATGCCTATGCAGATGCCGAAGTACGGTTTCCCCGACGCAATGTAATCACGCAGCGGCTCGTACAGACCGCGTGACAGAAGGCCATCGATGGCGCTACCGAACGCGCCGACGCCAGGGAAAATGAGGCTCTAGAGGGGCGCATTAGCAAGGCGTTGGCTGCGGGTGACGCAAAACTGACGGTGGCCTTGTGGAAGTCGGAGGGATGGGCGATCCAGCGGAAGTCGTAGCCGAGCTTCTTTAGGGTGTTGGCGAGACTCTGGACGTTTCCCGCGCCGTAGTCAAGGAGGTAGAGGCCCATGGCAGGCGAGGCAGGTGGTGGGGGGCATGTGGGATGAACGGAAGAAAGGCGTCGAGTCAAGCGGGGCCAGTGATCTAATCTAATCATCGCGTTCATGGCGCCATCCTGAGTCTTTCGGCGCACCACCCAATTCCGAATAAGCTCCCCATAAATCGAGTCCTCGCCCACCCCACCAGGCCACGCTGCTCCCCTCCTTTGCCCTGCACCTCGCCCACGACCACCGCCATGTCGTCTGCCATCCCCATCAGCGTCCCCATGCCCCACAATGTCGTGGCCGCCTCCACCTCCCCCATCAACTCGAGCAGCATCCACGAGCGCATGCTTTTCCACAAAGACTCCGTCAGCTTCCCCATCCGCCGGCCGAAGGCCCTTCACCCTACCGACAACGAGGAGCTCCGTCTGCTCCTGCTCGAGAACATCAGCCAAGACGCCGTCAAAGCATTCCGCGCGCTGGGCTTCCATGTAGACCACTCTGCCAAGGCCATGACCGAGGACGAGCTCGTCGAGAAGATCGGCTCGTACCACGCCATTGGCATCCGTAGCAAGACCAAGATCGCCGCACGCGTCCTCAAGGCCGCGTCGAAAGTAAGTGTACATCACGTCATCGCTGCGCGCGTCCTCATTCCGCCCTAGCTCCTCGTCATTGGGTGCTTCTGCATCGGAACCAACCAGGTCGACCTTCTCAGCGCTGCGAAATCGGGCATTCCAGTCTTTAACTCCCCGTTCTCAAACTCCCGATCTGTCGCGGAGCTGGTCATGTCCGAGGTCGTCGCCCTCGCGCGCCAGTACTTCCAGCGCGCGTTCGAGATGCGCGACGGCGTGTGGAACAAGCAATCCAAGGGCTGCTGGGAGGTCCGCGGCAAGACCCTCGGCATTGTCGGGTACGGCCACATAGGCTCGCAGCTGTCTGTCCTCGCGGAAGCGTTCGCCATGCGAGTCGTCTACTACGACGTCATCAACCTCATGCCTCTTGGATCCGCGCGCCAGGTTGACTCCCTCGACACTCTTCTTGCCGAGGCGGACTTCGTCACACTGCATGTCCCTGAGCTCCCGGAGACGATGAACATCATTTCCACCGAGCAGCTCGCGGTGATGAAGAAAGGCTCCTACCTCATCAACAATGCGCGCGGCAAGTGCGTCGACATCCCCGCTCTCGTCAACGCCCTCAAGAGTGGCCACCTCGCGGGCGCAGCCCTTGACGTGTACCCCGCAGAACCCGGCTCCAATGGTGCACCCTTCGACGACCAACTCAACGCGTGGTCAAGCACCCTGCGTTCCATTCCGAACGTCATCCTCACCCCGCATATCGGAGGTTCCACCGAGGAGGCACAGCGCATGATCGGCGACGAGGTGTCGGCGGCACTCATCCGCTACCTGAACTACGGTTCCACCGTTGGTGCTGTCAACTTCCCTGAGGTGGACCTCCGGGCGATCACCCAAGAGGAGCCGAACCATGTACGCGTATGCTACGTGCACAACAACATCCCAGGCGTGCTTCGTCAGGTGAACGAGGTTCTGTCGACCCACAACGTTGAGAAGCAGTACTCGGACTCCAAGGGGGACATTGCCTACCTCATGGCCGACATCGCAGGCGTCAGCCAGTCAGATGTGAACGCTCTCAAGGAGTCCATCAGCAAGACCTCCGCCAACATCCTCACTCGTCTCCTGGCATAGTTTGTCGTCCTATACGTATTACGTCCTCATTCACGACCCCACCACCCATCAAAAACCGCCATCGGACGGTCTCCCTGTTAGAATAATCGAGCACACCGCAGCTTCTCCTGCATTCTATACGAGAATCACTCAACTGATCCTCGTCCCTTCAACTGGGTTGGAACCGTAGCCGTAGACTTGTATCCTGTAAACCATGTATTACTAGCTCGAGCCGTAGAAGCATACAGAGTAAGCATCCGAAGGAGACGTCCTTTAGCAGAACGAGGGTGAAATTACAGAGCGAGACCAAAAGTACTAGGACAGCATGCAACAATAATAAAAAGGCCGCATTATTCTTCCTCTGGGTCACCGATACCGCTTTGCAATATAGCAAATGTCGTCTCAGACTCGGGAAGACAAGGGGAATCAACGATCTTCGCCTGGCGATTAGCTCCCCTGGCCTTCTTGAGCTGCACCCTGCAAAATGTTCGCATGAGTGGTCAGGCTAGTGAAGATAAAGTCGGCGTACCGAGTTGTTGAAGCATGGGCAATGATGTTACCACCTACTGGTTTCTTCTCATTGGCCGCATATGGTCCTGCTGCTCCGTCTGGGTTTGACATGACCTGGTTGCTGATAACTACAGCGATTCCAAACTGCAAGAGATATCAGTGCGCTGTTCCAGTCAATGGTCCCAAGCGTTCTTACTTCATCTGCCAGTCTTTGTAGCGTGCGCAGGAACTTTCCGAGGTGGGCTTGTCTTGCTGAGAGTTCCCCACGACCGCTAAAGTCTGTGCGGTACAACGCGGTCGCAGAATCCACGATGAGGAGGCAGAACCTCGAGTACATCGGGGAGTGAGTGCTATGGAGTGGCGCATGTAGCAAAGCAGGCTCACCTCGACTCAGACATGAACGCGCTTGCTTGTGTGAGCAGCTGATTTTGGTGATCAGCATTGTACGCTCGCGCGTACGCGACGTTGTCCAAGACTTCTTCGCCGTTCAAACCCCATCTCTCTGCGGCGGCCAGCAGACGTTCCGGCCGGAAAGTACCCTCCGTGTCGATGTAGAGGCACTTCCCCTCCCCGCCACCCATGTCTATGGGAAGCTGACACGCCACTGCGAGCGTGTGGCATATCTGCGACTTTCCGGTGCGGAACTCTCCAAAGAACTCCGTGATTGCGCCCGTCTCGATGCCTCCACCGAGCAGAGCGTCCAAGTTCTTGGAGCCAGTAGTGATGTGAACGAGCTCAGATCGACGAGCATGAACTTCCGTTGCGCTCTGAAAGCCGATGGGGATGATCTTGAGGGCTGCGTCCCGTGGAGGTGGGTTGGACGCGCCGCTACAAAGTGAAATTACTACGTACCTTCTGCGAGAATCTTGTCCGCTTTTTGTTCTGAAATGCCCCGTATTGCCATCAGTGTCTTCTTAGGGGTATATGCTACCGCCTCCACCGTATGCAGGCCTGCATCTGTCAACTTCTTGATATCTTGAGCAGTAAGACCGCTCTCCGCGAGCTTTTCAATGAGGAGAGGGCCGGGAATGTGGCCTTCTTCCTCTTGCTCCTGGGAGGGACGGGCCGGGGAGCTCATCGGTTATAAGAGAGGCAAGGTGCTGAAGAGAAGTACAGAGATGATGGTGCGAGACAAGATGAGGGCTTCAGCTAAGTGATCAGCCCGACGCGTCCGACTCCAAGCGCGTGTCTAGTCACATGGACGTGAAGTCACCCATCCGTCCGGGCCCCCCGACCTTCAAACGCCAGCTCGGTTCGTAGTAAGCGACGTTTACTACCCACAATCTGCAGAGAACAGAGGCGTGAAGAATTATAGGGTTTATCGTATACAAATGGACGTGTGCAACTATAAGTGGTACTCCCTCGGAGGTGCGAACCGTGCATGGCCCAAATTCTGTTCGAACCACTCCACTGCCTCCAGGTCAAGCATGAGACGTGAGGCCTTCAGCGTATGGTATACGTCGAGCTCCTTTGCCGTGACGGTAACAAAATCACTCAAGTTACCCGCGGAGAGCTTGAGCATTCGAGGAATCTCCTCCCTGCCTGTGACCAGCACCGTCCTGCCCCATCCAAGCTCCTCGATACGCGTCGCCAGATCCCTGGTCTTGGAGCCTTGCCAGTCTAAGCTTTTGACAACACCTAACGAGTGCTCCTTGACCCGGGCACTAAGGGCGATTCGCATGCCCATTTGGAGCACCTTGCGGTTGAGCTTCGTCGAGAAGTCGCGCGGCTTGGGTCCAAAAGCGACACCTCCGCCGCGCAACATGGGGCTCTGGGCGTCGCCCAAACGTGCTCGTCCAGTACCCTTTTGAGGTCGGATCTTGGCTCCGGAACCGCGAACCTCTCCACGCGTTTTGGTGCTTGCACTACCCTGCCGCTGGCCGTCGAGATAGTGTATGACGCACAAATGAAGAATGTCCCGCCGGATTGGATGGTTGAATACAGTCGGATCGAGTTCCACGAGCTCAGTCGAAGGGTCCATACCGTCTTCTGGAGGGATGAGGGACGACATCTCAAGGTAGAGAGGGTCGCGGGAGCCTAGAAATTATATTGAGAGGAAGCATGACAAAGTGGCCTTGGATACACTCACTTTTCTGGAGAGTCACAATCTGATTGGCACCAAGCCCATGTGCAGAGGCCGAAGCGGGGAGAGGGCCTGAACCGGCGTGACGAGCGATATCCCTGACCAAAGGGTGGCTGGCGGAAGCCTCGAGTGTAGATAAGCCCCGGAAAGCATAGTGAGAGGGCTTGAAACACATGAGACCAAGTATACTCAGATGAAAAGCACCATACCTGTCCCAGCGCACGCCTACAAGCAGCCAGCATGACTGTCGCTGAAGTGGAAAGGCAGGCGTCTAAGCGCGACCGTGAGCCGGGAGTGACGCCATCAACGTGACGGCTCTTCAAGTGGAAAGAGCGTTACGCGTGACTCTGGAACGCCCCAGCGCGCATGCCTAGAGGGTCATCGAGCAAGTCGTCCAACATACGTCAAGCATCGTAGGGGTGAGTGGTGATTTTGTGTTGCTCTACCGCTTCCAGAGGGCTTCGTGAGTCCTGGGATGTGGATTGAAGCGTCGCGGGATGGGGAAAGGAGCGTTTTGGCGTTGGATGGGACTAGGATCTTGTGGATGACAGTCTCGCGCACGATATGCCTTCAAGCATTCTCAACTCATCTGCCTGACACCTAGCTTCATCAACAACTCGCAAGACCCCCCCTCACTTTCACCAAAATGGCTCCTACGACGCAGGCCGTTCAGACTTTCGGCAAAAAGAAGGTGCGTCTTACTCAACACGTTCCCTGTGCATCAACCTCATCATGCTGCTTTCAGACCGCTACCGCTGTTGCTCACGCGAAGGAGGGTCGTGGCCTCATCCACATTAACGGCTCTCCCGTCTCCCTCCTTAAGCCTGAGTTCCTCCGCTTCAAGGTCTACGAGGCCATCCTTGTCGCTGGGGAGGAGGCGTTTTCCGCGATCGACATCCGTCTGCGCGTGAAGGGCGGTGGACACACTTCGCAAGTCTACGCTATCCGTCAGGCGATCGCCAAGGCGGTTGTCGCATACTACGCCAAGTACTTTGATGCTGCCAGCGCTCTCGAGCTGAAGAAGAAGCTCGTTGCGTACGACAGGACTCTTTTGATAGCGGACCCCAGGAGAGCAGAGCCAAAGAAGTTTGGTGGTCATGGTGCCCGTGCCCGGAGGCAGAAGTCGTGCGTCTTTTGTCACACTTTTTGCGTGTCGTTATCCATTCCTCATTGCTCTGCACAGCTACCGGTGAACGTTATCGCTGCGTCGTCAGTATCGTTGCATCGAGCACTGTCATGTTTTGTAAATCTTCCATATGCTATGTTATGACAACATGCAAAATGTCAGCGTCCACGGCGCTCATGTATAATTCGGGGGCTTCCTAACAGCCCACCATCATGGCAAAAATCGTGTAGTTGTGTCGGGTGTGATTTGACATCCCCGTGTATCTTATATGGGGGAAACTACGTGTACCTGCCCGAGGCTTGTTTATGACATCTGAGATCTGAGATCCTCTGAACACACCGACGTAATATGACTTGCCAAAACTTGGTGCCGAGCGCAACATTCGCACTGTAGGTCTATCGACCTCCTGAGTCCTCTTTCGTTGACAGTGCTCTCGCCGATATGAGGCCTGCTGAGGCTAATGTAAAGAGCTGTGCGTTGACTCTGTCGTATTTTCGAGTCTTCACCAGAGCTTGCCACTGTTTGGTGGCAGCCACTCACAACGAGGGGGAGAGTTCGATGGTGGTACAATTAGAGGGAACAGATATCGAAGGAAAGAAATACCACACGTACTAGAGAATGGTCACAGTACTCAGCCAATTATATCAGCTGTCTGAGGCCGGCAGAGTCAAAACAGAGTACATGAGTCCAACGTAGATGGATAAGATAGGATGGTACACGTGCATACAAAGCACGGCCGACCCGAACCCCAAGCTAAGTTCGTGCCGTACGCGCCAAGCACGCGCGTGAAGCGAAGCCTTCAGATATTGCGTTGCGTCTGATTCTGATCCGACTCGCAATTTTCGTTGACGTTCGGCATTCCAAACAGCTGCTACGAAAACGCAAGCGTCAGCGCTTCAGCGCTCGGCTAGAACTACTTAGCACAACTAGAATGGATCTCACGGCCTTAATTTGTTTCACGCTCAGCTTCCGCAGGCGTATGCCCAAGCCCTCGCCGAGGGCGGCCCCGGCGAGTCCAAGCTTGGTGCGTTCGGAAGTTATGAAGAAAGTTGGCATCAGGACGTCTAGTATGGTGGACGCCACGGACGTTTGTCAATATCCACTAGTCAATACTTTTGCGCTTCCTCGTTCCGACAGGTGATATGTTTCAAGTATGCTATGGTCCAGCGTGCATTACATTGTGTGCTGATCTTGCCGCGTGGTGTTGATTACATGCGGGCGAGAGGAGTGAATACTTTCCATGAGCGCTTATCGCGAGCACACAACTACTCTGTGCTGTATTTAAACATCACATCATGGCTTGTTCAAGTGATGGGCCTGGTCGGGTGTGCGGATATGTGATGCAAACGGCGTGGGGTCTGTCTGTAAGCCCTTCTCTTAAATGATTTGCTTGACTCGGCGCTTCGGTCGTGTCGAGTTCCACCCCCGCCACTGCATGCGGGATAGCACCTCTCTCTGTAACCTCCATCATCCACCCAGCAATTCGCGTGCTTCGTGAAAGTACTGTCGGATGCCAGCTGCAACATGAAAAGTCCCTCTCACGTCAATTCCAATTCGTCCTCTTCGAAGGTTTTCAAAGACTCTAACCATCGACCTTTGAAAGTCTTTCTCCAAGCCGATGAAATTGAAGGGCGTCCCTCACTCCTGCGAAAACTCAAGGCGAGTACGTCTTACAAGGAACCAAACAAATTGCCTAAATTCTCAATCATAGCATGGCGGCGCCGAGACCTGTACCGACGTTGCACAAGCCAGCGTGATCCTTGTTGACCCCGAGTCCATAGGCGGGCAAGAGCTCATTCAAAGCTGGGCCACTGATCCGTCTAAGCAGATACTCGATTACGACTGGATATCAAGCTGTGCGAAGAAGGGGCGAGCATTACTAGCGAACGAGGACTGGGGAGGATTTTCCGCAGCCATTGGCCAGGAGGCGACTGCATCGTTTTCACGGTGAGTCTAGAATATATGAAGCAGCGCATTATACCTATCTTTTGTGTCATCCCCGCAGTCCCCCGCCGTCGACGCAGAATCCTCCGCCCGCTCACAACCCGTTTCTTGTCCCTGTGCCGCCCCACACTCTCCCGCACATGCCACCCGTAACCTCCTTCCAGCACATGCAAACTCCTGGTGCTGTCCCGGCGGGCTCCAGTGCTTCAATGAACTTCGATCCATACATTCAGCGCGTACAGATGATGATGGCCATGACGGGTGTCCCCACTGTCCAGCAAGTTCCGCAGGCATTTCCTCAACAGCTGCAAGTTGGCCACTTCCCACCAAATATAATGTGGCCCCAACAAATGCAAAGCCCTCATTTTCAACCGCACTCTGGACCGCACCCTTCAGTCGTCCCTCCGCCTACGAATCGGCGTGGTGGTGGTTCCCATTCGAAGGCATCCAGGAGACGAGGTTGGTGATGCACTTTGATATGCCTAGACAGTAAAATTTTAACCTTCCTGTCAGGCTCTTTCACGGACGAAGATGAATTGCCCGTTCAAAAGCAAAGGTCTCCAGTTGCGGGCTCGAGCAAGTTGTCTGAGAAGAGAGACCCAAACGATCAAAGTCAGCTGAAGCACTCTCGCTTGGGAAACTTAGATGACACAGACAAAGTACCGTCCTCCTCGCAGTCACCTCATAACTCCTCTCGTCGCCCGATCTTCGCCCACAAAAACGGCTCTCCGTACCTTTTTTGGGTGCACGTATCTCTGAGAGGCCGGGACAAGGTTGCGAGTGCGATTAAGGTCAATTGAGTGTTTACTTGCTAAGTGCTTTACTCAACGTTGCTCTTTCACAGCGGCACGGGGGAAAGCTGGTCCCAGATATGGAACAAGCGGACTACGCCATCCTTGGCCCCGTCTCCACTCCACAATTCGCTGTATGGCTGCAGCAGGCAAAACGGCTCCAAAAGCCCGCTCTTCATCATGACTGGGTGCTTGAGAGTGACCAACGAAATTCCAAGCAGCCCTGGGAGAATTACACCCATGATGAACCCAGTGTGTTCAAGAGGTCGGGCGGTCTCTCCGCATCTAGCAGGCGACCAAGCTCCAAAGCCAAGGCCGGGTCGCCCCCTCCATCTCCCACACCCCAGGAATCGGATGAGAGCGAGAACGAAGAGGCAAATACACCGAAGAACGACGACGTGCCGCTAAAGAAGCCAAAGAAGAAGACAGCCACAAGCAAGCCAAACACCAAGCCTGCCGTGAGCAAGCCGAGCACCAAACCTATCGCAGGCAATCCAGCTGGAGTGAAGAAATCCGGTACTAAGGCCATCGCCAAGACACCAGCAATCAAGAATGGCCGCAAAGAGACACCAGTCAAGCAGCGCACAGTCACCCCGACAGCTTCCACGAAAGCAGGACAGGGATCTCCACCACCCCCAACTCGCATTATTCAGCACTCGACCGGAAAAAATCTGTACACCAAAGAAGATCACGAATACGTCGAACGATACGTTCCCATTTTGCTTTCGCGCGACCACGATATGCCGGTATCCGAGATGGCTGAAAAGTTGCAGCAGAAGGTGAGGTTGCACTCCGTCAGCGCCTTTATATACTAATGAAAATGGAAGTAGATGCCCCATCATACAACGGCTTCTTGGGGCACCCACCTGGGACAATCGCTGTGGAGGGAGAAGATTGCGGAGTGGAGGAAGCACGCAGGAATAGCAAGCAGGAAGGCAACTGCAGACAAGGCAGCCGCGGGAAAGAACCTTTTCGATGTCATGGCCAAATTTTTCGCGGATGGCAGAGCGGACAACATCCCTGATGACATGGTCTGGAACCTTATTGCGCAGGAGGTGAGTATTGAATGCATCTTCTCAGTGCTATTGTATGGCTCAAACCAGTCGCAGCACCCTCAGCTGGACGCTGCCGGTTGGCAGAAGCTGTGGGAGACCAATGCGCAAGAGATCAATGCTGCTGTTGAGCGGCTACATCCTACCACGTCTGGTGCATGAGGGTTAACGTCCACCACACAATTAGCCGAGAGGGCAGGAGTCTGACCATTGCATCCACTTGGTCACGGATCGCTGGAGGCTGTCCTCTGGTTATGTTATGTGTCCAATGTACATACGAAGAGACGTTGCATGTGTTTATGTGGTAGCCTCACACGACTACATCCCAGAGTGAAAATGGACAGAGCAAGCGACGGATGTGCATTGCGACTCTACATTAGGTGGCTAGTTTCTACTCGGAGGGGATCGGCGATGGGGGTGGCTGCTTGAAGAACCGCTTTCGTCTCTCCTCTTTCGATAACGCTTGCTCTGAAGAGGCGTTTTGGCCAACATAGTCAACAGTCCCTATCGCCGTACCGAGGACAGCGCAAGACGCGAGGGCGACAGGTAGTGAACGCGCTATTGGCAATTGCATGAGCAACTGCGCGAAGGGAAAAGATGGAACAACGCACCTCGAAGGCCAGCCAGGAATCCTGCAGCACATGCTCCGGCAGCACCGTTCAGAGGGTCATCCACCTCACGTGCGTTGGCGACGAACGACTCCGTCGTGGCGTATGTTGCACCCATTGCAGCTTGAGAACATAGAGTTCAATCGCTCGTAAACGCGATGAGAACAATGCAGGACATACCGAAAAACGCGATAGTCCCTCCTGTCCGTGTCAGGAAGCCCGCGGCACCGCTGGAATGCTTCCCGAGGGCATTCTGGACGGCGCTGACCAGAGCACCGACGCCAGCACCTTGGACGCCGGCAGCGAAACCGTAGGAAACGGCAGGTTTGGGTTCGAAGGAGAGGAGTTTCGGCGGAGTGCCAGATGACGAAGAGTCAGGAGCGTCGGCCATGGCAGAACGCGGCCGGGCGAAGTCGTGTACGGGATGAGAGACGTCGGACGCGGTTGTGCCCTCGGGCGCCAGTTCAGGCGAAGCGCCACCTTCCGCCAATCGCCCACGCCGGCTTTCCCATCCGCCATTCTCCCTCTCTCCCCAATACTACACCTTCTCTCCCCAGTATTCTTTCCCTAATACAACCTCTGCCCCTCTTCTCTCCCGCCTTCCGCGTCGCGCCCCATGGATGCTCCCAACCTCCCGTGGTTTAGAGACCCCAGGCAAGATCACCCCTTCCGCCCATTTACCTTGCTCTCAGTCCGTCGTCCGACCTTGAGGTACCCTCGCGACTACTGAGATCTGCGGTAGTCCACAGATAAGCGGGCATTCCATTGCCTCGCGCCGTTCCCGTGGACGACGCAGTCTATTGACGAACTCTGGGAAGGTCCAACATCTGACCCGAATCTCCTTGAAGGATGGAAAAAGGTGGCAGGAACGTGGATGGGGTCCGTCATTGTAGGTGGGACGGGCAGTATATATGTGTATCCCAAGCTCGCCACTGAAGAGCCATACCACCTGCAACTGGATGAGGTGAGTAAATGATGGAGCACTGTGTTCTCTGACGCTGTGTTTTTTGATTCACATATACATCTTCCAGTCAGATGCCCAAGTCCTCCACGTTGCCTGGGCCCTTAACTCTTCAGCGCCGATACAGCCATTAATTATTTTCGCAGTTGGGAGCGTCATCATGCTCCTTGATGTGACTTCGCTAGCCATCGTTGGGCAACTACGAGGCCATGGTGGTGTGAGTGGTATTATATGTCACAACGGCCTCGCTTACCCCAAGAAGCCCATCACGTCTATAGCTGTACATCCGACCCAACCGAACATTTTTTGTACCACCTCAAAAGACTTCACAACACGAATTTATGATGTTTCTCTTACCCCTGTCAACGGCCCGAATAATAGCCACTGGCCTCCAAGCACGAATCCCAGTCTCGCAGGTCCGGCACACGGGCTGGATATGCACGAACCTGAAGGCGTGGGATTAGGTCGATGTGTTGCAGTCATGGTTGGTGGTCGCTCTGGGGGCCACAGGGCTGCCGTTTCATGCTCTGTACGTGATTCCTGTTAATTGTGGCGCATCGCTCATGCTGTTATAACAGGCATTTCATCCATCCCTGCCTTTGATTGCTACTGGCGGTGTGAGCACGGATAAATCCCGAACCCGCCGACTTTCAGTTGTGACACTTTGTGTCGTATAGGTTGATCGAGCCATAAAAATATGGTTCATACCTCCTTCCGCCTTCCAACCTACGACCCCACCGACGCTTGCAAGAGAAGATAAACCCTTATTCAGTACAGATCTTCTGCATAAAGCTTGTGTCTTCTCAGTAGAGTGGTACGCCCCCTATTGATATGCTCACGCTTTGTTCCCTTAAAATCTGGTTCAGGGTCATGGATGATATCCTCATTTCATGTAGTGCGCCTTCATTGATGCGACGCGAGGACGCTCAAGGGAAGACTTATCTGGAATCGGAAGAGGGAACAGGTCATTCGGGATTGCCTTCTTATTCGCGTCCGCAGTACTCATTCCACGAAATTCCAGTGGTTCTTTGGCATTGGCTCAGCCTTTGCCGCTTCTTCCCGCCGGGAGTGATACACCAGATGGTCATGCGAGGAGCAGCGAGTGTACGTAAGACCATCTATACCCCTCTGTGACCGCATCCGCTCACACGCGCCATACCACAGGATTGGCGAAACAGTGGTTGGTATGCGTGATCCGTTTCTGTACTGTGCGCTCACGCGTCCTGTAGAATCCTTCAAGATATTGGGGGCGTACCATTTGCCTGAAAGAACGAGACATGTGGATATCTTCAAAACGTTCACGCATGACCCTATGCTCTCCATCCCATTTGGAAAATCAGTCAAGATTTTCAATATTAACATGCTCAAAGCCAGAAACCCGCCAAGCTTTCCTTTGGACGATATCGTTCTACCCATGCAGATGGTCACTTTGGACGACACGGCAGCGGAACTTCATGCCCACCCGCTGGACAAAACAGGAAGTTCACAGCAGGCAGAGCCCGGAAGTCAGCATGCGAAGTCGAAGGGACGCCAGGCAACTATGTATCCGGCGCCGGCGCCGTTGGCGATGATTGATGGCAGCGTGGAAGGATGGGAGGTCGTCGCGCCGATCACGGATGGCAGTGCTGCCGAGTCCCCCGACATCAGCGTGTGTGTAATGGGGTTCAATGGACTGGGACTGGTAGCGATTGGAGAGAAAGGCACGCTGTATGTATGGCGATTGAACCAGTGACGTTATTTCACGCTGTCCGAGAGGTGTGCACACGGACGCGCGGTGTGCAGTATTATACAATTGTAGCTATGCGTAACAATGATCACGCCAACTTCCTGCGTTTCCCCACTCCGGGTGCGTCCAGTGTCACGCTCTTGCGCTTGACGCTTTCCACCAAGCTTTGTAGGCTCGATCTGGAGGTCCCCCCGTCGGCATGCGCGGTCTGGGTCGACTGTCGACCGTTTTTAGACTTGTTTTGCTGCCTGCGTGAGCGTTCTTCGAGAAGTACGGCCATACTCTTCGTCTTCTTGAATCTGCATGGCAGTTAAGAGAAGGAGCATACAGAATGTAAGATGCGGATGCTCACCGAGGATTGCTGGGATCAATAGCGAAAGTGTGGTCCTCAAGGACCGCTTTAAAACGTTCATCCTTGACGTCGATGGAGAAATCCTCCTGCACCTCGTTCTCCCCCTCGTCAATCCCGCGCTTGCCCTTCTTGCCCTTTTTCTTGCCCTTCTTCTCGGCGCGGAGAACAGCCTTCATGTCGAAGTGCTTGATCTCGCGATTGGGGTTGTCGGATGCGGCAAGCAAGGCAAGTTCTTCCGCAGTACTCTCGACGCGAGCTCGTTGGTCTCCGTTCTTGTCCTCTCCGCCGGGCCGCTTGCCCTTTCTGTCGGTGCTCTTGCCCTTCTCCTCTTGCGACACCCCGGCTTCCACACTCCCATCCTCACTGTCTGCACCGAAGAAATCGTCCTCCAAACCCTCAGCCTTTTTCAAGGTCTTTGGCTCGGTCTTGGATGACCCCGCGCGCCCACGCATCTCCTCCTTCCGCTTTTTCTTCTTTTCTCGCATCTCTCGTTGGTACTTCTCAAGTGTGGTCTCGTCCCCGTCCTTGCTAGTGCTGAGCCCGGGCGTAAATGTGATCTCCATGTCGATGTCGTCCGCGCCTGTGTCATCTTCGCCCTTAGCCCAGCCCTCGGGGAGCGTTTCGTCGCCTTCCCCGAGCAGCAAGGCGCGCAGTCGATCGCGCCCGGCGTCCTTGGTCTTGTTGTTCTTAGCCTTGCCCTTGACAGCGGCGGGAGTGTTGTCCGAATCGGAGTCCGACGAGGAGGCGATATATGCGCGGAAGTCGTTCTCCTCGATCTCCTTCTTGGTGAAGGTGCGACGAGTGACTTGGGCGCGCTCTGGTTCGTCCTCGTCCCAGGTGAGCTTCACCTTGGAATGGCGCAGAGCCTGTGCGAGTACGTGTCACTCCAGGTACTAGGTGGCCAGGCGATACTTACATCAGTCGTGAACTCCAATGGCTTATAAGGCGCGTTGACATCCTCCGTAGCCTCGTCCCTATGCAACGTGTCAGGCAGTCGCGGTCAAGCTAAGTTGAAACAAACTCACCGAGGGCTATCTTTAAAAGTCATACCGTCCGGTACGAAGCTTAGGTCGAACACATTGGCGGAGCGCTCGAGCTCTGTGCCCTCCAACTCATCAAAGATGTGCGATGCAGCTTCAACGGAATCACATTCGATGATAGCGTAGAAGTATCTACAACGTCCTACATGAGGGTTCGTCTCATGCCGACAGGGAGCAACATACCGCAGACGCTCCAGCTGATAGTTTCGCAATGCATCCTCGTCATAATCCTCTTCGTCTCCGAACTCGTAGACAGTGCGTTCGTTGACCTCCTCCGGCTTCAGGTCGCGCTTTTTCTTGAAAACCTCGGGTGGCGGACCCTCTTTCTCCTCTCTCGCCATCCGCTGCTTCCCGAACTCGCTTGTGTAGACACGTACGCTCAGGACTCTCCCGCGGACAGCAGAAGTGGAGCCGCGCTTGGATGAGCCTTTCGACCCCGAGGTGGCAGCCGCGCCAGTAGGCGAAACCAGGGAGGAGCAAATTTTGTAGAGGTGGATAGCACGCACATGGTCCCAGTCGAGATTAACAGCCGCGATCCTACGAGTGTGCTGAATGCCACCTGAGCCTTGAGCATCCTCCGGATTGGCTTTGGCGTACTCGGCGGCCTGTGCGTCCAAGTCGGCGAGCGTATCTTCGTCGAGATCAACTTCCGCGGAATCACCAGGAACCGGAATAGGTTGTGTGATGTCGCGCCCTAGAGTGACCACTCCGCCGGAGTCGCTGTCATCATCGGATTCGGCGCGCTGGGCGGGCTCGCCTTCCTCGTCCGAAGACTCGAGCAGAATATCTCCGCGAGCATAGTCTGGAGCAGAGGGAAGATCGAGCCTCGCCTCGTCGTCGTCCTCGAGACGGTAGAACCTGCGGAGATTGTCCTGTTCGTGGGTCGGTGGAAGAGCACGGCCATACTTGTCGACAGGCGCTGATCATGTTGTGGGTGAGGAGAGGAGGACCAGTGCAAAGGGCGGCGTACCTTTGCTGATGCTGCGTTTGCCCTTGCGGTCGGGGTTGAGGATGGCTTTGAAGCGGTCGTCGACGACGACCCTGTGCTTGTCCTTCTTGACGCGACGGAAGCGGGGGTCAGTCTTCAGACGGGCAAATCGGGGGTCGGACATGGCGACGAGGAGAAAGACGGGCCGAGCGAGTGAGCGGAAATTGGTGCGTGACAGGGACGCGTGACAGACGCCCGCCCGAAATACGTGCCCGCCAAGAGTTGCCAGGAGACGGCGGGGATGATCCTGATCTGGGCTCTGGCAGCCAATGCCTGCCTTGCCTGTGCTCCCACACAGCGGACACAGCGCCAATGCCGCGCCTCCCTCGCGTCTTATACGCCTGCCCTCCGCCCCCGTCCCCATTCCCCCTTCTCGTCCTCTCTGGTACGCTCCCTCGCCGTTCCGCTGCCCCCCGACGCTGACCCCGCCTAGATTCCTTTTCGCGCAAGGCCGCAGGACGCTTTTCATCGGTTGACCCGATCCTCGACGACACACACATCCGCTCTACGTTCTTTATTTCCTTTAGGTCGCCATGTTCCCCAAGCTCTTCAGCATCGCTCTCATCGCCGTCTTCGTCGGTCAGTCCGTCGCGGCCCCCATGCCCATGCCCCTCCGCGTAGGTGTTCATCCTCCCTTTCTACTCATCTCGCTAAGCGCCCCCTTTAGCGTGCCATCGCTCAGCGCGAACCTCTTGAGACCATCCCCGCCTACAGGCGTACTGTGCCGCTCGACCAGCCAGCCATGTCGGGCCCCAACGGCGAGGTCGTTCCTTTCGTCAATCCCGATGCCGGCAAGACCAAGCGCTCTGTCCCCCTCGACCAACCCGCCATGTCTGGCCCCAACGGCGAAGTCGTTCCGTTTGTCAACCCGGACGCTGGAAAGGCCAAGCGTAGCGTCCCTCTCGACCAGCCCGCGATGTCGGGTCCCAATGGCGAGGTTGTCCCCTTCGTCAACCCGGACGCTGGAAAGACCAAGCGTAGCGTCCCTCTCGACCAGCCCGCCATGTCCGGCCCTAACGGTGAAGTCGTCCCCTTCGTCAACCCGGACGCTGGCAAGACCAAGCGCTCTGTCCCCCTCGACCAGCCCGCGATGTCTGGCCCCAACGGGGAGGTCCTCCCTTTTGTCAACCCCGACGCCGGAAAGACCAAGCGTAGCGTCCCTCTCGACCAGCCTGCGATGTCGGGTCCCAATGGCGAGGTTGTCCCCTTCGTCAACCCTGACGCCGGCAAGACCAAGCGCAGCGTGCCTGTTGACCAGCCTGCGATGTCGGGTCCCAATGGCGAGGTTGTCCCCTTCGTCAACCCGGACGCTGGAAAGACCAAGCGTAGCGTCCCTCTCGACCAGCCCGCCATGTCTGGACCTAACGGCGAGGTTGTCCCCTTCGTCAACCCTGACGCCGGCAAGACCAAGCGCAGCGTGCCTGTTGACCAGCCTGCGATGTCTGGTCCGAACGGGGAGGTTCTCCCTTTTGTCAACCCTGACGCCGAGCAGTAAGGTATGTGGCAGCTTTTAGCCCCGCTGATAATCCTTTCTCACATTGGGATCCACGAAGGACGTATTGTTCCACTCTGGACTGTGCTAGTGTTGTCCTGGACATTGATTTGCGTACATACCCTGTAACTCATAGCCACCTTCGCTTGCGAAGGCTTCACGCGCACTTTGGAATCATGATTGGTTTTGAGAACGGGACACTCAATTCAACGTGCAGACATGATATTACACTGTTCAAGGCTTCACAAGACTTGGAATGAACGACTTTGATCACAGATCGTCTACGAGATCTTGGCTTGAGAGAAGTCAAGCTCTGGATGAGCAGCTTGGAACTTTTTCAACGCCTAGTTAAAGATCCGTGAGCGAAATGATACTGGGTGATCCGATAAGAGCTGACCTCCGTCTTCTTCAATTCATCCGAGGTAGGCTTTCCCATTTGCTATGTCACGGTAAGACAGTACCCAGAAGGAACGGCAGAAGTCTTACCTTTTGCTGATTATCAAACTGGACACTGAATGAGCATTGGTCCAAATGCAAGTCATAGAACGGAGGCTCACCATCATCTTCTCCACCATTGCTCTAAACGGGTTGGTGATAAGTCACAGAGCTCCCATTGTACCCCATCGACTTGCCTCGTCTCTCCATCCAGATCGCTCAGCTTGCTGCTCTCAGGTTGAATCTTGGTCGTGTCCAGCTTCGGGTGATGGGTCAAAACGTTCTCCCACCACTGCTGTTGGTTAAACTTCTCGAGATGAACGAGAACACTCTCCTGATCCTCTGTAGGCATTGCACAGACATATAAGTACTAAAATGCGACGGTAATCTAAAGATCTACGCACCAAGTGTCCAAGTGCTATCGTCCACCTTGATCTCTTTGCAGAGCTCGCCCGCCATGATGGGGTCCTTTCCCTTCAGGCCTACGCTCAGCTTCTTCTTCTGGATCACGACAGTCAAGTCGCGCCCCCGAGTGCCCTTAGGAACAGGGATAGTGACGTCGACATCTCCAAGTTGTTGTGTCCAGCGGTAGGGTAGCGCTGTCCGGCAAAGCGTGGTCGGTACGAAGTCTGTAGGACGCCGATCAGAATGCCGCACCAGCCTGCTCGGCCGCTTCGCGTGCGCGATCGGCTTTATCGCGTGCCTCGCGCTGCTCAGGCGTAAGCTTGTCGTAATCGTCTGTGGCGGACATGCTCGCAGGGGGAAGAGGGACTGGGGGAGAGCGCGATGCGTAGGAGGGATGCCAGGACGAGACTGTCTGAGAGCTTGAAGAGTTCCTATGAGGATGCGCGTTACGCGGAACGTCATGCCACGTGACGCAAGCCTCATACCTGCTTTCCCACGCGCTTGCTCGCTGAGCCTGTTCTCTGTCCGTCGCCCTCGCGCGTGTCGCTCTCCTGACTGCCGCTCTCTGCATCTTGTGCATCCCCATTATACATGGCCGGTCAGGATGTGTGGGCAGAATTTGAGGTGAGTGCTGACTGTTTTCACGGTTCCTTTTTGTCAGTGGTCGGGGCCGGAGGCGGGCGGAGGCTGACCCCGCGACCATCCCATCAGACGCTCCGACACAACTTGAGGTCCAACAAGGTCGAGCAGCTCAAACAAATACTCACCGGTTTCAACGAGGAGTGCCAGACGAACTTCACCAAGACCGGCAAAAAACAGGACCTCATCGACAAGATTACCCGCGAGCTCAACGACTGGAGGCAGAACGATAACGTGGATCGTTGGACCAAAGGAGAGGCCATTATGACACGGGTCCGCCAGACTGGGTGAGTACTCACGCCTCTCGTCGCCACAGAGTTCTTTGTATCGCGGTCGTGCGAGCCACCTACGCCCGACCCCCATTATGTTCCCGAGCCACATTTTAGGACGGCTGCTAACACATCATATCCTTCAGCTACTACACCTCCCACACCAACGGCTCATCGTCGTTCACGCACACATTCCCCGCCGCGACCCCTTCCCCCTCTGTTCCCTACCAGAGCGGAGCCTCTCAGGCAGGTTCATCACGTTATGATCCCTGGACCCGCCGTGTCCCGCCTGCAGCACCTGTAGCGTCTTCATCTTCCACATCTGCCCCACCGCCATTGCCGCCAATGCCGTCTATCCGGTTCAAATACTCGCCTTTCTTCAAAGTCGAGCGGCTAGTGTCTGGTGTAGCCGAATGTCCGGGTACGTTTTGGTTTCAATATATTCATCAGGGTCGTCCTCAATATCTCCAGAGTCCGCAAGCTCCATGGATCGACGTTCTCAAAACGTGACGTTTGTGATGACAAACGAAGTCTTATCCAAGGTTACCTCTACAAAGTATGTTTACCAGTCTTGTTTGTTGCGATCGATGCTTGCTCACGGTCCGTCAAGCCCCAAATACCAGCTGCGGCTCTACTGCACTTCTTCGGCGTATCATACGCCTCCTACTGCCAACCTCCCCGGCGCATTTCGCTCCGCTGCGCCATGTCCCATTGAGTTTCCCCCGACGTGCGAGGTTCGCGTTAATGGGAACCAACTGAACGTGAGCCTCAAGGGACTGAAGAAGAAACCGGGCACAGCGCCTCCGCCGGACATTGGGAAGCATGTGCGCCAGACCGCCAACGCGTCCAACAGGATCGAGATAATATACGTGAACAGCCAGCAGCCCACGCCCCCCAAGGTACGCCACCATTTGCGCCTGCATTCCGGACCGACTACCTGACTGCGTCGAGCAGAAGTACTATCTGGTAGTTGGGCTGGTGGAAGTCACTTCGACGGAACAGCTTATCGATCGATTGCGCAAAGGCAAATACAAGCAAGCCGCCGAGGTGCTCGCCGACAGTACGTCTTCATGGTCATTGCTCTTCTAGCGTGGCTCATTCCCGTAATCAGTGAATAAAGCCAATGGTGACGACGACGACATCGTTGCTGGGCATCAGAAGATGTCTTTGAAGTGTCCAGTGAGTAGCAACTCTGGAAGTCATGGTGCGAGCATCACTAACACGCGGCAGCTGAGTTATGGACGCATCACAACGCCATGTCGATCCTCTGCTTGCGTGCACCCACAGTGCTTCGATGCCTTGTCTTGGTTTTCGATGATGGAACAGACGACGACTTGGCTGTGTCCCGTCTGTGAGAAAGTGTTGAACGTTGAAGAACTCCTCATCGATGGGTTCGTAACGACGCCATCGAATTACTTTCAGGCGTTGACAATTACTCGCCGACAGGTATTTCGACAGCATTCTCAAAGCCACACCAGAGGACGTCGACGATGTTATCGTCGAGCCTGATGGAGAGTGGCATACAGAAGACAACAAATTCGGATCTGCGCGGTGGAAAGCAATTCACTCAGTGGAGAAGCCAGTCAAGCCAGCGAGCCCTGTCAAGCCTCCCCCGTCCCCGAGCAAGCCAGTCGCGATGAATGGCGCTAACGGGTTTGACAAGCCTCGGCCCAGCAATGCGGAGATCGTGATCCTGGATTCTGACGATGAAGACGAGGATGAAGGACGGGTGAAGCGTGAGCTGTCACCCTCCACGGACGTTGCGGTGCCTCAAGGAAGGCAGTCGAACGTACCCAGCTCTCAGCCGGCACGCGCTCAGGCCGTGGACATCATCGACCTCACCCTTGATTCGGATGAGGAGGAGCAGCCTCCTCCCCCACCTCGACGTCCGCTTCCCCCTCCACCCCCGCCTCCGTCCAAAAAGAGGAAGGAGGCTGACGATCTCCCATCGCCAACAGAGCAGATCTGGAAGAAATCACGGCCTGACCACGCTTCACTAAACGCGCAGGTCCCCGGCTCCACACCGCGAATGGGAGACGACGCATATAGACGGCTCCCTCCCCCCGTCCCGTCTTCATCGCAGCCGCGTTATTCCTCGTCTCAGCAGACTACCTCCTATCGCGGGTCTGGATCACAGTCGTATAGCAGCTCTTCCGGGGCCCTCCCGCCCCCTCCATCTTCGCTCCCCGCGCGTCCGACCCACGAGGACTATCGCAACAATACGTTGCCGCCGCTTTCTTCCTACCCATCACGACGTGGAAGCGGTGCGGGGGCATCTTCACCACGCAATTGGCGGTGACGTGATTTGCTGGCTGGCCGGGTGGCTGATGGTCGTGCGCCTCTTGGGTTGATGTGTATTTATCATGGTACAGTACTTAGCATAGAGCCCTTATTTGTCGTCCCCCGCTTTGCAGTTGCGGCTATTCCAATGTCTGCTTTTGTCCAAGCCGCGGTGAGAATATGAGCGAGATCGAGTGGGAGCGGACCGGGCCCGACGCTGCGGACGGTGGAGTCGTGGCAGGCCCTGGTTCAGCGGGGCTGATCTCACCGGCGCCGGACCGCGCTTCGCCACCAGGCTGCTGATTGGGCCAGCGAAATTTTGGCGGCCTGGGAAGTCGGCCGTACTCGGAGAAGCAAATTCCGGCGCTATCCGAGGACGTACTTAGACGTTCGCACGCGAGCCCTGCTCCTCCGCAAGTTCTTCTCCCCCTCCACTCCCTCCTCCTCCTCCCCCCGGCTTCCCCTCCGTCAAAATGGCCGACGTTAAGAAAGGCAAGACTCCCCAGGACTTCTTCAGTGCGTCCCGTCTTGCTCTGCCGTCGCGCAGCGCGTCGTTCGTGCTGTTCGCGGACCGCACTTTGCTGACCTGGCACCTATAATCAGTCGACTTCATGATGGGTGGTGTCTCTGCGGTATGTGACGCGTTCTGTTCGTCTCCCGACGCGTCTCTGACCATTTCGCGTCTGTTGTAGGCTGTCGCCAAGACCTCCGCTGCCCCCATTGAGCGTATCAAGCTCCTCATTCAAAACCAGGATGAGATGGTTCGTGACTTGGTCCGTACCATCTATACAGATCCCTAACTTCCTGCCTTCCCCAGATCAAGCAGGGTCGTCTCGCGGAGCCCTACAAGGGCATCGGTGACTGCTTCACTCGCACCATGAAAGATGAGGGTGTGCTCGCGCTCTGGAGAGGCAACACTGCCAACGTCATCCGGTACTTCCCTACGCAGGCCTTGAACTTCGCCTTCAGTGCGTCTTCTATGCATTCAGTAGTCGTATGCCACTGACACGTCACGCGCAGAGGACTACTTCAAGTCGCTGTTCGGCTTCAAGAAGAATGACGGTTACTGGAAGTGGTTCGCTGGCAACGTCGCCTCTGGTGGTGCTGCCGGTGCGGCGTCTCTCTTGTTCGTCTACTCCCTCGACTACGCCCGTACGCGTCTCGCGAACGACGCCAAGTCCTCCAAGGGTGGAGGAGCTCGTCAGTTCAACGGTCTCGTTGATGTCTACAAGAAGACTCTCGCGTCCGACGGTATTGCCGGCCTCTACCGTGGCTTCGTTCCCTCAGTCGTCGGCATCATCGTCTACCGTGGTCTCTACTTCGGTGTCTATGACTCCCTCAGTAAGAATTTTGTTGTGCTGCTACTTCGACCATCTTTTGACCTCTCTCGCAGAGCCGGTCGTTCTCGTCGGTGCGCTCCAGGGTTCATTCTTGGCCTCCTTCGCCCTCGGCTGGGGTGTCACCATTGGTGCCGGTCTTGCGTCGTACCCCCTCGACACGATTCGGTGAGTTTAGCGTCTGTGTCCTGGAGATGGTGGCTGACTCCAATGAATAGTCGTCGCATGATGATGACGTCTGGTGCTGGCGTTCACTACAAGTCCATGTTCGATGCTGGCTCCCAGATCGTCGCCAAGGAGGGCATGAAATCCCTCTTCAAGGGTGCTGGTGCCAACATTCTGCGTGGTGTTGCCGGTGCTGGTGTGCTGTCGCTCTACGACAAGCTCCAGGAGGTTGTCTTCGGCAAGGTTTACTCGGGTGGCTCTGGCTAAGCGTATATGTCCCGGACATTCTACACTTTATCAGCCTCATAGTACTATCGTTTACCCCGCACGCAATAGATCTTGTCCTTATTCCTCTTGGCATAGATTAAATGTTTCTCGTATGTGTGGCGCGTACCGATGGAGGGTTGAGCGCAGTCGCCCGTACTCAATAGCACGCGTGACTGGTTGCCCGGTGGCAGCTTCGGCTATGGGAATCAGCGGCTGGTTCTATGCCACAACCATGGTGCTGCTTGCTCTCTGCCTCGCGCATCACGAGGTGCTACTCCTCTTCTGCTCATGCTGTCACTCTTCGACCATACCAGGAAACTTGTCTTAATGCTTGCTTGGCCGCGCTGAAGACAGGTTCTTCACGCATAGGCGTATCCCTCCCCACTGGCTCTGGCAAAACGACAGTCTTCATCTCCTTGCTTGGAAAGCTACCCCCATTGCATAACGCCTCCCGCGCCGCTCGGTCTTTGGTCATTGTCAATAGCGTCGAACTCGCTCAGCAGACCGCAGATCAGGCCTCACGCCTGTTTCCCGAGTGGTCAGTGGAGATAGAGCAGGGAAAGCAGCATGCCTCTGGCCTGGCCGACGTGTATGTCTCTTTCATCAGGCTGCTCGTGGATTTGTCCACATTCTCTCCTTCGTCTTTAGCACCGTCGCGACTGTCCAAACTCTACTACGAGGGCAGCGATTGGAGAAGTTCCACCCGGAGTTTATCAAGGCGGTTATTGTGGATGAAGCCCACCATGCGGCGGCGCCCTCGTAAGTCACTGTACTATGATGTTTGCTCTTGGGGATTTTAAAGGGGAACATCCAACTCCACGTCTGTCAGGTACCGTCGTATCCTGTCTCATTTCCACTCCGACGTTGAGAATCCAGACGAGTCCGAGCACTCCACGTCCTCGGTGAAGCATCGCATACCCATCTTCGGATTCTCCGCAACCTTCAGCAGACATGATGGACTTGCATTGGGTTCTGTTTTTGAAGAGATAGTGTACCACCGAGGATTCCTGGACATGATAAAGGAACAGTGGTGAGTAGGCCGTCAATACTAGCTCAATCGCGTAACCGACACCATTCCTCAGGCTCTGTGGGGTCCGCTTCACCACAGTTCATGCGAAGATGGACCTCAGCAATGTATCTATCAGCTCTCGATCTGGAGACTTTCAGGCGACAAGTCTCGCTCATGTTGTCAACACCGATACCGTCAATGAGCTGATCGTTCGAACATGGCTGGACAAGGCTTGTAGGTCATATATTCTTGTCGGTGCCGCCCTCGGATTGAGATGGAACCTCTTTCTAGCGGATCGCAAGTCGACGCTAGTGTTTTGTGTTAATGTTGAGCATATCCTCAGACTGGCTTCCACGTTCAGATCGGCAGGCGTAGATGCTCGTTACGTCCATGCTGGGACCCCTCCGCTGGAGAGGCGACAGCTCGTCCAGGCATTCAGAAACGGAGAATTTCCTGTAATGATCAACTGCAGTGAGTTGGACTTGCGACTTCCTCACGAGAAGTGTGCCGATAATTTACGCGATCGTAGATGTGCTCACTGAAGGAACAGACGTGCCCAACATTGACTGCGTCATGGTCGCGCGGCCCACTCGGTCTCGAAATCTGTTCGCTCAGATGGTGAGCATGTTCTTGCCTCCATCCTCCTCGAACTGACGTCTTACCAGATCGGTCGAGGAATGAGGTTATCACCTTTCACAGGCAAAGAAGATTGTCGCATTATAGACTTTGTCGATTCTCAAAATCGCGTTTCTGGGGTAATCTCCACACCAACGCTCTTTGGCCTTGATCCTAACCATATCGATGACCTCAATGGTTGGCCGCTCCTGAAGTGACCCCCCCGCTGGTGCTGACTTCTCCCGTCTGACCACAGATGAGACGATCGAGAGCCTAGAACGACGATCAGCCGAGCATTGTGACTCTTCCAGGTCTGAAGAACTCGGTCCATCGCTGCATAGTGTCTCCGGAACCGTGCTGCCGCCCAAATCAGTTGTATACGTGGATCACGAGGATCCCTTCGCGAGGGAAGACAACAGTTCGGGAGACCCTCACATCAATGCTATCACTCCTTTCGCATGGGTATGCTGCGGCGCAGGCATCTATATCCTTGAATGCCTCGAAAAAGGGTTCATCAAAATTGTGAAGGTTGAGTCTGAAGACGATCGGCAGCGTGAGTGGAGTACATCGACAACGCATAGCACCACTTATGCTCTTGATAGCACCAAAATGGCAGGCCCATTATACGCCTCCGACTCTGAAAAACTTCGTGTCGTTCAAGCTGAAGATATCACCGTATGGCCGTCAACAGAAACTTTTGGACGCCACCGACTTCATTGAAGCCGTGCGAGGCAGCGATACCTTCGCCAAAAAGCTCATCGACTCAGGTCGTGAAGCGGGGCTTTTACGAACGGCAAAATGGCGCTCCCAGCCGGCGACGCCAAACCAGTTGCAACTCGTCCGCAAGAAGTGGAAGGGCCGCAAAGTGGTCGAAGCAGCCCACAGACCAGACTTCAAGACTCTCACGAAGGGACAGGCCGCCAACATCATTACTCGCCTCAAACATGGCGCCCTGGTCTGTTTTGTGTCTCTGAACTCAAATTGATTTCTAACGGCACATAAACAGAGGCGATATGAGGACAAGTTGCGGCGGCAGGCCAAGTTGTTGCAGGGTCATCAACAGGAGCAGACCCGGCGCGCGCGAGAAGAAGTCAGAGTTGGACCGTTGTCCGCCTAGAGATATGTATACCATAGTTGCTACTTAATCCAACGACCCATTACTCCGTAAACTAGAGAGCCTCGGAGATACGGCGTATTCGCTCTGCAAAGTGTAGACGGCTGCCAGCTGAGCTTGAGACACCAGCTTGTCCAGAGCCTCGGGGCTCTGGAAGGCATCCGGGTTTTGCGAGAGGCTGGCAAGCATCGAACCGACAAGCGAATCCCCGGCTCCAGTGACGTTCACGATCTTGTCGTCGGACACCCGGATGGGCGGGAAGTGCTTAAATACCACGATGCTGGTCCCCACACCGTTGGCGGAAACGATTTGACGTGCGACGGCGATATTGCTTGCCTCCTTTGCCCAGGCTGACGTCTGCGCCTGTTCCCCAGTGATGCGGAACGCAGTGATGAGGCCGCGCTCCCCGCACTTTATGATGAGATGTTGGAAGAATGGAAGGAGGTTAATAGCCATTTGCGCGACGCCGTTGTCGACAAGGAAAGCGAGCGTGCCGTTGGCGACTGTGTCACCTTCCGCGAATGCGCTGTATCGGGCAAGTTGTTCGAGTTCGTTGCGGAACTGGCTGCCGAGCCCCATGTGGTCGATGACCTGCCACCAGTAGCGGTGTGAGGTAAGTTCGAGGGACGAGGCACAAGCTTCTTGGTACATGTGAGCCAGCTCGAGGACGTTTGGCGTGGCGAAAGTGACTGGTGCGCGAGTAACATCGGCGGAGTTCAGCGCGGCAGCGATCGCCGGGAAAATAACTGTGGACTTCGGTGCTGAGGTAGGCTCGCTGCATTATGCTGATCAGCCAAGGAAATCGCGAGGCTTTAAAAATGATACGGACAAGAACGCTAGAAATGTCTCAGTCTACGCATGTGCTTGAGCTCAACTGAGACTTACTGGAGATATTGCGTTTGTTTGCGTAATCAACCAGAGACTTTAAAGTCTTGTCAGACGTATTGGCATCAACAGCTATGATGCTAGGCTGGTGCTGGTCTAAGATGCCAATGATCTGGGAAGGAATATATTTCGGGTGAGTACTTCCCGATGCAAATGGACGAAGATAATACCTTAGAAGCTTCGAAGGTCCGAACGATATCCATGTCGGCTACACCGCTTGTTAGGCTCCCAGCACTATCGAGGACCATATTGCAGACGGCAGTGCGGCCTTTGGGCACCTGAATGAGACCATCCGTCCTCATTCTAAGTCGTTTTGAGTCGGAAACCAACAGTTCGGCAAAGCCATCCTCGCCTATGGGTGAAATGAGGAGGGTCTCTGTAGAATAGCCATCCGGGTAAGAGCATAATATGCGATGGGAGGCCTCGGCAACGTTGCGTCCAACCCCTCCCGAAGTCAGGGAGACTACGCCGGGAGTGGTGGTATGCATCTTGTTCGTGTTGGCCGCTCCACCCACGGGATCCGCTCGAGCCGTGATATCGACCGCTGCAGAACCAACGATAACCAGTTTTGGCGATGCCTTGGGAACGTGTCTGATTAGCATGTACGACGGAGATACATTGAAATCTGAGCCAACCATAGATTCGCCCTGTTCAGGCTGTGGCTGGCTCGAAGGCGTAGGTGAAGTTTGAGATAGATGAGGCTGTGAGGCAACCGCAGGACCGCCCATTAATCGAGAATACGACGCGGCAATCTGGCCCCCTGATGTTTCATGTCAATGTTTGCACAAAAACAAGTCATATAACGCTTGCCTATCAGAGCGGTGTTCTTGATCAAAGCAATATCTGTTCAAGTGACCGGTGAGATGGAACGCGGATGGCACGAGAAGGAAACTGACTGCTCTCCAACGATTTCCCCGCGGTAAGCTCTCCTACTCGCTTCAGAAGCCATGGAGTTGCTTCCTTTCCCCGACGACTGATGCCGTTGCCTTCAGATTCACGAACAGCTTGTTCAACGGCTCGTTGCAACTCTTCGCCAACCTCCTCATACTGTTCAGGTATAGGCACAGCAAAAAGGGCACCATTTGACATGCCCAGCTGGTTCTGCGTGTCTGGAGTAGAATGAGTATACCGTTAGTCACGCTATACATTCAAACTAGTGCTCACAAAGAATCTGAGCGGCGGATTCAGGACTGTCAACTCGCCACGGGCTCTGATATATAATGAGCGAAACCCTGAGTAACATATTTGTTCGCATACCTTGAACCCACTGCGCCTGCTGTAGAACGCGGGGAAGTCGTCAGAAGGACCATATGATACAACAGGCACACCGAGCGTTTCCTGACAGAGTGTTTAGTACTTGGGAAGGGAAGGAATAGGCGAGGATGAGGTCCTACCAAGTATTCTAATGTCCTGCGGGGAAGCAGTTAGCCCTGAGTCGAAGCGGTGGGGATAAATGATATTACTGACTTTCCTATGTCCAGGATGGACTTGACACCAGCAGAAACGAGCCCAACAGGGCAGCGCGTGAGTTCATGAAGATCAGCAGAGATGTCCATAGCTTTGTGAAAGGCGTTCAGTGACGGAACGATGCGCCATGGAAGAAAATACCCACTCGTCTCTCCACCACGATGGACTCCTCCGAGTCTAACGCGATGATCAGCACCGCAACGGGTGTAAATACGTCACGACTTGCCCTCCGGTAGAGAAAACCTGATGAAGTCAATCGTCTGTGGAGTCTCACAAGCGGCATAGACGCATACCTTGATACCAGCAAGTGCCGCAAGGATTAAAGTAGTGCTGCATGTCGTTCCCTACAATGATGCTCATTTCGAGGACTTGGGGAGACATGTATCCTGTTTGAAACACTCACCCCATCCTTTTTCGCCGCTATCGCCGCGGCTAGATCCCTACGAGACAGCTTCACGACAGAGGGATTAGCTGAGACGTCGGCGAGACGCTCCAGCTCTTGAGGTCCCAGCCCAATCTTGACCCGCCCCTCGATGATCCCAATGGTGGCTGGAACCGCGCCGGATGTTCGCACATTCTTCTCCACTGACATTGCTGTCTCACGGTTGGAGGGATATGGCATCCCATGGGTGACAATAGTAGTCTCGAGCGCGACTATCGGGCGACCGTGAGCGAGGGCCTCCTGGACTTCAGGGTGGACATCAATGGGAGCATGCTCCTTGAGAGCGGTGGAGAGAGAAGAGATAGGCCGCCTGCATCGAAGCAGCGCGGTAGGAGGGCGAAGAAGCGGAGCAGCTCGTCGCTGGAGGAAAGACATGCCCTCCCTCTGGTAGTCTGCATGCGTTTGAGGCCTGGGACCGTAGGTCCCCTTAGTCAGCATAAATTTTAATCTCCGCATCCACGTGATCTATACACGACCGCGTTCGAACGCGCGGCGCGCGCGCGCGCGCGCGCGAGGACGCGACGCGCGATAGAAGCGCTGGCCGGCTCGTCCATTCTCGTCGTCGTCGCGCCCTCAGTTCCGTACTCCCATCCACTCTTTCCCCCCGCTACCTTAGCATGCGTACATAATGACATCTACTCTCACCGTCCCTCGTCCACATGCGCTCTCTTCCTTCAAATTCAGCACCTCAGAAGGCCGTGCATTGTGCCGACGGATAATCTGCGCTCGAGTTCCCTTTGATCCTCACGACTACCAACTCGATGGGATCACCCACGCCCTCGACAAGACCGACCTTCTCGCGATCACCCCAACAGGGTCAGGGAAGACCGGGTTCCTCACCATGTATCTCCTCGTTATGCAAGCTGTGATGCGGCGACCATCCCTCTGTCCCCAGCCTCCCCCTGAGCACTTCCGACGTCGGGCAGCAATGGTTGTAGTGTGTCCGACAATGGCATTGCAAGGGGATATGGTACGTGTATTCTGTTTTAGACACATTGCACCCATTCAAACACGTTGGCTCTGAAGGCAGCCAAGTTCTCCGCTGTTGGTCTCCGGCCGTTAGTAATCAACAAGAACACCCTCGATGAAGGCTTGCGCAGCAAGAACAGCAACCTTTGGTCTGCCGCATCAGACTACGATGCTCTCATCATTGCGCCTGAGCAGCTCACATCAAAGGGCTTCGAGAATTTGCTCAAGGTTCCGTCCTACCAAAGCCGGGTAGTCGCTATCGGGGTCGATGAAGCACACCTGCTCAATACGTGGGGGAAAACGTTCCGGCAAGACTTCCAGCACATCGGACCATTGCGCGCACGGTTCAACCACTCACCAGTGCTCATCGCGCTGACTGCCACTCTGCGCGGAGCCTCTGTCACGGACCGTCGTGAGGCCTCTCCATTCCGTTCTGTCTGCAACTCTCTCGGACTTCACGAGGGATACTTCCATGTTCTGCGACGATCAAATGCGCGTCATGACCTCCAGTTCGACCTCCGGATGATGAAGTCCTCAGCTAGCTCCACCAGTTTCCCGGAACTCGACTGGGTGCTTGCCGCACCTCGCAATATTCTTATATTCTGCCGCACAATCAAATTCACACATCAAATCCAGTCGTACCTCACCTCGAAGCTCTCATCAGGTCAGGCTAGCTCTGCAACTCAAAGCGAACGGGTCCGGTCCTACCACAGTCTCAACTGGGAGTCCTATAACACTGCGACACTCGCTCGGCTCCGTTCAAGTCAGGGCCACTTGGTTGTACTTGCGACTGATGCTCTATCCATCGGCATAGATGTTCGCGAGGTTGATGACGTCATCATCTTCGAGGGGGCTTTACCTGACGATCTAGAGAGCCTCTTGCAGAAGGCTGGACGAGTTCGGGATGGCCGAGAGAAGGGGTCAAGGCTCATCGTCTACCTCCCACAAAACACTCTTGAGCTTTGTCAAGCTGCTCTTCCCGATGACCCATTATGCGACAAGACACTCCATGACTGGCAGGCTGCTAAAGACGCTCAACGGAAGAGTGGTGGTACTTCAACACCAAAGCAACCCTCGGATGCTCCGTCACAGGCTAGTACAGTGGATCTCGGTGTAGCCAAGCTTGTGCTTGCCGCATGCAAGGTCACTGCCATCGATGAGGCATTCGACAACCCCAGCGAGGACACCGCCTGCACTTGTCGCACGTGCTGTGAGAGTCCACCGGCAGAACGTGTGGTTCCATGCAACTGCAGTGGATGTTCTTCGTACTATCAAACAGATACTGTGCCTCCTAAGGTACCAGGTGAGCCCTACAACATATTGACTCAATACCGAACAGTATACTGAGATGTGTCTCTTTCACAACTCAAGGTCGCACGGGTCAGAAGGGCACTGGGTGCCGTCCCTGTAGCCTAAGGATGCCACTCATATTTCTGACACTGTAACCCAGGGATACCACTCGGGTGGGCTCATATGAGCGGGCGCTCTGTAGCCCAGATTCCCACTCATATGACGGCACAGCCACACTTATAAGCCCACTCTATGCCACATTTTTGTAGCACCTTCACTACTGTTGCTGCTTTGTAGCTACTGCGTTGATATGAGTTTGTAGTCTGCCTTGCCACTCATATGAGCATTTGGCCTGCGTTGCCGCTCATATGAGCCTGTCGCCGGTGTTGTCGCTCATATGAGCCCATCGCCAGTGTTATCGCTCATATGAGCCCTTCGCTGGTGTTATCGCTCATATGAGTCTGTCACTGCATTCCCTCTCATATGGGGACGGCGCTCATGCTGTATATCATCTCGATGGCTGCTCCATTTATATAAAAGCATGTACCAAGTGTTGCCGCTCATATGAGCATTTGGCCTGCGTTGCCGCTCATATGAGCCTGTCGCCGGTGTTGCCGCTCATATGAGCCCGTCGCTGGTGTTATCGCTCATATGAGTACGTCACCTGTGTTCTCTCTCATATGGGGACGGCGCCTATGCTGTGTAATATCTGGAGGGCTGCTGCATTAATATAAAAGAATGTGCCAAGTGTTGCCACTCGTATGAGCATATAGTCTGCGTTGCGACTCATATGAGCCCGTCACCGGCGTTTTGCACACATGCGTCCATCACATGCATTCTCTCTCATTTCTGGACAGCGCTCATTCTGCGTATCTAGAAGACTACTGCATTTATATATAAGGATGTGCCCTGCGTTTCCATTCATACAAGCACGTAACCAGCGTTGCCACCAATTGGGGCCCATGGCCTGTGTTGCCATTCATACTTTCTTTTGCAAATTGCGACGTCATACTGACATACACCCTGCTCAAATAAACATTTAGCAGGAGGGTGTAGCTCCATGGTGGTTAGAAGGGGGGGGGGGGGCAGCAGCTCCTCTAAACAACATTGGCAATGCTTGAACTAGACTCTAGGCACAGAATGGTGTCAGCAAACACAGCGGCATCAAGGGAGGAGGCTGAGCCCTGTTTGGCAATCACAGACAAGACCAGATGGCCCATCGACGGAGCATGGGGCTGCCGGGTTTTAGGAATGATATACACTGCATTGAACCATGTCATTCATAAGCACCAAGCGTACATAAGAAGAAATTAGGCTGAGACTGGGCAGCGCTTCACCACAGCCGAAAACAAGCCCTGGGCATCATGTGCAAAACGGCCCCACATCGCAGCCTGCCTATAGGCATAGCTTTGCTGCCCAGGGGAGAAACTGTTGTTTGCTCCCCTGTCATTCCATGCCGTCTCAGAGGCACGGAATGACAGCAAAACTGCATCCATCTCAAGGGCGAGCCAGCTAATCTCCTCCTGCCATCTACCCTTCCTTTCATGCCCTCTATACCACATGGAACGACGAGCTGTGAATTTAAAACTCAGCGGGGGCTATCGCGGTATTGCAAACAGATGCTTACTGGCAGCGTGATAGTTTTTCTCTGCATCTGCCCCTTCTCCAGCAAAGGTCCACAGCCATGAGGGATGTTTGTGGCGTTGCCCTCGCAAGGAAGCTTCAACGATGGACGAATTGATGTTAAGGTCTGCCGGAACAATCGGCAGGTACATGGCCAGATGCTTCTGCAGGAGCGCCCGTTCATCCAGGTCTTGAACATTATGCAGGGCTACGAAGGCTTGCCGGGACTGCATGTAGATCCGTACATGCCGTGCAATCATTTGGTCGCAGATTCTGATGTCGTCAAAGGAACGCAGGGAGGCACGGGTAGAAGAAGCATTCCGTACACCTGTGGCAAATTGGTACGATTTGTTAGCAATGCCATCCCTGATGGCGTTGATGCTGTCGTGCATATCTGCCTGCCGAAGCTCCCGTTCCTGAACCGCAAGGGGCCACAGGTTATTACGCAAGAGGTATTCTGTACCGAGGGTTGCAGGGTTAACGATGGGGCGCGACTCTGGGGAGCCCACGTGCTCTGGTGCAACAGAAGGGTCCACTTGAATAGCACCATGGGCATCGATTCCTTCGTGTGCGTCCCATTCCTCACCAAGTGTCGGAGGTGTGGAAAGGGAATCGAGAACTGGGTAAGAGCCGGCAGGAAGGAAGGTGGCCCCGGATTGATTGAAGCGCTTAATAAGGGAGAGCAGCTTCTGGCGTTCCTGGGCAAGATCGAGGCGGGCGCGGTCTGTGGAAGCCTTGCTAAGCTGCCGGGCCATTCGTGCCACAATAACTCTGAAGACATGCATTAGGCAAGCCTGCAACAAGGAGCGCCCCTTCAAGGAAGAAGGGATCAGAAGGCAAAGGCGCACCTGCGGCGATCTATAGCAATGCCAAGGACAAGCCATTCTGTAACGTTCGCCGCCCCAGCATTGTTCTCTTCTTCAACCATAGCCGTTTGTGTAGCAATGATCCCAGGCACTAAATATAGAATGAGCCTTTGCAGCGAGATAGTGCTTGAAAGAAACATACAAGGGTTTTTGGCGAAGCTGAATATGTCTTTTTTCGAAACATCCTCGCTTGCAGCATTATGAGCATCATTGACTGCTGCAGTCCACAAGGCAATCTCTTCCTGGGTGGCGACGCCATTGATGTCTTGAAATGCCTTCTTCGCAGCTGCAAATTCACCGTGGGCCGTGATCCATTTCCGACACTGCGTGCGTGCTTGTTCCAAGAATTAGCCGGTGAGCTGAGAAAAATAGACCCATCTCACCTATGCGAGTCAGTTTCATCCAGTTGGAATCGCACATGTGGTCGTCTTGAACCTCTTGTCGGTGTGATGTGCTCATGCCGCGGGTGCTGTCGCCAATGGCATTCAGTGGTTTCCACAGTGGCTCCATCGTCTCCCCATCCTGAATGCCTTAGTGCATAGCAGGGGTAGCCACTACCCTTGGGGGTAGGGGGTAAGGGTGCGCAAGGGTAGGGGTCGGGGTAGGTACCAGTTGACCCCCCAATAC